TTTGATTTTAATTTTATTTCTTTACTTGCTATATATATAGAATTATTATAACCTAGTTTTTACTAAGTTTCAACTTTTATATCTTTTCAACTCTTTCTCATCTGTACCAAGTCAGTGCAATGGAGTTACTTGATACTGATGCATACAGATCATTGTTATTATTGTGATAACTTTATTTGATCTCTTTATGAGACTTCATAGCTTTCAGATCCAGTGTGAATTCAGAGTTTTCATGTCATCTGTGAGTGACATAGTAGAAGTCTTTAAATTCCTTTTTGATGTGGTTTTTAATATCACTTTGAGTTATAATGCTTCATCTCAGTAGTTCAAAAGAACATCCATAACTTAAAAAAGCTTAAAACTTATGTCAGGTGACTCCTTACATGCACAGTAGCTAAGTCAAGCTCAGTGTATCAAGTAAAGCTACAGATATGCACAAGTTAGGAATCTGGCTACTACCAGCCCTAGTGGCTGACCTTAAAGATCAGCCATAATTAAGTAATTGCTAGCTGTACAGTAGAAGCCTGATATATTCAATATCTATATATAGTAATTAAGAAATAGTGCTCTTAAGATAGACTGCATTCAAAAGCTACCTTCTTATGTGGCAATATTCTGTCATACTGAATTGATGTCTGAAGTATTTGACAGAGTGGCTATGACATTTTTTGATAAATCCTTAAACTTGACATTCAGGAAGACAGATATCAAAAATCTGGACCCACAGATTAAAAGAGGTTCCTTATAGCTTGAGTTCTGTGTAGTCGAAATATATTTTACTATATTATTCATAGTGAAGTTTGGTAAAATAGACAACTGACACCTCAATTTTCATATCTGATCTGTCAGACTTTCAAATGAATACATAGTGATGCAACTAATAGCTCACACATCTTATACCCTCTATCTGCATAATTATGCCTAAGTGAATATGCACCTGATATTGAAGTATAGCCAGCCTTGGGCAATTAACTAATAAAAAAAAGTCCAGAGCACACCTTAATACTGTTAAAAAAGAGAATAAGCAACTGATGCCAGTGAGAGAGAATTTCCAACTATATACCTCTTCTATTTGGACCTACATTTATCACATGAGAAGGATGAAATAGAGCCTGTGAGGAGAGCAAATAAAGCTGAACCAAAGTCACCAGTACCAAAGGCAATTCAAGCAAGGATAGTGGAAACAATCTATAGATCACTTCATGTTCATATGATGGAGGATTTATCGCATGCTCAGGGTGGTCCTGATGCACTGCAGAATATATCTGATGCATCTTCGAAGTATCAGACACCTTTGAATATATCAAACTCTCTAAATGCATCACGAAATGTATTAAATGCACCTAATGCATTGCAAGATATATCAAATGCATCTAATGTGTTGCAGGATGCATCAAATACACATAATGCATCACAGGATATATCAAACATATCTAACACATTGCAGAATGCATTGAACACATTCCACAATATATTAAATGCATCAAATGCATTCAATGCATCTCAGAACATGTCTAAGGCATTCTGCACATCTCAGAATGCCTCTGACACCTTTCTGAGTGAGCCAACACCATAGGATGCCTGGAATGAGTAGAATGCACCTCAGCATACTTCAAGCATATGCCAGAAAATGTTGAATGCATCTCATAGTGCATCAAATGTGACAAACACATCCTGTAATATGTCAAACAGGTTGAATACATCTCTTAGCATGTCAAATATATCATCTGATGCATCTCCTGAGTGAAACCATATCTATCATAGTCCTCCTACTCTCATAGAGACTGCTCAAGCACTTGATGATGTGACTGAACTACTCAGTCCTAAATGAAAGAATAGTTGGAGTTAAGTGAAGTATGGGCTCGACCACACCATTTCACTTATGATAGCACAGTGCTGGATGAAAGATATGCAGTATTATTGGATGAAGGACCCATCTGACCAGTACATTGATGGACATGAGTGGGACAATATTGTCAGATATTGGCAAGATGGTTTTCTTCCCATGATGGCTGCACTTAAGAAGTATCTCTGAAAGTGGATTGATGGTATTGAGAATATCCAAAACCAGAAAGCCCTTAACTACATACTGCAATTTGTCATTATCTGGTTTTATAATAAAAGTGTATTCTATGTCCATGACTGCAGAAAGTCTCATTGGGTTTACAGAGATAAAATGGTCATGCCAAAGTCAAAGGGAGAAGATGCATCATTAATAATTGCAGACTTTATCTCTGCTGACTATAGATGGCTGCATTCTCCTGATAGAACTAAGCATGCGCATGAGTACTTCAAGCTAGACAAGAACTGAGATAGATGGTTCACCAATGAGGACATACTTGATCAAGCTACAAATGCAATAGATGTTCTCAAAAGATACTATCCAAATGAAAGACATATTCTAGTCTTTGATAATGTGATAACTTATCTCAAATGCTCACTGACTGCTCCCTCTGTGATACAATGTCAAAAAATCTGAACAAGCAGGGAAATAAGATGTTTGAAGTAGATGTCAGAGTCCTAGATGCCGATGGATAACTATGCTATAATTTAGATAGAAGTTTTCTCAAGAAATAAGTGTGAATAGAGCCAGGCACCTTGTCTAATAGATGTTTATAGTCATTTTATTTTTTGTCAAATTACCCTAAATATCCTGACAACTTCAAGAGTATGGCAAAAATCTTAAAAGAATGTGAATACAAAAATGCAAAATAACTTCAAGCACAGTGTCCAAACTTCAAATGCCCTCCCAGTGCAATTCAATGCTGCTGTCATTGAATTCTCTATAATGAGCCCAATTTTGTAGACATTAAATCAAGTCTTGAGGAGCATTGTGCAGTACATAGATTTCAAGTCATTTTTTTGTTAAAATTTCACTGCAAGCTGAATCCCATTGAGCAATGCTGAGGCTATGCTAAAGGGAAATATTGACTCAATGCTCCATCCTCTCATAAAGATGATCTTATGCAGAATGTGATTGATGCTTTGGACACTATTCCAATTGAGTCAATCTGCCAGTTCTTCAACTGATCTCTTTGCTTCATAGATGGTTATCAGAGATGTTTGTCAGGAAAGCAAGCAGCCTGGGCAACAAAGAAATTCTATGGACATTGTGTTCTCCCAATGAGTATAATGGAGGAATTGGATAAGGCAGGCATGAATTAATTTATTCTTACTTATTCTTGGACATCTTGACAATGTACCTATCTTAGACTTCATATATTGATATACTGTATATAATGCTTGATACTATATATTGCACTCACACAACAAATATGAAGTGAAAGTAATGCAGAATCACATATGGTCACAGCGGGATCACATGCCATATGAGGGGGTAGCTTTTGAATGCAGCCTATTTTACAAGAATGCAGAAGAAATAAGAGATTGTATCAAAGAAGACTTGTTATCATTCAATTTGCAGCATCTCTTGATAGGTCTATACGGTAATTTAGATTAAGAGAAATCTCTAATAAGTATTCAAATCTCAGGTTTTTATCTGGTAGAATAGTGTATAACAAAACTCTTTCAATAAGTAGTATCTATTGAATTTAACTACCTCTGCCAATTCTAAACCAAATTATATGACTGAGAGTGATAATTGGAGTCACTACACTTTTAGACCTATCTAATTCCACTTCAATATTCATTCTCAGTAAGAAGATACTGTACTTTTATGACCATTTCATTGGGAGTTATGACTGTGACAGGTTTGAAGCATCTCGTCAGGGCAGATGGGGGCTGAGTGATGTGTGACACTATCCGGAATATATGCAAGACCAATCTGGATGAGAGCAATGACAGGCCCGGTCAAGATGATATATCACCCAAAGACCTTCAGCTTGAAAGTGCCGCAGATGCTTTCAATGGTGAAAGCACATTGCAAATATCAGAAACACCTCTAGAGCCCTCGTCATTGAGCACATCTGCACCATCCAGATGATGGATTTAGTATTTTCAAGGGTTCTGGTCTAGGGCAGTGAAAGCATATGGTGAACATTCGCTGCACTGGCGCCAAATAGAATTCAAGTTGTTACGATGCTTAACTGTACCTGTACTGCTGCTGCGCCGCAGGCATAAAAAAATCTATCATTTTGGATGTGCAATGAAATACCTGTCACATCTCGGATGGCCCCTTGGTGACCTGTGATGAGTTGGCAAAAATCCGTCAAAGTTGAGGGCAGTGATGTGTGACCGATGAAGCAGTCGTAAAAGTACAGTATTGTCTATAAAAGTAAAATTAGATAAATATTGAAAGAGTTTTATAAATCACTATATGCCTGCTAACATGCTTATCAAGTCACCGGCTTGATTGAAGGTTGAGGAGTTCAGATGGATGATGAATTTGGAGTAGGAGTTGAATTAGGGGGAAGTTATAGAGGTGCAATATCAGGGGGGAGTGTTAGAGATATCTAACTTCTATGACATTTCACCTTCTTATCTTTTCTCTTTTATACATTTCTAACATTCCTTCATCTAAGCTGTCCATACATACCATCCTCATCCTCTAACTCTTCCTATTCATCCTTCCACCCAATGTCACTTCTACTTTGTAGTTTCTATTTCACTTTGGATGCTTTTTCCTTTTCTAATCAGATGCTATATTTTCATGTCTTCCTTTATTCTTGTACTTCACATTTTGGCATCTCTTTGCTGCTTACATTGAAGTACAGGTTAGTACATACCTTCAATATATGCTGCTTACATTAAAGTACAGAACTTCTGTCAGCTACCAGGTTGATCTATTCCCTGGTTTTAACATCTGGCTCACCCCTTTGCTTTGAATCTTTTAAGGGAATAGACAAGGCCATGCTTGCCATGTAATGGAATACTTACCCATATTTGAGACATGCAGAGATTTACATGCTTATGTTTGCAAGCTATGCTTGAGTATTCAAGCCAATAGCCCTATGCTCATATGGATAACAAGCTATCAATCACCTGCCTAAAGGTATCACACCATCATACCCAATGTAATGTGCCATCCTGTAGTGATCCACTAGGAAGCAGCATACCAGTAAAGACACTCTATCATTATGCTGAAACTGCACAGGTATATCTAAACATCTAGTGGAACCCATTGCTTACTTACTACCATATTTTATCTGTTGGCAGGTTTGCCAGGTACAAACAGCCACCACAATGCGACCAAAAGTCTGAGCCCCGTCCCAACTCCAAGGGTACCAGCAGACCCTAAGGAATCAATGAGGGCACGTCCGACAAATCCGCCCAAGAACAATGTGACAATAGCGATGATCTTGTGGTCGCGAGAGATGACGATACTACGGAAGTTAAATAAGTTGGGGTCCGTCATGAGTTCGCACCATACAGTGGTGAGAACGACTAGAAACGAGCAGCAAAGTCAATGTGAAGTTGAACCACGTCGAAGAAAGTTAACGCACTAGTGGTCGCAAACTGCGTGTTCACCCGTTTGCCCATGATACCCTGCAGTCCCAAGCTCGCACTCATAAAGCCGATCGCAACGAAAGTGAGAGCGTTCGTCCATGCAGGGGCACCTCGATCGTCAGCGATGCTGGGCTGACCGCTCTGCCATGCGCATATCGCAGCCGCCATCGTGAACAGGGCTTGTATAAACGTCCCCAAAGAGAGCCAAGCCCTAGACTGCGCGCCCATCTTATCCCCTATACGACCTATCGCAGCACCGGCGATGAATGTCAAGACGGAAGTCAAAGCTTGTTGATCTGCAAGATGGAAGGAAGTGTCCCTTTGACCGGGAGGGCCCTCGAAGAGACGGGCGAGGGCCAGTGCCAACTACCGCTCAATCAGTACGATTGTACACTGACCGGAAAGATTGTAACGCACCTGAACTGAATTACCAGTTTGGAACCCACACCACACAAAGATTGCAGTAAACGAGACGGCGTCACTGTCAGAAGGGATCAACACTGAGTCATAAGGAATAACACGAATGCCACATACATGAAGCCCGTCATGAAACAATACGCTGCCAGGGGAAATGTAGACCTTTTGGGGTCAACATCACCCATGAGATGCGCCTTGGACAAGACAGTTGTGGGACCCAGCCAGAGAGCATGGTGGTCAGACGAAGCGTCGCTCTTGCCAGACGAAACGTGAGTCGGAAGGTCGTGAGACGGAAGGTCCTCGGGGGCGGAAGAGGACGCCATCTTCGAACTATGAGGACTGAAGGCAAGGAGAGAGACCGCTCTGCAGTTTTCGAGGATGTGGCATGGTACTATAAACGATTTCCAGCTCCTTGGCTATGAAGACGGAGATCGGGGACCCGATCGGTGAGACGGTTGAGGCCGTTCTATCCCCACAGCCCCTCGTCCAACGTAGAAAATACTTCCGTGTGTACCGCGCAAGACAAATCCTTTAGGTACTCGCGATACTTGATGCGTACATGTAAATCGATGGCCAAGAGACCGAATGCGATATCATCGCCACTGACTTACAAACCCACCCAATCCATGCTCAACACAAAAGCCCAGACCCGCTCAAACTGCGAACTTGGCGCGAACCGAACAACGTTCCTGGAATGCACGCTGCCAAGAAATAGCAGGGATGGCAAAAGCAAAGCAGTCTATGGTGTCATTATAATCGTCTATTTACAGTCTCCAGTCATTGTACAACTAAGCACCGTCCATGAATGTACGCCCCGCTCTTACTGCATCTTGCCCAGCACCCTTGGCTGAGAGATGTCCGCCATGTTGATGAAGATATCGTCCGCAGGATGGCGGTAGAGAGGTGCGCGCAGACGCTTCTGGTCAAGGTGATGCCCAATGAAACCGATGGATCGGCCAAGGACGAAAAGACCGTTCAGGGTACCAATCTGTACCAGGGAAGGTGAGTTAAAATGGCTTAAGTGTATGCGAAGTGGTAACATACCTTGATGTACTCGTCAGCCTCTTCTGGTGTGAAGGCACCACTGTCTCGAAGGAGATCGACGAAGCAAACGGCGATACACCCGTCGACGTTCAGGATCAGCTAAAAACCCTGTAAGCCTCACCCGTCACAAATAAATTCACTCAAAACGTACAGTGTCCTTCTTGGAAGTCGTCACCTTCTCGACAGCAAGGGCATAGTCGAGGAGACTGTGGCTAGGGAAGTTCTTGCGTACGTATTCCTTCACGAGCTCCACACGCAAATCAGGGTTGTTGACGCTCTTGATCTTGTGGCCAATGCCAGAAACTACATGAAAGCATGATAAGAAACAGGAATACCCATGTCACTTACGCATTACTTACTGAGCTTGTTAGCCTTTCGGCAGTTGTCGACGAACTCGCGAGGAGTCAAACCGGTATCACGAGCATTCGAGAACATCGAGGCCGCTTCATCGAGTGCACCACCGAATCGGCTACCAATGGTAAGCAGACCAGAAGCGAGCGATGAGATGAGGTCCTTGCCAGCACGGGTTGCAACGATAGTATTCATCGCACTTGAAGAAAAGTTAAGTTGAAGTCGAAAACAAATTAACGAGCATGAACTCACCCAGAGACGGCAGGACCGTGGTCAGCAGTAAGCATGAGGACCATTTCGATAAACTTGGTCGCCCAAGGAGGAAGTCGCCTCTTGAACCAGAGCAAACTGACGACGCCTCCCAAACCGATATCCTCCTTGAAGACGTCAGTGATACGCATACCGGCATACAAGAGCTCCTGTCCCCGCTCGTCGGAGATAGTCGAGATGAATGCAGCAGGCTTTCGGATGAGACCAAGCTCTTGCGCCCATTTGTAATCCATAGGGATAACCGGAGGCTCGCGCTCAGGCTTGGGAACAATCGCACCAGTTGAAAGCAATCGCTCGTAAGTCTCTTTGAGAACTTGAGGAAGGTCTTCGAAAGTGTCAGGGACAATGAAGCCAGCAGCACGCATAGCAGCGTTCTTCGCGTCAGCGGTCTCCATGTCCGAGTTAGCCATGGAGCCAGCGTGACCGAATTGAACCTCAGTCGTGAACATCTTGGCGCAGGTGCCGATAGCCCAAGCAACGACAGGCTTCTTGATAATACCCTTCTTGACAGCTTCAACGACGCGATACTCCTCAATACCGCCAACCTCACCAAGCAGGACGAGCATCTTGCAGTCGGGATCAGCCTCATAACGCAGTAAGTGGTCAATGAAGGTAGAGCCGGGGTAGCGATCACCACCGATGGCGATACCCTCATAGGTACCATTGGTTACGAGCGAGAGGATGTTGTTCAGCTCGTTGGACATACCACCGGACTTGGAGACGTAGCCGACGGATCCTGGACGGTAGAGCTTGGAAGCGATAATGTTGTCCATCATACTGCAAACATCATTGTCAGTATACCACTCAAACTGGGATGCACGATAGAAACTCACCCTCCAGAGTTGCCAATACGGAAACAGCCAGGCTTGATACCGCCAACGGTAGCGGGACCAATGATCAAGACATTCTTCTTCTTCGCCAAGTGCAAGATCTCACGTGCATGTCTCTCAGGAACACCCTCAGCGATAATGGCAATGCTTCGAATCTGGGGGAACCTCAAGATATCCAAGGTTGATGAGTACACACTACGAGAGCTGGCAAAGTTCACAACGACATCGACCTCAGGGTGCTTCTTGGCAGCCTCCTCGACGCTGGTGTACACAGGAAGGAGAGTTTCCTTGGTTCCCCAATAGAACTTCTGAATGTGATGACCACCAAAGGGGTAGATCATGGCAGCGACAGAGGGAGTATCACGGCCGCAGGAGTAGTCGAAGTCGAGCATACCCTGAATAGCACGGGGTTGCAGACCATAGACGAAAGAGCGCGTGGAGGCGTCGAAAGGACGGAACCACGGGCGCGTTGAAGATTTCTCCACGGTGTCAAAATGTACGATCTGGTCGTTCGCCTGGGTACGCTCACCGTCGCGGTGAATGGCGCCTACGACAGCATCAGCTTCCCCGGGGACAGTGGCAGACACCTTGGGCGATCCGGGAACGGCGGGCGTGGGAGGAATGGAGTGGATAGCGTTCTTGTGAGTAGATTTGATACCAAGAGCAAGAGGGACGATCTCGGTGATATGAGTGTCGGGACCATAAACCTTGATAGGGACTCCCAATGACTCGCCCAAGAGACGCATCGCCTTGAGACCCTCCTGGTAATTAGGACCTCCACGACGGACATAGATGCGGACGTTGTGAGCAATAAGAGGAGCCTTGTACTCCTTCAAGGCACGGATAATACCTTTGAAGGTAGCCGCGACGTTGGTGAAGTTGGCAATACCACCACCAATGATGAGGATCTTGCCATCCGGACGAGGAGTGCCGCGGGTCATGAGGTCGACTGTAAGCGCATACATGAGCAAAGCCCACAAGTAACAAAGTGTCAACACTTACCGATAGTCTTTGCATATTCGTAAGTCTGTCCCTCAGTCGGGGCTCCAGAGTATTCACCATAGTTAGCGAGCTCATGAGCGAATCCGTGTGCAGCGATAGCATCGGAATAAACGACGGAAGCACCACCACCAGCAACCATGGTCCAGATGCGACCCTCGGCATTGAGGACGGTAAGCTTGAGTGAGGCACCAGTGGATGCATCAAGCTTCTGGATGTATGCTTCCTCCTTGGTCAAATCACGTCCAAAAGGTGCAGGCCAGACCTATCTCGTGCATTTAGCTCATCAGATACGCACATAACGTTAGGATCACAATCACCATCGGAGGTCCACGATCAGCAGAAACAGCGTTGCCCTTGCTCGTGGTCGCTTGCGATCCAGCATCATAGACGGACAAGTCACGAGCAATGGCCCACTTTGGTCCGCATATTGACTCAGCAGTTTGGTCAAGCTTGGCGGCCATGTCAAGATAGTAAATGGATGGCTCGCCACCATTGACACCATCAAGAACAATTAGCGGGTTGATTTCGAGGTAAGCAAAGTGGAGGTCGACGTAGACAGAGTACAGGCGTATGAGGAAGTCGACAAGAGTGTCCTTCTTGGCGGCGGGAACATGGATGAGGAGAGTGGATGCAATTGTCTCGCGCGAGGGGAAAGGCTCGCCGACGGGGATGTTAAGGGTGAGTGCCTTGGTATCGACATCACCAATGTCAACACCACCTTCATGGGTGAAGAGAATGGAGTCACCCTCACGGGCGGAGGTGATGCAGACGTAGTATTCGGTGTTGGAGGGGTGAGGGAGGAAGGGCTCAACGATGAAAGTGTTCAGAGTTCCGGTTACGGACTCGACCTATACATGCAGGAACGATCAGTACACGAAGAAAAAAGATTATGCCGATCAACACGAAGGGGTAATATTGGCATCACGTGAGTAATTTAGCACGGACGCGTACAGACGCGCTCCGTACCACGAGGATGACGCGCTTTAAGAGTGAATATATGCACTAAGATCTGCATCAACGCATGCTGTACGTGCGGCAGTATGCAAATATAAACGTGATGATTGACCGATTTCGACTTCGCGAGAGGGATCCCCAACGAAGAGGAAAAGCGACATACCTTCTGAGGCTTTCCAGCTCGCTGAATGATCCAGTCCTTTGCCTCGTCCCAGGTCTTATTGAGAGCAAGCAAACCAGCCTTACCGCGACGCTTGATCAACTGATCGGGCTTGGCTACAAGTTTAGAGTTGAAGACCCAACCCGGGAGCTTAGAGTCGGGGGTGATGGCGTTGGTCTCGGGATCCCATTGGATCTGAGCGACTTTAGGAGCAGGGTAGGCGAGGTTAGTCTTGATCTGGGCATTCTGGTCGACTGCGGGTGCCCGCTCGAGCCAGTAGGCCAGCAAAAGCTTAGCATCGTACTCCCTAATAGCTGTATATGCGATGAGTATGAAGCGACGGGAGGGCCGACGGGGTCAGGTGCTCACGCTTTGCGGACATTTTGAAGGGAGGGAGATGAGTGTAAGGAAAAGAAACGGAAGAGAGGACGGGAGATGAAGGAAGAAGAGACGAGGCTTGGGGTATTTAAGAGGACTGGTGGCCTCACTCTGTCCAGGCTGAACCCAAAAATTCGACAAATCGGCCCAGTGGCTTCCTTGGGGAGCGCTCTGTGTTCGATGTCCTAATAAGGAAGCCCCCTCATCCCCGACCAATCAGAGCACCGTCCCCAAACTTCACACGACCGCATGCAACGAGACATTGAAATATCGTCCCAGACAAAACAAGCACGACTTATAATACACTCGTAACATGTACGAAACAATCAAGCAGGTAGAGTAATGGTATATCAGCAGCCCCAGAACGTGCCCGGCAATTACGCTATCATAGCCTGCAAACGTTCAGGATGCCGAGTCGAGAAAGAAAAACATGAGACAAGTGAATACCATGCATCGCACTAGCTGAGCACTAGCATATAATGCAGCACTAGCATATAATGCAGCACTGGCATCCTCCCTCGTCGTCCTCCTCTCCTTCCGCGCGCTCCTCTCCCTCCGATCGTGTGCGTCTCCGGCGGCCCTTCTTCTTTGGTGTCTCATCCGCGCCTGGTGGGGCATACGCCCGTATCGAGAGATGCACAATGGTGGGAGGGGATGTTGACGATTGTCCTGTCTCCGCCGTACTGACGACAGTGGGAAAGCCTACTTCTATTCGCCACGCATTAGCAACGCACGGTCCGAAAATAGTCACGACAGCATTATAACTTACTTGACAAAGTGTCGTCGTCCTGCAGAATTTTACCGAGATATAGGATTCGGAGGTACGACGGGCCTGGTGGTCGTTCGTCCTGCCAGTCTAAAAGTACAATAATCAAAGTACAACAACCAATGAAGGTACATTCGAGGTGATTCACCGTCAGCGAAAGAATTCAGAAGCACCATCAATACTTGCCATTTGGCCACGCATTCCACACTAGCTCCTTCACCCTCCCAACCGTCGCTTCATGATCAAACGACATCGTCCTCCGTCTGCCCGACACTAACAAGAACGTGAGAGACACCTGCGGCACATGGGGCACGGCTGGCTCTACTTCATCAGCTTCAGCTTCAGCCGCTGGAGTCTCCTCCTGAGCAATGGCATCGTCAGCAGTCTGTACGACTTCTGAGCCTTCCTCAGGCTGAACCCTCCTTGAACCGACCTCGGGATTCAACGACAGATCAACACGTGTGTGTGATGTCCTCGCAGATGGCGAGAGTACCGAAAACTCAGCAGGTCGTAGCTGCGATTCTTCAATAGCATCCTGAGGTGTGACAATGGTTGGCGCAACGCTGATACATTGTTGAGGTTGATGAGCTGGGGACGCTCTGCCTGTCTCGGAAGTCTCCTGCTTCACAGGCGCCGCTGAGGATGAGGAAGCCATGTGCCCGTCGTCCATGCCGACGGAATGCAAAACGCCAAAAGAGAGAAGAATGGAAAGAGGTGAGGGGTAAGAAAGAGAAGTCACTGTACTCAACCGCACATACTAACACCGAGACAACCTCCTAATAAGTGATCGGACACACACCAGGCTATATTAGGCCAAGCGATGTATCCGCACATTAGAGGCTAGAATGCACCTCGACTGACTCGTTTTCACAAGCCCTGGAGTAACGAGACGAAAAACATTGGACAACGTGCAGCAGTGTTCAGAAATGCCGGAATGAAAAATATACACATGGGTGCGAATGCAACAAATACTACAAATTAGATAGACGTGCTAGAGTGACAGACTACTATTCCAAACTGAGAGTAAAAACAATCGTACAACACCATCCCAAAGGTATGAAACCTACCAGCAGAACAAAACCGACCAACCTCCCACCCCACCTCAACACAATCATCTGATCACGAGGGCGCCCCGTCACACGAGCAAATCTATTGTTCATTCCCACCTTCATTCATCTTCTCCTGCTCTTCAGGATCCAACCAGCTATCCTCAACAGTAGCCCGCACCCTCCTGACATACTCCTTCATGTTTTCTCGGTAGAGTTGAGCAGCTTCGGCGTTTGCAGGACTATTCGGGTTGGGATCATGAAGGAGACTCTGGATAGAGGTGAGGATAGCAGCGACATCGTATGTAGGGGACCATCGGTTTTGCAAGATATCCAAACAAAGCTCGCCATTGGCGTAGACGTTCGGATGGAACATGCGTGAGAGGAACTTGACAGTTGGTGGCTTCGTTGGGTATGATTCGTCAAAGGTAAGGAGAAGCTTAAACGTTCCGTCCTCAAATGGTGTATCGGCTAGGATAGATAAAGATCAGTACTCCGTATCAACAACCGACAAGTGTTCTGAGCGTACCTGGACCAAAGATCACGGCATTCCATAGCATGATGTTGTCTGGACACGGGCTGCCGGAAATACCGCCTGGTGGGTCGGTAGACAACCGTTTGAAGTCACGGATGAGTCGTCGTCGACAGTTTGTAGACTAGATATCCACCACTTATTGAGAGACATGGCATGATCCACGAGTCAGAATTGCTCACCATGATGGGAGGTGAAGGATACGAGGCTATGCGGGAATGGTGTGGTCGAGAACAAACGATAAGGAAGATTGCGCCACAAATGACAGACTAGAGGACGAAGTACAACAGGTATTCTAGAGAAAGGTATGAGGAGAAAGACGTTGAATCAGATTTGGTTGGAGATGGTTGGGGAGCAAGATAGAACACTGAACAGGCAAGACCTTCGAGCCACTGGCAGTGCTGACTCAGCTTCGTCGTGCGTCTATTCCAGACTTTGCTGAATCGGGTATGTTTTCAAGTTTGACTTGCTTAAAGTTCGCTCCTACGGTGCGGTGGATGTTCACCCTGGTTGAAGGAAAGTATTTGAAGACCAGGTCAAATTTCATGCAAGATAGATACAATCTTGGATTTCAAGTGCCGTGGTCTATTGTGAGCTCTATCAATTGTACGTCAAGGGACTTCCGCATCATCACAAAAAAGAAGTTCTTCCAACACGATAAAGGGGAAGTCCAGTATAAGGTGCGCAAGGTCCTTCAGAAGAGCTCCATCATGAGAGCTCTTTATGAGCATCCGATGACAGAACAGGCAGATTCAGATCAACTTGGTTGCCCAAGTGGTCTTACAATCAGGCTTTGAGATTCACTGTGTGAACTCGGGTTGCGTACTTGGATCATTTCAAGTCTTGGTCTGCAACTAGTCAGCTGAAAAGCATCGTGTTCGGCATGTATGAAGCAGGAAGTGGGAAAGATGTGATTTACGATACGAGCGTAGCTCCTTACACTGCGTGAAATGTCAGATTACAGACGCTCAGCATATGGTCGGCATCTGCGTATGCTGACCATATGCTCTCCAAATGCTACTCATGTTCCCAAGTCCTTAGCATCTCTTCATCATCTTCATATGCCTTTGAGATGCTGAGTATATGCTTAACCTGAATATTGTGAATATATATTCTTTCTCTGTTTTCTCGCGATAGGTCACTTACCTGGAAGCTCAGCAAATTACCTAAGTCTTGACATTGACACTCGACATTGCTGGCCGCCGAGTCTATACCTGGCTTCACTCACTTAGACTGTTGTTCTCATCTGGGGCTTGCCAAGTTGTATCTGCCCGCCGGCCCTTCCAAGTTGTTCTCGGAGCATAGCGCAAAGGCTGAGTTGCATCTGAGCCTCCCGTATCTGACCTATTGCCCGAGCCTGTCGAGGGCATATCAGCAGAGTCGGACATCATCTCTGGTGAGTTTCTGTTCGCTAATTAGTCCCCGCCCTGCATAGAATTTATCTACAAGCCTGCCGAGTATGCGATAATGACCACAAGGTGAGTTTCACATCTCAGGCGCCATGTAAGTGACATTTGACTCTCATATATATTACTTGTGATTACTTGCACCCGGTATGTCGCCGCTTCGAATTGTGGCCTCCTTCACATGTGATGACAGGTGCGTGAGCTGCCCATAGTATGTACATATATATAGCAGTGTTTTCGGATAGCAGGTGAGTTACATCTCCATCACAGTATGTAGTCATCTGAGTCCTGCATCATGTAAGTATGAGGTACCATGGTACCACTCAGCCGCCCTGGTTCACTTTGACACTTGCACACCAGGTGAGTCTACACAGTCACTGACTTTGCCACTCCCTACTCACTTCAGATTGTTGCAGGCCCCCCTCGACAACTATCCCGCCACTAGCATATATACTTCTTTCATAGTGTTCCATGCTTTCGACCGTCCCGCGAGCCAGCCATTATCTACCGCCATTTTCCACGGGCTTCCTTCCTTATGTCTTAACTTCTAGTGGCCCATAGTGTAGTCAATAAATCTTGTTTGTCATTTAACACATCTGAGAGTGCTGCAAAGCAGTACAAAAGCAGAATAAAGCGAATATTCTAGCAACAGAATGCAGAGAAATGTCCAAATGAGGCTATTTGAGCAGATTAATGGGACAGATAATGGTAGTTTCCATATGCCGGAAAAGTAGCACTTGGGAAGCATACACCTGTCATTTGCCCGGCATAAGGGCAGAAATGCGACCATTCCTAATGTATGCTAAAATCGAAGGACTTTGCTAGGCATACGGGCGGCATGCAGTGGGCATCCGCAGATGCTGGGCAAATGCCGAAATTCTGTAATCTGACATTTCACGCAGTGTTAGTATGAGGGACCGTACCGGACAAAACTTTGAAGTTGTCGATAGCATTTGAATTTTGTGACATCATGAGAAAACGCCACAGCGCGTACAAATTGGTCTGCAATGTTTGAACATTTATTAGGCGCCCCATGGGCGTCATGCCAAGATGGTATGAAAATAAGAAAAAATAAGGCTATAAGGAGGGTCTGAACCAGGAGGCTCAATGACAGCCATAAAGATCGACACTGGACGGTGTGTCCTTACAGGTAGACTAGATGAGCATGCATCTGTAGCATTGTGATCAAACCATATACGAAATTTACGGCTTGCTAGGCAGCCATCCTTCCTATTTCGACTGTCCCCTAGGCGCCTGTCAGGCTATCTCAGTTCCTCTCAGCCGGCATAAGACATTCCAAAAATAGACAGTGCAGCTGAAAACAGAGAGGTGTTATTCTGCGAGTGCCCGCAGACCTGTTTGAGCCTCTGTAATATTTTTATTGAGGTGAGATGGCCAGATAAGGCAATGCAAGATTGACTTGTGCTCGGCAAGGAGCCTGCCGACCGTGACGCCCGCCGAAAAGTTGATAGACGCCCTAATTTCAAAAGTTCCCTCAATTTGTACGCACTGACACAATTTCTCACGGCCCCAAACCACATTTCTACACCCTCAGCAAATTCATAATATTGTCCGGCCAGGCCCGTCATACCTTAGTGTATGTATGTGTCAATAATTGATATTTTCAACTTCCATGACATGTACTTGGCCTATTTGTAGTTTCTCCATCAAAGAATGTCCAAAGACAGTTCCAAGGGCGCACGACAGCTTTGGGCAAATGCCACTACTGGAGTAACATCCCTCCTGTCAGGCATGTTCTGATCGCTTCCAGGATCACCGTGTTTGCAGACGACGGCTTCTTCGACAATGAGACGAATGATCTCTGTAGTTAACAAACAGCTGTTCAAGATTACTAGTGTGCAAACTTCCATCAATGCTGGTCATCGCACGTACAGTTTGTCTTCACTCACTAATGAAGAACACAGCTATACCACCTGACTGGAAGATTGCTGTTGTCAACGACGCCACCCGAACAGTAACGAAAGTTGAGCCTCAGCTCTGTGCGCTCACAAAAGAAATCATATCGCACATGAAGCGGTGCCAACCAAAGGTCGTCCGAACCTGCGTCCTGGCAGTAAGGGCCAAGTCGGAACTGCCCTAGGAAATTTTAAAAAAACTGACGACGTAAAAACAATGCAGAACCCCACAACGCGTCAACCAGGAAACATACATCTGGCCGGCACGGCGCGAGGAGTGTGCTGGAGTGTGCTGCTGCAAGCCAGCGCAGTGAGCTTGAATTGTCCTTCTGGCTTCCGTCGACGTCCTTGCGTAAAACATGGTACATGGTTGATGCGAATTTCGGTCAACGTCGGGTGCCGCTGCTGAATTATATCACCTATATGTACTACGTCGATGGCTTCTGGGGTAATCTCTTGCAAATACATAAGGTAACCTTCGTTGGCCGGTGCTGACTCAGGCAAGGATGATGGGTATCGTGGTGTAGTATTTTTTTAAACTGTACAGGTATGATACAAAGAATATATACTTGGGAGCGAAATGTGATCACTGGCGAAAGGAATCAGACAGATGTCCTGATCATGTACTGAGTTCACTCACTATTCATCCAAAGCAGTGGATAGGGATGCAAATTCATATCATATACAATGCGTGTGTTCGTGGTCCGAAGGAAACTATAAGACACCAAATAAAGATTCTACGCGAATTAGGGAGTGAGTAAGATTTGGCAAGATAGCGAAGCGAAAGCAACAATGATCAGATTTCTTCGGCACCGTAATGACTGGCAATGTGTTCACAGGAATAATCGTGTGTACGACGAGAACTGAAAACAGAGTTAATACCCTGTCATGAGCCTTCTTGAGCGCGATCTGTTTCTGCCCCTGCGCCTCCCGTTCCGCGAGACTCTGCAGAATTACGGCGAGTAGTTGGACGAGAATCACGGGTGTCCAGAGTGTGGAACGTAGTTGTGCTGTACATTCTGTTGTTTACGAGCTATCAAGGGAGGCCGGTCAGTGTAACCCCATTATTCATGAACTACGACTTACACCGCCAATAGGTCTAGAATAGTCCTGGTCATCTCGAAGACTGATAGCAGCTGTACTCTCCACTCCACCTGTACCCAGGTGAAGCCCGAGACGAGGATCAAGGAGACCCTCAGGTGCATTCTGACTAGAACGCTCAGTCAACGCAGGTGAAGGCAAGTCTGGCACTTCAAAGCTGGGCCATCGAGGTGATCCTGAAGGGACACCATCTTCTGGAATCGCAGATCCAGGTAGCCTGAATGAAGGGTGCGCAAATGATGGCAAATTGCCAAGCGTGGCCGAAAATGGTCGAGATATCGAGGACCCTCGCGACAGATGAGGCTGAGGGGTGACAGTAGAGGGATCATCGCCGCCGACTGGCCTCCCATCGGCAAATGATGGCGTTGTTGGTGTCGGTGACTTCGTTGAATAATTAGACACTGACGAAGTGGAAGAGACATCGGATAGCCTGCCACTTCTGATCCTCCACTTCAAGGATCTTCCGAGGAAGCTTCTTCGGCGACCTTTTTTATCATCGTCAACAGGTCGGAATGCAGTCGGCGGCATCTGGGTCTGCGAGGGCAACAGACTGGATGGACCAGGAGACTTCCTGCCTTCAGGGAAGGGAACCCCGCGACTATGACTGCCCGCGGAAGAAGTACCATGTCCTTGCGAGGAACTTCCACCGTGACCACTAGATGAGCCGCCCGCAGCGCTATGACCGTTTCCTGACGAACCTGAGCCTCCAGCATAAGGCAGTACAGACATTGACATCCTATCACCACTTCCACTACCATGACTTCCGCTCCCACTCGTGTTTCCACTCGCATATGCAACGTCTGGGGATGCTAAGAGATGCAACATATCCGAACTTCTAGAAGCAAAACTCATGGTAGCCATACGTTCTTCCGAAGATGACTGACCGAACCCGGGAGAAGACAGCTGAGGTGATACCGTATTCACTGGAACATAAGGGATATCACGATTGCTTAGCCAGGCAGCGGGATCTGGACCGCTCATCCCAGAGGACGCACGCGAGCGAGCTGACATCGCGCGCCGAGCCACAGGCAGAGGCTCGATCTCTGCAACATCCAAACGTGGACTATTGCCCATCAAAGCATCCTGTTCTGTAGAACCAACATCATGGGATGAACCCAGATGAGTATGGTTGCTTGTGTCCGAAATTGCATCTCCAGGAGGGTTATCGGGGCTCTCTATATCCTGATGTTCTGGCAATTCCGAGTTTGTTCGACTATACTCCCCTCCACGTAATGCGACAACGGGTCCAGGACGCTCTTCCATGGGACTGTCCGGTGGATTGCGTAGGATGTCGTCCCTATCATCGTCATCTAGTATCAATGTCCTGGTCCCACCAAGGCCTGACCTGCCGAGACCAGAGGTGCCACCAGAAAGGGCGGCAAGTTCTGCTTCTCGGATCCGTAAGTGATGCCTTCGCCTTGCAATAAATAGCCAACACGCGAGAAGAGCCACAAACGCGACTATACCAATTACGACACCGGCGATAGCACCGGGGTTATGGTCAAATCTGTAGAACAAATCAGCACAAGCTGGTAAAAGATCTAAAAAAACTGACATATTGCCATTGGTGGAATCGGAATTTGGAATTAAAGTCCCCGTAGCAACAATACTTGTCACTGTCGTCACGCCTGTGCTACCTTGATTGGTGAACGTAGAAGTGAGGACGATTGTAGTAAACATCGTGGAGAAATGCGAATGGACGACGGAGGTACTCGATGTTGAGGTTTCATCGCTGATGACCGAAAGCGGGAAAGAGCCAGAGGGTTGTAGCACGGGTCGAGAAGACGTGTTGGACGTGGACGTGGCAGCAGGTCCATCAGAGGACGTTGTGGAAAATCCAGAGGAAATTGTGGAAGATTCAAGTGACGTTGGGAAAGATTCAGGTGACGAAGTAGGTGACAGTGATGATGCCGAAGAAGGGAGCAATGTCGACGATGCCGATACAGCAGACGAAGTGATAGTTGAGGGGTCCGCCGATATGGATGTGGAGATAGAGATATCCGAGGACGAGAACGTCGGATGGGACGTTTCGGAATTAGACGTTGATAGAATAGTTGAGGATGAAACGGAAGATGTCGAAGAAGACGTTAGCGGTGCCGAGAAACTGGACGAGGAGACATCAGAGGAAGACGAAGAAATTGGCGTAAAAGATGAAAGTTCGGAAATAGTCGGGAAGATAGGCGTAAACGAAGTAGACAATGATGGTGACGAGAACAGGCTCGAAGAGACAATGACGGAAGGAGAGTCACTCGAAAAAGTGGCCGTTACTGTCAGCGAAGAAAAGGGTGTAGGCGAAACTGAAGGTAACACTGAGGAAACTAAGTCACTGGTCTCCACAAGCATGCTCGTTGAAGACACAGACAAAGTCGAAGTAGACGGGGAAGACGTTACAAATACAGAAGGGGAAACGGAAAGTGGTGAAGATGTGGTCACAAATGCTTCTGAGGTAAATGTAGAGATGGACACTGAAGGTATATTTGACGATCTAGTGCCCCAAGACGACGTGACAACGGGAGACGATACGGGAAGGTCTGTCTTTGAGATAATAGAAGTAGAGAAATCCGAAGTAAACGAAAAAAGCCCAGAAGACGCCGATTGACTATGCATCAATGGAAGCAACGTTAAACATGGTGCACCTTAGAAGAAAGAAAGAAGGATATAAAAAAGAAGAGTACTCACGTAGATGTCGATGTAGCAGGAGGTTCAGAGGGACTTGAGGATAGCGAGAAAGATTCGGATGAAGACGTGAATGTAAGTGTAGTTGAGGAGGAAGTCGTGATGGAAACAGGAGGGGTCGTAGCAGTCATGGTATTACTTGAGGATAGCGTTGAGGACGATAAATCAGAAGTCGGTTGAGGGGATGGAGCAGTTGATGGAGCAGAAGATGGGGGTATGGATGAAGGCGGTATTGAGGTAGGTGGGGACGAAGGTGGCAGTGAAGTGGGTGATACGGAAAAGGATGAGGAGGGAGGTGTAGATGATGGTGGTGGTTCAGAAGTTGAAGGACTTGATGTTGGTTCGGAAGTGGGAGGTTCACTCGTTGGCTGAGAGGAAGGTTCAGAGGACGGTGGTTGTGACGTAGGCTCTGAGGAGGGTGGCCCTGACGTCGGAGGCTGCGACGTCGGCTCAGAGGACGGTGCTGAAGATGGGGTCTCAGACGTCGGCTCCGAAGATGGTCCTACAGATATCGATATTGAAACCTATAACGCAGATAAAAATGCATGCCTCATTAGACTATAAAAATTCAACTCTTACCGAGATACCTACAGACGTAGTTGGGTCCAACGTGCTTACTGATGTTGGAAAATCGGACGTTATTGAAACGGAGACATCTGTAGTCAAATCCGAGGTCGAAAAGCTGCTGTCTGCTGAGGTTGGTACCTCAGTACTCGTACCAGAATCCCCACTTGTTATTGTTGTAGCGCTTTCACCACTTGTGGGGGTGGCTGAAGAGCTGAGCTGGCGCGGGTACGCAACATGGATCCTTGTGAATGGAACAGGCGGCGGAGTCACGACCGCCATGACAGGAGTTGGTCGTAATTGCAGGGCAGCACCTTCCACTTGCCTGCTTAAAGCAAGCAGAAAAAACAACATCATCAGGTACCATGAAACAAAACAACCTCTGCAAAAAGGCAAGCGTTATAAAGAAACAGCAGTCAAGCGAACAAGCGACATACCTCTGGCATGGAAGCTTTGGTCTAAACGACTGTGACAAGCGCGCACGCGAAAGGAGAAAGATGGGGACCACGTAAAGTGGACGGAATCCGTCAACGAGGATCGTGACACGCAAAAGGATCCACTGATGACTCCAACCGCAGGTCAAGTGGTGGGCCAGCAGAGGGGCTGGGGACGTATGGGACCAGGGCCGGCCACTGCCAAGCAAAAGAGGGGACATCCCAGACTTCCGGGAAATACGTGCGGACGAGTTACTTGAGTAGGGACAGTGGTTCTCGACACCGTAACAGTTCCTGCGAGAAATGGAAGATGTCACGATAGACCTCGCCATTGAGACGACGGGGCGTTCGGCAGGAGAGCAAAGCGAGACGAGTCGTGAGCCGGACGTGAAATATTGCCCAAGGAATGTGGAAGGATCCTGAGGAGGCGAAGAACATAGAGGATCCAAGTAAACAGAGAACGATGTCAGTTAGATCGGGGCGTGGCAGACATCTGCACCGCCGAGAAGGAGCTAATGGATGTGAAGTAGCGAGTAAAGCGGATCGCTTGTACTGTCGGCGTCCTACGAACGTTCGCAGCGGTGGTTACGAGGACAGCTCCTGATAACAGATGGAGTATATAAAGTGCCAAACGTAAAGGAAAGGAGTACGTATGCCGCTAGCCAGGCGGCGAAGGAGAAACTGGAGTAGCAAGAGGAGACCCAGCAGGAGTTCCCTTGCCCGAAATCTTGTGCACCCCTGTCGATTATTGGCCGGTTAAAGGGGTTGCAAATTAAATTCCATATACGGAAGAAAATGCCTTCCGGAAACGCGCGGCGACTTGCAACTGTCCCACGTTTCCACTTAGCCTCTTTGGGCTGCGTCGACATCCATCATCCTAAACTTTCCTTCAAATCTGGTCTCGCGCGTTCATCTTTCCTGCTCTTCCTTTGTACCATCCACGCCCATTAAACCTCCATGAACATCGTAGTACCATAGTCACGAATGTATCCAAGGCGTCACTCTCGGGCAACTAGTTCCCATCTAATACGTTTCCTACGCCACCTGCCCCCTCTTGCCCCTTCGGCGTGGGTGTCGTTGCCATTCGTCATATCACCGCTTTACTTATTTAACAAGTGCCACCGAATCTAATCAGTTATCAGAATGGCAGCTTGATGTGATGAGGGACAGCTGAGCGTAAGCATGCATTGACGGACGTAAAGTGGTCACCCCAGTTGTTCTTGCAAAAGCGTGGAGGCCTCGGTCGACTCTTCTCTCCTTGCAATGTTCGTTGCTCAGGACTTACTCTCGCATGAGTTGACATTACATGTCTGGTCAGCCGCTGAAGATTCGTCGCTGTGATGAAAGCAATGCAGAAAACTCCCGCGATGGTTCTTCGCTGCCTCAACTCATCCTTCTATGTCCTCATGTCGAGAACCGGACTTTTTCCTGACCTGCAGTAAGCTGCCTTCGGCATTTGTTTGAACTTTTGAGCTCTCTCATTCACACCTGCATGTCTCTCATGATTCCATTCCTAACCTTCTGTCCCTCGGCAATGTCAGTGACTCGCACAAACCATTCATCCTCAGGTCTGCTCTCACATTTCGAAGATCGCGACCTTACGAATCCACCATACGCATCTTGCAGACTATTTTAGGTGCTACCGGGATTTAGCTCACGCCCTTTCGTGTTGAATTCACTCTCGTGCACAATATCGGGTCAGTAACCTTAGGTCGTTCACACTGCAGTCTATGCGACTAATCATTTGAGGTCAACAATCAACGAGCACGACGACCATTCATTTCAACAGCAGAAGCAAAAGTAGTACGGCAAGCCGAGTCTTCTGGTGAGAACACCATCTACCTGATGCTAAAACTTTCGTTCATATGGGAACCGGCGCAACTATACGCCTCTCAGGGCACCTTGCGCGTTGCACATCTCGCGTACGGATACAAATCTCGTTGGTTGATGCACAACACGACATACTATGGACGAGAGCAGGACATCGGTGAATAAGTATGCTGATCACGCCCAATCTGTTGTCACCTTTGGCACTTGTCTGTCAAATCTCTTCGTTTTCATTCGCAATATATGTGCCTCTGTGCCTATTTTCGGGGCGTTATTATCACTGTATACCCCAAGTTGACCCCTCTCACGGACCACTGGTGGGAGGGGGACTCCGTCTATGGGTTCGGCGACCCAGATCCTGCGTGTAACTCGTCTGATTTTCTGTCAGTATCAGTTATGTTAGCTATTTGTCCTGATTTCAGGTGTGTCACTCGGTGCAATTGAAACGGCGTGGGGCTCACTTGTCCGCTACATTCCTTGGCGTCGGGACGTGCGTCAGTGGCGGCTGAAGCTCGCAACGACGCAATGATAATGTTGCGGCGACGAGCACCCGCGAACACCCCTAATGCCCGCCGGGGCCCTGTTGGAGTTTTTGGTCTTCGCTGCTCATTGGACCATAGGCCATATTTTCAACTTGAGGGAGCATCTTCTGGGCCCGCTCGAGAGCCCGTCGGTGACTTCAGAAGCCAAAGCATTTGCTTTATGATAACTCCAGGTCGTCGTAAGAATCTGTTATGTTGATTCTCAACGTAGTTGTAACAGATGTAGTGTCCGCGTACTTCACCTGGACGCGACGCGTGTTGGCGCCTAAATGTGAGTGGCGTTATTGTGGCATGTTTGTCAGGCTCATTTGGGTTGTTGTTCTTCACCCGCACTTGTTCACCCGCAGCTGTTCACCTGCCCATTGTCTCCTGCGGCCCATCCATCTCTTTCTCTTTCGCCCTTGTCTGTCTTATATTCTTCACCATCTGCACCTTTGTTCTCTTTTCGCTACCATCATATCCTCATCTTTTACCTACATTCACCTTGGCACTCTCATCATTACAACGCCAGGGGGCGCTCCACACTTAAACCATAACAACCATGCCGCGGACGCGTTCAGTGCTCGATTCACCGGCTGTAGAACTACCCAACAAGAGGAAACCTGTAGCAGCTCCCTCAGGTCCCTCAGCTTCCAAATCTAAACCCAAGGAAAGACTTGCACCCGTTCAAGCTCTTCCGACCCCTCCAGCGACTCGTAAACGCAAACGGGCCCGTTCTCGAATCACAGACTCCGATACAGAGGAAGACGAGGAACTCCCCGTCCTTGATTCATCGGACAAGGAGGAGAGCAAGGTGGCCAAGGGTAGAGAAGATGTAGTAGTTCTAGGCCATAAGAAGAGACGGACATTCAAATTGGACGCAATCGCTGAGGAATTAAGTCGACGAGCAGAGGAGGATGCCTTCTGGACAGGCGACTCCTCCGCCTCCATCCTTCCGATTGTGCCAAAATCCGTCAAGGCGACGCAGGCAGCCACTGCGAAGGAGGTTGAAAGAGGCCGGAGTCGTACTCGTTCCCCGACTAGGTCTCCCTCATCCTCTCCTCCGGCTCACCTTCTGCGTCGGAACCGTACCGGTCTGTTTTCTCCTCCTCCCTCCCGGCGACACCCCAAGACCGTGATAGTCCCTTGCCTTGTAACACCACCCCCACTACCGAGAACTCCTCAGCCGAAACGCAAAGCTAAAGCTCGGAAGGCGGCACCTATCAACAAGAAACTCTTTCCGGAGCGGGACTCTCCTAACAACCCATTCTTGGCGGATGAGTCCCCTGACGGTGTAGCGTCTGGGAGTTCCCTCACTCCGAACCTGACAACGCCTGAGCCGTATGTTGAGAAGCCGACCATTACTATGGTTTAGTACGTCTTTCACTATGGTGCCTTGCGTGAATACTTTCTCATCTGTTACCTTCATTCCTGTTTTATAGTCGCGGCGTAAAGCACGAGTTCATCAACCCCCTTTATGACCCGGATGCACCCAATGGTGTCGCCTCGCTGCGAAACAGCCCCTCCCGACTCCCTCCAAGTGATCCAGATTTCTCTCCTACACCTTACTGCCCGCCAAAGCTCTTGTTCCCCGAAGCTCGCAAGCGTAACCACGCCCGTCTTCGCTCACGTACTCGCGCTTCTGCTTCACCCTCTCCTGCAGCCGACGTATTCAGTGGCGACGGGGAAGGCGCTGAGCCGGAACCCGAGAAGTTGGTTCTTCCTTCGACACCTAAGAAAGGGAAGGGTAAGGCCAAGGCAACGGAGTTTGAACAACTCACGCCTAAGCCCCCAGCCAAAGTCAAGGCCAAACAGCAGCAGAAGTCGGAATGGGATAGCAGTGACGATGAAGTCGAGAGATCCCTCCCTGAACCTCGCTTGCGCAGATCACCGCGGTTAAATGGCCGTGTCAAGGACGTTGGTTATTCTCCTCAGGCTTCACACGCAAAGAAGGCGGAGAGAACAGAAAGAGGGAGAACGAAGAATGTGAAGGAGGTCGCCAAGTTGGCCCCGTTACTCTTCGCTTCGAGCGATTGAACCTGAGTTTCCGTTGGCTAGCATCCGGACTGCATGCTCATCTTTTATTTCCCTTTTTCTTTGGTTTTCACCACGTTGTTCGCTTTCACTGTGCAATTCGCCAGCGACGGGGCTTCGCATATTCATAATCCCATCTCACCACAATGTGATACCGGCTCCCTGTCCTATCCGATCCTTTCACTATCCCATTGCCTCATGACTCACCCTCTCCGCTGCGACATCCCCTCCATCCTACCCGTCTTCATTCATATACACATTCATGACATACTATCCACCGTTTATTCACCTTTTGCTTGTGTCTTCGTCAATGTTTTTCATTCCAACATCTTCATTTCTCTCGTGTTCCTGTGTCGATCTTCATGCCCCGGGCCCAAGGCTCGATTACATGGCATATTACGGTCTCAGTTCATCTCAGGTGACGTTCATTTTGCGATAGCACATGTGAATAAGTCAGGTACATATACAGTCTTGTTGTAAAGCAATGTAGATACAATCTCAATGACGTGGAAATGAATGAAATACAACCTAGTACGGGGCCGGTGCACGATTTCGCAGCAACTTGCAGGGTCATCCTGACGAGCTATAGGATGTGATATTCCGTTCGGTCCAAATATACAATTGCAATGGCGCTCTATTAAGCTTCTTTCTTTACTTCTTTCTTCACTCATAGCGGCCCTTCATAACGTTCAAAATGCAAAGACATATGCCGATACGAACGAACCCTTCACTCCTTGCGATGCTTTTGATAATAATGAATCAGACCAGTCGTCTGCAAACAAAGGTAAGAGTGCGCATCAGTATCAAGGTCGGACAAACATAAAATAATCAACTGACCGAGCTATCGTGTCCCTGGACATCCTCAGGTTTCTCCAACTGCGCCAGAATATTCTTCGCGAGGACTTTTCCAAGCTCAACACCCATCTGGTCAAACGAGTTGATACCCCAAATGACACCTTGAGTGAAGATCTTGTGTTCGTAAAGGGCGACCAAAGCACCAAGAGTGGATGGAGTCAATTTGGGGAAGAGAATACTATTGCTAGGTCGGTTCCCGCCAAAGACCTTTGATTTCACGAGCGGTTCTGTGGCGTTCGGACCCAATTCCTATTTCAAGTTTATTCATTATCATGAGATCAGGTTGTCTCTCCGTTGGTGGAAAAACCAGATGTGACGTACTTTGCGGACTTCCTCTTCTGTCTTACCAAAGGCCAGAGCTTCGGGTTGGGCAAAGAAGTTACTGAGCAGAATGCGGTGATGAAGGGAGTGGGCAATGGGGTTATGCGAGATAGCAGGAGCAAGGAAGTCTGCAGGAATGAGCTTCGTGCCTTGGTGGACAAGTTGGTAGAACGAATGTTGGCCGTTCGTTCCAGCTGCTCCCCAGAGGATGGGCTGGAGTAGATATCGATCCAAATAGACGTCAGTTTCAGGAGGTAAAAGTAGTAGAGAGGATAAGAACGTACGCCAGTCTGGTAGGCCACTTGTTGTCCATTCTTCGTCACCGACTTACCATTAGACTCCATGTCCCCCTGCTGGAAATAATCTGCAAACTTGTGCAAATACTGATCATAAGGCAAGAGCAAATGAGTCTGTGCTCCATAAAAGTTGTTGTACCAGATCCCCAGGACCGCCAAGATCACAGGCAAGTTCTGCTCCAGGGGAGCAGACCGGAAATGCTTATCCATACCATGGGCACCTTTGAGTAATTCCTCAAAGTTCGCATAGCCGATGACGATAGCGATGGACAACCCGATGGCACTCCACAAACTGTATCGGCCGCCGACCCAGTCCCAGAATTGGAACATGTTCTCAGAGGAGATGCCGAATTCAGTGACAGCTTTGGTATTGGTGCTCAGTGCGACAAAGTGTCTCGCGACGTGAACCTTGTCCTTAGCAGTAGAGAGGAACCAGTCTCGGGCACTCGTGGCGTTGGTGATGGTCTCTTGGGTAGTGAATGTCTTACTAGCAATGATGAACAGAGTGGTCTCGGGATCGCACAGACGGAGCGTCTCGGCGAGGTGGGTACCGTCAATGTTAGAGACAAAGTGGGCAGTGAGATCGCGCTTGGAGTATGCCTTCAAAGCTTCGGTGACCATGACGGGACCCAAATCGGAACCACCGATACCAATGTTGACGATGGTGTTGATAGACTTGCCGGTATATCCCTTCCACTCTCCGCTCCTGACGCTCTCAGAGAACTCCTTGATATGAGCGAGGACTTGGTCCACTTCGTTCACACCCGACTCGGGGATCTTCCATTCGTCAAAGTTTCTGAGAGCGACGTGAAGCACGGCACGATCTTCGGAGGTGTTAATGTGCTCTCCTGCGAACATCTTCTCGCGGTACTCTTCGACTTGGGCTTCGCGCACGAGATCGAGAAGAGCAGCGAAGATGGGCTCGGTGATGAGATTCTTGGAAAAGTCGAGGAGGAAAGTGGTGGAGGCATCATCTGGGGAGACATATTCCCTGTTGAACTTCTGGAACCGCTGAGGATCCTTTGCGAAGAGATCTCTGAGGACGAGACGGTTGTGCTCGGTATCGTATAGATCCTGGAGTTTCTTCCAGGCGGAGTATTCTAAAGATGAATGAGAAGTGTAACAGTTAGTGAAAGTCAGCTAGCCCGAGTGTACCCCACATTCTCTAGGGGTAGCAAAGTTTGCCCCGCACTCCGATCGCACATCGATTGGGTATATGCGCTGAACGCTTCACTCACCAGTCGCCAACCGTCCGCTCATTATAACTATCTATGTAATACGTGAGTTGTCTGTTCAAGGTGGTGGAGGAGGAGAAAGAGGAGGTTTCAACGTTCGGACGCGGACGGCGGTAACCATCTTATAAATTCAAGACGAGGGTGCACGTGCGATGAGGCGAATGCATTCTGCCAATGACAGAAATTGTACCCTTTATGATGACTTCCTCTCACACAAGCCGGGAACGACCGTCTCCGTTCCTCACAAACCTATCTACGCCGTGTATACACTATGCCAGTTCCAATTTACACTCTCAGCGTCCGGAGAAATTCCGTGCCCTTTAGGGAATGGCGGCAGCAAGGCTATCCTTGCCGTGCGACACCTCAATCAGTAAGTAACAATGTTGCATCATAGGGTAATAAGCGAGTGAAAGAAGGCTCATGTTCTCGACATCCGTGTACTTGGAAGTGTACTTAGACTGAACAGATGGTTGCTCGTCAAGTTTCAGATTCCCACTAATGGCACAGTCGTGATCCGAACATTGCTTGTGGGTGAGAGGTAATGAATATCGAATACATAGAGCTGGAGGAGATATGTTGTCAATATTTGACTGGAATCAGATAAGGCTGATTGGTCGATGACGTCGGCGGTAGTGATCGATATTTGTACTTGTTGTCCAACGCCCTTAAACTCACATCAAGTAAGTACACGGATGCAGAAAACACAACACTGGGGTAACCAAGTTCGACTTTAAGTTACTGTCTTTTTTTGTTTTGTTTTTTTTACGCAGAAAACAAGTTGAATGGAATTTTGTAAGTACCACGCCTGTCAGTATATGTACTGCATATGTTCCTACTAATTTCCCTCCATAGCCCAGATGTTTTCCGTGTATCCCTCTCAATGTCTGCAGTAGTATCATGCGAGCGACATGCACAGTTTTGAATGTTATATCTTAATCTTGGACATATCTCTGCTGCTGCATGGAACGATTATGGCTACGTTATTATTTTGCGTAACTCGTCGATTGAGCTGATGCTGAAGCTTCATGAACCTTAGGAAACTCTTCGCCAACTTCATCCACTTCATTACATCCCCTCACGCCTTATTCACCTTCTCTGTAGCCTTTTCACGAAACGTTTCAGCCTTCGTTTGTACGGCGTAGGGAGGTGATGAAAGAACGCCTAGTTTCGGATCAACATACTTACATGTGGGGCGCCCATATCCCTATCAACAGGTGCATCTGGCTGTGAGACCGATATTTTCCTGCCAGTGGTTATAGTGGCCACGAGCCCCAGATATCTTATGACCCCTAGGCGAACTGGAACGGACAACGTTGGCAGCTGAAACCCCGTTATTTTCTTGAGTGACTGAGTGATTCTACACACTCATTTTTTTCTCACAGCATGCTCATAGTAAGTGTCAGTATTTTCAATCCTCTAGCTCAAAACCTCACTAGCAGGCGTAGTGGCTTTACAGCTACAAGCAAATCGAGGTGTTCCATCAAGCTTCAGATCCAGCATGATACCTTGATAAGTTCCATGCTCATTGAGATCACTCACCTTGAACCAGTCTCAAAGGCACGTTAGGGATCGGAGGTTGTACTTACCTCTTTCCTACTTGTGGGTGGTTACTTACGTCAGGATGGAATGACCACTAGTATCGTTTCGGCCAGCACTCCAGAGTTTTGTGGCGTCGCCTTATCTACCCGTCTTGCGGGCCTGAGATCAGAACCTGAGGCTACTATACCCAAGAGTGTACCAAACGACCCTGAATTAACGTTCTCGTGAGTACCTATCAATCCTGAAATTCGATATTCTTCTTAGTACCTCCTGCATTCGATGCCGAGATGTGATGAGAGTTCGGGACCAGAATGCAGTTGATGTTTAGCAACTTGTCAACTGTCGGATGTCCTTACACACATTGTCTACAACTCTAATGCAATATGTCTGCCTTTAGCAACGTCCAGTGCAATATAGCGGCCAAGGACCATATGCTTCATCAATGTTGACGTTGAACCCCTAAGCAGTCATATGAGGCAGATCTGTAACCACAGACAAGGCTGAAGTGGAAAGACTATCTACAGATCATGGACAACGGAATTCTTGCGAACGCAGTCAGTAATATAGATAAAACGTCGTCCCTGCAAGATCCAAGGTTCGTCGGCGTATTTTCATAGTCCTGCGAAAGCGGCCAGGTGCATGATGACTAGCTCAGGTCCACAGACTGATGTGCCCCATCGCAGTTCATCGGGAACAATGACCGACAGAGACCAGTTCGGATGGTGATCAAAAGAACGTCCATGTCCATGTTTATGTCCCTGTCCACGTCTATAAAGCGACTGACATTGACTGACCGGCGGAAAGATGATTCCCACTCCTTCCATGACTTCGTAAATACAAATCAGTCGGATAAAGCCTCGAACAGTCGAAGTCGATAGGCCGCGGTCAGCAGGCCCTTTGAATCAGGTCGGACAGAAGATCTGTCAAGCGTCAAAATGATCAAAGCGTCAACAGCTTACAGTTCTGACCCGGGAACCATGGAGAAAACATACACGTACAAGCTTCTCCCGCCGAAGGGTATAAGAAGGCTTCAAGGTGGAAGGAGAGTGAGCATATCAAGTCGCAAGCATCGTCATTGGTAAGGTAAGAATAAGTAAAAGTACAACAAGATTTCCTCCTAAAGCTCTTAGCATATCCAAAGTATTCAGAACCAAAAGATATTCAATCCGTCCATCCGTTTCGTTCTCACCTTCAACTGACCTTCTCACCCATTCAGTCCGCAGCACATGCACGAATCCGCCGCATGTCACCCGCATTGCCCTGAACATGCTATACGCACCCTGTCAAGCAAAGCCTTGAAGCCGGAATGTCTCCTGTGTCTTAAACCTTGAGCATAACCTAGGCGGTCCTCGCACGTCGGCGGGCTGTCCTGGTCCATGCCTTCGTCCGCGTCCGACTGACAGCCCATCGTTGAGCATAAGCGGCTTGCAGTGGTCGTCTGACCATAACACAGTCTTCAATTCGGCGCCTGCAAGAAAAAAGAAGCAAGAGATAGATTAGCGATCAACAGCTCTATCACGTGTCGTAGGGAAGGGGAAAAAGGACAAGGACAGAAGAAGGAAAAAAGGGAGAAGGACGGACAGAATTAAAGTTGACAAAGAAAACAGCAACGTCTGATGCATGGACCTGCCCACAGCCCCGGCATCCCAACACCCCGCGACTGTATCGAAACGGCGACACGACGACACATGTACGAAAGAGGATTGTTCCCAACAGCCCATCGCGACACGGTTACGCCGACCGCACGGTGGTGAATATATCTCCTTGCTAGGCAAGTACAATGGCCGCATTGACCGAAGAGACCCAGGATCCTGGGAAAGGTCTTCATGGTCGCTTTATTAAAAGCTCGATCTTTCTCGCCGTTCTTCCAAGTGCATTCAGTAAGAACATGAGATTCGGCAGGGACGGGTCAAAGCCAAGAAGAGATGCGTGTGCGGACTCGAGGATTGGACGCCTCAAACTTCAGACCTCAAGTCCAGAAGTATTGATAGGAACATGAGATCGAATATATGTCCAAGCACAGGAAGGCTAAGTCCGGAAGAACGGAAGAAGCCAAAATCCCGAAAGATAAGGAAAGAACCGTGGTGGGAGGTGTATATTGTGGTTACGGTGGTCTTGATAAGGATGAAAGAAGCCGAATGAAGGAACGACAAGGCGAAAATAGTGGGAATCTGGGATTGCGGCGTTTGGGTAAATCTGGGACGTCGGGATTTCGGGGATTGCGGTAAATGCGCGTGTGTATAGAACCGTATTGGGTGTGGGGAAGGTTTGGGCAGTTTGGGCAGGCTCCGCTGCAGAATCGAGAGCTGTTCTCAAAGAGAAGATCATATGCGGATCATATGGTAGGGGAACTTGGAAACATCCAACAGTCCCGTGAGCTCTATGAGTACAACTAATGGCACATACAACCCTTCGTTTGGCTCCGACGCACGGCATAGATAAGAAATAGATAAGCAGAGAAAAGAAAGCAAAGAAGCAACGAGAGTTCAGCTGATGAAGATGGCATAGTTGAAGCAATGAATGGAAGGCTCCAAAGCGCAGGAGCGGAGTTAACCACACACCGAAACTGAAAAGTGAAAGAGAGAACCAAAACACAACAGCACGAGGCCAAAGAAGATTATAAAGCACAGGAAAAAATAAACGAAGAGGAAAAGAAAGAAAAAAGACAAAAAAAGGAGCGAATGTTACGAAAAATCAAGGAAAGATGCATACTCTGAATCTTCATAGACAGTTGGTAAATTTGAGGACGAGGCTGAGACGAAGGACTTCTGGTCTTGTGTGACAAGCGTGATAGTTTGTCGAAGAGGAATGGCACTCAGCATCATTGTACGTGAGGGAGACGACCTCTGTGACGCTGTTGAGTAGTCATCCGAGGTCATAAAGCCATTGGGTGTCGTAGGTGTCAGTGATGTGGTGGACGTGGTGGCGGATGTAGGAGAGGAAGGTAATGAGGGTGAGGGGGGTGGCATGTCAATAGAGGAATGAGTGGGGGAAGAAGGCGCATTTGAAGAGGGGAAAGAGCGAGCAGAATGGATCGAGTAACTAGAAGAAGAAGTAGTGGAGTCAGAATTAGTGACGATGCTTAACGACGAGGCATGCGGGATGGCGAATTGTTGACGTCGAGTGAAAGGAAGTTGTGACGAAGATGTGCCGTCTCGATTGAGGTTAGCCAAGAGGATGGCCTCCTGACGGCGTTGAGCCAAGCGTCTTCGTTTCGAAGCCACACCAGCACGCCTCGCCGCAAGTCATTCTTGGATCGGGTGACCAGCGATGGTCGTAGTAGTCGAATCGGCGCTGCTCCTGTCGAAGCTAGCGTCATCCTCCTCGCGGACGTCACGAGAACGGCTGCGGGACATCTTATTCCACAATTTGGCTACCTTGGATGAACTTCGAGCGCGACCTTCGGGGTCTCGCGAGGCAGAGCGAGAACGAACGATGTTCCCTGCTCCCCCTCGACCCAAAGATTCGTAATAGGCACTGTAATGCGGATGCCCCTCTGGAGGCGGGCTCTGCGCTCGCGTCATATTCGCCAAACCTCCTCGACCAGTCGAATGTCTAAAGCGAGAAGACAAATGGTCAATGATGCATATTGAATGGGATCATCAGATGACTTGCATTCCATCTTCATGTTCGTGTTCGAGACGAAGCCTTTCAAATTCTTCCAGCAGCTCCGCGTTTTCTGCATCAATGGGGGAACCTGGCTGCAAGTTTCCAGCTCCGCCACGACCAGTGGAGTGGACGTTGATTGAACCAGAGCGAGAGCGAGACTTGGAAGCTTTGGTGATGTTGCCAATACCGCCACGGCCAGACTTTTGCTACATCACATGAGGTCAGCTGCCGTCGAATTAAGCGAAAGCGAGAAGCAGTAGCAAGGCACATCAGTCAAGCCAAAGAGCCGCGACTTCTCGTGATAGACAGATGGATAAAAGGTGATGGCAGAAGTACTCACCACGATTTTGGCAGAGTCCTGACTGTTCTGGATCACATTGCGCTCATACTCTGCATTGGTGTTAGCAGCATCGGTAAGGATGAAGGCCGTGAGCTCAGTATTGCCCTCCGGAACCCTGGAAGCTGCGCGTGCACGAGAGCGAGAGCGAATGTTTCCAATGCCTCCACGGCCAACAGCTTGAGATGGCGACTAGACAAGACGAAACGTAAGTAGGAATTCAAGCAGGAAAGGAGTTAGTGTACCTTTTCACCTTCAGACGAGCCCTCGCGCCCCCGTCGGACGGGGGACGACAAATCAGGTTCCCTGCCGACTACGACTGGGCTGGAAAGCTCCTCTGCAGTATCCTTGCGACGAATGTTACCTGCGCCGCCTCTACCTGAGGAATGCTGCAAAAGAATAAGGCCAGGAGTGCGGAGGAGGGGTAGGAGAGGAACATACGAGCTTGTCCCTTCCTCGGGATACAGAACGTTCGTTCTGTGGTCTTTGGACAGCAATGTCTGCCATTGGGTAGAAAGAGTGAGCGAATGGAAGATGGAGGAGAAAGAGAGACTTGGAAAAGAGGCGCTCCGGCGACTGAAGAGTCACTGAAGGAGCTGTCTATGGAGTGGGTGCCTAAGTAGGAGAATGACATCTGGACACATGCAGCGTTCAGGGGTTCACACAGCATATACAGCAACATAGGGAATTAAGCTTGGAGGTCGAATAAACCATCTCAAGGATCAGTGTGTAGCCGCAGACTAGTGTGGGCAGCCGATAGCAGAAACTGTCCACCACTGGGTACTAGTCAGTCACCCAGCTCCCTTATCGCTCCCAGCCCCCCGATAAGCACTCCTGCCTTATCGCCCCGCACAATTCAACTCTTCGCTGGTACTCACCTTGTCCTTCTTCCACCATCTCCGTCTTGGTGTTCACAGACGATCTGTCGTCGAAGTCGCTGCGCCTCGTGCTGTGGTTCTCGTCGACGTCGCCCAGCACTTTTCCAATCTTTGCTGAGAGCGCGGATATCAAAGACGCCCGTCTTGCCGGCGATTTCGACGGAGTTCGGTCATTGCTCATTATCGTGTGCTGTCGTGGTCCGGTTCGTCAGTGGTCGTTGCGAGCGAGGGATGGGAGAAGGATGTGCGTGTTACCAGAGGGCCCCGGAAGAAAAGAGTGGTCTGTGTGGTGGTCGCGCTCGGCTCTTGCGTCGTATTGCGCTTGCCAAGCGTCATAAGACCCCCGGTTTGACCTGTCCATCCTGCCACAATCCAGCGCATGACTCCTCTAAACCAGCGGAGATCGTCCTTAGACACTAGTTCTGGCACGCCCATTCGCCCATGCTAGCCTCTTTCTTATGTCTCTGCAGTGCCTGCCGGCTTTCATCACACCGTCCTTCACATACGCAATAGACTTCTTCCCCACGTTCGCTCTCTGTCGCCATACCCGTTCGTTCTTTGGTTTTCCCTCTGCCGTGCCATCACGCTCTCTGGGTGTTTCGGCTGTCCCGATTTCCAACCCGTCAACCCACGTTTTGCTCTATACTTGGTCATCTGAACTTCTTGCCGGCTCCATCTATAGCTTGGGTATTTGTGGTTCACAATGGCGACGAATGTGCATGCCGCTAGCCGTGCGTACCTTTTCCGAACTTACCGCTAACACCTTGAAATATCATGGACTTGTGCTACAATCGGGCCTGTCAATCCGTAGTATTAGTACGCTTTGTTGCTTCATCCATTGTGCTTTGCTATTGCATCATCAGTGCATTCAATTCATACTTGACAGAACCCTCAGAGCCTTTGTATATCTCCGTGATCGAAGCATTCCAGCGGCCCCGCAATTCATTCCCCCTTGACTGAATGCGTATGCCGGATCATGAATGTCCGACTTTGAGCTGAATGTCGGAAAGTGAAGCGGTATGTATCCCTTCTACTGCATACAGGGTATCAGACATTCCATCCCCTCAACCTTGCAACCATATTCAACACCGCATCTCCCCTCCCATTTTCCTTTACTCTCGCTTTCCCAGTTTGATCATCCACCTCCACAAACTCCTTCCATCTCTCCAACTCCTCGCTTTCCACATTCAACGCCATTACAGTCCTACTTAGATACCCCAAATCCGAAGCCAACTGACTTGCGCCACCCGAGCTCAGTGTCCTTATACTTGGGAGTACGTCTCCCGTAAGGTGTGAAAGCAACGAAAGACTAAGCGAAGATAGCCAAATGGCCGATACCGATTCTGGTGAAAATTCATACTCTGGTTCTGGATGAGGAGGTTGGGCGGCAGGAACAGCGGCGGGAGGTGTTGTTTTGAGTGAGAGCGAAGGCGAACGACGAGAGTGTGGATTCGGCGGTTGAGTCGGAAGTAAGGCAACTGGTTCAGCAAGACTCTTCAACAACTCAGCCGTCACAAACGGCAATGTCTCCAGAGAAAACGACAATGCATCATCATCTGCATACACTTCAAACAACCTTGGCAGGTTCAACAACCCTTCTGCAACTCTCTGAATCGTTTCCGTAGGAGAAAGCGAAAACGTCGGTACGTGAACTTCACTCAGAGCGCTCCCAGTCGTACCTCCGGCACGTTTGGATTTGGATTCCGTTTGAGACCACATTGACAAGGATGGGTAAGATGCGAGACGTTTTCGTAATGGACGAAGGATCGTATCTTGGAGTGCGATCTGACACGCTTTGGCAAAGTTGGACAAGGCTTCGTATGCTTCAATGAGCAGAGGCGGTTGGTACGTCGGGAGAGGGTGCATAGGTGTGAGTGGAGTTCGTCGAGGGTCCGGTGTAGCGGGAGTGAGGAAATTATCATTCCTATGCCCTTGCGACGATGGCTCAACTGCGCTCAACATCGCCTGCAACTCCGCCGAATTAAGAGTCGACTGAGCAAGGAGTTGAATAGCTCCTCTCGTCGTACCCGAGACATCAAACCCAACAGGGTTCTGCCTCGCCGCCTGAATCGCATTTGACACTGGTCCCAAACTCCCTCTCAACTTCCCCTCAAATGACCCCAACCTCTCCTTCAGTGTCCTGACAGCCTCTAAGAGGTGCAGGAGGCTTTGGATCTCTGACCAGTCCTCAGAGGTATAATCCAAGTCCGAAAGGTCCCCTGAAGCTGAAGTAGACAATTGACCTCCCTGCGCCATTTTGCGTTCAGCGATCTCCCCTTTAGATTGTTCTGCAAAATGTGCGAAGAATCCGTCGAGCGCCCTGACCAAGCTAACGAATCCGTACCCATGTGTAAATGCCACGCAACGGGTTATAGATTCTTCGGCAACGCTAAAGACGTCCACAGATCTCTCCCGAAGAAGGCGTGAACGATCAGTGCTTGTTTGGACGTCTCCATTCATGATCCCCTGCAGAGCGTTCGTGAGCAACTTGCGTTCCAGATTGCTGTAATCCACTTGGAAGTCGACGAAAGGCTCGAATAAATCTTGGTCCCAGTCCAACATCGCCAATGCCTCAGATCCGAGGTTCACGGCCCCGCCAGAAGACGACGGTAAATTCATCCTCCCAGATATTGACAATCTCGACGACCGACGTCTGGAATGTTTCGTGGGTCGTTCTCCGTTAGGATTCGGTGAGAGCGGGAGAGAGTAGCCAATCTTCTCGAGTATCTTTTCTGCCGAAACGGCAAACTCTTCTGTCGCTTTGTACACTCTGATGAGTTCTGGTAATGCTGTAGAACCATAATGCGCAGAAAGGGAAGAGAGTCGTTGGGAGAATGTAGGTTGCAGAGCGGATAGCGTGGATGTGATGAGCGTCGCCAGCGTGGGTTGAGGGTCAGGGAAGATGGCGGGTATAGAGGTTCGTTCCGTCTGAAGAACGGACACAAACGAGTTGTAAAACGTCGCCAGAAACTGTGCGAACGTAATCGCCGTTGTGCCAGCCGTGACGTCTCCGCCTTCCACGAACTGAGCACCTTGCCAAGCCTCAGTGAGGGGAGCTCTCCTTGACCCATAGTAATAATTCCTAAACTCGGACTCCCGTTGGATATTACAGAATATCGAGAAATAGTTCCGACAGACAACAACATCCTGGGAATTGACAGCAGCCACCAGTGCAGAACTCAACGAAGCCTCCAATTGGTTTTGCAAGCTCACCATGAGCGTGCGTCGATTATCGTACTCGGGAGTGTTATGGAACACGACCATGCTCTTGTTTGCTTCAGATAGTCGTTCCGCAGCTTTCTCGTAGTTATGTTCACTTAGGAGAGACGTCACGTCGGATTCGAGCGTGGACCAGCTTTCGGCTTCACGGAGGACTTCTCTAGCTGCGATCATGTTGTGCTTTGCACGATCGAGGAGGTGCAGTTGGTCGAGTGCGGCGGACGTGTCAGCTGCGACGGAGGTTTTGGTTTTGGTTTCGACATCGTGAAGGAGGGATTGAAGGGAGATCGCTCCTTCGCGCATGAAATGTAGGTCGTAGGTGAGTCTGGCGGCACCGCGAGAGATAGCATCTATGAGACGCTCTACTTGTGAGGATGTATCTTCGCTGGCAACTTCAAGGACTCCAACTAGGCTGGACACACGTCGATCAAGGTCTACGAGACTCGTTGCAGCGTCGAGTTCTTCGTCCGCTTTAGTAGCATGTGTGGGATCTAAGACGTCGTTGATCCATGACACAACATCATCGTATTGTTCCAAGGTAGAAAGGACATCTGCACCTGAGAAAGGATTCAGTGTAGGTCCTTCAGGACTTGCTGTTGACTGCATGTCCGCGTTTCGTCACAGGTCGATCGTGAACACAAAATAGCCAATGGGTTGCCTGTGCTGCCAGGTCACTAGCCTGACAGAATGCATTAGCATAGTACACAGGGATGTCTGAAGACAAATTGAATGCCTGTATCATACCTCACTTCCGTTTCAATATACACACAAGCTGGTAGAGACCGTAGAGTGAATGGACAACTTAACGGTCCCATATTGATCGGCCAAACGATCTCGGCCCGGAGGCATGTCTATTGAGCTTAAAGCTCTTGCCATTGCCGAGTCCGAGTCTTAGCAGTTCTCCCTGTCAGGTATTCAACCTTCAGATTCGTTTCTTCACATAATATGGGCACTGACAGAAAGACTACGTCTCATTGACAGGCTAGCACAAATATGAGAGTGCCAAATAATGCACCATGTGAGCCCGTGTGCTCTGATGCTCTCGGACTTCTGAGGCTTTTTGGCGAATGGCTATTCCCAGTGGGCCCGTTACTCAGACTTCAGTCAATATTCCGTTGGTCTTCGGAGGTTCCTAGCATGTTCCTAGACATATCAAGGCTGCATGAAATGAGTGTCTCTGGGGCTTCCAAAGTTACCCAGTTGTTTCGAGATCTCTGGACGGATTGCCAGTGCTGAACCAATGGATAGTCCGGATCCCTATGTACTTCACGCTGTAACTGCAGATTTTTATTCTCAAAATCCGCAGATGGAAGACAACCGACTCAAAACCCATCATATTGAATTCGAGGTAACCTTTCGCACTATTCTCAGTCTCATACCCGAAGGCGTGAAAGCGAAGGTATCGGATATTGGAGGGGGGGCTGGTGAGTTCTCTTTGTTTTTCTTTTCGCAACTTGGGCTCGATAGTTTTGTTCAATCCATGAATTAGGACCATATTCATTTGCGCTCGCTTCAAGTGGTCACGACGTAACGCTGGTAGACCTCTCACCAGGCCTCGTCTCACTCGCTCAAACCTGCGCATCCTCAACTCTAGCCCACCCTTCCCGAATCATGGTAGGAGACGCCCTCACCCTCGCTGCCCTCCTCCCGGAGGAACAACGAACATTTGACATTGTGCTTCTTCTTGGGCCGCTTTACCATATCATGAGCTCACAGTTAAGAGAAGAAGCGGTCCATCAGGCTTGGCAGTTTGTGAAAGAAGGTAATGGGTAGTTAGTTTCCGCGTGGGTCAGTCGATGGGCGCATTACCGTGATTTGGCGACGAGGGAACCAGAGAGGTTAGCTAGGAAGAGGGAATTTTATGAGAAGCATGCTCAGGATGGGTGAGTGCTTCTCATGACATACATTCTTTGACGCGGGGATCATGCTTTCGACGTCAGAGATTATGTTAGACGGAACGAGGATGGTGTTCCTGTGCATGCGATGAATCATGAACACCCCTCCCAGATGCCTATGATATTGAGACGACTAACGGGTGTGCAAACTGTGAAGATGGTCGGTGTGGAGGGTCTTCTCGCTGGCAATCTTGACAGACTTGTGAATGATCTACAGGGCAAGGAGTTCGAGGTGTGTTTGCTTCAACTGCTCTCAGGTTTACTGCGGGCTCATAGGCTTCTGTGCCTCACCAGGCATGGGCCCAGCAGTGCATGGAAGTTGGTTTGGACGAGTTGGGCTGGATGATGTCTGACCATATCATCGGCATAGCTCAAAAACTCTCCGGAAATACCAGGTCCTGAGACTGCTTGAGACTCGGACGATCACTGCCCTCCATACCGTTACCTTCTGTTACCTTGGCACACTTGACCCTGAATGGGCTGTAGTTTACTGATGTCGCGTGATATTACTCGAATGATGTCGGACTATAGGCTGTAAACGAACGTGAATTAGCAACTGTTTTTAACTTGAAGTTATACATAGATTCCGGCTGCTATGATCGATCTCGGCCCGGCATCTCATGACATATGAAGCGGAACATGCAGGTCCACTTCCCCGCATTCACTGACCTCCAGCTGCACCGTGACTCGTTGCGCCGGGGTTGTACACATACCTTTTCCTAAGCCACAAACTTGCAACAAAAACAACGTCTTCAGCCATGCTTGGCCTTCGTGCTCTCAGAACCTGCCGCACTCGGATAGCTGCCAACGGCTTGCTTCTCCGTGGAATGGCTTCGGCTGCTAATGGTTCCAGTATGTGTGCCTTCCTCGTCCCAATTCCATAGTTTTTATCAAAATGTTATTCCCACTTTTTAGAGACTATCAAGTTTAACTGGGAGGTGTGCTTCATTTCTCTATCAGGAGTAGGTAGGATACTTATTGCTCGATTCATCAGGATCCCTTGGACTTGGAAGGCCTACTCACAGAGGATGAGCGAGCCATTCGGTAGGTCTACTATCTACAATCGCGTCGGACATATTTCTGACTCACTTTCCCCACCCCCGCGTCTTTAGTGATACCGCTCGAGAGTTCTGCCAGGCAAGCTGATTTTGATGTTGCCTTTCGGCCGACGACCTCAATCTCACCTGTAGTAGGAGCACCTTCTACCCCGCGTGCTGCATGCCCAACGAACCGAAGGTAACGTGCTCACTTCCTCGCCATCTTTGCGTCTGATCTATTCTTCCTTGCTCATGTGCTCATTATCTAGAATACGATCCTAACGTCTTGCCCGAGATGGGTGCCGTTGGCCTCCTCGGCGCAACTATCAATGGGTATGGTTGTGCAGGTGTGAGTACCGTGGCATACGGGCTCATAGCTCGTGAGATCGAACGGTGAGTGTTTTCTGTCGCACCCCTTCCTGAACAAATAGCTAAGATGGACTCATTGTACTTGTCTATATAATATAGTGTCGACTCAGGATACCGTTCCACCGCTTCTGTTCAGTCATCTTTGGTCATGCACCCAATTAACGAATATGGGACCAAGGAGCAGAAAGAGAAGTACCTTCCTCGGCTTGCCAAGGGCGAGATCGTCGGATGCTTCGTGAGTCCTATCATGTTCTACTTAAGCAGACCTCAACTTGACGTTTGGCATGCTTTAATTAACAGGGCCTGACTGAGCCCAACCATGGATCCGACCCGGCAGGTATGGAGACTACTGCCGAAGAAGTGGACGGCGGCTTCATTCTCAATGGCGCAAAGACTTGGATCACCAACGCGCCTATTGCGTGAGTCATTTTGTTAATATCACCAGTTCTTTTCTTCCTACATTGTCCTTTAGAGATTTATTTGTCGTCTGGGCACGATGCAAATGGGATCAAAAGGTCCGCGGATTCTTGATTGAAAAGGTCAGGCTCTTTCAACCTCATCTTGAGGAAATATACCTAAATGGTTCTGTGTGTCTGTGTACGCAGGGTACGAAGGGTCTAGCTGCACCCGCAATCAAGAACAAGCTGGCTCTGCGTTGTTCCTTGACTGGTTCTATCTTTTTGGATAGCGTGAAGGTTAGCCATGACGCCTTACTCCCCGGTGTTCAGGGTCTCAGAGGACCCTTTGGCTGCCTTAACAGTGCTCGGTATGTTCCTCTATTGATTCCTCACTTTGACCTCAGTATTGCGTCAATTCTCACGATCACATTCAGTTATGGCATTTCGTGGGGTGCAATGGGCGCACTCGAAGATTGTATTGCCCGAACCCGTGCGTATGCTCTGGAACGCCAACAATTCGATCGTCCTCTCGCTTCTTTCCAACTCGTACAAAAGAAGTTGACAGATGCACACACGGAGGTCACTTTGGGTTTGTTAGCGAGTTTGCAGGTCGGGAGACTGAAGGATGCGGGTAAGGCCGCACCGGAGATGATCAGCATGGTAAAGAGGAATAATTGTGGTAAGGCGTTGGAACATGTGAGGAGGGTCTTGGACATCCTGGGTGGGAACGCTTGTAGCGATGAGTATGTTGCGTGTGGTTGTGATTTTATGATTTCAAAGGCACTGACTGTTTGTGCGATTTGTAGGTACCATGTTGGACGACATGCCGCTAACCTACAGGTCGTCAATACTTACGAGGGCACCTATGTGAGTCGAGACTCATGTTGCGCTCTTTTGTGGAACCTGACGCGACCCTTTCTAGGACATCCACACGCTGATTCTTGGCAAGGCCATTACAGGCATCCAAGCCTTCGCATAAACCCAAATCGTCCATGTTCATACCCTCAAAATGTCTCCAAGTCATGTACTGTACACAAAGATATAGTTATCAACTTGACATTCGGGAATCATAGACTGCGAATACGGTGTCAAGGCTGCTGTGATTGTGGGAACAGACCCTTGATAGAACTATTAGATAGAGGGTCATATGCCCCTGACCTGTATTATTCCGGCATCTGAATACGTCAGGTGTTTCCCTCGCTCCAATTCAGAACAGGACAAGCCGCCGAGGCCCGTCCAGGATGTGCATTCACGGGACTGGCCCCTATATAAACAAAAGGCAGGTGTATTCGCGTTCCCTTCTCAACCACCTCTAACAGCGATAACGATAATCCTTCTGTAGAGGAAAGCATCCACCTTCTGAAACCCAGTGCTTTCACTCGCACTTTGAGCCTTTAACCCTTTTCGACGCCTGTCCTGATCGCCATGTCTGCGGCCACTGTTGAGATCAACGACGCTATCTTCTGCCAGGCGCATCTCAAGGAGGTCGTAAGTATTAATCGATTGTCTATTGATCCTACCTAGGCCTAGAGTGAGTGAAAGCATGCATGCTGATGCTTCTGATCTAGTGCAAGGAGTGCGACTATGACGGCAGAGAGGAGAACGACGGTTTCTACGGTGTAAGTCGAGCAGTCAAGTTCCAAGTGATGATCCATGTAGTGATATGACGATCATCCGTATGTTTGTAGTTCGACTTTATGGACCGTGAGGGAATCGAGGCTCCGTTGTCCTCCACCACCAAGGACGGAGAGTATCAGTGCAAGAAGCATGGGTCGACCAGTACGTAAACTGTCCCTGCATTTAGACGTAGGTGGATGTTCATTAACGTTGCATGGCCTTCCTTAGCTTGCAACCAATGCTACGGATGGAAGAAGCAGATCACTCGTGCTCGCGCTGCTGCGAAGAAGGCCGGGAAGAAGTCTTCATAGATGTCGAAAGTTGACGATCGGGCAAAGTCTTCGCGCAGACAAGAGGAGAGGAGGAATCTAATCATTGTTGTAACTTTAAGAAATGTGACATACATACATACCTGTCAATTGTACCATTACCATCCACGCATGCAAATCACGTCAGTATTGAAATACATTGGTGAACCTGTGTAAATGAGTTGGAATTCGTCATATCATTTCAGCGAGCGTGTTCCGTGAGCCGCTGTCGTGGCCACATGAGAAGCTCTGGGTAGGATCATGAGTAAGAACATTGTTAGCGACTTGGTCATGCTCGGCGGCGTGGATCAGTCAAAAATAAGGTTTGCTCCCTTCCACAAACGGACGCCGACGATTGCTTTGTAAGCGCGCAAGCTCGTCATCCTCCCGCCATCGAATCTTGTTCACTGCGAAAATACACCGTCGCTATAAAAATGAATCCAGTCAGCCATCGTTCTATTCCTCACACACTCTCTTCTACGCTCTCTCTCTATATCCCGTCTACTATCTTAACAGCGGAGCACCATGTCCCCAGCGATTCTCACCCCCGACGCTCACTTGAACGGTCTCAAAAAGCCTCACCAGGATGGCTTTGGCACTCGTGCTATCCACGTCGGATCTGAGCCCAGTGCGGAGACCGGCGCTGTTATTCCTGCCATTTCCCTCAGCACTACATACCAGCAGGAGGCTATCGGGACTCACAAGGTATTTTCCGCTTGTTTTAGCGATGTCTTTGCCCTGCTCAGGCATGCTTCCAGGGTTTCGAATATTCTCGCTCAGGAAACCCCAATCGAAATGCGCTTGAGGCTACCCTCGCCTCTATAGAAGCAGGAGGTGCCTACGCACTCGCTTTCTCCTCCGGTTCGGCCACCACTGCCACTGTGCTTCAAGCACTCGGTCCCGATTCGCACATCGTCAGTGTGAATGATGTCTATGGCGGCACTTTCCGCTACATGTCCAAGGTTGCGAAGATCAACCAAGGACTAGATACCACTTTCGTCGACCTAGAGAACGCAGATGACGATACCATCTTGGCTGCCTTTAGACCAAATACCAAGGTCAGTTCTTTTTTCCAGTCTGTTCAAGTCCGTTCGTCTAACGTTACTTAGCTCGTCTGGATAGAAACACCTACAAACCCCACCCTCCGACTGATCGATATACCCCGTATAGTCTCTCTCGCTCGCTCACATCCTTCCTCTCCCGTCGTCCTCGTTGATAACACCTTCCTCTCACCATTCTACCAATCTCCACTCTTACAAGGCGCCGACGTTGTGATGCATTCACTCACGAAATACGTGAATGGTCACTCAGATGTCGTCATGGGCGCTTTGATCCTCCCTTCTCATCGTGCCGAGCTTGCAGACAAGCTCCGGTTCCTTCAGAACGCCATCGGCGCCATTCCCAGTCCGTATGATTGCTGGCTCGCTCAACGAGGTATCAAGACGCTTCATTTGAGGATGAAGCAACATGGCGCGAACGCGCTTGCTGTTGCTCACACACTCAAGAAATCACCGTACGTCGAGGAAGTCATCTACCCTGGATTGGCATCACATCCCCGTAATGACCTCGCATACCGTTCACTCTCCCCTCATGCTCGCAAGTTCGTCGACTCGTATCTGAGCAACAACGGCTCCAGCAGATCATCAGAATCTGGCGACTACACATATGAAGAGGGCGGTTTCCCTTATGGTGGTATGATCTCTTTCAGGATCCTAGGAGGCGCAGAGGAAGCGGAGAAGTTCCTGACATCCACTCGGCTCTTCACTCTTGCTGAGTCCCTTGGTGGTGTGGAGTCACTTGCAGAACACCCTGCGAAGATGACTCACGGAAGTATTCCCGAAGCTGAACGAGCACTCTTGGGCATCGGCGAGAACCTCATCAGGTTGTCTGTGGGCGTCGAGGAGGTCGAGGACCTCGTTGCCGATGTCGAGCAGGCATTGGTGGCTGCGGTCGGCTCTAAGTCTACTTGATCCTTAGATCTTGCGAGTTACTTTTTGGATTTGGCCTTATGTGTAGTATGGATTTCACTTTCTATCGCTTGGACTGTACACCTTGTGCATCATTTATAGATATTATATGTATTGACTGTGTATATCCTCACACGCACTGCAGTAGAGACCATAATAGTGTAGAAGATTGGATAGCTTTCGCACTTATATATTTAAGGAATGTTTGCATTCATGAGAGACTCAAGCAGGAATGGTTGGATTATCACAAGACCATTTGGACCGCAGCAAGAGCCTCAGCAAGAACTCAGTTTTCAATAAAAGGAAGACGGAATTGGACTCGATCGCTGTCACAATCTTGTCACAAAAAACGTGGCTGATAACCATATTCGGGGAAAGCACTTTTGTCAGAGTTCTCCAGGGCTACTCACTCACTCCGTTCTTTCACTCACATTACCAACACTACATTCAAAAATGGCCGGCGCGTGAGTTTCTATGATCTATGCCGCTCTTAGACTCTATCTGATTCTCTTATTGCAGAGCACCCAAAATTTTGTGGGCAGACGATGTCGATGAGGATGGTGAGTTCGCTTAGATGTCCTACTCGTGTGGTGAACTCAATGTCGTATATCGTGATCTAGAGCTACCACAGCCGAAGGGAGAGGACTACATCGATGAGAACGGTATACGTACGATCGTGGAGTACACCGTCAACGATGATGGTAAGAAAGTCAAGGTATGTTATTAAAGCTAATTTCTCCGACTCAGCAAGCTGACTTCAAGACTCAGGTCACCAAAAAGATCAAGAGAACACTCCAAAAGGCGGTTGTGAACCACACAGTCGCTGAACGACAGACATGGGCGAAGTTTGGTCAGGAGAAAGGAAACAAGCCAGGCCCTGATCGTGCGACAACGACAGTGGGAGAGAATGTCAGCTTGAAGTTGAGCGCAGGCAACAAAGTGAGTGCTATCTACATATCGATGCATCTTACAGTCTAAGGTTGTTCTTGTGATTTCAGTCGTCTGAGCCAGACGCATCTGCTGAGCAGACAGTCAAGAGCAATCTTGTAAAGGCTGGTGCTGGAAAGGTCGTATGTCGACTTTGTAAGGGTGACCATTTCACCGCAAAATGTCCCTACAAAGATACCCTCACTGGTCTCGATGGTGCCGGTACGTCTTTAAACGTCCATTCTGCCATTCTAATCAAATGCTAAACTTGCATTTCAGAGACACCACCACTCGGCGGTGAGGAAACCGGAGCACCAGCAGAGCCTGCAGCAGGTGCCCCCGCGCCCTCCATTGGCGGCAAGTATGTCCCACCTTCAATGCGTGGAGTTCGTGGTCCGGGAGAGTCGATGTCGCGTCCTGGTGGATCTCGCGATGACCTTCCAACCCTCCGTGTCACGAATATATCAGAAGATACTCAAGAGAATGATTTGCGCGACCTGTTCAGCACGTTCGGCCGTGTCGCTCGTGTGTATGTTGGTAGGGATAGGGAGACTGGTGCTGGAAAGGGTTTCGCGTTCGTCAGTTTCGAGAGCAAGGGCGATGCGCAAAGGGCGATGGAAAAGCTTCATGGTCGTGGATACGACAACTTGATCTTGAATGTCCAGTGGTCACGTACGTCCCACCTTCTCTCCTTGCTGATGATATCGCTAATTGTGCATCCGAACAGAACCACGGGAGCAACGTTAGAGTGCCCTTCTTGTGTATACTATGCTTTCTTCTTAGCTACGATTCATTGCTATCATCCCATTTGCATTGGCGTTAATCCACTCAGTGCCGCGTCTAAGTTAAGTTGTCGACTAGCATGATCTGTTACACACACCTGAGCGTCGAATTGCCGTGGATTCCCGCTACACCCGTCACGTAACCAAATTCAGAATGGTACTTGCTTTGCTTTCCTAATCATCACTGCCGTTCGCATCCTCTCCACCTGAGGTCCGTGCTAAGTTGACGACTTCGTCCCTGCTTGCGTTACATGTTACATATCGACGCTGGCTTGGTCATGCAGTACTTACCGCCACCTGTAAATCCGTTATAGCCATTGCGATGCTAAGGTTAAGTTGAATTCAACAATGTTTTTCCAGCGTATCATCTAGGACGCTCAAAGCCTTATCGCGAATATTCACGCCAGATGGAGTACATGTCTCCGTCATCCGTGCGAGCCTTTGTGTTGTCTTCCAAAGGGCCGGTGGGGCACTATCGATTCCTCTTGAAGTATAAAAGGGCTAGAGCTTCTCAGATCTCATTCCTCCAAGCCCTTCCGCCTTCCCCAACCACTCTTTTCTCTAGCACTTCATTACACACCATTGAACCATGCCCGCCATTAATTCTGGCAAAGTACTCGTTACCGGTGCGAACGGTTACATCGCTGTTTGGGTCGTAAAGGCCCTTCTTGAGCAGGGTTTCTCGGTCCGCGGTACGGTCCGCTCAGCTTCGAAGGGTGCGCACTTGAAGGAGACTTTCAAGTCGTACGGCGATAAGCTTGAGCTCGTCGTCGTCGAGGACATCACCAAAGTACGTCTATTGCGTTCGTTGACCCGCATATATGCACTCAAACACGCTCTCGGGATAGGACGGTGCTTTCGATGAAGCAGTCAAAGATGTCGACGCCATCGAACACACCGCGTCTCCTTTCCACTTCAATGCAGAAGATCCCGCCGAGCTCATCACCCCCGCTGTAGCCGGTACAGGCAGCGTGCTCCAATCTGCACTTAAATATGGCATCAACGTCAAACGCGTTGTCGTGCTCTCCTCTTGCGCTTCCGTTATCGATACCTCCCTACCTCAGCCGGTTACCTTCAGCGAAGCCGACTGGAATGACTACTCTATTCGTGAGGTCCAGGCAAAGGGAAAGAATGCGACTGCTGGGGACAAGTATCGCGCCAGTAAGACATTGGCGGAGAAAGCTGCTTGGGTGTTCTATGAAAAGTACAAGGGCGAGTTGCAGTGGGATCTGGTTGTGTTGAACCCGCCTTTCGTGTTCGGTCCCGTGTTACACGCTGTAGATTCCCCCGAGTCGCTTAACACTTCCGTGAAAGATTGGTACACTTTCGTGTTAAAGGGCAAGGGAGACCCTCAAGCTGTCGCTACATTCGCGTTAGTAGCAGATTTCTTCTTTGATGATGGTGTTGGATGCACTAACAGAACATATAATCTGTCTTCTGTCTAACAGGAGTGCTTGGGTTGATGTCCGTGATCTTGCGGAAGCTCACGTCCTCGCAATCAAGAAGGAAGTGGCTGGCGGCAATCGTATCATTGTCTCTGCAGGATCCTTCAAGTGGCAGGATTGGGGTGCGTGTTTGCTTTATTTCAGCACGTCCTTGATGTGTACCAACACAATCCCCTAGTGATCGAGGCGCGAAAGTTCGCACCCGAGATTCCACTAGGCGACACCTCTTACAAGTCACCAGAAATTTATCCTTTGCAGTACGACACCTCTAGAGGCACGAGGCTACTTGGAATTCCTTTCCGTACTAAGGAGGAGACTACACGAGACATTATCGCTAACTTCAAGGAGAAGGGCTGGTTCTAAGTCCTTGGTAAGAAAAGAGATTTGTATATTCTGAGGTTCACTTGTATTTGTGGGAAGAAATAGATTCATCATCGATGGAACGTTCGATGCAGCGATGAACCTCGGTTCCGCATTATTTGACTGTGCTGTATCGAGCGAAACAATATCTTGTGTGAAGACCGATTCGAGGCTCTTGCAAGGTACGTTGCATGACAAAGTGAGCTATGGGATGAGTAAGATTCGAGGCGCCGCGTGTAAGTACGATTGAGGCTAAGTATAAAGGTGGGAGATCGATTTATTCGCCTTCCTTGCACACACCTCTGCGTTTCTTTCCTTATCACGCACTTTCCCTTAGGGCATCCTCCTCAAAACACACATTTTGACATGCCTATCGCAAACTCCGGTAAAGTGCTGGCTACCGGGGCGAACGGCTACATCGCCATTTGGGTTGTCAAAGCCCTCCTCGAGCAGGGATATTCGGTCCGAGGTACCGTCCGTTCAGAATCTAAAGGGACGCACTTAAAGGAAAGATTCAAGTCGTATGGCGACAAGCTCGAGGTTGTTGTCGTTGAGGATATCACCAAGGTGATCAACGTTGGAGAATTTCCGCATAGCCTTCCTAATGAGCTGATGGTATTTTCTGACCAGGAAGGCGCGTTTGACGAAGCAGTCAAGGGTGTCGATGTTGTCGAGCACATGGCTTCTCCCTTTCACTTCAATGCGGAAGACCCTAACGAACTTATTACGCCTGCCGTAGCTGGCACAAGCGGCGTTCTTCAAAGCGCCCTCTTGCACGGCAAAGACGTAAAACGTATTGTCGTACTCGCCTCTACCGCAGCCATCCTCGAAACGAACAGGTCAGCTCCGGTCGTGTTCACCGAGGATGACTGGAACAACCATGCCATCCAGCAAGTTGAAACAAAGGGAAAAGATGCTTCCCCTGCGGATAAGTATCAAGCGAGCAAGACCCTCGCAGAGAAAGCTGCATGGGCGTTCTACGAGCAACATAAGAACGAGGTGAAGTGGGATCTGGTTGTGTTGAACCCGCCTTTCGTCTTCGGACCCGTGTTGCATGCTGTTGATTCTCCCGAGTCGTTGAACACCTCCGCGAAAGAATGGTATTACAATGTTGTCAAAGGCAGATTGGATCAAGAAGCCCTGGCAAACAGCGGGTTAGTAACAGGTTCTCGATGATACCCCAAGTTGCTTCCTCTGATACTGACCTGCCTGCTGATGGTGGGTTTGTTGATCAGGTCTTCCTACGTAGACGTCCGAGATCTCGCGGAGGCTCACGTCCTTGCCATCAGGAAGGAAGAAGCCAGCGGCAACCGTATCATAATTTCTGCTGGTGCTTTCAAGTGGCAAGACTGGGGTATGTCATAGTGTTTATCTTGCTTTACCAACACACTTGCTGAATTTTGCTTTTCGGATTTGTAGTCAATGCTTCTCGCTTGGTGGCGCCCGAACTCCCACCAGGCAACACGTCGTATAAGAGGGAAAAGGCTGTACATCAAAGGAGTTATGACAACTCCAAAGCTGCGAAGCTACTACAACTCCCTTACCGCACTCTGGAAGCTACAGCAGCTGATTGCATTGCAGACTTTAAGCAGAAAGGATGGCTGTAGATGGAAAACCTCACTGACCTTCGTATGAATAAATTTTCTGCTTCGCAATACTGCACGCAAACTGTCCAGCGCATGGCGGCTATTTTTGTGACATAGGAGATCCATGCAAAAGTAGCTGGAATTGGTCTAAATTAAGGCAAGCGCATTGCTTTCGCTTGTGGACGCCATGTCCATCTTGTTTTCCTAGCTATAGCGACTCGGTGTTGTTCAGTGTCATCTAAAGACTTACTTACTTTTCTCTCTTCCTACCTATTTCCATCTGTTCCGGCGACAGCCCCATTTTTTCATGCAAAGAAATTTGCTTGTGGCTAAGCTTATCGATCAGGATGCCCAGGACTACATATTCTTCCGAACATTGGCTAAACATAACGTGCTCTGGATCTCGACCTCGGTCACCATCTTGACTCTAGAGGACTCTGGAGGATAGATGAAACTTGGATGAAACGGAGATAGACGAACTTTCAGTTGACGGTGGCAGCCGGTTTGGATCACGATCTCGCCACTTCTCTCATAGGCAAGCAGAGCGTTTGTCGAAAACAGGATTCAATTATATCAGTCCCCTTACAGGTCCCATCCTGTCCCATCATCTGCATCTGATGCTTCTATAGATGCAAAGAGCACCCTAGAATCGGGTTCTTGCAATGATGAGGCCTCCTGAACCGAAGATGTCTTCATTCTGGCCCTCCTTTGTTGTCTCTCTTGCGCAATTGGCTGAAGTTGATGTGTCGCCGTTGGAGCGAATACAACCCCATGTGGAATAACGCGATATCGACGGTGCACTGTCGTATAAAAGGTTGTGCCCCCATGGAGATGGCAACAAAACGCTCGCTTGTTAGCCATGCGTGGAGACTCGACCGTCCTTCTGAGTCTGATGCATCATGGTAACTGTTGTCACACGCGATAGATTTTCCTTTTCCTTATTGACCGGCCTGCTATAAATGCTCAAGCACATCAATCAATTTTCATTACACACCCCCGCATACATCCACCTCCAGCTTCAACCTAATCAGTTGCCTCTACGATTCCTACAATGCCCGCCATTGCTTCTGGAAAGGTTCTCGTCACCGGCGCAAATGGTTATGTCGCCGTTTGGCTCGTGAAGCAGCTTCTCGAGCAAGGGTTCTCAGTCCGAGGCACTGTCCGCTCGCCCGCCAAGGCTGAGCACCTCAAGAAGCTTTTCGCCAGCCATGGCGATAAGCTCGAGTTCGTCGTCGTTGAGGATATCACAAAGGTATGTCTGTTTGATCTCGACGCAAGATCATTGTCTTACGCCACATTGGTTATCGTGCTGTAGGATGGTGCATTCGACGAGGCCGTCAAGGGTGTCGATGCTATTCAACACACTGCTTCGCCTTTCCACTTCAATGCTGTCGACCCGTCGGAGATCATTGGTCCCGCCGTCGCCGGTACTGGCACCATCCTGCAATCCGCTCTCAAATTCGGTACCAACGTCAAGCGTGTCGTGGTTCTCTCCTCAACCGCCGCCGTGCAAGAAGCCGGTCTCCCTGAACCTAAAGTTTTCACCGAGAAAGACTGGAATAACAAGGCTATCGAAGAGGTCGAGACCAAGGGCAAGGATGCTGATCAGATTGAGAAGTACACCGCTAGTAAGACTCTTGCGGAGAAGGCTGCTTGGGCATGGTATGAGAAGAACAAGGCTCAGCTGAAGTGGGATTTGGTCGTTGTCAACCCTCCCTTCGTCTTTGGTCCCCTCATTCACGAGATCAGCGACGTCTCTGCCCTTAACACATCCATGAACCTCTGGTACTTGTTCGTCTTGAAGGGCGCCGGTGATGCTGCAACGCTTGCTACCGTGGGGTATGTGTTCATTTTTCACCACGTGATATTCCAGTTCACTGAAGAGCACTGTAGTAACTGTTGGGCCGATGTTCGTGACGTCGCTACCGCGCTCGTTCGTGCACTCGAGAAGCCGGAAGCAGGAGGAGAACGTTTCATCATTAGCGCAGGACCATGGAAGTGGCAAGACTGGGGCATGTATTATCCCTCTCCTCCATAAACCATTCTTACCTTACTTTTCCTCTAGTAAACTCTGCACGCAAGTTCTCCCCATCAGTCCCCGCTGGCAACACCGAATGGAAACGTGAAACTAACGTGGATCCTATCATCACCGACTCCTCGAAAGCATCCAAGGTTCTCGGTGTGACTTACATTCCTTTGGACCAGACTACCAAGGACATCCTTGCTGATTTCGAGCAGAGGGGCTGGTGGAAGTCTTGAATGCTTTTGCTTGCTTCTTGGTAGTTTTCGAATCGTCACAGCATACACGCATACCCACTTTCATTCCGGTTCGTTTTGGGATCAAGAAGGAATAACTGCACACACATAAATCAGAAAGTGTAGAACTAGTGTACAATATAATGTCAAAGCTCATCAATGAGACGGCTGCTTTACGTGCGAAGCAACATGTGGAGGTCTGGACTTGAGAACTTCTGCAATTCTTTCTCTTCGTTCTACTTGGACTTTTCGACCGCAGCATATGCCTATGGTTTTCTGATGAATGTGAAGGTATGTGAGTGAATTCACGGTCGTTATTCTGGCGATGATCGATTGATCACTTGAAATAGGATTTGAGTGTGTTTCGAACAATGTAACTTCGACAAAGAAACTGTTGAGGACTTCTTCAACCTGTCAGACACATCAAGCATGTACAGCTAAGCCCAACAAACCGTCTCATGATGCACATGCTTAGCGAGTCTCAATCTGAACCAATGGATCTCGTTCGATACTCTCGCAAGTATCATATATGCGGACTATATTCTCAAGGCAACCCTATAAAGTCCACTGCACCTCTCACGTCAATGAGAAGCGTCCATCGAAGACCATTCCAGAACCGGGGAGCAACAAGTTTAGACGCAAATTGTATGCACTAAATAATACCAGGTACACTGTACACTTATGTCTACTTCAATGTCCGGTCCAACTGTACGACACGCGGCAAGCAAGCCCATCAGATCTCCCAGACACGGTACAAGGCAAACGCAACATGCACGTCTACTTAGAACTTGACCTTGGAGAGGGTCTGGTGGAAGAGCTTGCCTTGGGCGGTGGCAACCTCGAGCTCGAGAGGAGTGGGTTGACGGGAGCCATCAGAGTTCGCGAATGTACCAGCGCCCCAAGGAGAGCCTAAGCAAGCACGTTATCAGGATCCGACATCCGAGATGAATTGGTAAATGAGAGATGAACTTACCACCACGAACTTCGCTGACGTTCGCGAGCTGGGCGAAAGTGGTGCTGTAGCCCAGAGGAACGAAGATGATACCGTGGTGAACCAGAGTGGACAAGGATGAGATCACGGTGGATTCTATAGTCGACTTATGAGTTAAATGCACAGAAGATACTGTTATTATAGGCGCTTACCTTGTCCTCCACCGGGTGTACCAGTAGAAACGAAGATGGAGGCGTACTTGCCCGCGAGGGCACCAGAACCCCAGAGACCACCAGTCTGGTCCCAGAACGTCTAAAGGCACCAGATATGCGTTCAGATCGTACTCAGATCGTGGAGGCGCGTAAAGAAGACATACCTTCCACTGAGCGGGGAAGCTACCGAAACGAGTGGGGATACCGAAGATGAAGCCGTTGAACTCAGGAAGCTTGTCGGGGGTAATGACAGGGTAGTCGGCCTTGGGGGGCGCATGCAGCGCAGTGAGGACCTCTTGTGGGAGGGTCTCGGGAATTCTAGAATTGGTAATTGGACAACGATCAGAAATGACGTGGATGAGTATCTGCATCGCTCAGGAGACGCACTGGAAGATAGTCGCGCTTCCGCCGCTGGCCTCGACACCAGCCTTGACAGCCTCGGCCACTGTTAAGATGTCGTATTAGTATGCGATACAAGACGATGCGGAAGGGTACTGACACTTGGCGATGTGGCCGTACATGGAGTAGATGACAATGGCGATCTTGGGGCTAGACATGGTGCTTTCTGCTGTGGTGGTGGTGGTTGCGGGAACTGGTGCAGCTGGTTCGGTTGCAGGTGCAGAGGAGGCAGCTACAGGGGCTGGCTGAGGACCGTTTGCAGAAGCAGGAGGCTTGGAAGCTTTGGCGTCGTCGGAAAGGAGATCTTTCTGACGTTTACCGGGGAAGCACATAAACTGGAGTTGAGGGAAGGAGGAGAAGTGCAGGTCTTATATAGAGCGGCGGGAGTGGCTGTAGGGTAAAGAGATATGACGGATGGAGGAGATTAGAGCATCTGTTGGCCCCCCTTTGGTGACTGACAATGCTGCCATATTGTGCGATACCCTGGAAGTTCTTTGACATTCTGAGCCTGTCCGAAGGTACAAGAATGGCTGGCTGTGGCCCCCCGTGGGATGCACAGTACCCGCTATGGATAGCCATCAACTAGTCGCCCCTCCAGAACAAGTCCAATCTTCTCCGCTCCTCGGCCGTGGATCATGCATGCTTTTGCCATTAAAGTCTCGCCGAGCACAAAGGTCGCAAACAAGCATGATCTGAGCATGATGGCCATCTCCAGCGCCGCTTCATTTATTCACCACTGAACTTGCCTTCCATATTTGGGTCTACGTTCACTCAATCCTCAGGAATGGAATGCCTTTCTCAGACTCCCCGTTCCCTCTCCTATTCCTATTTGCATAGTCAGCAATTTGACATTGCATTGCCTTACATAGTTCAGCCGCAGACAGCCATCGACTTTACTCAACTTCAATGACATGAAATGCAGATCTTGCTCTACTTTCCTTGGCTAAGCTTTGTCAGCTATAGCGGGCTCGGTCAGAATTGCGCATCCTTGATACCCGTAAAAGGTCTTAAGTTCGTATCTGTAATACTAGTAATGCACCATACGTAAAACGTGTTATCCCAAAAGCAGAGATGTATTTCTCGCGATACAGATACAACACCATATCTGCTATGGTATGCGACATCTGGAAGCATTCTGAGATGCTGTGGACTATTGAGACCTTGCATCGAGGCAACTGTGACTGACAAATCCTGATCAATTATCACGTTGGCGTGATTCGCTTCACTTTTACAAGTATAGTACACTTATTCACTTCATGCCAACGACACCGTTGGCAGCCCGACTCGGCATCTTTTCCTCCAACAAATACCTGTCGTTGCCGCTTCTTGTCTTGCTTCTTCCCCTTCATCACAGGTATCCCATTTTTATAGCGAGATGCGTGAAGTGCAAACGCGACTGCTTTAAAGCAAGGATTCAATAACCTCGAATGCCATATCGGGAGCTTACATAAGCGAAGCCATTGAGTACGCGTGAATACGCGCCCAAGTACGGTACCGCCATCCTGGCTGCACGATCGTGTTCCTCTGCTATCCTCTCCTTGTTTCTTTGAATCATACACCCGTAGTGCTCAAACACACAATCATTCACAACGCACTTACCGCCTGAGGATGAATCAGCCAGGATCTTCTACCGCCACTGGAACAGCCACCACAGATGTTACGACGTTAGATCAAATATACCAAGAGATCCTCACGTCTACAGATCCTGCTGCTTTGAGAGACAAACTGCAGAGTGCTGCGCGAAATGAGAAAGAGGTCATCCTCTCTAGACCTCTGTCAAATGGCCAAGATCCATTAGCGATATTGGATCCTGAGACTCATACCTTGGGCTGTCTCTATATCTTGTGAGCTTATTGTTATTGAGATCTATGCCGGAGCCATGATTGAGACGATGTATGAATGATCATCTAGATGTGCGAGACTTGCGCCGAACGCTACATATCCGCCATCGTTGGTAGTTATTGAAGAATTCTGCAAACGATTCACTCCTGAGCATGCTCGTCTGGCTCCCGACCGCAGTGAGCCTTGGAATGGTCTATCGCTTTAGAAACATGTTGTTTAACTTGTTATTATAGTGACCGCTTTGGCGAAGGGTATCACGCGAGTAGCACTTTCGTCGAACAACGTGAGTGGCGTATTCCGTAAATGGAGGTCCAAGATGCTCATTGCAACGACAGCTGAAATATGCCCTATCCCCTCTGTATTATCTCGTCACGCGGTATCCTCCAAATCTCTCAATCCTCACCACATTACACTCTCACTACCTCACCGTAAGTTCCCGCACCCATCTCTCATTCTAAACGCTGTCAAGGATATATATCTCACCCATCTCGCCCATCTTCACCTGACCTTGTCTCATTTCAGACCTGCGTTACTCTCAGACACTTTACTGCCGCTCTCCCCATCTTATCAGTTCCAATCACGAACGTGGACTTGAGGATATCCGATCTGACGTACAACGACAACTTGGTGTATCACTATGCCGGCGGTGTTGCTTTGGCGGCACTGAAACGATGGCATGAGGCTGAAGAGTTCTTTGAGATTTGTGCTACTGCGCCTGGGACGGCCCCGGCAGCAATACAGTATGAGGCATTGAAGAAGTTGACGCTTGTTCAGCTGATTTTGTATGGCAAGGTGTGTTCTGCGCCTGTATTTAGGTTACTTCTATAATATGTGGATGTGACTGATCACCGATGACACGTTGTTTATAGACGAAACAGACTCCAAAATATACCCATGCAATATTGACTCGACTGTTGAAGAGCTCTCCGTATGGAAATCTTGCCCGAGCATACCCACTACCTACCGACCAGCTAACCAAACAAATTCAAAAGGATGCCGAGGTTTTCAACACTGTATGTATCCCTCCTTCCTTCTTTCTTAAATCATCGCCTATGATTATTTGGATCTTGTATGTGTTCGTATTATGTGCTAACGCCACATTGCATGTATTATCAGGAAAAGAATTGGGGCCTTGTACAACAAGTCATCGACCATGCACCTCGATGGCTGATTCACAAACTCACATCCACATATCTCACGCTCGGCTTGGCCGATATTGCCAGGGAGATCGGGAGTGCAAGTCAAGATGAAGTTCGTGCCACGATCGTCAGTATGGTAAGCTCCAGTCTTCTGCCTCTGTCGCACGTACCATGATATTCGAATATTCGCAATTCTGATCTGGTGGTGACGTAGATCGAAACAGGAGATATCAATGCGAGTATCTCCGTTGACGGGACAGTCACGTTCTCGGACCCAGTCTTCAACGTCACGAAGAGTGATATTGATAGTGCGCTTCATCATGCACAAGCTCAAAGTCGTCTACTGCTTGACTTGGAGAGAACCCTCACGTCGAGTAAAGAGTACCTGGCCAAGGTACGAACCTTGAATGCAATCTCTGGTTGACGAGTGTGTCCTGATCGTGTTTTGCAGGCACTGAAGCATAAAGACAATGACGGATGGGGACCCGACGATGACAATGATGGTCTGGGCGGTCCTCCATCGTCGTTTGCCTGGGGGGATTATCTCTAAGTTCATAAGGTGGCATCTACACATTCCGAGTCGTCATTCATTGTATTGCTATCATTGTTGTATTCAAGTGGTCAGGCTTTCAAGTCTAACCACGTCACATTATCATCCCTGCTAGACGCTTCTTTGTTCTTATTGTCATCACCCACGGAACTACATGCAAGTTGCTTGAAGGAATCCACAGATTGCTCGCATTGACACGTAAAGAATTCACAGATCAGTTAGCACAGGAAGTACAATGGTGTTATGTAATGCAAGATTCCTAAACGACAAGGTCAGCTGGGATGTCCTACCGCACTCTCTGTGAGGTAGAGCCGTGAAACTATTTGCCACCGCCAGAGAGATCTTTGCGACCAGGATATTTGGTTTATTTGCTGCACTAACTCACAGTTACTCCATGTATGCCCGCTGCTCGCTTCGCTCGCGACTACACTGTTCGTCAAGTTGGTGGCGGGAGAAAAATACCGTAGGTTCATCCTGACAAGTGTTACTGGATCCAGCCTTGCATGTGACAGATCATGGGCCTCGCTCATCACATGTGAGAACTAAATCTAGGACTGGATTTTGTCCAAAACATACATGTAAAGCAGAGCAATGGCAAGACATGGAGAGATGTATTCTTGAAGACGTCGATAATACGTGTACGCCAAGTGCCATAGCCTGCAGGATTGCATGCAATTCAAGAAAACGAGGACATAACGATCGCGGGAGGGGGCGTGGCGACGCGGAGACCGCCCGAAAAGGCAAGCGCCAAATAAGGGCACACAAAGGACCCTCTCCATCGAGTGAACGACGCTGCCACTTGCTTGCTCGTTGTTGCCCACGGCGTCCACGATGCCACCATTCACCCCCGCCCTCAGTCCGGTTCAACTCCCGGCACTATACCTCTATCCTCTCAATGATTCGTTTATCCCAAAACACATTTCTCTCGTTAACAACCAGCGCGTCAAGATCGGTCGACAAACCAACGCCAAGACTGTTCCAGCAGAGCGAAACGGCTATTTCGACTCGAAAGTGTTGAGCAGGCAGCACGCAGAAGTGTGGGAAGAGAGTGGCAAAGTACGTTTCTATTCTATGCGACGGGCGGCCTAGCACCGCGGCGTATTTGCGTCGGCATGCTGTGTTTTCTTATACACCCATTATTCACACATATGTGTAGATTTTCATCAAGGACGTCAAAAGCTCCAATGGTACATTCATCAACGGCGAACGTCTGAGTCCCGAAGGGCTCGAGTCTGAGCCTTTTGAGCTCAAGACCGATGATGTAGTGGTATGTGACTCGGCCGAACATCATTGATACGAGATTGACCCCCTGCAGGAATTCGGTATAGACATTGTCGGAGAAGACAACAAGACCATTATTCATCATAAAGTTGCTGCCCGTGTCGTATGTGTGTTCACCGACCAAGATGCGCAGGCCGCCGCAAGGGCGGAAGCCCAAAGTGCCAGCTTCAGCCTCAATGCAGCTACTTCCGGTGTCGGTGGAGCATTCAACTTTGCTAGCCAAGCTGGGGCGAATGGTGCGCCTGGACCTCAGAGACGAGGGACAATGCAGACGCAGGGCCTCGGTATGGGTGGCATGGGTGGTTCTGCACGGGCTCCTGGGAAAAATAACCTCACGTTCGACCACATTCTTAGCAGATTGCAGGGCGAGCTGCAGAAGAGTCGAGAAACCTCGAACGATCTGCACTCGCTCAGTAGCGCTATGAACGATATCCATGAAACCTTGGGCGGTAACTTGGTGCGTACTATTAACAAACTTGAGACTTCATTCGACCTGAACATTTCCGGCAGCCACCGAATCTCCCTCCTTATCCGCAGACCCTTCCTCCCGTCGTTGCTGCTCAATCGACGCAGCAGCCACAGCCGGCCGAATCGAGTCAAGTGACCGGTAGTTCGACGTCAACACAGGACTCAACGGCGGCGCTAGCGCAACTTCAGGCGCAACTCCATGAGACCCAGATGTCCCTAGCATCTCATGTCGACAAGATCCGATCTCTTGAGGGTATGCTTGCCGAACATGAGGCTATCAAGCAAGAGGTCAGCTCAATGCGGGAACTCATGGAGGAGCGAAAACGTGAAATGGAGCTCTTTCGTGTTCACTCTCAGAGCCCAAATCACCTTCGACGGCATCCTTCGCGCATGGAGGAGGGCGGCGATGGCGAGTACATGCATGATGAAGATGACGATGCACGAAGTGTCGCCACAGTGATTCCTCACGAGCTTGAGCGGGTTGACGAAGAAGACGAAGAGCAAATGGCAGCCGAAGAGGAGGAGGAAGAACGGAGACGACGTCGTGACGAGCTTGGTCGCCCTCGGACACCGGAGCCAACAGGTATAGGTATGGCTGAGGACGACGAAGAGCAGGACTCTGAACAGCGACGGACAGATCATTCACATCTTCATGCACAGTCTGCTCCTTCTTCCCAGTCTTCAGCCACCGCTTCTTCATCGGCGCTCCCTGACGATCTTATCCACCGCATGAATACACTGACAAATCAACTGGAAAATGCCCTTGAACTCTCACGGTCACTCGAGGCCCAGCATCACACGGCCCAATCAACTATCTCACAACTCGAATCGAAGGTCTCGACCCTTGAATCTCTGGTACAGGCGACACAGGCACAGGTGCAAGCACAGAGCAATGCCCAGCAAGAACTAGTACAGTCAATCGAGGCCAGGCAACCATCTATTGCCCTTATCGAGGAAGAACGTACACGAGAACGAGAGTCGTTGACAGAAATGCTCAACGATTGGAAGAAGTCCGTGGAAGGCCAGTGGAGTGACGTCCGGGAAGAATGGGCTGAAGAACGAGATAGGCTCAAGCGTGCGAGGGAAGAGTTTGAGTCCAGGGTTCAGTCCGTCGAGAATGGCCTCAACTCTACTGTTACGAAGGTAGAGTCAGGATTGGCGTCCCTGACCGCTCTCCAAGTGCAACATCAGTTTCTTCAACCAAACGGTAATGCGAAGATCAATGGCGGCGGTCTGTTCACTCCTCCTAGTCCTAGGAGTCTTTCGGTAGCCTCAACTCGACCTCGCCAGAGGAAACGCCGTCCGAGTTCTACAAGGGGACGTTCGCACTCTCGGTCACTGTCACCTGGTTCTACGCAGTTAATTGGCAGAGATCATTCCCCTGTCTCACCGGTGTCCAATGACGATCTCTCGTCCCCTAAGTCAAGGACTCATAGGCAGTCGTCTTGGATGACTGACGATTCTGGCAGCGACTCGGAGTCATTACCCATCAACGGTCTCACCAAACCTACGGACTCTCTGGACTTGCAGAAGACGACTGCCGGGCTCAAGTACCCTATAACGCCTGAGCCTTCTCTACGTGATCAACCTGTGACTGGTTTAAACCCATCCTCGGTCGTGGCTGAAGCCAAGGATCCACCCAAGGACGCTGTGAGTCATGATGCCATCGGTTCTGCCAGCAAGGCAATAATGTGTTTGTTGTCACAGCGCGCGCATTTGAACAACTTGTCTGCGCTAGCCGGTTTCCTCGCTCTCACTGTTGCTGCAGCCGCAGTAGCTTGGCGGGTGAAGTCGGACGGCTCGGTATGATGGTCATCCTTTGTCTTAGTTGTTGACGTTCGTTGCAAGGAGGAGAGCACAAAACTACCCGAACGCTATACATCCCCGTTCACCGTTGCCCTTCACCGATTCACCTTCCTTACACCTTCAACCTTCTCCGCTAGTACCCCCTTGTCGTTCCTGGATTTTTTACCCCCAGTGATGGCCTTCCTGTCCCTCCTCTCTGTCGCTCCGTTTCGTTTTCTCCTGTTGTCATTGTTTCTCTCGTCTCGTTCGTCTCTCATCATGAATACGCTGGAAATCCTAGATAATCGTCTGAATCTTCCTTTGTTTTGTTGCCCGCATATGTATCCCCTCCTTTCGTCGCATATCTTTCCGTATAGTACTAATTTATGTAACGTTTTCATGAAAAGTCACGAATAAGTTGCGTGGAGAGATCCTCATGTAACTACGTCATGTCAGCAGGTTACGATTTCACGACTTGATTATTTCGTCACTCTTTCCAGAAAGATTAAAGTGCGTTATATCTATTTTCAGCAGGATATTCTTCAAGGTATGATATTCCCCTGATAACTTCTTCTGGCGCAAATTCCAATGATCACAACGGTCTTGCAAACCAAGGCTATGCAGTTGCATATTTACTGGTCTCCGTCTCAGTTGGAGTCCCTCAAATAGCATTTTTGACATTCAACGGATGTCAGAGGTGTGGCCTTTGGGCACAATGCTTAAACCGTCCGTAGATGGTTAGGCTCGAGGCACAACATACATTACTATGACTTCGCTAGCGAACTAACGTTAAACGTTAACCTTTGGTTTATGTGCCTTTTGAGAGGAGATCGTATTGATGCACCTCGAACAATTAAACCTTCTGCTGACTGCAAAGAAATGACGAAAGAGATTGGTACGCGTTCGCCGTTCATTACGGTGTTCACGGTTAACTGCGCGACTGGACACCGTCGGACAAGAAATATAAAGGGAAAATTGGAGGTCGCTGAGTTTGAACTCGATCACAAATCGGTAAAGTTAGAGAACGTAATGAAAAATAAGCACGATTTGTCTAGTTCAGCCAATCAAACACCGTATGCGTAAGCCAGCCGTGAACGATGCTGACGATCGAGGGCGTTGCTGACAGACGTTCTCGATCCGGAAAGCATCAAGTACATTGCACTGAGGGAGCAGGCTATAAAGACGGACTGATATCCACCATGATCTCTACTTCTATATATCCTTTCTACAGTCTTATTCCCTCGTCATGTCCAGGAGAAACGATGATCGCAAGGACATTGTTATAGTCGGTGGCGGCTGGGCTGGTTTCATTCTCACTAGAGCCTTGTCCGCCAAACTCGACCCGGCCAAGTACAACCTTATCTTGGTCACAGCACGACGGTCTTTTATCCACCTCATTGCTTCCGCTCGTATGGTGGTTACTTCTGAGGGTAAACTGGAGAATCAGGCAATCTTCCCTTACGATGGCTTGTTTGTTAACGGAAACGGTACTCACGTCGTTGGTACTGTGACTGCAATCGACGAGGTTGCTCCAGGAAAAGGTGGCGATGTCATCCTTACCAATGATGAGAGGATACATTATGATGTCCTCGCCTTGGCTACCGGATCCACATGGTCAGGGCCGCTGAACTTCCCTCAATCCGATGCAGAGGTCATTGCATCCATCAATGACTGGCGAAACAAAATCGCTAACGCTAAGCATGTCGTCGTGGTCGGTGGAGGTGCTGTCGGTATTGGTGGGTCTTCTTTATAATGCTACTTGCTGAACCTGGATATTTACTTGTTTACTATGGCGTAGAAATTGCTGGCGAAATTAAGGATACATACCCTGTATGTAGCGTCTCGTATCGAGTTGTTCTCGGACTCTTCTAACCTTTTCCTCCAGAAAAAAAAGGTCACCCTTGTCCATTCGGAGAAGCAGCTTCTCAACGATGTCTATCCAGACAAGTGGCGCCAGGATATCGAACGCCGCGTGCGCAAGCGCAACATTGACCTTATTCTGGGTGACAGGCTCGACTCGTTCCCAGAACCGGGGGCCGTCGGTGTAACCACTCGCAATGGAAAACAACTCCGTGATGCAGACCTTATCGTGAGTTTCTCTGTTCTTGGTCAGTTACCAGCATCTTACTGATGAGTGAAGTAGATTCCTGCATTCGGCGCGAGACCAAATACCGCTTATCTTTCTTCGCTCGATACCACCGTCCTGTCGGAGCAGGGCTTCGTCAAGGTCAAACCGACTCTGGAGGTGGTAAATCATCCAAGCGTGTTTGCTTTGGGTGACATCATCGATTGGCCTGAACAGAAGCAAGCCGCCAAGACCAAGGCGCACGCCGACGTTGTTGCTGCAAATATACAAAGCTACCTTACTGGCCAACCGCTAAGCAAGGTCTATAAGGGTAGTCCTGAGATGATTGTGGTCCCTCTCGGGAAGGCAAGTCATTCACTGCCTGCGTTCCATGCACTTCGTGTTGACAGACATTGCTTTGTAGAGCGGGGGTTCGGGCTATTTGGGTATTCTCTGGGGAGTTATCGTGGGTGATTGGCTGACGAAATTATTAAAGGGCAAAACGCTTATGGTGCCCCCGGTTAGAAAGGAGTTCGGATTAGCATAGAGACTTCCTGTTGTCCTCACATTCGTTTCGCTTGTTGTTTCTTGTTCCCGCTTCATAGTTGCATCTTTATCCGTATTATAGTACCCCGCCCATCATCGTATTCGAATGATATAATGTATGCTTCCAAGTCCGGCCGAGAAGATATGCTTCGGTGTCCCAAGTCTCGTCCGATGAAAGCTTGTGATGTGTAGAGCGTATGAAAGACTGCCATCAGACCAACCACGGTGCGAATAGAAGGCCGTGATCATAAAATTATATCCTAATCGTCCATCCGACACCAAAGATACGTAGCCTACAAGACAGAAACATGAATACCCCAAAGTCATGAGATGGTAATCAGTGAAAGCGTGCCAATAAATATCTCGCACAATTGAAACAATGTCAATCAAGTCGAGCAGACTTGCGAGTGAGCTTATCACCTCCCCTTCCTCGATAATAGTCGTCCATGGTCTCGTCCCACACTAATCGTTTGATGAACAAAACGACCAGGGCAAGAATGCTGACGACGGCAAACACGAATCGCCATGGATGATGTGCAATTAGTTGCTCGAGGGACATAAGTTTCTGGTTCACGTACTGTAATAACAAAGGAGGTCAGGTGTATTCTTATGAGACAATGGAATCAACGTACTCGTGCGAAACGTTCGATGACGTTTTCTGAGTGCTTATAGGGCATTGTTCCTGTGATCGCTCCGTAGAGTGCAGAGGAAATGCTAGCCGGAGAAAGCTGAATCTTTCCACCATACTGGTCGCTGTCGTAGTATACTAAACGCTACAAAATGTCAACGGCATTATGAGCGTGCTGTAATTCAAACGCCAGATATGTTCTTGAGAAGACTTACCGCATGATCAGCAACAACCACACCATCACCACTGATACCATACATGCTCTTGAGCCACTTGGTCCACTTATCTGAATTCATCCAAGTGAAAACAACGTTCGTGGCGCCTTTATTTGCTCGCCACCGTTTTGCCACATCCTTAAGTCTCTCAATGATTTCGGGCAGATTCGCCTCGGAAGTAGCAGCGATGACAACGAGGGGTTTATTGGGAGCATTCATCACTTCCTGGAATGTATCTGAGTCAAGCTCCATCGATATCGGTAGACGATTTGACAGGAGCTGACAAAGTTCAAAATATCAGGAGTAGGCACAAAGAGAGCATTAGGAAAAAGCAACAAACCCAATGACGCAGAATTTCCTTATCATCCGCAGCAGTCGACCAGTGAAATTCGTAAATGGTTACGGGGACACCGGAATCATTATCCTTCAATGCTAGCAGGTAAGGTCTGGATGAGTCGAGTGAGAAGTGTTGGAAAAGCCTTGGAGAGCTTGAAACATAAATCGGGGGAGAGCCGAAAAGAATCTTCGAGTTTTCGACAACCATTTCCTGTACCAGAGTTATTTAATATATCTCAAGCAAGAAACTGTCGCGCTGCACTCACGAGAGCCTTTGCATCGGATGCCGGGTGTAGCAGAAGGTACACGACGGGATGTTCATTAATGACCCTGTCGAGATCTTCAGGCTTGAGCTCTTGGACAGGGCTAGGGAGGGATGGTTAGTCAAAGCGGGGGGTCTTGGAAACCCGGTGATACATACGGCCCAATCAATTTCTCAGCAAATGCTTTCAGTTGTTCAAGCTTCCGGCTTCCAGTATACTCGGTCTTGCTGTCCTTCTTATTGCCGGAGTAGTAGAACAGCATCGGGTATCCAGAAACATCTTGGGTCCGACACAGAGCTCCATGATCTTCGCAGTTAACCTCTGCGATTGTCAATTTGTCCTTCATGTGTCGTGCAAGCTCGGTCCATGAGGGCGCAAGTTTTTTGCAATGTCCACACCTAGATATGATATACATTCATGTACGGTTGCCAACCAAACGACAGACACTCACCAAGGAGCAAAGAACTTAACGAAGACATGTCCATGACTAATAGTGTCAAAGAAAGTCTTCTCGTTGAGGGACAAAACAGTTCCGGTAGGATTGAGTAGCCTATCAGACACGGGCGGTAGTATTGTGTCATATGAAACATGTGTCTGCGCAGGTTGTATAGCGGCAGTAGTGGTCGGGACGGCCGGCGCTGCAGAAGCGAGTGGAGGTTCAGCATGTTCGGAGAGAAACTTTCTAATTATGGCGGGATCCCGGACTTGGTTGAAGGTCTCCATGTATTTTCCATATTTGTAGACATTCATTTGTGGGTATCCATCCACGCCATTCTCCCTGCACAAGTCTGCTTTCCGCTTAGCAAGGATCACTAGAGGAGACGCTGGACAGACGTACCGCCATGGACTGCACAATTCACTTGAGCAAGACGTATGCCCGGGTTCTCAGACTTTTGATTTTCCTCAGCCAGTTCTGTCCATGTAGGCGCGAATTTCTGACAGTGCCGGCAATATGGTGAGAAATATTCAATGAACCTGCACAAGGCACGGTAAGCTATCAATGTGGGGACATGAGCTTGTGGCAATAGGCACATACCAGACTCCGTGCGAGGTGGTTTCATTAAAGTTATCTGGCGTAAGCACTAGAAGCTCAACCGATGATGACTCGACTGGCAAAGCCGCTGCGGCCAACGCAAGGGAGGTAACGAGTAAGGTATGCGGCAACCGCATGAGTATTGAGGCCAGCCTCATGGTTAAGAACGAGGGCGCAGTGTATATGTAATACTTCCGTTGCTAGATATGCGAACTTATACTGAAGAAAGAGGAGATACTTAAGCGTAGAGAACCCGACTGGTTAGCTAGTAGTGGAAGATCGAGAAGTTGTGTCGGCGGGAATAAAGACGCCCGTTCTTGTTGTTCCACCACCTCCTTGATCAACCTCGCAACAAAACAGAGTGAAACGAGCCCTGAATGGAATCATTTCATTACTCTCAGTTCTCTCAGGAATATTCAAATGTTCACATAGCGTTATTCACCAACGTTACAAACGCCACCGAACTGAGAAATCGCCTTGTTCAAGCGTCGACCATGTCCGGACCTGAAGGGGATGCTGAACGACAAGCAGTCGACTTTGCTTTTATCGATGCTACTCTTGTTGGTGTCTCTCTATTCTGACGTTGAATGGGAAGAGTTCTCATGCGCTTACAACATGACTTTTGCGCGAAGATATGCAGTACTTTACACCTAAAATCTGCCATCCTGAATTCGGTGCTTGCCCAGGCTCAAGGGGCATTGCGCACGAAAACGGTCCATTCAGAGATTTTATGGAATCTCAACCCTACTAATAACGTAAGTCTAATATATTGTACACACTAACCCCATACGTTCATTTCACCCGTCTCATAGATCTCTGAAGCTATCAGACGTTATGGCGTGTCTTCGTCTACTACGTCTCTTCTAGTTGTTCGAATAGGGCGTCCAGGAGATCCGGCTACTGTTCAAATGCAGATGTCAGCAGTCGTTTCTGGAGACTTATCACCCACATCCAGGTTGGCTGGGATCACCGACTGGGCAAGGGTCAAGAAGGTAACATCATTCCGTGGACCTCCGGCGTCGGTGCTATTCGAAGATTGAATGAAATGTTGCAGTACTACAAAATTCTTCAACAAATCGACGCAGATCCTCAGAAGGATATACAGCGAGTTCATGAAATAGTGGTCAGCTCGGTATCCATGAAGAGCGTTATTGTCTGATGGCTCCGGTGCGTACAACTTTAGTCTGGGGTTGCTGCGTACTCGTCTTACATCGCGAAATATCAAAGCATTGGCTATTGGGTACCAGGTGTCCTGGCGATGTAACAATTCAAGCCGGCGTTATTCCTGGGCTGCGAACTGCGAGGCGACGCCATTCTGCACATGGACTGGTATCCCGTCCACTTGAGCATCTGGGTCTGCATACACCTGTAAGTGGCGTACGCTCGGCCACTTCGTCAATTGACATGACCAAATTGCTCTCGAATTGATGTAGGCCAACTTGGAAACATGTCTGCTTGGAGTCGAGTGGCGAATTATTCGGTGTTCTTAGACACACCAGATCGTGTTACTGCTAATCTAAGACTCTCTTACGAACGATATACTTACATACCGTATTACGCCTTCATCTACTTTCCAGCTGAAAGTCAACTGCAATAAAATACAATCCTGGACCCTTTATATTCCCCAAGTCGTTGCAACTTCCAGCTTCTGAATTCGAGAATTGATCAACATATGTACTGTGAGCGCCATCAATACTTGATATCTGTCAAATTGTGTCAATCCTGAATAACCGCCCTAGTTTCTCCCTTGAGTTCACGATAACTGCATCCATACAGGATATGCACTATGCACATGTGGACGCTGACATACCTCTAGAACCCAAGGTAGCTCACAGTGAATCATGATCCTGTAGTCGTTATGGTCAATGGTCACGGAGAAAGGTCGATGACCACATGCCAGTTCTTGAGTCCTCTCTAGTCTCCACGGCGTCACAGCTGACTATTAGTCTAGTGCGTGCGGGTTGTTCTTTGATGGCACGGGTTTTAGCTGTTCTCGAGGCTGTTGATCGCCGTGTTGCATTCTCACGGAAAGACTAGAGTAACCTCCGTCTTGGATTCGCGGTCTCCTCACAGAAGTAATCACCGAACATGACTCTGTGGAACAAGAAACTGCGAGGCCTGAAGCAAAGGTTCAAGAGCGAAGATAGTAACGCCGAATCTCACAAGCCGTCCAAGCAATACAGCAGAGGAAGATCTCTACCGCTTGACGTTGAAGACGAGAGGCCGAAAGAATCAAGTAGTGATGGGTCTATCGACAGACAACGCAGTGGTACTTTGCCCAGGAGTAGTCCCGTCCTCTCGGACGCTACGAGCTTTCCACCGCAGGCACCCGTGCGGATGCCTGTACCCATCATTGCTATAGAGGCTACTGCTTCAGCACCTGCAGCAATCACTTACGCGGCTACAATGCCGACACCGTCGATTGATTCACCGGCGAAGTCTCCCACTGACGTCGTGCAACAACTCAGTGCGTCTGGCGTAATAGCACAGATCAATGCTGGGCAGCACAAAGCGCCTTCTAAAACGGAGAAAGTCATCAAGAACATCAGTATGTTTATCCTTTCTCCTTATTCAGAGAGGTCGACCACTGAGGAAGACATGCAGCTGATACGATTGCTGTAGGTACTGATACCGTCGAGCAACTTTCAGGCGTAGCTCAGCCGATTCAGCTGGGGTTGGAGTCAGGTGTGATGCAAGGCATCGAGACCAAATTGCGTACGTTCTTTGAGGACATCCCGTGGTTAATGAAAGGGCTCGATGAAGTCGCCAGGGTACACCCTGCGGTGACAGGTAGGTACACTCTACACCTACACAGATCCTGAACTCATCCTTTCTAAGTTGTTGTTCTGGCTTTCAAGGCTGTTTACAGCATGGAAATGACTCGCCGAGAGAACGATAAGAGAGTCCGGTCTCTGTACGTAGAGATGAAAGATATGATACACGTCCTAATTCAGTCAGTCGACTTCCACGTGTCTGTTTTATCAATGCTAATGGCAATCACAGTCTTCGGGACGTTAAGGATCCGAAGGATAAGGGGCCTGATGGAGAGCCTTTAGATGCTCGTTTGGAAAAGATTTCAGAACAGGCTGCGAAGGATATCAAGGAGTGTGCCAATGTCTGTGATACGTACGCCAGGAAGCGACCAGTCGTACGGATCCTCAAAGGTTATGCTTGGGAGTCTAGACTCATTGGATACATCGCTGTCTTCGAAAAGCGTCGTGCGCAGTTTGAGGAGGCACTCGCCATCCGTACGGCGCGTTCGGTGGATGCCATGAGAACCTCTATGAAACAAGTGGAAGCAATCGTAACATCTATTGATGACAGGTATGATGATATTTACACCCTTTCTGCCATGCTAATAAGTGTTTCTACTCGTCTTCGCAGACTAGCCTTATTTATGAAACTGTTTGAGAAGTATGTCCCAAAAGATGAAGCACAGTTAGCCGAGGTGGTTAAGAAGAAGGGCGACATTCGCTCGATTCAAAACAACGAGAAAATTCTGAGGGAACTGGTCGAGCTGGACAACAATCTTGAATCCAATAAGGGTAGTGCTACACATGAACGGGGAACGAAACGAGATGCATTCACCCTAAAGGACCTTCGTGAGGAGCTCCATGAGGACACTGAGGTCGCCATCAAGAACAACTTTGAGACCTTCCGTGGCAAGTTCGAACTCTACCAGAGGCAGCTGCAACAGGAGTTGGAGAAATTCATCGCGGATATGAATAATCGCCTTCTCATCGCCGTGAAAGAAGGTCCCCATGACAGAATCAGAAATGAGGTATGTATCAGGTTCTTTTCGATCATATGCCTTACTTGACACTTCCGCAGGAACTAAGAGAAATGTGGAAGGAAATGGTGAGTCATTCGAACGCTATGTGCAACCGCAGCTAATCATAATTGATACCAGAACTGGCGACGTAACGTCAAAGCACGACTCTTTGTCATGACTTTACGCGATCATTTTCGCGACAAACTTCAAGACATGAAGCTCATACCTGGCGACACGGATACACTATCTTCCGCCGAACCGCTGGGCCTCGATGCTCTCGCGAAACGCATTGATGAAACAGGACCAACTCAGGCCACCACGCAGAAACTTCAAGCAAGCCTGAAGACATTTCACGAACGTATGCCGCGGTTCATGAAAAGTCTTGATAAGGTTGCCCAGCTGCATCCGTTTACCACTGGTAAGTGAGCCCAATAGTACATGTTTTCCCTAACTCAGCGTCCATAAGATTCCGTAATTGCCTTCAAGTCTGCATATACTTTGGAAATGACTCGTCCCAAGAGCGATGAGCGGATCATGTTACTTTATGTTGTGATGAAGGATATGATGGGTTCTCTCATACCGTCGGTCGATTTCAAATGTTGCATTGCTTGTTGTTGACATACTTCACAGACTCTGTGATGCAATGGGCGCGGATGGCATGACTCTCCAAGCGCAACTGGAGAAGACCTTGGCGCAAATTTCGGCAGACATCGAGCATTGCGCTAATGTCTGCGATTCCTACTCGCGAAAATCTGCTTTGCTCTTGGTTTTTCAACGACAAACTTGGGAATCACGCTTGGCGGAATACTTTGCAACCTTTGAGAACCATCGTATCGATGTTCAAATGGCCTTGGCTGCCCATGGGGGCAATGGTACGGTTCTTGTCGAGCCATCAACAAAGCGCGACGAGCCAGATACGCAGGCTAGCAATCAACGGTACGACACCTATTAATCTCCTGATACCGTGCACTCTTACCTTGTGATATATATAGACAGACGCTGTTTGGCAAGCTGTACGATCAGCTTGTTCCGCTGAAGGAGGGCTCGCCTTGCTGAATCTCTAAACAAATATGGTGGTGTGGACACCATCAAAGGGGATGAGAAGATTCTACATGAGCTCCTTCAGATGGAGAGCGAATTGGATTCTGGAGACACAGGTGAAGATCGAAGCATAATGCGCCCCTCTGTCAACATAAAGGGACTTGAGGACGAGCTCCAGGAGGACATCGAAACTGCGCTCCGCAAGAATTTCGAGACATTCCAGCCGAAGTACGAAACACAACAGAAACAAGTGGAGCCAACCTTCGAGGATCTATCTGAATCACCGCAGGTATGTAGAGTTCTTGGAAGATCGTTCAAAATCATTGATGATAGTTGTACAGGGACTCGATGATTGGGCGTTCCAATATATTAGTTTAGCTTGGTTGCAGCCTATCATGGAAGCCTTCGACGACGATGGTTCGGGCTATATCACGGTGGCTGAAATCAACAAATTCACGGAAGCCATGCCGGCCTCTCTAAAGTGGAGGTACGTACTTTGGACCAGGCAGGCAATCATCGTCTAATACTATGACTATCAGTTTACAGCATTGGATAGCGTATTGGGCAGTCGGTATGTGAGAGAAGAGATATAGTAATCATTAATGACCTACATTTGCTTTCAGGTTGGGAAATATCCGCGAACCACTACCGAATCAAAATTCAGGAGATATTTGCATGCATGTTTGATCTGCTGCCAAGACTCCTCCCAGAAAATCGGCATTGGGCGGATTACTATTTGGCTTGCGAGATGATTCTTTGCCCGACATCCAATACAAGTTCCAAGCTTATATGGACCACGAAGAAGAGAGGATCACCAAGAACCTAGAGGCAATCCACTACGACATTGATGCTCTCGATACTGTGTACGTCGTAGCTGGGCCTGGACGCATTGAAAAGGTCAGGATCATTAATGTTACTCGCACATCGTGCTGACTTCTCATCTAGCACATCTTTACGCTAGCATACCTGTTATTAAAGCGCGACCTGGAGCTTTTCCGTCTAGGACAAAGACACATATTACATGCCGATGAGCTGTGGGATGCTGCAGACAGCCTCTTATGGGTTTTCGATGCACTTTTCTTTCGGGTTGAGGATTTGCAGGGTGAGTGATAGACTCGAGATGTAATTGAAGTAATGACCTTTATGGGTATAGAACAATTCAAACAACAGCATATTGATATCGATCAGCAATTCAAAACCATCTGCTGTGAATCAGTAAGGCTCGGTATCATGTTGTTATGCTTCCCAGCTGAAATATCTGTGCCGCATAGCTTAAGTCTTACCACGACAATTCCGAACTTTGGGCAATGTCACAGTTGCAAGGGGACAAGTTCATGTTTTATGTCAACCCTTGGGACCTTGATGACGGGGGAAAAGATAAAGATCCCGACCGACGGAAGCTGCTCAATTACGAATTACCCGCAGACTCAAGCAAGCAAACATACATGTATGAGGAGGGCTATGAGTGGGAATTACACGAGATGACGGCGGCGGATAACGGGGCTTCCTTGCCATTGAAAGCCATGTGCGTTACCAGCGTCGAGTCATATGCATGAAACAGCTAAATTCGGTTCTGCAGAGTTGGCCAATGGAATGGGTACCTTTACAATTACTCTGAGTATCCTTCCTATGTCATTTTGACATTTAACATTCATGCAACTGCATCCGGAGATCAGGAATTTGAAGCCAGTGGAAAGAATTTCGATGGCATTTCGTTTACACTTTCCGGGTCTTGTCAAGAAGACGGCGACGGATTCATCAGTGTCAAGTTCTCTATTGTCTATGACAAGGATCATGATACGGAGTTCTTCACGGGACACTTCGATGACGACGGATCATTCGTGGGTTACATGGCCTTGTCAGACGCTGTGTCAGACTTCAACTGGGACCAAAGATTCATTTTTCGGAAAGTCCCCATCGAGGTTATGATTTCTCGACCATTCCCGCATGAATTCGACGACAACAAACCGAGGGCATTGTGGAAGTTTGCTACTTCTTATGCACTCAATGAAGTGCGAAAGAAGGCTTGGTCCTGGTCCTACTTTCATCAAAGACGGGATATCCGCAGAAACTACATCAAGTTGAACATCGCTCACTGGACGTACGGCCGACCACCTCTTAATGAAGAATTTGAGGAGTACCTCAGGATCAGAAAGTCGTTGAAGCCATCAGATGCTAGCTATTATAGAAGTGTCCGCGACCACTTCCTCGACGTTATTCTGCCGGATCACAAGTGAGTTTGTAAGTCGAAGTGAATGATATTGATGTTTAGCCACCTACTAGTGATCTTACTTGCGTCTCTTGTGACAAGGCCCTTGGCGGTGTTCGTATTATCTGCCTGGACTGTCAGCCACCGAAAGCGAAACTTTATGAAACGATTGACTTCTGCAATCATCCCAAGTGTCTAGAGATCGAAGTCGAGTCCACTAAATTCAGTTTTCTCGAGCCCAAACGTCCTCACAAGACCACACACGACCTTCTGAAGTTGCGTACGGTGATGCATCGTCGGGACATGCCCCGTGTCATCAGGGACGCAAAGAGCGCCTTGGCCAACGCCAGAAGTCAAATGGAGAATTACTTCGATGTTCGCATTCCAACACCACTACTGCCTGAGCCGAATGGAGATGCAGTAGTGGATGATCAAAAAGACGTTTGCTCTGAAACGGGCACTCCGACGCTGCCCAACGAAGATTCGATGTCTATTCAGAAGAGGCATCCAGGCGAAGTTCTGGAAGCCTCAGGCTCTGAAGTCCTCCACCTGGATGAAAGCCCAAGTGACCCTGCAGTCCCTTCAGCTACCACCTTAGGTGTTATTGGGTCCACGTCTGAGCTCATAGAATCACCGGCCTCAGAAGCAGAGGTCACCCGGCCTGTATCACCAGCTACCACGTACCATTCTTCCTTTGACGAACCTGAACCACAACGTTCGCGCCATTCGGAATCTCCTTCATCAGATCTGACTGATTTGCCCGTGGCGGGATATCATGATTCTAGAAGGGCTTCAATAGCTGGACCAGACATACGGGACGCTTCCCCTGAAGTACACGAACATGACAAGGAGACCAAATCTCCGACTCCGCGTTCTCCGGCATCGAACCCACCCAATAAAGCAGACAACGTCTCGGTCGCATCAACGGTGGTACCTATACCTTGGGAGTTACATTGTTGTATTTGTTTGAAGCTTCTTCCCTCCTACAAGGAAATGCCATGCTGGTTTTGTGTCCCTTGTTCACGTAGGTTCATCAATCAGATTGATTGCCTTGCGTCAGGGCTGACTTCGATCCTAAGAATTTGTATGTGATGACTGTGAGAGCAGAGAGCTCATACAATGTCAGGCATGTCGCAGAGCTTTCGAGTCGCCTTCGTATTGGTACGGAAGCAACCAGAGTAAGTATTCCTTCTGCCATCTGGACCACTCGCTGATGACTGAATGAATAGATGACACCTTCCTGTGCAACAAGTGTACTCTGAAGGGAAGGACCGCTTCCGGGTGGATGCCAACATACCATACAACTACACATCCGCTCGTTCGCTGCAAGGAACATGTAGAAGATCCGATCGACCCTCCAGAACTGACAACTGAGGAGAGGATTATTGCTCTAGAGACAAGAGTGGGGACCATGGACGAGAAACTGGAAGGCCTAGAGACACGGTTGAGCAGCATGCTGACGGACTTGTTCTCTCATATGGAGCAAAATGTCCTTAGCTTCCTGTCATCGAAGGCGAACGGAGATTCTGCAGTTGGGCCGGCAGACGTGTCGTGATTCAAATTCCGACCTGCTTTCGTGCATAGGCCTGTTAGTAGTGCACGACCCACTTGTTTATAAAGTCAACTGTTCGAGTTCGGTACACGTATATGTAAATGCGAATGAATGCGACGCACGGGAAATAGCAGACAACTTTAAAGTCCTTTGTGGCGGACCGGGAATCCGGAATATAGCTATTCAAGTGACTATGTTCAATGACATGGGATGCCGTCTCCGTCACGTCAGGGAGCAAATATATACCCTCACATGGATATCCTGACCATATAAACAGTTTTATAAGTGTGCCGTCAGTACCCCACATCTACTTGTGCCTAAAACTCTTCAATATGGCCTCCCACCGTCTTCTCTCAGCTTTCAGATCGAAAATCCCAGCCTTCGGTGCATGGATAACATTTTCGGGGACATGGGCGGCTCGAACAGTTGCACTCTCCTCTGAACACATTTCATGGATCCTTATCGACTGTGAACATGGCCTAACGCCCTTGCAGCCAGGTGCAGCTGAGACAATTGCCACTGTGGCTGGCTTAGGGAGTCAAGCACCTAGTGCGATTGTGAGGATCCCTGCGACGGGTATTTGTGCTGATGGAAGTGCTATTTGGCAAATCAAATATGTACTGGATGCTGGTGCGAGAGGAGTGCTTGTGCCAATGGTAATGAATTGACGAACAACCTGATGGTCAATTAACTGAAAACGTATCCTTGTTAGGTGGAGACGGCCGCACAGGCGCGATCTATTGTGTCTGCATCACGCTTCCCTCCTCAGGGTACGAGAGGGTTCGGAAGTCCGTTCACTCAGGCATCTTGGGGACTATCTGCCACAGACTATCTTGAACAAGCCAATGATAGCGTAGTGGTCCTCGGTCAGATTGAGACCCGAGAAGGAGTTCAGAACTTGCAAGAGATCCTGAAAGTCCAAGGATTAGGTGTGGATCGAATCTGAATATAAAATGCCTCCTTTACATATGTTTCGTCTCCTACAGATGGCGTATTCATTGGCCCGTACGACCTTTCACTTTCGTTAGGTCACCCACCGCCTTCGCCGGACCCTGTACCCGCGATTGAGGAGACCATCCAGGACATACTCAAATCGTCTCACGCGGCAGGAAAGAAGTGGTAATGGAAAATTCACTCCAATTATTAGTGCTCTGAATTGAATGTATAATTTACAGCGCGATCTACTGCACGTCTGGTGAACAGGCTGCGAAACGTGCTCAAGAAGGCTTTGACATGGTGTGTCACGGAAAGCATTATGCCTTCACGTCTGCTCATGGTTGTGTACAAAGATCAATGTCACCTCTGATAGTGGTGCGATGGCCGAAAGTATAGCAAAGAACCTAGCCGTCGCCGCTGGTCAATCAATCGCAGGGAGAGAATTTGGATACTAATACTACTCACTACCATCACACATCACTCGCCAACTGACCAAAATCACAAACCGCGAAGGACCATCTGAAATAAACGTAGGAATCAAGTCTATCCGTTGTACATTATCAAACATACCCTTCACACTGAGATCTCATATATCCCGCTACCTGAGATCCTTTTCCACCCATTCTCCTTGCTCGTTGAGCTCTACTTCAAATTTCCATTTTTGTTTGTCCATCCATTGATCTTGCAGGAAGCTGTCCCACCATTTGACGTGTATGTCCCCGTCGAAATCGATGAAGTAGCCTACGACGCGAGGGTCTGGTCCTAAGTACTCATGTCTGTAACGATTTTATTGTAAGGGAATAGGACAGAAATAGACGGAAAAGACACTCACTTTCTCGAAGACACATCATCATCTGTTACGAAGTTCGCCACGCCTTCCGTCAAAGCCGTTCTGTCCACGGGGTCGATATAGTGTTTGTGCACGAACTGATGCAAGTCCTGGCCCGGCCATATTATTCTCACATCTTCTCCATCCTTTGCTAGGTACGATTTTGGCAGATGTACCCTAGCTTTGTATTCAATCGTTTGTTTGATCAATGGCCAACGGTGAATTTGCCAAGCAGTTGCCCGACGGAATGCAGTGATCGACTTGAGAGCGGTCCCTTTGTCAGTTTTAGGCTGAGAAGGTCGACGAAGTGCTGGGTCTATCGCTTCATCCTTCGGTTCTTGTTTTGGTGCCATGAGAAAGTGCGTGATTTAGGAGGAGGATGGTCATGGTGAAGGCGTACTGTAGCAAGATTTTCGTCATGGCAAAAGATTTCCGAGAAAGGCAGGTGAGTTGCCTAATAGGGAATGTAAGATTTCAGACGCCCGATGTAGTCTCGGAATGCAGAGCTCCCGCAGGCACAGAGCAACACATTTCTCACAAGTGTTTTTTCCCCACTCAGGTGAAGGTGAATCGGTAGAAAAATTACGGTCACTCAGCTAGGCTAAGACATATGGTATATGTCAATAATAGTCTAAGCTCTAATTTATGTCGCGATCTGAGCATGACCGCTGCTCTCCCTCCACTGCTTCAACCAATCCGATTCAATCCCTTGCTTCTCCAAAGCAATTTGAATTTTGTTCAATGACCATGTTAACCACGTCTTCTCCTTCGCCTTTAAGCGCTCCTTCCAATCTTGTGGGTATTCCACCTCTTTGACATCCGTTTTCTTGAGCAGATCCCGTAAGCTGGGTAGTAGAGCTTTCGCAACTGTCAAGGATTCGGGGCTTCCAGTCTTAAAGCAAGCCGAAGTGACCATAGCACAAGCGACGAGGTCGCTCGAGATTGGAGGAAGGTTATAGGCTTTGTACAGAGCGACAAGCGTCATCGTATCGGTGATGGGGTGCTCCACATGAAGGGAATGCAGGAGTTGGCGAGCAGCCTTCTCTGAGGACAAGTCAAAACCGTACTTAGAATGGTCGCTGAAAACCTTCAAGGCTAGACCTGGACAATGAAGTTCCTCGCAGCGGCCTGATCACACATAAGATGACTTCGAAGCACGGGGAGAACGAAAGACTCACGAACGAAAGTGTCGCAATGAGTAGTCGTCCAAGGTCTCCTTGACTCCCTCCACTTCGGAAATAACTCTACGACATTCTCCAACTGCTCTTTCGTAGTGGCCAGCGAAAACAGATGTTGCCATTCGGTTTTGCGAACCTGAAGCGCGTCATGTACCTTTGGCTTCAAGCCTATTCTGTCCGAAACGAATTTGAAGAGCCTATTGAACCGCCTAAGACGCTCTTCCGGGCTCAAGCTAGCTCTGCTGCTTCCCGGTTGTACAGTACCGTCGGACTTGGATGCATCATTAGATGCGCCGAACATGTCGTCCTCTTCACCGTCAAAAAGGTCATCTGAGGCAAAGAGGTCGTCGCTCTCCTGCACAGTCTTGTGCTTCTTCTTGAGTGCTACAAGTTGCATTTCAGCACGATACTAATTAAAGCACAGAGAACGACTCACCAATTGGCGTTTGATGCAGACATCGCCTTAGAGCAATTTCTTGAGCTCGTTGATGTCCTACATGGAAAGCAGGGACGACGCTACGTGAGAGGCGAGCGACACCACGAATGCTGGCCATCCTGACTTTTGAATGAATAAGTTCAGGAAGAAGAGAGGACGCCACAAGCCAAACACACGCAAAGGATCATACCGAGTTAGACGCTCTGCCTTCGAGTCTTCCGACTTGAGTCAACTAGCAGCGATTGGACTTTTTCCTCGGGACATTCAGGAAGTTCAAATATTGCAGGACCCGTATTGAGGTTTCCTCGCTACAAGGACTTTTGAATATGCTTCTTTTTTAGAAACTTGACGACCTTAATCCCTTAGATCTTCCCCGAGCCGCCAATCTATTGATGTGTTCATCTTCTGCAGATATACTAGGTCAGCCATGATGGGAAGTAATGGGAATGCCTGAATGCGTGATGTGGTCCGACTTCGACCAGATGTGTTCGATTGCGTATAACCATCTAACGCTAACGTTGAACGTTAACGCTTGACGCATTGAGTTGGTGCGGCCCTTGTTATTGTTTCAGCTTCTTTCTTGCCTTCACCGCACGATGCTTGTCATGCGTGTCCTTTATGCACTGCTTGCCTCGTTAATGAGCTCTCTGGATGATGCCTCAGATCCCAGGCCTGCATTACCTGATCTATACGAAGCATCTGTGACAGAACTACAGGTATGGATGTCGAATCCTATAAAAGTTCTTCATATAATGTGCATTCTTATAGGTCGGCTTGGATGCAGGTCACTTCACAAGCGTTTATCTAGTGAAGGTACTCATTTGACAGATATTCTTGACACACAAGACAGCGGTAACCGAACCTGTTCCAGGCATACTTGGCCCGTATCGATGAAGTGAACCTCAAAGGCCCCGAGTTACGCGCAGTACTTGAGATAAACCCTTCTGCTTTGGGCCAGGCAGCAATTCTAGACAAAGAACGCGAGAGATTCGGGAGACGGAGTTTGCTTCACGGAATCCCTGTCTTGCTCAAGGATAACATTGCGACTAATGTATCCGAAGGTATTCAGTCACAGCGTCTCGCATATGGAATACGGATAATGTGGAACGAAATCTGTAGGCATGAATACCACAGCTGGATCCTTCGGCTTACTTCGTTCGATCGTGCCTGATGATGCTGGGGTAGTAAAACGACTCCGAAAAGCAGGCGCTATCATCCTCGGTACCCGTCCTCTCATCACATCTCTGTTCCTGGACGCGATATCTAAAATCCTCACGCCTGCTGCTAGGGAAAATCAACTTATCAGAATTCTCTCAGGCACGCGGCAAGTTGGCTTCAGGATGGTCAGGACGCGGTGGACAAGGTACCGGCGCCTACTTTCCTCATGCGGACCCTTGCGGGTCATCCAGTGGTTCAGGCGTCGCTGCTTCAATAGGACTCGCAGCAATTACGCTAGGTTCAGAGACGGATGGGAGTATCACTTGTCCTTGGAGTAATAACAACTTGGTCGGTATCAAGCCTACAGTGGGACTGACCTCTAGGGCAGGAGGTGGGTACCAAAAACGTGAAGTATTTTGTGAAAATTGAAGACAAATTTGAATTCTGTGCAATGCAGTCATACCGATATCCAACCAGTTGAGTCATTTTGATTATTTTGGCTTTCAATGCAATGGTTCGCTCAGTATCTGACGCGGCCATAGTGCTATCCGTTATTGCTGGCCCCGACCCCAACGACAACTTCACCCTCACCCAGCCTATTCCAGTTCCTGACTTCACACATGCTCTGACGAGACACTTCGAGGCAAACGGATCGGCGTCCCTAGAAGGGTGTTTTTGAATGAGAGTATCACAAGAAATGACCCTTTCGTGAACGTGGCTTTTGAGGAGGCGTTACAGACAATCGAACCGCTGGGTGCGATTATTGTAGATCCTGCGGATTTACCGAGTGCAGATGAGATCGCCGTATCAGGGAATGAGACTTTTGTGCTTACGGTGGACTTAAAGGTGTGTATGTCTATTTTGTAAGGCTATGTACGGCTTCAGTTAGAGTTTTATCAAATGATGATTTCCCTATGACAGATTCAATTGACAGCATACTTCAATGAACTTCTTACGAACCCATCCGGCGTTCGCTCAATTGCTCAGCTCATCCAATTCAACGATAACAATGCCCAACTTGAGAAACCTCCTCGGTATGAAGACCAATCCATGTGCGCTATTTTCCCTATTCGACGGGTCTCTTGTCACGATGTCATTATCCTAGTTTCTTAAGGGCAAGATCGATTGAAGGAATGAATTCGACATACTACGCCTTGCTAGCGACTAACAAAGACTTGGGCGCAACCCGAGGGATCGATGCTGCTCTAAAGGCGCACAACCTCGACGCATTAGTCCTTCCAGCACCAGGGTTCACAACTGTTCCAGCGGGTGAGCATCAGGAGGCTATGGGAATGATGGACGTCCTTAACATACTAACTCCATAACAGACATTGCCGGATATCCAATCGTCACTGGTATTGCACCTTTTTAATTATCAACAGCTGGTTCTTACTTTTATTCACACTATTTTTTGTGTTTCTCTCACTAGTTCCACTGGGCTTTTACCCTTCAAACGTGACGATCGGCTTGGCAGGTCCCGAGACAGTCTATCCAGCCCCGGGTGTGCCATTCGGACTCTCCTTCCTCGGGACAGCGTTCAGCGAGATGGAGTTAATTAGTTTCGCTTTTGCGTACGAGCAGAAGACGCAGACTAGATTGAAGAGGAAGGCATTCTTCGAGGGCATCCCGAAAACACAACTGATTGATGTTATTGAAAAGTAATGTAATGGATGTCCTCGAGTTAACCCAGGTTGACGATAAACTTAAACGTTCGACCATCAACATCTGCGCGACCTCAAATCAAAGTTGTTACTTTCTCTACGATTCAGCTGTCTAATGGCTCTGATTGCACTTCTTCCTCAGGTCAAGATCAAATATATCATGTGTCTGCTGCCCTTATGCCAACTCGCGATACGCATCTACAAAGCCTTCAGTGCTGTAAGTTTGAAATTTCCTCATTTTGTATTTCTCACTTTTTGCAATTGCATATCTCATCGGAAGCGGTATTATTTTGCAATATTGCAGCCTACCGATGGTCCGGTTTCTAATTTTAATAGGCGGCTTCTAGTCACCCGCGACCGCATGCTGTCCAATTCTCCATCTCATTGTCTCTCACCACCGGTATGAGAACGGACCAGACACAGCTTTCCTTTACGACAATATGATATCTTTGACCCATTTCTCCCACCAACGTCATACAATATCTGTGAGTGATGGAACTTATTAAAAGATTTCCATTGAATTCTGCTCACACACCCACAAGATCGCAGACTATACAAGCCCAGTATCAACCTAGTCTTCTTGGTGATGATAGGAAGCCTGAACGCGCGTGACGTAGTCCGGCCGGATGATTTCAACTGTGTATAAACATCGGACACTGGGGGGTTGCATGTGAGGACACGACTAACGCGTCATTGGACATCGTTTACCTACCCCCTGCCCTCATTATTGCATCTTTTTTCCGCGATGCGAGTCCTACGCGTCGTCTTGTTACTGGTCGCTTCTTTCTCAGTTACTGTCGATGCAGCCTCAGATGTCAAGCCCGCATTACCTGACCTCTATGAGGCTTCGGTAACGGAACTTCAGGTAAATGCTCGTTTGAAAATGTCTAAACACTTCATTAAGGTTGCGTCCACACAGGCTGCTTTGGACGCAGGTCATTTCACAAGTGTTGAGTTAGTGAAGGTGCGCTTTCCCCTCATTCTTCATGCGTGCTATTGTTTCAAAGTTGGTTCGATCTTGACCCACACCTCCAGGCATACTTCTCTCGTATCGACGAAGTGAACCTCAAGGGTCCTGAGCTGCGTGCAGTCCTTGAGACAAATCCATCCGCGCTCAGTCAAGCAGCAACTCTAGACAAAGAACGCAAGAAGTCTGGGAAACGAAGTCTGCTCCATGGAATCCCTGTTCTGCTCAAAGACAATATCGCGACTATCGCGACTGAAGGTATGATAACACAACACGAGATGACTGAAAGCGAATAACGCCGAGCAATTTCATAGGCATGAATACAACAGCTGGATCTTTCAGCTTGCTCGGCTCAGTTGTTCCGGACGACGCTGGTGTTGTGAAACGACTGCGCAAAGCTGGCGCGATCATCCTAGGTACACCAAGGCTGTTCTCTTCTCAGAATAATAGTAGGACTCAATCATTCCTCTTCCTTAGGGAAAGCGAATTTGTCCGAATTCGCTCATTTCCGAGGCAACCTGGCATCAGGCTGGTCAGGTCGCGGGGGTCAATGCACCAATGCCTACTTTCCTCACGCTGACCCTTGCGGGTCATCCAGTGGGTCGGGCGTGGCTGCTTCAATAGGACTCGCCGCAGTCACTTTGGGTTCAGAAACAGATGGGAGTATTACTTGTCCTTCGAGTAATAATAACCTAGTTGGCATTAAGCCTACTGTTGGGTTGACTTCGAGAGCGGGGGGTAAGCGTCGCAATTTCGGATAATTGAAAAGTAAAAGAAAAACTGACGTTTCCTCTTGCACAGTCGTACCCATATCCAATCAGTGAGTGTCTTCTTTCTTCGAAGTCGTTGGTCAACTTACCGAGAACAGTCAAGATACTATAGGCCCAATGGTCCGCTCCGTTTCAGACGCAGCCATAGTGCTATCCATAATAGCTGGCCCAGATCCAAACGACAATTTCACCCTCGCTCAACCTACACCTGTCCCCGACTTCACACGCGCGCTCACAAATCCAAACGCACTCCGAGGCAGGCGGATTGGCGTCCCTCGAAGAGTGTTTTTGAATGATGGTGTCACAGGCAATGACCCATTTGTTAACGTGGCTTTTCAAGAAGCGTTAGAGACGATCAAACGTTTGGGAGCAACTGTGGTTGATCCTGCAGATTTACCGAGTGCGGATGAGATCGTTGTGTCGGATAACGAGACCTTTGTGTTGGATGTGGACTTCAAGGTACGCTCATACGATCTGGCGCATGCCCAATATTGAGCTCAGTTTTAATGTTTTCTATGATTGCGATACTAATAGATTCAGTTGAACGCGTATTACGCTGCATTGTTAAAGAATCCGTCAGGCGTTCGTTCGCTTGCACAGCTCATCCAATTCAACGATGACAATCTTGCATTGGAAGAACCTCCGCGTTTCGAGGACCAATCTCAGTAGGTGGTTTGCACGATCTTTGCATGCGTACTCGATTGCTGATCTCACTATGATAACAGACTAATTGAATCCGAGGCAACTACAGGAATGAACTCAACTTGTTTCGCGGCTCTTGCATTTGACAAAGACCTTGGCGCTACTCGAGGCATCGACGCTGCCCTCAAAGCACATCAGCTCGATGCCTTGGTATTACCAGCACAAGGATTCACAACTGTTCCCGCAGGTAAGTCATGCTCATTCAAATTCTGCTCGCGAATCTCATTGACTTATCTTATGTTTCACGATAGCCATAGCCGGGTATCCCATCGTCACCGGTAACTCATCTTTCCGATCTTCAAAATGGACACACAGACCCCTTTACTCATTACCTTACCCCTTTTTTTCTAAATTAAAACAGTCCCGCTCGGGTTTTACCCTTCCAATGTGACGATCGCTCTAGCAGGCCCGGAGACAGTATATCCCGCTCCAGGCGTACCTTTTGGCTTATCATTTCTTGGGACGGCGTTCAGCGAGATGGAATTGATCAGTTTCGCGTTTGCATACGAACAAAAGACTCAGACTAGGCTGAAGAGGAGGGCATTTCTGGAGGCGATTCCGAAGACACAGTTGATTGATGTCATTGGGAAGTAACATATATAGCGGGATGCCAACGGGAGTCACTTGTGAGTATATTTTGAACGCTACCGGCTTATCACTGCTCAGACTGGTGCTTGTGTTAATGTGTCTCACGCAGGATAACCCTCGGGTTGTATTTCATGTGGTGTAGCAGCTATGTATATGTGCGCAGTCAATCTGAATACACCCGAAGAATACTTGCGATAGCACAAATAAGTTTCAGACAAAGATATCTTAGGATTGTCTAGAGAATATTTTCGATGAAAATATTATAAAAACATTAAAGGAAGGCGCTATAGCCAAGTGGTTACGGCGACAGATTAGAATCAATGTACAGTACTTTCGAGTACAAATGATCTGTTCCTCTTTGAGGGCGCAGGTTCGAATCCTGCTGGCGTCGTGCGTTTTCAGGTTTTCTGTTTTTTTTTTTGGATGAGAGCACAAGGAATATCCTTTATTTATAGCGTTGCAGAACTTATCTGCTTGGTAAATATAGTAATGTAAATACGAAAAAAAAGCTTGAAGATAACTTTCAATGGGAGGTTAGGAGTTGTGGCGGGATGTTCATTTCTTATCTTTCGCCTTCTTCGATAACAAAAGGCAAAACGCCGCGGATGAACTTTGCATTCAGAATCACAGTTCGGTTGGCAACTAGGCCGGGTATCAAGAAAAATCGTATGGCTCAGATAGGCTAAGCTAAGAAGACTGCAATTACACTGATACGCAACTGGTTCCTAGACTACCAGATACATTCGAAGATCGGAGTTCTTACAGGGACATCTCAGGCACGTTTTGTGTCAAAGTTTGACAAACTGTGAGCATGTCCTGTCGCTTGGACGAGAAGCAGTGTACTCGTGTGCCGTCATATTACGGAAAGAGGAAGAGTAGAATGAATGAGTACCTCCTGTACCTCGATCTAGTGGAATGCTAAAGGATGCTAAGGGAAAGATAGCCGGAGGCAAGACTTCTCATTAAGAAGATAGACTACGCATGGGGCCGAGGCAAAACTCCCAAGCGGGCTTGTGGCAGATAGATGGTACGGTGTGCCAGTGATTGACAGAAGCGGCTGTGAGAGGATGCTGCGATGTTAGGCAGGTGTCTTGAGTGCGTACGACCGGGGACGGTTGCGACGTAGGAACTGAATTTATTTTGTGAATAGGATGGTCAGAAGAGGACGATGGAGTGCAATGCGGGGTCGGTGTGTTGGGGAAGACAGGAGGCGCTCTGGACGCCGTCCGTCGTTATCGGGAACGACGAGGCTTGCCATAAAAGGCTAGTGGTGCTTGCGATAAGGATGCGTGATCTGTGATCGAGTAGTTCCATTGATGGTCTCCGTGATGAGTCCAGCGTTCACTTCAAGCAAAATCGAGCAAAGGGTGTTCGCCATCGAGCGACACGATGAACAGCACGGGCGGTGTGACGGCAGAGGCAGGCTCGTTGATGTTTGCTTGGCAGAGGGTGGGAGGTTCCTGATGGTGGCAGGGACGGTTGGAGAAGAGCTGTCAGGGAGATAAGGCAGGCGGTGTTCATTGGGCGATAACGATGTCTGCAATATTTCACCTGCCATCTCTGCAAGCACCAGCCAAGCGGTTCTCTCTGCCATTCTCGGCTTCCCGTGCGCCCTTTAATCTCCAGCCCTCTGCTCTTCTCTCCTTCTTTCGTCCCTTTCCACGCAGAACTCTCTTTTCTCTCTGCAACCAGCACACAAGTTGCTGCGACAACGACCGGCTCCCTATACGACCACAGTGACTAGCCGCTCCCCGCTAGCTCAGCAATAATGGTCAACATCACCTACGATGAATGTAAGTGCATTTGCCTCGTTGTCCGTGACTAGTAGCAACCCCTTTCTGACCTTCGTGTTCAACAGCTGGGTCGATGGTCGCCACCGCCCCAGACGGCACCGCGACTGTGTACGACCTCGGCGACATTGCCTGGGTCCTTGCCTGTACAGCACTCGTCTGGATCATGATTCCTGGCGTCGGTTTCTTCTACTCTGGTCTATTACGGCGTAAAAATGCACTTTCAATGATATGGCTTTCAATGATGTGTGTAGCCGTTGTCTCGTTCCAAGTGAGTCTGCGTCTATCCAGCTGCTATTACGTCCATACTGATCGGACGCCTATAGTGGTTCTTCTGGGGGTAAGCAGCTGCTGAAGGATCGGCAATATCGATTCCATATTCAATTTGCGACCTTCTAGATTCTCGTTAGCGTTCAGTGAGACTGGTAGCGCGTACATTGGCAACCTCAGTGAGTGGTCTATGGCACCTTCAACCACGCCCAAGCTCACATGCACACCATCTAGAATACTTCGGTCTCAAGGGCGTCCTTGATCAACCATCTATCGGAAGCACGCGTATCCCGTCGCTTGTTTTCTGTGTCTACCAGCTGATGTTCGCCGCCATCACGTATGTTTCTCACCATTCATCCCTCCCGATGCTTGTTTTATCCTTGAATGTCAACTGACCTATCGACCTCTCACCCGTTTCAGACCCATGCTTGCTGTCGGTGCCATTGCTGAACGCGGCCGCCTCGGTCCCATCATGGTCTTCGTCTTCGTATGGTCAACAATCGTGTATGACCCTATCGCCTGCTGGACATGGAATTCTAACGGTTGGTCCTTCGTTATGGGAGGATACGATTTCGCCGGTGGAACTCCGGTGCATATCTCTTCCGGTACTGCTGCTCTCGCTATCTCCGTCTACCTCGGTAAACGTCGTGGATACGGAACCGAACGCCTCGCATATAAGCCTCATAACACCACTTATGTGGTACTGGGAACGGTGTTCCTTTGGTTCGGCTGGTTCGGATTCAACGGTGGAAGTGCCTTGGGTGCGAACTTGAGGGCTATCCAAGCTTGCATTGTTACCAACTTGGCCGCTAGCGTCGGTGGTTTGACTTGGATGCTCTGGGTCAGTATATGCATCGCTGTTTGGTACCTACCAGTCGATGCTCACTCACTTTTAGGACTACCGTCTTGAACGCAAATGGTCTGCTGTCGGCTTCTGCTCGGGTGCGATCGCAGGTTTGGTCGCCATCACCCCGGGATCAGGTTTCGTCGGTGCACCCGCTGCCGTACTCTTCGGTTTCATGGCTGGCACCATTTGCAACTTTGCCACTCAGCTCAAGTTCTACCTCGGCTATGATGACTGCCTCGATATCTTCGCCTCACACGGTGTCGGTGGTATCGTCGGTAACGTACGTCCGCTTCTTTGTTTCGGGGTCTTATGCAGTGTAGCTCATGACATTGAATTGTATCATACTAGCTTCTGACCGGTCTCTTCGCCCAAGCAAGTGTCGCAGGCTTCGATGGCATCGCCGACATCCCCGGAGGCTGGCTCGACCACCACTACATCCAACTCGCCTACCAGCTCGCCGACTCCGCCGCTGGTTTCGGGTACTCCTTTGTTCTCACCACCATCATCCTCTGGATCATGCATTACATCCCTGGCCTGCGTCTTCGAGCCACAGAAGAAGCCGAGATCCTTGGCATCGACGACGCGGAGATGGGTGAATTTGCGTATGACTATGTTGGCATCGATGCGGGGAATACGCATGAGTTCCATGATGATACGCATAGTCATGGGGATGTTCCTGCTTCGACGGGTGGTCGTGAACCGAGGCATATACATAGTGAACTTGCGAAGGGTGGGAGCAGTGAGGGCAGTGATGTGGAGAAGCAACATGCTTGAGATGAAGGAATTCAAGCGAGGGGGAAGGGGGAGGTGTAGCTGTTGTGTGCAATTTGCGTGGATCATTCGGATCGGCGAGTATTCTTTCTTTTTCGAGTCTGTTCTCATTAGGCTCTGCTACGCTATCGTCATGACCTCTTTCTTTTTCGGATCTTTATGTGGACGGTAGGACGAGGCAGGCGAAGACTCGAAGTGTTCATTAATTTCTTCTCTTTTTTTTTATCTTTCCGTTTCGATGTCCTTTCTCTGCATTGCCTCCCCATCTCCTTCCCTCTCCTCTCTCGCCTCGCAAGCTCCAGTGCATTAAGTACTGTTGTTGCCATCATTGTCATGATCATCGCCTGCCTTCGTAAAAACGTATTGGCTTATCACTAGCTACTTAAATTCCGAACTCTGTACTCTACTATAAATCTATTCATGTCGGACGGAAATCACTTCCAATTTATCTTAGATTTGATTGTATCCGTCGGTCTGGCGGAGGTTGTCCTTATATTCATTCGAGTGATCGGCGCATCACACTGATCTGATCGGCGGTCCGACAGTTTATGCGCCCGTTACACAAACTCAAAGGTCCAGCACGCGTACCTGTCCGAAGAAGACACTGACCACTGGTCCTAAGTACCTCCCGATAAATTCTACATCTTAGGCGAAGACACTTGCCAACCTTCTCCAATCTCTCGTGTCATGAATATTGGCCTTCAGGCATTGATCGAACCCCTGTTGTTCACTGCATAGTAGATGAGTACCTGAGTATGGCGTGAATCGACGAACTCACGCTCCAATGACTGCGCCAGAGTGTTGAAGCTTTTCCACCACAGAGGCAGAGCCTGAATGTAGTGTGTTAAAGAACCAAGCGGCTCCCTGTATGGTGTTTGAACCCAGTCCGCATCGCGCTCCCCTTCTACGCGTTTGTTTTTTTGATGACTTGTCAATGAATTTTCTGTAGACATGCTGAAGCCGATTAGCAGAAACTAATTGCGCCTGATAGTTGGTTCACGAAGGAGGAAGATGTCGAGGATCCTGGGATTGGTATCTATATAAGACTGCTAAGGGCGTGGAGCAGACAGTGCGTTTTCTCGACCACAGCCTCGATGCTTCTCTCTATTGATGGTACGTATTATGAAGAACACGTTAATTGGGCGAGGCCTGTTCATATTGTTTGCCACTGTAGTTGGACCAGCGTAAATAACTCACTGTTACATTACACCAACAGGAAAGCTAGGATTCTCTGTTCTTCAGTAATGAACATGCAGAGACTCGAGAGCCGCCAGGGCATGTGTTTCATTCGTTTCACAGACCTCAAGATTTCATTCAAATTGGACCCTAGTGGGGTCGCCGTCGAAGATACGATCGGTCCAGATCGACGCGCCGATCGCGTCGTAGACTCCGAAAACATCCCTTCAGTAGAAGACAGTTTGGCCTCTACCTGAAAATTGCAACTACCCAGCCATTGTCTGTCTGTAAAAAGAGCAGAATTAACATATACAAGAGCACGAGTGTACATCATTGAACTTCGACTTATTGCATGCACTGCCAGCGCCCAGCGCCCTATAAAGCCCATCAAAACTTGGCAAGCTAGTAGTAGTACCCCATTTGGCGACAAGAATATGTTGCTTAACCATTGCGTTGTGGTTCTTCTTTTACCATGACCTACACATTCTCCCATTAACAGCCCTCTTCGCTCTTGAGGAGAATTCTACCTCCCAAGCTTACCCTTCAACGTGCCAGGTCTTTCCGAGTCGGTGTCCATGGCTATTGGTCCCTACAACGCAACCGCGTTGATCGTAGATAATTTGGATCCGAGTATCGTTTACTCCAGCTTCTGGTTTCCTCAAGGCAGTGGCAGTGGTCGCCCCAACTTGCCTGCTAGCGTCATCGGAGGAGACGTAGACCCGGATTATATGCAGAGTGTACATCTTACACAGACGAACAGTGAAACGGCGATATTCTCTTTCAGTGGTTAGTCACTCGACTCCGTATGGTGACGAATCTTTCATAATGAACCAGCTTGTCAGGTACAGGCATTGAGGTATTTGGCTCGATAGGCCCTAAGGATTGGGGAGGCTTTCCGGTATCTCGGTATACCCTGGAGACAAATCCAACCGTTGACTACAAGGCGACGCCAAATGACCAGTATCAGGTCAATGTTTCATTCTTCAAGTCACCAATACTCGATGACGGACACCACACACTCCTTATAACTAACCGACCCTGTCAGACCCTCGGACAAAGCTGCAAATTCCTGCTGGATTACGTTGTCTATACCCCATCATCAACTGTATCCGTGTCATCACTTTCGACGGCCCCCTCCACTTTACCCCCCTCACAAACGGGGACAGACTCTAGTTCGAGTTCATCGAAAGTATCTGTCGGCGTGATTGTGGGACCAGTGATTGGAGGGATAGTGTTATTGTCGTTGATCGGGACACTTTTCATTTGGTATGCACGGAGACTGAGACGACAGTATGCCACCAATAGAGTGAACGTTCTTCAACCTGGTTCGTACATGAGTCTTTCTGTCATTTCATAAAACATTGAGCTTATGTACTCTCTTCATTTCAGAGCTCCACCGGGAATCCTCACAAGAATCCATAACAGAACGCAACGATGATCATGCATCAGTTCCCGGGCCCTCGATTGTCCCATACACACTCACCCGACATTCTTCAGGTGCCGCGTTATCCGAGCTTCCCAATGTAGCGGGTTTGACTGCTGGAACATCTACTACACGAGGGCCGAGTAGTAGTCGCATCTCAAAGGCGATGTATCGCGCAGTTAGCGGTACTGAAAATCCTGCGGACATTCTTCAGGATGCACCTCCTGCGTATACTCCGCGTAATGCTTCCTAGGTGCTCTATCCTTGTTGTCGCTGGCCGCATTCTCGCATTTACATTGTGTTTTCATGCAATTCAGATCCCGTTATGTGGTCTCCGACCGTTTTATGAGCTGGCATGTGTTCGATGAACGACGCTGATAAGATTTCGAGCTTGTCCAACAAAGCAAAATCACGATTTGTGCGATGGCCATTGCTGGCACGTAGCCTGCAGAGGTTCTATGCGATAGAGCATTATAATCATTCTCTCTAAGCCATTTGCGATCCACAGCCATTCTGGAAACTGAAGGTCTTGGTCATCCGTCTTTGGTAGCGCCATAGCCTCCGCTAACGTACTTAAAGACACTCGCCAAAACCGTCCGCCGAATATGTACATTTTGTGCAAGCTGCGAAATCTGCTATTACTTACATTTATTGCGCCCTTCTACCTAATTTTTCAAAACTGCACCCTAGGATTCACAAGCATCATACTATGCATAGAATGACTTCCTTGCATGCATTCCCGCTCTATTGCTGTAATACGTTTGGGGTTAACTGGATTGCGAAGGACAGGGATTGTGCGCCAGACCTATATGGCTGAATGTCCGCTCTGTTGCAGCGGAATTGAGAACAATACTGAGGGACATGGATTGTGACCTTAATCAGGACCCCTGAATTAATATGCACTCAGAGCCTATATACGAAAATACCTAATTTTTGACCCTTCCGTCCGCACAATTTCAGGCTATTTTGGCCAACCAAACATCCGCATTGGGATAGAAGATGCCTTTTCGGGGAACCGTCCGTCCGCATTGAAGGATATAGGCTCGAATTCGATGGATCATCATATCATGTCCGCATTAAAGGATATAAGCTCGAAAATGATGACTTGTTCAGATGATAGCACTAGTACTCACTGTAGTAAGGACAACAGGTGGACTCAGACATAGTAATAATAAGTGGGACCTGAACATGTATTACTATTATTTGCCGCTTCATCTGATGCCATAGACACCACTGCTGCATCATCGGCCTTGACATCCGCTCTCATGCTTTCCTTCAGCTGAGACTGACCGAGACTGTGAAGGTCAGTTGAGTTCAAAGAGATTTTGGAGCCGTATACACATTTATTTCTTTGGTGCTATAGGAGATAGTAATGTTTCAAATAACTACAGCATCCTACGACCACCAGCTCGCCTCATCCGTCCACACAGAGGATCGGACATCAGTCTCTATATGGCACTTCTGGCCGGTAAAAGTATACATGCTCGGCCAAATTTTTGGCCTTTCCGTCCGCATTAATATCGTACCTGAGGGATATCTTTTGACCATATCCGCACGCCGTATATAGGCTCTTCGGGGGTCCTCCTTAATCGCTCCGTTTTGACCATTGATCGACTGGTCGTGCGGTGCAGATAGCAACGACTTCCGGAACACTTAGTTTCTAAATTTGGTAGGTGACCTGCCATTTCTGGACGTCCGACCTTGGCCGTCGGTAGGACCCGGGTCGCCGTGACGATTTTGACCTTCTTGACTTGATGTCTGAATTCTGAAAGGCTGCATTCAGCCTTTGTTCAGCCTGTACGTTGACATTTCTTAGTTTAGTTGACCTATTCCGTCATGAACCTGCCTCCCGAGCTCCTTACAGTGATTCTGGAATTGGCCATATGCGATAACTCACATGGAAGACCCAGTGACATTCTTCGAGTCAACTCAACGTTCCGCACTATCGGCGAACAGGTTCTGTATAAGAACTTGAAATTCTATAGCAGTCATCAATTACAACTGTTTTCAGAGGGAAAGTCCCCGGTGAAACGGAACCCACGCACATTATTGGTCCAGCTGTCTGGAGGTTCGACCGATTTCGACGTCTTCATACACCTCGCCGGCGTGCTACGACGTTGTGGTGCAAGGCTTCCATGTCCCACTTCATTCGACGAGGGATATCAAATCCCACTCGAGAGATTCTCCCTGTGTCTACACTCACATGCTCGTAATCCACACCTTCGATATGTCTATGAGGCACTTAGTCTCGCAAAGTAGGGTCATGTCAAACCTCAACCTTGAGTCTGTGGTCTCATTCTAAGTTTCCTAGTCCCAAGATATTTGAATGGATGGGGCCCGATCCGAAGCACCATTTTTCGATAGCGGCGAGTATTTTTATACATGGGCAAATGTTTGACTGAATCATGACTTCCCATTCAGATTGTCCCAACAGCTGCCCATCATCTTTTCAAGGCAATCGCAACGTGGTCAGCGATTGAGCATATCGTTTTAACAAACCTATCCTTTCCGCCTGAATACTTAGGTATTCCCGTTCCGACATCTCCACCCAAACCCCTACTACCACCATTGTCTTCCCTTCGAACGCTCTACCTTGGCCAAGCCACGTTCGTAAATCCTAACACCATTGCGGCTACGGTTTGCCTTCCAGATCAGCACAATCTGGAATCTGTCCACCTCGTCGATACATACCGAGAGAGCATTTGGGGTCCAAGAATTCGACGTTCAGATCTCGAGCATGCTTCTCTTACGTTCCAGATCGAAATGCCACCTGATGCTCGTATAGCTCGGATCCGGCAAATAGTCAAATGCGAGGCTCTTACAGAGAGAATCATGGGTGGAGACCGTGTTGAGGGCCTTTTGACCCTCGATTGAATTAAGCTTCGCCACGTTGTCACCCCCCCTTCTGATACATTGGTCCCGATAGGCCTTCCTCGCTCCACCTTCTTTGACGGATCTTGACTCTGCGGCAACAACGCGAACATGCCCCAATGGTGTCCCACTCGGCAATATGACATAATCACATCTTGCAGCATGTCTCAGCCAAAGAACGGGCGTGCTATTGCCACTGGCGAGAATCATTTGCATTTCCATGCCTTGCAACTGACTGGACGCCACAGGCCTTCTTTTATCCATTTACGTCATTTGCAGACCGAATATTCTAAATATGTAGACGCAACGATGAAGCATCGTTATGCGTCATGCGATTGTCTATGGCCGCCAGCAAACTGCCGACATAATATAATACAGTAGTCAGAATAAACGATAGACTGTATATGTACAATATGTTATTTCGTATAGAGGTATCGCAAATTACAATCACCTCGGGAAATGCTCTAGAGCATGTTCCCTGGGCGTGACCTGGATGGAATCGTCAACGTCAATCACAACTTCTTCTGTTATTTCCACCGCAATTCTTCCTTGAGCACGTAGCCGCATTTCCATGTTGTCCATGCCGTCATGACGTTCTACCGGCCTGTCGTTCTCTTCGATCTGCTCTTCATCGTACCATTGTGAAATAGGAGCCCCCAAATTCCCCACGATGCTGGCTTCGAAGGTCCGTTCTGCATCCGAAATAGTATACATTGAAGAATAAGTGGCAGATGGCTGGGAATCCGCACCCATGTGAATTGAGGGAAGACCAGAATTTGCTGAAAATTGATACGGCATGACGGGTTTGCGGCGCATTGCTTCTCGACGAAGGTTCAGCATAAGTCGTGAAACCATGAGACTCGTAATGCTAGATTAGATGTCTCAACATCAACATACGACCAAAAAGTATAGGATGCTCACAGTGTGCTAAAACTCGCAGTGACTGCCTTCAAATCGGCCTAAGTGGAGAAGCGTTAGAATATGATCAACTTTCGTAAGTCTGATACATACAGTTGCTGTCTGTACCGCAGTTTAGATTCGTTATAACTTTAGGAAATAATGTCTGCAAGCACTCACGAGGAACAATGTAACAGTGACAACATTTGAAACAAAAATCGCGGCGAAGTACATGATACCTAGTGCGAACTTATGAGAACTGTGAATAAAAACAACTAATTTCTCGACATACCATCTCGCATGATCACACGAACGAGTGAATGTGCAGCTCCAAAATCCGAAGTGCGATATAGATTGATCGTTCGGTAGAGTGTTGCAATGAAAACAAGTGTGTCTAGGGAGGTGGCTTTGATGAGAATACTCTGACGATGGACTAGGGCGAGTACTGGTCTCACCAAACACTAGCTCGGCCACCCAGGTATACACGAAACGCTTCCCGCTATGGTGAAGTGTTAGCATCAACGCCACCGTCCCACTGCAGAACGATAAGTGGTTAACTCACGAAGCAGACTTTCCCACAAGAATGCATCCAATCAGTTCTGAATAAGGCCCTCATAATCAGCCAGCCATGAGTAATAAACAAGACCGCGAGCATACCGGGTGGTAGGACTAATTGAGTCCCATCCGTGAAGGCCCACTATCCTCATAATGCATCAGTGAGTGAGAGCTAAACCTGTGCTTGAGAGACTGACAATCTTCACGGCAATTTCTGCGACTAGCAGAAGACTGAACGTGACAAGTATTGGAAAACTTCGCGAATATATGGAGTAAAGTCGTAGAATGAATATCACTAGGGTCGTTGTGGAATCAGTATCTTTCTGGTACCTAGTGAGATGAATGGGCCTTACCGCCAACAACGAAAGCTGTAAATATCTTTAGGATTTCGGGATATAGAACGTAGTGATTGCAGATAGATTCCCTCCAAGGATCGTGAAATGCTGCAAACGGTGTCAGCAAGACACATAGAGGGATTGTCTCTACCTACACACTATGATTACGATATATCCTAAAGGGGAGAGGTATCGGTTCTGTGAAAGATGTTATTAATATATGCACAGGATGTAAGAATGGGTTCTCCGATGAAATGCCCTACCAAGAACCAGAGAACCGTCGCGCCTGTGAAACGCTGCTTCCAAATCTTCTCCACCTCGTCGCCGAATGTAATGGTCATGTCGTAGAAGAGCATCACTATTTGCTTAAGCGTTATAATCGCATCCCATCGCAACTAAAGGTCAACTCACCACACGAAGCTAGAGAGAACATCTTAGCTGCCATACTGACCCATTTCGCAAGGTACCTTGTTAATCGATAACTATTATTCGCTTAGACTGAGACATACAGATGTTCAGCAGCCGTATCGAGCTGCGGCGCTGTGAGTTCGACGCTCATGGTTGAACGTTAGACCTTGAGCGGCTCGTGCAATACTTGAAAAGACAGGCTGGAGCCCGGGAAGGGCTTGGAATAGGGTCCAGGACAAGATGGCAACGGACAAGGAGGGAAAGATGACTGTTGCCACACATGGAACGCGATCGCGTACGTATGTGTCCTTTTGTAGCTGAGACAACACGCCAGTCAATAGTGAAACTAAATCTAGCTTTGGCCCCCAACAGCATGAAAAGCGCTAGCGCTCTCATCGAACTTCAGAATCAGATCGTATGAGAAGATAAAGACCGTTTCGGAAGGGTGGCATGCTCCGGATGGCCTTTGGATGGGAACTTTCGGGACACAGGGAAGCGTCAAGAATGTTTCTTCATTTGTTCGAGCTGATAATTGCGGTTATAGCAAATGTCATCATTCATAAACTGCGAACTTACTTGCTTGACAATGTGAATGGAACCATTTATGACCAGTGACAACTGAATGTTGAACAGTCCAAAAGAACACTATTTCAACCTGCTGCGGCTAGTACGGCTCGCACTCCAATCTGCATGATCGCACATACAGGCACGACTGCTGATGAAACTCTAAGTTCGAGATGTTTGCGATCCGTAATGTGTAGATCCATACTCATCTTCTTGCCATCATGGCGCTCTGATAGTGCATGACCGTAAGGTGTTGTGATCCATCAACCCATCTCTTAGGGTTTGACGTAGAGATTGATGATTTCCTAGAAGTGACAATATTTGTGTGAAAGGCACGAATTGAATAGTTATTGAGACTGTAACTGCAGAGACAGTTTATCACACGTTGTAGGTTTGCATATGGCTCTGCTCGTTCGTCCTGTTGATCTTTATTGCTAGCACTGTGAGATTGACATCGGAATGACTGTCGGAGGGCATGTCATTACCTGGCATAGGATATGCTATTCAATCAAACCCGTTTTCTAGAGAGGCGACCAGGTCTCGAACTGATGAGTATTGCCTTGCGAGCCTGAGTGTGACATGCGAAAAAGCACGCAACAACATATTGATGTGGGTACTTCAGCTCATTGCAATAGAGTGTAAGAATGCGGCAAAGGTGGTCCCGAAATCAGATGCAAACTACAAACCGACATCTTTGCCCTTCAACTCATCAGAGAAAGGATAATCAATGTAACCCTTGGGATCTCCAGGAGCATAGAAAGTCGAACGGTCATAACGATTGAGTGGAACATCTGCGATCAGTCTTCGCGGCAGATCCGGCTGAAACAGGAGAAAGTCAGAAAGACAGCCGCTGAATTTTAAAGCGCCACAAACATTGGCAATGAAGTGGCGGCCGAAAGCAATGAGATCGCCTGCCTTATCTGCAGCTGCTATCGCCAACTCTCTAGTGTATCCACCAGCACTAATCAGCGGTCTAGGCGACCAGATGTTTCGGATGAAGTCGTTGGACTGGCATTACAAAAAGTCAGTAAGTGAAGTAATGCAGTAGGAAGATAGTGCAGATACCTCTCCAACTCGAACGTTTCTGTCACCTAAACCAGAGACTCGTGGTTCGATAACATGGATGTAAGCGAGCGTGGGATGCAACTCGGTAAGTCGTGACACCAGGTAGGAGAAAGTTGGAATTGGGTCTCTCATCCCCATTTCTAATACGGGTCCTGGTTAGAAAGCCAAAGATACCCCACTGAGAAGACTTGCCATTGTAATCGCTCCAAGGACTCAGTCTTACGCCAACCTTCGTAGGCCCGATAGCCTTGACAACTGCGTCAACCACTTCAAGAAGAAACCTGACTCTGTTCTCGATCGAGCCGCCGTATTCGTCTGTCCTGTTGTTCGAGACATCCTGGAGAAACTGGTCGAGAAGATAGCCATTGGCACTGTGAAGTTCGACACCATCAAATCCGGCCACGTTCATTGCGTTAGCCGCGACAGTGGCAAAAAGCTGCACAAACTCCTTGATTTCTATGAGGGCAATCTCATGAGACATACGAAGAATACAAATGAAATTATACGCTACCTGAGACAGTCAAAGGTCGTGGGTTCGGTCTGCCTTTGATAGGGATGTCAGAAGGCCCTGTCAATTCGAATCCTCCTTCAGCTTGAAGAACATCAGGATCTCCCGTTCGACCACAAGCTACAATCTGAGCAAATATGAACGAGCTTTTTTCATGCACGGCATCGGTAATCTAAATAGTGAAGGTTGGCGATCTTCCTTGGTACCTGGACTTGGATTACCTTCTTCCACGCAGACAATTGTTTGTGCGTCTCCATGAAAGGGATGATCGGGTAACCGCCGACCTTTGCTGATAGTATGCTTGCTTCTCCAATGATAAGTGTTCCCGAGGTACTTGCACGTTGCGCATAATACTCCACGCCTAGGTGAGTATGCACATGTTGTGAGTCGGCACGGAGGCGGGTGAGCGGCGCATGTACTATTCGGTGGTGCAAAGTGAGGTCCCCAACTTTAATAGGCAGGAAGAGCTTGCTGGTAGACATAGTAGAGTAGAATGAAAGGGAAAAGACTGAGATATCGTGCTATGGGACGCATGCCCTTATATACGTACGCTTCAGTAGTCGTCTGTGCCACCATTACATGTATATCGTATCGCTAGAGCATCTATGAAAGATATTGCGTTCAGCATAGAAGAAAAGACAATGAGTGAGCATTGACATTACCAAGCGTGCTGAATGAGCATCAAGAACATTTCCGGCCCATTGATTATAAGAGTAATATGCGTTGCTAAATGCATAATAACGATCAATCTTACAAAGCAAAGAGGAGCAGGCTGAGAAATATTACTAACCATGTGTACTGTCCGGGGCCTATTATCTGGAGAGTATACTGCAGATAAGTATCGGTAGTTAAGGTACAAATACCGTGAGTCGAGATCTAGGATCGATGAGGACGACAATTCTTCAATAAGCAGGGTGAACAGTATATCGATACGACAGTCATATATCCACAGAGATTCAAGCTGAAATGAAGACAACTTGAAGGTGAGAGCATTGAAACCGTGATTGAACCCAAAATCGAGAAATGAAATCAGGCCAACTCCGGAAAAACACGGAGCAACTCTGTTTCGCAAGGACCGCGGAAGATGAAGTCGGCACGTTCGTCACCCACACTTTCGTTCAAATTAAAGACAGCCACCTTGCCTCCGTGCCGTTGTACACGATAGGCATATGTCGATGCAGGTCGTACCTAAAAGTGGCTCAGCATGCGAGATGGAATGAATGACGGCAGTTTGACAGAGTAACACTCACGGTCGAGGAAGTGCCGATCACGATACACAAGTCAGCTTTGTAGACGAGCAGATTGATATCGTCCAGGTGGTAAGGTTTCTCCCCGAACCAGACGACACCAGGGCGAGCAAGGGCGCCACAAGCAGAGCATCGCGGCAGGTCTTCCGGAGCAATATATCGGTGTTCGGAACCAGCATCTTCATACCCATTCAAGATAGACGTATCAAGGGAACTACAAAGAGGGCTACTCAAAACCTCTTCGCGATGACCACATTGCGTGCATTGGACATCCGTAATACGCCCGTGTATTTCAATCACGGAGTTCACTCGCGAGTGGTTCAAATGAGACAGGCTCTCAGGTGTGTCATTGTTGAGGTTATCCATAGCGCGTATTATCAGTCTGTCAACATTCTGAGTGACATGATGAAAGGTTTTGGCCTGAGGAGCGACTTTCTTGAGCAGCTTGGGTATTGAGAGTCTGGCTAAAACGTAATGGGCTTGATTGGGTTGCGCCTCTAGAGCCCTTTTTCGTAAAGTGACCTATGAGTAATAATCTATCAATATGGGCTGAGAATCACCTACTTCACCCGGCGATAATGGTAGAATTGCCACACCAAACCTGGGTTCGTTGCAAAGGCTTCGGGTGTAGCCAACTTTTCAACGTCGAGGGAGTTCCACATGCCACCACCATCCCTAAAGGTTGGAATACCTTGAAGAAAATAGATATAGTGAGCTTATCAGATGTGGTACTTGTCGATACTACATAGCAACAACTTACCTGAAGCCGCAGAAAGACCAGCGCCTGTAATGACGAGAATATGCTTAGCAGATTTCACGTACTCTCTGAAATTATGGAGAACGATGTCTTCGACATTAACTGACATTTCGATGCACCAGGTTGAATCGTAAGATGGCTAACTTGAAGGGCCACCAAGGTTTGAGTTCAACAGACGCGGCCGACTGCGGCCCGTTGTTTCCGCTTGTAGTTCCTTCCGCCACATTTTGGCTACGACGTTGACTCTTTAAGATCTTACAAGTTGCAGTGGCCAGTCAAGTGCGACTCGGGCACTCGCTTTCACTTTCTTGAAGTTCTTATATATTGAACGTAAATATTGGTGAGCATGTGCTGCGAATTCCCTATATAAGCATCCTCAAGTCTGGACGAAGGTCTGTCTAACTATATTCAACATATTCAGCGTCGAAACTTTACGATGTTGGTTCGCAAACGGTCAACAATTTGCAACATTCGCATTGCAGTGATAGGTATTCTGGTCCATTTTTTTTTCAGCAAGACTACTTCTCAAACGAGCCTCAGGATCTGAAAACAGTCAGAGGGAAGCATTGGCTGGCCATCTGGTATGTTCAAGCCAATCTGTAATGTCCTTGCATGGGAGTTGACTTGTTGAAAAGAACGGGTACACCTTTACGCGTCGTGAAGACGCACATAGGTTTTGCTTTACCGCCAACCCTTACGCGGGGGTGTCAAAGCACTTGGTCGAACAGTATGAGGTCGCTATCTTTGCATTTGCACTTGATCATAAAATGCATGAGAACTACATAATGGCCCGGCAAATCCATCGCGAGTCACTGCAGCTCTGGAATCCGCAGATATGCTGCATGGTTGGCGTAAAGACAAATTTTGAGCCTGAACCGTTCAGTGATCTCGACCTTTACATGCGTCAAATGAAATTCTTAACTCCGTATAAGAATGGAATCCCCCTTTTCCAGGCTACGCTTGAAACTGAAGTTGATCTATCAGCAGTGACTAGTTATATTGGTCAGTCATCTCATTTAAGTCATGGAATATCCGCAGTTAACACGATGGTTAGCCAACACGATGACTTCATTTGTGCCAAGACGTACACCCGGTATCCGCGACCTGCTTCGACAAGCGGTGTCCTGGCTGCTCGACAATGTTGCTGCTACATTTGCTCTTCCCGTTCCTAAAAATGTTAACCAGGACGTCAGTTCTATTTGTTCTCCTAGATGTTGAGTCCCCCACACTAACATTCCTTCCCTCAGACCCCAGATGCAATGCACATAGATGATTCTGTCGTGTCTGCACTTGAAAGAAGCTCCTTAGCCCAAGCATGGGATCGCAAGTTGATTGTGTATTCGCAAATGCCGTCAATGGGTGTCTCAGCCCATCGGATTACGAATTCGCTTCTATCTAAGGCCGCACCCCGGTGCGAACGAGTCAACATGACTTTCGTGCGCTCCCATACATCTATTCCTGTCCCACAGCCACGATACCCCGGTTTATCCTCTCGACTGGTTATGGATTTTGTTGATGGAAAGATGCTTCTTGACTGTTGGGATTCACTCAGTCTTTTCATGCAGTTTCGCATAGCTTGCACTCTCCGTTGTTATATCAAACAACTAAGGCGATTGTCCGGGTCTCGGCCGGGCACAGTTGATGGTGGAGTTGTTGACGGCGTACTCTTCGAGGGCGAGGAACGAGGACCATTCCAAACGAGTCGAGACTTTCGGATTTTTTGTGAACTCGTCTCTCACTGTGGTTGGGAAGCTGTCGTGGGTGATTACCGACGAGGCCTTCGATCGGACATTCCCTCACCACCAGTCGAAGGGGATGAATGGCCTCTCGTCTTCACTCATGGGGATCTTCACCTGAGCAATCTGATCCTCTCGAAAGACGGAGTACTTTGGGTGATTGATTGGGCTCACAGCGGCTATTATCCGGTCTGGATGGAGTCCGTTGGACTGAATTTTCATTTTAATAATCCTAGATCATGGAGACGCCTTACTTGGCTCATGGCAGGGACATACCCTGCTTATGACCACTTCTGGGAGATGTTTCTAAATGCTGCTCATCGATTTATTTAGCAGTAATTTGCATTAATGCTTAAAGTCCTAACGGTAGAAGACGTCATGATAATCATATTCCTGAATCTGAATCTTAGGTTCATAACCAAAAAATTACTCCACCGCAATGAGTATGTGACAAGGATGTCTCTCTACTATCTGCCAGCTCGATGTGACACTCATCCTCACATCTTCACATACCACGGATGACGGTGTATAAGGCATCCATTACACCTGTATGTAGTCCCGAATCAGACGTGACTATAGAGAAGCTATGCACAACGAGATATGATGCGTACCACCTGTTCCCATCTTCCGTCACTCGAACGCACTTCCAAAACCCTCACATCGTCAAAATCTCGAAAGCGATAATATTTACCTTCAACAGGAGGCCAGGGCACCTTTATCCCGCCGAGCTGGATATGATAATGTTGTATAGTCTCTCGCGCGGCTTCGTACGAGCCTTCAGCGACCCATCTCTTAAGCTGAAACAACCTCAACAACTGCAGATTCCAGAACATGCAACCGCTGCTATGAATTGCGTGGAACATATAGTGCTGCAATCCCAGTTCTACGATCAAGTCGTAGACATTGTTCACAGTCACTTTGGTGACCATTGGGACCGAACAGGCCTTGTAAAAAGTGCGGGTCGAGTAAAGCAGTCGTTCCGTACGAGGCGTAATCTGCAGAGTTCCAAAGGAATTCTGGGGCTGTTCAGGTAGCTTGTATACGTGCTCTACGGGCTGATACATGTCCAACGACACGCCCAAGAACCCGTCCGTAGTAGTAGCCAGAACGAGAGTGGTGCGCCAGTGGAAGGTTCTAATAGCCTGCGGAGCCCAGATGTTGACTTCACTAATGGATGCATTTAGAACAGCATCCGAGAGCCTGGGATGGCGAGGCATCATAGCTGGCATTGGCTCTGAGCTTGGGATGATGGCGGCGGCAGTGGTGAGAGGGCGGGTCATGTTTTCGATCGAACGGGCGGGGTAATATTGCAGTGACAGGCTCACTGGCGGACGAGCAATGTTTATACTGATTGCACTGGCGTTAAGCAAACACGCAAGCCCGTCCCTGTTCAGGGTCGATATACTCCTAGAAGACTGATCATGCAGATAAGTACGCGAACGCGGAGTCAGTAGTATCATGGGGAAGTCATGGCCTTGTTCCACATAAGTCTATCTCTGCTGAGCTAGCTGTGTAGCCAAGATGAGCTGGAAGATTTTATAGGTGCAAATTGACTCGACCTACCAAGGTCCTGTTATAGATGCCTTGATGTACGGGAAAATTGTCTCGCCTCACGGTGAATTGATGATATACCGGCGATGCTCTGTGAATGAAGCTTGAAAATCGTTGCGTATATGCGTAAAGAAATAGCGGCTTCGTAGGAGGTTGCAGCTCAATTGCAGTCGTCTTTCAGCGTCTCATACGGCCCACGCCATTAGAACGATGCGACTTGATTGATCACCGCTCTCCAGTGATGCACGAGGCAACAAATCCTGGGAGAAATCGACAAAAGAGACACTACTGACTCGAAACGAATAAAACGTACTAACCTGTATTGATGATATTTTACGTAACGTCTATGGTTCTTTCGTGGTTTCATGGCCTGCATAGGCCTGGAACGACTGCTCCCAACCATCTATACACAGCACAGCGTGAGTGACGGAGCAACCACACGCAGTCTCGTTGATATAGCAAGTTCCTCGAAACAGTGGTCGGGAACCAATAACTTCGAGAGTAAGATGGTCCTACACAAAATAATTCAGCCGCCATTATTTCGTGGAAGTGCGATATTCAACCACCGAGGCAGACTGAAAACGCAGGAGTAAGACGAATACCGTTGTACACGGTGGCGCACTGACCTTATGGTTGCCTATTTTGTCGAGCTGAAGTTCCGGTAGCTTCAAATTTGGCAACGAGTTTGCTAAAATAGCGTGTCGGACGTTATGGCACTGGCAGGGTCTCGAGACAGCGGTCACGCTGCTACGGTGTGAACTGGACCAGATGATACATCACTTGAAAAGGTGAGGTTGTAAAGTAACCTTCTGTTTCTCAGCCAAAGTGATGCCCATATATCAAATTCTGGGCGCAAAACTTAACTAAGACATGTGCATCTTGAGGCTCCTCATCGCCAATGTCCGACCTAAGTATAATCATCTGAGTACTGGAATTCGGGAGAACCTCACACTGCGTGAAATGTCAAATTATGGAAGTACAGCATATGCTCGGCATTTGCCTATGCCGACCATATGCTGTCTATATGCTACCTGGGTGCTACATCCTCCCGCATCTCTTCAGCATCCTCGCATGCCTCTCATATGCCGACGACATGCTACATAGTTTCTCGCGCGATTTTGGGTTATCTGAATACAGTATCAATTAGTATGTATATAAGTCTCGCGCCGCGATTTCATGCATACTAATTACCTTCTCCAGAACGTTCATTACCTCCGACTATCATGCCGTTGCTAAACATGCTCAAGTCAATTCCCAACGCCGCCAGTTACATCGAGTCCCTTCGAAAGGAACTCTCAACTACGAACGACTTACTTGCTCTCTTGGACCTCTCACCAGACGAGGTGCATGCTATTGTTGCTACTAAGTACAGGGAAGAAAGACAGGTTCCGAGCCCGATGACAGATGGCTCGCAGAAGCCGAACAAGAAATGCGAAGGCAACACGATGTCAACGCCAATGTCTAGCTTGGAAAGAAATCCTCGAGGCTCTTGTCACCTAACAATTCCTTCAACCTGCTCTCGTTACTCGCTACGTCGCTGTTATCCAACAAACGGACTTTCTTGATGCTTCGCTCTTTGTCTGCTTGTGCCAACGTTTCATTCTTTAGCTGTTCTTCTTCTGGATCTGTCTCTTCACCCCATAACTTGCCATTATTTGCCACACGCCGACTTGTCAACCACTCAGGATGCTTTTCAATAAGCTCCGGCTTGACCATCCACTCTCGAACTCGAATCTTCACACTCTTGGTCTTAGGCGGCACAGCGTCTGTAATCTCAGTACCGCGAATACGATTTGTGGCCGACTTGACTTTATCCGGGTTAGGATTGGCAATCCCATCTATGGTGGTATACAAAGTTCTCAGCTGCAAGGGTGATATTCATCAAAGCTGTAATGTGAAAATGATTCGCATGGTTTACCTCCTCACTGCGCCAATCTGGGGCACGCAAGACATACTGCTTTGGACATCCTGGCTCTGGCGTCGGGTCGTCCTCATTTTCAGACATTGCAGTCAAAGTAAATGCGGCGTCGTATTTGGGATCGGTATACTGGCCGGCAAATGGTCTCTTGCGCAAGCGTTGGTCGAGAATCTGTAAAGTACTATAGGTGAGTTCTCGACTTCTCACGTTGTCCGGTAAGATGCAATTCTCACAAACTGAACACGTGAGTTGCGCGCAGCCCTCCTTATCGCCTCGTTCCACGTCCCAGGCTCTGCTTGCTCAATGTTCGTAGTGTTCCCAGGCTCGCTGTTCCCATGCTCATCTCCATCACCTGCTCCTACCTCTGGATTTGTACTCGGAGCTCCCTCTTCGGTTGATGCTACTCCTGCGACCTCGTGTGCCCTGCGCTTGCGGCTCTGTCTTGTTTGTGCATCTGGACACTTGTTAAACTTGCCTCTCATGCGGTCAAATTTTCCATTGATGCGAGTGCGTAAGTCGTGGTCTGTAATATTTGCAAGATCCGTCGCGACAAGCGGATCGAAAGTGACACCCTGTGTTTGTACCGTTGCGAGGACAACATCTATGTTCTTGCGATTAACAGGTGCGTCCCTAGCCTCTGCCCAGTTAAAGCACATATAAGGCTTATTAGTTGCAGCGTCCTTAGGCCACGCTTCAGAAGTCTCATCAGGATTGGAAGGGTATGGTGGTAGGCTTTTTTTGTCGAGTTTTGTGCCCATGAGGTGGGCCAAGATATGGTTTACACAATCCTATTGGAGGTGAGTACAGGATTTGTACGCATATAAAGTGTGACTGACCTTCATTGGTTTACTCTTTGCAGCTTCCTTACTCTTTGTACTTCGCTCTAGCAGGTCCGTCGTTTGGGGAGAATGCGTAACGGGTGTTCCGACAGCAGCACCACCTTCCTCTGATCTGTTGGGCAATCGACCACCTGGTGCCGCTTCCGCAAGACTACTCTGCGCTATTCCCATCATAGCGGCATTCGTCTCACCCAACTGCATTCGTGTGCCTGTACTCGAAGAAGTTTCTACCCCAAGTAACGACTCAAGATATTCGACACGATCGCTCGCAAGTCGCAGCTGCGCGCGCGTCAAGTTCATGCTCGTAAACAAGACTGTTACTTGTGATTTCAGCTTCTCCAACTCAACGTCTTTCTGCAGCCCGGCACTTTTCAACTTCTCGAGTTCCATCACGACGGCTTGGAGCTGGTTTGATTGAGGTGTGCGACCCGGAGTTGCCATGAGGGATACAGTGCGAGGGCAGACGTCGGAAGACGATGGATTGGTTTGGATATGTGCTTTTGGGTGAAGATGGTAGTTACAGTGGTCGCCGTTGCGTTCCCGTAGTTTCGAGGGGGTCTATAGACTCAATTTAATGTTTTGCGCAATGTTAAAAAGCATATCACTTGAGGAATTGTGCCCAATATAGATAAATCGCATTCATCTATGATAGATTCTACGCTTACATAATCGATAAGGGTAAATTCTATTCTAGATTCCTGTATGACGAAGAACCAGAACCTATAGGGCATCTAGCTGTCATTTACACATCATATAGCTAGGAATACGACCATTCCTAACGTGTGCTGAATTCGAAGGACTTTGCTGGGCATACGGACGTCATCTGGTGAGCATCTGCAGATGCTGGGCAAATGCCGAACTTCCATAATTTGACATTTCACGCAGTGTGATCAGCGCAGGGCCCAGCCATTTCTCGGTGAGACAAAGGCGGGTTCACAATTCATTGCAACTCCAAGCATACTATTAGAAATTCATAAGGTGATACATAACCAGGCAGTGATTTTCCAGAAATCCAACTTACAGTCTAAATAATGTAACATTCGACAACTGAAAGCATATAGAACATAAATTCATAAACATGGGGCATTAAGGTTTCCAGGTCGGTTTCTGCGGTGCTGCACGAGAATTCGCCCATGTTTCCACCCGACGATGACCGAGACGACTTAGTGTTTCTCGCTCTTCAATCTCCTGGCGACTGATATCTTCAAAAGTCTTGACGAGATCCCGAACGCTTGCTCCACTATCTCGACGTTCGCGAATGACTGGGTCGGTGGGCTTCGGTTTGGGCTTCGGTTCGGGAGGCGAGATGTGGTGAAGGTCAACCAAACGGCGAACGTGTTTCGCAGGGCGAGGTATCATCGATGGCTTCGGCGGAGGAGCAGGATGTAGGTGAACAAGGTTTTTTGGATGAGTCGGCTTATGAGCTGCCTTCGGGGCAGGTGTCGATATCGGAGGACGAGGTCGCTGAAATACTTCTGGAGGTGGGATAGGAAGACCCTTCTGCGTGACTGAGGTGTGTTGTGCTGGCTTTGGTTTCGTTGCCCTGGGCAAGTAGGAGAAAAGGAAACCCTTGACTTTAGACGCTATCGAAGCTGGTTCGGGCTCTGACGTTGGAGGAACTTTCTGTGAAGCGTGGTCGGAATCTCTTTGAGAACCATCAAGAGGGACTTCACCGTTCATGACGGTGAGTGCTTCGTCCATTAATTTCTGATATGCAATACCCTGTGACGTATTCTGACCGTTCAACTCCTGATGACACGCTGTCGCATCCGATGACACGGATGAAGCAAGATGAGGGGACATGTACCGTCGGAGATGTGAATCATTCGAGACTACTGATGAATCACGACTTGGTGTGGGAGGAGCGATATTTCCGGAACGCTGCTTTCTCCGCAAAGCTCTAGCACGCTTCAGCAGGTTGTCGCTGTAATGAAAAATTAGCATAACTCCAAAAGCGGGGGCAATAAAAGACTCGCCTTGTCCATGAAGATCCTAGAGAGGCGAGAGCCTCTTCACCACCAATGATCTCAATGAATCTTCCCACCACGTTCCCCAGGTCAACATCATCAGCGGGTGCCAATTCATCAACAGCCAAACCCGAACAGTCTCCCAAGGCAAGACGTTCATCCGTATAACAAGCATCAAGGAGCCTCCAATCGTTCTTCGTCCAATCGCGAGGACCAGCTAAAACATCTGGGGACGTCTGCACCGAGCTGACGTTGGATCGAATGATCTGCTTGACTGGCGTCTTGAAGTCGTCTAAGAACGAAACGTTCCTCAGTGGCGAATGGCCTAGCGTCATTTCCTCGACCTGCAACGACGCTTCTGCTTGATCGAGAAGCTCAGGTAGAGTCATGGCCGGACTTCCTGGAATGAAGACCTTGTCACCGATCACCTTGCCCAATGTACGTCTCTTGTGGGGCACAGACTTGGTAATACCAGCCTCCAATGTGGTTTTTCTTCTTGCATTACGCAAGATAGAGTCCACGGCTGGATTAGAATGTCGACGTTTCCGTAAAGTTGCCTCGTCTATATGATTATATCGATGCTATGAAACGTAAGCCTTAGTCGAAGAGCGAGTATCGAGTTTAGATTGGATCCTTACCAGCCTTAAGATCGCTGCAGCTCGCGCAGCAGCCAAAGGATCATTGCTTGTGATTTTGATGACATTTGGTTCGACCTCCAACTCTTCAGAGCCTCCGTCGTCTCCGTCACCAACATCATCAGCGAGTGAGAGCTGAACAGGACCATTGCCAGTTGACGAGTATTCCATACTAGCCATAAGACGATCCTTGGCAGCTTGGACTCGAGAAGGTCTTGGCGTTTGTTGACGAGGAATCTCGGGTGAGTCAGAACGTATGTGAAAGGGATTGGGACTGGATCTGAGGTGGACTTGCGCAAACGAGTTAGCAAGTCTGTTATCACGCCCAGTAGCTTCGTCCTCACTGTCCATGTCAGGTGGTTGAGAGAGCTCGCGAACCACTGACACTTCATCTTCCTCGTCATCTTCGCTGTCATCCAGGTCCATGTTCTCACCAGGAGAGCGAGGCCGCCCGGGTTCGTACGAAGTATCTGGAGCAGCGGGGGAGGGTGATAGACGGGAAGATGAAGCAACATCTACCCTTGCCGCCCTTGGTGAGATTGAAGTAGGCGGTTCTTCTTGAGGCTGGTTGGATGATGGCTCTGAGACTCGTCGTGGCGAGGCGGAATGTCTATCGTGAACTGGCGGCTCGACGGGAGGTAACTGTTGCTTCGAGATGGGGACCGGCGGTGAGGGCGAACGTTGAGGAATCGGTTCTACAACCCTCTCATCGATATAAACATCCACAGACGTATCAGGTACTGCATCTTCGGGCTGGTCTATGGCTTTGACCTCAATGCTACCAACCGAGGTTTCGTGTATTGGAACGATATGGTCTGCATACATATCGTCGTCGTCGTCATTATCATCATCGGAGGGTGGCAAATCGAGGTCTTGGAAGCGAAACCGTGGGTCAGGCGCTTTAGAGGGTAACGCACTATGCGACGCGGAAGCAACGTTCAATGCACCATGGTCTCCGGAAGGTCGCCGGGGCGGTGATCCACTGAGCCTCTCCATCCGCTCTACTGAGACAGAGATGGCTGCGGTGGTATAAAGGTCACTAACAGGAGAGCGTGACTTCCGAACTGAATCAATGACACCTGAACTGGAGCTTTGAACAAAGACATCATCATTCACTGACGACATGGGATGTGATTGGGGGTTGGATGTCGGTTGTTCTGGGGCGAAAATGTTTGTTTCTTGTTCTGCAACGCCACTCGAGGTTAGCTCCACCATCTCCTCATCTTCATCCTCTTCCAAGGTAGGACTCTTTCTCCGCACTTTGGGAAACGGGCTTATAGGCCGACCCCAAGCATCTTGACGTTGCTTGGTAGTGCTACTTGGAGGATCATTCTTTGTTGGGACAGTCAAGACCTTGAACTTTCCAGTGTACTCTCCAACTTGGTCAAACTCTTTGTCTGATTCAGAAGTCCAATCATCATCATCGCCTCCAGCGGTGAAATCGAAGATTGGACCCGGCTGCTGGATATCATCAGGTATCGAATCCATAGTCATGTCCACAGAAGCATCGAACGAATGATTGTCGAGTGGATGCACCTCCCGGACAGGCGAAGAAGATTGGGCAGAAGATGTATCGCGTGCATTTGTTTGTTTGTTGTTTTGCTTCGCTCGCGTGCGTTTCCGAAGGGTTCCTGTAGGCCCACGAAGTAACAAAGGATCATCACTTGGCGAAGGAGGGGGAATCGGTGCATTGAGGTCAACCTCAGGTAGCTCCTGCTTTATCTGCAACACCAGTTTCTTCTTTGTCGCCGTAGATTTACGTCTACTTCCCGTTCTTGGTGACTTGGGTGGTATTTGTACAGGGGTATACAGAATCTCACGAGGCGGAGTAAACTCATCAGTAGGTGGTTCATATGGCGGTATGACAGGAGTGGCGGAGCGACGACGACGACGACCACCCGAGGGAGATTGATAGTCAGCTTTGGGATTTGTTTCACGAGGTGATCGGGTCAGGGAACGTTTAGAAGGAGATACAGAACCTCGCTTCTTTGACTTCGTGGGTGTCGTTGGTGCTTGCGGCGTAGAGTCCTGAGACGAAGGAACGGCAAATGTGACAGACCGCTTGGGTTGCTTGCGAGCTTTGGGATTAGGGGTATTCTCAACAGAAGGCGGGGGATTAAAACCTCCCGGATGATCTTCATCAATTGCTGCAAGCGTGGTTCGGGAAGAGGAAGCTGAAGATGCGACAGGACGCTTTCGCTTAGAGGCAAGCGTGTTTGATATCACTTCTCCAGTAAATCCATCTGAACGTGTAGGTTCGGGTGTGGCAGAATATCGTGCATTAGGTGTTGATCTGGTGCGAGCAGCCTAACCATGTGCAGCGATTGGGAGGATGAGCAAATGGTGGGACAAATTGTAAGACAGAGCAGGGTTCAACACATACCCTCAGCATCTCTTCCGGGGGAGGGCTCATCAACTGATTTGACGCGTCAACTTCACGGAGGTCTGCTGATGACAACGACGTCGGAAGCGTGGTTTCGGTGCTTTGGCCTGCATGCATCCTTGAGACTATTGTGTGAGGTTTGACGAATGTGTATAAGAGCCAGATAGTTCATAAACGCTACTTGCACGGCGTAAAATCAAGAAAGAATGTAAATGTCACTGAAAAGGCATGACCGGTCTGTCGCGAGATTGAAGTTCGAAGTTCAAGTTCAAGTTCAACCTCATGAAAGTCGACCTTCTTGATCCTAACCACGTGGTGTTGCCATGGTTAGGGTTACGCCTTTCCTTTTGTGGATGCGCTTTGCCATGTATGGCAAGACCTTCCACTAGTGAATCCAACTAGACCAAAGCTTTGCGTAGAATACACTGACAGCATTATACATCGGTCGTACACAAATTCGTTACGATGCACTCTCCCACAATTCTGTCTGAGCCGCCCTCATTGACTCGTACAAGCCATGTTGATCACCCAGTCCATATGTCAGCGTGAGACGTTCAAATATTGACGGTCCATCTTCTGGGTCTAACTCAAGCTAATGATATTCAAAATGGTCGAATTTCTATTAAAATCAAGAACTTTGGACTCACCATGGAAATAAGATCGTCTAGCAGGTGAGCCTGCCCAACGGTGCTTCCGGCAGTGCCGATATAGTTCGCATTAACGATGTGAACGTGAAAATGATCTGCGAAAAAAATGTTAGATAATAGTTGCTCCTGATAAAATATATCATCTCACAGTATGACGGTTGATAGTGAACAAAGAAACGAATGGAGCCATCCGACAGGCCCCATTTCTCCTTTGCGATCCGAGATGCCTCCCTTCTGATGCCTCTCAACATACCCAGATGTCGTCTCCTCAAGTCTCGTAGACAGCGTATATCCTTCGATTGGACGATGGCAACGAGATAAAGTGAAGATACAGTGATGAGATCCCACTTCATGTCAGGGAGGATGACATATCCGTAATCTTCGGAGGTGTCTCTATAGAGAATCTTATCCACTTCTGATTTTCCCGAGAGAATGTTATAGACCCTAATAGCGTCACTCAGCAACATCAAGATGACCAAGTCCAACACTAACCATTGAATTCGTGTAGGAGGGAAGGCAGCAATGTATGGTTTCACAATACGTTCAAAGATTTCTGGTGTTTCGCGTACCAGTATTGTCTGTTGTGCCGAATACTGCAGTGGAGAGATTATCAGTGACAAGATAACTCTGTCTCCAAAGAGGCATCACCTTCCGAACGTGAACCTCCGTGGCTGGGCAAACTACATTGATTTTGACTTCTGGTCTATCTTGGGACTGGTTGAGCCATGCGAACAGCCAGCTATACTAAAACCACGAATTAGACATATCGTTCTGATCTCACCCTAGAGGTTCATACGATGTCAGTGTGTTCAATAAGCTGAACATCTTTCAGATTTGAGAGCACATCAAGAACAGAGCTTGCAGAAAGTGCTGTCTTCTCTATTCGAATGATAGCAGAAGATAGTTTACCGCCCTCCATCTGAAGTTGTCCAAGAAGCGCGATGGTATGAGTGACTGGATCTGTGCACTGACTCAACAGTTGCAGATCATCCGACATAAGAACTTACGCACCTTCATTTAAGACGCGTTCCAATTGAAAGTGTTTCAATGATTCTGGTATGGTGGAAGTCGACATGGCAGAAAGTCTATATAATTGTACCTTCAATCAGAACTTTGTTGATTGGGGTGGTATACTGTATTGGATGGACAAAACGACTTACAAGGGTGAAAAGAAACAGATTACACCTCTTCATGTTGTCCTAGGCTCTAGCGGCGATTGATCGCATAGGCACGATCGGCGCACGTGCGTGTTCATTCAGGCCTTCCTCGCTTCTCGTCCAGATGGTCTAATCTGCAAGCGTGAAGCACGCTGCACGCGGTATCATCAGCAAGTCGGCTGACATGCCATAACCCCAGCTTCTCGATGACTTGAAGTTATATATAATGCGGGGGGTGAAGAACCCAAGGTCTCCAGGCTGTTCTTCCTGTGTAGACAACCTCAGGCTCGTCTCGACAATAACTGTTAATCATAATGCGAGTCCTTATCGCGTCCTTGCTCGCCACGACTTTGATTGCCAGCCTCGAGTCACTGGCAGCGCCGGTCCCACAACGTACGTTCTGTCTAATACCTATTTGCACCCAAGTAGTGACCTTCCTCAGAGCAACTTCTGGCCTTGGACCCTTATCCTAACAAACCCAGGATCACTTTCAGGCCCGATGGTACTTTCAAGATTACCGTGTTTTCTGATTTGCACTATGGCGAGAATCCATGGGACGATTGGGGTCCCATCCAGGATATCAATAGCGCTCGGCTCATGAGAACTGTGTTGTCTAGCGAGAATCCTGACTTTGTGTATGCGTGACTTCGTCTGTGGTCCCGGTTCGGTTTCACTGACAGATACTATACCGTTGTCTAGCGTCTTGAATGGGGATTTGATCACTGGCGAGAGTATGTTGGAACAATCACTTTTCGTTGTTGATCAGAAAGTCGAGGCTAACCGCATGGAAGATACTTTCAGAGAGAATTCAACGAGTCTCATAGATGAGATTGTTGCTCCTCTCAACGAGGCCAAGATACCGTTCTCGTCCACGCATGGTGTAAGCTACCCTATAACTCGTGAACTCTGTGCTGTACTGATAGGAATGTGGGGCTAGAATCATGACAATCAAGCGAACATCTCTCATATTGAGGAGATTTATCGTGAACAACGTGTTGCCCCTCTGTCTTACACACGCACGGCGCCCTCTGGTATCGGCGGTCAGAATGGACCAGGAACGTACTGGATACCGGTAAATGCTACTTATCATACGTGGACCTGTCAATCTCAACGATTCTATGGTCGTAGGTTTACACACGTGCTAGCGGTAAATTATACATCACCTTGTACTTAAATGAATATCTTAACGATGAGCTGGCAGACCGTACACCTTCATTGATTCTGTGGTTCTTCGACTCCAGGGGCGGATTCTTCGAGCCGACAGGCTCTGAACCTGTGCCTGATTGGGTGGACGATACCGTCGCAGGTTGGATCAGACAGCAGACCGCATTTATGAATGCTGCTTGGGGTCCCGCCGAGAACATGAGCAGAGGCGCTTTGGCGTTTGTGCACATACCTCCGTGAGCGAGGTATCGTTTAATGCTTGTCGAGTATCTGACCATCGCTTTTTCAAGACATGTCATTCAGAATATCCAGCCAACACTGAATAGTACTCGTAATCCAGGGCTAAACGGTATGTCATTCATTTACCGTACAAGCAACAACAGTACCAATTTGCTGAACGCCACCCCCCGGTAGCGGATGAACTTGGTGCTGGTTCAACACAAGCTACGAGTGATCCATCTTCGGCGGGCAAAGATCAAGCGTTCTGGGACGCTCTTAACAGGCATGTCAAGAACCTACACGCAGTCATATCTGGACATGGTAGGCAAGGCTATATTGCATTCATCACCTGTGGTTAGTGATTACTTTGAAAGACCACGGAAATGAATGGTGCGTCCGTGAACCAACTAAGAACGTCATCTTCTGCTTTGATAAACATTCCGGGTAAGTTTGTCGATTCCACCTCTTTTCCGACCAACATGGATTGAATTCATACTCTGTAGCTATGGCGGATACAGTGGCACCGGATGGGGTCACGGCGTTCGCAACATCGTTTTTACATCTCCTGATCCAAAGGAGGGTTTGGACACCTGGATTAGGTTGGAAGACGGCGAAACACGAGCGAGGGTGAAGCTGGACGCAAGTTATCAGTAATAGTCCACTTTCGAACCGGCCTTCGGTCGTATTTTGGTTCGTCCGTTCTATTGCTTCAACCGGTATCTAGATGATCCTTCGATCAACTCTATGTCATCCTCTCAGCTTGGGTGCTTTGTATCAACTCGTTACTATCACCTGAATTGTGCCACTCAAATATTCTGGTACTTATCCGTTTGTGGTTCCTGTAGGCGCTCGTTTTACATACACGAGGCGTCCGCCGCGAGTGTTGGGCTTTGACCTCGCTAACACTGTTTGACCTCACACGACCTCTTTGGCTTTGACTCCTTTGGCCTCGGAATAATTCATGTATAAATACAAGCTTCAATGGCTGCCGTCTTCCAAAACCAATCCTCTATTCTACGCAACAATTACCTGACTTCTAACCCTCGACTGTTGCTACAATGTGTCTCTACGTCGACAGAATGTATCGCTACACCGAATGCGGTCACGAGATATTGCTTCCTTACTGTATTGGCGTCCACCTCTGCAAGCCGGAAGCCGACCGTCTCACTCATAACGAGAGCCATGGACCGGATGCTCAAATCCCCCCTTCCAAAGACTCTGCAGTACATTCTCGTCGCAGAGTCGAAGTGAAAACACTGGGCGGTCTTTGCGCAATGTGCCAATACTGCCTGGTTGAAATGCACAACTTCGCACATAACGAGGCACCTTTCCCTGGCGCACGCAGTTTCCCGTTACCTTGGATGCAGTCTTACCATGGAATCATGCCTGCCGCATACCCTCCACCTCCCGGACATAATCATACCCCGCCTTCTCAGGATGTCCAAGCACTTCATCCGGACCACTTTCCTCGACAACAAGGTTTTGACGTGAACAACCTTCATAAGCAGATGCTTGAGGAACACGCCCAGCATGAGGAACAACTTGGACGAAGGCAGGTGCAGCAGGAAATAGTACCTTCGCAAGTGCAAGTGCCTCCAATGGCCTCTCTTAAACCGCCCCAGTTTGCCCAGGCTCGACGGATGGGACCCGCATATTCTGCAGCTCATGTTCGCGCCCCTCAAGGATATCAGGATCAAGGCCTGAATGTGGAGCCTCAGTGGCAGTCCTCTACCGGTAGGGAAGCTCAAGAATTCACGGACAATGACGAGCATCCCACCCAACCTCTGAGTTGGGTGCGATCGAGGAGAACCCATGGCTACGTGCACTACGGAAACGGGGACAGTGCTCGTTCGCAAGGCTCATCCAGAGAGGCTAGCACATGGTCGTCCGAGTCTGATTATTACACTGAAGACTAGATCATAGCAAGGGGCATATTTGTGAATTTGCATTAAATATCTTGTCTCTTTCTCTTTTTATGTGTCCATGTGGATACGCTCAATCATTGGACAGTAGGCTGAAGTCTATCCGCCATGCTATTTATACTACTGCTCGCTTTATACTAGAAACATAAGCTTGTACTGTAGACTGTCCTGGATTTGGAGAAGTGCAATACTTATTCTCCACAACATATCACATTATCCGTCTGCAACTACCAGTCTCCAGGTCTCGTTGGCCTCGATTTAAACATAAAATTGCTTTTGCGGGGCCACCGCTCCGATACCAGATCTCCTTCGATGGGAACTCTCTCAGTCAGTACCTCTCTTCTTCCCGCGATATTTGGAAGCATAGCACGGCATTTGCATGATTGGCCGCTTCAAGGAATATATGTTGAAGACCGGGCGCTGAAGTTCTTGCGAATTGGGACATAATGGCTTTGAATGTCATCTAAGCGAACGCCTGATCAGACCGAACCGAGCTGGGTGATTGGATAGAAGTCCCTGCCTAGAATAAAAGGAGCAGGAAAATGAAAGTAGGCCCGCCGGGGGAGGGGGGGAAGGGGAGAGTCAAGTGTATTATCTGTAGTAAAGCTTATCTATCCTCCAGAGCCTCGTCGGCGGCATCGAGATCCTAAAATCTTTGAGGTTGAATACAGGGAACGTGAGCGATGGTATCACTGGGGAGGGTGTGGGCTGATTCCGTCGGGGAACGTGAGCGACTTCAACAACCGTGCGTTGATTCAGATTTCCAGAATGATCGTTCAGATGATTGAGATATTTTTGTCTCGGACTGATCTCGCATGAGAATATACAGCGAGTGGAATTCATAGAGGCGGCGAGGGGAGAGGTTGTCAATCGAGAATGGATGGAAGGATTGTATGAGCGCGCGGTCGTTGTTAAGTCGAAGATGGACAGGTTTGACAAGGAGGATATGATTGCACTTTATACAGTTCCCGGCAGGACAGCTAGAGAGAAGGAAGGGCGCTTCTTGAGGATATCGCTGAGCTTCTGTGTTATGAGAAAGAGGTCATGATTGGGCTTTATGGCGCTAACATTATGTGGCCTGCTATCCATGCACGTCGTGGGAGTCAGTATTTAATGATCATATACTATCGCATAGCACGTACCGTACCATGGAGAGATTGTCCGAAATGAATACTTCTTTGCTGAAGGAGTCATGGAACCCGCTAGAACGCGAAGTACACAGAAGGATGAGCATCCTTCATGGAAACTGTTCCTTTATATCACATCGAATAGTAGAATAGGCCGTCTCGTAGTCAATCCCACGTACGTTGCAAAAGAAGGAAGTGTCGATATCCTAATGAGTTGTCACTACCCGCAAGTGAAAAGACAATTAAGCGTGCATGGCCACCACATAAACGCTAGCATGATAATGGTTGCTAGAGTCCTGAAAGTCTCCGCAGTCATTCAATGCAATATTAATTTAGGAACTAAGGGTCACCCGTCAACCTTCGAGGTGACTGCACTTTGGAAGGGATTGGCAGCAATCTGAGCAGATCTGACTCGGAGCAGTACCACGCCAGTAGCTCATTTGAAATATAAATATAGACGCCCACGCTGTTGAAGTTGGTCACTGACTCTGAGCTTTCAACTTCACAGAACTTTGCATCTATTCCTCAGCAGCTTTCAGTTCTTTCTCCGGCAATAGCTCTAGCATTGCCCGTTACAACGACGCCGGGCATTACTATCGTGATTTCAGGACGTCCTACTCTTAGTCCAGGTACTCTTCCCGGATTGACGTCAAGTGAATACTGCCGCGGAGAGTGGGGACTCTTGCTGGCGTGATATGTGGATATGTCGTTGATTAGCGACCCAGAGTGAGTTTTATGACACATACTTTACTTCTCTAGACTCACCTGTATTACAGCTTTCTCATCCACAGTCTACGCCTGAATTACCTTCGGAACGTAGATGATACCTATGGGTCTCGAATAATCTCCCTCGAGCCATCCTACCAAACGAACCCTTATGTCATTACATCTGGTCTAGCGGATGTTCAACGATGGCCCGAGCTCACTGCACCGTCTAGTCCGCCCATCAGCGATGATGAATCTGGGCGATCGGGTGCTCATACATCTGGCTACCCTGGTGCGTCGGGACTTAAATATACAACCACAATTATGGGTCCTCGACGTGTAGGAGCTATGGGGCTTCGGGTATCAGGGAAGCGTGCGTCCATATCGAAAACATCTGTGCGGAATTCGATACGTTCAGAGAAGGCCGGGAACGGTGCTACACCAGACGACCCTATCAACGTCGATATCGTTGAACCAACACCAATCGACCAAGCATCGCCCAACCTCAGCCATAAGGTTCTCGACGAAAGTCCTATAGCTAATGGAGGAGCTATTGCTGAGGCCGCCTCCAAGTCTCCAATTCAGCAACCCCAACGACCTCAGGAAGACCTTAAACCCCCACCCCAAAATGTGGCCATGCCGTTTATACCCAAGTTCAAGGGTGCAGCAGAAATGGAGGCCCGGCGCCGTCTTCGTATGATGAATCGTGTTCCGCCGGGTGGCGCGCCTATGAGACCCGCCATGGTAGCTGCAGCCCATCTCAACCCCGAGCTTTCCTCCTCTTCCGAGTCCGAGTCGGATGTTGGTGAAGAAGAGCCTTCTGGAGATGAAGAAGAAGACGAGTTTGACGATGACGCGCAGGATATCGATGACAGTATTGAAGTAGATGCCGATGAGTTCGATCCGTAAGTTGATCTGCCGATGCATAATTTTGCCTAACACTTAATGTCAATATCTAGTGACTTTGCTGCCAGTCGTGGCGGCATAGGTATTGACGCTGACTCGGATGGCCTGTCCCTACTCTCAGGCTCAGGCTCCATAAACTCAGCCAACTTCTCTATGGTGGGCTCTTCGGTACCTTTGGGCAGCGCACGAAACCGAAATCGCCTCAGTCCCGTGCGCGAAAGTCGTATATCCGAGGAAAAGTCTGCCAACGTCTCTCCCGATCACGACTCTGGTCCAGATAATTCTTACTTCGAAATGGTTACTCCAGCACCGCCTAGTGCCTCACAAGCCAGGAAGACTAAATTGCAGAATGGCTTCAATGAGTCACCGCGTCAACCTGGCTCTGACTTGTTCATTCGGCGACCTACTCCTCCCGTACAAGCAGCAAAGTCTGCCCTCACAGCTATGCTTGCGACAACATCCAATAGTTCTTCCTCTAACCCCTTCACGGAACTGTACAGCGCTATTTCAGGCCGTTCCGAGGGCGACAGCATTTCTGTCTCTGTGTTTTTTCCCCATGCACGTGAGCCTGCTAATCGCGTTATGGAGTTGAATGTACGGAAGGACTCTACAGTTGAGGAAGTGTTAGGGTTCGCCTTATGGACATATTGGGAGGAAGGTTGGCTGCCGAAGTTAGACGAAGGTCTAGACGGCGAGGAAGACCCGAAATGGGACATCAAGTGTTCTGCACTTGGTTGGATATTGAGGATTGCAGAAGAAGACGGTGAAGTGGACGAAGATTTCCCGCCGCCAGATCGAACGGGTAGAATATCGAAATTCAACTTCGACGCTTATGCTGTGTTGGAAGCTTCCGCGGCCCAAGTGCAGCAGAACAAGATTCTGGATTCGAAGATCCAGAGGCGTCCTTCGCGTATTGTGATCAAGAAGAAGAAATCCACTGGGTTGCTTAATGCGACGGCAGGACTTGTCCCTCCGGGTTCGGAGTCATTGTTTGCTGCATCTGCGAGCGCAGGTCTTACATCAACGCTGGGAACATCTGTTGGCATGTTCCCAAGTTCGTTGGGCCCTTCAAGCAGTCATGGCCCTCCGATGTTCTTGCGTATCCGGATTGCGGATACAGCAGATGCAGGGCATGTCTCCACTACTATTCAAGCGTATGTTTCTCAATGGCAGTATGATACGTCCCTATTGCTCACAGTTGAATTACAGTTCTGGAGGAATGTACATGGCTGAAGTCCTTGAAGCAGTCTGTCTCAAGCGTAAGCTGCCCAACCCGAAAGACTATGCGCTCGTGGTGGATATGAATGGAATGAAGATCCTAATCCCTCTCGACCGAACTGTCAAGAGTTTGCAGGGCAAACGAGACTTGATGCTAATCAAGAAGAACATGTTACAGCATTATGGTGTGGAGTTGACCAAACGAAATGGTCGATCGACGGATCCAAATGGTATGCCTTCTACTATCCGATACAAAGAGCGTTTTATTGATATTGTGGATCGTAGCTTCAATATTCAAGAGAACGTCAGAGGTTCCGGAACAGGTTTACAGCTCCGTTTTCGATTATACCACTGCGTACAAGGCCCGCTCTGTTCCGTCTGCATATATACCGTCAGTTTACTCACAGTTCTTCTGTAGCGATACACTGTGTACCGGAAAGTACCTATGCTGGTCACTCGTAGTGCTCGGGCTCTGGCCATTGACGGAGGTTACATTCATGTATGTGTTTCTGGCCTTTTTTGCTGCGAAGAGTGATGTTGACATCTACTAATACCGCCATAGATTATGCCGCAGAGTAACAAGGCGAAGAACGTTTTCGACAGCGGAAAGACGGTTTCGTATGATATCAAGAGTATTGTTGCTGTTCAGCAATCAAGCAAGAACAGCGCTACTTTCAAGCTTGTCGTCCATCGCGAGTCTGAACGCAATAAACGCTACGAGTTCGAGGCAGAAAGTCCAAAAATTGCCAGTAAGTCATTTCTCGACCTGTCTGCCCACAATTGATACGATATTAATGTGCGATATGTAGATGAGATTGTGCAAACCATTCGCGGATTAAAATCGACGTTGGAAAGGTCTGGTACCACAAAGCAGAGCAGGCGGAGTAGGCAGGTTGGTTGAGGCGCACGTAGGATTGGATGTAATGATATGGTTTGTATTTTGAATATTCTGTCTCCCTCTGCTGTTGTAAGCTATCATTCAGTTTGTGTACCAATAGTCAATGATCGCATTTCTTCATGAACCGGCACAGTGTAACCTGGTCCTTCATGCACGTCGATCTTGATGTGACTGACAGCTGGCGTTGAATAGATAAGATCTGAAGAACTGTTTGTGTATGCTCTGCAGCAATTATGACGGTGGAATAGAATACATGAATACGTCCTGTAGTAGGTATGAAGAGATATGTTGAGTAAGAAAGACATGACATATCAAAAGGGTTCATTGCTCACAACGACAGCCCCGTACCAGCACTACCGTGCACGGCAAATGACCTCGCCATCCAAGGAAAGTTGGACTGCCTCCCTAGCTTCCACCCACTCGTGCTCTCTATCCTTCGTCTTCACTACTGCAATCTCGCCCATGCCCAAAGGCTTGATATTTTGTGCTCGCCGTCCCGAACATATCCGCCGAATTTCAGAAGCAGACATATACATTGGTTTACTGGGCTTGCTGATGAGTGACATGCCAGTCAATACCGGCCTGTCATCGCGGTACTTGAGGTCTGCCCATATTCGTTTCTGGTTCTCGGCAGCAGCATGGAATTCAATAGGCGAGGGTTGATCAGGAGTTCCTCGAGTCACTGAGGAAAGGAATCCTGCCCGAAATAGGATGGATAGAATAGCGAGGTTTTGAACGGTATGAGGGACGGAGATACGAGCGTGCCTTGCTCGGAATGCATTTTGGACGTGAGAGCAAAGATCGTGAGGGAGAACCATGTCAAGCAAGTCCTATAAACCCTGGGTGATTCAATGTTCGTTATCTGATTCTGGGTGTTTATGCAACAATATACGACTTACCTCTCTCGCCACAAGAGACAACAGCAAGTATTGGGCGCCTAGCTCGGACGAAAACATATCTGGTTGCGCAGCACGTGGACGCCACTCACTTCCCCGCGATTTACCGTCGCGCGAACAGACTCTGTAGAGAATGAAACAGTTAAAGACGATTATTCGGCTTTGCCACTGCTGCGATGATGGCCCATTCTGCAAGAGAAGAGCCTGGAGAGTCCATTAGACAGGGCGTAACTCGCTTCATCCCCCTTCTGCTCCCCACTACTATATTTCACTGCTGGCTTTCTACAGTATCTGCACACATGTTCTCACCAACTAATTAACATATGTGAAGAAATCATCCTGGCTACAAACAGTAGTGTGCTACAATTGTTCAACGTTTCTTTACTAAAACACTGAATCACATGAGGTGAGTGACAAGGTCACCATCTACAACCACCCTCTATTGGCAGAATCAGACATAGAAAACTCTGTTTTGTGAGCCTCGTATTATTTATCGAAACTAAGTAAATCGCCAAGGACTAGTGATATGTTTATACAGGTCCTCATACTAGCAACCTGACGTAGAATGTCAGGCTCTCACATCAGAAGTAAACAGGACCCTGTAATGAAACTCCAAACCGTACCCTATCTCCTTTCCCTTGTCCACCGACACTGAAGTCTCGCTCTACCCACTGCCATTTTCCCATCTTTCCCTCGTCAATCTCATGCTCCATTCCCAATCGATGGTAAAGCGCTTGTCCGTCCTGTACACCATGCTTCTCGATGAGCATCAGTGTTAATTCTTGGATTTTTGGAAAAGGCTTGTCGGCATCGAAAAGCGTTATTTGACCGGTGTTAGGGTCACGATTTGACTCTCGGCGCCGACCGACCACTACGGCCCAAACTTCCTGAGTGGCGAGCGGGACCGAATTGAACGCGGGGCATTCATACCACTGCCCGTTCTTGCTTGGAATAGCGTCACTGCTCCTCCCGACTATCAACGCGCCCTTTGCGCGGAATGTGAAGTAACCAGAATCAGGCATCACACCCTGAGGTGCTCCATCCGTTTTCCAAGGTTCTTTCAGTCCAATTGCATCAAACGCAGAAATGTCGCCGTTATGCGTCCTGATGAATGCCCTCCCGCTTACGGATGTCTCTGGAAAGGTTGGTAGGGTGGACAACTCTGAAGAAGGGGGTAGTTCGGGTGCGATGAACAACCAATCTGCTTTTCGCCCACGTTTGAGCAATGCTTGAATCAAATGGATTGTTGCTCTGAGGCGGTCATTCGCCCCATATTCCGAGACCGTCAGATTCACCGCCATGGGTCCCATGACACTGAATACCGTATCTACAGGGCGTGACGAAGTTCGAGTGAAGGCCGACATCCACAGATTCTGATGATTGATGAAGTTGTTGCCGTGTAATCCTTTTTTGAGCAAGGCAGCCGCTGGAGCAGCCACTATTCGAAGGGGGATATCATTATAAGTCAGTTTGTTCGCCTCGAAGTATGATGTCGTGAAGAAGATGGCAGCGAAAAGCTCCATGAGATCGCATATACCTGAATGACCTGGTTCCAGGATTTGCACAAAGGTACTGCCGCTACACATGAATTGGATGAATGCCGGGGATCCAGCTGGCTCAGGTAGACCTTGCAAATACTCTTGAAGCGATGACTGCGTGAATGAGAAAACACACTTCAAAGTGTCTCTGGTCAAATTCGCCGCAGCTTCTTGCAGCGTCCATGCCCGGTCAATCCAGCTAGTTGGCTCAGACAGATCCGCGAGTCGTACGAACCCTCCGGGAAAGATGAGGCATATATTGCAGCGTTTGTATATCTGGAACATGCGCTGAATCTGCCAATTCTTGTCTTGCTTGCTTGTCTGTAAAAGGCACAATCTGTCGAGCCACAGTAAAGGCATTCCATGCCGACGAGCAGCGAGACACGCAGTGCGTAAGACGTCGATGCTGATTTGATCGGCGTGTTCAGCACCGCGAACGCTGAAGCTACCTTCGGGTGGCATCGAGTTCTCGGGCGGCTGGAGATCTCTCCAGGGGTAAGGAACTGCCGCATATAAATGCTCTGTTAGAGGGAAGGTGGCATATTCCATGATACGGAGGTTGCTTTGGTCCAGGAAAGCATTGCAGTTAAGTAGTCGGAAGCGACAGGGAGTTGCACGATCGTCCAGACTGACGGTTGTTCCTGGTAACTTTGATAGGGATATGTTTAAAAGTAAGCGAGCACCCGAATCTTGCCTAAAAAGCCAGTGATGCAGCGCGTTTGAGTTCTGAAATGCGAGAGTTCTGGAAAGAAAGGCTTACTGAGTTGTTTCAGGTTGCTGCATGCTGCGACTATCTGAGTGATCCACAAGAGGCTTTACACCATAAAACTTTGGCTGCGTCACAGTGTAGTGAGCCAAACCGGAAGAAAACCTTTGTCCATCTGCACAACAGGTCTGAGAGTTTCTTGAACATACCAATAAACTCGAGGCGCTACTTTGATCTAAGTCTAGAGATGCAGAGCGAAAGTGATTAAGCTGTCAGTATCACTACTATCAAGTGCCTTTGAAGTTGCACGAGATTGTTCGTGTGCTGACGGCGTGTAGATTCAATACTTAAAGGCGCCGCATGCACACATCTTCTCCGACTTGTGCCTAACATGCGACTGCCATGAGACCGTGACGTAGAGACGAAGGCACACTATCATCGCTTGACGAGTCTACATATGTATATATACGGCCACGGCGAAGAAAGACGCATATTCTTGAAAGTTTGCCGGCGATTTTGGTCAGGCCTGCAAGAAATTCAAGTTACTTGAGAAATGCAACTCACAAGAATTGTGTAGAGACCGTCCTGTGAGCTTACTTCTGGCTGGTTGTATCACCAACGGTTGACCATTGTCTTTTTATTTTATTTTACACATGAGATCGAATTCTGGCAAGTGGCTTTCACTGCAGTCACCCTGAGATAGAGCATAATTCTCTTGGACAGCGGTGAAGATCGAAGCCGTTGAACACTGCGTACTCCCATCTGTTTCAATGAGAATTTATTGTTATACTCACGCACTGGTATATAATTATACCCAATAGTAACATTCTCCTCCCCGCTTCTACATTCGATGGCAAATCTACAGGAAGTCCAGACCGATGCCGACTTGAAAGCCTTTCCTCGTTCCATCACCCTTGCTGGCAGTAAGCGGCACGCCAAAGTTGACTTCCACTCTCACAGGATCAAGCTTATACACCAGACCCACGCCGGCCGAAATAGAAGGCTGAGTGATGGAAGACTTCAGTATCGAATCTATTGTCCGAGCTATAATATTATCAAACATCAGCCATCTTTGCAACAGGATACTACTAGTGGAACGCACTTTTGTCCAACGCATCCAGCCGTCCGGCGTTCACCCACCCATGCAACTTCACGGGCCAGTTCGGCTTTTTGGGTATATCCGTAATCAAACTAACACCAGCCGACCAGTAGAGATCGCCTCCGAGAGAGTCTGATGCGTCTTTGGGACCCAGACTGCTTGCACGGAACATTCGTACACTAGTAGGGCCGCCCAGTTGAAAACGGTCCGGAAGGAGAGTCAACTTGTCGTTGAAGGGACACAGGACTCCCGTGCGCGCTGCAAATGATACAGTCTGCGAATATAGACAAGGTGCAATTAGAAGGCTAGATTTTTAGATGAGCTGAAGAGAATTTACGACGTGAGGTAGGAGGGCACGTGAAAGTTGGCCTAGAGCTTCGGATTTGAAGAAGGATGCGTCTCCACCAAGTCCTGCAAGCTCCTGTGAGAGTTTGAGGTATGAACCCCGCGTACCCAGAAGCCGATCATCTCGAGTATCGCGTGTCCAGACGTGGAACAGTGACGACTTCACAGATTGACCAGCGGCTTCTCGTACACTTCACGCGAACGAGCCAATTGTCAGCCTGCAAGATTACTTGCGAGTATGCTAAGACACACCTGATGGAAGCGGTTGGAGTGAGGTTACTAAGATGCCTCAGTACGGCCTCATATCCAATTTCGTGCAAACCCTTCACAAGGTTCCCATTCTACGTGGCGACAGAGTAACGACAAGAGAAGCCAAGACAAAGAAAGGAGTTCAATTTATTCTTCGCATGATCTCAAAGAGGCAGTCTGACCTAGGCTCACCCTGACAACGGCCCTTATTCCTCGGACGCCCTCGAAATGGCTTGCATAACTTGTGTTGTCGCGCTCTGTACCGAAGAGTGAAATTTCACCCCGAGTACCAAGTGTACGCGTGAGAGGTGCAGAGAGAGACGCGTGGAAAGATACGCGAGTCTTGGTAGCGAATGCGAGGTTTGCCTCGAAGGTTTCTGCACCACCGAAAACATTGCGAACACGACAGGTTGCACTCTAATACACATGATGCTTTCAGTATCAAGGCACCAATGACAAGGACATGTGAACATACCGCTCCTCCCTCGTCATTTCCTACTTGTGTCGAGGTGTTCAGGAAGAAGCGACCCTTTTCTTTCGCTTTGAATACCAAGTTCACATCGTTGGGCCGAGCAAAAATATCCCTGCTGCGTTCCAGCTTCGCAACAACATTATCAAAGATATCCGTCTCCTGAAGCAAGTGTCCGAGAGATCTAGTTGTATCCAGAACGGAGCCAAGCGTATGAGGCTTGTCCGTCACGAGGTAAGGGTTGATTAACGAGCCCAGGAATGACTTGCGAGTATGAACCGCCCCGTCGACGCGTATCGACGCGATATTCATACGGCTGTTGAGATTCTCATTTACCTAAATATAATATAAGTCCCTTCCATGGGTTACGAAAGTAACAAAAATACTGACCACTTGACCAAGATGAAGGACAGCAGACTCATATTCTCCTCTGAGTTTCCTTGTCATACGTTCTTCCTGCCATTTCTTCAGCTTCTCAAGATCCTCTAGATCAGGCTCCTTATCCCTAGGTACAGATGTATTGTGAAGAGGAGGTTTGAGAGGAGGTACAGTGAGTTCAGGCTCCTCCATCTGGCAGAATGAGCAATAGAAGAAACAACTATTGGTATCAGAGCGCGAAGCTGAGCTCCCAATTGGGCGCCAGAATCTTCCGAACTTCGGTCAAAATTATGCTTCGACCTTATGGCATTAGGTTTGTTAAGATAAAGTGGCTTGAAAACATAGACGAGACAATTCTATAGACATGTTCTCCTTGTTCGATCCCCTGCATTCAGCTCACAAGCACTAAGCTTCCCAAGATATGTTTTGCGCAACGAGGATTCGAACGCTCACCCATCGGCTAACATCAATTAGACATCTCCGCGTTAGAAGCTGCTGACATAATCTCCAGATCAAACGAAGTTAGCCCACATTTGGACTTGATTTATTGGAGTGATCGAGCAGTACTTAAAGTCAAACCACGCTCTCGTGGTTATCTCGCCGCTCCGCGCGACAGCCATCTTGGAAGGCTGTCTTTTGCATTCTTATTGGAGTTGTGTATACCCATCATGTCGTTCACCTACGTTCACTATTCTACTCCATCCTCGTTGCCTTCAGACTATGCTCTTCTCTCGCGTTATGCCGCTGAAAACGGAATAGAAGAAGAACCCATAACACCAGAAAACATCGAAGCAGTCGAACCTTCGATGCATCCAGACAACGACCTTTTGTCACCTAATGCTATACCCATTCCAGGTTCGCAAAGTCATTCAAGACGGCGAAGCAGCTTTCCTACTTCCTACGTGACACCTTTCAATCCTACAACAAGTGCCTTGCCTGACAAGTCCGGCTTTCGTTCGGGTCCTCACCCTCCATCAGCGAACGAGAATACTCCTTTACTTGCACCGCTTGTACCTCGAATTGCGGAAGACGTGGATAAGATTGACCCTGATTCTGAACGTCTTGTGGATCTCCTTTGGGAGGAGATACGTATATTGGCCAAGTATACCCTGCCTGTATTTGGGTGCGTTGTGGCGGCCTTAACAGCGTTCCCAGTAGCTTACGACATGTTTTCGCCTTAAAGTACCCACCTTCTTGAGTACTCCCTCGTAATTGCGTCCGTAGTGTCCATAGGACATCTATCGACTACTGCCCTAGCAGCTTCCACTCTTGGTTCCATGACTGCCAGTGTAACCGGTTTCAGTATAATCCAAGGTTTGGCCTCCACTCTAGATACCATGCTTCCAAGCGCATGGACATCTTCCCAACCTCAGTTGGTCGGTCTTTGGTCACAACGAATGGGTGTGTTTTTCCTTTTCTTTATATTCATCATAGTGTCAAGTTTAAATGTTTGACGTGTGACTCAGCGGTTGTCATGCTTTTTGCGCTTGTGGTATGTATAAGGACCTCTGACCGTCATGTCGTCTAATTGAATCTCCACAGCCTATCATTCTCATCTGGTTCAGTTCGGAAAGTATACTTTTATTCTTGAAGCAGGAGCCCGAAGTTGCCCACCTCGCCGCTATCTATCTCAAATATTCTGTAATTGGATTGCCTGCGTATGCTTTTAACTCTATTTCTCGGTGCGTTATACGTGTATCTTGGAGACTCCATCTCATTCGTTCATAGACGATATTTCCAGTCACAAGGTAACAGAACGTTTTCCATCATATAGTAATGCACCCGTTTATGTTTTTCAGGTTTATTCACCGTACCGACTCGCGTCATTCTTTGTGTCGCACCGATCAATGCTTTGCTTAACTACGTGCTTGGTAAGTGTTGTGGCTTCTCGTTCATATTCGCATCTACCTTATCTGCCTTCGCCTATTCACAGTATGGGGACCCGAACCAATTCGTCTGGGCTTCATCGGAGCACCGATAGCGACCGCAATCTCGTTCAACCTTATCTCGCTCGCGTCGATAATCTACGGCGTATACTTCGTACCTCGCACCTCTTGGCATCCCTTGAGTAGAAAGTGTTTCACAAGCTTGGGTGTTCTTGTGCAACTAGGTTTGGCTGGAGTTGGTGAGTACCCGCGTCGTGGAAGCCAAGGATATGCGTTGCTGAATGTTGAGGGTAGGCCAAACTGCTTCAGAATGGTGGTCTTGGGAGCTTGTCGGGCGTAAGTCTCCACATTGTCATAGTTGTCATAGTTCGGCGCTAATTTCATGACCTTCAGTTGCGGCTAGTTTGTGAGTAGCTCCCTTTACAATATCTTATCTTGCTGAACCTCGGCATTGTTCAGGCTGGGCCCAGTAGCCCTCGCAGGCCAGTCTGTTCTGCTAGTCTCCGCCTCAAGTACCTTCCAGGCGCCTTTCGCTCTTAGCGTTGCAACGTCTGTTCGGTATGTTAGCAATACTTTCTGGGGCGTAAATTTTGAGTGCTCACAGACTCGTGTTCAGCATTGGTAATCTTCTCGGTGAAGAGAATGCAAAAAGAGCCGCATATGCCGCCAAGGGGTCAGTGTTGATGAGTGTTGCTATTGGTCTTGCTTGGAGGTCTGTTTCGGTCCCCTCATATTGTGTCGTCATGTTCGCTGACGTCGAGTACAGTGCCATGTTCATGGTGTTCCGTCGTTCGTGGGCGTACATTTTCAATGATGACCCTAGTCAGTTTGTTCGCTCTTGGAGTTCATCGTCCCTTTTGCTGAATGTGGCGAATCTTTCAGGCGTCGTGAAACTGGTCGCTTCCATTCTGCCCATTGTCTCGCTCTTCCAGGTCTTCGATGGGCTTGGTGCTGTGACAGGCGGGATCTTACGTGCCATGGGCAAACAGGTCGGTTCCTATTCGCCACTATCGCTTGTGCCTGTGTATGCTGAATGCTTCCGACGTGCCTTTAGTTCACGGGAGCATTGTTGAACCTGAGGTACGTTCTGTTTAGTGTCCAGTCAAAGCCTAAATGCTAATTCGATTTGCGCCACAATCTATAGCGCATACTATATCATTGGTATGCCTATCTATCCCTGTCTCATTTCTCGTTCTTATCTCATCAATTTATTTAAACAGGTATTCCGTTCGGTTTATGGCTAGCATTCAAGCGGGATATGAGTCTTCATGGTCTTTGGATAGGCCTAACAGTTTCATTGGTGTACGCCGCAACGGTTGGAGTGTGGATATGCCTAAGCACGGATTGGGATAGAGAGGTGCAGAAGGTTAGGGAGCGATTGGAATCTGATAAGCATGCTGCTATGAGGCAAGATATAGAGGCCATTATTTGATTGTCCTTCTTTTATTCAGAAAGGTCATTTCTCGACGATCTTAATGACGTATGATGTAATTAGATTATTTGTTTTCGTGATGCTATCTAAGTTTTCGCTAGAGTTCCAAGTAGCATAGTGAGGAAACTGAGTACTTCGACGATTGACAGTTCGACATGACTTGATAGGCTGATCGTGATCTATGACAGTGATCGGGTACATCCGAATCGCGCAGGGATAGTATTCGTGGCTTTAAGTGTTCTTCATCACCACATCAGTTCAAGTTCAGAGCTAGGTTAACATTCCCCAACCTGCCTAACATGGTAGGAGTATTCTCAAAGTCCGCTAAACGGAGCAGGATATCTCTGTGCACCAGCTTATCAACAATGTAACGTGCGTATGCATCTGCTCCTCATGCTATCAAAGGAAGAAATAGACCATCAACCTTATCTTTCCAGGCCAGTTCAAGACGCAGTCTTCTCTCCGGACCTCTTTATGACCCACTATCGCTCCACAGCGATAAGTGAGATAGAATAGCCTATTGCACGTTGTCTTGGCCGCTACCCTGTTATGAGCCATCAGCTATTCAGGGCTGCCCAGAATGTGGTCTTGCGGGCTACCTTTCCGCTTTATCCGACTCTTGGAGTGCAAAAATAGCGTTTCAGACCAGAGACTCTTGGAGAAGGTATGATTTATATGGGGGCACACGACGTTCCGATTCCTTCGGTGATCCACTTATCCCCTCGGTGTACCTCTCTCGGTTTCGTTCCCTTCCTGCAACAGTCTCGTCCAGCCTATTCATTGAATAGCGACAGAAGATGTTGCTATTTGGCGATTCCCCCGCCTTGAAGCGGGCCGATACCGACAGTGCTGTCAGTATGGGAGACTCCAAGGAGAAGTTCCATGACGACAAAGAAGTTGCCGTGGTTAGCGAGAAGGACGCGGCTTTTCTAGTGGAGCCCGACGCAGACGACGTCAAAGTCATTGAAAAGGCTGAAGATGTCGCTGTCCAGGTAACGTCGTTCTTCTCTGTTCATGGAGATAGTACTGAGTTGAAGTGCTTATGTGCAGATCATTTCAACTGAAGACGATCCATCTCTACCCGTATTCACCTTCCGTACTGTGTTTCTTGGTGTCGGGTTGAGTGCCTTCGGAGCTGTCTTGTCAACTATATACACTTTCAAGCCGCAGGTGTGATGCAGTTCTATCTTCACCTACCGTCCAGTTTTTGACGTCTCTTTTCAGAATGCTACCGTTTCGCAACTGTTCTGCTTGATAATTGCATATGTATTGGGTACTGCGATGGCCGGTGCGTTTCTGCTTCATTCGTACCTTGATGTTATCTAACCCATTCAATCAGCGATAATTCCAACTAAGGGTTATTGGAGGTACCTCAATCCCGGGCCTTTCAATATTAAGGGTACCATTGTGTCTAACTAACTACTTCTCGAAGTTGATTAATCTTGTTATGTTTGCAGAGCACACCGCAATCGTCATAATGTCTTCCACTGCCTCGACGGTAGCTATTGCGATGGAAATCATTGCCGCGCTCGGTTAGTGGTCTGAACGCTATCTCGTAGTTTCTTCTCATATCGTTTGCCCCCTACAGATCTTTTCTACGACATCCACCTCAATGCAGCTGTTGCCATCTTCCAGATCTTTTCCAGTCAGATGCTCGGGTATGGCATTGCAGGAATGTGTGGGTCTTTCTCCACCTCATCAAGTTCCATCTATCGATCTAAGTCCTCTTTTAATTGCAGTGCGAACGTTGCTCGTGTATCCAACATAGTAAGTTTTTATCTACGTTCTTTACAATTATCTCGAATGCTGAAACACCCCCTCAGTGCTTTCTATCCGACATATATCTCTGTCGTCAACTTGCTGCAGAGTCTTCACTTTGGCGGTACGCTGAATCACAAGCGAAGGTATGTCGCCCATCAAGGTGGTCATGTCATAGTTACCGATCGTATTTGACTGTAGACGTTTCTTCTGGATCGCTGTGAGTCTTGAATGTTTCAATGTTCCAACTTTCTGCTATAACCTCCTGTTATCAAGTTTGCCGGCATTTTCCTATGGGAATGGTGCGCTCGTTCTCTTCCTGCGCTTTTACGTGCTGCTCACTCCGGAATAGGATTCCTCAATACCCTTTCCCACTACTCACCGCAATCTCTGTGATCTGCCTCATTGACAATGGCCGGTCAACATTTGTCCGCAATCTCTTTGGTGCTGGGTCTAGCAACGAAGGCATAGGCCTTCTAAGCTTCAGCACCAGTTGGACGTTGATCACCCAGGGAAACCCGCTAGTATGGCCGCTTCAGACCCGTAAGCTGCCTGTCTCGTCTTGATCTTCGTGTCATTGACTAACCTTTGGCTTTCCGGGTCACAGAGGTCAACTCGTATAGTGCGTAGTAATCTCATTTTGGTGGTCTAATGATTCCTGTCAGCTGACAGGTCTTAACAGTTGGTATGGCTATTGGGTACCTCGTTCTCACTCTTGCGTACTACAGTAATGCGTTCAACGGCCGAGACCTTGTCTTCATGTCCACCTCTCTCTTCGGATTGGATGGACGGAGCTACAACCAATCTGCCATTCTCACGTCTGAAAACAAGTTGGATACGGAGAAGTTGGCAGAACTTGGTCTGCCAAGATATACTTCTACTTATACCATCAGTCAGATGTGCTACAACTTCAGTTTGGGCGCTGCGTTGGTGCATGTCGCTATATGGTATTGGAAAGATTTGAGAAGAGGTTAGTTCTGTCGATTTTTTCCGCCTCCGAGCGTTGCTCACGCCATTTTGATTGCAAGCATTCGGAGGTTTCAGATTCCTGAAGAATGGGCAAGATATAGATGACCCCCACTATCAGCGTACGTCTCTTTAGCACGGCACGACAAACAACCGCCTGATTGTATATCTGAATACTTTCCACAGAAATGAAGAAGTATCCCGAAGTCCCACAATGGTGGTATCTCCTCGTTTTGGTGCTGTCTGTTGCAGTCGGCATTGGTTGCAGTGTAGGTGTTTGGATTATTTGCACTCCAGAACACTCATCCTTATGTCACTCAGTATACGACGGGGGAAGCACTCCTCCCTTGGTGGAGTGTTATCCTGTTCACCGTTTTGAGCTTCGTCATTGCCATCTGTCTTGGTTTCAGTAAGTCAATGAACTAATGATCTCTCGAAAGACACTAATATACATCTGCAGTATCGGCTACGACTGGTTTTACCCTGTCTATCAAGTATGCCATCCAGATCTTGGCTGCATTCATTCATCCTGGGCAACCCATGTGAGTCTATACTCTTTGTCTCATCTTGTCAGTGCTGACCGATCACTACTTCGTAGTGCAAATATGTACGTGAATCTGTACGGCAACAGCACAGCCTTCCAGACTCTCTACATGCTTCAAGGTATGATACGAGTATGCGTCAGTTGAGTTCCGATTGGCTAAGTTGAATCTTATGTAGATCTGAAGCTCGGTCAATACACGAAGCTCCCTCCCCGAGCGACATTCGTAGCCCAGATGGCAGGCTCCATATTAGGGTCTATCTTTAATTATACCAGTACGTCCCCGTTCGTATAGTCACCATGGCTGAAGTTAACTTCTTGCTGTGTTTCAGTGATGACGTCAATTGTAAGCAACAATCGCGACGTTCTCTTGGATCCTGTTGGGACTCGAGTGGTAAGTCATAACCAGTCGTTGAATACGTTGCCTCTGAATTTTGTACTGGCAGTGGAGTGGATGGATCATTCAGCAATACAACTCGTCATCAGTCGCTATGGGCACCCTTGGCAAAGAGCTGTACGTCGAAAACCATCGCAGGGCGTCGTCGACCTGATGAATCAAATTTTCTGTGACAGCTTCACATTAGGGAAGCCGTACTGGCTCATCCCATTCTCTATTTTCTTCGGCTTCTTCCTGCCAATACCTTTCTGGCTAATTCACCGATACTCAAAACCCGGCTCGATTATCTCCAAAGTGGCAGCCTATATCAATACACCCATCATCGCGCTGTATGTTGGGTATCTGCCATACTCCGTGAATGGCCAGTGGTGGTATGTACCTCAGGACATGCATGGAAAGATTAGGCTAACGACACATAGGTCTTGCTTTGTGATCGGGCTCGCCTCGCAATGGTGGGCACGCAAGTACCGTCCTCGTTGGTTCAAGTCAAAGAACTACCTCCTGTCGGCAGCACTCGACGGCGGAAGTCAAGTCATCCTATTTATACTGGTGTGTATTGCCCCAAAACTCCCCCACTTTACAGCCGTTGACTTCTATCACAGAGCTTCGCCGTCTTTGGTGCAAGTGGTAATGCCGTTGACTTCCCTAACTGGTGAGCAATTGTCTCACAACCTCGGAGTCAAAAGTATCGTGCTGACTGCGCTTTGACAGGTGGGGGAATCCGGCTAACCTTTCAGTCGATCGATGTGCATCGACCTGATTCTCGATCTCTGTAATATATGTACACTAAACATAACCCAGATTGAGTCCAAACTTTCCCTAGGCATTCTATATCCAAAAATACCCCGGCCAGCTATGAAACTCACTTATAACTGCTGGTGTGGGACCATTCGTGAAGTTTTGACATCGGATGAAAACATACCCTTACATTCCCATAACTCATTCAGCTTCTTGTTTGACCTGCCGATATCATATTCTCACTAGACACCGAAAAAGCTTACCATCGCAAGTCACCTATTCTCGCCTACCACAAAAATATACGCATCGTTGATTTCATGCGGACGCTGCAGTGAGATAGTGTATACATTCCGGTCTTTAGCTTTAGGACATTCAGTCACTAAATCACCTCGTCTCTGCGAGTCACAAACAACTGATGAAATGCATGGTAAGTAACCATTAACCAATTTCAATATGAGAATCGTTCCTATGATCGCACATGAGCATTCAAGCACGGCTAACGAGGAAGCGGGGTATGACTTACTCTAAGATATCGGCCCTTGAGCTGTAGGGCAGGAACTATGAGAATAAACAAGCCGACCACGATCGCCGCTTCGACCCCGAAAGTTTGCAAAGCACCGTTCTTTGTTGCCCAAGGCACTTGGAAGTATGCCACGCTGAAACCTCCAAGGGTGCGCGCAAGATTGATCAAAGCGGAGATTTCACCCTGAGACGACATGAGTAAGCACAAGACGTTACCAATTGAGCGGACTCACCTGAAGACGGGGGAAGCAATCATTGCAGTAAGCATCTAGCAGAGGTATTGCATGAGCTAGGGCATCCAGGCAAAAGATGCGTGAATCATGCACGTACACACAGCTACGGTGTTGATCATGGTCGCAACTTCAGCAATTCCCCAGCCCATGATGAGTGCACCGATGGTCATGTGGTTCTGCAATGAGGCACCGATCAAAACAAAACCACAGATATACAAGGGGATAGCGATGTAACAAGTCCTGTGGACCTTGTGTCAGACAGTGTCGAGACTGCATCTCTTCATACGTACCATAGACGACTCTCCGCCTCGAAAACACCCTTGTTCCGTCGAATGGTGAAGTTCATGACCCAATCATTGAAGTATCTACCGAGCACTTCTCCAATGAGGACCGCCACGATTGGAGTCCTGAATTGCACCTTATGAGCTCGAAGACAGATTTTGATTCTTCTTACAACACTGACCCGTATGCACCAGCAATAGCGAATTGACCAAAGCCGTAGCCAACAGGTGGTGGCGTGCCAATGAATACGGCGAAGGTAACCTGCAAAGGTGCAGATGATGAGAACAAATCACAGGGTATCTTCCAAAAGCTTACATTGATCCCGATGCTGAAACCAAAGAGCATGGCCTATATTCGATGAGTTATGAGATGGCCATGCTTGAGAACACGGATTTACCTCAAACCAGAGGATACCAAGAAGGTGAGGACGCCATAAAATCTTGAACCAGACGAAGAGAACCTCCTTCCAGCCTGATCGATATTTCGCCATACGATATCCAGTAATCCCAATCAATGTTTCTATGCGGTGACGGAGGCGCGATTTAGGTTCCCCGTAAGGTCTTGGGTTAGAGAGCTTGCGATCATACATGCTGAAACCGACTACACATCAACCCTGAAAGTAGACAGCGAGATTCGATATTCTTTCACGTACGTCTCATCCATGAATAATACAATCAAAAGCACCACCAAAGCACCGTAGATGGATCCAATCCCGTATGCCCATCGCCAGCTATCGCAAACGGACAGTGGTAAATCTATTAAAGGCAAAAAGAAGTAAGCCTACTTACGTAGTTCGGGCAACCAAGAATCCGAACGCGAATGGTGAAAGGAACGGTGACAAAATGAATCCCATGGTCCAGATGTTGAGCTAAACGGTAAGCATAGCGATCAATAATGTATACATACTTGCACGGATTTATGGAAATCGTACCTTTCTTGCTTGGAGATGGAATGGGAATAAATCAGTGACGACATAGAGACCCTGAAGCACACTTTTGAGAAATCCGGTATTCTTTTCGAGGTGGTGACTAGAATACATACCGTAACCTGAGGGCAAGTTCTAAGAAATTGATGGAGGATGTTACTCGTCATCATTCAATCAATGTATCAACACGCCTTACCCGAAGAACGCAGTCAAGCATCTCATGGCTAATGATCAAAACCCCGGTATTAGACACTGGAACAGCACGTTGAAACATTACGCTACGGACCTGTGAATGTCTTGAGATTAGGTGCGAAGGTGCATCCAACAAGGAAGCCGACCGCAAGGAGCTGTAACGTAACTGAGTAGGAAGGAAGTAAACGGACATGAAGGAAAACATGCATACTTGGGACCAGAAGAGAACGGGCAGACGACCGTAACGACGCATGAGCATGACGGCGAAGAGACCACCCCATCCTAAAACAAATGTCAAAACAAGGACTGCGGTTCCCAGTTACAAGTCATACCCAAAAGGAAAATACTCCAGCTGGAGACCGCGTAAGGTGAAATCTCAGTAATACTGGTGAAACAAGATACTCCTCTAGAAAACGTACTTGGATGTCAAGTTATTGATTACACCGGTCGTGGTGTTAAACTGCTCGGCAAGTGCGAAGATCGTCGTTATGCCTGAAACCACGAAGGTTTACCAACCAGGATCGTACACAAGATGAGGACGCTTAACGCACCTATTCCAGAGTCGAAGTCGGGAACGATGGCGGCAAGAGTAATGATAAGCAACTGAACGCCTTTGTGGAAATCAGACCACTGCAAATAGCGATGAATGATCACAACATAAATAATAAAACTACAGTATACATACATTCTGAGGATCCTGCGGGTCATCTGCAGGTTGTGGCCATAAGACCTTCGTGCCGTCCTTAGTGAGCTTCAGTCTTTTGGCGACTTCTTCTCCAAACTCGATCTTCGCTTCCCTGAGATTCCATGTAATGAATTGTAGTGTCAAACTGAGCATGAGATACGTACTCTGGATCCACGACAAGTCGTCCAGCATTGTGCTCATGATAATTTACTAGGTCCAACTCGCTCGAGTGAGCCGAGTGAGCAGACGCGTCTTGGACGACTGATCCTTTTTCATTGTCGTGTTCGCTGACTGAAGGCGCCTGTTTGGACTCAGACATTGCGAGCGAGAGAACGAGCAGGAAAAAGGGAGATGATTGTGGCGCAACGCCTGGGGACCACTATCCTTTCGCCTACATATAGGAAACGTCCGGAGGGCTTGGGAATAAATCATTGAATAGAGTTCTGAAAGCGTGTTGTCCTCTCTACCAATCGTGAGAGCCCACCGTTAGGGTATAGAATGTACTAAGTTTTGATGGGTAGGAGACGAAATAGTAATCGAAGGATCACAAGTGCAATGCGGAACGCCAGGGAAGCCGAAAGAAGCTGGTGTGATTGAAAATATCGCAAGCTGTCGTGGGTACGCATAAATCACGTGGAGTTGGTGAAGACATTTAGTTGCTTTCTTGAGCGTGTCCTGTACTGTATTCATAGATCTGCGCGTTATGGGCATCCATGAATGACGCTTGGTGATCTTCAGTCTCAGTACCTTGAACTGATGAGATGTATTCAACGCACCAACTTTCAGCCTATAACATGTGTTCCTGATAGTATAGGAATTCCCGTACGACTAGAAACCATGCATTGACGAATCCCATGTATATGGTATCTGGCGGGGCCGAACGTGATATGCACATGCATACCGGTTTGTTTTGTTAGACTTGGCTAAGGCGTAAGGCGGAGAAAGGTAACAGCGGGTCTTTGAAGAGGCTTTATTCACGCACATCGTTGCAAAATGAAAAAAAAAAAAAAATGAAAAAAAAATGAAAAAAGAGCAGAATCCGGGCATCATACACTTGGCAATTTCAAATAGCCTTAGAGGTCTGCACGCAGATCATCGATGCACCCCAGCGAATGGTTCTGCATCCGTCTTCTTTGTGACTATACAAACACTTCGTGGACCATATGTGTGTATTAGAAGACCGATCGGAAGCAATAGTAGCGACATACCCTTGCTAAGACATGGCGTACCCATGCTGCGCAGGAGCTTGTAGTTACGACCTGCAACGTCTTTCGTGTTCGTGAGAAGGATGGGAAATACTGGGATTACGAAGCTGAATGACTGAGAACCCTTCTGCAGTCATGTTGTGTCGACCTAAATATCGCGACGTTGGTTCATTGCAAGTCATGAAGCACCTGCAAATGTGTAACCAAAGTAGCATTTGATCCTTTACATTACTGATCAAGTATTGCAGCGCTGCGTGCATGTATCTCCGAGTCTAATATCATGGCAGCTTGTTACCATGGTCGGCGACAATGGAACTGCTCCTGCGAGACATTGTTTTAGAAGAGGGGATACTGACTATCCTATCTACCGAAAAGACCAATTTAAGTACGGCAGTCGTCGCTGGATGATTATTGTGCATGGAAGTTGTGATTCAGGGTCAAGTTCATGGACACAGTATGCACACCCAAGAGGATTCGCCCCGGCGAATCGGACCGGTACCGCCTTACCCACTCATCATGATCGGCAGGCACAAGATCGCCCTTCGTTGAACAACCTCGATATTCAAAACTTAACCAATCAAGAAGTCGAACTGAGTTTTGTGCGTGTTAAGCACCATAGATCACTCTGTCATTATTTGGACACGTAGTCAATCGCATCCAACTCGTATCCGGTACTATGTCTGATTCGGAGGACGAAGCATCTCTATCTCTTGATGCAGTCTTCACAGTAAGTTCACTGCCGATTCTGCTGTGATCGCTCATACCATTAGAAATATAAGTTTAGGAACCACCTAGGCCACCGACACCTGAGCCTACCATCGCAACTTACACTCGCACGATTCATCCGCAGGGTGACGATTGGTCTAAAATAAACATCAGATTAGTAGGATCCCATCCACTCTGGGGACATCACCTGTAAAGTGCATTATGTTCGAGTGACGATTTGTTCTGAATATTTCTATGTAGGTGGAATGCTTCTCGTGCTTTTGCTACTTTTTTAGAGACCCATCGTGCTCTCTATGCCCACCGTTCCGTTCTGGAACTCGGAGCTGGGGGAGGTTTGCCTGGAATTGTTGCTGCTCTGAACGGCGCTGCGAATGTACGCCGCTTACGTTGTATTTTGTGGCTTGATGCAAATTTCACAACCTTTCCAGGTCATTCTTACCGATTATCCAGACGCGGCTCTTCTGGAAAACCTGCATTACAACGTTTCTCAGAATGTTCCTGACGTTGCGAAGGAACGCATCCATGTTGAAGTGCCGTTCAAATTTCACTTTCTTGGTTTCTCTCGTCTTAATCTTGTCTCGTTCTACCGACAGGGGTACATTTGGGGACATAACGTAGCACCTCTGTTCAAAATCCAGTCACAAAACGCCCCAACGCCTGGGTTTGATTTGATCATTATGTCAGATCTCGTATTCAATCATTCACAGGTAAGAATGCTCAGCAAAAAAACCCTGTTCACTACACAAAGTCTTACTCAAGTGATAGCATGATGCATTGTTGAAAACAGCAGAAGATGCCTTGGCGCGGCCCATTTCGACGGGTCATGAATCCACGGAATCTTTTCCAGATCCATGCGTGCTGGTATTTTACACCCATCATCGCCCACATCTTGCCCACCGCGACATGGAGTTCTTCGAGAAAGCAACGAAAAGGGGTTGGATATGCCAAGAAATCCTTACGCAGAAGTTCCCGGTATGCGTTCGCAGGCTACATCAGACACAATGCACTCATTTTCCCTGTCTTTGTTCTTAGCTTATGTTTCCTGACGACTCTGGGGATGAAGAAGTACGGTCAACTGTTCATGGGTGGAAGCTGATGCGACCCGTGTAATGCTACCTGAGTTGTCTGACCTGCTTGCGAGGAGGGCACGTTGGCAAGGTTCAACGACGCTATTGAGCAAGGTGCTATTAATGACGTAAACCATAGCCTTTCCGTAGCACTTTGTTGCTTCGCAGCCGACAAGCTTGGAGGCCACAAGACAAAAGTTGGAGTTTAGTACGGTATGGACGGTCGTCGTATAGAACTAGCACTTTAAAGAGCACGGGGCCAGTAGTTCGACAAGGTCCGAGCACATTTCTAACAATGCGCTCAACTTCCAGCTATATGCTTGGTATCTTCGTTATAAGCCAACCATCCTGTATTCCTGTGGGTCTGATTAATCGCGTCGCGTCGTCTTAATTAGAGCGTGACAGACGATCGCGTAAGTCGCGTCGGTCACGGTCTCGTCACACTTATTCCCAACGCGTGGTGTGACAGCCTGCATGACCAAGTCCACCACCTTGATCAGTCGCTGAACGTTCGACGTTCATCCTTTACCGACCTACCATCTATACTGAAATTGATTTGACTGCACTGAAATCGAACCTGTTCAATGTCTGCTTTACGGATCGCCGATCGCAAGGCTTCTTTCAAGTCGCCGCCTGTATACTTAAGCGATCCTCGAGCAAGTCAAGAAGCCAGGAGGAAGAAAGTTCGTCTCCATTGACTCTCTCGTGAGTATCTGAGATCTGAGCGAAACGACCCTACAGGCACTTGAAGAGCAGAAACGTGTGGGTTGAGGCCTACTCTTCTGGTCAGTCCACCATCTGATCGTGCAACTGTATGTAGCGGCGCGCGGAACGTTTCGACTCCTCGAGACAACTCGACTCCTTCGCTGCTCTCAACCTTGGGCCCTCGGATGATGAGGAAGAGGAATATGATGCATATGCGCCTCCGAAGAGTCCTGAGATAGTCCATGAAGGAGTAGCACCTTTCGCGTCAATGCTGGTCCCTGCGACTACGAGTACCAGTGCTCCAGAAACTCCTGCAGTTACCAGTGAGTTAATACCTCCTGAACAGGAAAGCGATCTACAGACCATTGGCAAGAAGAGAGGGAAGAAACGTAAAGGCAAAGCCCGTGGAGGCAAGCCACGATCGACACCTCAAAAGCCGAGCAAATGGGCAGACAGATGCATGTATGCCGAACTGTTGGAAATGCCAGACGAATCCGAGACTTTTCACGGGGATGGTGTTCCGGACGATCTGGAAACGGGGTGGGTAGCTCTAGCACCTGTACCCACTGGTAAACGCTGCCTTGCTGTGACTCATGCCACTGCTGGAATCGCTGGAGTAGGTCAGTAGTCCACATTTCATTGAGAATTTGCAATATTCGCTTATACTGCATCTAGTCCCAAACACTACGATCCGGTCTAGAGTACTGGGGAAACCGTTGTTAAAACCGTTTCCCTCGAGTCTACCTCCCAATACTGTTCTCGATTGCATCCTTGACGAAAACTGGCGATTCAACGGGATCGTACATGTCCTTGATGTTTTGACATGGAAAGGACAAGATATCGCCGATTGCGAAACACCTTTCAGGTCAGGGATAACATCGTAGCTTTTGAGTGCGACTCCTTAACTGACATCTGCTTGTAGACTTTGGTGGAGAGATACGAGACTATCAGAGCTACCGTCATTTCCTCCTTCCTTTGAAGCAACTACTACTCAACCGTCTAGTAGCTCGGAGACTTCACAGTTTCAGTTTGCACACCCAGTGACATTCATGCCGATACCGTATCATACGAACATCTCCCTCTCACGATTTGTCAATGAGCTCATCCCTCTCACGCGTGTTTCTCGCCATCTGCCAGTACAAATTCCAATCACGAATCCATCTTCAGGGATGGATTTGGACATACCTTCCACCGAACTACAAACCGTTAGCGTAGAGGTGAAGTCCGATGGCATACTTCTATATGTCTCTCAGGCGACGTATGAACCTGGAACTAGCCCGTTGAGTACTTGGATACCAATACGGGCGTATACCGAGTGGAAGGACAAGGATAAGATGGAGGATACGACTGAAGGGCCGTTGGACAAATTCGAAAGGTAACTGATCTTATTGTGTCCATATAAGTTCCAACCATCTAATTACGTTGGACAGACTTATCAGAAAGAGACTGTCGCGGTCTCCGGGACATCATGCGAGTGAACCTGTAGAAATCGAAATGAACTGAGCGATTGGTCTCCCAAACTGCAACCGTTCAAAATTGTACAGTATATAGCAGCAGTACAAGTCAATATGATAGGCTTTTCGAATACCCTGGCCGAGAGCTTTAGCGGGTTAGAGTGAAATTCACAGAGTTGTGAAGAATGATTTCAATTCGCCGTTTATGGGCGCTTGAACGTCATAGTAGCCCTTGCCTGTGAAAGCTTTCTACAATCTCCACCTCCTCTCCGCTCCTTGTCCTTAGTATCGTTATCATTTTGCGACTATTCAATGTTGAGTGACCTCTGATATCTTACCTCCTCAACATGCCACCATTCATTCCAACGGCAAGAGAGATCTGCCTACTCGCTATCCTTCTCGTGGTGCTTCTCTCTGGGTCTAGCAAGCTAAAGTCCAGCAACCTCAACGTCTCAGATATTACACGGCTACGTGGCAGTTCTGGTTCCATCGAGGAACCTTACATGGACACAAACTCTGTACCATTCGACACACAGTATAGCTTGCAACAGTTGAACACGCCGTTGAAATGGGGTTTGGGTCAAGTCCCGGAAACTGAAATCGTCGCGCACGTTCCTGGTGAGTAACAGAAGTCTTAAGGTTTAGAGTTGGGAACTGATGTGAACGAAAGGATGGACAATATTTGATAGGCTATACATCCTAAACGGTACCACCTATGTTGTAACTGACAGCCCACATACGATACCCGACAGGGCTCTTATGACCTCAACTTCGATTGCCATCAAGAATGGCAAGGCAGAGGAGTTAAAGCGGAGACCCACAGACCGAGAGATGCGTATAATCAATACGGATGAAGCAAGAAAGTTATTCGGGACGCAAGCAGAACGACTAGATGGCGTCTCGGTATGTGTTTCTACCAACCAATGTTTTCCCTGCAGCGATGAATGAAGTTGATCATAGTTCCTTGCTAACGATCCAAAAGAATTGTACGCCTTGTCTCCCGTCCCACTTGTGCATGCGCCCTTCTCATTAGACTTCCACTTTCTAGCATCACACATTACTACCATTGGTCTGCGGAACTCTTCTTCGGCATGTGGAGAACATACTCTTCTCTAGACCCGTCAATATCCCCCACTGGAGAAACCGACCTTCCTTCTCCTCGACGAATGATGTTCACCCACATCGATGCAGCCAACTGGCGCGACTACGCCTCCATGAACCAATTCGTTCTCTTCAGCGCCTTCCCCTCAATCACCATGGAATTCTGGAACGACTGGCTTGAACGTGCGGCGATGGGCCGCCCGTTCGTATTCGACCGAGTACTATTCGCTGATCGCGCTGCAGCCATGCACGGCACCAACTTCCTCAAGACTCAGAGGACTGCTGCTAATGCATTCGCTTTGCCGGGCAGTGTGAATTGGTGGGCACCTGTGAGGAATAGCGTTGTGCGATTCGCGGGCCTCAAAGAGGAGGACAATCCCAATGCGTTGGACAGTACGGCTCCGCCTGTTATCACTTATATTTCGAGACAGGGGTGGGGACGTCGTATGTTGATACAGGAGCACCATGACCGGCTGGTGGAGGAGTTATACAAGCTCAGGGACACCTATGGATATGAGGTGAATGTGGTAAATATGGATAAGCTCACAAGGCATGAGCAATTGCAGCTCGCTGGGAGAACTACGGTACGTGCACTCGTTTGTGTGCAACATGGACACCGCTCAGTAATCCTTTTAGATCATGATGGGTGTACACGGAAATGGATTAACATCACTCGTGTGGATGAAGCCAACACCAAAATCAACCGTCATGGAGTTCTTCTTCCCTGGAGGGTTTGCTCACGATTATGAGTACACTACTCGTGCGCTCGGCATGGTTCATTACGGCTTCTGGGGTGACACGTGAGTACTCTCCTTATTATCCCTTTCCTGCACGTCTCATGGCTGAACGGATACAAAACAGGGCATTCACCCGACCCGACGTCCCACCAGTGGCATATCCCGAAGGGTTCCAAGGAAATAAGATACCCATCGACGCAGAGCTTGTTGCTCGCCTGGTTCACGAGCGGTTGACGCTACAGGAGGAGGCAGATGACTAGAAGCTTACATACACTGGATACTCTCTATCGCCTCATGACCCATAGGACTTTCAAATTGGATGGTTGTCTCTGTCGATCTAACTTATTTTGCTATCGCTAGTGTCCTTAGAGCCTGGATAATACCGTAATCCTTATTCTCAGCCGACGAACATATGATACCTTAATATAAGGCCTCCGTAGCACAAGGTAAGGGCTTATATAGAGACCGTTGGCGGTCCATGCATACCGGTGGATCGAACAACATTGTAGTGTGTGGTTCCCGACTATGAGAGCTTGCGCAGTACTGCAGGAGGGAGTTTTACTTCCTTGGCTAGCTCCGGCGTGATCAACAAGTTTCCCAGTCGCGGGGGAGCTGAACGGTCAATGAACTCAGTGAGAACTGGGAGTTTTGCACTGGCCAATCGAAGAGCTGGAAAGCATAATGAGATTCGATACTTCAACATGCATTCCGGAAGAAGTACCTTCACGAGCCAATTCCTCACGAATTGGAAGAACACCTCCAATCTCAAACAAAACACGACCAGGTGGTACACTGCATCAGGCATATACTCAGAAGAGCTCGGTCACATAATGACGTGTTTCGTACCGAGTAGCCCAGAACTCAAAGGACCCTTTTCCTTTACCCATACGCGTTTCATTTCCCTATATAGCAGCAAAGTTAACCCGTAATCATAAGACTTAGGAATGAATGTCGTAGTGTACCTTTATGCACACAGGAATATCGGGAAACACTCGCATCCACACTCTTGCACCCTTAATGACCTTGATCTTCCTCTTGATGGTCTCCTCTACGCTTGACAGCTGCTTCGCCGACAGCCTCGCACCATTTCCCTTTATCCGGATGCCCCATTGTCCGAATGCAAGAGTGGTACCCTTGATGGAACCACCTGTAGGTATAGGTAAAACACCTTTGTGTCGTTTGAGAAACTTGACATTTCGAGGTGCAAGTTGGGAGGCAGCTCTAGACGCTGCTGCTGTTGGATTCAAAAGAAGGGGAATGCGAGCTTGGACATTTCCGAGAAGATATGTTGACGGTCGACAAGAGGCCAGCAGCGACCGCGCTGAAGGGAGGGCGAACATGGTCGCCCAATGTGAAGGATTCAAAGGGTGTTATTGAGTATTCAAGGTATCGATAGCATTCAAAACAATAATTATTTATATTAATTATTTCGTAAGTAACCTTATTATGTAAGTCAGGTTACTTTGTAAGTAGGACTTGAAATGGATCATAATTAGCCGCCCTTCACTCTTCCCATACCAACACCCACCACCACCGCCTGAAGCTTGTTTCTTTTAACAGCCATTTCAATATGAGTGACCGGAAGCGAGCCCTGGAGGGCAATGGAGAGTCGAGCATGGCGAAAAAGTTCAAAAGGTTTGTACTCTCATATATATCTAACATCTTGTACTGATTCTCTCTCATTTAGCGAACCTGTGAGTGGTCCTTCCCTTCTCTATACCTAAGGTGAATGCCTTTCTTACCATACGTTTTCTACTCTACTATAACCGTTTATGCCGCTCAGACGTCCGCCAATGGGTCCGCCTCCCCTTCTCTGGTAAGTGCGCTGTTATCAATCTGGATAGCCCTGTGACTGACATTGTTCACAGACGTCTACAGAAGCTCTCATTGCCCAGAAGAGGGCTGAAATTGCGGCCAAGATAGCTGCGATGAGGAAGACTGCTACTCCGTCTAAAGTCGCAACGCCGAGCCCTCTTTCTACGCCAGTCTTGTCACACGGTGCCTCGCCGTCGCCCGGTCCTGGTTTGCCAGCTGCGGACGATGTATCTCGAAGAGTTGCCGAAGCTAGACGATTGGTGGCAGAGGCTCAGAGCAAGTTGGCAATCAAGGACAACCCTTACATGGTGAGTTTTCCAGCCATTCACAAGGTTTCACACTCACTAAGATGTTTTTGCTCCATAGACTCTTGCACGAACGGGGAAAAGTAAGACGACACCACCCGAACCTGCTCAGCAAGGTGCTGGCTTGAAGATGGCAGCCCATCCTCTCCTTTTGGACACCACTATCCCAGCACCGCAATCCAAGAAGGACAGGTACAAGCCTATGCAGCCAAAGTTTGCTTCTATCAAGGTAAATGATCCGTAGATATGTTTGTCATGATATACTCACCCATTATACTAGGCCAACGTACGAAATGCGCCCACGCCTCCTCCAGCCCCTACTCCCGTACCTATCGAATCCAAGACGAATCCGTATGCTGCTGGCTCATCCGCAGTTCCCGATAGTGGATTCGAAGGCGCACCTAGGGAACGTGTTGGGCGTTCTTTTAGGTTCAACCCCAAAGGCAAATATGTGCAAATTGCGAACGAAATTCGACGAGAAGCGCAGCTGGAGCAATTGAAGCAAAGAATCGCTGAAAGTGCAAAGAAGGCGGGTTTGGACTCCGAGTTTGAGACGCTGGAGAAGAATATTCGGGTACGCTGCGAGTTATGATGATCTGGGGTCGTGATACTGACGGTGGTTCTTCTCAGCGTGACGCACCTCCAGATACAGAGTGGTGGGACGCTGCCCTCCTTCCCACCAAATCTTACGACGATTTGCAGCAGTATGGTGTATCACAAATGAACATTCGCATTCCCAATTCGCCTATCACTATTTATGTTCAACACCCTATTCCAATACCCGCCCCCGCTGACAAGAACAACACGGTTGTAAAGCCTCTGAAATTGACCAAGAAGGTTCGTGACCTGAATCGTCATGTTTTCCATCACATCCTAATGCATTCCGGTCTGTAGGAGCAAAAGAAGATGAGGAAACAACGACGTCAAGCGGAGTTGCAAGACAAGCGCGACCGGATCCGTATGGGTCTCATACCCCCTGATCCCCCCAAAGGTCAGGTTAACTCATCAGTATGGCTTTGCATTGCTTCTAACAGATTCTTTTACAGTCCGTCTGGCGAACCTCATGAAGGTCCTCACCTCGGATGCCGTGCAGGATCCTACGCGTGTAGAAGCTCGTGTTCGACGAGAAGTCGCGATACGCAAGCATACTCACGAGAAGATGAATGTGGAGCGGAAACTCACGGAGGAACAAAAGAAAGAGAAGATCGAGAACAAGAAAATGGAAGAAGAGAAGAAGGGTATCTATGGCGCGCTCTTCAAGTATGTCAAGTCCCTCCTTTGCTACTCGTTCTCTCGTTCTAAACATCTGTTTGCTTGCAGGGTAAAGACACTCTCGGACCCTTCACACCGTTTCAAAGTGCGCAAGAACGCCGAACAAATGGGCCTTACTGGCGTTTGCATCTTCCATCCCAATTTCGCCATGGTCTACGTTGAGGGTGGATCAAAGTTCATTCGACAATATAAACGACTCATGCTCCACCGCATTGCATGGACGGAAGCGGCTCGCGAACGTGGTGCAGAAGAGGTTGAGATTGAGCGTGGGGAAGATGAAGAAACCACTGCTGCTGCTGAAGCCAGTAAGAGTGCAGGTGAACCGCGAGTGTCCCTGGAGGATAACAAGTGTTATTTGATTTGGGAAGGGCAGTTGAGGGACCGGGCGTTCAACAACTTCAAGCCGAAGAGTTGCCCGACGGATGCTGCTGCGAAGGAGGTCCTTGGTACCAAGTTGTCGGGATATTGGGACCAGGCGAAGAATTGGAAGCCCGAGGAAGAGGAGTTGTTCTGAGCTATTGTTGGTCTTGTCATGCTCGTCCTAGATGTCCTCGACTTAGGTTGTATATTACAGTGGCCTGGCCATGGTTCAGAGGCCTCGCACAGTTCGATTCCACATATAGCCATCGTAATCCATGCTTTCATTGACTGCATGTATTAATCTTGCGGGTTTATACCTTGCTGCGTATATACGTTGTACAATGATCTATACTTTTTATGGAATTAGGCGATAAGCTCTCCTTTGGTTCAGTGACACCGCCTACAGGATCATGTCAAGGACAAGCGTTGATAAGAGCTTCGCGAAATGACCCTTGCACCTCTTCATAACCAATCAGCTTAGTGAACTTCAACCAAAAGGCCAACAAACCTTTCTTCAATTCAGAGTCACCAACAGGTAAAGCCTGGGGATAATCAGAAACTGCGATAGTAGAAGGTAACTAGTAGCGGACCTGTAAGAGAACATCTCGCACTGAATCGGACAACTTCCATTGGCGATATGCTACCATATCATCAACTTCGATGGGCGGGAGTCCTATGAGGATTCTCCGTTCGCTTGTCATGCGATAGCTTGCGTTCTATTGTGACGAACAGTCAACATACAATTTTAGTTAGAAGAACGCGACAAACCTCAACGTAGTCTTGCATTTTTGAATCTGTTAACTGGAGAAGGGCTTGCAGATATTGAGCAGCCGCCTGCACCACTTGCAAAGTCTTAGATTGGCTACATGTAGAACTTGGATTGCATACCAAAGTATCTTCATACTGCAGTGGCTCATGTTAATTTGAAGGGTTGAAACAGAAGATACGAAAACTTACCAGTTGGACTAAAAGGTCGACGCAACTAGAAACAGAGCCAGTTTTAACTTCATCTCGAAGAAATAGCCTCAACGCTCGAGTCTTGACTGTATTCAAAGTGAGGGAGTCCATCAACCGAACTGTGCCATTAAAGATAGCCCACCATCGGAGAGAATCACGAAGGGCGTTGGCATATCTTGCATGGAATGTCCCAGCAGTGTAGGCAGGTTTGGATGGCTTGTAGACTGCTCAACGTACCTCTGACTTAAGCGGACAGCCGGACTTACTTGATATTCTTCAAGATATCCAAATCCCTTCGCCAGAGCTATACAGGCAAGCAACTAAAGATGACGCATAGATCGCTTACAGAAAATGAAGCTGTCTCGTACCTCTAATGCCTTTTCTCGTTCGCCTTCATATCGCTTAATTGTAACAATTCGACCTTCAAGGGGCACCTCTAGAGTTCCGGCCCACCATCCATCTTTAATTTTGGAACGACCTTGTAGTATTATTTCCGACTGGTGATACTCCCGCCACTATGCAAAAGACGTATTAAGTAGACCATCTAGCCCTAAATAAAATGACTTACATGTGTGATACTAGCCGCGTTTGGGTCGATTAGGGCCTCGTCCTTCGGTGTACTTATATTGGAAGAAGGATCGACCGATCCTGCGTCAACGAAAGGATCGTCAACAACATCAAAGTCGTCGAGCTCTCTGTGTCTGCTGTCGTGGGTTCCCATACTTGTAGACGAATGGCTGGATACCAGAGACGCCACTGGAGACTGTGTCCTTTGGAATCCATACTCTCGAGGAGAGTCTGAACCGGAATTAGCTGAGACGATCTCAAAGCTGCTACCGACCATATCGCTTGACGCGACGGTTGAGATAGACTGCTCAGTTCGGGTTAGTAGATGATAGTCGTCAATAGATCCTAGAAGTGCGCTTTGACCATCTTCAAAAGACACAGGGCTTTCAACTGAAGCAATGTCGAGACTTGAACCACCTTCTGAGGAGATTGTTGTTGAAAGTGTCCTATCACCAATTGCATAGTGTATGTTTATGAGCGTTGAAATCTATCTTGCGTTGTAATATTGCATGGCAGACAGGGAGATGAACCACCACAAACCTGAAAGGATCTAGCTGCATCATTCAATTGAGCGTTGAATTCTTCTATGGCTTTCTCGATGTCGCCCTTTTTCAGCAGTCGCGACTTCCAAGACTTCTCAATGTATGTTCGCATTTTCTCGTGGATGGATGTCAGCGTCCTTCATTGTTACGCCCCATTAGTAGGCATGTACACATGTTCGGATGAACTCACTTCTCAAATTTCTCAAGGTTTTTCAGAAGTGACGGAGGGGCTGTATCCATGCGTCCCTCCATCTGTTCCTTGATTTGAACAAGCAGGTCGAGCGATCTTTTTGCCAAACGGTAGCACTGGGTCTGGTTTGTCTGTAAATGCTATGAGAAGAATGGTGGTTGATAGCTACAGCGTCTAGGGAAAGCTATAATTCATACCTTGATGGTGTCGAAAATTAAGAATAAAACGCCAGCGGCAGCCGCTGCTGGTGGGAACGAGTCTCCTACTTCCTTTGCGATCAGCGAAGCAGCAAGCGCTGCGTTGAGGGTCTGCGTGGCCGACAAACGTAGACGGGACATCAGTGGTTTGGGGTATCTTTCACGATCTCGGACCAGATTGCTGCAATTGGAAGAGAGAAGAGATGAAGATCCAAGGGCTTTGTGGGATGCAAGTAGATCAATCTGTCAAACAAAACGACACTTGCTATTTGCGGCAGGTCATAGGTTTACCTTCACTTCATGTAGCTTCTAAATGAGGGCAATGAATACTGACAGGCGTGGCATGAACACATAAAGTATGAGGTGGATGTGACCATGGTCATGTTGGAAGGGAGCTATTATGAGCGCAAAATGGCGTCTACACATTATAACAATGGTAAGAACTCGCCACGAGCCAAATCGAAGTGCAGCATCCTACGATGCTGAAGATGCTGCTGGCGGTAGTGCCCGCGCCGCACTAGGGATGTCCTGCAAACCCTTCGCTCTCGCCTTCTCGAGTGCACGAAGCCACTTCACGTCGTTCGCTACTTTCTCCTCCCTAGCTCTTCTCCTCCGTCGGTTCAAATGTGACCAATCCTCGCCCACACCAACTGCCTTTCCATATGGCTCGGGCTCCGGTTGTGGTGGTTCCTGAGGACGTGGTGTATCCTTTGCCCACATCCAGATATCTGCCGTCGTAGAGATTTGGGAGGTTTGCCTCGCACTCTTAGACAACATAGCCAGCCTCTGTTGAACCTCCTCTGGAGTGAGAGTGCGAATTGAATGAACCTTCTTCGCTTGTTCTTGGCGGACAAGTTCGGGCAAAACGACGTGTTTGAGATAACTGGGCACACTTTAGATGACGGAAAAACAGAGAACATGTGCATAGGCTCGCCTCATGGACCTCACTGCATGTGAAGGAAACGGTGGTTCCGTGGAGTTTTCATGTTGTGAAGGATCGAACTTCGCGTTCGTGCCCAATGAAGCAGACTCATCGCGAACGACGTGTTTCCAGAGAGCTTGAGTAGTCAGCGGTTCTGTGCTGTTTTCAAGTACAGACCGAACAACTTGAAGGGCTTGTTGGGTCGCGCCCGTCCTGAAGGCTCGTAACTTCAGCATGGTATAGAGGTGGCGAACTGAGATTCAGAGCAATAATGAGGATGAAACGAGACACTGAGGTTAGGGTTTGCTTACATGAGCAGTCCTATTGTGGTCAACCTGCGGCTTCAAGTTGCTTGTTTCTCGCTTTTCCCTCCTCGACATTCATCTCAAGACACAGAGTCCTCTATTCCACCATGGCCCGCGGTAGATCTCGCTCGGGCTCAGTTGCATCTATAACTAATGGACACCAAGCTCGTGCACCAACATCATCTCCTCAGCTCAAGCGACAGTTTGCGGCTGCCATCGACTCGATTTACCACAATAATCTGACAGTACTCCAACGAAAAGATCCAACTATTGTCTCCATCCTTGATTCATTCAGTCATGTCTGTCTCTACCACTTCAACGGTTCTAAATGGGAGAAGCAGGGTTATGAAGGCAGCATGTTTCTCGTCGAGCAGTACGTCTTGCCACAACTGGCGCCCGATAATCCCTGTTCACGGTCGGCGATCGCAGTGAGGACTCTCCTACGTATGGCCTTTTCATTCTAAATAGAATGGGTACCGGCGACTGGGGCCGTCGTATATACCCCGAAGATGACATGCAAAGCCTGGGCGATTATCTCATGTATCGATATTTCCCAGAGTATACAAGACGACGAACCGAGCTTCAACTGCCACATCCTATACCTGCAGACTTTCGATCAATGTTCGAACTCGAATTTGCCCACGATCCTAATAGCGTCGGTCAACTCCAGGCAGATGGGTCTGAGTCAGGCCCAAAAGAGAAGAAAGGAGCATCTGTAACGCTTGGTCTGTGGATGTTCCCTACTGATGCTCGTGAACCCTTGAAAGATGTCGTGATACGGTACGTTTACTTGCGAAGCAGCTACTGTGTACTGGTCGACTAAGGGCTATTTTCTAGCCTACACTCATATGTCAAGCGTGGGCTCCGATATCCAGATGAATATCGTTATGGACCCGGTCGACCGGCACCTCAGAACCCACATCTCCGTCAAGCAAGCATGTCTTCGGATTCCAATGCGGAAGGTATGTTACCTCTCCCGAGCCCACTTGGTCGTTGCTAACCAATTTTCCAGATGAAGACACGCCTCGAATGAACCGTGCACCCCAAACTATCGAGACTTCCGGCAGCTCTGAAGTCGACAAACTATTTGCCAAGCTTCAAACACCAATTCCAGCCAACACTAATACCACCTCACAGTCTATGTCCGCTCAACATTGGTTTGCTGCACTGACTGGACAAAACGTTGAGCCGGTAGAACCTAGTGCGCCGAGTCCTGCACCATCCGCCCCAACTTCTACTCGAGGTCTGGCACTTTTGGATTCAATATTTGCCTCTGTCCAACCTCCGGTAAACCACAGTACTCAATCCTCTGTTTCAACTATCCCTCCTACCCAGAATCACCTTCCCCCACATCCTGAAGAAATCATGATCGTTTCACCGAAGCCCCAGTCCAGTACACTTCCCCAAATACTGAACCAGGACGTCATATCTACTCTCTTAGGACTCGGTTCTGATTCCGGCTCTCGTGCTTCGTCAGTTGCGCCCAGCGCCACCAGCTCTAGACGATCAGGTCTCAATATCTATGAAGGAGATAATGAGTTCAGCGAGGATAATATGTCGGAAGCGAGTTACTCGACTACAAGTACTGTCGCAGATAGCGACCCGGCTATCTTGGCCGTGGGTCTTTCAGGAGTCCCTATGCTTTCATTCAATAATGGTGGCTCCGATTCGGAAGGCGAATATACCTCTGGATCCTCGCTACGGGTACAGGGCGACGTTACACCGCGAGTCCCGGCGAGAGGTATTGACCCTAACTCTCCCCCACCCCTGGAGCGAGTCCTTTCCCAGCAGTTTCTCATACCTGTGAATGGTATATCGCGAAAAGGACATGCTGCAGGCCCAGCTATGAAATCAACTCTATCAATAGCCTCGACATCGTCAGCCGTGACTGTCAAAGCAGCGGCCAACCAACGTTCCCAGCGTCTCGTACCTTTCGAAGCGGATTCCGAACTATGGCCTTACCCGCGCGCTCCAGTGGACGAACGCGCCACTGATCTAGACGGCAACGATGTTGTTGAACTCGACTTCTCCGACACTCGAGCCTTGAGCGACCCCGCTACCTTCTCCAATCGTCTTCAGAAGCAAAAGAAGCAAAAAAGAGAGGGGAAGAGGAAGACAAGGGAGGAACGGGCGGCTGAGAGGGAACGTGAAAGGGATGCTATCGAGAAGAGTTGGGATGATCCTACGAATGGTCTAGCTCACGCTGTTGATATGGTGTCGCAACCTGGCGCACCGGCCCTCGCATTGCACACTGTGAATGGCAATGGAAAGCGTCATGAAACAACAGCGGCTGGCGAAGCAAGTTCGTCCAAAGCTGCCAATGGCGACAAAAGTGAACAGTTGACGAATGGTGTTCTGAATGGCCAATCCGCTCGTGATGCCTTGCTGGCCGCCTTGTTACCTCATCCTCAAGCGCCCATTCCTACCCTTCCTCGCAAACAGTTTGTTCAGGAAGTGTTGAGTCTCATTTACGTACGTACTCAATTCTCTGCGACTTTATGCTTTTATTGATTTACAGACATACAGTCAGACAATGCGTTCGTAGACAAGCTGTACGAGGAATATACCTCCCGCGCTCACTGAATTCGTTCTTTTCGTTTCGGGTGGATCGTTCATGAAGTTCATGACGTTACGATTACAGTACATCGCCCTTCGCACTTGATTTATCATCATCCTCGATCTCAGCCCACATCTATCTGTATCATTGATGCTACGTTCGCTTTGTAGCAGTGTGTTGGTACTTCTCTTTCTGTCTTTTCTTGATTGCATTTTTGGTTGCCCTTTCTTGTGATGAACACTTTTGTTGCTGTGGAATCCACCTTCGACCTACATATGTGATGTAAATACAGTGTATTGGTAACTTACCCTTATAGCATGTAGATGATGATCCCAGCGTACGGAACAAAACCACTACGGAGTTGTGATGTTCATGAATCGTTCAGGATTATGTGCTCGGTAGCCGCATTGAATCTCTTAAATCCTAGGTTTCCGTGCTGATGCCTTGCCGTGGGCCAACGTTCGCTGCAAACGAAAGGAAGATGACAACGAGGATGCAAATCGTGCAACTAAAGGAAAGTAAGCGATGACAACTATTCTTTCTCCGTGATGCAGCGTGTTTGTTTGTTTGTTTGTAATGCCTGTAGTTTCGTACTGCATCAAGTTTCAACGCTCAGCGTCAAGTTTCCAAATGGGAATATCAATGGAGATTGTGTCCTCCTTCTGCATAAGAACATCGCATTCTTTAAATTTAGAAGGAAGCATACTCTACATAAAAAAACATAGGTGTGCGATCATCATGATAGAATTGAAAGAAACAGAAAATACTTTGTCCAGTATGCATGGACAATTGCGTCCTGGTCAGGTTCAGCTGTATTCAGCTACAATCGCGTTGAGATATTTTGTCACCAACAAGCCCGCCTCAGCAACAGCTGTTTGGTCCTCAGGGATGACCTTCGAAACCGTGGTATTAGTGAACTTATCTGCATGCCACCGTCTTACTTCCTCGAGAACCATGCGACGAACGGCCCGCCGATCGTTGACATTGATATTCTTGCGGGAGAGGCGAATGGGGTGCAGAATGAAATCCCGAATTTCTCGGGGCGTGAGTTGCTCGGGGCCCTTGACAACTGAACGTACGGGCCAAGGAATTTGGAGGAATTTCCAACGGCGGTTGAGCTGTGCGTTCAGAAGTTGTGTCCACTTCGCCTCGTATTCATCGAAAATACGCCCCGGCGCAATCGCTTCTTCCCGCAGTTTCTGTTGGCGTCGGCGAGTGGCCATTTCCTCTGCCTCGCGTCTCTTGCGCTCTTGGTTTTGCCTCTCATAGGCTCGCTCCTGCTCTCTTTTTCTCTGCTCACGCGCCTCCTGCTCCCTCTTCATCCGTTCACGTTTCTGCTGCTCCTCCCTCCTTATCCGCTCCTGCTGCTCTCTCCATATCCGCTCCTGCTGCTCTCTCCATATCCGTTCCTGCTGCTCTCTCCTCATCCGCTCACGCATCTGTTCCTCTCTCTTTCTTCGCTCACGCTCCTCCTGCTCCTTCTTTCGCTCAATCTCCTCCAACATCCTGTCGTGCGCTTCCTTGGCCTTACGTTCGCGTTCAGCCTGCTCCATCGCTCTCTTCATTCGCTCTGCTTCCCTTCGTCGCCACTCCCATTCGCTCCATTTTTGCGCCCTCCAGCCCTCATACTTGCGCTGGTGCTCCTCAGCGGCCTGTCTCTTGGCTTGCTCCTGCCGCCTCTCGAGCTGGGCTTGCTCTTTTGCTCTCTTGGCCTCTTCGATTCTCTGCTTCGCCAACTCTTGAAGTCTAGCTCTCTCCTCCTTCTCCTTTTGTTTGAGCCCTAATGCCTGCCGCTTTGCTGCTACCTTTTTGGCCTGTGCGATACGTGCCGGAGTGCCAGCAATAGCTCGATCCACCTGACCACGAGACTTGTAAAGCTGACGAGCGAAGTACTCATTGAAGGGCAGGGCCATCAGGGAGTCATATACACGATGATCCTCGGCCGTCTCGGGTGGACGTAGATCGGGAAGACCTATGTCGATACGAAATTTAGGAGGATCGATAACGCAGAAACTCTCTTCACGTTTGAGTTTACCATCGGCGGGCATGAACGTGTAAGGCGTCGGCTCGGTATCCATACGAAAGTCTGACCGGTCAACGGAAGGACCACCAAGGACAGGGCGCAGCCCGGACAGCCCGCGAGAGAAACGAGACCGAACAAAATAGCGCATGGCGCACTAGCAGAAAAGGAACAGGAAGAGACACGTAGGGATTGGGGAAATAACAAGTAGCAAGGTCGCCCACGTTCCTGGGGCGTATTTAAACTTTTGGTCCATTCTGCATCGAAGGGTCAAAGGGATTTCCATGGCAGCTGAAAAACTTCCGTTGTTCTTTGGCTTTCAGGGAATATTCCGTTTATCAGCGTCCGGGCCAAGGTCACACATTGCGGATCTTCGGATAACATACACTCGGCCTCCATAAGGAAAAGTCAAAGTGAGATTCGAATATCCCATTGGGGGCGGCCTGGGACCCGGTTCAGACATGAGGCTGGTCATAGCATTGAAAGAGCCACTGAAATGACGCGTCAAACCAGATCTCTTCGTCCCTGGTCGGAAGAATCTTTTTGAAATAACCGATGGACAATCCTAAAGGTTGCAACGTGTGGTCCACACCAATTCAACCATGATGGATAAACATGCGGTGCAGCACGTCAAAATGCGAGACAATGAGAAAGTGGACCATGCTCCAAATAAGGATATTTCATATTACCACAGGGACCACAGTGACTGTAACAAACAGTGTCGAGATCGCCTAGCCAGAGATACGCAAGATGTGGGCCACAGCTGGGTTTAAAATTGGTCAAAGTGATGAATAGTCGGAAGACTATATGAAGAGGTTGAGAAAGCAGGATCTGCAACACACCCTCTCTCGATACCTCTGAACAGCAATCTCCCCTCGAAGACTCCGACATCAAGAACCCAGGACACTGTACAACCTCATCGACGTGAGTACTTGAGGTGCATGCAGTAGTTAAACGCGTTACTCACTAAATATCTACCAGGACATGGCAGGTGCTAGAAGTCCCAAGAAGGCTGCAGCTAGGAAGAGCGCTCGCCTACCCAGATCGCCTAGAAAGCCTTGCGCACCTTGCGCACCGCGAGCAGCACCAATATCTCCTACCAGGGCCAGACGCATTTTCCCTGCACCGCCAAATCCTGAGGATTGCAGAAGGTCCGACCGTGTGCGCAAGAAGGAGCTCGAGAAAACGCGGAGATACCTTGAACGCCAGGTCACGCATGTCCAACCTAACACGAGCAACAGAGGCACTCGCAGGCGTTCCGATTCTGTGTCATCCATCGGGAGCGACTTGAGCGACTTGACGACCATTTCCGAGAACGACAGGCTAGTTGAGAAATGGCGGAAGATCGAGGGCCTTGAAGGCACCATCGATGCCGGTGGTCTCGCGTCCCAGCCCAAAGTCTCAACTTCGCCGTCCGATGCGGAGAATATTGTTTCCACCTTGTCAACGTTGACGTCCGAGGCCGATGTGGGGAGCTCATTGAATGCCCTCAGAGAGATGACCACACAAGCTCAATCGCAGGAAGTCCAGGGCCCATTTCCACAAACTCCATCGCAGGACAGCAATTTCGACCCTGGGTCGGTACTTCATACTCCTAAAGCACCCCAGAGGTACATATGGGAGGTCGAGGAAGAGGAGGAAAGCCAGTCTCAACGTATCACCTTCACTCCAGAACCTTTCAGTCAGGAGGAAGTAGCACCAGGCTACCCTGTATCTTTCCGCGGTCCGACGCCACTCTCTGAGGAAGCTACGGCGCAGCAGGCCATCATAGAGCGAGCGATCCGAGAGCAAAAAGAGCAAGCAGAGGAAATCCGTCAAGAAGTCGTGAAAGCTGAGGAAGCTTTATCAGAGAGTTACTTGTATACCGCTTCTTCTTCAACTACCGCAACCGATGTCACCGGCAAACCGAGGAGCGCCATTCATGGATCGGACGGGACCGAAGTTCACGACCGCATTCAACCTCCTTCTCAAGAACTTGGGGCACACGCTTTCCCCCAGTCACCTAAGCGGGAGCGAACACCGACGCCTGACGAACGCCGATTCCCTCAAACTCGCTATGACACTCCAGGCGCAGGTCCGGGGCTCAGCGCGGAGGAGAGACAAAGACTCTTGGGGTCCATCCCACAAGAAACGGTTATCTCGGTCGTGATTCGCCAAGACGGAAGCTTCGAACTACGTGGAGATCGCGCAAATCCAAGATGGCAACGACTGCTCGAAGTTCTGACACAGGCAGAGCGAGAGGGACTGTGGGGACGATCGCGACCTGTGGCACCGCGGGTTGAACCTGCCCCTCCAGTAACAACCATGAACCACTTCGGCTATGATCAGAACTACGTACCACAACTAGATATGGCCTATGGAGCGTACCCATTGGAAGCGGACTTGCTCGCCCCATCACTTGATAACTTCAACATGGCAGCCACTAATAACTTCAGTACCATGGCGGGACCCAGTAGCTTTGGTACCACCATGGCAGGACCTAATAGCTTCAACGCGAGCATGGCAGGATTCAATAATTTCAGTAATACGATGGCGGGACCCAGTCTTTTCAATGATACGAGGGCAGGACGCAATTACTTCAATGCTGCCATGGCGGGACCTAGTAACCTCAATGCTATCGGTGCGGGACCCAGCAGCTTTGACACTAACTTCGCTGGGCTGGGTGGCTTCAATCCCGGACTGGATTTCCTGTATAACGAGGTGCAAAACACCTACGTGCCGCCGCATCTAAGCAACAACGTACCTTATGGTTGGACCAATCCTCACATCTCGACGGGGGCTTACCAAAACCCGATAGGCCAAGGCGTTCCTAATTACCTTCAGGCCTACCAGAACCCAGTCCAGGTCCCAGCTGCGGGCATGGTCCAGCAAGCTCAACGTTCATCAGTTCCTGCTGTGTCCTACTCTACCGAGTCTGACGACCAGAACATGAATATGGAGTGAATACACGTCCACAAAGTTAAAGCCTTCAGTTGCTAGTATCCTAGATGTGTTTGTTTGCCGTCAACATATATGCCCCAATATTGTCATCGTATGCTCACCTGTCTACTTTCACCATTATGCTTCCCATTCGTCTTGATTACCTATTGCCTTCCATTCTAATAAAAGTGTCTGACTGGTTCGCTCACTATATTTGCCGACTTCCTGTACATTGTCTTTTGTACAGTAGTCGAATCGAATTCATTATTTCCACCCCAGTGACCAGTGAAGACGCGAGTTCTTGTGGTATATACTTAACTGTCGAAGCGATTGAGCAATCCATATCAGAACGAGGAAGTTTCTGAAGTTTTGTTTCGCATTCAAACAAGTATCAAGCATGTCTCTAAGGCAGAAATTGTCGTCCGCCGTTGCTACCTTCTAACGATCGTGCAGGATAGTAACAGCCAAGTCGGACGTCGTCAGGGGTACAGGCAGTCTTGTTAATCGTCGAGGACGTCGAAGTCGAGTGTCAAGCCGTTTCAACTTACAGTAGGTTTGGAGCAGCTACACCTGGACCGGCTATCAGCGTTTCCCGGGGCGCTTATCCTTCCTCTTTACCAAATTCACACAGCTTGCTCTTGACATCCGACGCTCACCGTCCTGCACAACGGTCTTCTCCTTCTCCTCCTCGTCGTTCTTTCTTTCTTTCTCCTTCTAGTCATGCCTTCACCACCAAAACCTTGGGAACGAGCAGGTGTATCTGCAGCTGCCGTTTCATCTTCCCCATCAATCCCGACAACGACCGCAAGCGCACCGACGGCATCCACAAACTCCGCACCATCGGCACCCTCATCGACTCAAGCTTCATCTTCTCTACCTTCTATCCCGGCAAGACCAGCAACTCTAGCAGGCCCTAGTACTCTACCTACAGCTGGAACTTCAACCGCCATGAACGGCACCTACAACTCCCCATACTCGTCCTATAACCGATTCGGCTCCAGCTATTCTCCATATGGGGGTGGTATTGGTGGCATTGGTGGCATGAATAGCATGTATGGCGGCGGCGGTATGGGTTATGGCGGCGGATATGGTAGCTACGGTTCATACGGGGGAATGGGTGGTGGAATGTACGGTGGAATGGGTGGTATGCCAGGCATGGGATACGGTTACGGAGCACCACCGGGTCCGTTCGATCCTATGAACCCAAGTCTCTCACAAACCCTCGAAGGAGCCACTCAACATACTTTTGCGCTTCTGCATAGTATTGTGCAAACCTTCAGTGGAGTCGCGCAGATGCTGGAAAGTACATTCATGGCGACACATTCGAGTTTCTTCGCGATGGTGGGTGTTGTTGATCAGTTTGGGCAGTTGAGGAATGCTCTGGGGAGTGTGCTCGGGCTGTTTGGGTTGGTTAGGTGGATGAAAGATACGCTTACTGGCCGGCCAAGTGGAGCAGGATCTATGAGGGGTGAATTCAGAGAGTTCGTCAATGGTCGACCTATCCAAGGTCCCCTCGGTCCACAACAACCAAAAGCCAGCAAGAAGCCTCTTATTATCTTCCTGCTCGCCATCTTCGGGATCCCCTATGCCATGCACAAACTTATGAAAATCCTAACAGAGCGACAAGCTCAGATGGCTGCCGGTGTGGGGGGAATGGGGGCAGGATTGCCGCCTTTGGACCCTTCGCAGTTGACTTTTGCCAGGGCTCTGTATCCATTTGATGCCAGCTCTCCAGCAGAGTTAAGCCTGAAGGAGAATGAGATTGTGGCGATCATGGGGAAATTGGATCCTGCTACAGGGGCTGAAGTTGACCCTCGGTTAGAGGTACGTGCCCATTCATTGTATTTCTCTTCTATTTCTATGCCTGAGTGCTGATGCATCTCCTGAATCCAGGTCGAGAGTGAGTGGTGGAAAGGCCGTACAAGAGAAGGTCGGGAGGGCTGGTTCCCAAAGAAATGGGTTCAAGTTCTGGAACGACGGAAACCGATAGAGAACGGGGAGGCAAAGAAGGTTGACTGATAGCAATGATCTTCAATTGTTCTCTGTTTTCGACCGCTCTATGTGTGTCATTTTTCAAGTTCTTTGGTTTTCTCTTGTTGGTGTTCAGCTTTTACACTATGTAGTTAGTAGTATCTTTTTTCGTCTGCTTTTGATATCCCGTGTTTTCTGTGTTGTACTTTCCTTGGTTGTGGATTATATCCTGTTTATGGCGTTTCGCTCAACTTCACGATGAAGTTCACCCGGCATACCAATAAGCATCGTTGAAATGGCATCATGAGTCCTTTGTTAAACTACGAGACTATCGAGTCGATTGGTTGACGCTTTGCTACATATTGTACACTATGTTCAGTAAAGATATCGATACAGCGGAAGAATTGGGATTGAGGTGTTGAATGGCTGGAAAGCGGGCTAGAGAAGACTTTATAGGAATACCCCTTCATTGCGCGCGATAACCCACCTAGTACGAATTAAATAAGTTCGGGTGTTACTCTTGGAGTTTCTGGCTCAAGCGAAATGATAATACGTACCAAGCGTGCAAGACACCGGGAATCCATCCAAGAAAGGTGAGTAGAATGTTGATCCAAAAATCTAGAAATCAGATACATGTATGAGTATAATGATCATTCTCAACTCAGTAAGGGGGGGTGAACTTGCCAAGTTCAAATTTTCGCTCTTAAGTTGGTGTACAAGCACAAAGTAAGAATAAAGAACCCATTGGACACATAATTAGGGCTACTGACTGAGGAATACAGCTACTGGAGGTAAGAATCTGTACCACACTTCTCATTAGCCTACAGCCATTTAGGGGACATAATCATACTAACATAGCGAGGAAGTAGAGAGGGATGTCACTGCTCGGTATGTCCGACGGCATGATGATCGTTCAAGTTTCGTTGAGAGAGATGATATTGTGAAGTTGGGGAATAGGTCAGTATAAATAACGGAGAGTCTAGGACTCTAGGAGTCGAGGATGCAGGAGGAGAAGGGAATGCCAAACTGCCAAGACCATTAACATTGAGTTTACAGGAGGGTCCGGCGAAACACTGTGAAGCAAGGCGAAACGGTACCAAACGGTGCGTCATACTTCCAAAACTAGCATTACCGCCGGCCGACTAGAGGACAAATTCGTCCGCCGGCAAAGTTTATTGGCGCCCACAATATACCGTCAGTTAGCTATTTCTTTCAACGCTACTAAATGGAGTCCGAAGCTACGCATATAACACTGGCTGGTACATCGATGTTTTCGCATTGAATGCATCGCTTTTGATGCTCAGTTACTACATTTGCCGCGAGGACAAGCACGGTGGCTGATTTTTAGGTTCATGTCTTCGTTGCATTGAACGTGCCGACGATCTAGACACGTTCAAATCGTACTTGAAGGCTGTAGAGAGGAATAAACCTTTTCCTTCAGGTATATCGACCTGGTAGATATCTATGTGGTATGACAGTGTCATTATACTCCCACCCTACACACTGTAAGCATATATATACTATCAGTCCGTCCTGAACGGCGAACTAATTTGACCCCTTCGCTCCTAGTGGAGACCTCATGATATAGAAGCAGAGAAGCAGTTCTTCCTGTTCAGCATGAGGCGGTGGCAAGGACATGAGCGCCTACGTGCAGACCATACAGCTGTCAACCTGGATTGAAAGGTCCCTCTAAATCCAGCCCTCGCAATCCCTCTTCCTCCTCGCTCCATTTCCCAGGAACAGTAGGTCTTACCGACAAAATGTCTTCCAGTAGCCCAGATTGGATGTCCACCTTTGAAGAGTTCAGGCGTAATTTGGGACCTACGCTAAATAAAGTAGAAGAGGGCGTGCGCCGCTTGAAGAGCGGTGACCCTAGCTCCATGAAGTCTTTGGCCAAGTAAGTGATAATTCACCAATATCCTTTCCCGACATCCTAATGAAAGTAATGTGTCGAAGGCTCGTGCATGGCGGGCAGGAAATTATCGATAAACTCAATTCAGATGGGTTGCGCAAGGTTGCCGGAGAGTGGATAGAAGAGACTGTCGAGGGCAGAGCCAATGAGGTGAGGTTGGAGCGAAATTCATGGCCGCCCTTCCTAATTCGCGTGTTAGATTCTGAAAGAGCTTGGGGGTAGGCCCATCAAAGATTCCCGTAGAACGGCTTTTGTCACAGAAGTGACTGATTCGAGCTCAGACCATGAGATTCCACCCAAACCTGCTGAGCAACCTTCAGCTTCAAGCTCCCTTAAGCAATCGGCGCATTCGATTATGTCGCTAGTAACCGAGGCCATGTCCGATACGAGCAACACGGCATCAAAGAGTGAGGAGTTAGTGCAGATTGTCTTTGGGGGAACGAAGACGATGGCGCAGGATGTCGTTCGCCCGGTCGAGTCAGCTTCTTTATCACCCGGCGACGATGCTCAGTTAGGTGACAATGCGCTTCATGACGTGAGTCAACAGATTCTCCTTTCTTCAGAAATATATCTTAAACAAGTGGTAACTGTTTTTCTAGCAACTCTTGTCCACGCTCAGTCCTCAAACCAGCCTAACTACGAGCAGTTCAGCACAAGGGCAACAGGAAGATAGAGTCGCGACAATTTCTTCAACTGTCCTTGATCAGTTGGAAGCGATATCAAAGAGTTCGAGCGCCTCGGAGTTACTGCGAAATGTCATTGGGGGCACGAAGACGATGGTGCAGACTGTTGTTCGCCCAGTCGAACCAGCCTCTTTAGTATCCGGCGACGATGCCCAATTAGCTATCGATGCACTTCATGATGTGAGTGAACGGCGTCTTTGTTATACCCAAATATATCTTATACATGCGGCAATTGTATTTGTAGCAACTGTTGTTTACGCTCACTCCTCAAGTCAATCCATCCGATAAGCTGCGATCGCTTCAACTCTTGAAACGTCTCTCCATCACACACAACAAGTTGCCAAGGAAGCTCTTCCTGCCAGACGTCGAATGCAATGTTGCAGCCGGTCCTGTCCAATGGGGCTCCTTCGCGGATATTTACTTGGGCATGTATCGGAATCAACCTGTCGCGCTGAAGTTCCTGCGGATGTTTCAGAATACAAGTGGATATAAGGGCATGAAGAGGAAGAAGGTACATATTTGCTTTTCTAGCGTATTTCATTGTCTTTCTGACATCCTTCTTTTTATGTGGATCAGAACTTTTACCGAGAAGCTCTCATTTGGGCACATTCAAGCAAACATCCTCATGTACTACCAATCCTCGGTATCAATGACACATGTTTCAAGCATGGCATGTGTATGGTACTTCCGTGGATGGAACATGGAAGGATAGGAGAATATATCGAGAAGCTACAAGATAATGAGGACTTCGACAACGGTCAAGAGCAGGTGGACAGATGGGTAAGTACTTTTTACTCTCATCATTCTCTTCACTTGAGACTGAAGCTTTTCATCACAGATCCTGCAAATCGCCAAAGGGTTGGCATCGCTCCATGAAGAAGAGATCGTCCACGGCGATCTTCGGGGTGTAAGTATATGAACTCCCACATAGTATACAGCACACTGAAGATAGCTTTGATTCAGGCGAATGTCCTTCTTGATAGTGACCTGAACGCCCGAGTCGCGGACTTCGGATTGGCTACCGTTGCCGAAGATTACGCTACCCAAACCTCTACAGGTGGTCGACTGCCCAACTGGCTCGCTCCAGAATTACTCGACCCTTTCGCACCTTTTACTCCAACGAAGGCTTCTGACGTCTACGCATTTGGTTGCGTTTGCATCGAAGTGAGTCACTTCCCTCGGTTTCATCATCGAACTGACGTATTCATCTCCATGGCAGATGTATACAGGCAAGGCTCCCTATGCGGGCCTCAGTACATGGCAGCTTTTGGAACAAGTCCGAAATGGTCACAAACCTGCTCGTCCTAACTTCTACGATGACGACCCTATGTCTGATGAGCTGTGGTCCTTAGTCGACCGCTGCCTGTCTATGACCCCTGCGGATCGCCCCACAGCAGAGGCGGTGGCGATAGCGTTGAGTGGTTTGCGCTGAGTTCTCTCCAGAGAACTCTGATGTCTACAGAGGAAGTGTATCAGTCGACCATCGTGTGGTGGCAGAACGCTTGTAGTGTTTAGTCATCCGATGCTTGTTCACTTTTCCTCCCGACCGGCCTACCTCACGACTCACCATGAATCATAACCAAATATTATAGTCCATGGCACAGCCGGGCATTTCGAACTATCACACCGTTTGTATCCACGGTTCTGTTGTATATCCATTGATATTATTATGCCGTGGTTCCGGTCTGTCCAGTGTCTTATATTCTGGTTCTTCCTTCTGAAATCCATCCTTGAACTACAGTGCTAAAGATTATGAACGGCCTCGCCTCGTAAACGTATTCTTCATAATACGTGCCATCGATAGAAAGAAGCTTCGTATGCTACACGAGGCGGCGGCCGAGAATGCATTGCCTGCTCCATGCTCTTAGCGGCTTTGTCATATAGATATCAACCCCAGGATCCTCGACGTACGTCTCCCTCCTTCACGAACTAATTCTCAAGTGCATTGGCTTTCCGATCTCAACTTAAGTACCGATAATTCCTTAGCAAGTCATTGGCAAGACAAACGCGCAGACGAGGAGCCCAATACCGACTGGGTTTGGAATTCTATACAGGGAGCCGCCCGATTTTCCAATTCATTACCCCCAGGCTCTGTCCAACGGGTGGTGGAGCGACTTCAACACTCTGGCGAGGCCATCCAAATGTGAGTCCTCAGATGCACACCAAATTCAGGTACTCATCTGTACTGCAGTGGATAACAGCACCTCGATCAATGTCTGAATGCCGACATTCATGACCCGAGAGATTGGAGCAGGTTGGTTAAAGTCTTCGCCCAAGATGTAGAATATATTGGAAGGGAGTGCTTGAGGTCTCGAAGGGATTGAAGCCACTGCGTCCAAAGTTCTACGGAGGCAAACAAATGAACGATGAACTATGGTCTTTGGTCAATCTGTGCTTGTCCACCTCCCCTGCTACTCGACCGCCAGCACACGATGTGGTGAAGAGGCTGGCCTCGCATTGTGATCCGTTGTAGTGAACAGCTTACACGTAAGGGGTGGCATGTTCCCAGACTACTTGTTGCCGTCGTGAATGTCGTCGGCCGAGTTCTCAGCATTTTGGTGGTCGAGACAAGTGATCTTTTCGTCAGTCACGAATTCCTCAATACAGGCGATTAGTAGCCGACTGCATCTCATGGTAGAGGGTAGCAACATTGAGAATGGAATGCATATCGATACCTCTTCCTAAAATGTCATAATAATCTGTGTATCATATTTGTGCATGGACCTATTGGAGCCCCTAGGACATAAGAAGATGCATGAGATTAAATATCAAGCATCAGAAACAATGCTCTCTGCATTGGTAATAGTATGTTGGCGGCCGGGCTTAGAGAAGTCGATCAAAGGAGCGTGAAACACGAAAGGCCTAGAGGGTTCGGACGCAGCTCCAAAGCAAGATACAGATAGAGGCAAGGCAGACTCGAGGTTGTGTGACGAAGATGTTAGCGATGTCTCCAAGGAAAAGTCGGCTGAAGGAGACGAAGGCTCAGATGTGCAATGACCCGAGGAAGATGTTGGTGAGGCTGGAGAGTCGACGAGTACGTGAGATCCCTTCTGAACAAGTAAGTCTTCCAGCCGAGTGATTTCCCGACGAAGGGCATTAACTTCATCTTGCAGTACAGGGATCTGTTCTGAAGCCTGCTTGAGTTCCCGTGACAAATCTTCTCGCTGCTCTCTTGCCCATTTTCGCTCTCGTTCAAACCATAGATCTTGATCCACTAGCATGTTTTCCCAACGCTTGCGTTCAGTCTTGAACTCTTCCGTGTGTCGGCGTTTTATTTCAGCCTCACGGTCAGAAAGGGATTCAATCAGTCTATCTCGACTAAGAATTTCCCCGTGGAGATCCATTTGATTTGCACGTGCATCTAGAAGTTGTGTTTCCAGCTCGCTCAACTTATCAGTTAGTTTGACATCAGGTTCTGGAAGGTAGAGTCTCCGGAGGGCAGGCAACGCATAAGGACGGAAAGGACGGTAAGCCTCAGGGATACAGGAAAGATCCAAAGGGCCTGAAGCAATCAGAGTCGGAGGAACGATCAGGTCTAAAACGGAGGTGGCAAGTTGTTGAGTACTCACCCACGTGGAATTCGACTTTGCAGGAAGGACATGGTACCTTTGTTGTATCAGGTTGCATGGCAATATAGGATGTCAAGCAACCCTGGCAGTGAGGGTGACCTAGACATTTCATATCAGCTTTCCAGTAAGCTGTGGCGAACAGTGAAAGATACTCGCCACATGGTGGACACACCGGGTTATTCAAAATATCCAGACAAATGGGGCAGGTCATATACGCAAGAAGAATTTGACTGTAATGATCAAGAATCTCGTAAATTCACTCAGTGGTTTCGGTACTGAAGGTTCAGCAACAGGATGTGAAGATGGACTTGAAAGACAAGCGCTAATATCCCCTTGGTATTGACTCGTAGCTTATGTGCTTTCCCGGGACCTTTACTGGAAAACTTGTCTTCATCATTCTCATCACGCCCTAGTTGGAAAGAAATCATGGACCTCTTCAACCCGGATAACGCAAGTTAGCAACTACCAACCTCACATGCCACGTCTGATTTTTTGTAGGTAATGTAAATTCACCTCGTTAACTTTATTCCACATTGCGTATTTTGTCATGCGGTTGAAAAGACATACAACAAAAGGTAAATGTACTCACTTGGTTGGGAGGTGTTCATTCGTCGGTCTCAGGTGGGCTCAAGCTGTAGACTACTTATAGACTGGCCACACTGTTGGGCCGGATTGCTTGCGGAACCAAACGTCTTTTTGGAGTCTGTCTCCTTATGGTAGACGCTTGTAAGGATTGCAGGAATCTTGGCCTCCTCCATGACAAAGCCGTACGAGTTGTCCGGATTACCGCGATGGTCGTTCGACAATACGCAACACAGAGTACTCCGCTGCGTCTTTAGGAATCTTACTAAGCTTTCAACAGAATGGATTACTACATTGCTAAACACCTTCAGTGTAAGTCAGCAGGGCGTGTTTCGTCGTAGCACGCAATCTTGCGAAGTCTCCCATGTCGGAACCATTTAAATAGGCACTTCCACCGTAATCTTATACTCATCACAGCTCGCATTTTCCGCTATTCTTCAGGTTGCAGCTATTCGCTCAACTTTAATACAGCATCGATATCAGTCAGAATGACCGTGTCTAACACAATTACGGCTGAACTTGTCTACTTTGCGCCACCCAAGGATGGCTCTAAGCCTTTCACACACATTAATGCCGACCCTCTCACAGGCCAACGTCCACAGAATTGGACTCAGGAGCCACATGAGGTGCAGATCGAGAACCTCCGAGGCAAAGAGGACTCTGTAACTCTGGACACTGCTGGATTCCAGTTCGGAAAGGAAGCTGCGAAGCATACCTCATTTACGAATGACGACGAGGTAGAGAGGGAATATTATCCGGAGAGCATTGAGCTCGTAAAGCGGATTACTGGTGCAAGTCGCATTGTACCTTTCGATCACAGTGAGTGATACCTTTAATTTTTTTGCATAACGATCGTTGACGAAATGCTTGTAATACTTGTTAGCCATCCGTCGCCGCAGGCCCGGACAGGTTGACGATAGCCCTCAGAAGCGTCAGCCCGTACCCCAAGTGCACGTCGACCAGACGCCTAAATCCTCCGTCGCTCGCGTGCATCGCCATCTTCCTGCATCCGACGCCCCTGAGCTCCTCAAACATCGCTTCCAGATCATCAACCTCTGGCGTCCTATCAGCGTCCCAGCCTATGACTGGCCCCTCGCCCTCTGCGACTTCCGCAGCATCGATGCCAAGAATGACTTGGAACCTGTTACCTTGAGGTATCCGGATAGAGATGGCGAAACTTTCGGAGTCAAGTATAACCCTGATCACAAATGGAAATATGTGAAGGGCCTGACTCCCGAGGAGTTCGTCCTCATTAAGTGGTGTGTAACTTTTTATAAGTTTTTGATGTCCCAGTCAACTAATGCGCACTCTTGTGTAGCTTTGACTCCCAGGACGACGGAAAGACAGCCTTACTCACCCCGCACACCGCATTCCCTGACCCAAGTACGCCGTCTGACGCTCCTTTGAGGGAGTCTATTGAGTTGAGGTTGCTTGTATTCTACGACTGAGGATGGTAGTCAATCTCTATATCATATCTGATGTACTCATACGTGATTCTGAAGCTGGGTGTGGATCAATGCGAATATATGCTGCATGGCAAGTACAGGTCAGCGGTGACGTAAGGTGCCCGTTGTAAGTTCCTACAAATGGATTGTATGGGTCAATACAAAAGCATGACTCGTCTGTGATCCCTCCGCTTACCGCTTCTCCAGCTAAATGATATGCCCCTCGTCAGTTCAGCCTAGCGACGGCGCATGTGTCTCCAGGTGACTGCGCATGCCAGGAAGAGTGTCCGGAGAACAAGTAAGTTCCAGCAAGGCGTCAGTCATGTCACAGTAACCATCCTCGGGCAACGAAAAACACTTGCTTAGTGCCCATCGCTTTGCATTCAACTATCATTACCACTCTGAAAAGACAGATGCTGTTCACTATCTGGCTTCCACTATCTGGCTTCCACTATCTGGCTTCCACTATCTGGCTTTCGGGTGGATATATATAAGTGCTAAGGAGACCATTCCTGCTCATGAAGTTCAATCAGCAATCGCATGATATCGATACGGATGTACGTACTCTTCATACTTCGATAGGCTTTCTGGGCCAACACGTAACGCTTCATACCGAGGACCATCTCCGCAGAAACATGTCCAATTTTCTTATTGTGCCCTTTCTGGCAGATCATTAACCCTGATGAGATCACAGTCAATAGGCATTCCAAATGCGGAGCGTCGGAAAGTCTCTGAGCTATCTCTATTGTTCACTTTCTTCGGACATGAACTTTTGACTATACCTTCTCTCCACAGACCTGAGTCACATTATCGCTTGGCAAGATATTTGCCGTCCGTACAAACGGCCCATGAGATTTCACGGATCCAGAGAGTTTGTGAGTACACTTGTTTTGTTCTTTGGCAATTGTGACATGATCGCCCCAAGCGGCCTCACCATTCCAGGTGCTTCAAGCACGCGCATGAGTGATTGAAAACTGCGGATATAATAAAAGGAATATGTCCAAACACGATACTTCGAGTACCCACTCGTTCTCTTCCTCCTATCAGCCATGCCTGGAGCACCGTCTCACTTCGCGCAGGAGCTTATCGACGAGGTAATCGACAATCTACACGATGATCCAGTGACACTACGTTCATTTGCCCTCGCATCTCGTTCCTGCGGTATCCGAGCTCGCAAACACCTCCATAGACACCTAAGGATCGGTTCGACAGGTTGTGGTCCCAGAATGCTCATGTCTCCCTCTAAGGTCGTGCGTTACCAGAAGATTCGACACCTACTCGATTTCCCGCCGCTGATGAACTATGTTCGAGCCCTTACTGCTTCCGAAAGCCTCGAGTCGCTTGATCGTAATCCTTTGTCCTTCACTCGGCTCCATAGTCTTCGATTGTTCAACCTCAATTGGAACGCTCAGAATGCGGGAGCTCGTTTATACGTGCTATCGCAACTGCACCGCGTCAAATCTTTGGACCTGAACAATGTCGACTTCGAATGCATCTGCAATCTCGTGTCGCTTCTCGATGCGTTTCCGTCGCTTTCAGAGTTGAACATCGAGAGTTGCCGATTTAAGAACGAGGACATGTCAGGTGATATCCAGCGACAAATTAACCTACGCCGCTTGACAATGCCTGGCGATTGCGCCAGCGATCTCTTGATTCGATGGTTGCGAACTCAGACTGTCGTTCCTGTTATTGAGGAGTTGGTGGTACCAGGAGGAACGGGGCTAGCATCTGATCAGCCTGTAAACGAGTTAGTCTCTATCGCTGGTTCCTCTCTTCGCCATCTACGCTTTGGTTTTGGATGGATCTGGCCGCATGGTCACCCAAAACGTGAGTCCTACTGGACATTTCGCTTTAAAGACCATAGACTAACATCATCATCTTAGCCCGTTTCGATCTTTCTTCAAACGATCAACTCCAGACGTTGGAGGTTACAAACATCCTGTTGCGCTCCAACATAGTGCGTTTCAAGGATTATGCATGGCTACCAGATATGCTGCAACGTAATCCTTCTCGCCGACTGAAACGGACTACTCTGCATCTTCACTACGAAACGCTTTCGCAACTAGACGACGAAGGTCTCAAGAAGATAGACGAAGCTCTGGGAGGGACAGCGGAGAACGTTAACCGATGGCGTTCTGACTGGCGAGCCGGATTGGAGGAGCTGGAATTTGTTCTTTGGCCCGACCGGATGCTCGATGAGAAGCGAGCTCTGAGTGAGGTCGTTGACTGGATCGAGGGAGGAATGCCGAGGGCGGCGGCCAACGGAGTCCTCAAATGTTACTACGGCTGCACTTACAGTGCGATGTGGACTCCTGTTGAAAGGTTCTCTGCCGAATGAACGACTTGTGAGTGGACTTATTTCCCAACTGCAAGAACCGCTCTCACTGCAGTTACGAAACTAGAGTCCCCGTGACGTCCTCTGGAGATGGGAATGACCGACCTATTTCGGCGCGCTCCACCGATGTCGCGGCAAGAAGCTGGGATTCATCATTTATTTCGTTGTCATTGACTTTCCTGGAAAGGTTTAGCGTAGAAGGGCCGCGGGATGAAAAAGGGCTGGCGTAGGAAGACCAATAGGATGCAGAAGGAAGCCCAGTTGACGGTCTTCATGAATGCGTTTGCAGGACGTTTGGCTTTTGATGGCTTGACGTTCTTCCATGCCGCCGGTGCCTTCACCTGCAGCGGGAATAGTGGGTTCAGAACAGCGGTGGCGAGGTGATATGGGGATGAACATTGAACTTTACGGTTTGAGATCACACTTCGTTCCCTTCGTTCAGACTTCGGGATCAATTGATTCCATGCTTTTATTTCCATCTTCCGTACATAGCCGTACATGCATGTAGCCTTCGTTCATTCTTTGTTGAATACTTCTCGCTAATAGGCGTAAATGCGCAGTATGAATTCACAGATGACTTCCACGCCTCCCCGCCTTTCGAGTTGCTTGTTCATTGCGGTTATCCGGGGGGTGCTGTTTGCCTGAAGCCCAAGAACTTCCCGTGTGACATGCTCCACGCAGGTAGTTGACACTGACGTCGGGATTGTTCACTTCAGCTTCTGCTCGCTCCGTAAGACATGAGATCTCAATCGCCGCATTCTCATGAGAGGTCCTTGAAGACGTACAAGGTGCACCGCAAACATGAAAGCTCGGGACAGCATTCACAACCTGTGGGTAACAAACTTTAATACCTAAGCCAAGCATTTTATTATCTCCGGAACGGTCACTCACCATGTTTCCCGTTTCTCGGCTTATTAGAGTAGTAGTTGCCATTGCCGGCGGCAGGGTTCAACAGTGTAATTGGGAATGACGGTGACAATATTGAGAACTGTTATCAGGGTGTAATAGTGAGCGAGAGGAAATACTGGGGCCCTGACACCTTGTTTGATGGATTCGGCATTGCGCGAGATATCAAGGTCCTAGGTTGTCATTAGCTAGCTGCATGAGACTTGCTTTAAGCTAAGGTTTTCTGTGGGGCAGCGATAGTTCCATCCCCCAGTACACCTTATTGTCTACACAGTACCTGCGCATGCCTCATCATCCCTATCACATGACGAAAGCCCCTTTAGGCAGAAGCTTAGTTCGTGAACTATAATCTCATACTGTGTAGGAAAGCACAATCAGCAAGTGAACAACTTGATGATGATGAATTCGGAACCATACTAACCTCTTCGAATATCCAATTCCCATCAGGTGAAGTCTGACCGATCATCGCTGTCAAACAAACTAAGGACCGTGTGCGGTATGTCCTTCTAACATAGACTTGTAAGTCGGTACCGCGTTGTCTTACTTGCTAGCTTTCAGTTAAGCTATTAGTTGTATACGTCCAGTTGAACCCAGCCACGATCAGCCAGCCTAGTCTAGATCCTCTCGAATGGCGGACCCGGATACCAGTCAAACTACCGAAATCTATCTCCAACAGGGAGGTTTAAGCTTCATCCGGTCGGAAACATCACTACGTACCTTGTAAGGAATCTGTCAGATAACCTTGTCCAACGTAACTCCCAGTATAGAAACCGCATTGTACCTTTAAGAAGGTGCCATATGCAGTGACCGAATGAACGAGTTCCCGGTATCCGTTCTTTGAGCTCCAGGATCCTATATACAAATTCCCTCAAAGGACTTCGCGCGCGAACATTCGTCATGATATATTCCCATCAAAGCTGTTCAGCAAAATTGATGAGTTTCTCTGGTCTTTTGGGCGTATACATTTGCATGGGGAACTTTTGGGTATTAGTGTGCGATTTGCGCCATGTGAGGCGGGCGCAGAGGAGACCTTCGTCTTCGACGTCGAGGGAAAACGAAGGAAAGTTTAGGATACGAGTTCGAGAGTGCGCCGACCGCCGATACCAACGTCCGCGGCCGACCTGTGAGACGACCCAGGCTGTTCTGTATACCCACATGCATTGTCGTCAAAGATGCGAAATAGAAGTAACATGGTAACCCACCGTCTTGGAGGCGATCGAAGTACAGCAGGCTGTAGGAGTCTTGTCTTGCCTAGGAGGCGTATTTCACACGGAAAATATACAGAGACTGTGATCGTTCAAGCTTGGGCAAATTCCCAATGAGCGATAGAATCATTGATAGCTCCGACGCTCCGACAGGTAGGATCTCCAGCACAGAACGTAGAGCGGCATGCGTAGTAATATCAGGTTCGCTTCTGCTTTGTCTCCGCAGCAAAAGATATTTCGGGATCCCGACTACGGCTGTGGGGGTGTAGAGAGCAGTGATATGGCGTTTTCCAGAATGATGTAGACAAGAAATGGGGATGAACCCCCACTTGAATTCTTGAAGTTGAATGTTGGACGCTCGCCTAAGCATTGGCACATAGCCGCCGAGTGATTGAACGGCTGAATGTCTTGCATGGGAATTAAAAGTGAGGAATATGGGCGGATATCTTGCTGCAAAACTACAAGCTACCCGAGACAAGTTGTCACAGATCAACAGAAGCAGTTCATCACGTTCTTCAAGTTCTTCAGCTCGAGGAATGGCGCCGTCTGGCGTCTTCACGTGAAGGCGCCTCGCCTTGGGTTGGGCTGACTGTTGCAGCCTGACAAACTTTGGGGATAGGGAGGTAGAGGGATGAAAAGTGGGAACGTTCATTTCATATTGGTCGAACGGGTCCCGGGCAGCTTAAGGCGGCCAAGGTTCAGGGAAATCCAGAAAGCACGGGCATTCAGAAGGTGAAGGAATGCTTGCATGCCAGATTCTTGATATAGAGGGACGAATTAAGAATATGAGGACCACCCTGCATGTATCTAATTTCGGTGACGGCGAATGGTTTCGGAACGGGACTTCAGCGTGTCAAATTTCATGAGTTGTCCAAGAAATGAGATATGTGAGTATCTTCCTCTTCGATGTTCTCATACCATCTGGAACTATTGCTTCCTTGAGGACAGAGAAGATGCGAGAAGCATGATACACCATGAGATGAAGCTAGATCAATGGAATCGATAAGGATGACGATGGCGAGGAAGCTATTTCACCGGATGTGCATGACCATTGACCATTGCAAATCAGTGGCGATCGCTTTGTGTTCCAAGGGCAGGGCGAAGCTGTCGGGGTGAAGGTTGAGAGGGATTATCGGATGAATTGCGAGCTGAACCTGCTGAAAGATAAGAAGTAATCTTGGAAGCGTGAACACCTGAGCACGTATACGAAGCCTGACTGCTGAGTGGAAGAATTGCCAATGGACGAAGGCAAAGGCAGACTAAAGTCCACCAATATCTCAAAGCCTATCTGCCAGTTAGCCCTTCTCGTTGCATCGTCATTCGAGTCCGAGAGGGTCTTCGGCCTTGAGATCCGTTAATCGTTGAAGTCCGCAAACCTTCAATCGTAAACCTTGTATCAAAGTCTAACCGCATCCTCCATACGCGCGAGCGGAACGTAGGTATAACGGAGATACGTTTCCGATGCATTGGTAAGATGACGACAAAAGAGCATCTCGCCTCAGGAGAGTCAATCGATGAGAGAGCAGAGGTCGACCAGGCCTTGAAGAGAGTCTCCGTCTTGAACCTTTGAACCCTCACTACAGAACCTAGCTACATGGAGGCTATAAACTTCGGGAAAAAGCACCGTTGGAGCGCATACACTTACCTTCGATTGGAGCGCATACTTGGTGCACTACAGGGCCCGGCCGACAAACTTGCGATAGCTGATGCGCCTCTTGTGGGAGTCGGGCAGCGATAGAGCCGAAACATTTTGTTCTGTAAAGAAAGCCAGTACCCTTCATATCGCTTCAGCAAGCACCGCCGAATAGTTATTCTGTTCCAGTCTTGCAAGCGTTAGACACTCGGGAGGAAATGCCGCTGACAGGCTCCAGCTGTCAATGTCTGCGTACCGAACTGCCCACGTATGCAGAGAAAGCAGCTCGAGAGCCAGGAAGGCCTTTCTGGGCACGCTCTCCGAAGAACTGCTCCTTGATCATGATCGAGTGGCGTTAGCCGGACTGCATGGTAATAAATCCTAAAGTGCGGAAAACGGTCCCAGAGACGTTAACATGCGGAGCTAACATTGACAGATGGGGCCGTGCAAGAATAGTACACTGGCAGCTGCTACCGGTCACAGTTGTTGGGCGTTAACGGGTTCAATGTTTCAGAAAAGGTACAGAGCATGCAAAACATAGCAGCCCTGTGATGGCAGGGAATAGCACGGGGGAAGTTCGATCCTGGAAAGAGAACAATGAGAAAGAGACAGTCCAGTCTCGAGCCTTGAACACTGACAGATTGCGTGGAAGGTCCAACGCGTTCGCGGATGCTTCCAGTTCCAGCTTACTGCTGCAATATGTACCGCGCCTATATGTAGTTAGGTTTGAGGGTATGTCTTGCATGAGTCGCAGTAAGTTCAATGTTATAACTCAGCGGCGAAACAAACGAACACGTTTCCTCTACTGTCCAATGCAACGGATTTGAGATCGCATGTTCAGCACCTAAAGAGTTAAAACGACAGTAAAAGTCATTGGAAGCATGAAGATGGCGCAAAGAGGGGAGGAATGCAACGGCTGAATGATGCTGGAAACCCATTATCGTAGCGAGACCTCTATAGCAGACGTGCCTGGAGGATCTGTCCGGAGTCGGAGGCGAGAGATGTCGAGAAAGAACATCCGTGACATCAATTCGACGACACCGACGCATATCTTCACACGGACGCAAAAGATTCCATTCAACAGCAAGAATGCGTTGATGATGCATGATCTCCGAGGTCCAAGGGACCTGAGTAGATGGGAGAAACAGCGAACAGATCAGCGCAACGTCTGGACGTTCAGTCGAATGCGTGGCATATGCACAGGGGCCACGAACTCGATGCCGGGATCAGCCTCTTGCTTTGAGTTTGGGTTTGACAGCGACAGCTCATGCACCTGAATAGGTGTAACGGCCAAAGGCACAGTCAAGGGCGGACAAAACAAGTAACACCTTTCAACGTTTGGAGCCGCTCAACAGTGACATCTCCACCTGTGGTGATCCATTTGCGTAAAAGGTACGGGTCCGGCAGGGACCTCGATGACAGGACTGGCAGCAATCAGGATCGTGTCTACATGACTGCACCTCCAGCTTGGCACTCTATTCGCCTTTGCTCTTCGTTTCGATAGATCATTACTGTTGCGCATAGATTGTCAACCACGAAAGGTAGTCTGCAGCCACCATCTGAGACTTCTTCACTCTTCGGATGAGTGCACTCTATACTGAATTGAGGAAGAAAACGTGTAAGACCTATCTAACTCCTCGGACGCCCAATTTCTTGCATGTTCCCACTCGTGTAAGTTATCTGTATCCGAGTCCGCCCCAGCTTCTTTCAGTCCAGAAGACTGGTGCATGAGCACGAATTTGAATCTGAGGTCATTCGTACCGGGTCAGAATGTGACAGCAGCATGTTCAGAGGAGTTGAAGACACGATCATGCCACACCTTTCGACGACTGGGAATTAGTGACCGGGCGGCCAAGGGGGTCGAAATGCCGTAAATAGGACCGAGCAAGAAGCCGGGTAAGGCGGAGGGATGGCCGGCTGGAGTGTGCCGAAGGAGGTTCACCGTGTGCGAGGGGGTGTTAGTTACATAACGGAGTGAGAGATCCAGAACGGCGGTACGCGCAAAGGTCTGTCTTCTGGACGTCAAGTTGGAAGGCAGTTTTGATGGCCTTCCTCTGACCTCCCATCCAATAAATAAGACACCCTCCTCATGTCTCGATTGCTCTGGCGGTCCCGTTTGCCTTTCCCCGTCATCCTCACTCTCGCACGAACAACTCCCATCCAGCCTTCTGGCACGCGACCTATCTCTCCCCGACACGATCTCGCTTTGGGCTCGATCACTTGAAGTCTAACGCCACCTATACCGTAAGTCCAGGTAAGCCTACACCTACGATTTCCGAAGTATGCCAACTGACCAAGCAATCAAGGTTATTTGCTTACATGCGACCCGGTAGCGCGCTTTTCCGTGAGCTGGACGAAAAGTTGGAGCTTCTACAAGGCCTTGACCTATCGGATGACACTCACCGATGTACATATGACGAGTTCGAGTCACTCGATTCCCATCCTTCGACATTAACATTGCCATATGAGGATGGTACGCCACTTCTCATACTTCCTCTATATAAGTACTGTACTGATGATCGACGCGCAGAGGAAGACTTCGAGGCCTGTGATGCATGTGTCTATGACCCGGTCATGTTCTCTCCTTCAAGCCCTATGCGTAGTTCGTTCTCTCCTGCCCAGGAACATGTTGCGAATAGTAGAGACAAGGTGAGCCAAGCGTCCCTTTAGTTTGCTCTGTAGCTTGTCTTCGTTGGCTTGTTTCGTGTCGTCGACTTTCATAGCTTTCGCAACCTTCCATTTGCTTTTATGTGGTTGTCTAGAGTTTGTGCGATCGAGGAAAAATTATTCCCGCGTAGCGTGGTCTTTCGCGAGCCGTTCTCGGGTAGGCTCGTCCCAGCCCGTCTTTGCTTTAGGTCCCGCCGGAGTGTATTTGCGGCCGGCGTTTGGAGCTCAAAATTTCTGGCTTATATTGTACGGTCATACTCACGAGCTGGGACTTTTGAGTTCATTCCGAGGCGCAGGTCGTAATTACATTCTAAGGTCCATGTGTCATCTCTGTATAGAGGTAGAATGGTGGACGCAGCAGCACTAAGGTTTCGGGTACCAGTGCTCTTTAAACTCAGCTCAGGAGTCGAGCCTCATTCTCGGGCGTTCCCGATGCATGCGTCCGAAAGGGTACAAGATCTTGGCGGTAAAATTATTTTGCGAATCTGGACTCGAAGGTTATAATACCCAGTCTACCCCCACCTTCTCGTCTTGACCTTCTACTACGACTTTCACTCTCGCTTTGCATTCCCATCTTCAGAGAAAACTCACTCCTGCGATCTTTAGCCTCTTCCGAGCACGCCAAGCTCCAGTTTGCGTCGTTGGTCACCTCCACCACCACCATCTACACCGCGATTGACACGCTCCCCGGCATCTTCATCCCCTTCGTCCACGCGTTCCTCCATCGCCCCGTATTACTTCACAAGCGCGCCTTACTCACCACCGCACTCACCAAAGCAACAGCTTACGCATTCTGTCTCACCAAGCGTGTCTTCACGCCCGCCTCTTTCTCATTCGACGTTCCCCTCCATCTCCTCGACCTTGTCAAGTCTCAAGGAACGTGAGTCTGAAGTGCGGAAACGAAGCGGGGTATTCGTTACTGACATGTCTGGACCTCAAGCACAAGTCATAACTGAGCGTGGACATAGCTTCGTCATTGCCAACCGACCAACAAGGAAGAGCAGTCGCGACGCTTTGATGGAACTCGCAGACGCGTCTGAGCTGACCATTGCCACCACTCTCCCTCGGAGAAAACCACGGCCCACGCTCCCTATGCTCTCAACATCTGTATCTTCTCCGCAGCTTCGAACTCGAGCCAGACTGGGATCCGCTCCGGCGTCCCCAATCAGCGCAGTCACGCCTTCGTCTCCAGATATGGATTACCAGGTGGGCGCGTGCCAACAAATGGAGCGTTCGCATACATTCCCGACTGCCCAGTCTTTCGACGAAGCTGCGGAGGCTGAGCTCTCATCCCGTTGGTCAATGGATTCCGCCGGTCCTTTGCCAGCCAGCACATCTTCTGGTTCACGTACTCCAGTGCCAGAGCCGCCTTCATCACCGACCAAGACACGGAAGAGGGACAGACTATTCAGTTTCATCCCACGACGGAACGGGTCGAAGTCATCTCCAGAAGCTAGTCCAAGCGCCCACCAAGAGAGCAAAGAAGCTGATCCACGTCGAGATTCGAGACGGACCTCGCGTATGACTTCACAACCATTCGCTTCTACTCTTTCCCTAGCGACACCGACAATACATGACAACGCGCCATACCCGCCGATCCCAATGTCGTCCTCATTCTCCTCAACCGCTGCGACTTCCTCCACGTCGAGTTCCGTCACCTCGCTGAGCACTCCAGTGGACAGTACTGCGAACCTCATTGATCCATTCTCCGCAAGCCCGACGTGTGCCGATTTCTCATTCATACCTGATCCAGCACATCCTACCCCCTACGACTGTCCTGATTCGCCCACGCTGCATCCCACACTCCCGCTTCCTTCCCCTCGAACACCCACGGCGTCGTTCCTTATTCCCGTGCGTGCCAGCACCAACGTTCCGTTCCTCTCTGCGCTCTCGCTTCGTTACAAGTTGCGACGCAAGAAGAAGTTAATCGTTTCGCATCCTACTCTACTTCCAAGCCGTCAACAACCAGAAGAGGATCTTGACGATGAGCGGGAGAGGTATGCGATACAAAAGAGCAAGCAGCGGTTGTATGAAAATATCTTGCAGTGGTGTGAAAGCTTTGGCACTGTTAAGAATATTGAAACTAAAGGTGATGGTTTACACGTCTACTGGAAAGATTGGGAATCCGCTGATATGGTAAGTCTGTTGCCCGATATCAGCTTGCATTGAGCATGATATTGATGAGACGGCCATTGTCTAGGTTTGTCGTATCCAGGGTCAGGTCTCCATCCCGAATATCGGTACTGTCAGCCTCTCTTGGCAGTACGTGAAGTAGAACAACTGAATGCAACTCGCGAATAACAATCCCTCCTACCACTTACGCGATCCCGGCGGACGACCCTCATCACCACTGCGCATCCACTCTCATTTATCATTCTTTTTTTCTCTTGTTACGGCTCTCACGGCTCATCCACGCTCCTTACGGTTTTTTAATCCCGCTCTGGCAATCCTCTGTATCGTCATACCCGACATTCTTTTTTTGATTATCGTCGATCTTCTGTCAATCAACTCGCTCATTGTATCGGTTTTTCTCAATCAATTGTTGTACCACCACAACCCCCCACACTCCTTATCCACCACACACCCCACGCTCGTTACTACCCTGCGCAAGGACCCGTTCAGTCTCCCAAGGCCGTCCCCCAAGGCCCACCGCCTAACCCACCCCATCTTGATTTCATATTATCGGTTTTCAGGTCATCATCATCGTTGTCGTCGCTTTTCCATCAAGGACCCTATTGTACCACCCCTCCTGGACTCTCTTCCTTTGGTCTCCCGCAGTCATCCTCATCCTCGCTATCGAACATTATCATCGCTTTTGCATGTTTCCTCACATCCCTACTCGTGTTTTATCAAAAGGAGGGTCCTTCACCGGTGAAGGACTTCTTCAAAGCTCGCCTATTGTTCATCTTGGCTTTCAAAACTTTTTGTGTCGCCTTCACCGAAACATTGATCGTCGAACGTTTTTGAACATTTGAACAATCGAACGGTGATCTTGCCGGTGGAGAAGAAGTAACCAAAAGGAAACATTGTACATCTGTTTGTATATTGTCGTCTTCCTCTTTCTTGTGTAATATATTGTTTCATTATTGTAAATACTGTCCTATAGAGTTGAACGTTAGAGTTCTATCCCATACGTGTATAGCAATCTGAATGTCTCTTTTGTTACTTGTGAAGTGTGATAAGTCCCGCAGAGTTGACGTTGTCTGAACTTAGAATTCTCGAAGTGTTCCGCTCCATAAGTACTCATCCATGCCTTAGCAATGAGGCCCTTCTTGAGGCACTACCTGGCCTCTAGTTGTCGATCAGAGCTCCCCAATCTTCACCATCGTTTGTTACGATGGGTGTCGCCCCATCGTCCATACCCCTTGCAGACGAAGAAGACCGCTTTACTTCAGGCAATTACTACACGATCTTGGGCGTAGCAGAGACAGCTACACCGGACGAGGTCAAGGTAGGTCTAACAACGTATTTTGCAGGCTGCTGACAGTGACGTGACGGCTCTTCACGCACTAGGTCGCGTACAGACGGCTTGCCCTTCAATATCATCCTGACAGGAATCATGGAGACGAGCAGAAGGCTACTGACCGATTCGCCATGCTCTAACGAGCGTATGAGGTCTGTTGCCAGGCATCTACTGTGTCTTTGTTGATCTAAGTGACTGCAGGTTTTGAGCGACGAACAGGTCAAACCTTTTTTTAATTCCCCATTAACATGAATACGGTGAAGCTAATCAGAGACGCTTCTGACCAACAGGAACGAGCTGCATACGACTTTAAAAAACCCTCAAGAGACTCTGAACCAGCTCCACCTCCCTCGGCTGAAGAGATCACGAAGACGATGCCTGGATACTTCCAACCAGACCCTCCCCGACCAAGAGCTCCAAAATCATCTGACTTAGTTCCGGAGGATATTCTCGTAGGATTGGACTACCTTCCTACGTCTGGCGCCCGTGGCTATGTACCAAAGGATCTCCTGTATTTCTTTGTGCCAATTGTGAATAACCAGTTTGGGACGAATATGTGGGGCGACGAACCAAAGGTAAGACATTCAACTTCATGGTCAGGTTGTTTTTATTCATGTTCTGCTTAGAGTTTTGTGACGATCTATCGTGAGGTGTTCACGCTAATTGCACAGGATGAGCTTAGACATGGGAAAGGAAAGACATCGCTGCCGTCCTTCGGTCAATTCTCTACACCATGGGTCTCTCGTCGAAACAGGGGAGCTGTGAAGTGCTTCTATGACGTGTGGAAGAACTTCTCTACGACGAAGAATTTCTCTTGCTTTGAAATAGTAACTCTAAACTCCAATGCGCCGCGTGAAGAACGAAGGTGTGTTTGGACACGCTACTCTTTTCCTCACCCCAACCTGTGACGTTTTTATAGATACGTGAATGCTATCAACAAGAAGTTTAAAACTGACCTAATTCGTCTATACAACGAGAGAGTTTCGATGGGCTTCATTACCGTTCACAGCAACTCGCCAAACTCCTTCAGGACATTGATCCTCGTTATGTCTGCCGCGATACGTGTCTCTGTCAGCCTTGTTACAGACAACGAATGTCTAATCGAGCAGCGAGGATGCATCTTTAAACACCTCGCACCGATGTTCATATGATTGTCCCTGCTGTAGTTTTATACTGTGCTGTATTTTGTACTTTCCATTGTTGTATTTGCACTGCCCATCTGCTTCTTTCGCCTGTGATGTTGCTTCATCTTGTTCAGTAGTAGTCTGTAGACATGCGAAATGCCAGCGTCGAATTGCGTCGTGCTCATACTCAAACGAGTATTAGAATTGACGTCACAAGAATTGCCGAACTTCACTTCTCATGAGAAGTAGGTTAGGTATGTCATTTGTTATTCTGTTCTTTGTCCTCCCAACGTTGCTTGTCTCGGCACCAAGAAAATATATTTGGACACTACAACGCTACTACATCAGGCAAATAGTATAGCGCCATGTTACCTAGGAGCCCTTTCCAATATCCCGTCACCTTGTCGAAGTCGACCGGAAGATCTGACGATTAGAGGCTTAAGACAACCTCTAGCACCAGTACGCCGTTTTAAGTGTAGTTCTGCCAGTGATATTGATCTTCTCATAGTGTAACGGCGGAAACCTCTCATGAATCCACTCATTCTCGTAGTGCAGTCGAGTTCATCCTGAAGCAGTCTCTCAAACCCATCGGACTTCGACGCGTGCTGACGCGTAGCGTCGCGAATTGTCACGCCTCACGTGGGTGTGACCTTGCATTAACGCTGGTGCGGAAAGCGTCCGCGCCACTTCGAATCCTCTAAAGGAGAATCCCTTTCGACTTGAAAGCTTGCCAGCTTGAACGTTTGAACATGTGGTTCGCATCTCTTCCTCAACTATCAAAATTCTCTATATATCTCGCAGCTATCAAAATGAATGTCGAGATTATCTGATTCAATGCCCTGATGTCAACAACTTTTACTGACCCTTTTTGAAGGTGAGCATCGGAGCCCCTAGTATGTCAAAGCATGCAACAATAATCCATTTGTCCCATTCCTTGCCCTTGCCGGTATGCAATTAATCTGGCGTACCTTGGGTTCCCTCTGAATTCTGTGCACCAGTTATGGATATGGCGGACCGCCGAAGGCACGCCGAGAGAACTCCGCGATATCTTCATATACATTGTTCTCGAGTACCTTCAAGGTAGACTCTCTCAACTTTTGTGCAGCTGGCAAGAGAATTTAGTGTCTTGACTGCTTTCTTAGATAAACCCAGTGGCCAAGCAGGATACACCCAACTACTGGCCGCATATAGTCTAGCTATGGTGAGAAGCTTTGCTCTGAGTGATGTAGTGCCCTCTACCCTACACTATGACAATGATGCGCTTTGACTAGCATATAAACCGTTAGGTTGACTTAACCTGCCTTGTAGGAGCTCGCAAACACCAATCACTTGGTACATGGTGTGTTGTAACTCATTTCGGCCAAAGATACATTGATATGTCTGATTATTAGAAATGGAGTGGAGAATGCAAGCGTTGTACAGGTTATCGGTATACAAGTCGCGAAATACAATATCGTGTGGTTGATAATGATACAAATGCATGGAGGGTATCAAAGTACATCCTGTTGAAGCTGTAAGGAGCGGAACAGTCAGGTAAGCACATCTAGTATATTTGACGGATGGAACTTACTCCACAAATCACGAGAGCTCCTACAAGGGTGCCGTTGTGCGTCTTAGTAAATCATTCAAAGTCCGCGCAACTATTCCAGCACCCTCCTTTACCTTCTCGTGGTCGGAATCCCTGACCTTTGTCAGGTATGTGCTCTCAAAGCGGTCGGGATGCCAGTGGCGTATATGCTCCCTTATACGCTCCTTTGGTGACTTCTCAACGGGCCAAAGATGATTCAAATAGTAGGAACCGATTGCTTCAGGTGTCAAGTCCTCAACGCGATTCACCTTCTTTAAACTTGGCCATGGAAAACTAGCCCAACCGAGATGTTCCGCTTGTGGGAGGAGATTCCAGAGACGGTCGTGCTCCTCGAGCAATCGCAAGAACTCCGGTTGGCTCAGAGACCGCGCTTCTCTCGCTTCACGTTCCCTCTCCGCACGTTCTTGCTCCTTCTTGAAGCGCTCTGCTTGTCTCTTTGCCTCCTCTTCTTGCCTCTGCTTCCAACGCTCCCGTTCGTCGTCATCAGGCGCTGCGCTGGTAGGTGCGGCTCTCGCAAAACTAGTACTTGATGATTTCTGGGGAGTGGAATGTGCTGGCTTCCATGCAGATGCGGTTGGTTTGGCCCCAGCTGGGAAATGCGACGAGGATGAGTAACTAGTATTGGACGCGGATGTGCCATACGACCGGTTTGATGCGTTGCTAAAGCTCGAGCCGGAATTAGTGCGATCAGCTGAAGCATTGCTGGCAGTAGAACTGCTGCGAGGAATACTCCAAGGCCCGTTCGTATACGACGAAGCGGAATTGGGCGTAACGGGAGAACGGCCTTTATCTGAGGAACCTCCCAAACTGTCTTGACGCCTGCGTGTCTCTGCCTGACGTAGAAGGTCTTCCTGCTGTCTGCGGTTGGTTTCTTCCCGCATTCGTTGGAAGGACTCGTGTTGCGACAGCATTTCAGCTCTGCGTTGAGCTTCCAGATGTTCCTTGACCTTTGCCTCAGTCTCCGCCCTACGAGCCTCTTCCTCCTGCACCTGCTGTGCAAAACGTCGATCGGCCTCCTCCTGTTCGGCTTTCCGTTGTTTCTCTTCCTCGTCCATCTTCTTAAACAAATTCTCCTCTTGACAGCCCCAACCATCCTTGGACTGACTCTTCGCTTTCACCCTCTCCTCCTCTCTCTTTCTTGCTGCTTCCACCTTTGCGCGAGTCGCTGCCTGACGCTGAGCCTCCGCCTTCGCCTCCAACCTTTCCTGCTCGGCCTTTGCCTTCTCCTCAGCCTCCCTTCGCTTCCTTGTTTCTTCAGCCAGCATTTCCAATCTCTCATTTTCCAGTCTCTCTTTCTCCAGCCTCTCCTTCTCTGACCGCTCCTCCTCTAGTCTCTCCTTTTCCGCCCGCTCCTTTTCTAGCCGCTCCATCCTCAACCTTTCTGCTTCCAAACGCTCCCTTTCCAGCCGAGCCAACTCTGCTTCTCGTTCTTGAGCAGCTTTGAGCTCTTCTAAACGACGTGCCTCTTCTTCCGCTTGACGCCGCAGAGCTTGTCGTTGCCGCTCTTCTTCTTCTCTTTGGGCTTCTTCTTCTCTGCGACGTAGAGCCTCCTCCCGCTGCCGAAGCTCTTCTTCCTTCTTTCGCAGAGCCTCCCTGCGTTCCAGCTCCTCCTCCCGTCTACGAAGCTCTTCCTCTTTCTGCTTTATCTCCTCCTCTTTCTTTCGTGTCTCCTCTTCCTTTTTCCGAAGCTCCTCATCCCTTCGGCGCGCCTCCTCCTCCCTGAGCTTCGCTTGCATGGATCGTATCATCAGTGACTCAACATTGAAGTCTGCATCCTCCTCATCAAAAATATCCACATAAGAGTCCTGAGGAGACGGCGGAAAATCTTCAAACGTTCCAACATTCTGTCGTGAGTATGCGTCGAATTCAGCACGCGAATACAACTCTGGGCGACTTTTGGACTGCGAGCGTACAGATCGCACGGACCCCCGCGAATCTTGTCGTCTCATGAACACTGGACTACTTGGGCCGAAGACACCTCGAGTACTGCTGGGGCTAGCCTGAGAGAATTCTTCTGCGGTGAATGATCGTTTGCTTGAAATTCGTCGATGTGAGCCATAGCTAACTGGAGAATCGCGCATATACTCTGGCGAACCTTGCGGAGCTATATAAGTGCGAGTCTGTCTCGGAATAGGAACACCCCGCTCTTCAGATTCGAAATGACGTGCGCCACCACCGGTATAGCTTGACTGCTGCCTATAGGAATCGGGTGTCCGAGGTTGCTCTGGAGTAGTTGAAGATGGTATAGGAATAGGCCTAGGAGAAACTCGAGACTCTAGACGACGAGAAGCAGTTTCACTGCCAATCGACGGATGTCGCTTCCCATGCAATCTTTGACCCTCAATCTGTTGGTAATCTGATCTCATCTTCTGTGAATTACTCCACTGAAACTCTTGCTGTTCCCGCTCAGGCCTTCCGAGGGGTGAAACTGGTGAAATGGATGCAGGTTCTGTGTGCTCCGGGCCCCAGGGTTGTGCATTCGGGGGAATGGGTTGTGTCCACGCAGCCGAAGGAGCTGGCCCAGAGGTGCGCTGTGGTGCAGAAGACGCAATACCCGATCTAAAGCTACTGGCGTTACTATTACGTCGCGAAGGACCACCGGGAGAAGGCGAGTGGGCGAAGTTCAGGTTATGAGACGTACTCGCTGGGTCTCCAGCTGACCACGCCGAGTACCAGTAGTCCTCTTTGCCCCGAACACTGGATAATGAGGTAACACTTTGTTTTCTGCTCATAGAAGGCATGCTTGGGGGCGATCCAACAAAAGGAAATGGTTGCTCGTCTTCAAGATCGTCATCATCCAGGAATTCCGACTCATACAGATCTTCCTCGGCGTATGCAGAGCCTGCAGACCCGATAGGTCTCTCACTCGTGTGGACGAGCGATTGGGGCATAGGTTGATGAGGGTCAAGATTAGGACTTTTGCCCATTCTTGCACCATGCGGACTGCCCACACTGAGATTCCTAGAGTCGGTCACTTCATCCCGAGAGACTACAACAGAATCGGTCGATTTGCGATCAGAGGCGCCTCCGCTCTTTGTCCTTTCTCTTTGAATCTCCTCAAATATGGCGCGTTGTTCATCAATGAATCCCTCTTGATGAAACGAGTCCTGATTCCCTCTCGACATCTTCCGCATCTCCTGCCTTTCTCGTTCCAAGGCGACCCTGAACTGCTCCTCCGCCAATCGGATTAACGTCTTCATTTCGCTCTCATAATCCTCCTCGACCCGTTGGCGATCGCTATCGTTATCAGCTTTAGCAAGTCTGTCCTGCCTATCCTGCTTAGCTTTATTGACGATAGGAGAGAGTTTATGCTCTATCTCCTTGCGTATTGCTTGCTGTCGCTCTTCATCAACTTCAAAGAGAGTGCGGTCGACTCCACGGTGTCCACGAGGATTTGGATCCACATTTCGTGCCGTTGCCGTAGCCATGAATGACCTCGAAGAATTGCAGTGCAATTGTTACGGATATGTACGCGCCACAGTATGACAGTAATACCAGCCTCAAGAGGTATCATAAGAAAAGCAGGGATGTGAGGGAAAGGAGCTTCCAGATTCTCCACTGGAGTGACGATAAACCACAAGTGGGATTCTGAAGCGAGTGCGCCTCATGTTGAGTACACGAGTTTCAAGAAGTATAATCAACGGCAGAAAAAATGGACGACACTCACTGACCAACTCAATCCTAACAATGCCTGACGCCGAAGTACGGATGGCTATAAGTGACAAAGATCTGCAGGCTCCCTACTGGGACCTGGAGTTGGATGATCTGAGGCAAGTTACCTTGAGTATCGACGCGGAAGTCGACAACCTCGGATCTATATACCGCGTTCCATTCGTCGCGTCTCCAGGGACCGGACCCCACGGGTCTCACGGACCTCCAACTGCTTGTTTCTCTCGAAATGTGCGTCAATCTTCCTCGAGGCGCACGAGAAAAGTCGAGACCTCTGATGCAGATAAGGTCAGCCTTCATCCATCCCTCCGAAAGTACAGCTCAGTAAAGCTGAAATGTAATTTGGCATGATGTAGACATCCCAATAATATCGTCGTATATACAGACGCAACCCAAGCCCTATATATATTATCGTAAATATTACCAAGTCCATGCCTTCCAAGTTCAACCTGAAAGACGGTATGACAATTACTGTCGTGCGTGGCGCACCCTTGCGTTCAAGCAAGCTCCATCTATACCCGAAATTTTGTTTGGCACCCAGACGAGAAGGGCACTGCCATTAATCCAAATAACCAAGGCCCCAGGAGCCTTTTAGTGTTTCCGTGTGATCTGGTCAACTTCGCGCCAACTCTTGAGAAGAGTCTTGCGAATGCTATGGACACACTCGTCATCATCGTGATACGGGTGGTTGAGATCGTGCAACATCTCCTTAGCACTTCGCCTATCTCCGGGTGCGAAGGGTTGATTCCACTCGGTGAAGATGAATTCGTTGACGTCTGGCGCCGTATGCTATGGGATGCGACACAGTACGGAGTGAGCCACAATAGCAAACAAAAGTGAAATGGTTGACGTACGGCGGTGATTTCGTGCAACTCGCGCTGCACGGCAAGGCAAAAGTGATCCAGATCTGTCGGACAATAGGTTAACGGACCTCACCATTGAAAATTGGCCACAACTTACCCAAATCATTCAGGTCATAATTGAACGGGTTTTCGCTGTGTTTACCAAAACAATATTGGCCATTAGGTTCACCTGCGAGGGAGAAATCGAAACGCACATCTCTTGACCAATCTCCAAGAAACCCAGAAGCAGGAACGAAGCGAATGCTGTTGCCCTAGCCATAGCAGTCAGGTGAGCAGGTTTAGATAGACTCAATTACGTCGTAAATGACTCACGGTATGGTCAGCCATTGGAATGCACCGAAGATTTGGAACTAATGGAATCGATAAGCACACGAGACATCATTCTGGCCAGGGATCAGGGACCAACCGGTAGGAAGAACAAGTACAGCCTGGCAACGTTTCAAATCAGCAACTGAACAACGTCATGCAAGAGATCCAAAGTGATCCGGCTACTCACCAGAGAGACATCCTCAAATGAGCCTGGTACGCAAAGGGCAACGGCGTACTCTTGATCCTTTCTAAATTTGTGACAGTGTCCTGCAGACCGGATATAGCGTTCACCATGGCAGTGGCAGACGCAGGCGTAAGAAGGCCCTGTCTCATAAGCGAGGCAAAGTAAGTCGACAAGAAGAGGGTGATTTCAATGGGGACGTTGGAATCAGCCATCTGGGGACGGATCTTCTTGCCGGTGAGGGATCTACGTAGTGGTGGTTCATCCTCCGTCATACGCTTGAATGGTCGGATGAGAGGTTTGAGAATACGGAGGAAAGGGAAACAGCTAAAGAAAGAAGTCTTTGGAGGATTTCTGGAAGGCATCAAAGGATGCTCGCTTGGAACAACTGGCAAAGCACTCTCGGGATCGAAACGCTTCTTGTCACTCCTGCGAAAAGAGTCGAACCATTTCTCATTGCGAAGTTCCCCCATCTCCTCGTCGGTTTGAGGGGTAGGTTCAGATGCGAATCGATTCAACGTGGTTTCCTTCGAGTTCAGCGTCATGCTGCGTATGGTGTGGTGCTTCTTGAGGTCCATACCGGAAGCACCCCAGAGTGGAAGCACCTCCTCCTCAGTGCATTTGCGCGGATGGCTGAAGCGCGGCAAGAAGGAAATGAGCGGATAGAGATCAGCATAATAAACGCCGCCCTCCCCACGCAGTGAGTGCTGCAAGAGGTTAGTATGTATGCATTCCGAGGAAATGCTTCAAGAGAATATACCTTGACAGCTACGGAAAACGCTTGAATCTAGAGCATTCGGTCAGCCTCTGTATAGCCTATACAGGTGATGTGAGACTTACCAAGTTAATCATACTCTTTTTCTCAATCATGACCTCGAGCATAGGTTTCTTGTTCCCAGTCGCCTTGTCAACACGGTCAAAAGGAACATGAAGCCAGATCTAAAGTTAGGTTTTAATTGTAGAACGTAAGTTCCAGTCATAATATACAACGGTCAATCACTCACAATTTGAGCCAGGTTGCGAGAAGCAATAGAAATATTTGTCCAAAGCTTCCTGCCTTCGCTGAATCTGTAGCGCCCAGTTCAGGTGTGTTCATTTCAGTCAGACCGTGACCGCGTACCTCTCATATGCGGTGGACGTTCTGAAGGATATGACCAAACCAAGAACCGTACCGAGAACGGTCAACATTTGAGATGAAATGGCAAGGGAAGTCTCAGTGAGACTCGACACAAGCGTCACCACTGGTATTTCGGTCAGTGTGTTAATGGTACAGAAAGAGTAGACACTCACTGACGGCGACCATTGTGAAGAAGAGGACTTCCGGCCAAATGTCGTTGACGACCGTTGCACGGAACTTCTTCCATATCGAGCCCGTAAAGACAGACGAAGCCATCCTAATTCAAGCGTCCCTTCTGAACAAATATTCCAATAGAAAAGACAAAAGAAGAGCTAGGGCTCAAAGACCAGGTAAGCAGTGAAGCCTAGTGACCTTTAAGCAGAGCTAACGAGTGTGGTGGGGGAGGGATGCAGAAGAAGTGGGGAAAGCAGACGACTCTGCTATAAAGGCTTTTGTCCCTTAACGGTCACCACGGAAGGGCTGTTGTAAGCCGGGTCCTTCCTCAGCCACAGCATGATGGGGAGATGCATCGTGGCTGGAGTGACGATGCGAGCAGCGCTCACCCAAATTTGTCTCACAACTCCCGGATCTGATGTTCCCACAATGATTCACCAACTTGGCGTTGTCCAGACTCAGGCCGCTCGTCGTCGTTGCCGTCGGTGCTTCTTACCTAGCCACAATACCCGTATCTTCCAACTTGTTTTCACGGAGCAGTGAGCAGTCCTAAGACCGAGTCTGCTGCACTTCGCTATTCTGCTTACTCCCTTGATACTCCGCGATGCCTCATTTATTCGGAATTCTGAATCTAGACAGGGCGATTCATTTCCGCCCTTCATTTCACCCAAGCTGAGGTGAATACCAAACACAAGAGGCATGACCTTTCGTGAGGCTCACCTCCCTTTCGTGAACATGCAAGTTGCTGAGCGCAATTTGCAATCATCATTTTCGACTGATACAACAAACCTTTCTGATCCTGATTCGTTTCCAGTGCCTACTGTTGTTTCCGGAAGGTCCCTGTACTTGTTGCCAACTGTCATTTCCTGCGCAACGTCCGAAGGGTGGATATAGCACGAATACCGAGCGCTTGCCTTGCCAGGAGCTTCTTCGGACGCAGTGTTCTGCTCGATCGCCGCCGCCGATCAAATATTGAACTTTATGTTACACTGGTTTACATCGAGACCTAGCAGAACTTCACGTTCTTGTCGCGAAGACCCTCCTCTCCAGTTACATGGGAACTCCCATAGGCATTGTCGTGACTACTCTTAGGGTAAGGCCCTGCCGGAATTGATCGCATTTGCTACCTGACTCGTGTTTGGTCGGTTATAGGCATATCTGGTGACAATGTAAGCGTGAGTGGAGGCCTTGCTGATTTCAACGGGAGCTACAGACCGTTCGTAACTGTCCAAGTATAGATCCTCGGTACTGCAAGTCTTCTTGAATGTCGGATGGCTCACAAGCCTCTCAACGTAGGCACGGAACTTCACACCTTCCGGAAGGCTGAATCCCCTGTAATGGACCAAAACGTTGGTCGCGCGGAAAATCCCTGATATTTTCATTCAATACTGTCGCGCCCAAAACATTGGCTCCCGATACTCACATGGTCCCGCCATTACGTCTGCTAGGCCAAGCTCGCCCTCCGTCCAGAGACCGACGGTGCTGACTGATTCCTTCCCAGCTCGCTCAAATAGCTGCAACAGACCTCCAAGTGATTCAACGAAATCTTTGGCGCCTTGGATCTGCTTCTCTGTAAACAGAACTTCTTAGTTGCCTTCATGACACCCTATCTCAAAACGATACCTTCTTCTTGTGCTTGGAGGTACCGATAGAATGCGGGCACCAGTGTCCGATTGACGTGATCTGCCTGCAAGCGAATCAGTGCTCGGGCATCTATAACTCAGTCAGACCGCACGCCGGCGGTGCGCTCATGAAGCCCTAAGGCGTGACATGCTCACAAGGGTCCGAAATCGGAGGTAGCAAACTACGCCTTGTGCTCGAGGATGCAAGGCTGTGAACATGGCGTTATCGTTCAAATTCAACCCTTGATGATCACAATGAACTGTCAACTCACTCCTCCAGGAATTCGATGATCACTGTGCTCTCATTCAAGGCTCGGGGAGGATTATAATTGTTGAGTTTCAACGCAGGGACTAAACCCTTTGGGGATACCTCCAATAACTCGGCGGGTTTCTTGTAAGGATCTACTTCGTCTACAACATAATGTTCGATAAGTCCAACGCAAACTCGACATAGGTAGAGTCTCCTAACAATACTGAAGGAACATTAGACCTTCGTCATGCTGCTGCTTCGTGTGCACAGCATCATTCCGTTCGACTCACATCATAGTCAATGCCAAGGTGTTCTAAAGTCACCCATACCCGTTGCACGAAAGGGCAGAAACAACTGCCGAAGAGGGTGATATCTGTAGGCTTGCCATGCTGTTTCACGGTTTCTAAAGCATCTCCGGTACATTGCAAGTGGTAGGATTTGCCTGAGTCATTCTTCACATACGACATGATGATGGTTTGAATGAAACAAATGAGGATTCAAATCAATGAGTAGCCAGTCGTTGGCAGTTGCACCAATAAGAACCGCGATGGCGTCATATTTTCAATGCTCCATTTCTCCCCTTTCACCCCAAGAACATCAGATAATTCCAAGGACCAGCTACATGCTACAAGTCGATATAATGGCTATAAGGTACTACGAACTTCACAATCGCCTTAGCTTCATTCAATACAGTGGATTCGATATTTACTTCTTCTGCAGTGTCAGGATTATCCCGATTAGTATGCGATCAAGCATGTCCGAGGCTCATCAAGCTGCCCACGAAGGTCATAATCTGTAACATAAATTCAGTATTTGCGGTTGAATATAAGTCGTAAAACGTATATGTACTCACCAAACGTGGTCGAACATCGACGATATCTTCGGGAACCAGGAAAATCAGAGCGTTCAGTTTACGTGCGATAGAGATGGCCAATTTCGCTACGAAATACTTTCAGCACCATGTTACTTTCACAGGAATCCTAGAAACACTCACCATTTTGACGTTTCTGCTCATAATCCCCATTTTCGCTAACATTGTTTACAAGGGTAGGATCCACGACTCCAGGCCGCAGACCCTCCAACAGGTCGAGAAGGAAAAGACCGGTGGTAAGCGAAGGATCCTTGAAGGATCGGATCGGCCTAATGCTTGGCTTAGACTTCTGTGCCGTCGTATTCGCCCACTTGAGAATTTCAGTATCGCTGATGGGTCGACCCTTCGATATTGAACTCAGAGTCTTCGTAATATTTAACCTATAGGAGGAACGTATCAGTAAGCCGGAAGGATCGCTCCCACGAAACTGAACGCCATACCGCATGAGTTGCCATACGAGCCCAAGCACAAGAGTCTTAGCTCCATCCACAATATCCGCACCTTGGATGCCGACTAAATGCATGCCATTCTGCTTCGCAAGATCAACGGAGTAGTTGCAATTCTCAACCTGCTTGAATCGGGACAGCTTCGATTGGTTGGGAGTAACACCAATGTCCTCCTCCTCTCCTTCACCAGTATCAGCGACATAAGCCGCGCTAGCACCCTCTTTAGGCTTGCTAACCCGACGCCACACTACGCTGCCAGGGACGATCTTGTCGAATGCTTGAAGGATGATGAGACCATCTTTGATGTTCTCGAAGAGGTTGAAGACGCCGGGTTCGACACCAAGCGAGTTGAGCCAGAGAGTGAATACACGGGCTTCGCGTTCGCCTTCTGCATCGAAATCCTCGACTACGCCGTAATCTTTTGCTTCCTGCTCGTCGAGAGGTTCCAAACCTGGGTGATTGTTGAACAAGTTGGCAACGAATGCAAGGTTCAAACGCGGGTTTCCGGAGACGAGAGAAGCAGGTGTGAGGTATTTGCGGCAACCAATGTTGGCAGCATTTTGGAGGACCTGGAAACGTATTCATTCGACTGACGATCTACAAACTCATTAAAGTATTTACGTACCTCCTCGGCGCGCTGACGGATATCGTGGGTTTGTAAAGGCGCAAGTGAACAGTCACTGGGCTTCAATTGGTTAAGCAGAACAGTGTAGTTTTCACCATCGGAGACGTCTCGACTGAAGTTGTTCACTCTGCATAATATGTATTAAAAGTACCTTCTACGCGACAATGGGAGTAAGTGCTTACCTGCGTTTCCAACCTGCTTGCTTAAGATGGTAGTTAAACCATCGGAGGAGGATTTGATCAGGAGTCAATCGCAGAAGGTCGTCAATCGTCTCGTCCTCCTCGCACAATCGGTAGAGTTCTGGGTGAATCTTGATATCAATTTGACTCAACAGACCCCTTCGTATGATTTGCCAGATGAGCCCAAGAATAAGATGTTCACGGCCCTCAATGATGTCGTTTGAGCCAATGTTCACCACGGAACAACCGATAGCTTTTGCAGATGTGATGACAATGTTATTGTTCTCTGTCATCTGGAAAGCGTTCAACGGCTTCCTTCCAGTAGGCTTGTTCAGTACTCGAGGATCGATGGTTTCGGGCACGGAGTCGTTGATCAGTTTACACAGGATGAGACCGTCTCGTACTTCGTCGAATAGTTGCATTGTATTTGTCGGAATGGGAATTCGTGAACCCAAGTCTGGATCACCCTCGAGAACCTAAAGGAATTTTAGAAAGAGCAACGCCACAAGAACCAGAGCACATACTGCGTTGATATGATTTGTGAACTCAGCCAATTCATCCTGGTTGATGGTATGGCTGACAGTAGCATTGGAGCCATGCATAGTGACCTTTCCGCCTTTCGAGGGAAGTATAGATGAGGTTGGCTGTTGTCTTAGTTTGACATTCAGCTGGAGCAAAACTTCAGGATTGCTTCATTATGTTATGTAACGACCACATACCTCGACCCAATCTTCTACTTCGAGCTTGCCACTAGCATCGACGCTGACTTGCTTCAACGTTTCTCGAGCCTTGTCATACGACTCTCCATTTGCCTGTAGTACTTGAAGTACTTGGTTCTTGTCTATCCGTCCAGGGGTGTCGGTATTAATCGCACTGTAATCGAGTATGTCAATAAACACCTTCTGGAGACATTAGCGATACGCGTACTTAAAGCGATTGATGAGATCGAACATCTCATCTTGCGTAACTTCAGGGTATTTCTTGCGTAGACGGAGGGCCTCCATGGTGGTAAAGTTACAAGTTGTATAGGGGAATGGTGAATGTATGCTTGTCAGTTGTATCAGATTATTATAACGATTATATAATGACGTCGATTGCGGTACTTATGTTTTGGCGCGCAGGGTTACTTATGGCTAAGCCACTCGCTGCGTAGGGCAGTGACTTCCGCAGTGTATCATCCGTAGAATGCATAGAGCACAGTCATAGCAGACTAGTATACAATGTGAACTACTACAATCCGCATGTCGCGCAGTCAGCCCTCAGTCATTGTAATTTATGCCAAGACCGTTTACAAGGGTCAAGGGGATCATTCAGAAGTCTCCAGCAAGGTATAAGCTTTCCCTTCCTTTTGCAGAGCATTCTCGATGAGCTTCATCGCCTCGAGAACGTGTTCCTCCTGCAACCGTCTTCCGACAACCTGGACGCCTACAGGTAATCCATGCATAGGAGCCGAGTCATACGTGGCATACGCCCCGGCTTCGATGGCATTCCTAGCAGTGAACTTCGCAGGAAGCTTGTCCAACTCGCCATCGACGTGGGTGACAGGTAGGACTCCGGCGGAGTAATCAAGCTGGCATACCTCGGTGAGCAAGATATACGACGAATAATAAGGTGTAAACTGACCACGTTGAACAGGAAGGTATATCCGCAGGATTTGTACCCTTCTTTCATGCCGCCATGAGGGCAGGCTGGTGTCGCATTCGGAACAGTCAAGACGAAGTCCAAGCCTTCATTGTTCCACATATCAAACCATTTTGATCGATAGCCCTCTCGCTGAACGATCAAATCATAGTACTCTTCCGCTGTCTTGGCATTACAGCTCTCGACGAGTCCAGCATACAATTCGTCCCGGCGGATATAGCGAAGGTACCAAGCATAGAGCTTTTTGACGAACTTTGGAAGGCGAAGTGCTCGAATAGCCTCCAAGGCACCTGGGTCATTGGTTTCTCCAGAACGTATCGGACGCTGAACGACCTTCACTGCAGAAGAAGCCGTCGATTGGTGGGTCGAACGTGAAAAATCAACAAATATACACTCACAACCATCGGCAAAGAGTATTTGAGCACCGATCTTTAGTGCGTCGTAAGGGCTAGGGGGATCTCTGAACGACTGTCAGTGATTATCGAACCTGGAACTATTGAATAGACTCACAAATTAACAACGTCGTGTCCTTCCGCTCGTAGAACTGATGTAACCTCATATAATGCACGACGACATGCTGGAGATGGAGCAACAACGCCTGCAAGTGTCCTTTCTTATTAAGGGTGTACGCACTTACTGAAGCTTAAAACAACATACCATCATCCCATATTACACCAAATCTCAACTTCTTGCCCGTGAGGTCGACTTCTCGCCAGGGAAGAGGAATGCACTGCAGGTAGGGGAGACGAAATTGAGGACAAACATAAATCACACTGGTTTTAAGAGACTAACCGAGTAGTCATACTCCCACGGCTTCATACTCATGACTGCTCGCCAGAAAGTCTCGAGGTCTGCAAGGGTCCTAGACATGGGGGAGTATACCGCAGGTATACCTATTTGACCAGGAATACTCGTCGGGTTGCCCGCCTTCGGAAACCTGTGCATCGATGACTTTATCGTATAAACACCAGAATAATGCCTGAGAAAGATCTATTTTAGTAGATGATCGAGGAGATGGAGCTTTACGCTTACGCAGGAGCGCGAACAGAACCAGCCACATCTGTACCGATACCAATACGAGACCCGCCATAAGCAAGCAGAGCAGCTTCTCCACCAGTAGACCCTCCAGGAGCATAATTCTTGCCATGCGGATTCGTCGAACGACCCCAAACATCATTGAATGACTCAAATGACAATAGAGTGATAGGCACATTGGTCTTCACGAATGGAACAGCGCCCGCATCTCTCAAAAGTCGCACCAATGGAGAATCCTTCTGGAGAGGCTTGAAAGCCCATGCAGAATAGCCAATACAGGCATCGAAACCTGCCACGCCTGCGGTGTCCTTCAAACTGACAGGCATCCCCGCAAGCGGACCATTCTTGTTAGAGTCCTTAGCCCAACCAAGAGCCTCGGAGATCATGATCTCCGTGAGACAGTTCGTAGCAGCATGGGCTTTGAGAGCTTTCTTGCCATATGCTGTTAGAATGTCCGCTGGGTCCAACGTTCCAGCCTGAACCCCAGCGACAGTTTCTGCGACAGAACGTTGTAAGATGGTCATATCAGACGGTGTCAATGGAGCATGGAATTCCGCCGGTAGGCTCTTAATGCGTTCGTCTCGCTCATCTTGCTTCGCAGCACTAGAAAATGAAATAAAATTTCAATTTCCAGTCAGGCGAGGGACGGATGACGACCTACCATGCGCGACGGTGGGCGAAATACTCGAGCACCATGACGATAGAGGTCGTGGTTCAGCTTATCGTTTGTTGGTTCGAGCTTGGAATCATCATGGTGAGTATGGCGTTGCTAAAAGTGTATCCGCGGTGAGATAGAGAAGCCTTGAACTATTCTGATATCGGCGCAGAACCCGAATTGAATTCAGGAGAAGAGGGACGCCATGCTTGTGCGTGTATGGCCACATACGTAAATTGCGTGCTTTTGGCTGAAGAAACTCTGGGTATCTATGGCATCTGAATCTGCGACGAGGCGGATAGAAGTACAAGATGGGAACGAAATATACTTTATTTCAATTTGGACCGGTTTTCAATCGGGCGCCTCTCATTTGCTCAAACAAATTGAATGGTCGCCGTGGCAGAGCATACATATGTATTGTAAATTGAAGGCGGATTGCCTTATGGTGGAGGATCGAGAAGAAAAATACACGACACAGCATACAATGTGTGGGCAAATTAGGTTAGTGATACAGCAAAATATGGGGTGAGTTCGGGACCTCGCTAGCAAAGTCCTCAAAAAAGTATACAACAGTCACTAGATGAGAGAATACCATATTGTGAATGCGGAAAAAGGGACAGACAAGGATGCGAAGAAAGGGATAGAGATGTGTAAAGCCTTAACCTTTGAACTTTGGCGTAATCCTTCCAGAAACCTTCATCGTCCTCAAGGTCGAAATGACCTCACCAACTTCCTTCTCTTGCCATACGCCCCCGACGTGCGCGCGGGCAACGATATGGGGAACATCATTGATATTCCCGTGCGATTGACTTTGCGGCGCTGGCTCGACAGGATGTTCCGCGATCGTGTGCTCCGAATAATCAGATTGAGAGATGGAGGAAGTGCGACCAAGCGTCGGGCTCAAAGTCTCCGATGATGCTACTGGACCCACCGGAGTCTGAGACCGAGCGACGCTAGGAGATGCCGTGTTTTCGATATCAGATACGCTATGTCGACGATAGAATCGCTTCCAACCTGTCCTCTTCGGTGAAGAGCTTGAGGCACTGGGTGATGATGGTGATGGCGTTGTTGGGGTCTTCAGCTTCTGAGGCTTGGGTTTAGAAGCGAAGATACTGGAAGGGTAAACAGGGAACACTCGAAGATGAGCCATCGCCTCCACCGGCATCGTTGTAGGAGGTGCAGTGCGTCGTCGTGGCGGTGAGGTAGGCAGTTTTAACTGCCCATTCGCGCTTAACGAGGACGATGTAGATCGCATTGTGTTTGAAACTACTTCGACTGACGTCTGACCTTTCGCACCTTCAGCGGCGATGTAAGAAGATGTGCGATTGGAGAAGACAAGGGGTGAAGGAGGTGGTGAGGGTTCACTGTTACGATCAGCGTCCTCCTCGATCTCGTTTTCGATTTCAATTTCGTTGCAGATGTTGGATGTGTGAGAGAGCGAAGAGGATGGACGAACAGGGATTTCCATCGGACTTTCTTTGGGAGGCAATGGTGGTAGTGGGGGAAGTGATGGTGTCTCGACCCAGATTCTCCTGCAGCACAATGTCACCATAGGATCGAAGTCCGTGCAGCCGAGGCAATCAGGGAGGGGGCTGCGTTGTGATAAGCCAAGACTTGCGATGCTCTCTTTTGTAGATCTGGGAGGCTGATGGTGCACGAGCACATCTGTCCAGGGCGAACACTGCCCTTGAGAAGTGGCCTGTGACCAGCTTCCATGATGTGTGTTGTGATAGCTTGTTCCATCATTCGTGGGCATGACGGTGAAGAGGTCATCATTGGTTTGGTGGGAAAGTCGTGCCGGATTATCGCTTGGAACAGGATTCCATGGCTCGACTGAACTTTCGCTGTTCCTGCGAGGGAATTCCGGACTTACATCAAGTGGGACGTGATCCTTGGTAAAGAGATTTTTGATGGCGCCGTGGATGGGACATGGCTTCTTCGTCGATGCGGGAGTCACTACTATTTGAACTTCGACATTCAGAGGTTGTTCATGGGTCGATATGGTATCTGGGAAGGAGGAGACTGAAAGTGGGTAAGACATCTGAACAAATGTAGGATATCTGGGAAGGAGCAAAATTGGGTATATAGAAAGGAGCGACTGAAGGCTTGGGTATAGAGCGGGGAAAGATAGGAAGAGAGGGTGTAACATGAGGCGATTTCACCCCACGTTATAAGTCCTCCGGCGAATAGGCGTTTTGGGCCAAGGTGACCGTCAAAAATGGATGTCAGAGATGAACAGCGACGCATCGCTTAGTAAAAAAATGAAAGCCTGTGTCCAAGACAAGTGATGGATGATTTCCATCGTTCTCATATGCAACAGAATGAGAGAAGCGAGGGAACTCAGAAGAGGCAGAACTACATCGGAGTTCTCTCATCTCCATTTCTGAAGCACACGAGAGCGAGTAAATCTCGTAGAAGACCGACCTTCATTTCCAGAGCCCTGAGTTGGAGTTCAGGAGCAGTACTTGACTGAGTTGGCGTGTTCTCATGTCTGCCTTGTCAGAAGCTTGATGGTGGTCGTGCAGATGTGAACGCATCCCGAATAGCAAACAGAAGCAGCACGGCACGTTGAAATGGTCATGCGACATAAGTCTGATTTCTCTCGAACGAAAAGCCGACGTTAGAATGACACGACCGGGGATGGGTGTCAAAAGATGACTTCAATAGATGTCTATACTCGAGTAATGTTTATTCCAAAAATGACCATCTCAGCCGTCGCAACTGCATCGAATGCTCCGACACGAGAACTAGTCAAGTCAGGCCTAGGGCTCATGAAGGCGATGCAAAGGACGATGAGCGTGGACTCGAGCGCAGACTGTGACTGCTGTTATGGTGTCACGTGTCACACGTGACCTGTGACGTAGTTTGCGGTTTCGATGCCCTTGCTTGTCGTAGGCAGCAACGTTGACCTTGACCACGGCCTCGACGCTCCTGCGTCGTCCTTTCGTTTTTCTATCTAAGACCGTCGCTCGCTCAGGATGTCTCAGCAACAGCAGCAGCAGACACCGTCACCTACACAGTCGGGAGGATCTCAAAGCTCACTCGGATCCCTCACCATTCCTCAGACAGCGCCTGCTGGCGGGTTAACCATCACACAACCCCCACAGACTGCGACCTCGTACTATAAAATCAAACAAGGTGTAACCCTCACGTTTGGATGGAATTTTACCTCGTTGCTATCCACCCCAACCCATCTCACCGTATCAGCCATCTGTGACAATGGCAACACTTACCCAGTGGGCCCAACCGACGGTATTATTCCTGGAGATGCACAGTCGGTGGAGTGGGATCTCTTTTCGTATAATCAGGCTCACCCGGACACCCCTCTCGCTCAAAACTCGTACACTCTCCATATTTGGGACGATCGAGGACCGGGGGCGGCCATGGCGCCAGGGTTATTCCATGAGAATAACGCTTTGCGCTTCGCGTTGTACAATCCCGCCTCATATACGCCATTAGCCAGTGGGTCCATTGTTTCGTCCGTATGTTTGGTCTTTCTCACACTTCGATTAGGCTGGGATTGTTCAGGTTGCAACGTTGCAGCAGCAGCGGCTTCCTTTTCGCCCACGAATCCGGTTTTTATCAGTATGTTCACCACAATCCTCGTGATGATTCTTTCTGGTTATACGCTTTTACGGCAAGCAACTCGTTAGGTGAGGATAATCCTAACCTTTCACTTTCACATTTCAGCTAAGTGTATGGCATGTAGACCCGAGTTAGTTGGTGTTGCAGGTGGTTTTTCTTTTTGGGTGGCTTTACTTTGTTCTTCTGTGGTTATGGACACTTCTGGACATCACGACATTTTCGATAGTAACTGACGATTCTCTCATACGTCGACATCGCATGGACTATAGCTTTCACATATCGTAGATTCTAATCAGACTTATTCCAAGTGTATCTCTACACGCCTCGTCTCTATTGATCCTTTCGATCACAGGAACATCAATCAGTTGGCCTCTTAGGTGTAACCCTCCAACCCTTCAGGACATTTCCTTCCACGTGATGGGATCACTCTTAGAGGTGACATGCCTAAGCCTCACCTTCATTTCTTAGGAAATGAATGACCCTCCTTGACTTTGTCCACTGAATCTCAGACACAATCGCCTATCCGAGTCTTTGGCCACCAGCGACAGGTATTTAAGAGGCTGCTTGCGGCTTGCCCACAGCTGCATACAATATCTTCTTCCCCACATTATCCTCTATCCCTGCTGCTCATTACTCTAGCCACTGCCCATGTCTTGCACCATCTGCTTAGAACCGCTCAAGGAAGCCACAAGCCTCCCATGCGGTGTGTCCCCCTCTCAAACGTTTGATTCTACTTCGCCACCGACTTACGTCTGTCCTTTATATAGGCCATCTATTCTGCGCTCCGTGTATTCAAACATACATAGAAACATGCTACGCTGTTCTATTTGCCGAGTGCCCTCTCTGCAGGTACCCCTTCAACGAAATTGACTTTCGACGCACCTACCTTCCGGAACTCGAGGATGCCTCTGCCCAGGCTGCCACAATTTCAGGTCTGAAAGAGAAGGCTATTTTGCAAGCAGCCAAAGTATCGTACCTTGAAGCCCAAATTCAAAGACTGAAAACACAAGTAAAAGATCGTTCAAGTCTGATTCGCAAGTTGCAAAGTTCCCGCCTCTTCAGGAGCAGCTTCGTTCTTTCTCGAGGACGCGGGCCTGCTAGACAGATTGCGAAACTCCAGGCTGACTTACGGGAAGCACGTACTGCGCTACAGCAACAACGTACCCTCTCTGACCAACTTGTTTACGACCAACGCATCGTTGACCACTTCGTAGAAGAGATGACTAACGATATACTAGGACCATTGCCCCCTGCAGTGGCCGACCCTTCTACGGCTGCTAGACCTACGTTCAATGCTTTGACAGCTCCCTCTGGAACTCACCTTGCTCGTACACTGGAGGCGAGCTCTCAGGATGCACTCAACCTTCAACCCCAATATCCCACCTTCGAAGAGATTGCTCCACGCGACTCGAACTTCTCTATACCTGGCGCGCAGGATGCTAACAGGTACTGGACATCAATCGAACAGCTTTTTGGGCCTCCAGGAAATGACCCTCTCTAAGACGAGCGTCGTTATCGTTGCCACGCTGGCTTGTTTTCACCGTCGATTCCTATGTTCATTATGCCTTTATTGGAATGTTCGTTTATAATATGGTACAATACGATGTCTAAGCTGTAGAGTACCGCTTGTGGGTGCTATCTCAATGTATGAATGAAACGTCTTTGATACATATATCCTACTTGAACTCGCTCAGGCCCCCATCGGTCTTTCACAATGAGTAGGTTCATAAAAGGACGTTGCAATCATATCATTGTCGTTAAATGTCGTAACCTACAAAGACAGCAGAATCGCTAGGAAATACAGAATAACACAAGAGCAGGAGCCAAGATAGCAAGGAGAGTGGACAGAAGAGTATAATGTAACCCGAGAAACGTTTGTGCTTCGAGCACAAGAAGAAGCGAGCATATAACACAAAACAGCCAGGAAAACAATCACAATGATTCAACTTCGAGTCAACGAAAGCCCAAAGAAAGCAAGGCCTAAAGCAGGACCAAAGCTCGGACGATACGACTAGCAGCCATAAATATGAAACAAAACAATATTGGATGTTCACCTAGACCTGTACACATTCTTCCCTGCCCGTGCCCTCGAATCCGCCGCCTTGGCGGTCTGCGTGTACATCGAAATCGTATTGAAGAGCTCGTCCTCTCCATCTTCCTCTTGCGGCACATCAGCAGGAGCGCGAGTACTGGGAGGCATCCAGAAATGCATCTTCGTAGAAACATCCTCCGCGGGCGCCGCCGCCGAGGTTGACGGTGGTCCGGTACTTCTGAACCCCTTGGGTTGGCGGGTAGTTGTCGGAGCAGTTGAGGCAGCGAATGGATTTGTCGTCGCGCGCGATGCACTGGCATTGGCACTGCCATTCTTCCCCGTTTGACCGCCCATCCAGTTGAACGGCGAAGACACGCCTGAACTAGAAGACTCCTCGGTCTTCTCGGACTCTGGAGTCGTAAGACCTTCTTCCTGATCATCCGAGCTGGATGATGACGACTGTTCTTCTTCAATGTCATCGGAGACAGTTGCTTGATACGGACGCCGGGCCTTGGATGGCATCGGAGTAGTCGCCCGTGGTGGGAAGGATGTTTTGCCAGGCGTATTGGAGGAGGGAGAAGGGGTGGAGGCGGATTCTCTTTGTTGCATAGTTGCCCAGGGAGACAAGTTGTTACGACCATTCTGCGTTTTCGAGGTGTAGGAAAGTCCTGGAGTAGCAGCCCTGGGTGGAGCAGCATCCACTTTTCGTGGCTCTGCTGGTGAGGAAGCATTGTTAACAGAGGGTTCCTCAGCGGTCACGACCTCCTTTTTCTTTGCCGTCGCAGCTGCTTTCTTTGCCTGTTTCTTGCTTCGCGTCGGTTCAGGAGTTTGAGTACGCTGCTGCGAGGCCGGAGTCGCTCCAGGCGTGGTAGTTGCGGGGGTACGCTTCATCCCTGCGGCCTGTGTTGTACGTAATTGTTCAGCCTTCCGCTTCTCTTCGGCGGCAAGCTGGGTAGCCACCCATCCGTCGAAAACACTGTGAGCCTGCTGATTAACAGACTTCATAAAATCCCCAACCAACTGCATCCTCAAAGCAACGTCCTCCACCGTCGCTGCCGTAGACCACTTCTTGCGAAGGACAATCTCCTTCTCCGCAACGTCGCTGTAGAACTCCCGAATGGACGCTTCCATCGTCTTGTTTGTCAGCCCCTTTTCATCCGTCTTCAAGAATGCGCCATACTCCACTTCAACCAGTGAGGGGCTGCGAAGACCGAAGGTATTGTGGAAATCGGCTTCTGCAATCTCAGGTTCCTGCGTTGCGAGCGGACTGGATTTGGCAGGTTTGTTAGTCTGTGATATTTTCCCGGCTCCCCCGTTCATCTTCTTATCCCACAAGCTTTCGGAACTAGACTCTTGGGGGCCGTCAACGATCGGCCAGCCCCACCTATCGTACTACAAATAAATGAGTGTTTGGCTCAGCTTGCTACCGGGTAGAACTCACTCGAACAACGGGATCGGCCGTTGCTGGCTCGTTTTCCTTGGTAGCGGCACCTTTGCCATTGACTTTCATCCATAGACTCTCGCTTTCATCGGAAAGGGGAGGATTCTGCAGACCGAACCGAGATCCTTTGAGTGGATGAAAATGTGCATTAATGGTTGAGTTTACCGGTGGAATATTTCCTGCGGTTTTATTTTGAGAGGTACCAGGTATACCTTTCATCTTCATTTCCCAAAGACTCTCAGGAGGCGCTCCGGACTTTGAAGGTTTGAGCCCGTCTGGTGTTCTCGCCTGATCAACGGTAAGCATCGTAGGTGGGGATGCAGGAAGATCATCTTACAGTTTGTCCACCAGACGTCCTGGATGAATTGTTTGAAGCTTCCTTCATCACCTTATCCCATAGGCTCTCTTCGGGCGCAGGAGGTACACTAGATTTTGCAGAGGTCGGGTCTGTCTATCAGTGAAAGTTTCGTATCGGTAAACAAAGAACATTATCTCTAGAAAATATTATCTTACCCTGCCTTTCGGCTTGCTTTCTTGGCGTAATCCACTGCCTGAAGCTGCAGCCGACTGAGGTAGTACTGATGGGTGGGCGTTCCAGCCCCACGAAGGGTCTTCACCGAACGATCGACTGGGAGTTACACTGATCGGTGTGCCCGACAAAGTGCTTCCTGATAAGCTGTGACGAGCATCGTGCCGAGCATTTTCAACAGCACTGAAGTCGGCAAGAGCGAATGTGGCCTCAACCGTCTGCATCTCTGCATCGGTGATATCAGTCCACTTTTCTTCGTCTAGATTGTTGGCATCCAGTCGTCGCAACCACTCTGTACGAGCTTGGGTAGCAAATTCTTCGTCTAATGAACGCTCCAAAGCAACAAGGTCCACATTCTGGATATTCTGCGCAGATCGAGCAGAAGATCGGTAGCGGCTTTGATTCCCAGAAAGTTTGGCTTTGGAACGTGCCTCATTGAGACGTTTGTCCTTCTCTTGTCTACGATCTTTGAGCCACGTTTCAAAGTTCTGCCATTCTTGTCTGAGTCTCGCTGATTCATTTGATTTGGGCTGTGGCGGAGAAGCCTTGGTAGCTGTAGGTGTGGGCTTAGTAGATACAGTGGGTGCAGGAGGTGAAGGTTTTGGCGGAGTAGGTGTAGATTTTGCTGTGGCTGCGGCCTTTTGAGCTGAGCCTGCTCTTGCCATAGAGTTGGCAGCAGCCTTGCCTTTGTTTTTTCTGTTCATGGTGACATTCAGAGGTCAAGGGCATAAATCCAGTCATTTGGATGTGATTTACGCTGTCTAATCTAGGCGAACACGCGCACAACACGAGTTTGATGGAAGCTCGATCATTGTTCGTCAACCGTAAATGGGTTTATAGGACAGTTATTGCATTCCAAACCACCATCTGCGTCTCTCCTGGTTCTTATGGACACATTCACCAGTTTGAGTGCTACTACTTGGTCACTGTATTAAAATACGATAAGTCTCATGCAAATGTAGTGAAACAGCCTGATCTTTTAGTCTAGACCAAGCAAGTTCAGGCTTTGGCAGTACTCAGTGCTTGCCGATCATGTCAACAAATCAAGTCCTCGGATTTCAGGAGCTTTTTGGCTCCGCATGTAGGAAGGCATTCAAGGACGGATGGGACGGATAGTTACACGGCCGGAAAGCATCGAGCCTGTGCATCCGACCCGTGTCCGCGTGTGCCGTCCGTCCTTCTCATCCGTCTCTTGCAATATAAAAGACCCCTTGTGGATGGCGTAGAGTTCATCTCATTCTTACTTGCATTCTATCACCACCTTTTATCAAAGGTCATTCATTATCTTCGGTTTTTTTTTTCAATCGCCATGGCTCCCCAATCTCGCAGTCTGCCGGACATGACGCGCGAGTTGGTTGGAATGGACAATGGTAGACCTTTCATAATGCTTAATCATCTTGGTACGGGTGGATATGGCGCTGTCTATCGAGCTCGCTATCTCACCCAATCCCGCGCGACTGGCATCGTTGCGGTGAAGGTCATGAGACAAGCTCCTTCGCACACTCGATTGGACGCTATGCATTGCCGCGAGGTGATGAATCATAAAAAGGTCTCGGCTCATCCGAATGTCGTGAACTTCAGGGGAATCGTCCCTAACCGTGCGGACTACCTCTACATCATTATGGACTTTTGCCCTGGTGGCACATTGTTCAACCTCGTCTCTGCGACCCATATCTTTGCTCGCAATGATGCTTTGGTCAAGGATATGTTCACTCAATTGTGCTCTGCGGTCGAGTTTTGTCACGCCAATGATGTTTTTCATCGTGACTTGAAACCCGAAAATGTCCTTATCAATGCTGAGTGTACACAGGTGTACCTCACTGACTTCGGGTTGTCGACCACCCTGGAGGAGAGCAAAACATTTAAGCTTGGCAGCAAACACTATATGTCACCAGGTACGTTTTTAGCATTTTATGTATATTGCTAGATGCTAATGGGTTTTCTCCGTAGAGTGTATCAATAAGGAGGGTCTAGCGGAGTCTTATAGTTGTAGACGTAGTGACATTTGGGCTCTCGGAATCATTTTACTCAACATGGTTTCGGGACGATGCCCATGGAGCGAAGCGTCCCTGGAGGACGCTTGCTTCAAGTTATACATGCGTAACCGCAACTTCCTTCGGGAACAACTCCCAATCTCCAAAAGTCTCAACAACATTCTTCACAAAATCTTCACCCCAAATCCATCCATGTCTATCGGGTTGAAGGAATTGAGTAGATTGGTCATGCAAGCAGACACGCTGTTCATGACCGAGAAGGAGGTTGCAAATGGCCCTTCTGCTGTTCAGGATTCCGCGAAATACCTCGTTCGTGATCCAGCAGAGCCGCTGATTCCAGTTCCGGAGAGACTGGTCTCGGAAGGTTTACCCCTTTGGGTTTTCCCTCCCAGTGGCTCAGACAGTTGGAGCACCTCTAGCTCTAATTCGGACTCTGCGACGAACAGCGATGCCGACTGGGAGGACTCCGTCCCGGGGCTTCGTATGCGCAGAATTATCCCTCTCATCACCGACCCAGACCTTCATGACGGTCAGGTCGCCTGGAGACGCGACAAAACTGCCGCCGCTCATTTGGAGAGACCTGAGATGGAAAGTCGTTCACCTTCTGCACCCACAACAATCCATATCGCTCTACCTTCGTCAAAGAAGGCATCACCAGGTGTGAATGCACGAGTTTCATCCTCGAGCAGAGGGTTATCAACGTCCTCATCTTCTTCATCCAACCACGATACAACGTCGGGTTCATCCAACTCGAGCCGGAGTCAGGGTTATCGTACCCTGACTCACGAAATTGTTGTGCCGTCGAGTAGTAAACCGTGGATGAGGCTAGCGAGGCGTATGAGACGTCTCATTGGCCAGATGGCTTAGTTGGTTGTCACCAAAACACCGATGCTGGCATCGGTGAAGGACAGTCATAGCTGAACTATTTTGATATGATATATTTTTACACAATTTAATGGGCTTTTTTTCATGATCCTGCATTGACTTAGGATGCTGAATCACAGCGATGAAGGTAAACAGGTGTGTTATTCTGTACCTTTGTTAATGGCATGTATCTGTCTATCGGAAGATGGGGTGGGCGAATTGGACGACTTTGTAGCTGTTGCGACGTTGGGGATGATAGTGCATTTCTTAACTCTGTGTGTAGGTGTTATGGCAGGTGCACACTTGACCGCCGATATGTCAACCGAGGTCATTGCAGTTCAGACCAGGGTTTGCCTATATTTGGTCTTCCGCTGTCGGGGGCGGATGCGTGCTCGGGCATAAGGTTCGGGGCGGCGTCGGTAGCGTCGGTAGGGCGGAACGGATGCTCGGGAGGACGGAGGACGGCTCGGGAGGGCGGAAGACGGTTCGGGAGGGCGGAGGACGGGGCGGGAATCATATACCGAGCATCCGTTGCACCTTGCCGCTACCGCTAGCATCTTCCGTCTGTCGCTCGAAAGTCCATAAATAGAGGGCCAGAATGCCTACAATCTCTATCTCATCTTCATTCTCTACCTTCACCATCGAAACGCTCTGGTTAGCGCTTCTTTGCATTTTCTTTCTTTGCATTACTTTTTGCTCTTTGCCTTTTGATATTCATCAATGGCTGCCATTCGTACCCCCATGCCCGACTTCACTGGATGTGTCGTCGATGATGGTCGGTACCAGATCATCCAGAAGCTCGGTTCCGGTGCCTATGGCATTGTGTATCGTGCTGTGGATCATCATAGCGCCTCGTTGTCCGCTAATGGCTCACAACTCGCGATAAAAATACTCCGTAAAGCTGGTCTTACGGAGCGCGAGGCCATTAACGTACGACGAGAGCTTCAACTCCACCGTATTATGTCGGAGCATCCGAACGTGGTGACAATGCACCGCGCCTTCGAAGACGACGATTATGTTTACATAGTCCTTGATTATTGCCCTGGTGGCGATCTCTTCCAGAAGGTCTGCGAGGAGGGCATCTACTTTAGAAATGATGCTCTCTTGAAAAAAGCCTTCCTCCAGATTATCGATGCTGTATACGCTTGCCACCGCAAGCGTATCTTCCATCGCGATCTGAAGCCCGAGAACATCCTCTGTAATGAGGATGGATCAGAGATTTATCTCTCTGATTTCGGGTTGGCCACAAACGAACGCATCTCGCGGACGTTCGGTTGTGGCAGTTCTTTCTATATGAGTCCCGGTAAGCGTCATTTGCTCCATGTTCATTCTTACCACTTGCTTACCCTCCTCCTTTCGCAGAATGTATCGGTGCAGAGACGGATTATATTCCCTACTCTACCCGTTACGGTGACATCTGGGCTTTGGGCGTGATTCTTGTTAACATGATCACCGCCCGAAGCCCTTGGGAGAAAGCCATCACCGAAGACGACTGCTTCCATGATTATCTTCTCGATAATAATTTTCTTCGTGAAATGCTGCCTATCTCTCAGGGGGCACACGATATCATTACCCAAATGTTCACCCTCGAACCCACTGACCGCATCTCGCTTCCTGAACTCCGTATGGCCATTGAAAACCTCGACACGTTCTTTATGAACGATGCCGAGGTTGCCAATGCGCCGTCCGGATGCCAGCTTGCGGTCAAGGAAATCCTTGCCAATTTGGCAATAAAAAAACAAAAGAGGGAGTTTGAGAATGCCATCGAGAAGTTTGACCAAATGAAGGTCAAGGACATGTCTATTCGTAAGGCTGTCCATCTACCCAAACAGGCTGTTTCTAGTCGCGATGATACTCCCGCTACATCGCCAGAGAGCAGCCCAAATTCATCACACTCTGTCGGTCTTACCGATAATGACAGTCAGTCCAGCTCCGTAGTGAGCTCAGGACCTGTCACTCCGGCAAATTATGCCATCGAGCCTCTTCTCGAAGTTCCCGAACTCTCTGAGAGTTTGGGAACAGAGTGGATCTCGACCATCGCGTCCAAGGTCAGAAATGCCTTGGAGCCTGCGAAAGGCCCCTTGCGGGTCGTGAACGAAGTAGATAGTAGAGCTGTGGTTTGACGTGCTGTTCAGTGCGCAAACGATAGATAAAAATAAATAAAAAGGCCAATAAAAAAAACAAATAACAAAAACAAATAAAAAGTCCAATAAAAATATAAAGCATTAAAAATGATAAAATAAAAATAAAAATAAAAATAAAAATAACATATAAAAACAATTAAACATACGAAACAATAATAAAAGCACAACAATGTACATTAGTATTCAAACAAACGATCAACTAAAAACATCACACTTTTTCCTTCTGTGCGCGATATTGAGATACAGTGAAATGAGCTCAATTCAACTGAGTACGTATATGCATATGCCCGACTTGTTCCCAATCTTTCGTAAGAACACCTTGAATAGAAATGTCCAGTAAGGTTCCGTGATAAACCATGAGGGATGTGAATTTCGTCAACACGAGAATTGAAGTAGAACCATATGAAGGGCCCCAAGTAGGAGCGTAACGTAGAGACTTTCGAACCATGTATCAACAACAGCCAGGCCCAATGCAAGTGCCTTGAAGAACAACCGTAGCCTCGTATCTGAACACATCGTCGAAATCGATGCTACCTAGAAGAGCCGCACTCAGGTCCACCGGAGGACCACAAAGGTGACTAGCACATAGACTTACCTTGGCGATCAAGATGACGGATTTTAATGTGCGTATCAAGATGAAACGAGAGACCTGTAAGTAAGTCGTCTTGTTTCTGAGCCATCCTGGACCCTTGGAGGCTACGGCTACGGAGGCCTCTCCGTCAGATGGAAGCAACGGGATACGTTTCTCGGACGGGGGGTGGGCTTCAGTCGCATCTTCGTAGTCACTCACACCTGATAGGTTGTGTTCTTGCTCGGTATCACCTGGGGCCGGATGGCCACCATTCCGACGAACGGGTACTAGAGACGTTTGTAGGCCTGCCCGGTGACTGGGTGCTGGTGAAAGTGGATCAAGCTGGTTTAGGTTTGACATCAATGCTTCGCAATCGTGGCCACGATGTGAAATGAAGACTTACCCTTCCTTCGCGAATTGCACTTAAGACACGTTCAGCAGACGGTCGTGAAGAAGGAACAACAGTGAGCAGGTTTTCGAGTAGGATGAGGAAGGCGCGAGGAATACGTCGCGATTCAAACGAAGTAACCATCGATGATGTCGCCTTGAATCTGTATTGCCTTCATCAGCGAGGGATGGGTAGGCGAGAAGGTCAACGCACTCACCCAGGGTATTCCCGGACTTCTTTCTCAAGAAGATCAGAGATCTCCTTACCATCGCGTTTTGAATCCTCCTCCACATTGTCCGAAGCATAACGATACGGCAATCGAAGGAATAATAGTTTGTATAGTATCATACCAAGAGACCACATATCCGACTTCGAATCTATCTGCTGCAGGAGTCCGGTTGAGGGCGATGGTAGAGACTCTGGGGAGGTATATTCCAGGCTGAAAGTGACGATTAAATGGGGCACATAGATTGCAAACGAATGCACATACGTTCCCGTGTTACCAGACCTCGTTCGTTGGTTCAACATGTCTTGAGATGTCCCGAAATCAGAAAGCATAGCCCTTGGACTAAGGCAAAGGGGTGTAGTTAGTGGGATCAATTACAAAATTTACCACCTAGGGATACGTACATAAGTTTGCCTTCATCCCAAGTAAGGAGGACGTTGCCCGGTTTCAAGTCCAAATGAAGAATAGACTTGTCATGCTATATTTTGCACCAGTCACCATACAGTACGAAAGGTAAGGAGAGCTGCGACAAACCAAGAATGCTAGACCAGAAACAACATCAGAGAATAGACTCTTAACCTCTTCAGCACTGAGCAAATGCACAGCCCTCCAATTCGCCTTCCCGGTCCGTGAACGCGATTGTCCAGAAGCGGCGCTCATAGCAAGCTCCCGTTTCAAACGTTCCCGTTCCTCTGGTGGAGCACGTTGCATATTCCTGAATGCGCGTATACGGGCACTCCGGGAAAGGAAAGAAGAAGGTGACTGTACGTCCTCGCGCGCATCTGAATCTTCTTCAGGTGCATTTGGTTCGAATTTGCCACTCGGTGTATGGAAATGGGCGAGATAGGCTGGTGGAGGGCGGCCAAGCCGAACGTCGATGAAGTCGTCAAGGCTACCGCCTTCAGCCCATTGCATTAGGACGCTGAAGACGGTTTGTCAACCGGTAGATGATAGACAGTGAGAAATGACGAACTGTAAGGTTGGGACTTTAGGTCCGAACGACGAGAATTGGCACGTCTCAAGCCATGCATGGTGGTACTGGATGATATTTGGATGATGGAGTGTTTCTAGCAGACGGACCTAGTATGCTGAGGTCTGAGCCGTGCAAGGATACACAAGTAAGAACGAAATGCACATACTTCACGTAAAATATTGAGAAGGTATGAGTGCGACTGGCCAACTGCAATTTTCTTTACTGCGAAATGACCTGCGGAAGTGCGAATATAAACTTTGGCACTAACACGAAGGAACACTTGAAAGCGGAAAACCAACCAAGAGGATTGCTGTCCAAAACATGCTGTTGAACAGGGTAGCACCAATATGTGCGAGTGAGATGACAAAGTCTCATACCTGACAGAGGTATACTGTCCCATTGGCTCCCATTCCAAGTCTACACTCCTCCTGGAAAAAGGTCTTGAAGTATCCCTCAGCCATAGCACCAGCACGAAAAGCCCCATTCGAACCATTAGCACTACTTGGACCTTCACCGAGGTCAGGGACATCATCATCACGCAAGCTAGGAGGAGTTGACGGAACGGAAGCGGTTTCGTTGGCTACTTGGAGCAGTTGGAAATAGTTTGGTACCCTTGAAGAAATCCCGTCTTCAAGCTCATCAAAGACTTCATCCTCATCCACATCGTGAATAATCTCATCCATGCCATCGCTTGAAAGCCGGCGGTGACAATATGGGCACAAACGGTTAGTATGGTGGCGCCTAACCACAGAATCATCCCTTGAAGGCGAAGTTTGTATTGAAAGAGCATGAGAAGTTGCGTTGTAAAGCACAACTTGATTTGAAGCATGAAGAATTGGTTGCCACTCCTGGTCTGATACTGCAAGCGCGAGCAAGTTTCTGCGAGGAGAGCCTTCCAAACTGTCATCGTACATGGTGGACATAACCGACCCTTAATGTTGGTGGTATTGAAGTTAGTGGAGGCTAGTTGAGGAATAGAACATGGAACAGTGACAAAAGAGCATGTATAAGTAGTAAGTTACGTGGTATAGGGTAGTACGTAAAATAAAATGTTGAATTATATCATTCAAAATAAATCGATCCCCAAATTAACAATTATGATTACAGCTATTTGCGGAACAACCTTAGCATGGTCAGTTGGTCAAGGATGCCACAGTCGCATTATGCAACATCACCATTTCCGCACTTTCGACATCTGACGGCCCCGGCGACGGGATCTGATTGTGTTGCCAGAGTGTTTGGCATTGCAGACCTTTGCAGACCCAGTCGGGGATTGAAATTTCAACCATTCAGTTTGTCTTGGACCAGCCACTAAGTATGCCTGTCCCTCGGTTCCATGTACATATAACGTGCTTTTCCTCTAGCACGGGAAATGAAAGGTTTTACGTTATAATGATCTGTCTTTCCTATTCTTATTCATTATACAGCCTATGAACTACGATAATTTAGCAATCGGAACACGCTTTCGTTCCAACGCCTTTCACTTCGCTATCTTTCCGGCCGCCCTCGCATCCTCAATAGCATTTCTAATACCGCGAGTCCACTGCCCAATCTCGCTTTCCAACCTCACAATCCCCTCTCTAACTTCCTTCCCGGCCAACCCTCCTCCCGTACCCTTCCCGAATGCTATATTCAATTCTTCCCTTGCACGGATGAGCGTCTCTAATGCGAGTTTGAGACGTGTGGGTCCCGACGGTGTCGATTGAGATTGAGCAGGTTGAGTAAATTGAGTGGACTCGTCTAGACTGCTTATATGACGGGGTGAAGGCTCGTCTACAGCAAGAAGTTTCCCTAACTCAGCAACTGCGATCGCACGTACTGGATGGCCGTAAGGCAGAACATTTGATAAACCCTCATTATACTTTGCAGAGGTACGGATGGCTTCATCCAGAACGTCCTGACTGATGCTTGTTGCTATCGCCGAAAGCAGGAGTTCTAGGTGTAAGCGGGTCATGGCTAGTAGAGGATGTGCGGATGGTGTCAGCCCAGCTGATGTTATGATTGGGATGAGATTGGATGTGAGTTGTTTTGCTTTTGCAGGATCTAAGCGATGTTAGCTAGGGCAAAAGGCAAGACAGGTCACTAAATCCTTACCCTTGACTTGAAGGGAAATTGCCTTCTGGAGGCCTTCATTCCCAACACGAACGGCATCCAGAACAGCACCCGCAGATGTCACAACAGCTTTACATTTGACACATTGTGTTACGTCGTTCTCTGATGGTACACGAATCACACATGGATCAGTACGGGTTCAAAGAGCACGAGAAGCAGGAAATTATTTTGAGTCACATACCTTCAGTCGGCAGAGGACAAATGCCGCCACAAGACTTCGGGCAACTCATAGCGGTGCGTGGATCTACCTCCGTCTGTCGAATGCAAAGTGAACAATGACATACAAAGTTGTATGTCTCTTTGAGTTCTTTCTGACGGAGATCGCGAGGTACACTCGTGTCGACATAAGAAACGAAAACCTAAAGTACAATATCTCAACGAAAAATCACAGCAATGCAAAATTGGGTATACCTGGTCTCCTGGAGAAATCTCCCGAATCACTATCAGGTGCATAAGGGGTTCTTGCGACGACAGCGCATTCGGCGTATGTGGGAACACCATTACGACGTTTGGCTCACACGAATGATTCACAAGTGCCATTGTGGGCGATATGCATATACCGACAGGGGTCAAAGATGGCGAAGTCAGCGTAAAGGTATTCGTGGTAAACTGTAGAAGTGTCTGGTAAATTATCTGGTTCGTTTGGTTGCCAGATGTTCGACGCACCCGAGATATGAGGTCAACCAAGTCTCCGGCCGAGGCCAAGCCGAATGGTGCCAGTTCGGCCGGAGAAGATATACCTAGGTATCGAACAACGGAATGTGCCAGGTGAGTATGCGACTCGAAGGCCGATGGAGGCAAAGATGATCTGTCTGATTTTTCATGAGCACTTCCAGTTCTAAGAATAGACAAAGAACTCGTGTACGAGATTGCATTCCACTGAATTCTCGTGTCTAGGTATTTCGTTAGATATGCATTTGCAGTCAGGGCGATACAGTCACATACCCATATACTATCCAATCCCGTCCTCTGAATTCCCCACAGTATTCGACCGAGACATCGAATTGCATCACTCGGTATAGACAAATCGGGGGAGGGTGCATTAGCTTGCCATCGTTGTAACGCGGAACATTCATGTTTATGCTCTGCCCAATCGGCGTTCTGACACGTCTAGGTATACAATTAAGCGATTGGAACTATTCTAGCCCATACATCATAAACTTACCGCATTGCAATACCAGATCTTGCGACACCTCGTACAACGCTTCAACCCTTGCGAGGGAGCGGCGCTACAGCAGTACGAGCAGTAACTCTCCAGTTGCGGAGTTGAGAGGACGCTGACGTGTGGTCTGGTAGCAAACAAGATCGAACCTAGAAAACGCACTTAATGAAGCTGACAATATTAGACAGAAAGAAGATACGTACCGACCACGAGCCTGTCTCTTGCATATAACCCTCTTCCAGTATCCTTGCCTTGTCGGACTTCCAACGTGCTCGGTAGGTCCTTGTGCAGCCCCGAAAGTGACACTGGTTTTGAATTTTCCACCTCTGCATTTACAGCTGGGTTACCCTGAGGGCGGGCGATTTCCATAGCCTGAGGATTGGTACCGACTTCCCGATCATCTTGCTTACTTGAAGGGGATGCAGCAGCGCCAACACACGATTTCAACTTGCTTTCCTTCGCCTTTCGTGCCGACTGCAGGTTTGAAAATGACATTCTGATATTTGTCAAATGCAATAGGGTGTATGAGCAAACGTACTGGTCACGGTCGTGGAATACAAGACGGAATATTCTGCACTTTAGCGCTTTAGCCTCTAGCATAAGTATGACGTTGGTGGAAAAACTATGCTGCATAAGGCAACGCCTTGGGAAATACACAACTCCAAATATCTCCGAAGAAAGATCTCACTTCGATCTTTGCATATGGATTTTACGCGAGTACGGTGCTTATGCCAGTAAATAACTAAGCATGTGAGTCTTAATGTCTATAGAAAATAATCTAAGATCCCGTGCAAGTACAATCCTAATTACTTAAGTAATGGGTCCCTCGCAATCGCTCAGCGACGCGCTAATGATACCAATACAACAACAGCACCTTGTCTAGTCTATAGTGCTCGAGCCTCAAGGATGCCATACTATGGTGGCTTTTGGAGCATTTTACCCTCGCATCACCTTATTTCGATGTTATCCTGCTCCACAGGATTCCAACCTTTGACTTTGAGTTCCTTCATCGCCGAGTCTGCGACGCATCTTGACGCTACACCGTATGCATTCTTGTAGAACACGATTCCGCCTTCATCTTCAACGAAGACACATTCCGTGAACGATCGATAAAGGGCATATAAAGAATTCTGCGGCAAAACAAGGTTTGAATGATGAATGTTACACGAACAGTCAAGAAGCACGCACCGTGGAATCGTAATTGTAATCTTCTTTCAACACGGAACGTATTGCCTGAGTTATTTCTGGTTGATTGTCTACACGAAAGGTCAAATAGTGCACACGCATATGGTCGTTGAATGGTCACTTACAGAAAGGGGCATGGGAGAAGAAATGGTGTGCAATGTGGTCGTGGGAGACCTAAACGAAGACGGGCGTAGTCAGTCTAGACTGTATCAGAAGCAGAACAAAGGGAGCAGAAGGAAAGAAGGGAAGCAAGAGCGTGGGCGTACATTATGGAAGAAGAATCTTCCAATCCAGCCAAGTATGGGTCGATCAACAGTAGCAGCCGCGCCGCGTAGGAAAGACCATTCCTCTTTCCGATAGTGCGGTATCGTGGGGTCTGAATGGTGGAGGAAGGTACACATCACTATGAAGTTCCCATCCGCAGCGAAGAATCACGTGGATTGTCAGCAATGACCTTCAGTCGACGCCAATATAGGGAACTCACCAATCCTGGAAGAGTCACAGCAGGGATTCGGAAGTTCAGCATGGCACAAAGAGTGTATTCATGATACAGCGACATACCAATGATTGCAAAGCTGGAAATATAATATCAATCAGCCTGGAGAAACGTCTATCAGGCCAAGCCTTACATACGTACCATATAAGGGATGGCGTAGTACATGAAGACGGCCTTCCAGCCGTACGTAGAACCAGCGTATGTTAGTAGCGACGCCATCGCCAGCAAACCGATGTCGGAAATAATGATACCCATTCCTGCTCGATAATATACTGTTAACGCGTTGACCGCACCAGACGAAATAGACGTACTCTGTTCCTTTTTGAAGAGTGGAGAATATGGAGAAAAATGATTCGTGCCTGCAGGATACATCTTCGAACCCATGATGTTGCACCTGACGAACGCAATTTCGAATGAACTTCGAAGCTCCACAATCTTCAAGATAAGGCGGACATACCCCATATACAGCCACCAGCCGCTGTAAACAGAATTTGTCAGCTAAATTTGCCATTGGTAGATCCAAGCCAATAAGGCTCACAATGTCTGCATTACCAGCAGCCTCCCGAGCGTCATGATAGGTGTTTCTTCAAATACTTCGGCATAGTCCGCCCTGCGCGCTCGGTCCGGCGGCGGTAATTTGAAGTCGCTCCGCAGGTATGGCAGGTAGTTCTCATCGCGTTCAATAGATCCAACAGCTTTCTGAATATCCGTAGCCAAAGACAAGCAGGTCAGAGACATACATGAACTTAAGACAGTCATAGGTTTCACGTACATGATGAGCATTGTGACTTGCTTTCCATGCAAAAAAGGGGACAAGTATGAACTGCCAAGATGATCATGTTGAATAAGCGACGTAAAGGAAAAGGAAAAAGAGCGGAAATCACAGTGTCAATGAGGTAACCTGGGATGTTGTTGGCATACCAAGAGTGAAATAGCGTTCCGTGACCCAACTGGAATTGGTTTCAGTCAAGAATGGGGTCCTGCAGGAACGAGCACTGACCTCGTGTGCTGTTAATATGCACAGAGTTAGTATTTGCCAGCCCCCAGCATCATGCTCCAAACAAACTGACCAATGCAGAAGAAACTCGTGAATACGAGACCTTGCCACCACCAATAGGACAGCCATAAAACGCCACTCAAAAGCCTCACTTCCCAAGGATCGGTTAAGCGTACGTAACCGCCGAACCCTGAGTGCGATAGGCGGTCGATGGAGGTGGCGAACCAGAAGAGTAAACCACAGAAAACAAGGTCGCGGAAAACATAGCCAAACGATCTCAATGGGTCTTTACGTAGCAGATGCTTTGGAACTGCGTCATGCACTTGTTTGAGCGTGACCGTGGGCGGTGTGAACGGTCGATGCAATCTATGGATCGTGTCAGCCAAGAGTAAAACAGTTAAACTGACAGCGAAGATCTTGGCGAGGAAGTCACGAAGCTCGTCGCACCTTGCTTCGTACTCGGGGGCGTTAGAAAACATCGAACGATCAGGAAGAGGTCTGCGCAGGGAAAAGAAGCAAGTGATCGAGTGCAGGGTCAAAGTCGAAGCAGTCAGGAAGAACTTAGGAGAAAGGGGAGGGTGAAAAAGAACTGGTGAGGGGAGAACAGAACCTCAGAAGGCGAAGTTTTATATCCAGTCCGTGGTAGCTATAAGTACCAATGAGGAGAATCAGCATGTCCCTGATGGCAGACATTGAACGCAGATGCCGTACATTTCCAGAACACGACGTGTAGTCGCGCATCGCGATGCAATTTCAGACAAAGGAACCCACGCAAGTGCCAAGATTGGAAGGGTGGACATTTTGCTTCACATTACGACGACATATACCCACCGAAGACTTGCCCTTGACAGGCAATTGCTCTCCAACGTGTCGTAATCAATGGTTTGATTGAAGGGGGGGCCACACGCCCATCGTGGATCCTGTCGAACCACTGGGCCATTATAGACGAATCAATGTACTTCCGCGCCGAGATTAACCCTAGTTGCTGCAACGGTATTGACTCCGCAGGGTGTAACCAGGCATGCCGAGAGTTCGATGTCGAAGAACGCCACCACGCCCTCGTATGTCCATGCGCTAATATAGATAGGTGGAGATATCCGAAGACTTGCCAAGATTTGGACAGAGACGATGCAGATTGGCTATCACCGCGATCCAAATAGCGTTTGAACCTTGAATATTTGGGCATGCTTCTGACAGCAACCACGGATGCATATGAATAGAGAATGCGAAAGGCTGCAGATATTGAAGACTTCTGCAATATTACATCTTCGGTGGTCGCATGTCTTGAGCTTGGCAGTCCATCTCCGTTGAAATCTCGCCCTTCAAGACAAAGAGGTTTGAATGGACAAATGCATGTCATACTGACTTGAAGCTTGATTGCTCGGCCGTTGCCGCCCGAGGACTTTGTAGGCGTGCGTTTGGCTGCCTTGGAGAGGTTAAAATCGCCCAGGCAATCGTGGGTGTGGAAACTCATTGCCTTCGGTCTTGAGAAGGCGTTCACACAGACAGCATACAATTCCTTGAAAGGGATTACATAGCATGAGCGAATTGTAAATCAGTTGAGAAAAGAGCATAATTGACCATGCGTCTCCAAACGCTGCGGAGCAGATACTAATGGCGGATTCTCAGCGAAATGATCAAGTCTCGCAACTGTCTCTGCCTCACGGGAGCCGAGTATTCCCACCGAAAGCTAAACCATACTTGCCCAATTGAGCACAGATCGACAAGCAGCTTCCGCAAAGCCGCCGAGGTGGTGCGGACACTCCTCGGATTGTCCGCCAAGGGTTTGAACTCGCGAATGAGAGATGTTGACCACTTGTGAATCGTTGTTACCGTATTCAATAGGAGACTTTGTGCAACAAATTAATCCTGAGGCAATATCAGGGTCCTATTTTCAATGGAACTGGACGTTTCTCACCCGCAGAGCGCTGATAACTAGTGACAACCCAAAAATAACATAAACAGTAACACGCTGCAAAACACATAGCCGAGAGTTTTTGACATACCGTTCAATATACTACGAGACGTCTGATGAACCTAAGTCATCGATTCTGTTAGAATCGGCGGTGCTTAAATCGAATCTTAAGCATCGGACAAGTCGATGTAAGCCGACGACGTGCCTGTGCATTAGAAACATAACGCCTCGGCATGAGAGGCAAACCAGAATGTGTTTTACACAGAACTATCATTTCGAACGCTTGGACTTCTTTCTTGACATAGGCCTGGAGGCCTGGACCACGTCTTCATCATGATTCCCATCGCACGGAGCGCCATCCCAATACGATGCAAGCAGTCTCTTGAGTTGTATGGCTAGTAGAAACTAGAATTGCATCAACATCAGAATGTCAAGACCACTACTGGGATCATAAGTATCCGCTTTAAGCATGTGGATACCATATGCCTATCGTCTTGCAACGAGGATCTTTCGATGACGGCTTATGAATTCAGTTGAAGCATCGAGCCTTTGGCCTTTGGCTCATGAAGAATGAGGTCACGAACCTGAAGTCTGGAACATGGTAAATAAGCTGGCTGCGACAACAAGTTAGACTGAGAGCCGCGTGAAACCAGAAGTCGTACCGAACACTACTTGACGCTCTTCTAAGTGACCTGAGTATGTAGTGGTTTGGCAAGCTTGCGAATCACATACTTACAACCTCCCAAACTTGGTTGTCATGGGAACAGAGAAAAGATATGTAATTGAATGGTTCTCAGAATTCTATCTATAGCAAGCCTGAAGTTCGAATCAAGCCAATCGAGTGCGCGATAGTTGGGCGCCGCTTCCGTCTGGGTGCGAGACTCCAATCGAGTAGACTGTCTTCCCTGTCTAGCAGCTATACAAAATTTCAACAAGTGTGTCCATCAATGATCGGTCAATCGGTGCGCACCAATTGTTACAGACACTGAAGATTCAATCGACAGGCCTTTCAGATGCTCTATAACGTCTTCTAATCGCCCTAGCGTGGCCATGATGATGTACGACGTCTGCCAAGGGAACACAGCAGTCTCGTGAACGGTCAGAGTTAGTTGTGGCAACATCAACACGGCCGTTCGTAATCCGTATTCTCCAGTGCTTCGGGCAAGAACTTGACAAGTGGCCATTCACCGCATTGCAGTCAAATACGAATATTGGGACGAGGTCTGTTTCAGAAAGGTGTTGGTTGATTGTGCATTGAACAAAGTGGCGTATACATGCGCCACAAATGGTGGATGCCGGAAGAACAAGTGAGAATTGCAAAGATAGAAATCCGTGACAGAGCAACCAGAGAGACCGATCAACAAAATTACTTTTCCCACGCTTTCGAATCGTATGTTTCCATTGTGGCGGAGCTCTGCTCTTCTACAACCACCATAATATCCTTTGAGCCTGTATTTGTGTTTCTGTACCGGTCTGCTTTCTTCAGCTAGGACCTATATTCTGTCCCGTTTCTCATTGAGCCCCCGCTCCGGACGTGTCTTGCCCTAGCTCCACCTTCCATGACTGATCCTCTAGGACATTCACTGTCTCAACTTTCAATACAGTCCACGGCATCGCAAGCAGACGACTGGGATCGGTCAGTGTGCGACGACACAGAAGGCTCGACTGGCACGCAGCCAAATACTGTGTCGTTTCCGGGAAATACGAACGGAGATGAGGAGCAGAATACGCCAATAGCGGGTGGCAAGGGAAAGCGAACATTAAGCGAGCTGTTGAAGTTGCATGCGGAGAAGGGCACGGACGTCCATTTCACTCCAGAAGAGGCAAGCAGAGTTGCGGACGTTTTGGGGCAGTGGGTGAGCAACTTCTCAATGTAAATTGCGTCGCGTGTCATGAAGTTCGCCGTGTGGTATCGTACGCGTCTTCCTCGTGTCTTTGCGTGTCCGACGCGTTTTCATGGCGCAAATGTATTTTGTGCCCTCATGACACGATACTGCTTTTTTCCGCCACTTATCGCGGAATCCGATAGCTCATGAATTTGATGTGTCTCAGATCAACTCTAGCTCTTCACCCTACGAAGGTGAAGACGACTTCTTCTCACGTCCACATTCGCAAGACGATCTCTCGATGACCCAGCGCTCGGTGTCTGGCGCCTCAAATCAACTTAATGGCCGTCCACGAGGTCAGAGCGAAAGCGTGGTGAAGTCTTCATGACCAGGCAAATAATGCGACACGTTTGCTCCTTCCGAATTGCCTCTTCATCAAATGTTACATATATCAACTTCCTGCGCGTGTTCCCTCGTTCAGGGTGAGTCGCCCGATTGCTCCTCTCCGAAGTTCTTACTTACAAAACACCACCTTTATTCTATTTTAGTAATTTGCGCTGGTTATCGCTATGTTTGCATCATCGCCCTTTCTACGACGTGTCACGACCCTTAACGACCCTTCACGATATTACGGCTTCACTTGCAAGTCAACGACCTTCTAATGCCTTAATTGCTTCATTGGTCCGCGCCGTCTCCGACGTATTACCCACCATTTTTCACCTAGATATCCATTCAGAGATGCTTGATCTCCGCTAATGCTTGGTTGCTATGTATCGTTGTATCGTCCTCACTCTGCCTGAAATGCATGGTTAGAATCCATCAATCTGTCGGAACTTGAATCATCTTCGAGGCGAGCATGTGTGGTCATCCCTCTAAGTCTGTTCTATAGTCTGTTTCTATGTGTGATCCTGGCGAACCATATGGTCTTGTACTGTGAATTTGGGATCGCCTATCCGGCGGCCGTGGTTTGACGTACTTATTTCAAGCATCCTGTCAACTAAGGTACTATTGAATCGGTCTGCCTTAAGGCCCCTTACTCTCTTCACGGGCTCTTCAAGAATGCGTATGCCGAATCTGGCGTGGGATTTACACATGTGTAAGTCGGTCAACGACTCCAAAGTAAGGACTGGAGTTCACAAGCACCACACTCTGTCAGGTTAAGAGAGAAGCGGACTTAGTACGATATAATCTAATGCCAACGACCATGCTGATGCTACGTAAGTAAATGTGAGGCGCTCACAACAGAGTGGGCGTGTCAGGGCTAGGAATGTTAGGGTCTCCTCGAATATCGCGAAAGAAAAACACTGTCCGAAAGCAAAGAAAGCAAGGAAAGCTCCACCCCTCACAAGAAGCATGCAAAGATGCTGAACACTCCTGCTAACACCATCAAGGTGTTCATCCCCCTACCGCTCAACGACATTGCATCATTAGTTGACTGATCGCCTGAAGTGCTTTTGGAACTGGGACTGCCTGTACCAGACGGGCTAGTTGAGCCAGTTCTGCTCGCCGAAGTGCCAGCGCTTCCGCTCTTAGATGATGCAGCACCGGGAGGAGCGACGGCAGCAACGTTGGCAACTTTGGCCCATGCTGCCTTAGCGTTGGTGCTGGCGTCATCCTGCTTGTAAGGTAGGAAGCTAAGAGCGCCAGTGCTGTCGATCTGGACCAGGGAAGTGATGCCGGCGGCGTACTGAGCTTTGGGATCTTTGGTAGACGGGCCTGGAAGGGATTGTGTTGTGTTGGTCTCGACGTTGATGACGTATGTCGCGGAACCATCATCAGGAATGAATGCAAATTCTTGTTGCACGCCATTTTCTTGGAAGAACGACGTGGCTTGACCATGTGTAGCAGGGAAAGCACTGCCATCTGGAAGCGGGTACGCTTGAGGCTCGGGCTGGAAGAACGAGACTTTACATAGGAATCAGAATAACACCATAATAGCTTATAACTTAAGAACTCACAGTGAATGACAAAGATTTGAGCATCACCGGCAGGAGTATCAGGTACATTCAAAAAGTGGATGTGATTCTGGGCGAGCGCCATGACGGGTTGGTATGAATCACCATAAGGCGACTTCGAAACGTCAGTCCAAGAAAGGGCAGAAGAGTTAGCAGCCTTGAGGCCGCCCATATCCAAGAAAAATAGCTCTCCGTGCGACAGAGCATAGAAAACGTTGGTGTCATGGTCGAGAATGGTATTGAAGGATGAAGGGTCGAAAGAGCCGGTTGTCACGGACTGCGTGGACCATGACTTAGTACCAGCATCGTAGATGTGAACCGAAGAGGGGTTGGCAGCATCGCCATTCATAACGTATACCGTATTGAAAAACTGAGCGAGGTAGCATGTCGTATTTTCTCCGTCAAACGGTCTATAAATTTACGTTTATTCGGTTTCACTAGAAGCGCTAGCTGCCGCTGGACTTACGGTCGTCCGCTAGTAGTGATGTCAGCAGCGCTACCTGAACGGGCACTTCAGTTGAGTCTAGGCCTTCACACTACCATCACCAGGGAAAGTACTTACCACTGGACCACGTATCCTGGGTACCGGCGTTCCAGTCCTTGCCATTGAGGCCGAAGACAAGGAGGTTGAAGGTGGCATCGAATGTGACACATGGAGAAGAAAAGACAGTGGTTGGAAGTGCAAGGAGTAAAAGAGAGACAATAGTGGGTACCCTGAACATGGTGGGAGAGTGAGTGCAAGCTGGATGCCCAGCATGAGAATGACAGCGAAAACATACTACCTGATGGCGTCACGTGACAGTATCTAATTATATGTGCTAATGTGTTGCGGTCGAACTCGTGATTTTCAAGTGTTTATTTCTGTATGACCGGCTTAGTACGTATACAATGCATTCTCTGCTACGTCTAAACACTGCAAAAATGCGGAGGTCACAAAGAAACTCGTCTGCGAACAAAAATGTGCAGATCTGTACTACAAGAGTTTCTATATAGGGACTGCACGCAAACTGCCGACACAGTTATTTTGGGCGCTTCAGACAATATTTCGAGTCTTTCTAGCTGCAGGTCGAGGTTGGGCTTTCTCGGATGCTATGGACCAGGACTCTGCGGTGCTGTAATTCTATTTGGACACGCTCAACCAGACGCTTCTACTCTTCTTCTCCTTCTGCGCCATCTCTGAGCGGCTCACCCATGATCTGGTCCACCGACGTGATCTCTACCGTCTCTTCGGACACGGAACCTACTTTTCTGATCACTTTCAACACGAATAAATATGCTTTCAATGCTGGTGAATGTACAGGCAGATCTTGGAGACAGGGTGGTCGACCTTGGCGAGGTGTAAACGCACTATTCTTGACTTCTATCGGAACTCAACGGGCTACTGGTGTACCAGGTGTGTAATCCACTTCTAGGGTTGCCCGATTGTTCCATCTCAGCTCGACGGGGCTCATGCGAGTGATTCAGAGCCACTCAATGTTCATCCGAGCCTGCTCAATTTTTGAACTTCAGTTCACCCCGAGATGTCAGTGACGAATGCACATCCATTCCATACGTTTTCTCAAACAAGTCGAGCTGAGCTGCAAATAATTGAGCCTTCTTCGTCTTCTTCTTTTTCTCTTGTATAATCATTGTGTGCTGAATGGTATGATAGGTTTGTTAATGTTCTTAGCGGATGCTAGTATAGGGAACCTGCATGTTGCTGGGCCTCGTGGGCTCTCTCACTATCTTGCTACTCTGCGTACGTTCCTTTGGCGGTTCGTTCCTTTTATTCTTCTATAGTGCAATACCCTCTGATCACTTAGCATACCATCCATAGCGACTCCATGTCTTTGAATCCCATCGAGGTTGACCCTCCTGTGGCCACAGCGCTCGTGCACGAACCTACTCCCATATTCAAAGATGAAAATATAACAGTCTTCGGCATCCATCTCCCTCCTCAGTCACCTGCAGATCCAGTCTCAGCTCTCGAATCAAACACGTCGAATATGCCTGAGGAGCCATCTACTTCGCGCAGTAAGAGGAAGCGCTCACCTTCACCAAAGTCATCATCAAAGCGACAACAAGTGGACGAGACAGCATCAGACTCAGCGAACACTTCGAATAGCTTTATGTCAACTTCACTACAGGGGTCATTCAACAAATCGAACTTTTCGCCATATGCGCTGATTGGAGATGATGCAAAGGAATGGTTGCGACTTACCATTGAGAACATGTTCCCCAAAATGCCGCCAACCCCCGATGAGAAAAAGGGCCGAAAAGGAAAGAAAGCTAAAAAGGTCGAGGAATCTGAAACTGTCCAACCCGGTTTCGGCGGTGCGAGACACAACAAGCTGGTCTGGCATAAAGAACGTCAACTACCCAAGTTCGTACCTTCAATATCGAATTCGAGTGATCCTGCCATGAGGGAGACCTTGTGTTATGTTGTCGTTGGTCCTCGTTACCGTGGCAGGTTCGATCCGGAAAAGGCCGAAGCATTAGGTTTGGAAAAACAGAATCGGGCTAAGGTTTGTAAAGGCGAGACTGTGACTTTCAAGGTCCCAGATGAGAAGGGTAACATGATCGAGAGGACGGTGAGACCTGAGGATGTCATTGGCGCTTCTGAGCCACCACAGGTCAGTGAACTTCTCAAGTCCACAACATGAACCAGTATTGATATTCCTTTGCGGTTCAGGTTATCCTTATTCTTGACGTACCATCCCCAGCGCATATACCCGACCTGACGACTGCCTTTGAGACGAATCCTCTCTATTCCAGACTTCACTCGAAGAAGATAGAAGATAAGAACGAGTACTCTGTACATGTCATCTACCACATGTGTGGACCGCGTGTGCTCGAGGATCCACGTTATAAATCGTTCATGAACGGTTTCGCTGATTCTGTGCATGTAAGTTGTTGTTACCATGTTCAACACTGCCTCTCTCTGAGTTTCTTGTTAGCATGTGGTTGCTTCGAGAGAACATGCGCCCGACCCTCTGACGTTCACCAGCGTTGGTGGCATCCAGTTGAAGTTAAACAAGCTGGACTCCGACATGTTCCCAATACCATACTACCGGCTCAAACCAGAGAAGGAGCTTTCTTGTGCGTCTAGCTGATACTGGATTCTTCTGTTAATTAATGTTGATTTCTGATACCACAGCAGTATCTGGCCTGCCACCCTCTGTGACGCTTATGCAAGCAAACCTACATACTGACTGTCGACCTGTGAAGCCACCGCAACTCTTAGACGTGACAGATAACTTCCATCCATATGCCACTGGAGAGAAATCAATACCTCTTTCGAAACCTGTTCTAGGTGCTTTCAGGAGGTCGAGGTCGAGGTCGAGGTCTCCTTCTCCCTCGCGTGCGGCAAACGAGCCAGGCCAGGATGTGGTGGTAGTGCCGCTAGGGACGAGCAGCGCCGCTCCGAGCAAGTATCGCAATGGTACGCGGCTTGCGATCTAGTTTTGGGCCACACTGACTCACATTCTCCTCAGTCTCGTCTACACTCATCCAAATACCCAATTACGGTAACATCCTGCTCGATGCTGGCGAAGGAACATGGGGGCAGCTTATCCGGTTCTACGGTGATGACCCTGACCATAAGTCGGGAGTGTGGGAGTTCTTGCGAAACCTGAAATGTATCTTCGTGAGCCACGCTCACGGCGACCACCATATTGGCTTGATAAAACTCCTTGCAATGCGAAAGCAGGTGGGTACATTGACAAGGATTGATCGGCTCAAATCATACTTACTAATCTGACGTGAATGTGTAGCTCAGGGTTCCGCCTACATCACCATTGTGGGTCGTTAGCTTGCATCCAATTTTGCTTTACCTTCAGGAGTTCTCCGACCTCGAGGATTTAGGGCTGAACAGTCCTGATGGCAACGGCGTCATTCCTGTACTCTCAGATGCTTTAAGTTGGAGGCCAGCAAGAAAATACCTAGGTGGAGTAGCAAGTGAAAATCAGCCCTGGCTGGACCAAAACAAGTATGTTTATACTTATTAACGACTCTAGCGTACGTTTTAATCCCGGCTTTAGATCGCGTGCATTGGCTCGGGATATGTGCGAGTCCCTAGGATTGAGTGACTTTGTCACTGTGGACGTGGACCACAAAGTTCGATGCTATGGGTCTGTGATCAAGCACAAAGATAACTGGAGCATTGTGTATGTGTGGTTTTATTCTTATGCCTATTTACTGTCGCGCAAGAATGTACCAACTAAAATTCACATCAGATTTTCTGCAGACACCAAGCCGACTAACAACCTAGTCCGGGCAGGAGAAGGGGCCACTCTTCTCATCCATGAAGCTACGATGGGTGACGATCAAGCGGACGCAGCCAAAGAGAAAGCCCATAGTACATTTGGACAAGCGATCGAGATTGGTCGAAAGTAAGCTGCCCCAAATCTTCGAGATGTAACATATTCTGATGTTTTTCTTGCCAGAATGGAAGCAAAGAATATTTTGCTCACTCATTTCTCCGCTCGTTACCCCAGGCTGCCGCCCGCTTCGATGCAGGACAACACGACTTGGGCCGTCGCACTTGATCACGCTAAAATTCGCATTGCTGATATTCCCAAGCTGCGCGCGTACATTCCTGCCATCAAACGCTGCTTCCAGGAGATTGAGGACGATGAAGACGAAGTCGAGACACAAAATACTGCAACATGGGGTGACTAGATATTCCACGTCACGTTCCAGGGCCTTCCGACATACGTTGGATCTGGAGATACACTCACTCCTCGCAGTGCCGTATTTATCAACGTATCGTAATCATTCATATCGTAGTACACAGGTGCCACCGTCCTTTCCTACAGATGATCCCACCTCTCACCCTACTCATTGGAACCTAATAGAGATAGAGCTTAGGATGCTTTGACCGTGATCACACTGACACTGAACCCAGGTGCAGAGAAATTTAGGGTTCTACCCGTCGCGATGGTGCTGGTAGTTGGAACAACAGCATTGGGTTGTGCAGGGGTGTTGCTAGCCGTCTGTACGCCATGCAATTGCTGTAGCATTCCTGAGGATGCCACCGTGTTGAAAGGTAATTGGAAGGTAAGATCGGATACTGCACTGGCCGTATTGGCAACCTATATCAACAGACATGAGCATTGCGAGCAATGCCCTAAGCAAGACACTCGCCTTGATGATTACATTTCCGGAAGATCGAGAACGTGTTACGCTCCAGAACGTAGTCCCTGTTCGTGACGGAAGTGTGCTTGGGAGGTAATCATCGCCTTTATTCAAGCTGAACAGCTAATCGACCGTGAGCCAAAGTAGTTATCTAGGGTATTTTGTGCATACCTTCTGCACATAGAAACTCGTCGACCGAATAACGGAACCAGCGCTGAAGGAGAGTTATAGATTGCTTATCGAGAAAGCAAGCTTGATGACATACTCAAAACTGACGAGATTAGGTGTCTGAAAAGAAATAGCCTCAGTTCAGATGCAACTCGTTCAGATAAAGTTACTACTCACCCACTGAGAGCCATTGACATGCTATGGGAATGCAACCTATCAACCTGCAGTACAGTTTGTATGCAGTTAACAAACCTTACCTGCAGGAGCGGTGCATATGAAGCTGCGAACACGATGTCACTATTACGTTCTAGTCCTGTCATGAACGCCGCTTCGCCCGCAGAGCCTGTTATCATAAATAAGACTATACGTTACAGCGATAAAAAGACATATCAAACCTTGCATAGTGGGGAAGAGGAGTCTTCCAGTCGCAGGTGATCCGAATAGGTCACTAGAGTTAGTGGAAATAGCAGCGTATTCACCCTGCAAGTTGTATCATGAACACCGCATCAACGGCTGGTACACCGAATGGACAGACCTCGAAATAAGTTGTTGAGTTTCGCTAGTGACCTGCAGGTGAGCAATCGTCACTTCCAAGGCCGTGGTTTACCCACCTGGAAACCGTCATAAAAGAAGGAGTTTTGAGCAAACCAAGCTGGAGAAACGTTCAATCCCCCCATTAAGATCGATGCATTGATGAATTGTAATGATACGTACTGGGGGTTTGATATACATGCACGTCATATTGAAGAGGGTTGGGAGATATGATGGGATTGAAGGTATTCGTGGTCGCGATAAAACCTGCACGTTGTAAGTCTTGGTAAATATTCGCTTATGAAACTTACGAAGCTGTGGGAAAATTGCACTGAGGTTTCCTACAAAATCCTTCCATCGGTAAGGGTAACTACAATAATGAGGTTGAAGGACAGTTTCGCTGGCACAAACTCTATGAACATACGTGGAAGCTGCGAAGAAATCCTTCTCGAGCTAAGCATGAGGATATAGACTGAAACATATATCATACTGACCTCGTTTCCAACCTCAACGTATCTCAATGCAAACGGCTCAGGATGGCCCAGCGATGCCCTCAAAGCGGCTATCGACCAGGGCATTGAGAAAAGGCTTGAATTAGCACGTTCAACAATAAAGTAACTCTTCTCACCTGGTGCGCTGGTGCTGGGATCGCCTATGACAAAGTTGATCTAAAACGTGCTAAATACACCACCAAGGGTTGTGGGCATAAGCAGATACGAACCTGATCCTTTGCTTGTTGAATATATGGAGCAAGCTGGTTTTCTGGCAGGTTGGTGCCTCCAAGGGCATAGCCTGTACGATAAGATTTGAGTTGATATCGGTCTTCTCAAAGAGGGAGAGCAGACGAACCACTCCAAACAGCCATTATGGGTTCCATGCCTGCATCCTCGAAGAAGGTAAGATACTCCAAAAGACCCAAGCCGCTGCAGACTATAAGCACGATAACCGCAGGTCAACACTAAGTCACGAACTCAGTATTAACGTAGCCCCAGTCACCAACACGCCCTGGTCGGTCTAAAAGAGACCCGACCGTCGCGTTCCATTGCCAGCGAGAAGCCACAGTTTGACCCTGTGTGATCTCATATGAGCCTAGCGCTAAGTATCATAAGTCAAAGCAACTCGGCACCTCCTGAAAATGTCGAATTCAGGATGGAAAACTACCTCGAACAAAAGACACAGCTCACAAGATTATTACCACCAGGGAAACGGAAAAACGACGGTCCCATTTCGACGAGTGCCTGTGCATTGATCGGTATATATTTGTCAGTATCGCGGTATGAGGACCTACCTCTGCAATATCAGCTCTCATCCCATTCGGTCTGTTCTTGAAGGTAGGAGGGAACAGCGATAACATGGCAAAGTTGATAGTTTGTGTACTGCTACTCGTATTGTTTATTGTCACAACAAATCTGTTGTTTGTCGAGGACTGAGAAGAGCTTGGCTTGAAAGTGACCTTGACCTGAGTCCATGTTCTTTGAGAACCTCTGATAGGTACAGATGAGGACGCAACAGTCTGGCCAGCAGAGTTCTGCAAACCAAGAGTCAAAATACCCGAGAAAGAAGAAGAAGTAGGGAATCGGTAGTAAAGGGATGCCGTGTAGGTCCATGAGCTGTCGACCTTGATACCTGTATATGTTCGGTGTTCAGAGCCAGGCTACAGAACTTGTAGGATGTGGGCGGGTGCACCTACCCCAGAAGCCCTCGTTACTAAATCCAACGGCGTTATCTCCGGATGGAAAGGACACTTGCAAGGAATTAGGGAGAGAAGATGACACAGGATTGGAATCCGCGATGACGTTCAAGGTAGCACCGTTCACCGCATGCCACGCATTCAGAGCGGCGGTTGTACCTATGCAGGAGGGTTTTAGCATTAGACCAGGATCTAGATCTGGCGTTCGCCATCACCTGGAGTGACTTGCTGGAACGCCCTGTTTTGCAGAACTGCACACATGGATGAGTTCGAAGAAAGTAGGCTGTAATAGTGAAGACATACGCTCTCCATACAAACCGCCATCGCCACTCTAAGAATAATTCAGCATCGAAGTTCCAAACCATGATGTAACACCTACATGCTGAGGAATCGGAAAATAATGATCAGGAAATGAACAAATGAATAGATGTGAAAGGGAAACATACGTTTATGTCCTATTGAACGTGCTTATGATATCAGTATGTAGCTTTTTCTCGTATGCGCCAAACTATACCTCGAACATCTGTCCGTCTGGATCAAAAAAACTATTTCAAACATGGATACGGGAAGGATACCGGGCATCTACATACATAGGGTGGACGGGACAGCATGGCTTGGTGTCCCACTAACAACGACGTTCGTAGCACCGAGACAACTGGTAACTGCGTAAAGAAGTGTCCCGGCAGCCACTGACAGGATACGCCAGTGAATCATTGCGACGGTAGTGTCTTGTTTGCTCCCATGATCTGCTCAGCTTAATTCTTTTATAAAACGTCGCGGCCCGCCGCCGCACATGCAGGCCGCTTGGATGCGTTCTCTTGATGAACGGACATCCATATGAGCATATGCATCACACCTACGAAAGATGTCATGCATAGATTCTTCCCCGTGGCGGGGAGTACGGGGAGGGTGCGTCAATATCTCGTGACAACTGTGCTATTCATAACAACAAGTCATACCCGGACCGTTAGAGGACTGGAACCGGGAGATTCTCGTTGGAACTGGTCATCCGTACGTGGTGAGTGAATTCCGTGCTGAAATAGGGCATCGCGTCCAAGTCGAACATTGCGCTCCATGCTTAGGACTAATATCAAGGAGAATACAATAGCTGGCATTGTCCTTGAGAGTCACATGGCCTTATGTGCAATGAAAAATGAGTTTGAAAAAGCAACATTCATCCAGAATTGTTGGAAAAGAGCGATCCGTCGCACAAGATACTGCACGCAGCCTCGTTCAACAATTGCGAATCGCGCAAGCGCCTCAAGTCAATGCTTCCAGTCGAGGGGTAACAGTGTGAATCACATCGCGTAGTTTGTTGCCAGCTCCAGTTGCTGATCAAAGGCAATGGTACCGACGCATATAATTCTCCGTAATGAGAGGGAGGTGAGGTCTCTACAGGAAGTGTGTCGCCACGGTAGCGCAAATGCTGCAAAGATAAATGTTATCATGTTGACAAGACAAATCAAGAACAGAGCGTACCGTGGACTTCTATTCAGCGTGCATTATCGTAAGGAATGCGTGGTCTTTTATGCACCCGCACTATCCCTTAGTTGTTCTAGATACTGAATAGTATCACGCGCAACGGATTCGCCTTGCGTATCTCGCAACATCCTGCTCATACTGGTGTCTCGTTGCTGCCCTTCGTCCTCATCGTCGTCTTCGTTGGACGCCTCTACAGTGGCATTAACCTTCTTGGCGAACTCGGCGTAGAACAACGCGAACTCCCTGGCATTCTCGATGAGGGAAGTAAGCCTGTTTCGATTAGAGCTACCAGGCAAAGCTGACAGAATAATCTTCTGGTTCTCCCGATCGTTCTTGATGAGCAGGCCGAGAAGGATGGCAATATGTCCGCGCATCATAAGTTCCAGAGAGTCTTCAGATTTGCAGTGTTCTATGTATACTTGGGTCAGACACTGAACACCGTTGAGCCGCGATGAACATCTGCAAGAAGTGATGCATCCTCGTTTTCCAGAACAACGAGGGTCGATGACTAGAAAGCGAAGCTTGGTGAATATGCAGGACCAAGTAAGATGGAAAATATAACTTACAAATGTCCCGAAGGGCCACCTTAGCCGCGTCAGATACTTGCACGAGATTGGTGAGAAGCCCGAGTGCAAGACATAGCCGATCCAATAGCTGAGCAGCAGTATCAGCTTCGGCATCTTCGTCCTGCAGCTCGTCTGCTTCCTTCTTCATGGCCAGAGCCATATGCTGGCGATGAGACATCATAACAATCCGCACTACAGCCTTGATTGCCATCGAGTCCTCGAGTATTTTCTGGCACCACTCAAAGTTGTCATCCGTCAGGTTGATCAGGACACGAAAGAGTGACTCCATACATCCATGTGCTATATCGATGAATCAGACTTCCGTGCTTCACAGAAGTGTCATGAATTATATCATACCTATCATCTTAAGGTCCCTCTGTTCAGGAACTCTAGAAGCGATGTCGGCAGCGACACATAAAGAAATCAACTTAGAGCTCAATTCTTTGATTCGTCTAGAGCTTATGTGTCGCAAATCGTCCAAGACTGGGTTATCGCTATCAGCCCATCGGCCCAACAACGATGAATCCAGAAGACGGAGGCAATTGTCGATATGTAGAAGGGAAGGCGTGTGCAAGTGTGATGCAGGCGTCAAAGGTGGGAAGAGAGAAAATCCAGATGTGTAGGACGATATTCGAGATGATATTGGTTGAAGTTCAGCTGAAAGACTATGAAGCAGCGTCGGAAGCTGCGAAGACGAATATGCTGAAGGGGATAGCGCAGACAGCGCAGACGAAACGAGTAGTCGATTCGAGATCTAGAAAACATTTGATGATAAGATCTACAACGATTGAACAGGAACTTACGATATCGACATGGTCAAATAAGGCAGATTTCTTGCGCACCATGGTATGAAGAGCCGTTAGCTGAAAAAGGTTGAGCTATTACCATCGTTCATATCCCATTATGGTACTCACGCTAGTCTTCTCTGCTTTCGAAATGCCCGCCCTCTTCAGCTCCGCATCACTCATACCGCAAGATATCAACCACAATGGGTCATTATCACGATCAAGGGCGCCGAGTTGCTCGAAGAGGACAGAGATGAAGTCCGATTTTGAAGCAAGGTCTACCAAGTCTCGTGGATCTCGAGCGGCAAGCGCAGCGAAGAAGACAAGGATGGTATCCAATACCTGTCAATGTCTTAGTTTTCATCCGAAAAAAGCGGATTGTTGATATACCTTATCCCCGTTGCCGGCACCGGCTCCCCGCAATACCTCCCAAGCGTGACTTAGAAAATCTGCTGCCTTGGCCTTCCTAGCAAACTCAGAGTCGCAGAGCTTGGTAACAATCTCCAATGCACTGTACAGAAGATGTAGGTAAGCACAATAGAGACGAATTGGGTACATGGTTTGAACCTTCCACGTCGTACACCCATGGCCCCCTTCGGGTCAAGTCCCTCGAAGAGGTAGCCCATATCATCTAAGAAGCGTCGAGTCTCTCCTTTGCTCCTCAGTTCGCTAATGCTCTTCAGATCATTCATCATACCGTTAGGTAGCGGAGGAGCTGGAATTTGTTTCGATTTACCCTTTCGTTTACTCTTATCGCCTGGTGATGTATCTGGCGACACGAGAGGCCAAGGGTTATCATCTGAATTATCTACACCCCAGCGCGCACGAAGTTCACTATAAGATTCGCGGATTTCGAAGTCCTCTTCCTGGGTGTCCACTTGGAGTATATCATCCTCTTGTGATTGTGATTGAGCATCAAGTAAAGAGACGCTGCCAGTGGCTGTGGGTAATGCGACAAGAAAGGAGCGCGACTTTCCACCATAGGTACGAATACCACTTGTCGCCGCAATAGACGGGCGCGCCGGAGGCGACGACAAATTACCGACTGACTTGGATTTAGATGGGGTCTGAGGTGCAGACGATGGCGAAGTCGATATCAGGTTGATTGTTGACTCTGTCTTGGCACCTGTTAGCTTGCGAGGTGTAGAGGGCCCAGCGATGGCTTGGGAGTCTATGGTTGAGAGGCTGTGACTGACAACACTGAAGGAAGAATCTGTTTGTGAACGCCGAAGCATTCGTTTGGCAATGCCGCCGGTTTTCGCTGAAGGAGTGGGTTTTGGGGGCTCGGAAAAATCAAAAAGTGTTGACAGATCCTTCACAGTCTTCTCTGGAGAAAACTGTGAGCTACGCGAGGTAGACACAGAGCCATTTGTTCTGGAGCGTGGGATTGAGAATGGGTTTTGTTTGTCGCTCATGGAGGAGTTCAACGGGCGGCGCAACGTTTGTGAATTAGACTTCACGGTGCCCTGTCTGGACCCGGGTGCATTCTTGGTAGAGCTTTCAGGCCTGCGGGCTGGTACTCAAACGTCCGTCAGCAAAAAGCAGAGAAAAAACACATTGTAACGAAGACTCACCAGACACTGAGAGAGAAGTTTGCTTCGCACGATCATCTATATCTGTAAGGCTCTCGCTGCTTGAATTTGATCTTCTCGGTGAGACGACCTCGACTTCAATCTTTCGCCTCTTCCGAGCCTGCGTGGTGTTCATATGGTCGGAATGAACACTAGAATTATGGCCCTGGCATTTCGCGCCTTTGCGGCTGTATGTGCGTTGCATATGCCGAAGTGTAACCTGTAAGGCAAGGCCTTGAAGTAAGTAAAGTCCGGAACGTCAAGCTTCAGGTCTGGCAATGGTCACCATGTAAGTTACCCGAAAGGACTGTTGATCGGGAATCGAACCACGTGGCAGGCGCCCCGACGCGCGAACGCTGTCACGCAGAACGGTCACGTGCATTCCGGTGTCACGCCCTCCTGCTCGCTGCCGTCAACGTTGACCAAGGGGTGTTCATCGTCGTGCTGTTCCTTCTGCTCGGCGTCCTTTCATTTACATCTCTGGCTGCTCACGTTTCTACAGGTTCTGCTCTTGTTTCGAACATGGAAGCATATCAAGCCAGACTGGAGTCCTTCAGCAAGTCATCGAAGCGGACGAAACATTCTTCGAACAAAGCCTCAACGAGCGCACTCAAATGGCCTCATCCACCTTCTTACAAGGCAAATCCAAACGCACTAGCGGAAGCCGGTTTTTACCATAATCCTAGTTCAGAATACCGTGATAACGTCACTTGTTTTCTATGCGAGAAGCAACTTGCGGACTGGGACAAGGATGATGATCCATTCAACATACACTGGGACAAATGCGGAAACTCCTGCCCATGGGCTACCGTTAGATGTGGCTTGATGGAAGACACGGATGAGAATGGCCAGTGAGTAGTCAAAGCGGCGTAGGTGGCCTGCAGCTCACATCTACGTACGCGTTCTAGCTATATCTTTCCCAACCCGACGCGTCTGCCGTCGAGCAAAACTATGGAGAAAGCCCGTCTGGAAACATTTACTGCAAATAGATGGTGGCCTCACGATTCCATCAGAGGACACGGTGCCAACTCCAAGAAGGTGTGCCTGCATTGCATGTAGCTCTAGCCGAATCACTCAGTTTGTTGCAGATGGCAAAGGCGGGCTTTGTATACACGCCTCAAGCTGCAGGCGATGACACTGTAACTTGTTTCTACTGTGGAATTGCCTTGAGTGGATGGGACGAAGATGACGACCCACTGTACGTTTTCTCTCCTTTGGTTCGAATATATACGCTAAGCATCCTACAGAGAAGAACATCATAAGCGCGAACAGAAAGCTGACGCGTCCTGCCCGTTCTTTACAACAGCGGCGCTCGGTCGATCGACATCACGGCCGCCGCCGAAAGCTTCCAAACCTCCCTCACGTACGGTTTCCCAATCAAAGAAACTAAGATCTACTCCAGTGGAGGAAGATGTCTCTGAAGAATCGGACAATGAAGTAGCGATCCCAGCTGCCAAATTGGGTGGAACGCGCTCTAAGCCTTCATCACAAAGTAAGAGCACTAGTCGAGCACCAAGCATTAATGCTTCAAGTTCCAAAACGCCAGCTTCACGGAGGTCAACACGGGGAACGGGCACAAATGGAAAGACACCAGCATCCCGGGGAACAGTAGGATCAGAGATTGAGGAGGAAACTGAGGCCAGCGGTAGCGAGGTGGGTAAAAAAGTTTCCAGGTCAAAGAAGAAGGGGGCATCTAGTAACAAGAAGAAGATTGAGGCGATCAAAGAAGAAGAGGAAGAGAGATCTGATGAAGAGGGTGAGGTGGTAGTGGAGAAACCAAAGAGAGGTCGTCCAAAGAAAACTACTACGGCACAGCCAAAGACGAAGAAGATGCCAGTGGAGAAGGAGGACGATACAGATCTCGAACCTGCGCCTGTGAAACACACCCATACACGAACGCGGTCTAAGGCAAACTTGGATTCTGAATCGGAAGTACCCCGAAAACAGACACATTCACGGACGAAGTCGGCTTCGAAGTCAAAGAGCAAGATTGTTTCGGACGACGAAGCACTGGCACCCAAGTCGTCTCAACGATCCGTTACCGGGAAGGGCAAAGCCAAGCAGGCCCAACATGATGAGTTGGAAGACCTTCCGCCTCCTGCCAAATCTAAGCCTTCTTCAGCTAGTAAGGCGGTCTCACGATCGAAATCCAAGGCGAAAGTCATGAAGAGCGAGTCCGAATCCGACGTGGATCCCATTGTTCAAGTGCACTCAGACCCGGAAGAGGAAGCGGTACCGCCTCGATCGACCTCAAAGGGAAAACACCCGGCGAAAGCAAAGCCTGCTTCGTCAATAACCAAAGGGGACAGCTCAAGTAAGGCGAAAGCCCGTACGAGCTCTCCTACTTCTGACGATGCTGGTTATGTGACAGCCGAGCTTCCCATGGATGTGGATGACGAGTTCCATCAAGCACCTTCAAATGATGCGCCGCCTCCAGTGGTGGCGAAATCCAAATCGCATTCACCTTCCGGTCTTTCAAATCCAGTGATTTCGAAGACCAAAGTGACTAAATCGGAGGAGGATGTCCCAATGAAGGATGCTCATCCCGATAGAGATAGTGGCATGACAGAGTCTTTCAAAGCCAAAACGCCTCCAGTGAAGGCTGAACAGTCACAACCTCGCGCCTCGCAGCGGCCGTCTGTTCGACCTGGGTCTCGTCTTACGAACCGTGACCCATCGGAAATGGTGGTTGTCACTATCAGTTCAGACGAAGAGATTGAAGAACAGCCGAAGCCGCCTAGTAGAGCCCGGACAGCAACAGGCTCGTCACAACTCTCAAAGGCGACCTCTGTTCCGTCCACTGCATTATCAACTTCTTCAAGCTCAGGACGGACAAAATCTTCCATAAGCCCACAGGAATCGTCACATAGTCAAGTGCATTCAGGACATATCCCAGCGACAGTCAAAACAACGACGGACTGGATGCCGATGGCCACCAAGGTGAAGAAAGGCAAAGGCAAGATGAAGATTGAAGTAATCATTCCTGTTTCCCCTGTGAAGCCGAGGAAGATTGCTCAAGACGTCATTATGCATGACACAAGTGAGGTGGAAGATAGTGCCAAAGACGAAGATCATCTGATGTCTTCCATCGCAGATCGTCCATCTCATGAAGGTAGCATGGCGACCCCGCCACCACAAACGCCATCAGTCTCTCCTGTCGTTGAACGTCCCTCAACACCACCCGCTCAGCTCATTCCCTCTTTCGATGCTGGACCTTCAGTACCTGACGAGAATAAGTTGGACGAGGCCCCTTTCATACCAATATCCAAGCTTACGTCGCTGACAGAAGAAGAGGGCAGGATGACTATCGAACAGTGGCTCAGACGAGAGATTGAGATTCAAAGCCAAAAGATGAAGGAACTCGGGGAGAGTATGATTGCTGATTTTCTCGAGACGTCGAAGAGAAGAAGGAAAGAGATCGAGGCATTATAGCTTCACTCGGACACTTGCAGGCACTGACTCATATAATTTATTGCTGTCTTCACTCGCTATCGTCGTCATCGCTCGCACCTCACCTTGTATTTTGCACAGATCTGTATATGGAATTCACCCTCAATCGCACCGATGCAGGCATAGTTATCAAAGTGATATCATTTGGATCTATTCTACGCTGCCAGCAGCCTCAAATAGTATAAACGAACACAAGTCCTGCAGACTAGGCAGTAACAATCTGAATCGACTCCTCTGTGATATTATCTACAGAAGGAGCCTTCTTCAGGGTCACTGGGCAAACAGCCTCACCGATATCTGCCTCCAAGGAGAGATCAGACACCAGTCCTTTTCCATCAGCAGGATTCGTTTCGGGGGTGAGAGGACTATTACTCTCAAGAGTACTCGACGAGGACAAGGATGAGATATCCTCATCTGTGTCGGTGGACGCCGAGCCGATCGTGAAGACCGACTCAGAAGTTAAAAGAAGGCGGGGTATGGGGACCAGACTGATGCGATCTGGGCGGGGACGATCGAAGAAGTAATCTTCGTCAGACACCATGGGTGGAATAGCGTGTTCAATGACAACACTCTCCCTCGCGGGGGGCTTATCCAGAGGAGTATATGCAGGCACAGGGGCTGCATAAGATGCAGCAACTTCCCTGGCGTGTTTCGAAGCAAAGACAAGCTCCTTCTCCGTGAGGAAGAAGGTGTCGATCGCCATAACCTCTTCCCGAAACTCCTTTAGGGAGATACGAGAGTAGGGGTTGAATGTGAAGGCGCGACAAAGCAAAGCCTCGGCTTGCTTGGATATAGGTAGCATCTTCGAAAGGAAGTCCGACTCAGCAAGATGACGAAGGAAATTGCCATCACTGCTGGTAGCGAACGTCCAAGGGTTACGCCCCGCGATCATGTTGGTGAGGATGATACCAAGAGCCCAGATATCGTTTTTCTCGGGAGAGTAAGGGATAAAGCTATACTCCTCGCCGATACATTCTGAATAGAGGTATCAGCATCGAGTGAATGGTCGCGAAACTGTGACAACATACCTGGGCTCATATAATACGAGCTACCACAGCCGAATTGCACACATTCATCAACATCAGTGGCAAGGCCGAAGTCACCGAGGAAAACCTCAGTTCCATCGGCGTTGACAAAAATGTTGTCGGGTTTAAGATCACGATGATAGATCCCCTTCTCGTGAATAGATTGGACTGCATCCAAAATTTGGATGAAGACCTTCTTCACGAGGTAGTCATTGTGACAGAATGAGCGACGTTCGACGATGACGTTGAATAAATCGCCACCAGGGCAATAGTCAACGATGAGGAAGATGAAACGATCCTCCTCAATGACTTTATGAAGAGTGAGGACACTAGGATGCTCGGATGCAATTTGATGCATTACAATCTCCCTGGATTGGCATTGCCCCTGAACAGTGTAGGCATCCGCCTTGACAAGAACCTTGACAGCATACTCCTTCATACCAGATGAAGAAGAGCCGGCAGAAGACTCATCAACCGCACGGTACACAACCCCCATAGCGCCTTCACCAATGGCCTCGACAAGGCGAAGACGCCCATTGTCGATGACCTGGTTGGTGAAGTCGGGGATATCGGCAGCAAAGGTACCAGACATGATGCTATCAAAGCAACAATGAGGTGCAGTAATAAAAATGAGAAATAAAACGGGTGTGTGTGAAGTGCGAGTTCAAATGAGGGATAAGTTGCGCAGAGACTGGCTCAATATTTATACATTATCGGACGAGGACTCACGGATAGCTACAAAGTGCCCGCTCTCGGATCGTCTTCACGGGAATGCCTCGGTTCGCGACACGAAACGGATGAGAGGACGGTACGCATGCGCATAGAGCACCGAGCTGACACCGTCCCTTCCGCGCCATCCGTCGCGCACCGAATCCCTCTCAATGTTTGATTTGTTACGATTTGGATCATCTCGCGGGTCGCTAGTTATTGGCCCATTGAAAAACATAGAACGAAGGTGAGATTGTTTTTATCATCATTCCATGGAGTGTGAGGGCAAACTCTTGCATAGACTTGGAGGCAGGGGGCCTGATCTCGAAAACTCAGCAACTTACTGAACGCCTGATAGACGCTTATCCGCATGACCGCATTAGGAAGGTGAAGTGTTTGCTTGAACTTTACACACTTTCTGGCATCAATTATATCTTTCAGCAACTTCCCTGGTTTTTCGGCATTTACATATCAATAAAAGTAAACGATGTAGTGATAGATTCAAAATGTTCGTCTGACACCGATCTAATCAAATAATTGCGCTACGATACGCTTAAACTTAAACATTCGTGTGGGATAAGAAGTCCGTCCGTCCACATTTTTGGTCATGGGAGAGAAATCTGGTGAAGACCTGCCGCAACACGCACCCACACCGGGTATGCACCTGTCCAACCGTCGCGTTGGTGTCTCTACAGGAGTAGGAGTACGCGGACCTTGGCTATCTGGATTTGATAGCTCTTCGGCGTTTATGGGATTCGTCGGATGCGAGCGAGGGTTATATTGCACTTCCGAAGAACTGCCGGTGCCCCCACTGGCCGCTGCCTCCTCCTTTTGTGCCGACCCAAAGTGCAATCGACGTCGCTCATCTCGAGGGGTCAATTCCTCTCCGTAAGAGCTACTTGACCCTCGAAAAGCTAGGTGAGGTGAACCGGCGCGAAAGTACGACGCCGCGACAGTTCGGACTTGGTGGCCCGCTCGAGATATCTCTCCCGCTGACATGAAGAACGTGTCCAAATGCATTATTCTTTGTCGAAGGGCGGCCAGCGATATTCGATCACGTTCGGTAGTAGTAAAGATGGAGCGTAAGATGGTGTTGGCGCCCTCGGAGATGGGAAGCATGGTTCGTAGGAATTCCGGATTCTCTTGAAATGCGTGCCAACATCCATCCGCCTCGGTAGCATACCTCCAAGGGTTTCGGCCAGATATCATGCTGGTAAGAATGACACCGAGAGCCCAAATGTCATTTCGTCGGCAGGAGTAAAGATCTGAGAGTTTGTCGAAGTGTAAACATTCTATAAGAAGATGTCAGTGTATGAACGCAGAAATGAATTCAGGATACGTACCTGGGCTCATGTAAGAGTAGCTGCCAACACAGAAGTTGGCACTGTAGGCACTCATTGTGGAGAGTCCGAAGTCACCGAGATAGACATGTGACCGATCCCCGCTACAGAGGATATTCTCTGGCTTGATATCTCGGTGAAAGACGCCATTCTTGTGGCAATGCTCAACTGCATCCACTAACTGCAGGAACACCCGCTTTACTTCGGCGTCGTCCCCGGTGAATGTGCCGCCTTCAGAAATGAACTTGAACAAATCACCACCAGGGCAATAGTCCAAGACCAAGAATATGTAGGGTTCTTCATCAACGACACGATGTAGGGTGAGGACATTTGGATGTGAGGAGACATGTCGATGATGTTGAATCTCCCTCTGCTGCATCGTGTGCGCAGCACTTTCCGGTTCTGCCTTAGTCATACACTTAACAGCATATCGAGCATTCGATGAGTTTGCGGTCGCAAGGTAGACAACGCCGCTTGAGCCAGAGCCTAATATTTGTGTGAGGCGTAGTCGACCATTGTCAATGTGACGTCCAAGAAGACTAGTCATTGTACGTTCAGAACGACCCATAGAAAGACTGAATAAGACGGTTGTAATGAAATGTTGTCAAAACGTTAAGATTTGGAATGCAAAGAGAGAATGGTAGATGATAACGCAACGGACAGGTTCTTGTATTGGTTGAGGAAAGCGACTTCGGACCAGCAGCGGGGCCAGAGTACGGTACGCTTTGCTTCCGCTCATATCAACCGTGGCTCATCCGATCCGAGTGACAGCGCGGATGGTTGAACCAATGAAAGTGAAGATACTTTCGAAAGGTGTCGAATGTATCAAGCATGTCCTATTGATGATTAGACAGACGACATTCAGCAGTTCAATATGGCCGGCTATGGCAGAGATTGGAGTATCTCTCGGCGGAAGCCATAAAACTCCAGAAAGTGAATGAGGCTTTCTAACGTGATGATATTTGAACAGGGCATGATGAATGTCCTTGTATAAGGTTCGGTGATAGCTCGATGGTAGCCGATGTGTTAATCATCGTTAAAGTTCATTAAATACGTGCAGGGCCGAGTGAACGACCTTCCGAGAAAGGCGCCTATCGAGGACAGATCGATCAACGCATTTAGCGCCGGATGTGGGCCAAATTGCTACAAGAGCTTTCGTAGACATTCCTAGTACTGTACCGCTGCTTCAAGTTGTGGACTCAGTAAATGCTCAGGCTTATATGTAGCGACGAATCGGCCTCAAGCGAATATTAACTTCACCCGTGGCGTTCTAGCTTTCTTCGTTTCTCATTTCCACCCAAACGCCCCGGTTCAGGTTCTTGCTCCTGTGGGGATTACGGCCGTAATTGTTCTCTTATGATCTAGCAAGCACTCCGGTATTCTCAGGGACTTATGAGAAACTACTCTTAATTAAGACATGTCTAGGTCGGTCTCTGTACAAACGGCGATTTCCTATCCGATTGCCAGCAAGAACGTTGACAATTTGTCCCTGGAGAACTCCGGGTTCGGGCCTTATAACGTCTTATATGCCTATATGTACTGGATCTCTAGAAGTTCGACCATAGTGATACAACCATGTTGAACAAATCACTGTCTCGCCTTATTCCTGCCCTCATCCTCGCTGCCATGCTCTCCGTTGAGCGGGCTGCCGCCATTTGTAACCTTTCGGCGACTGTGGAGTGCTGTGAACTCGTTTTGCCTGCAAGTGACCCACTCGCGGCGCTGGTCCTATCGCTTGCGGACATCAGCGCGCCCCTCCAGAGTACGTCCATAGGGCTTGCTTGTAACCCGATGACAGCAGAATCAGCAGCGGCTTGGTACGTCGCATTCTTTTATTTTGCTTTCGTCCGTTCAATGGAGCTGAACAATACGTTAACAGTGGCAACAGTCTTGTTGGATGCGACGATAAACCACATCGTACGTTCTGCGCTGACCCATCCATCATCATCCTCATTCTCAGTTTACCTTCGCTTTGCAGCTGCAATTGGGGTTGGGTGTGGTCTCAACCTTCAAGTTGTTAGTCCTTGAGGTGGAGAATAGCAAATGCTGGGCGAAATCGAGTGTTCCTCATCAGGATCAATGTTTGATGCGGGAACGTTGTAATTTAATGAAACCGTGGTGCCTTGACGAGGGTTCGAGCAGACTAAAGGAACCTTCCCTCGAAATGAAATGTCACGGAAGATTTATTCAATGACAGGGACGACCGCCAAAATTTCAACAGAATGGTCAACAGACACCGTGGAATACCCTCGTGAGACATCACATCTATCACCATAGCATGCGGGCTCAACAGGGCCAACTCTTGTGCATTTGTAGACAAGAACTTCTTTCTTCGGAAAGATTGACCGTGTTACTTCCGACTCCTACTGTCCCTTGTGGCTGCTAGAGATTGGCAAATGCCAATCTTAGTCTGAGAGCGGCTGCTATCTCTTAGGAATCTTTCGTATTCCAGTACCCACACATGAATTTTTATGTCCTGTCTGGTGATATACCTTTCTACTATACCATATGCGTTCGTTATGTCTTTTTGACATGGGCTCGCCTAGACAGGTCCGGGACGGTCCATTCATTTCATTGGTTCCTCAAGATAGTACCTTCGGGAGTTCCGCACATTCGAAGTGAGGCATCACGAAGGTGACCGAAATATACCCGTATATGTTAATGCTCGAGGCCATATAAAGTACCTGATCTGCAACCTTCTGTTCAGCATAAACCCACGATGGCGGTCAAAATCCCATCCCTCGCTCGTATCTTCCTTCTGTCCGCCTTCCTTTCTTCATGCGTTTATCAATCTAATGCTCTATGCAACGGAGCTGCGGCATTGCTATGCTGCCTCAACGTCGTACCCGCAACTGACCCACTTGCCATCGCTGCGCTAGCATTGGCTGGGACCACAGCCCTTCCAACTCAACAAATTGGACTTGTCTGTGTGCCCGCGCTCGCTGAGACTGGAATTCTGTGGTATGTCGCGATATATGTCACCAATTCATGATGAAATACTGACTTGCACAACTCTCAGCCTCACCAAACTAGCTGCATGCGACGACAATTCACACCGTATGTCCACCAACTGTGCAACTGCTTTTTCTTCTGATCTGAATGCATGACCCTATATTAAGTTGCTCTTGGCATTGGATGTTCGACTGTTAAGCCTGCGTAGATCACAGTGCGGAAATCAGTATTTCGTAGCGCACAGGCACGGCTTGTAATAATGGTTGACAAAGCACACACTCTGCAGAATTCCACAAATGTTCCTGGCATCCAAGTGTTTTCTCCCTCTGACATCTCCACTGGCGCCGAACACTATGCCTGCTCGTGAGGCTTCCATTCAGCGTCGGGCTTGAACGACAGATGTCTTGAGGCAATACTCACTGCCTGTCATCGTGACAGGTAGACAGGTAGGCATCTTCACATATATGTACCTATAGGTCAACATGTGAGGCACCAACAACCTCTTGGTTAGTGCACAGTGCCTGTTATGCCCGCTCTGAGGAGAAATATTCTCTCCCGTTCTATCGACTGATCACTTCCGATTGCCATTCCGGTTGCATATACGACATTCTCAATGCCTGTCATTAATGCGCGGCCTGACACCGACCTGTTCAAGGTGGTCCGCCCTGCCGTTGAAGGATTAGCGGACAAGTATTTAAATCACGAATACCTGCTATTGTATGCATGTCCAGCATGTCTCGTACGATGATCAAGTTCATGTACTCCCTCATCTTCTTAGCCTCCCTGGGTGTGCTTGCAGCCGCTACGCCCACTCGGAGGGATGCTCAGTGTTCAAGTGCTTCCCTCCAATGCTGCGAAACTGTTCTTCCAGCTGGCAATCCTGCTGCGAGGACCATCCTAAATCTACTCGGTGTTATCGTCCTCGATCCATCAACTCTATGTGGTATAACATGCACGCCGGTCTCTATTGTGGGTACGGGCCCGGGCGACTGGTACGTCTTTGCTTGTTACTTTTCAAGTTGATATTGGTCATGACGGTGTCTGGCTTTTCAGTCAAACCAATCTCGTATGCTGCGATGATGTTAGCCATGGTATGGTATCGGTTGTTGGGAATGTGACTCATCCTAATATTTTCTTTAACAGGCGGTGTCATCGATATTGGATGTGCTCCCGTTCATTTCAACTAGGAGTAGACATTACGACAAGAACCGTCTAGTAATGTGCGTAGGGAATCGCATCTGAAGGGAGTGGGAGCGACTTTTACAGAGATAAAAGGAGTGTGTAGATACAATATGTACAGTAAAGCAAATGAACTCCATCAAGGTGTGGTTCAGGAGATATGAAGAAAGTTCATGTCATGTTGACTGATAAGTCGTGGTATATTTCGATGTAACCGTGCTGCCTGCTACCATTCTTCGTGTTTGTCCATCTAGAAAGGACGTCAGTATGATACAGATTATTGAATCCTGATAACGTACAGCATTATCTGCAAAGGTGTGAGCGTGTGAATAGGCGTGGAGATCCGAGTTGCCAGTATCTTGACCTCGCCAGTCCTATCCATGATTTGAATTATCATAGACAGAAAAACAGTTCATGCGCGGACATACCACACGACTATTTTGAGCACCCATGACCTTGGCAGTCTGTGCTCGCAGGATCTGTCTTGCATTGAGAGTCCCAAGGAAGGAGTTGGCATAAACTGATGTCGAGCGTGAGCAAAAAAAAAAAACGAACTACTCAAAGGTGAAATAAAATACAAAATACTCACGTTTGCTAGCGATCAAATTGAATCCCGCAAAGAGCAGACTTTCCTTCATGAAAGCAAACTGGGCAATATCATTGGTCAAGCCGAGGAAATACAAGATCCAATAGAAACACGCACCGTGAATACTATGGCAGTCGAAACCGCCCTGGAAATATGACCATCAAAAAGAAGCCAACGATGGTACCATGCGAAAAAGGACGTACATCGTGAGAAGACCAGTATTCACGGCATATGCAATCAGGAAGCTGATGACTCCGTCCGTCCTGTTGAACGTCATGAAAGGAAGCAGAGCTAAGTAGAGGTGCAACTACAAACCTGCGATACCCTGAGCGACCACGGGCAAGATACCAAATCAGAAGACCGGCAATACACATGTCCATCAGGACTGCAAAGCCAAGGCCGCAACTGATAGTAACCTGCATAATTGTGAATAACAATAGCAGTAGACCCATAGCATAGACATTACCAAAGGGCCATTACGCGTTCGGAAAGAGTCCCAGGTTTCCAGGCTTACGCTGCATGAACCAATCAGCATCATGTTCTGAGGGTCATCGAGAAGTACGCACAAAAAGCCGAATGTCGCTGCATGAAAGTCAGTCAGTATATAATGTAGTATTGCAACTGACTGTTGCTCATACCTAAAGCGAAGCCTACGAAAAGCCGAGTATGTATTAACTATACGAAGGCGCACTCTAGTGCAACTCACCTATACGCAATACAAGAATTGATACCTGAATATGGGGTCAGCCTCGGAGTAGCTGAGAGCTAAGAGTTACATGGACACGCACCAAGACGACCAGGAGAGGCCAAAAGCGGTTGCTGACTATAGAAACGATTGAGATCGAGCGAATCAGTTGCAAAATAGTCACATACGGATCCAGATACGTCGAATATAGAACCTGGCAATCAAAGAAGTTCAAGTTGAACAGACATCTGAAATAAAGTGCGGTCGACGTGCCCTTGTACAAGAACCACGACAATACACTGTGAGTAATTAGCAATGTTGGTAGACTACGGAGTGAGACGAAGACTCACATTGACGAAAAATACAGCCTTGATGTTGTGATAGAATCAGTATATCTATTAGTAAACACACTTGACACTTACAGGGACCGTCCTACGAGATACAAAATCAAGGAATCTGAAACGGGTTGTTCTGAATGATCAATACTTACCAAGGAATCAGAGGTAACGTTTCTAGATGCCCGGCACCTGCGATGAAAGCATCATAGTACAACGCGAACACGATGATACTGTGTACCGTCTCCAAGAATCTGACGGTGTAGTTTAAGTTACAGTGCCCAAACCGGGAACGGGGTGCATACGTGACTGCGTATACCAAACTTTTTACCCAAGTCTCGTCCTGCTTGTATGTAAACACGTAGACATATGTTTGAACAACCGTAACGCCGTAAATGCTAGAGAAACCATCTTTCAGACACATAGCAGATGCTGTCAAATGCCCATCAAACAACATACAGAAGGGCTGTGCAAACGGTCCACATAATGGGTCCCAAAAGGGTGGGGATATTGGGTAGTTCAAGCCCGGGTGGGAGACCAGGGGGGCCAGACGACGCCATCTTGGCCAAGCAGTCGAGACGGTAGAAGCGGTAAAGGACAAAGCTGTTGCTTTCAAATTCAAGTACACTCCACAGTACTTACCGTTGCTAACGTTGAACACCTGATCAAACTACACGAGAAGAGTCATCACGTTGTCTTCACATCAAGTGCGATATTGGGCGCACAGCTTGTCCAATGAACGCCTTGAACGCTCGCCTTATGGAGTTAACGACTTGTGTATGTAAGGAAGCATGACAGGATCGACCTCGTGAGATACACTGTAGCGTCTACTTACTGAGCTCGGCAAGGAGTTGATAGAACATTCAATGGAGTCTGCAGGCAGCGTTCAACACCCATCAAAACTCACACTCAACCTGCAGGCATTTGAGTACGTGAGACAGCCCATCAATGGAAATGTATGGAAACCCACAACCTTCTGCTATCGAAATGATTGCAGTGATACATACACTGGTCGTGCATGAAATATCCTAGAGGTGCATGCCCCATGCAAATAGGTGAGATGTAAAATAATGTAGCAACCGCAGACTGCAAAACAAACGCGAGCATTATAGAGAACATAGTATAGCGAGGCGGTTCACCAGCCGAGGTCCTTCATTGCCATTTGCAGAAAGCTATCCTCGTTGAACGAGCTCTCGGTAACGTTCCCGAGATCCGCAAGAACATCCTCGCAAGTATAGGCACCAACCGATGAGTGCCCTGAGATCATTGACAGGTTCTGGTTCGTAACCATAGATATGTCCAAGACTGAAGCAGATATCGAGGATGCGAAGGATGGATTAATGTAGTTCTTGCTAAGGTTGAAGTGTATTTTTGAAGCATGCACATGCTCTGACGTTTCCGGAAAGTGGATAGATGGTTCGGAAACACTAGCGGAGATGCTGGAGAGATTGAGGACACCCGAGCGTGCAGGTGACGTTTGTCGGTGTAGAATGTGTTCGGCAGGGTCTGAGCGAGTCTGCAGGTCTGACTGGAGCACTGTCTCCTTTAACTCGAAGCCTTCCTTCCTGAATCGTATATCGTCCCTTTGCGCAGCCGCCGCGACGGAGAGCATTGTCTGCGACCGAAGAGCGAAAGGAAGATGATCAACGACGAAATCGTTGTTCCTGACCTCCTCATCAGCTTTAGTTCGTGTGGCAGTAAATGAATTACGAGGGAAGTGAAGAGTACGGCGCTGCTTGCGCTCGTCGCTTGTGCGACTGAATGTGGAATGCACAGCGTAGTGCTGGAGGCTGAAGCGGATCGACTCGGATTCGGAGCCATTCTTAGGATATGGTTGGGCTTCCTCGCTAACGGGATGTCTCTTGGAGTCGATCCAACTGCGACGAGGTATATGCAATCGGCCAGCCAGGAGTCGGCGAATAGATGGCAACGGTGGAATAGCGGTGGAAGCCTTCGAGTTATGCGATATCTTTCTGCATGATCGTGGGCTGAGAGGCGAAGTGGGTTGTTCCATTTGTCCCGCACGAAAGAGACTACAGGAACTCTATGAAAGAAGCCAAAAGACGGCTTGAGGGTCGTCAATTGACACAGATCACCAACGGGGAGTGCTAGGTGAAAGGACGGTGGCAAACATAAGGTCAGTGCTTGGAAGTGAGGCTGGCACTGAGTAGGGCTGACATGGGCTCTGCAACGAGTGCGGCCCCGTTTGAATTTGAACCACCAAGTTGAACATGCAAATTTTGAGTCAATTGTATATACCACCTTGGTTGGAGACCTAGAAAGTAAGTATACTTAAATTACCTCTAAGAGAATCGTATCAGCCATGTCCACCGGGACATGAATTGTCACTCAAAGTATTTGAGTGGCTCAACATACAGAGCAGGCTCGCATGTAGTAAGTAGAGGTAAGTCATCTTCAAGGGCGCTTAATTCGACCTGCGTTAAAGCCTGCGAGAGATGACGATCTAAGCAAGTCGAGGAGCTCTCTCGAGGTGATAGGCTCTGCGACTAGGTTGTACGTGCATTGGAATGAGGCTATGTCCAAATTTGGTATGTTCGAAGTTGTAAGTAATGCAAAAGTTGGCTATGAAAGTCCAAGCGACTGAGCGTGTATGTATAAAATATGATGATGCCCAAGAAGACTCTCAACTGCAACGACTCTCATGAGACTATGGTACCGTCTGATCAAACTTCGCCCAATACATCTATAACAACTCTCACAAGCCACTATGCGGTGGGTCATACGGAGTGGAATGTGGACTCAATGACTGCGTTTTCTCTTTCTCGAACAGTGCACCTTGAGGTGCAAAGTCTGAGCCAGTTCGGAAGTACTTTAGACCCCTAGAACGGGTCCTCTTTTCCCCGTTGCGACGAATGATGAAGGCAAGGGCAAGGGCAACATAACCCGCAACAAGGATAGAGACTAGTACGATGAGCGCGATAATGAGAGGATTCGTTCTGCCGCTCTCATCACTGAGCGATATACCACCCGAGATGCCTTGCGTGGGGGAATGGATCTCGCGAGAGGTGACAGACCCCTTAGATGTTGCGGCAGTATTACCAGTGGTTTCGGTTGGTGCAGGTGTAGCAGAAGGTCCACCAAAACCACTAGGTAGAGCATTGGCGGAAACGCGAGGTTGACGTTGATTGGTAGGCTGGCCCTTGCCTGTGATGCCGCAACGCTTTAAACATTCTTCAGTTCCCAGCGCTACGTTATCCGGAATCTGAACTATCTCGTCAAAATACAAGCCAAAGACTGAACTGTCAAGCTGACCTTAGCCTCGAGTTGAGCAACTTGCTCTACACCTAGATCACCGAGCGTCGCAGCAACGAAGGCCGGGGGAAGACCCAAGACTATTAGAAGGATTAGGAATAGGTGCAACCACAAGCAGTGGGCTACATACATCTTTGGGCGATCTGATCGACACCGGGGTCTTCGTCATTGAAAGCGGCCACAAAAAGAGCATCCTCTAAATGAGTGATGAGTTTATTTCATCGCTTTCGCACAATTCTGGACTTACCGCAGCCATTGTTCATTTCGAAATGAATGGCACCCTTAGGGAAAACAGCAGCCGTACCCGGATGCAGTTCATTGAACACGAAGCGTGCTCCGTTCTCTGCCAAGAAACCCGCCTCCAATGTACCGTTGACGACGAAATTGAATTCGGTCGCCCTTGGATGGGTGTGTGGGGGATTGAAACCACATGGCCCAAGGAATCCGATAGTCATGGCCATACCATGGCCGATGACAGCTGGGAAGTTGGCAGCCGAAGCAGCCACTGTACGACCGGCGGCACCATTTGTTTCTCCCCCAGATGCGTGAAGGAAATCAAAAACGAACTGAGTGTACATATCAGCTTTGTTTCTTCGTTAAGAATATAGGCAAGCAGGTACTCACTTCATCGTCTTTGAGTAGCTTTATGCGTTCCACATGGGTGGCAGCTGCACGTAAGCTGGCGACTTTCGCGGCAACGTCTTGAGCTAAAGATGACGAGCTCAAGCTAAGGGCGACAAATAATGCCATGGCTTTTGAATACATCATAAATGAGGAAGAAAAGTGAAGGAGGACCGCGCGAAGTATTAGAAAAAGAAGAAGAGAAGAGAGGGGAAAATGTAGTCTCTGCGACAGACCGCTACGAATGCTCTCAGCATCTTTATAGTCGCAGACAGCACTTAAGCGGCCCTTTAGACAATGTACAAGTCGGCATGCTAGTGATGGTGAAACACGATACCGACACCGCATTTCGACGCTGAAGAGGAAATCGGAGGATTCCAGCTTGAAACATCAAATACGGCGATCTCGGTGCTATCCACATTTACGTGCAGTCTGTACCGTGAATTCGCATAGAAAGATATCCAGAAAGCTACCAAAGACTGGAAAGGTAGGATGAACCTGGACAATTTGTTTGATAGCATGGTCGAATTGAGATTGAACCTACATTGACAGAAGAGGATATACTTGACAGAGAGGTGATAACAGTCGACGACAGATTGCGTCTGAGCTTATATGCTACTCACCTTTTCCCTGGTTCACTTCGGCGTTCTAGCTCACGAGCGAGGTTCGCAGTGAAATTGAAAGGCTTGGAAGACGAACGGGTAGTTTGTGGCAGGACTCTCCCCCAATGTAGTTGCCAACTGTTGTGCTTCGAAGGCAATGCACTTGCGCAGGCTGCGCAATCTATGACCGGCGCTGACGGTATCAAGCACAAAGGAAAGCGGGGACATCGGGTTATTTTTGCAAGAATGCTAGTCAGATACCCTTTCGAGTGACTATCAAGCCTAGTTGATAGTAGTTTGTCGCTGGTGCCTGCATTGCGAAACCAAGATGCGTGCTTGTCTATTAGGGCGGGACGATTGTGGAATGCGTCCAGAAATGAACACCTGTCATCGACCCAGACTGCCTTCCCGTAAGCATGGAGAGACTGTCCTGTCAGACTACCATTGACGACACGGTAGATTAAGTTTTTGCCGTGAAGATGAGAATTGTCTCCTGCAGCTGCTAGGCAAATACATTGCTTTAATGATAGTGGGCGTACCGTTACAAATTATATTGGCGCATGTCTGGCGTCCACAACAGTTTCACCCAATATATCAAGTTATGAATACTGAGGTCCTTTTCCATAAGAGCTTACCAGCGATCCGCCGGGTAACGCAAAAGACTGGTACTTTGGCTGATCAATTGTGATGCCCATTAATATAAGCTCAAGCACTGGCTCACCATCTCAATGAAAAGCATTCCAAGAAGACAACATAATCTTTCAATTTCGCTTTGCCCTGAACGCCGTAGTTACGTTGAACGATGATCAAGAATAAGAGCAAACATGCAAAAATGGCGGCATAAAGAACGGAAACTTGATGGGCGGTCCGGTTCAACGCCGACACAGAGAGGGGTCCGAAAAAAAGTGTCCCAGGGAGGATTCGAGCCTCCGTCTTCACGGAATTGTAGATTAAACCACAACGTGATGATCTAACCACTAATCGACAAGGACGACAGGGTTGCTTAAGATATCACTAATGGGAGATTGTTCCCAACCTATGGCTGCAATTTCATCAGGCTGAGGCAGGAAGATTCACGTCTCTGTCTATGCCTTAAGGGAGACTAAGATCAGACGTATTTTGTTCAATCCGGGACATCTACATAAGAAAAATAACATTTCTCTGGCTATCGCTGTAAGCCTTAAAGGGCGATACGTGAGGTGCTCAAGCGGCTTGAAACTTCACAACTTCAACGAACATACATTGACAACATACAGACACTAATCTTACTCGATGGCTGCTGCAAGGATAGACACATGGAACGACAACGGGATTCCACAGCAAATACACAAAGCGAAGGCAGAACGGGACACGAACGCAACGCAACGAAACGTTTCTATGTATACGACATTACGAGTAACACGGCGGAGGGAGGGAGACGATAAGACAGCTGGTGAAACGATGAAACGAGGCTTCCATAACATAATTACTGACAACATGAAAGGATGCTCAGCATACAATGGATGAAGAATAAAAAGCGGTAGGTCCATGTTACGATATCCTGATTGAACACGACGTGAAGATGAGACAGTGGAAAGAATGCATGGATGGAGAGAACTGTGAGTGCGATGAAGTTGATGCGTGATTAAGACAATCTAGAGAGTCGCTGCGCCAGCGCTTCGACCAAGTGAGCCTCAACGCCAAACTCTTTTGCGAGCTCGCCGAAAGGCGAATTATCCTCGTAGATGAGGTTGTCGGCTTTGCCGATACGACGAGGTGACTCAAGCTCGGGAGTGAACCGGAGAGAATCTGGAGTGCGAGTGGCAGTACGTGAGCTGCGAGGGGATGAGGTGGATTGGGGAAGAGCGGCCTCGAGAATATCGGAGAGCTTGCTCATCTGCTCAGACGTGAAAGCTAAAAGTGTCACCGATTTTAGTAAGAGACAACCATTACGGTCGAGCTATGAACCAACCTTGACAGTCCATCGCAGCGCGGACGAGTTGCGCTAAAAGACTAGTCCACTCCGAGAACGGGTTGTCTTCAACGCGAGTAAGAAGGACTTGAACTGCAGCTGCATCATGCGCAAGGTTAGTAAAGTACATGCAGGTGGGAAGCAGGATCCGGATTACCAAAGGTGACATCTGCGAAGGAGTGGTCAACAAACGAAGACGTTCTGTACAGAAACAAAGCTGGCCTACCATAGAGGGAATCTCTCAACGAGCCGGACCAGAAGACTCGACTATCGTCGTCGGCAGGGAACTTGGAAAGAATACTCATGAGGGAATGGAAAGGCAAAGAAGGGACTTTCAGGAAGTGACTCTGTTCAGACGACGTAGCATTCAGATTCAGCAAGCACGACGGACGAAACTAGAACATACATCGGGAGACTTGATGAGATGCAAGAGCGATTTCAGCTCAAGATCGGAAATGAGACCCTGCTGGAGCGTAGAAATGACATGCTCGTTACTCAACCCTGCCAAGGAAGGGCGGGCCCCATCAAAGTTGCCCTGCCACGAGGGAAAGAGCTACACGAGGCATACGTCAGAAACGTTATCGTCCATCCCTAGTTTGCCTACTTACTGCTCTCATCAGTTCCTCTTGATTGCTTCTGGTCACAGTCACTCCTCGAGCCCGCTTGCCGCGACCGAGTACGGAGTTCTGTGAACTGCGCAATGCTGCTTTGGCTGCTTCCGGGGATACCATTTCTGCATATGCATGACTGAGGGTCTTCCCCTTGCGATCCAAAAGAACGTGAACGCGTTCAACTGGATGTTTCAGCCACGCAGCAATAGCTGGAGGGGTGATATCCTGTAGGCCTTGTCAGTGTTTGACCACGAACGATATGATCATGCTTACCCAAGGAACGTTATCGATACGAAGAACAGCACGTTCCTCCGGTTTGGACGCCTTTCTGCCAGATGCCGAGCGCATTCCAGCGACAGGCGTTGATGCGCCCTGTGCACGATCAATGAAATCTTCGAAACCATTGTCGAGGAAAGCGAAAGACTGATTGTATGCGTCGTTGGATTGCACGATGGGCTTCCTTTTGTTGGAGGTGCTAGAAGGAATCCCGTTGAAGTTTTGAAGTTTGAAGTCATCTACTTTGGCGTTACAGACAGCACATTCCATATCCTTTTCACCGACAATGTTCAACGCGCTTGTAAGACACGCCGAGCAGAGCGGGTGGGAGCATGGCTCCAATAAAGCCAGAGCTCCATTAGCCAATCCACAGACTGAGCATGCAAGGGGCGCTTCGGGTATGGTGACTGGCTTTATCTCCTCATACTGTTCCGGAATGGTGTCGTAAAATGATAGAGACTCAGAAGGATTGGAATAATCGAAAGAATCGTGAAAAGCGAGAGGCAGAGTTTGCGATGCTACATTTGGGAACGTTTGCGGATATGGTGCGAACTCATCCTCGTCGATATCGCAGAGCTCTGTATTCTGCAACTAGGCAATGTTAGCCGGGACGCATACAACGATCAAAAGATCATTCACCTGTCCAAAAGCAGGTCGGCGACGTGTCTGCGCGGGATCAGTCACACTGCCTCTCAGCCTAAACTGGTTTGCAACGGCTGGTTTGGGAGGCGGGGTATTGAGAAATGCAGGAGAGAGAGCAAGAGATTGAGCGAAAGTCATCCGTCCGGGAGTCGATAACTGCGATGGGTTGGGTATCTGGGCCAGAGGCGTGGAATGAATTTGAGGCTGGGCATAAGAAAGGGCACGGGCGCGGCGCTGGGTAGACAAGAAGGGAGCTGGGAGGAGAGCTGATGGGACAATCAGTTAGATATCGACAAGGAGACGGAGAAGGCCCACCCTTGTCGTTAGAGAAGAAGCTGCAATTATCTAGGTCATCTAAGTTTGGTGCATATAGTCAGCGGGATACGCCACAGAGAATAGCTCATTCACCTTCGTCATCAGCAAATTGAGATTCCTCACTTGGTGCAACTTTGATTCCGTTCTCATTCGCACGCGTCCTCCAGTTGTCGGCAATATCCGCCAGGCTCTTTTTACTTGATGGTTTTCCTTGAAAACTGACTTCAGGCGAGAGATTCAAACTGAGACGCCGGTTGTTGCCGGCTATGGAAGCTGGGGTGGCCAGGCTAGAACCATTGGAGGAGGGTGCAGATCTAAGACTGACGGGGGTATATGGTGTAGAAAGGGTCGTGGCGGGCGTGTAAGGCGATTGGAAGTGTCTAACGCTTGGACGAGGGAGGGAACGCTGCGGGGTCGCAGGGGGATTACGCTCAGACTTGCGTGTGACGACGGGGGAGGAAGGGGCAGAGGCGGGTACGGAAGGGTGTGTCAAGGAGTGTTTGGGCATCGTCGTAAAAGGGCGTGGTTGTCGTCGTTGAAGAAGGGCTTGAGGTCGTCGTTGTCGACAGCGAAGCGATGTACGCGGCGGTTCTGGGGTAAGTTCGGTTTCGAGCGTGCGAAGACATGTGTTTCGCGTCACGGTCACATGACCGTGATGGTCTGGGCTTAGCTGGCGGGCCGAGATGCACGCCTTCCCCAAACGGCCAGTTCGATTCCCAGCGGTGCATCATCAGTCCTTTTCACATCACTTTCACCAGCACCGACGCCCAGTACTTGCCTTGACAACGACGTCGACGTTGCCGACGTTCTAGAGTATGGTAAACAATGTCTAGACGTCCATCATCCCCGGCACGAGCCATAAGCCCGCAGAACGTCCGTATTCTTCCTTTTTTGCACGCCAAGTTCACATTAACACTTATATTTATATAGCCTTTGTCCGATGCATCCACAACGCCAACTACAGACCAAGTCACACCTTCAACCCCACTACCGCGGGGTCGGGTGTCTTCACGATATCCTTCCAACCTTAGCGCTGGAGATCCAGGCCGTGTGCCTCTGCACCGTCGCGGAAAGTCGAGGACGTACGAATGTCTGGAGGATCTCTTGAAGGAGGCGGGATACAAGGAGACTAGAGTCTTTACTCCGGAGTCTGAGAGGGCTGAAGCTCGTGCCGAGGAACAGCGCTCCCTGAGGTCCGGAAGCATTCGAGGGGGTGTAGATGCTGTTGTGGGCTTTCTGGCTGGCTTTATGCCTGGCGCCGCCAGGAGCGAGGACAATTCTGACAGTCTGAACACTAGCTCTTCCGTGGAGGACAGCATGCCTGCCTCGGGCAGGAGGTCCTTACCTGCATCCCCGCTTGCTCACAAACATCCTCAGACTGCCGACTCTTTGTCACCTGCCATGACCACAATTCGATATAGCTCGGCTTCCCCGCGTGCCCATGTCCAACAACTCTCCAATCATTCGTTGCCCCACCCTACTCGTCAAACTCTTCGACATCAGCCTTCAGCTTCGAGCAGTCTCCGTACTTATGTTCAGGTTACCGCGGCGAGGGGCCACTTGAGACATATGGCGTCCGCGCCAAATATCCCGAAACGAACAGCGTCCAGTCGCGAGAGTTTTTCAAGGCGCAAGACAGTGGTAGGAAATACCGACTATGAAGACATCCCTTCCCTTCCCATCAACTGGCGCGGGAATGTCACCAAGGCAGTCCTTGGCTCAACTAGTTCTGATGCATACATTGGAGGCCCTTCTTCTCGCCCACTCAGTCGGCATTCACATCACACTACTCGTTCTTCAAGACCTCCCACTGTATTTTCTGACCATACCAACCGACTCAACATGAAGAACAACCGAAATACATCTAGTTCCCTTGCTCCGCATAACTTGACGTCATATCTACAGCGTGCACAGACGGCACCGAACGAAGTTACTACAGTCAGAGTGGTCTGTCGATCAGCCCCAGCATCTCGATCATCTTCTCGAGCAGGAGAGCGTCTGTCTCGTACCGCTGACCGTGGCCTACGAATGATGCCCTCGCGGAAATCCAAAGGCAACAAACCTGACTGCGTGCCCTCACTAGCGGACACTCAACTAGAGAACGACATTTGGGAGGTACAATGGGTCAATGGAATGCGCTTACCTGCTTCGAGCGCAGATAATTATGAAGCTGAACTTACAGATAGCGATGACGATGAAGGAGAGCTTGATCTTGCGCGGTTACTCGTTCCTCCCAAACGCCAGAACTCCATTCGCAGTCTTCGTCGACATCTTCATCGGAGCGAAAGTGTACGCGCTCTTCGAAACAGAGCCAGTCGTGCGCTTAATTCATGGGCATTCGAGGATGATGAGGATGGACCCTCGTCCACCAGAGCATCAGTGAGAGGGCGCAGTCGTCGGGCTTCCATGGAAGAGGGCGATGAATATGGTTACGAAGCTATAGGTTTACCCGGCTTCGACCAAGTAGGAGGGAAGCGCAGGCGTGGAATCCCAGGTGTATGGTCGCTCGGAGGAAGATGACACCATGCCCGACCATATGACTTCAAAGACATTTTGCATACAAGTGATTAACGACAAAGTCAGAACGACTTAGAAGGACAAGTCTTGACTCTCAACTCCCGCTTACTTATCATCATTTTATTCCTTAATCCCCTATTCTGATTCACTTATTCGCCTTTCTCTTCGTCCCTCATATGCATCGGACCCCAACGTACAATACACACTCTGGTCAATCGTTCACATGTTTCATATTTTTTTTTTGGATACATTGCTCGCATTTTTCGAATTCAATCACCATAAACCCCAGTAGTTTCTCCTTGAATAGCTGTATAGCTGTATCTGTCAGATACACGCGTGTCACTCTTTTCTGTAGATATAGATAGGAAGTTCTGTATTCTAATACGGTCGTCGAACTCATGATGAATTTCATGTCGGCATACGTGCAGCTTCTCGTCTATCTTTGTTTCTTGAAGAAGCTTGTCGTCACTCCCAAGCAGTGTGCTCAGGTACATCTAACACGCCATTTGCTATTGAAACGAGGTTCTGTAGCCCCACTGCTGATAGGGCGGTCAAGTGTTCATCGATTCTCCCAACACCACTAGGCGGGGCGTGCGTGAACAGGGATTGAAACTGCTAGAAGTTCATATCACGGTCCCGGATTTATTGTGAGGAAATTGAATTCCACAGAAACTGGTTGTTGTGGAATTCTGGTGACCTGTTCTTATCCATTACAATTGAACTTTGTTCGATTAAATGATCGGAACGACACCGAGCTCCACGACCTCGTGTTGTAGGCGTGAGTGAATAACATCTATCTCCTGGTAAACGGATGCTTCGAGACCGAAGTTTCAAGGCTCAGGCCTCAGGAATACTGTAGCGTCGAAGTCCAATAGTGTTTTGTTGCAAGATTTCAACTACTATATATGCCAATTTAGGCGATGGGTGTCTCCCTGCGCGCGGCTATCAGCCTATGAGCTGCATTAGACGCTGTCACATCTTCTCCTGGCTTGAGGCTTGAGTTCAATGAATTGTGAGTAGGTGCCCGAAATATGAAGCTTGGATCAATAGATCTTCAAGAATGAGTGACTTGCAGTGGATCTAGTTCACTGTTGAATTACGCAGGAGTGCCCAATTTCTGACTGGAAATCGGAGAGACCTTGTCTCTTCCGCCGAGCACCCTGTTCTCGTATACTTAGTTCAAGATGCGTTCCTTGAATGCCATACGGCCTAGTCACCAGCCCTACAGGATTCCCATGAAGTTTCTTCCCGTTTCTGTATTTGCCGAGCGACATACGACTTATGGTCAGAATATGCCGTGGATGTGTCTTCATCCCATCTTGTCCCATTGTCCTGATGGTTGGGTTGGTTTGTTCGGTTTAGGCACCATGTGAACGGCGAAGAATCAGAAGTAAAGTAATTTCATTTCAGAGATCGAAGAACCTGACTGCGAATTACACAAGAAGCCCATTGTCATCCACCGCTCATGATTTCTATCCGAAACCTTTGTTGCACCCGTGTAGTTCCATTTTCCCTCGGCCTTGTATGTCGCGGCTATTTACGGGCACTCAACATCTCAAATTCTTATTCCAGACTCGCTGGTTGTGAGATGATCTATGACAGGATTTGCAACAGATGCATTGTGGGTTACGCATTGCCCGAGGTTTCCCATTAAGCTTTCCGAAACATTTGCGACTCAAAGTGAGCCTCCTATGCAGACATTTCAACTTCCAAGCTCACTCTAGCTCATTCACTCCACCCGTTGTCAAAGAGTCTCAGGATGGTGTAGTTCATTGCCAGACCTCACCGCTTATCGTCGTCGCTCGTTCATGTGGTCCGCCAGGTCCCGATGTTCTTGCCTGGTCTCCTTCGTTCCCTCGTCGTTCCACGAGCAGCATGACGCAGTTGCTCCATCTACATCTTGACGAACCCACGCTTTCAATATATGCTGCATTCCGTTTGGACTTTCCTAGAAGCTTTGACGAGCTGTAAGACCAAGGCACCATCATAAGGATTTCAATGTATGTACTCTTTCAAGTACTGTTCATCATTAATGTTCCGCAATTTCGTCTGATATCATGCGTGACCTCTGGACCTTTACCGAGAATAGGAACACACATGAACTGGACTGACCTCTATCAGCTACGAGAGCTTTCAATGCATGTTCTCGATTGGGCTTTCTCTGATCAAATCCCGCACCCGCAGCCGAGGCCGTATACGCGAAGTATTTCACTCAGGGCAGCCCCTTCCCGCACGGTGACTACTAATTCTTTTGCAGCTTTCTACCGAAAAGATCTCACTTTCATCGTTTACGCGATGACGGCTGACCTGTGCCTCGTGAACATACACCGTGTGGTATGTCTTTCCGACGACTTCGCCGAAGGTCTCGCCTATCTTCCATGAAGCACAACAGAAAATGTCTTACTAAACAGGGCGAGGAGGAATGGTATAAGAACGAGACTGTCTCGCTTGCAGTCCTCAGCGAACGTTCTACGTCTTGCAATATTTCCTACGATCAACATGGTGTTCCCCAAGATTGTTTTCCTCGCTGTTGCACTCGCAGCCATTCCCTCTACATATTCCTACTGGATTTTTGGTGGCAGTCGACCCGTCGTCACCACCAGGTACTGTGCTGCTGCATTACCCCTATTTTTTCCGTGTTAATGAAATTCTGTACAGACTTGACTCTATCGTCACTCCGGGTGTTGTCTCCACTCACGTCCACTCTGTATGATCGATGTCGCGACCTCGATTTCATGTTTCTGATATCGTCATTTCAAGGTTGTTGGCGGTAGTCGCTTCCAGGCTTCGTACGACTTCGACGACTTGTCTACGAGTCAATGCTCGACTATCCCTATCCAACAAGACAAAAGCAACTATTGGGCTGTAAGCGTTTACATTAATGCGGCGTGCTTTCTCTTACGCATCATCTAGCCTCAACTCTACTATCATGATGAATCCGCAGGCACCTATACCCTAGTTCGTGAGTAATCAGTGCACATTCTGTATGTGCAATAGTCTGAACTGACGCCCTCTTGTAGCCACTAGCTTCAACATTTACTACCTCATGCGCCCTGGTCCGAAGAATGAAAATATACATGCCTTCCCTACCGGCTTGCGAGTATGTTGTTCCGGATGGCCTAGTATGAACGATATTAAGGATTTGATTTAGATGCTTGCTGGTAATGTTCTGAGACGGGTGAATAATGCTTCCAATTTCGCTGATCAGGCTATCACATATGTCTGTCTCGGTATGTGTTACCTTCGTGCATCGTGAACTAACTGGTACTAACTTATAGCTTTCAGACTTTGACCACGATCATAGCGGTGATCCAGCTTGGGGTAGGTAAACCACGTCTCGAGCAGTTGTGGTTCTGACTTGTTGTTGCTTTATTAGAAGAACGCCCAGACTTCTTCCAGCACCAATGCCCTGATGGAATGCGTGCCCAAGTTTTCTTCCCGTCTTGCTGGGATGGCAAAAACTTGGACAGCCCCGACCACCAGTCGCACATGGCTTACCCCATTCAAAACTTTGACTCTGGCGACTGTCCGTCTACTCACCCGGTCCATCTCATTTCTCTCTTTTACGAGATGTTTGTCAGCGTAGATCAGTTTCCCTACGTTGCCGGACGATGGGTCTATTCCTTCGGTGACAACATGGGTTTGGGTCTGCATGCCGACTTCCAAGACGGTTGGACCGATAAAGACCTACTTCAAGCTGCCGTTGACCAATGTGCTGACACGGATGGTAATGCTGCGGGTATGTGCTCCATTCCATGCCCTTAGATCCACCATGCTGATCATTTATTTATGTCTTAGATTGTAGCGTTCTAAGCCCTAACCTCAATCAGGCCGCCGCCTCCGCATGCAAGCCCGAAATGACCATCCCCAACGAGAACGTTGGATTCAATGGAGTCCTCAAGGATCTTCCCGGCTGCAATCCCCTCTGGGTTGGTACCGGTCCTAAACCCACCTGCAACCCCGACCCGCCTACACCGGACTTCGTCTCTGTCAAGACTCCCCTCCCGTCGGGCTGGCACGAGTTAGGTTGCATCGCCGAAGGCAACACAGGACGCGCATTCACGAATGCCTCGGAAACCGATGCAGCAATGACCAAGGCAGTATGTGCCAATTTCTGCAGCGGTGGAGGGTTCCCATATGCTGGTGTTGAGTTCGGTACCGAATGCTACTGTGGTAGTAGCTTCAGCAATGGCGCGGTTAATACGACTACGATCTGGTCAGATTGCTTCAGCACTTGTGGCGGCAATCGTAAGTTTTAGGTTTTCATATGATGAGAATGCTACTCACATACTGACATTTTGCCACGTAGCCAACGAGAATTGTGGAGGGCCTAACAGGCTCAGCGTTCTTTACAATCCTAGCATCCAATCGTAGTTTGGTAAAGAAAGAAAGCTGACCTTGGCTACTGCAATGTTTCGTTCTCCAGTCTTGATGCAACGGTTCTGTATGTAATAGATCAGTAGGTTTGATAGCAAGTATAGCATGCGACCGTCGTGTTTCTTCGCTCCAATGGACGTCGATTAGAAAGTTTTCAAAGTTACTGGAATCTCCCAGTAGTACCATGACTGTAATTGTCGGGTTATAACAGTAGAGTTTGAAGTCATTGTAATGTGCACTGCAAAGAATCGCATACCCGTTTTTCTCAGTAGCTTTCACTTTGGCCTTCGCCTCAATTCTTCTTCGAACCGCCACAGTTGATCATGTAAATCGGACCAGAATGCTCCGAGTCATTATTCGAGAGTCAGCTTACTTCTATGTTTCCAAGCTACCTTAGTCTATAATGTCTGACAATTGTCGTCCATTACCAACCCATCACCGTCGGAAGATGCAGCATCAGTAAGTGGCAGATCTTATCCCTGCGCTGGCTCAATGTCTGGTTACTTCCTGATTCGCTTTCCTTAACTTACCTGTATCCTGATACGGTGCCAAAGACGCAATGTCGAAGAAGCCAATTAGCTGGAAGGACAGCGACTACGTGTTGTTTCCAGTTGTTTGAGCATATGCATCACCATGCCGTGATTGTATATTGAATATTGAATACTGATCATCAGCTCAAGCGCGTGGACGAATTCCGTTCTCAGATTGTCGGTCTTGAAATTTATAACGCAACCACCATGTCGAACGTCCTTTCCGAGCGACAGCGAGATGATCTGTACGTATGCGCTCAACTGAATTGAACGGGAAGTACTGATGGGCCTCCTCACAAGCACAGACACAGAGCAATGCTCGACTACTTGAACACTGCCGGCTTCTTAAAAACATTTGAACAATTCAAGGCGGAGACTGCACCGGTATGGTCCCGTCGTCTCCTTTTATCTTTGCGTCTTCAACTATCGTCCAATCAAGCTCGAATATGAGCCTGAAGACGACCAGAGGATGAAGGGTCTCCTCATCAAGAAGTGGACAAGTGTGATACGGTTGCAGAAAAAGGTCTGTTTATCGAAATCATTCTTTTCTGCCTACAGAAAATGACCTGTCGACCGCGCAGATCATGGACCTTGAGTCGCGCCTTGCTCAGGCCTTACAAGAAATGGCTCAGACATCCACCATGCCCCTTGGATACAGTAAACGCAACGACCCTGACTGGCTGCCCGCATCCGGCCCTCCGAAGCATAACCTCACCAGCCACCGTGGCAAAGTCAATGCGGTCACATTTCACCCACTCTATTCGGTTATCGTTTCTGCGAGTGACGATAGCACTATGAAGGTTTGGGACTGGGAAACCGGATCTCTCGAGCAGACCATCCACGGCCACACTAAACGTGTCTCCGATTGCGAGTTTGACTCCAAAGGCACACAGCTTGGCACGTCCGCAACCGCCCATAGGATTTAGTTTTACTCATGCTCTCTTCCCAGTATCGGCGTCGTACGACCTCTTCATCAAGCTCTGGGCTGTTGACAATGGATACAAGAACTTCGCCACTCTCAGAGGTCATAATCACTCAATCTCGTCTGTCCGTTTCCTCCCTGGAGACGATCGCGTCGTCAGCGCGAGCCGCGACGCGACGATTCGGATCTGGGATATTGCCACAAAGTACGCAATTTGTCCCTTCCTGTTCATGACATGTGCTGAATGCGAGGCGTAGTCACTGTATCCGTACCTTGAGTAATCACAGCGATTGGGTCAGGTGTGCTATACCCAATGTTGATGGACAATATCTTGTCACTTGTTGTTCCGACCACGTTCGTTGTCTATCTCCTCTAAAGCTCAAGCTTACCCTCAGACGCACCTTTAGACCGCACAAGTTATCGAACTTAGCTCTGGAAAGACTAAGACTGAGTTGCGGGGTCACGACAATGCGGTTCAGGCCGCCGTCTTTGTCCCGCGCATGTCCGCACCAGCCATCGGCGAATTGATCATGCACAAGGTGAGTGACCAAGGTCGATTTACAACGCGGCCTCTGACCTTCTCGACCAGACTGGGGCCGCGGCACCCACGCTGACTGTCAACGCTGGGCTTGCTTACGTCGTGACAGCATCTCGGGACCAGAAAATCAAGATCTGGGATGCTGTTCATGGAACATGCCTGCATACCCTAGTGCGTGCGCTTTGTCGAGAGGCTGACCTGCATTGTTCTGATCAGCTTGATCACAGGTTGGACACGACGGATGGGTAAACGGGCTCGCCTTTCACCCCAATGGCCGGTATATGTTGTCTGCGTACGTGACTAGCTTTCAAAGTGTAGATTATAAACCAATCACGTAACTTATCCTTTCACTCACAGCGCGGATGACGGCTCTATCCGCATTTGGGAGCTGAAGACAGGTCGATGCGTGCGCAAGCTTGAAACAGGCGAACAATTTTTGTCTTCCCTGTCGTGGGGACGACAGACGACAGAGACGAACGCTACAGACACATCGACCAACACGACAGCTACTCCGAAGCTGATAAATGTCATCGCCGCCGGATGCTGGGACTATGTACGTGTATCTAATGCTTCATGTGGAGGTGCCTAATCGGTTTGCTTTCCTTGGCAGACTGTGAAGATCTGGATGCCTTGACGACTCATCTGTCTCTTGTTTACTCTTTCTCGCTTTCACTCCTTCATATACCGCCATATTGTCTTTATCCCTTTGTGCTCTTATATCTCCCTTACATCAGTCTGTCCTTCCTCTGTACTAGAGTATCCCCATCATTGTCCACACCACTCGTCGCTTCTGTTATTGCCTTTCCACCGTTGCTTCCATTGCTGCTTTTTCCCTCGCTGCTTTCATTGTTGCTTTCATCGTCACTCACCTCTGCACACTTTCTGGACCCGCTCTGTATTGTGCTGTACCTCGTTGTCTCCACACACCATGTATGAACTTCATTACATATATGGCAGTGAATCATTGTGGCATAGGTTCCAGGATCCATGATTGTGAGAGCAGGCACTGGCATGTCTATAGAGATAGTACAAGCTAAGCTGAATTGGTAAACTATAGTGGTATCTATGCCAGTCATATCACAGGTGAATTCTCGGCAAGGAATGGATACGGTAAGGCTTCGAGGACTCAGCCTATTCTATGAGTCTGGTGAATACTCGTATTTTGAAAGAAAGCTCGTTCACCTCGAGCCGCTCGCTGCGAAGTTTACTTTGCTGGCCTTGATGTTCCGACGGGTTAGAATCATTTGATACACCAACATTTATGTGCATTATAGCAAGCATGCTGTGTTGCTTCGCTTCAGTAGATGCCGATAATAATGTTTTTCAAAATGACTGTAACCTCCAAGTAGTACCATGACAGTACTCCTCAAGCTACACAGTAGTTGAAGGTACTGCAGTGTACCACAAAGAATCATGTGCCTTTCTCAATTATTCTCCGGATAACTCACAAACGATCCAAATCGTGGTAATGATCGTCAATCTCTGAAGAGTCCGACGATTGATCTGAGTCGGCTAAGGAACCACTGCCGTGGGGGTACCGTTCAGGTCTGACTTCATGCATTTGAGGGTCGTACTCGGCAGGGACGACAGCACGTGTACAGTCTAAAAATGCAGACGATAATTCACTACGTGATCCTGCAGAAAGGTGGAAGATGTGCTCACATTCAGTCCTGTCGTAGATAGCAGCGCCGAAAGCCTGCGTGAACAATTCGGATGGAGATGTTACTGAGAGGATTGCTGCTAGGTCGTTGTCTGTGAAAGACCCAGAATCTGCCACCACCACGCCGAATTCCTTGATATATCTAACTGTCAGAGCAAATGTCGCGGTTAAATTTCAACAGTATCACAGAAGACAGTTTAATTGCGTAGGATGAATACGTACTGTCATTGCCTTCATCCGCGATGACTTGTAGATTTTCCTCAGAGTGAACCGAAAAATAGGAGCTGTCAACATCTAGCGTTCGTCAGCAAATGCACAGGCGTAGTGAATCAGCGCTGTGATCTACCTTCAGCATCATCGACTTTCAAGTAGACCTTCACTAATCGGACTCCATCATCGTGGTTTTGACGGTAGTACGATTCCACCGTCCGTTGTGGAATTGCCCATTTTCGACTTCGCTCGACATCCTGAAGGATAGTCGTCGAGCTTGTAGGGAAAAGGGGGAGTAACTGCCGCATACGAACTGCCGGAGACTCCCTGATGAGATGTCTGTCATGCAGCTGAATCGCAGAACGTTTGCGGCTTAGTGAAATAGGCCCTCCAACGCTGAATTCGGCCATCTTCCATGTTAGAACCCAGTGCCTGCAATCCACACTAAGGAAACAGAATGAGCGTACATGATACTTTCCAGTCGCGTGCTCTTCCAGAAGCAGCAAACGGATTGGCTTGGAATCAATGGCAGGCGTGGCTCCAGGTACGTAAACAGTGAACCATCCCAGAACCACGGCGAATATACTGGGTGACGAGCTGATAGTGACTGGAACTACAGCATCGACTGTACTCCAGGTGGTCCCGTCTTGGGCATACAGTCTCGATGGACGTCTTCGATCCTCTGTAGAGTCCACTGAATCATCTGCGGCAGTGACACGTATAGCCCTTGCACGAAATGTGAGATATCCATCGTCATCCATTGAGCCACATGGAAGGCGAAACTCTTTCATCGTGTGTGAGGGAAATTCGCTGCAAATGAGCTCTGACACCTCTTGTTCCTGTCCATCCGTCGTTCGTACGATCGCCCTACCTGCCACGCTAGTTTCGGGAAACATAGCAAATGTGGATATACGCGAGCAGGGTTCTAACCAGAAGGACACTCCCATCCAACATGCCCTGCCGCCCTTCGCTAGAATGTTGCGAGCTAGAGCGATGGTCGCACCGATGCGGTCGTTCACGTCGAACTCAGCCGGATCCAGCGTGACGTCAAAGAGACCCATGATGCTGAAAACCATGTCAACAGGACGTGACGATGTGCGAACAAGTGCACATTGCCATACAGCATACTGCTTTGCGTCTTCGTCACCTTCCAGATAATAATCCCAATTCAATGCAAGTGCTGATACATGCGGAGGAGTCACTGAGGCCAGATGATGGTCGCTTCTCCCGAATACTCGAGCTTCAATGAGCACCGGAGTGGAATCCTTGTTGGAGAGAAACTCCAACCAGCCCACAGAGCATGCATTGAGCACCATGCGCAGAGGGAATATAGCAGCTAGCCCTTCGTTGACTTCTTCGATCTTATCGGCTTTCGCCATCGTATACGCCGCGCCCCATCCGCTACCAAGCCCCCAAGCGAGGAGTACTACAACTTCTCTCGGCAAGAGAACCTCTTGCAAGGTCCAAGCCCTGTGAATCCATAAGGTTTGTTCATCGATTGCTACGCAGCGCTGGAGCCCACCTGGTAAGACGATGCAGAGGGCGCAAGATTTGTAGATGTGACTCATTTGCATGATTTGCCAGCGTTTATCTTCACGACTGGTCTGCATGATACACAAGCGATCCAACCAAACGTATTGAATCCCTCTATGACGGCAAGCCAGACATGCCTGCAGAAGAACATCTATGGCTATTGGGTCGGCATCCTCGGCCCCTTTGACGGAGAATTGAAGACTATCCATGTTAATTATGTCAGGATCTCGCCAGACGTATGAAATTGCCGCATAGCCAATTGTTGACAGGTCGTCGTCCGCAGGTAAGGAGAATTCAACGACGTGTAGCACTGAAGAGATCGCAAATAATTCACAATCAAGCAGACGGTATTTCCGGGGGGTGGAGGAAGACGTTATGTCCAGCATCGACTTGGATGCCAGAAGTTTGTCAAGGGACTGATTGAAAACGACATGTGCTCCATCCTGTAGAGTGATTTAGTTTCTCGTCATCAGGGTATTCAAGAGTAGACAGAAAAGCCAACAGGGATCATCGTGATATAAAAAGGGTGTACGAAACCTACAGCAAACAAAGAAATACCGAACGAACGCACAGAAGGAAGTTGACGTAAGGTCGTCTTGTGGAAACAAGCGGCGATAGTCCAGATCAGAGCTTATATGCTGCCACCTTGAGCCAGAAGCATATGAATTTTCGCAGAATGTCTCAATGGACGTCAGGGACAACTAGGGATTCAAGATCTAAGACCTACAGCACGAAAGTATAATGCTACTAGCCCCTCGATTTCTGCAATCCTGTTATATGGCGTAAGTACTAACGGCGAAGTGGTGTAGTCAAATATTACTATCGTTGACAGAGTGACAGTGTGTGCATAACCTTTATGTCTACATCCATATGAAGTGTATTTGCGTTCACAACAGGACACAATGCATATGAGCAAGGCGTTGGACGTTTGAACGTGAAGGTTGCCTGAACGCTTTAGAGTCGATATTAGAGTCAGTATGACACATACTGATTACGTCCCTTTCACGTGAGAGACGCGTCTCTTCAAAATCGTGTCGCGACCCTCGATCAATCACCCACAGTTCACCCACAACATCAACGCAACAGAATTCACTACGTCCGGAAGACATGGTGGATCGTGAACATTCACCTGAACCTGCGGGACCTCTTCCTATCCGACGCCTGCAGGAGTCTGTCATAAATCGCATAGCAGCTGGAGAGGTATGTATGAATGGAACTTCGAATATATAATAGTTTCGCTTACTCAAAACAGATCATCCATAGGCCCTCGGCTGCACTTAAGGAGCTCATAGAGAACAGTTTGGATGCTGGATCAACGAGCATCAAGATTACTGTAAAGGATGGTGGCGTGAAGCTGCTCCAAATTCAGGACAATGGCTGCGGCATTCGCGTGAGTATACCTCAAGATATGCTCGACTGTATTCTCGCTGATTAAGATTGTAACATAGAAAGCTGACTTGCCTATCCTTGCGGAGCGCTTTACGACCTCCAAAATCTCCAGTTTCTCTGACTTATCCAAACTGACTACTTATGGCTTCCGTGGGGAGGCGTTGGCATCCATGTCGTTCGTAGCGAATCTGTCAGTGACAACTAAGACTAAGGCAGACACTTGTGCTTGGAGGTAAGTCTGTAAATTCTCTTGCGAATGGACTATAACAGACAACCTGTGCAGAGCACATTACGCTGATGGTCACTTGGTCCCTGCCAAAGAGGGGTTCACGGCAGATCCAAAGCCTTGTGCAGGCAACGACGGTACTACCATTACCGTGAGTATTCTTTTAGACAAGGCCAAGTTGAGCTTTAGCTTTGACTGCATTTTAACAGGTCGAGAACCTCTTCTACAACACCCCAACTCGTTTGGGGGCGCTTCGCGGAGCATCAGAGGAGTATGCTCGAATTCTGGATGTCGTGCAGAAATATGCTGTTCATAATCCGCATGTGGCATTTAGTTGCAAGAAGGTATGATGGTCATCATGAATAGCTTCCGTGTACCCTTTATTCACCTTTCCTATTCCAGGCCGGCTCTGCAACACCAGACCTCTCCACTCCCTCAGGATCTGACACCAAACAAGCAATACGTCTGATATATGGTCAAACGATTGCCAAGGAGTTGTTGCATAGTGATATCACATCTTCAGAGGATAGTGAATCCACTTCAAGAATGGACGTGGACGAGGAGTCGCCGTCCTGGTCTGCTGAGGCATACTTCACCAGTGCCAACTACCAAGCGAAGAAGACAGTTTTGCTCTTGTTTATCAATCGTAAGTGCAAACGAACCTGTCACGTAATTAGCATTTCTGATCCTTCCTGCAAGATCGTTTGGTCGAGTCAGCGAGGATCAAAAAAGCCTTGGAAGCCATTTATAACGGTGTCCTTCCCAAAGGTTCCTCACCCTTCATGTACCTGAGGTACACACTGTCGCATTTTCTCACCGTATCGATATCGCTCAGTCTTTTGCACGACAGCCTTCAAATTGATCCCGAGTCTATTGACGTCAACGTGCATCCGACGAAACGAGAAGTCCGATTCTTGAACGAGGATGCGATTATCGAACGAATATGCAACAAGCTCCAGGAAACACTTGTGAATCAGAGTCAATCCAGAGTTTACGAGTACCAGGTCAGATCCTCCCTGCCGCGTGATGTCTAGATAGTCATTGATCCGTAAAATTTCAGACCTTGTTGACTAGTGGCATCTTGGAGATTCAAACAAGTTCGAAAGCTAAGGGGAAAGCCAAGGAACTGCCACCCGAAGAAAGGGATAGCGGAGAGGGCAGTGGTCCCTCTACCCCAGCGAGTCAGTGATCATTTAATTGTAAACCCCGGCATTGTCATTGTAATTCTGACAGATCTTTCACAGTCGCTACTATTCCTAAGAAAACACTGTCTAAGCACAAGGTCCGGACATCTCAAAAGGATCGCACCCTCGAGTCCATGTTTCCCGTTCTAAACCCTTCTCAAGTCGTCACCGGACGCACTGCAGAAGAAGAGGATGAAGAACCTCCTCCTGCGGTACGACTTGCCACCGAGATCAAGGAATCCGAGTGTTATCTTTCGTCAGTCCGATCTTTGCGCGAGGCAGTAGGGAAGGTTAAGCATCATCGTATGTTTTCTGTCGGTCGTTGTCCATGTTTTGTGTGTGTAACTGAATGATTTTTCCCAATTAGAACTTACTGAGATCATTGAGAACCACATTTTCGTTGGAATTGTCGACCTCAGTCGATGCTTATCACTCATTCAACATGCGAAGAAGCTCTACCTTGTAAACCATGGTGCTCTAGCGTGAGTCACCACAAAAGGCTGCTTTTGGTACAAATTTTGAACTGACGTTTTATGATAGCGAAGAGCTTTTCTATCAACTAGGCTTGCGTCAATTTGGTAATTTCAGTCGAATACGACTGGAGCCCCCACCCTCATTGCGTACACTTGTTTCCCTCGCCGTACACGCAGAAGAAGGGGCGAAGAATAGCAGGTTGAGCGAAGACCAAATCGTTGACGTATGTTCTATCTTTTCTACATCTCGCATGAACTGAGATCGAACGCCATATAGCGAATCGTTGAAATTCTCATGGATCGTCGAGAGATGCTTGTAGAGTATTTCTCCATGACCATCAGTTCAGAGGGCATGGTCGAAAGCATCCCCCTGCTTCTGAAACATTATACCCCAAACCTTGACAAGTTACCCCTTTTCCTCATGAGGCTCGGTCCACAGGTCAGAAATTCCTTTTCAGTCTCACTTTCATACTCTCAACTTGAGCATTCATGCAGGTAAACTGGACCTCAGAAACGGAATGCTTCGAGTCATTTCTTCGAGAGCTAGCATACTTCTACGTTCCCGAGCCTCTAATCCCGGATAAGAGTAGTCCATCGCCATCGGAAGATGAACAATCAGCAAGGTGGCAAATACAACATGCCCTCTTCCCTGCGCTGGCTCGATATCTGGTTGCACCCAAGTCACTCCTTGACCGAGATGTAGTGCAAGTTGCTAATCTGCCGGATCTTTATCGTGTCTTCGAACGATGCTGATTGTTACATTCTACTGATTACTTTGCGGACATTTTGGGTATAGACAGGATGGTATATATTAGTCTAATGAGTTACTAGCTACGAATACAGTAATATATACATACAGATACGTGCTTGCTAGATATTACATTATGAGCCAGTGTACGAATGAAGAAACAAAGGAACGATGGTGAATGAACGACCGAGATCTGCAAGGGAAAATGGACTAGAGGATGAAATTAAATTAATGAAAGACTGTAAAGAGCGATATAACATGTCAATATAACGAGAATCAATGTGTACGATGGAAACCATTGGGAGACTGGGCAATCTGAGGAGAATCAAACTCGAATAGATCTGACTCCGTATCACTTCCTGACGCACTATCTGTATCCTGATACGGTGTCAAAGACCCAATGTCGAATATGTCAACCAGAGGAGTTTGTGGGACATCATCGGTCGACTTGGCCAGAATAGCGGCTACCCGTGCCTCCAATTGCTTGCTTGGTATACTGTTCGAAGACCGTTGCTCCTGGAAGAAACTACTGAGTTCATGCAGGTTCTGGACCAGCTCGCCCAGGTTATCGGACGAGTCTTGAGCCAGAGTGGGAATCTCGTCTGGCTGGAAGTTGATCCGGGAGGGACGTGAATGAACTTTGCAGGAGTCAAACACGGCCCTGAGGTTTGAACGACAAACGGCACGTAGGACTGCGGCACGTGGAACACACCAGCCTGTCTCCTCCGCGATACCAAACACTTCAGCAACAGATTCAACCTCTTTTGTATCCGCAGCCAGACGGTGATGCATGCTCATCCGCAGGACGTGCCTCGCTGACGGGCCGCCGGATATTTTCAGTGGCTCCTCCAAGACGTCCAAAGCTTCTGTAGCGAGGTCTGTCTCTAAGAGTCGTAAAAGCGGCATGAGAAGCTCGGAACCTAGGAAGTCTACCGGAGCCCGAGTTTCTCTTTGTTGAAACAACACTTTGAGGATCTGCATCGTGCGTACACGGAGCCACCGCTCATTATTGAGCACAAGCCCCATAAGAAGAGTCATGACTTCTGTCCAATGTTCCGCGCCGTAATGCTCTCGAAGCGCCGCTACTGACTGACGCAGGAAGTCGTCTTTGGTCCGGAAACGGCCCTTCGCAAAAGACGTCATGATACGGGTCAAACTTGGTCTTTCCTCCTCTTCGGCAAGGTGTCCAATATTTATCGCGAACTCTTGTAAGGCCTCGTCAGATGATTCAGTGTACATGGCATGCAAACACCACGGCAGAGACAACGTATACAAATCGCGAACGCGTCCCTCGGTCGGGTCAATGAGCCGCGCATCACCCACTTTAGCGAGATGTTGCAAGAGTTCGAGCGTAGCGCCTACGGTGGAGGACGAACGCAATCCTGTCAAGAGGGAAGATTGGAGAGTAACAGAACCTTGCCAATCTGGAGGTCGTTGTGAAACGAGCAGGTCTGCGGTCTGAGGATCGTCAAGGTCAATTCTATCCAAAAGTGTATCCAGAAGCCTCAATACGGCTTGGAACTCCTCTTCCGCGGTTGTGGAAAGACACCCAACTGCACCCCAAAACATCTGAGGCAACGCAGTTTCCAGTTCTTCCGACGAAGCCATGGCGGTCAATGTCATGAGAACTTCGACATTGAACTTGTTGAGGTTCACATCGGTGTCGGCTATCGTAATAGAAAGTCGTCCCAATAGTTGGGCCACGTCATGCCTCTTCCACTTCGGCATCAAAGCACGGAATAATTGTAGGGACCTGAATGCGATCGAACGCATTGGACATTCCACCGCCCATTTGAGGGCAAGAGCACCCCACTCTTCGGAAATTGTTGGACATAAAGGCTCCATGACCTCAAGGATTCGACTGCAGAGCCATCTCATCCTGGGAACTGTCCGGCTATTTGGATCATCCTCCTTCCACAGGTTGCCTTTGACTTCCTTTTGCAATTCAGCTATGGCCCTCCTCAGCTCTGAACGCGCAGGATATAACAACCGATCAGGTAGCTCGTCATAACCTGGTACGCAGGACCGGAGCATTTGAAACAGCAAATGTCTTGTACGTTCTTGAACGAAGGCCTGTCGATGATCGAGATGCATGAAGATGCAGTGTAAAAGCACTGGCAGTTGTTCCTGAAAATCCCAGTACCGCTCCAAAGAAGTTTCAGCAAGGAAGAGGAGGGAAAATGGGGCCACGCCCAACGGCAGGCGGGGTTGGTCCGAGAAAAGTATATCAAGGTCAGACCACATCTCCAGTTCTTCCGCATCTGGTAGTACCAGTCTATGCTCCATATTGACAGGCATCCGGGCAGGCTCTATGACACTGCACAACTCAACAAAGAGCTCTCTTCCAACGACGCTTTGAGAAAGGCATGCGACAATCTTGGCCGCACAACTGGCGAAAATGGCACTTCCAACTTTGTTAGACTCTTCAAGCAAGAAGCGGACGACTGCGTGTCCATTTGATTGATACGGCGCATCGACAAGTCGGGTCCAGAGAACAAAGATCTGTTCCGCATGAGTCTCCGCATAGCGCAATGTGAGTGCCACAAGGTGGTATATGGCTGACCGGCCTTCACGCGAAAGCCTCGACTTATTTTCTGCCATCAAGTCGATACATGGGACCCAGAACTCTAAGCTTTGGAGCAAGATGAGAGCACCTTGGTCTCCTCGATTCTCGAAAACTTGAGGGATCCATCCAGCGAACTGGGCCAAGACATTTAGGGCTTGATCGGGGTGCTCCCCGGAGAGCACGTCCGAGATCAATCGATGTGCATGAAGGTAGGTGCTCGGTGCTGAGCTTCCTACAGCAGCCTCGTATTGAACCATGGACAGGATGCCGGACGCTTGTTCGTGTATGGTTTCAAGCATGTTGAATGCCCGATACCGAATCTCAACGAGAGGATGGCAGAGGTTCGATAAACCAAGGCATACGACCTGACTGAAGTTGAAGCCGTGCTCTGCGTTGCACACCACCTCAGACAGCACTTCGAAGAAACGGGCGTTGCTCGTACTCAGGTCGCGCGTGGTCACAAATGCTCGCCTCAACGCTTCCTCGGCAAAAACATCGTCGTATGTAGCATGTACCAGAAGAGAACGGAGAGCTTTCCTGAAGGACCGTCAGTAATGAATGCTACATTCATTGGCGTGACGCACTTTCCACATGCTTGCAAGTTGTCTTGAAAGGAAGCTAAGATAGCCGTGATACGTTCCAGCGTAGGAGAAGCTTTCATCGGTTCGTATTGCTCAGCGTTCAACTTATCGACTGGGGAAGCCGTAACATCGGGTGGGAAAAATGCCTTGTGCTACAAGACTCGTTATTGACAGTATGGAGGATGATAATTCACACTCACGATGAGGGATGCCATTGCACCAACTGCAGCGTTGGAAAGAGCTCTTGTTTCAGTTTGAAAACGTTGAATTGCTTCTGCTTGACCAGCTGGATCTTGGTAAGAGTGAGCGGCCGCGGACTGCATAACGATGAGGCGTTTCTTCACTGTGTCAGACTGCTTGCCTAATTGGCACCACTCTTCGCACATACGGTATAGTGCCAGATGCATTCCGGGTGGGATGAAGCGATCCGAATCGTTCAAACTAGCTAGACCGTCAAACAGCCGCTCCACCGTGCCACAGAAATATCGCCGAAGACGCTGCATTGAAAACGTGTCCCGGTTCTCCAGCGCCGACAGGAAGGTCTGCATGTTACGAATATACTTGAGTACGTGAGTAAGCGCGGTCTGCTTGCTTGAAGACCGTTGACTCTGGAGGTGATGTGCAGTTAGGAAGTATATACGGGCTACCGCAGTGTGGAAGCGTTCATGACGGCGACCTCGGCCAATAGACGGGATCGAGCCGGATTTTGACCTCACATCATCATAGAATTGACGAGCAGCAAGCGGGCTAAGGTCTTCTAGCAACACAGAATATCCATAGGGTGGCAGCGAGCTAATGCATGAGACCGCGACATCGCGGAAGGCACTATGGTCCGAGTCAAGGAACTGGCCGAGATACTTGAACAAGTCTCGAGAATTGCTCAGACTTTCTCGCTCTACATTGGCCTCCGAGCGTGCACGATTATGATCTCGCGCCGTCGAACGCACGTCGGGAACCGGCGCAGTAGTACAGAGTAGCTTGAGCCAAAGATGCCATTGATGCACTAGATACCTGCTCTCCAGCACAGCCTTTGCACCCTCCTTCTCCACGACAGAGCCAGAACGCGCAGATCCACCTAAAGGTGACCGGAGCAAAATACCAGAAAGGGGAAATATGAGAGGATGATATCGGGCAACGGCAATCTTTAGTTTCTCGCGCAGCAGTTCAGTAGTAGGTGGATGATGCTCTACACAGGCGTGCATGAACGCAGGATATACATGTAACCAGAGATTTCGATCCATGATGTTATCGCTTTCGGCGATCTGCAAGGCCACATCCAAATTTGAGGAGTTCCTCCACTGGCTTAGGCGTGCAAGTTCATCGACATTCAGTAGATCATCTGAACCATTCAGATAGAGATCTGGCGAAAGCAGACCGAGAAGGGCATTGACGACCTCAAAAGATTGCGTTGGACCTTCCGGGGTTGGAGATGAGGAGCCTGGATAGATATGTGCAAGGAGGGTTCCGAGTCGTCGTAGGGCTTTCACAGCGATCGCAATTGCATCAGGTTTATAACTTGACAGGAGGAAAAGACAACCGGCTTCAGCGTCGCGAAGAAGATTGACAATCAATTCTCTCTCGGATTCACTCCATATCACCGTAGCTTGAGCAACAGTATTCTCCACCCAAGTATCCAGGGTTGTGAACCAAAGTTCAAGCAATCGTACGCTATCTGATACGAGGCGAACGCTGGAGCCCTCGCTGGATATTCGCTGGGGATCAAAAAGATATGCACAAAAGCGGATAAGTAGGGTCTGCGTGTGCGCGCTAGTCTTCAGGAAGCGTGCGAGAGCCTGCGACGCGGCGTCTCCAATTGCAGGTTCCACATGAACAACGCCGCGGAGAAGCATGTCTAGTGCATCATCCAAAGGTAGATTGGGATGAAGACAGCGCGGCCATGCACGGAAAGCGGTCTGCAAAGTGCTAATCTGTGCCAACAAAGATTGCGGGTATGCGTAACTACCTTCAGGATGATGTCGGATGATATGGTTATGTGCCTCCTCGAAGGTAGGCCCGAGTCGCGCAGATGACCACTGATCGTCAAAGATCGACATCCGCCCCACTGATTGGAAGCAGAGGCTGGCGAGTGTGGTCAAGCAATTACTGCTTTGCTCTAGCAGATCCTGTACTCCATGTCGCGAGAGAGGTGATGACAGCAGATCCGAGGACGTAGGATACTCCGAGGTTGAAGGGACAGAGGCGAAGTCAGCGCTACATGGCCACGATGGTACAGATTCTTCCCGTTCAAACAAATGCAAGGTAAGGAGAATGGCCTGCGTGGCGATAGCCATTCGTTCCGGTGCTAGGTTAATCGTAGCGTTTGTCTGTGGGGACGCCACGATTCTCGCCTGAAGAAGATCAAGGCATATTTCGCTACCCAAGTCAACGTGTCGAGACAGGATGAAATGAATGATGTAGATGAAAGGTTCTAAGCGTTCTTCCTGCGGGATGACAGTGTGCCGGTTAGGAGGGAAGAAGTGCTTCACCAGTGACTCGAGCTTGGAGGATGCTGTAGACGCTGGCTCATGACATCGATAGAGATACGTCCACACTAAACGCATCATGCCATTCAACACTGTCATGCGGTAAGGTCGTTCCTATACCACCATGAATCATTTACGGAGTAGAAGACGGAATGGGTTGACATACCTTCATCTTACTGAGCCCTGCTTCGAAGCAGGACATCCAGTTGCGCAGGAAAAACTCGGTGGGCGCGACGCACAAGCTGGTGACAGCTAGAGGATAGGCCGCGTGCCAATACCGAGGTTTACTCATCATATCTTTTGCCTTGGGATAAACCATCTCAATGGCCTTTGCCCAGTCAGGGTGATTGACTTCTGCTTGTGCAGTCTAAATAAGCAGACGGTGAGTCATTCATTTATACCTGATACTTTGGTGAATCAGACCTTTGCGATAGGATGAAGCATATGCACAAGGGTCTCCGCAAAGATGGACTTCAGACGAATACCATGCGCATTACCAAATGACTTCGAGAGCGACTCAAAGAATTCGGCACCCTCTTCGAAACGTTCCGGCGGCCAGACCTAAACCTCCTACTGAATTAACTTAATCGTGAGAATCAACCTTGTTGGCTAACCTTGATCTGCACATATCGCAAGCCTTTCACGAGAGTCTCAAATTTAAAATCCGAATCCTTCGGTATCTGGCCCTCGGCGATAGGACCTAGTTCACGTAAGAAGCGATCTGTGACAGATTCGAATCTTCGCGATATGAGAAGATGTACGGCGGAAATACCAGCAGGACATACCGGATTTCAGCCAGATTTCCTAGCAAGACTGCATATAGATCGGCAATTGCTCGATGATTGACAGACTGGGTGAGTGTTTTGTGATCCGGTCGACGGAACTGCTCGAAGGTCATGTCTTCGAGACTATTTCCTACAGCCTCCCCTAGAGAATCTTTTGAGTTGCCCTTCGTTGCGGTCACAAGCGCGCGACACATGATGTATGTGGAGGTGAGCATCTTCCGTTCGGCTACGACAGCCGTGGAATCCAGAGTACGGACTGCCTTTACGCTGTATTGGCTACGCTGAAGATCAGACCCGTCAACTTGACTCCTTCGCCATCGCATGACAGACTCTACGACAGACTTGGCGTGCTTCTGAGCGATCTTGCCGAGGGAATCTAGCAAGCCGTCAAAGTGAATATCTACCCCGGGGCCCATGAAAGCGTCCAGGAGGGGTTCATGGTCCTATTAGTAAAGGGGCATCGGGTGAGTAAAATTATTGACGGTCACAAGAACATTGCATACGTATGGTTGTGCAATGAATTCGGTTATTAAAGACTCGGCGGATGCTGCAAAGCGAATGAAGATAGCATGTAGTGCAAAATCAGAAGGCGTCCTTGCGTCCATGACTACTTGTTCTTCCATTTCAGGTATGGAGTCGGATTCGATGACAGGATATTGACCAAAGCTGTGAGGTACCGGAGGGACGGGTGGAGGGGAGGACAAAGAGAATCCATGGCCATGGTCACTACCTCCATCTGAGAAGTGAAAGATAGATCCGGAGTAAGAATGTTGAGACCTCGCGCTGGAATGCCCTCTCGACCGAGAAGGTGTCCTCCGTGTCCTGGAATCATTCGAGGCGGGTGTTGAAGGCCTGAACTGCGGCGGGCTAGTATGGGTTGAAGGACGAGAAACATGAGCAAGAGAAGATGTTGAACGATTGAACGGATTCTTCAACGCTGGATAGGCCTGCTGATCCAGCGGTGGTAATGGTGGAGCAGCCTCATTGGACTTTGAACTCTTGAATGCGTTTCTAAGAGATGCAAAAGATCCTTTCTTCGAGAAGGGTGAGCCGCTTGTAGTGGTAGCAACAGAAGATTGAGCTGAATGAGCGAATGGTGATCGAATCTTTTTGCCAGTCAGTTGTATGGAATGCGAAGAGTCTTCCGAAGCTACGGAGTCTCCGCGAGAATGAAAGTAACTTCTCTCGTTGCGTTCGACTACGGGTGTCAAGATAGTAGGGGATTCTGATCCAGAGCCAGCGGAGGTTCCCCATATACTGGCTCCTTGGGGACGACCAAACAGAGGCGTAGAATTGAAATCGTCATCGTCAAAGTCTACGGAAATTAGTGTGTGTCTCACAGACTAGAAACAACGCGAGAGCTACTTACCAGGGATAGTGATTTGAATTCCCTCAGACCCCATTTTCAGCAGTTCTCTACCTAGGTATTGTCTGTATAAGACTTGTTTGACTTCAAAGAGGGGACAGTCGCTTGAGCCTTGGCTTCATGTTCAGACACCTGTGAGTCGCAAGCCGAAGCACGACCTCGAAACAAGCAACAACAGGCAGCTGGCAGGGTCTCACGAAATTGAATCGAGCCGCGCCTATTTCAATGCATGCCCTAATATGGAAGGTCACTAAGTTCAGACAAACAACAGCAGCTCAGGTCTGTCCCAGGCTCATGTTTGGGCATGCAATACAACATATCGTAACAAAACAACATATCCACGAGAAGCATTCATCATAATACATGCGGATGTAAGAAACTAAACAGTTGTTATTCGGTACTTTCTGGTCAGAAACGGTCTATCTGAACATTATTCCTTGTCTGAGCCAACCCTGAAGGAAAGTTTCATTCCATACATACATACGCAGAACAAAACTTTTCATCCACAAAGATGCGCTTGTTATTGTGCGAAGACGACATAACAACTGAGCCGACGTGTCTCCCTCCCCAAGGTTCATCGGTACCTTATGTTGCCGAATTGTCCTCCTCATCGCTGTTTCGACTCCCATACGGGCCAACGTCAACAATCACACATCCGTACCCATACACGAACGCAAGGAAAGATTCATTTCCATAAGCGATATAGCTGTCCTTGACCTGGGTGTGCTTCGTCACCTCATTAACCCAATAGACCTTCATATCCACCGAGTTCCCATCTTCATTGTCGGACCGGCCTCTGTATGAATCATCGTCTGCATCGCGCTCTATTATCTTCCCGCCATAATATTTGCGCAAGTGATAGGCAACAGAGACCTCCACGTCATCATTTTCCATCGAAGGAAGTTTGTCGCATATTGTAACTGAGCCTTCGTCATCAAAGACGACATAGAACTTCAAAAGAAGGCCGAGATCCCTGCAGACTTGAAGAAGAGTGGCATCACTGCCCTTCAGGCAGTCTACGACATAATCGAGTGATCGATTTTCCAGGTCCAAAGCATACCCGCGATGCAATCCAAATCCAAGATGTCCTCCGTTAGGGAGGAAGGCAGGGTCCGCAAGTAAACCCCGGAACGCCCCCCTGAGCTTCGTTCCATGAACGGCGAGACCTGTGTGCGTAGTTGCAGCCATCGGAGGTTCGAAATATAGGATATAGGTGATGGTAACACGATACCCGGAAATCACCTCAGCAACCTCATGTTCAACGTCGCTGTAGAAGATGACATATCCGATCTCTGGTTCCTTAGTGTCGTTCACCGCTCTGGCGGAGTCGAAGCACCATTCAGAGTCTCCATCACGGATGATCAAGGAGCCACCTTCGTGTATGGTAGGATATATGAGCACGAGAGAACCAAACATGTTCTTGCTTCGTGGTGTGTCCTTGTGTGGCTTAAAGAAAGACCCTGGACCTGATCGAAGGGAATTGGTAGGATTACGGTTTATATACGGAGAAAGACATACCATAAACATTGAGTTTGTACAGCTCCGCACGAATATTCTCCTTGGCTTTCGGTCCCTCTAAGAGGTCATCCCTAATAATTTCTCGAAGCCCCGAGGAATCGAAATCTAACTTAGGTGCAAAGAACTTGGAGTCGAGTTTCCCTGCCTTGCGATAAGACTCGTCTAGAACATCCTTCTTGTTCAAGCCAAATGTGGCGACATCGCAGGTTTCTGCGAGCTTTTTGAGGATCTCGTCGTCGACGTTGGCAAAGTCTAACCGACTACGATATGATCTTTGTCAATAACTGAGGAAATGTACGGAGAGATTCTGATGACTTACTGGCTGATTTTCTCCTTTCCGAAATAAAGAACGTAGCAATCAGGAGGAAGACGTAGCGTTCCGCTGCAATAGGGAGGTTTGTTGACAAAAGCGGCCTTAATGGATTCCAATTGCTCGATGGTGGGCACTGGGGATTCCATCAGGTAGGCACAATAGTAAAGTTCAGAGATTCAAAGTCTAAGAGTTGAAAAAGCTAGCTGACCAGACTCAGAGGCGCAAGCCTCGGCTAGACGACTGCGTGAGTGCACGAGGACGCGTACGACCACGTTGCGATCAGGGTCAGGCGTAATGGTTACGAAATCAACGCATACAATTTGAGCAGGATATTTACCTGTACTTTGCAACTTACCCTGTAAGCGTATGAGCACAAGTGTCAGATCTAGCGGCAGGCTTACACTGCGTCCAACATTCAGTTGGCTCCATTAAACAGACACTCAAACATGCTAAAGGTCTGAGAACCAGGCAACAGCGAGCCATAGGTTTTTCAGATTGAGGAGCCACAAGAATGAGACATAGGACAGCAGGCAATAAAGCGTTTCTCTGACACGCTGTCAGAAACAGACAGGAAGCAAGGAGTAAGATATCAAGTCAGGGACCCATCGCTTCTAAACGTAGCAACAGAAAGGACAGTTAACATAGGAAGCAGGGCGCAGCAAGTTATATCAAGAGAGAGGTCCAGAGGCATCTTAGAGACATGCATAGTGCCCTCAGAGACGGGAGTTAGCATCTATCAGCGGCGTCAGGAACGGGGCGAGGAATAATAGGGCTGCGCTAATGAGAAGAACCATTGGTCCCTCGCCATATGCAAAAACGCGGTGATCTGAAATAGAGAATGGTCTGTATCTTCACCTGTCCGCCCTGGAATGATCAGTCATGGATTGCAAAGCCATAAATAACGCCAGGGGCGTCAGACATGCCAAGAATCACCCAAATATGTATATGCTCAAACACTGAGCGTTGCAGTATATCGGGTTTCTTTAATCTTCATCCATTTAGTAAACATCAGTAAAACAGCTCAGGGAAGGAAGGTTTCACATACTCTCCAGACGCCACCCTTCAACACTTCCCACAATCCCCTATCCACACAGATGAAGTTGGCTTGCCATCAGCATCACCGCCAACCTCATCCAACTTATCCAATACATCCCAACCTTCGACGGCCTCACCGAATGCAACGTACTTGCCATTCATCTTGGATAGCTTGGTTTCGTCGTTGGCAAGAACAATAAAAAACTGTGAAGAGTTGGAGTTCTTGCCCGAGTTCGCCATAGCGAGAGATCCTTGATGAAACTTCTTCTTCAGTCCTTCTTTCTCGTCGTTAAATTTACTGCCATATATTGACTGGATGAATGGATACGTAACTGAATGAGTACCTCGTCACATAAAGTGCGAATATATGTATAAGAAAGTAAGACGGAACCTACCTCGCCTCCACTTCCATCTCCTCTAGTAATGTCACCTCCCTGAGCGACGAAACCTTTCACGATCCGATGGACAGGTGTATTCAAATAATGCAGTCTCTTATTCGGCGCATTCTTGCACGCCCCTTTCTCGCCCGTACACAAAGCGATAAAGTTGGCCCTAGTTTCAACCAGTCCAGGAGAGTCATCCAGCTTGAATACCAATCGACCAGCACGAAGGGGCTCAGGTGGCTGGAACCTCATTTCCAAAGAACTCTAGCAGGACTAGTGTTGATCGATTGGGACAAGAAAATGAGAGGTATAGATCACCATACATCCAGTTCCTTTAGAATGTCTTGTTGCTCCTCTGACAAGAGTTCTGGAGAGGATGGTAGGCCGTAGATGGAGGCATTTTTGGTGAGCAGAATATGGGTTGCATCGTACGCAGTCTGTTCGCGGTTATGTTTCTCCTGGTCCCCAATGTAGATGTCGAGATAAGCTTTTGTTCCCGCAGACATGGCGGACTATTCACAACAGAGATTGCTAAATTTTGGTGTAGTATGAGACAAGAACTCTGAGATCTGAATCTGGAAAGCGCTCAGGATCCTAGAGTTGAAAGTATGTCAATGTACGTATACGTACATGTCCAGGAGTTACAGCTGTCAGAAAGACTTTAGATGCTGCTAAGCATAACGAGATCTAAAATACAACAAGAATAATGATACACGATATCCGCCGATAATTCCAAGTCTATGCGTCCATATGCATGTCAACATCTTCGCCTCCGGTCTCCTTAGCTTTCCCTTTGGTTGCCGAAGGTGGCGGACGTGACACGGCTTCCTCATCCGCATCTTCAAGGTCGCTAACGCCGAAGATTTCGTCGTAAGAAAGATCGTCGAGTCCAAGCTCGTACTCCTGCGCATATGCCGCTAACTCCTCCGCTTCCAGGTCATCGGGAACAAGACTTGGCTCAGGTTCCTCTGCAGAATGAAGACATGAGACATCCGTCCCATAGGTCACGTAGACCCATAATAAGGGATACGAACCTCGAAGGTCATTCTCCCATTCTGTAATATTGTCTAGATCGGGGTCAAAGGAGGATCCGACGTCCTGCGCATAAGAAACACGAAATTGGTGCAGTCTTTTCCGTTTGGTGCTCGACATTATGCGGCTGAAGAGCTAAAAGAAGATGAGTGAATAATGTTCATTGAAGATGCCGCATATAACATACCTCATCATTTAGAATAGTATCTTCATCTTCGGACCCTTCGAAGTCCATATCCTCATCCGCACCATCGCTACTGAAGTCGCTGCTCATCCTCCGCTTACTTGCTATCTTTCGTTCTCTAGCTTTCTGCGCACGTTCGAAACATTGGTTCCGGAACCGCTCTCTCAGAAGAGCTCTTCGTGCCTCGTCGGCAGGCACAGGGCACTCGGCGGCTGACTGAGCGCGAGGACTACTGCCTATGTGATAAGCACTAGTATTGTGTCGTGACGGCTGCCGTGAACGGGACGAGCTAGGTGTGTTTATTGCATGAGTTTTATACTGAGAACGCCTGCGAGCTTGCGCAGCTGATACTGGCGATGAGCCAGGAGAGGATGCCAGCGGCGATGAGTTCAGGGGTTCGCGAGCAAGAGAGTGGTAGTTTCGAGGGCGTGAAGGTGTCTTGGGTGTAAATATCGAAGGAATAGCCATAGCTGCAAGAGACATGATCAATAACAGGTGGTGGCTGCAGAATAAGATTGCATTCAAGCAGGCGGCTCAGTTTCGCGCCTGTCACGCTAAACAGGAAGTCACGCGTTGTCACACCGCGTTATTTGTACTTGCTTGCAACGCCGGTGGCGTCGGCGCGTTCCGTCCGTAACAAGGGGTACACCTTCTTTCTTGGGCGTTTGTGTTACTATGCCATCTTCGCAAAAGCTTCTTCGCGGTTGACGTCGGAATGAACGTTTTGGTTCAAGACGTGATCGGAGCTCTTTGACATGCATGACCCATGTGTTGTGCTCTATCAGTGCGGAATGAAGAACTAATAATTACTTCCAAGGAAACCACCGATCTCTAGACCTGCCACATCCTTGTTGTACTGATGCACGGGCCTGAATTTGGGCCTTTGCATTCCCGAGAAGACCACCGCTTCAACACGATCCGCTTTGTCCTGTTTTACGCGTAACAGGCTTCTAACCATATGACACAAAGTCCCCAACTCACGCTATCATCAGCGTTACTCGGGCGGCCAGGTCCCGTTAGCTTGTACGCTAGCGGAGTCAGGATCACATCGCACTTATAAATGCAGCACCATCTGGAACCCTGGAGGGGTCAGCCTCATCCTCACTCTTTTGTTCTGTAACTATGTTCAGCGGGTCAGAACACCGCGATGCTTGGTGCGTCCCTACACTACGCTTTGGCAACTTATGTAGCCTCACGACAGATTGCATCTGATGTCAGCGCGAAGAAGCAGCAAGATCGAGCAGAAAAGATTGCTCGATTAACACCTAAATACTCTGCTCCACTTACCGAGGAGGACCAGCGAATACTTGGTCTGTCCTTGACTCAGCTTGTAGGCGAGTGCAACGATGGCGCCATCAATCCTTCATCTATCCTTTCTGCCCATGGCAAGAAATGCTTAGCTGCTCAGGAAAGCACGAATTGCCTTACCGACTTCATGTTTGAAGAAGGCCTTTCGAAAGTTACCACGAACAGACCCCTCTCCGGTGTTCCTGTCAGCATCAAGGATTGTTTCGATGTCGAGGGTCATGACACTACCTTAGGATTCTCCAGCAAGGCGAACCAACCCGTGCCCTCGTCTGCATCTATCGTGCAGCTCTTGCAGGACGCCGGCGCACTTATTCACGTAAAGACAGCGGTGCCCACTGGAATGTTCTCGTTCGAGACCAAGTCTGATTTGTTCGGCGAAACCAGTAACCCATACAACCCAAAGTTCGCAGCTGGCGCCTCTACGGGTGGTGGCGCCGCGCTCCTTGCATACCACGGGAGCAAAATAGAGATTGCTTCTGATATTGGTGGTAGTGTCCGTTTTCCGCCAGCTTACTGTGGTGTGTACGGCATGAAAGCATCATGGGGTCGATTTCCCGCCCATGGTTCCCATGCAGCTCCGGGAGGCATGGAAAGCATCCAAACCATTCCTTCTCCGATGGCCAAGACTCTGGAAGACTTGATCTCTTTCTGGGAAAGAGTGGTTGGGATGAAACCTTGGGAATACGATCACACGGTATGTGTCCTCCATGACGCCGTCTATACAATCCTGACTTCAAGTTACGCCACAATCAGTGCGTTCCTATTCCGTGGCGCCCTGTAGATTTTGTATTGACCGGCAAGAAACCGAAATGGGGAGTGATATGGGACGATGGTGAGTTGATTGCCACGGCTTTTCAGATACTGTATAGATGCTAACGCCACTGTGCAGGTATCATGCCTGCGACTCCTGCATGCGAACGAGGTCTAAAGTCCGCGGTGGAGTCGTTGAGAAAACTAGGCCACGAGGTGATCGACTTGTAAGTATACGAATTCCCGCTTTTTGACCGGTCATTATAAAACCTGTGCTTATTATTCCCAATAGTCAACCTCCAAGCATTTTGGAAGTGTTGAAGACCGGTTTCCAATTCTTATCTGCAGATGGAGGTGCGTGTACAACGTTCATCACTTCAATTTGTCTCATGGCGATCCTTTCAGCTGATACTATTGCCGCCCCTCTTTCCCCGTCGGAATCGCTGAGTGACCCAATGATGGAATTCCGAAGAATTTTGAAGATGCCGCTCTTTGCTAAGCGTTTGATGGCCTCACTGCTACGGATGCTGTCGCGACCTGCCGGCCGCAATGACGCTTTTGCGGCGTTATCTGAGGTTTTACACCCCATGTCTGTCGCGGAAGAGCGAGCGCTAGTTCTCAAGCGAGAAGAACAGAAAGCCGCTTGGACAAAAGCGTTTAAGGACCAAGGCGTCGATTTTATCCTGACGATCGCTCATCCGCTTCCACCGGTCCTGAGAGGGAAGTCAGGAACAGCAACATTGTTATCGGCCAGTTCTGCGTTCTTGTTTAACGTCGTAAGTCCACTTGTAGCTTGGAATATCTATATTTTTCTGATCCTCTATTACCGCGCCAATTCAGCTCGACTTTACCGCTGGAGTAGTACCGGTGACTTTCGTTGACCGATGGCTCGATGCGCTTCCGGATAACTTCCAGGAGACAGAAGCTTACGGCAAGCTCAACGACGCTGCGAGGAACATGTTCTCATGTTACGATGCGGTAGCGATGGACGGTCTTCCGATCGCCGTGCAGGTCGTCGGGCGCCGATTTGAAGAAGAGAAGGTCCTTGAGGGCATGAAGGCAATCGAAACGGCTTTGAAGGAAACTGACAAGGCGTTTGTGCAGAGGGAATTCTACTAATGTCTGACGAACTAAATGAGGGACTAACGCCCAAATCTGGAGGTTATTTAGATATCATACTGTTTTCTATCGTTTTTCTACGAACGTCGTCTAATCGTCAATTTGCGCATCTCTACTCCCTAAACAGTACATACCTAGTCATCAATGGAAGCATTCTTTGTTGGTTTTCTGCTTGCTCCATTCATTCTCTGATGGTCAGATGTTTTCTGTTCAGAAGGCGAACTACATAATCTCGACCTTCGGACCCGGTCTTTTGCTTCGGGTAGCATGTTTACAGCGTGTTATGATCGTGATCGACCACTGTGATCTCGAGGATAATTTGTTCTTTTGTCAACAACTGCCAACTTCGTATGTACGCCATGTAGCTGCAAGCTGCGCTTTGAGCTCCGGTGTGCGTGAATGCGAGGGAAACTTTCCAACGGGTTACTACTTCCGCATCCGGGTGTTAGTTGTCACGTCAAGCCAGTTTAGCTTTCTTTGTGCTGGAAACTAAACAAACGTTCAATGAGTCCATCATGGGAGATCTAGCCAAAGATATCCTCTCTGGCACATTTCGTCACACGCCTAGCTTCCGAAACTCACCGGTTGGTTCAAGAAACTTGATTACCCGACTACCGTCTCATGGTCCTTATCGCTCGTTTGATTTGACGGTCTTCACTCGTTCAGGGGAAACCAGGGCCATTGGACGTCTTCCAAGGCGATGTTCCGGATCGGAGTAGACGTGGGTGGTAAGTTGCAAACTGATACAGCTAGTGATGATGTATGGCTCACTTGTTCTACTGCAGGCACAAACACCGATAGCGTATTGATTGATATCGCGCGAAGTAGAGAAAGCAACCGAGGAGTGCTTTCCTTTCACAAAGCTCCGACTACTTTGAATGTGTCTGACGGCATCGAGGCAGCTGTCCGCAGCGTTTTAGAAGCAAGTGGCGTCGCACCTGACCGTATATCTTGCCTTTCTATTGGCACTACAGCCTTTATCAATGCGGTATTGGAAGCTGATGCCCGACGATTGGCAAGAGTTGCAGTCATCCGTCTGTGTGGTCCGTATACTCGACAATGTCCGCCGTTCATAGACTTTCCCAATTGTCTGCGGGTGTTAATGCAAGGTTACGTCGCGTATATTGATGGAGGCCTCGAGAGTTCGTTAAAGGTTTCGTCTACGTGGATATCCTAGACAGCTGACCACGTTCACTCAGTTGACGGGCGGGAGATTGCTCCGTTGAATGAACAGCAGCTCGTTGAGGAATGCAAGATTATCAAAGAGAAAGGTATACGCAATGTATGCATGGCGGGTTTTCTGGTTTTAGCTTTTTCTTAAAGTAGACAAAAGACTTTATCGATCTTGCTAACGTGTTTTTGGACAAATTCAGGTCGTGTTGTCTGGAATATTTTCGCCGCTGGACTCATCCGGAAAACAGGAAATTGTGGCCCGAGATACCGTATATCGTGAACTAGGCTCGACTGTGAATGTGGTCTGTTCACGCGACGGTACGTCCTACCCTTCACGTATAACAAATCGCATAGCGAAATGGGCGGTTTTATAGTCGGTCAGCTCGGACTTCTTGAACGCGAGAACGCATCCATTCTCAATGCGTCCATCTTGACATTTGCGCGTCGGACAATCAGAGGATTCCAACAGGCGATGCACCGATTGGGTCTTCGCTGCCCATTATTCCTTACCCAGAACGATGGAACATTAACCTGTGCCGCTTCAGCGGCTCGATTACCCATTCGCACCTTCGCATCAGGTCCAACCAATTCAATGCGAGGGGCGGCATTCCTGGCAGGCTTGGACGAAGGCAAGCGTCAATTCGACGGAAAATCCGTCATTGTGGTGGATGTCGGAGGAACGACCACGGATGTTGGGGTCCTCCTATCTTCTGGTTTTCCTCGACAATCTGCTGCATTCATCGAAATTGCTGGAGTGCGGACCAATTTTTCCATGGCAGATGTCCAGTCAATTGGATTAGGCGGCGGTTCTCGGGTGAGAACCACAAGCACACCATCTGGAATGCGCGCCACCGTAGGCCCTGACTCAGTGGGTCATAACATTACTAACGATGCCTTGGTGTTTGGAGGGAACATTCTAACCGCGACAGACATTGTCATCGCTAATGGACGTGTTAAGCTTGGTGATACAGAGAAGGTTTCTCGTCTTGATTCCAGTATAGTTTCTAGCGCGGAAGCTGCTGTCAAGAAGCACCTCGAGCGCATCATAGACAAGTAAGTTCGACCCGTTGCTCGTCTTGACTCCGTTGCGAAGGTTTCTCCATTTGGCAGGATGAAAACATCTCCGGAAGACATCACCGTGTTGCTCGTAGGTGGTGGCAGTATCATTGCACCCGCTAAGCTTTCTGGCGTTCGGGAGATCATCCGGCCTCCCTTCTTCAGTGTGGCAAATGCAGTCGGCGCGGCTATGGCCAAAGGTCAGTTCCTTAGATTTTCCTACCCGAGGTCCGTCGCGCTAAAACGTCAGTCCCAGTCGCGGGAGAAGTGGACACCATCGAGTTCTTGGAGTTTCGATCATTGAGTTCTGTCGTTGAAGATATTAAAGAAATTGCTATTAGGAAGGCTATTGCATCCGGTGCCGATCCCAGTGCGTCCGGGATTATCTGCTTACGACTGGCCGCTGGAATGGAAGCTAAAACGATGCCTCAGCCACAATTAAGATAGTGGAGGTTACGAATCTTCCAGTTCAGTATGTTACAAATCAAGCGACCAGGATTATCGTCAAGTCTGCCGGTGAGCTCGCGCCAGATGCACGGGTTTTCTCAAATGAAGAAGATCCGGACTCGGACGTCTTGTTGCCTGCCTCCGGCGAAGAAGTTGATCCAGGAAGGGAAGAATATGGCCACCCAGATGATATTGAAGGGTCTGGCATTGACATTGATAGTTACAAGCCCGACATTCGAGCAGATCGTTCTTGGTATATCTCAGAGACCGACTTAGGCAAGCCTCTTGTTGTTCTGTTTTACTCGGTTTTGACGAGTACGTCCATATTCCGTAGAGTGGATCGCGGATGGCTGCGGCGTCTTGGGAACCGGCGGAGGAGGATCACCATATCCTCCGTTCCTAATTGCCCGACAAATGTTACGTGAAGGCAAGCACATTATTGTGAGCCCCCATGTTTTGTGTGACGTTTTACAAATACTGATGAACAACATTCATAGGTGATCGATGCAGATGATGTGCCTGAGGATGCTGTCTTCGTGCGATGCACATTCATGGTTCGTTCTCGCCTCTGAATCACAAGGCACATGTTTCTGAAATGGTCTCCTCTTAGGGCTCACCGAGCGTGTCGGTACGTCCAGGACCTCGTTTTCACTCTGCAGCACGCGCATATAATAATATTTCATCACTCGTAGAATGAGCGTTTGCAGGGCGGAAATGAAATCCCAACTTCTATCCAAGCTGTCCTCAGGTACCAAGGACTAGGAGACTTCGCTGGCACCATCTCTGATGAGATAGGCGGTGGTAATGGAATTCAGCCCATGATTGTTGCGGCAGAAATGGGCAAACCGGTCCTAGACGCGGACCTCATGGGAAGAGCGTACCCCAATGTATGTCTTTTTTTGTGCTCCGGTGGAATTTCAATTGAGATGCGTGTCATTTCAAGATGTATCAATCGTAAGTCACATCCCCGTGTTTTCAACCATCCTCGACTCACGTTGCATCCCCCCTCCTGCAGCCTTCCGGGTGCATACAATATTCCCAACGGGCTAGCTCCTTGTGCGATCTCAGATGGGATTGGGAACACAATTGTAATAGTCTCTCCTCCCTCTTGATCCTGTTAACAACTGAGTGACATTGGTAGATCATGCCTTCCGCAAGCAATAGCCACTCCGTAGAGCACATCCTTCGCATAGTCACCACTGAGATGGGTTCAAAGAGTGGTGTCTCCATGGCACCCTTATCTCGAAAGGCCTGCCAGGAATATGGTAAGCTGCATTCTCTTGCATTCGACATTCCATGTTGACTTGCCATCGGCGGATGGAATGCAGGTATCGCGAGAAGCGTCTCACAGGCTTGGCGTATCGGCCGTGCGCTTGCTCTTTGTCGCAAACGAAACGACATGAAGGGCATACCGTCAGCTATTCTTGAAATTCAGAACGGATCATGTTTATTCATTGGCAAAATTGTCGATGTCCATCGTGTAAGTCATTTCAACTTCTTTCCGGAAAGTTGTAATACCGAGATTTCAAATACAGGAAGTGAGGAAGGGTTTCACATGGGGCAGAGTGACCATAGCGCCACTTCGTGAAGACGAAGAGGAAGACAACTCAGCCTCTTCCCAAGCCTCCGCCCCACAATATGGTCCTGAAGATCATCTTGTCATCCCGTTCCAGAACGAGAATCTGTACGCTTACATTGAGTCGCCAAGCATTGTTGAAAGGAAGGTGAGATCGAGCTGGTGTATCTGACCACATGGACCACCGACTAATGAGCCGCATAGGTTTTGGTCACCGTTCCAGACTTGATTACAGTATTGGATAGTCAATCAGGAACGGCTCTCGGTACACCAGAGTACAGGTCAGGCGTGCTGCTCCATTCCTCTAATAATCTGGTTAAAAGTTTGGCAGATACGGCTTGCGGGTTACGGTCATCGCACTGGCTGGCGATCCCAAATGGACGAAGACGCCTGAAGGGTTGGCGTGTGGTGGCCCTACAGCATTTGGGTAAGCGAAGTGTGCACCATATTGATATTATCCTGACATTTTTGCTTCCAGGTTGAATGACCTTGCGTTCACGCCAATGGCAGAATATACAAATGCGGAGAGCGTCATCACGCAGTATGCTGCGTGCTGAGCATACACGCCACCTATCGTGAAAACATCTTGTGGGTTATCATCAGCTTCGAATCCCTTGTCCATGCTTGGGTCGCTGAATGGGTGAGGAGCCAACGTAACCGGTTGTCGACAAACCTCACACTTTTGGTTTGGATGAGGTTACTAATTCAAGGATAATAGCCGCGAGCACATCAGTGTCAAGCAGTATGCCTCGTAGGCTGAATGTAGATGTGCTCCAGAAGTGTCTATTTATATAATCTCCTAACACCACGCAAATCTATACAACAATGTATTAGCAAACGTTCAACGGCAAGAAGTCGAGAAAACGTACTTCTCGTTAAACAACCAAACTAGCTCCTCTGGCCGCTCCGGTCCATACCATTTAAAGGATGGAAGGTGGTCATCTCTCGAAACAGTTATGCCCCCGTGCACGGCTGCGACCGGTTCCAAGTCTCTAGGTAAATTCCAAATTTCCAGTTGATCCACCCCTGCCCCCTTCGCTGCATCAAGCAACTTGGTAAGCAAGCTGGGGAACAACTCCTCGGATGTCCTGATGCGAGTGACCTGTAAGACCTTGGGTTGTCCACGGAGCTCTAAGGTCCAAGTTGCGAAGGCCTTCACACCATCGTGAATGTATGCCTCTCCACCATCAGGAGTTTGGACACCCCACGTTTTTGCAGGTAGGATCGGTGAGAGCTCAGGACCGAAGTTCATTGTCCGGCGGATACTGACTAGCCCGACGCCCTCAGTGGGAAGAAACGAGAACGCGACTCTCTGATCCTGGGAAAGGACAAGGGCGGTAGCTTCTTGTTCCATAATTTTTGCATCCATCTGCCACAAGTGATCGACCTGTTCCTCGGACAACCATACCCAGTCATCCATGTTTGATGCTTTGAAGTCATTCGACTGCACATCCCATCTAGTCTGTTTGGCATCTCGTACAATCCATCCTTCACCAGTGGACTCATCGGGGCTGCAAACACGGTAGAACTCCGGTCCAACGTCACTGTACAGGGCGGAGAATCGGGCATTTCCCATTGAAGGTGGAACCTCCGGGGGAGCACCCCATGCCTCCGGGAAAGCCGGTAAAGCTGATCGCGGGGCAAGCACCCGATGAAGCAACCGCATCATATGCTTTGCATAACCTTTACCTCGCTTCGATACTGGGGTAAAGACAGATGCGATTCCATATCCGACAGTGTCTTCAGTTTGTGAACCATTCTGGGATGATCTGCAGACGATCGCAGGTCTTCGGAACCTGCATAGTACTTATGGTTGAGATCGAGGAAAATCCGGTGCATTTTCTTGCACTGACGTTTCGCACGAGCACATAAAATCTAGCGTCTGTGGATCAGTTCTAGGTGCGAGAACCCTGATTAAAATTAATGAGTGTTGGACTGGAAGTCAATCACTTGAATGAATATCTACCAGGTGGTCAGTTTGTCGCGAGCATGTTCATAATTATCCATTACTGTGTGAAGTTGAAGATACTGCTCCAACGGGAGCCCCCTGTTCCATTGCACAAAGGATCGTTTACGAGACTCAATTATTTGATCGCGCGCAGCAGGGAAGAGGGAGAGGTTGGCCAAATCGACGGTGGACATTGTTCGGAATTTATCAGCCTCGAGTTAGGCAGTAATTGGCTTGCAATGCGGGCGTAAGACAGTCAGGAGAGTTTTTGTTAAGGACTGATGCGAGTCAGAGGTGGTCACCGCGTACGCGACGCGTAGTACACGTGCTGTGAATATTTCCCAAATCTGGGAGGCACAGCAAGAAATTCAAACTAGGGTTTAGTTGCCACGTGGATAGGGTTTAGCTTACGCCAGTGAACGCGACGCGTAAGATACGCTTTCAGCTTTGGGTCTACTTCACTCTTACCTCTTCACCAGACCTCCACTTTATTGACCCATCATGGCTCAACCCACACCTTTTGCTCTTACGGTACCTTCTGAAGACCCGAAGAAAAGGGCGAAGAAGACCGAGGAGGAAGGCAAGGAGAAACTGAAGGATGATACCAAAGAGGGCGAAGACCTCGTATGTTCTTCTGAACTACTTGGTGTATGGCTCTACTGACACTTTTGCATAGTCTGATGAGGATCTTCAGCTCAAGAATGAGCTTGAAATGCTTTTAGAACGGCTGAAGGTGCGAGGATAACATAATTACATCCACTACAGTTGGCTAACATTGCTTACCAGGAACCTAATACCGAACTCTACCGTCCAGCACTAGAAACGCTGCGAACACTTATTAGAACCTCAACTTCCTCTATGACATCCGTCCCCAAACCTCTGAAGTTTCTGCATCCCCATTACCCCGAGCTACAATCCCTGCACGAGAAATGGCCTCCGTCAGAAGACAAGGTATAGTTCTGTCATCTCGTTACGTCCACATTGACTAAATACATTTGGAAATCAGAGTCTGTTTGCAGACATTCTCTCTGTTCTTGCAATGACGTACTCCGATACTCAACCTCGGGGAACTCTCCGCTACCGTCTCTTGTCCGACTCACTTCGACCAGCGGGTTCACCCATATCTGAGCCAGGTTCATGGGGTCATGAATATGTTCGTCATCTTGCAGCTGAGCTTGGTGAAGAATACAATGCTCGGGAACTTGGCGAAGAGGAAGAGAATAAACCTGTCATAAACGGCATTGATGGGAAACCAGGCGTTATTGGAACCGACGACCAGTTGCGTGTGTTGGCAATGGAATGCGCGACGTTCTTGCTGCAACATAATGCTGAGCCGGATGCGGTCGATTTGCTGGAGGAACTTGAGATTGTGGATCGGATAACGGAGCTTCTGGACGAAAACACCTACAGCCGAGTCTGTCAATACATGGTTGCGTGAGTATCTTCATGACATAGCAGTATACGCGTCCATCTAATAAATCTGTTCTAGCTGCGTAAACCTTCTACCGCCTCCAGATGATGCTGCCTTCCTCCGGACAGCCCATAGAATCTACGTGCAGCACAAGAAGTTCCCGGAAGCACTCTCACTTTCAATACGAATCGGCGATCCGCAACTAATTCGCGACGATTTCCATGCTCCCGCCAACCCATTGATGAAGCGTCAACTAGCGTTTTACCTTGCAAGAGCACAAATTCCCAAGGAATGGCTGGAGCTCGACGAGGAGGAAGAATTGCCGGAAGATCTTCTTGACTGTCTGAGCAATACGCGGCTAAGCCAACACTTCAAGGATTTTGGCAAAGAATTGAGTGTCTTGGAGCCGAAGAGCTTGGAAGACGTGTATAAGTCACATCTGGAGAATACAAGTAAGTCTGGTACGCGTGCTCTTGGCTGCACACGCATACTGACAAATTTATATATTAGGAACAACTGCGACTGTGGACTCCGCACGAGCCAATCTTGCAGGCACCTTTGTCAATGCGTTTGTAAACGCCGGTTTTGGTAACGACAAGCTCATGGTTGAAGCCGAGGAGGGCAACAGCTGGATATACAAGAACAAGGATCACGGCATGATGAGTGCTGCGGCAAGTCTGGGTCTGAGTTTGCTCTGGGACACGGACGTCGGTCTCAGCCATGTTGACAAATATACCTACGCCTCTGAGGAGTACATCAAGGCTGGCGCTCTTCTTGCTACTGGTATCCTCAACACTGGCGTCCGTACGGAAGCTGATGCAGCGCTCGCCCTACTTGGTGAATATGTCGAGAACAAGTCTGTACCTCTTAAGACCAGCGCCATCGTTGGTCTTGGATTAGCTTATGCAGGTTCACATCGAGAAGACCTTCTCCAATTGCTCTTGCCGCATGTTGCCGATGACGCTGTTTCTATGGAAGTTGCTTCATTATCCGCTCTCGCTCTCGGTTTCGTCTTCGTTGGAAGTGGGAATGGTGAAATTGTGAGTACGATCTTGCAGACGCTGATGGAGAGGGAGGACAGCCAATTGGGAGAGAAGTGGGCGAGGTATATGGCGCTTGGGTTGGCTCTCGTGAACCTTGGTATGTCATTCCTCTACCATTTTTTATTGCTGTGGGATTGCATTTTGACTGTTCGCTTTAGGCCTCCAAGATGGTTCAGACGCCACTATCGCGACTCTGCAAGCGATTGAGCATCCTATTTCTAAGCAGGCTGAAGTCCTTGTGGACATGTGTTCATTTGCTGGAACTGGTAACGTCTTGAAGGTGCAAGCCTTCCTCCACCACTGCGATGAACATATCGTCAAAGACAAAGAGGAGAAGAAGGAAGAGAAGAAGGAAGAAAATGAGAAGAAAGAAGGTGAAAAGGAGGGGGAGTCGGAGGAGGGGAAAAAGGAGGAGAAGCCGAAGGATGATACCTTCCAGGCCTTCGCTGTTCTGGGTATTGCTTTAGTTGCAATGGGTGAGGATGTCGGTGCAGAGATGTCAATGCGGATGTTCAACCACCTGGTAAATAGATTCCTTTTTATATGCGTCGGTATCAGCTCACCCCGTCAAAGATGCACTACGGTGAACCAATCATTCGCAAAGCCGTCCCACTTGCCCTCGGTCTCGTCAGCGCGTCAAATCCTCAGCTCCCCATCCTCGACACGCTTTCCAAGTACAGTCACGACAACGATCTCCAAGTCGCCCTCAATGCCATTTTTGCCATGGGGTTAGTCGGTGCGGGTACAAACAATGCACGTCTTGCACAGATGCTTCGACAATTGGCAGGATACTACTACAAGGAGCCTGATTGCCTGTTTGTCGTTCGTATTGCGCAGGGTCTGGTGAACATGGGCAAGGGCACGATTTCAATTAACCCTTTCTTCATGGATCGGCAGATCATGAGCAGGACGGCTGTTGCTGGTCTTCTGGCTACCCTTATAGCCTTCATTGATGCCAAGTCATGTACGTATCTTGGTGTATGCGATCGGTTTTTGACATGTGCTCATATTTTCTTTGTCCAGTCGTGCTTGACAAGTACCATTGGTTCTTGTACTTCCTGGTGACAGCCATGTACCCAAGATTCTTGATCACCCTCGATGAGAAGCTAGAGAGTTTCCCTGTTACAGTTCGCGTTGGCCAGGTACATCTATGACCTTTTGTCTTCTGCTTCCTTGCGTATCCTAACCTATCAACTTAGGCCGTCGACGTTGTTGGTCAAGCAGGAAAGCCACGGACCATCTCCGGCTTCCAGACACATTCGACACCAGTGCGGTTGGGTACAACCGAACGTGCAGAGTTGGCGACGGAGGAGTACATTCCATTTGCACATGTACTTGAAGGTCTTGTCATCCTGCAGAAAAACCCGGGGTACGAAAAGGAAGACAAGATGGAGGTGTAGACAGTACGATTTGTATAATTGTCTTTCTTATGTTTTGGACGTTTTCATTTCCCCCAATTATTTCCTGCATATATTGAGTGCGAGCGCTAAGCAACGATCGTCGGGCTCATCCTGAGTCGCTGAAAGTCTATGTATTCGAACTTCTACCTCGTTATGACTCTGGTGGTCATTGAACTAACCTGTCCATCTGCAACTCCAAAGAGGCACACTGATCTCACTGCATGCATGCTGTTTGTGGAGAAAACTTCCATTAATATTATACTCCTGCACAGCCAAGGCTATGACCTCACTCACGTTGATGATATAGGAAAGTTGTAGCTTAAAGGGACGACAGCAGACACAAGATTCCATAACATTACCACCTGTCCTTTCGCCCTTTACAATCGAAACAATATGACCGACTTTGTCCGCCGTCTGGTGTCTGGAAACAAAGCTCGATTCAAGGATGGGGATTTGGACGTCGACTTGGGTGCGTATACGCCCTCTTTACTCTTTAATTCACCACGCTGCTACTTAATTCGAGCATTTATCATACATAGACCTGGCGTATATTACCGATAGAGTGATTGTAATGGGATACCCAGCAACTGGGATTGAAGGTTTCTATCGTAATCGACGAGAAGACGCGAAACGGTTCCTTGAACATCGGCATGGAAAGAATTACTGGGTATTCAACTTCTGCCCAGTGCGAGAGAACTCGTACCCCGACAGTGTATTCGATGGTCGTGTTAGTCGATACCCCTTCCCAGACCACCAGTGTGTTTCACAATATTCTCAATATCAATGATATTCTGACTTGAAGGACACCATGTAGTGCTCCCCCGTTGGCCATCTTGGCACTTGTGGCTAGGGAGATACGAGAATGGCTAGATGGTTCTCCTGAACGAGTAGCCGTCTTGCATTGCAAAGGTACTTAGAACAGTTCCAATGTGGGGTAGCGGCATGGCCCCAATGCTGACATTGATCTGAATTTCTAGCGGGCAAGGGCAGATCAGGCACCATGGCTTGCGCGTATCTCTTGTCGCTCGAATTTGCACCTAGCCGACCTCAGCTCGAACGAAACAAAGACACGACAGAGCGTGCTATAGAGCGCGCCAAGGAACTCATGAATACCATGCCTACCGACGATGCCCTACCAGAAAACGAAATCAGCAGGGACCCATCCGAAGAGGACTTGGTGAAGGTTGAGCTTTCAAGCAAAAGCCCAGGGCCGGACGGCCCAGTGAAGACTGAATCGGTGAAGAGCGAGACGACAAATAGCCTGAGCCGTGTCCTGGATCTTCACACTTCACGCAGGATGATATCTTCTTCTCCTGGGAAGAACGTTAAGCCAGGTGTCAGTATTCCCAGTCAAAGACGTTGGCTGTATTACTGGTCCCTACTCCTGGCGCACCAGGAGCCTCCAGGTTTTTGGTCGTTAGATCCTAAGATTCAAAGTCAGCCTCCGCCGAAAGTGCAGTTGACGCAGGTTAAACTTCGCACGCGACAGTTGTCTGGAGTGAAATACAATCTTGTCAAAGCCGCGAACGCTCTGATCGACAGCACCAGTCTGGGGAGGATCTCGAGTATGCGGGCGAATGCAACGGCTCAGAGCAAAGGCCAAATTTGGATATCACTCGCTCGTTACGACGATGACTTAGTGGGAACTCTCGAGAAATGGGAGAAGCGTACCCGGAATGAGGACGGTAATATGGGTAAGCGCAGAAATGGTTCAGAGAATAGGGACGAACACATCGAAGACCTATTCAAGACGGACAAGTGGGACAAGGCGAAAATGGTTAGGAGTTTTGCCAGACTTGGCGGCGTTGGTGATGCTTCGGTCCAACAGGAAGATGCTACGGTGTGTATAAATCGCTGTTATACGGTTTTAGAAGTTCAATTAATTGTTTCTCTTCATTCCCTTCGTGATGTTCCATGTTACATGAGAAGGTATCGACTCACATTCTGTCACCATTGTCGAATGACAATTGGGAATCTATTCGGCACAATATCGAAGAGGACGAGGGTAAGGCGGCCCCACCCGGGGGTGATGTGGTATCCGAAGAGACGTCTCTTTACGATGTTACACGAGCTTTGAACGGTGGCGGCGGCATCGTACTGAATGCCAACCGCGACGTTCGCGCGAAGTTGTACATGGGTCAGGTTCGTCATTTCCGCGGTACACCTGACTTCTTAACGTTGTCTGATGCACATCATGCTTAGGTATTCATGGGTTGGTTTTGGTTTATACCAACTTTCCATATGCAGCACCCACGCTCAGCCGGCGCAGTGACAACCCTGCGATTATCCCGTAAAGAATTGGACTTCCCGCTCGGCATTGGGTCAAATATCATCGACCTGGAAGTCACCATGGAATGGTGTTCTGAGTCCGCCGATGTCGTAGAGCCGCCTGTGCGACAGGGTAGTCCGGAATCCCAGGCAGGCGAGGGCGAACCTACAGGGTTTGCGGCGACAGTGCAAGCCATTGCCACTGGAAATCCCAGGGAGGCAGTAGAAGCAAAGGAGGCAGCTGAGGGTTGAAATTGAAGGTTTGTTCCATCGTGACGGCCGTTACATTGTAAATGTAATTTCCTTGAAATCAGAGAGCAATTCATTCATCTGTCTACATACTTACTCCGACTCAGCTCGAAACGATGCAACGTTGCGAGGACGTCAGGATCTGCGGCTCCGCATTAGGCCAACTCAATACCGTTTTGGATATGTTGACTCGACAGCACTTGTTAGTCTGACAGGAGTGATGTGCTTTCTGTGGATGACGGAACGTGCATAGAGACATGGCGTCTTTTTGCTCTCTGTGGTCTCGAGGCTCTCACGCACCTGGTGACCACAAGCCAATGAACGACGTAGGTCTTATCGAATCTCGGCACGAGGCCAAGAAATTCAAAGATGGAGATTTGCGAAATAGGTATAGTCGATCCTTCCATCAGTCCCGATGAGAATTGCCGGCGGTAATGTTGTGATGAACGGGTGCATTTTCGGTCCCTTCTTGCTTGATTGAACAGACAATGATGTACACACCCCTCAACTTGATCTGTGGGAGATTGATTCAGGACGCTGGAGTGGATGTTATTTTGATCCCGTAGGTAGCCTCGCCCCGACGACCGACTTCGTTCCTAACCACCACCAGCTGCAGTTTGTACCTGCCGTTGACGACGGCGGACCAGATTATTATGCATTGTCGGTAATGGTGCCGTTCGGACTGAAGATCGTCTGGTTTTCTCTGTCGCTCTCTGGTGAGTACGCTGCAGTAATGTATGAGAGAAGCCTGCAATAACCTCTGGAATGGAATTGAAGGGCTCCTGGGCAGTTGGGCCGCGCTCCCAGCCTTCATAAGGACTGCACGATCATCATGGCTTCCTGTTGTGTATTCTATCGCGAATACCATACTACAAGGAATGTTTTGTCTTGGTGCGCCTTTTATCCTTCCTTTCTGGAAGGTCGCGGAGTAGCTCATGGCTTGCTGTTTCTTTAGGGTTGATATGGAGACTGGAACCATCGCGCATACCTCATGCGTTTGCGGAAGGTAATGTCAACTCTTACAGCCAGAGCGTACATGAATCTGATTGCGTTTGCATATAGCACAAACGGCTCTAATTCATGCTTCGTGGACGTGCATAGCAGGAGTATGTTTACTCGGCTCCTCAGCGACCGCAAGCTTGCCACATAAAGGACTGTCATGGTTGAACTCACTGCAATGGTTAGCAGTATTTCGACTCGCCATGCGGTAAACGCATACTGACTGCTGCGGCGCTCAGTCGTTATGATACAGCTATGCGTATCATTTTTCTGGGTTTCTTACCTGTCGTTGTAATTGCGACGCAATTGGCAATTATCAAAGGTCTAAACGTGACTTTAGCTGGGGATGGTATGTTCTGTGATGCCTTTAACCCTGTCTGGCAAGTTCTCTCCTCTCTGTATTCATCAAGCTCAGCGCTCACGTCTTCATTAGGGTTCGTCTGGTGGGATACTCAGGTCTTGTTCCGTTCCTCGCAATTCCCTCCCTCGTCATCTCCGTTACAACTTCGATCCGAATCATTGGATTCCGGAGAAATAACCCCGGTCCTGACGATAATTTTACCCCGCTGCCCATTTCCCACCGATTCCGACAGAGTTCTTGCCCAAATACGCCAGAAACTCGACATTCATCCCCTGAGCATCGGCGTACGCCCACTGCCCCGACACCCACAGACAATGACTGCTCTCTCCGCTCTCTAACTCCGAGTTTTTATGCCATTCCTTCACGTCCACATACGCCTTCCTTTGCACTCACTTATAATCCACCGGGTCGAGCACGTATCACCGTGAGCGGATACAAATATCACCTCCCCTCGTATTATCTTTCACCTGCTAGTCCCTCATCTGATGCGGCCTCTCAAACCTCTCAAGCGAGAAGACCTTCGACTGACCTTATGACAGAATCTGGAACCTCTACGCGTTCAAATTCTCACCTCTCGTCGGTCTCGCCCATTGCATTTGCCCCTTCATCCGAGACGGGCAGTATCAAGGCACCCTCCAAGAATCTCACTAGGGGTACTTCTCCGGCAATGCCATTGCCAGGTGACATGGAAAAAGGGTCACTGAGACAAACTACGACTCTCAATGCCGTATTTTCATTCGACGGAAGCTTTCATACTGATTCTGATGATGCGGTCAGCGGGTCCATCAAATGGGCGAGAATGTCTATGGAGTCGTCTGGTCGAAAGTCCGAGATGGAGTTTGCGAGGATTACAGATGAGATGGATGATCTCTCTTACCCTCGAAATTCTCCCATGAATTATCGTGAGTCCCGCTTATTCATTCTCCCCAGCATCTCCTGTCTTCTACCAACTTTATTCTGCATTCTCTTTCCAAATTTCCCATCTTGCTCACTGACTTCCACAATTGGTCTTCTTTGTAGCAACTCCGACGCCACATCACGGTTACGATGATCCATCCTCTCGACATATGCTCATCTTCTTTCACTTGTTGTCTGTCATACTCATAGTTGGCGCCATCACTTCTCTCGTTGACATGATCGGTAGACGAACCTCATCTCCCATTGCTTTTGGAACCCAGCATGTCGCTTTGATTTTGACCGCATGGGCCCCCTGTGTTGCATTCGGGATCCCTTTACCACGTCGGCGAACTATCCGGTCATGAAGGTTTCGTTCGTTCAAATTCCACGCAATTAGATTCGTTCTGATCGCAGCACTCCTCATTCGCTCTTCATTCCCGTCCTCCGTTCTGCTTGACCCAGGTTAATTTTACCCCTGTGTAAGCTAGCTGCCCCCTGCTCTCACCCACTCATTCGTAGGTTTCGTGAATCATACAAGATGAATTCAAACCCCACTTTCCCTTTCAATATTCAACGCCCCAATGATACCCAATTGCTGAATTGTAGACTACCAGTTCACTAATTGTAGCTCACACAGCTCGCGAATTTGTGATCACCCCTCTTTCTTTTCATATTTCTGTTTTCAGCAGAATGTGCATTACTAGAATGTACTGTCAGGATACTCCACTACAATACAGAAGGCATGTTGAAGCCGGTGAATCGTCTAAGTACTAGTTGAAAGCGAAGTCGGAAGAATTGCGGTAAAGAGCTCGAATGTGTGTAAGTAAATAAGCCCAAGTATGATGCCCGTGAAAGAAAAGATAGAGATCAGAAACCACGACGAGACACAAAGCTCTGTATAAAGGCGATGAGGTCAATGAGCCGCAAATATCGTATATGGACTAACCTCCAGATCTTGTCGGGTGGCCACCCCTAGTACAAACTTACGATCCCAATCTGTGACTGTATACCGAAACAGAAATCAGAATGGTAAGGAGATGTGGATTAGGAGTTGACGCATACCTAGAGCGAAGATGTTGTTCTCCAAAAACCTCTCCAACTCTTCCAATGGTGTGCCGGGTGTAATCAAAGAATATGGTTGGCATGCTGAACGGACAAACTTCGTCATGTATTGCTCAACTCGATCATCCTACAAAGATATGGACAAGGTGCGCACGACCTGAGAAGGTGATGCAGTCTGACAGTGAGTAGAATGGCGTACTGGATTCGCTTGGCCTGCCTCCCATTTCGACTTCAGTTCTGCCACGTCGACGTATCCAAGCGGTCTCCTGTTCCCTCCTAGGACACTAACGCAGTACCTTTCCTCATTCACATGAACGAATATATGAAGATAGCATGACGTACGGTATATGAGAGAAATCTCGCTCATAAGCGAGCTCGATCGCTCGTGAAATAGGCTCAGATTTTGGCAGAGCAAAAGCTGGAGGCAGTTGTAGATCCTAAAGATTACAATTGGAAAGCACCATCATTTCAGTATTCTCGGCAACTACCTAGCAAGGATCCAATTGACCTCGACCACTGCACCGCGATACTTGTCTTCCGTTGGCAGAATCTCCTGTGACAACGGGGATTTTGCAGTAGAACCAGACATTATGTTGTAAGTGAGCCCCGAGAGTATTCTTATGAAGATGTTTAGGATGAAGGCGTAAAACAAGAATGTCGTACAATAAGTACACGACCGCCAAAATATAGAATCAGGCCATGGTCGCAGAATACATTACAGCTTTGGATTGGCGCCTTAAGACTTCCCAATGTCATCAAAAACGAGCTCTGCTCAGATATCCGGGAGCAGTACTTGAATGCAAGGTAAAATAATATACATGGCACGAAACTCATGATGCATGTCAATTGATCATTGAAGAATGGAGAGGAGGGGAGAGTATATAAACATGATAACAAATGGGACAAAAACGTACAGCCGACTAGCCAAAAAGCATGGAAAACTAACAAGAGTCGATGGGGGATATGAGATTATCGTGAGCATAACAATAGGACTAATACCCCACTCCAGAACTTCCAACAACCTGACGCGGTTGGAGAGAAGGAGATGGTAGCGTGGGTTGAGGTGGTCGGGTCGGTGATGACTGAGCTTGGGCAGCAGCAAGAGACGGACTGAGGTGATGAGGTGATGGCGAGTGAGGTGCAAGGCGAACCATATGTGAGTTTGCTGGCGACGCTCTCCCTTGCGGTGAGCCCATGGTATGTTGAAGCCCCGGCGATTGCAACCCCCTCTGCAGCGAGACCCCGCGACTACCATTCGATGAAGGAACACGTGGAGGATTCATCGGTGGTGACAACGTCGTTGCCAGCGCGCTGTCAGCACCATTCGCATCTACGAGATGGACGGGTTGTCGCTGCCACTGCTGTAACTGTCGGGCAATGGCAAGCTGTGAATTATAATCGGCACTGGGATGGGTCATGTAGGTGGTGGGAGGCCGTATGGGCATATGCATGGTGCCTACTTGCGTCGAACCGCCTTGACCTGTCAGATTTGGATAACCTGCGGCTTTCAGTGTCTGCATCTGCTGGGCCGTGAGACCATTTGGTCTCACGCCTGTATGCAGATACGGCGTGCCTGCGGGTACGTGCGCGCCGTAACCGTTAACAGCGGCGATGTAATGGCCATTTGGTACGGTGGGTACGGGGTTCGAATGGTGTTGTTGGGCAGGCGACTTGTGCGGGATGGGTGACATTTGCGCAGAGACAGGCGATGCTTGAATTGGTGCTGGTGACATAATGATATCCGCCTGACTGACCTCTGAACCGTTCACCTGACTGGGGACTGTCATCTTCACCTCCTGTTCGTGCTTGACTACACCATTTGGTTCCTCCAATGTACCATGAGCGTGCATCATATCTCGTACAGGTGACTGGGAAGGACGCTGCGATGGCACGGTCGGTGAAGCAGACGAAGTTGAAGGTGTATTGGCACGCATGCCTCCATTAGCTGATATCCTGAGAGATGGGACTGTCGCAGGCGGCGGCATGCTCTTCAGATGCGCCGGCACGGATACAGGAGTGCCACCATTGCTGGACGACAAAGCCATCGACGTACCATTCGGATGGCGAAGAGAAGAAACGCTGGGGGTGGCAGGTGTAGGGGAAGGAGCAGGGCGCTGTGATGGTACACTTGACTGTTCCCGTGTGCGAACAGGCTGTGGTATACCGAGACGGTACGGTACTATTTGCTGCTGTCGCCCTTCAGAAGTAGTCACCGTGATAGAAGTATCAGTATTCAGCATTGCATGGTCTTGATCGGTCATGAGCTTCATGTGATAACACAGGTATCTAGTCGGTGCATCAGTAAGATTGTCTCTGGCACCCGAACAAAAGAAGACATACGGTGTACTGAAGTCATCGACTAGCTTACGATCTTGCTCGTCCGGACCTTCTGGACCGACGGCTGGTGCGTCGTCATCGTCGAACCTCCAACGTTCACGAAGTCTGCGTATGTCTTCCTTGGATTCGGCCTGCTCCTCCGGGTTCGACGACAGCAACAGACGTGGCGTAGGGAGACGTCGATCCAGCAGTATTCGCCCTCCGCGACCAAAACGAAGACGAGCAGCACGTTGCCGACTTGGTGACGTAGGAGGGGTACTCGCTGACGCGTCCAATGTTGGTGAAGGACGACTCGCTTGGATGAACTTGAACAGGCGCGATGGAAACGATGTTGGCGTGTTTTGATACGGGTTCTAAAGTAAATTATGAATGTTAAATTCACAAAGTTGAAAACAAGGGGGGATCTACTCACGTCTAATGCATCTTCCCAATGATGGTCCTTCTCCTTGCGTTTGGCCATCTCTGACTCTATTTGCTTTTGAATCAACTCGTGTCGAGCCCTGGGATGCATTATAGGCTCTTGGTGGATGACGGGTTCCCGACTCCCTGTATGTAACCTGACCACTGGTCGACTAGCGATGTCGTGAGTATTAACATCAAGAATGTGAGATACGAATGAGCAACGCACCCTGCAGTATCGGTCTTGACTTTCTTCGGGACACGCTCCTTGTCATGGAGTAGCTCATCGTCTTCTTTCGTACCTAGACTCGGGTGCTTTCGTTTGAGGTCAACAAGTCTGAACCGACTCTCCCACAAGGAGTGGCCAATTACTGCTGATTCTCGTTTCGACTCCTCGCGCTTGTTGACAAGATCGGCCATTTCCCTGGCCTTCTCCAGATCAAGTTTGATACGAAGCAATTTGTCAGAATACGTCGCTTGCTGGGCACGGGTTTTCCGAATCGCCTTGATCTCTCGTCGTCGGAAGCATATGTAAGACTCGTTCTTGGTGTCCATCTCATCAAGCTAAGATATGAAGTCAGATATGAGACGCTTGCCATGCGAGGACGTGGACCTACATTCACAGAGGGTATAATGGGATGGCCGCCTCGTTCAAGGCGGCGTTCTCGCCAGTAAGGATAGACAACCTTGGCGATTCGTGTCAACTTATCTGGCTCTGGTTTCCAGGAGGGTACCTGGTAAAGCGCGAACATATCAGGCGGTAGCTCAGCCATGAATACATCTTGGTAGTCGGTGAAGGGAGGAAAAGCGGAGCCTTGTTCGAGACCCTATTGACAGAACGTCAATTATGGACGCAAGAGGCATAAGAAGAGGATTCATACATGGTGCAAGAACTCAGTCTTTTCGTGTGTCACTTTCTCAAATATAGCCATTACGAGTTCAAACTCGTCTTCGGACATGGCAACAGGTTGTGAGACCTCGGGATCCTTGCCCTTCGCCTTCGAGCTGCGACCAGATCGAGTGCTCCCAGAGATCGCGCCCTGCGCGCTGGTGCCTTCACCACGAGCTTCTTCATTGTTTCTGTCGAGCCACTCCTTATCTCGCTCGTCCATGTAGTATATGAACCCGTTAGCGAGGGCGAAGGATATGGATTCCTCGACGGTGTCCGAGGACTTGACATAGTTGGTGGGGTCAATCCAGCGGCTTGGCGGGTACAATTCTTCATAGTTGTCCACAATACCAGTGCTATCTGGAGTCGGAATAAATGCCGCCGGCTGTAGGGACTCCTTGTCTGTCGCCGCTCGCGTCGACCGTGCGATGCTCTGGTGTCTGGTGGCCGCTGCAGTGAGCACGGCTTGCAAATGATGTTCCTAAAGCAGAAGTCTTAGTCAGCATTCCATGGAATGAAATTCCCACGCTTCCAGCCAATCAGAGCGAGCCACACGCGGCCCCTCAACAACGTCGCCCCCGCACAGACAAAGGTGAAAAAGAGCTCACCTGGGCATCCTCAGCGTCGACACCTGCTGTAGATACGACCCTGGCCTTCTCCTCGTCTTCATCGAGCACAATCGGATCGGCATCGATACTCTCCTTGATGACCTTAAGGCGTGTCTTGTTGGTAACTCGGTTGCGGTTGCGAAGCGTAGAGGGTCCTGCATTATGCGGGCGTGGCATATCATGGAGAGCGGGAAAGGTTCAGCAGGGACAGAGGACTTGGGACGAGGATGGTCGTTGGGGGGCGTGGGCGACGGCGACGGCGCTGACGGTGTGTTCGAGGCCGGAGCTTGGAAGATGGGCCGATAAGAATCGGGCCGAGCCGACAATAAAAGAGGTGCTGATGTAATGAAACTTCCATTTTAGGACTGATAGCCTCCCAATGCTGCTTTAGCGGCGCTCCCCGTCGAGGGCGTCGGGATCGACGACGACGAAGGGAGACACAAGCAGAGCAGCCTGGATGGACTCTAGATACACATAGGAATGCTACGCAAGTCTGGGTGTCAATGTCAACAACGTCCGAACGAGCTATCACGAAGATGCAGGGGACTTACAATACTACTATGAAACAAAGACCGACGACAACTCTTCTTTCCCTCAAGACCCCTAATGGGTACTCGAACACTGGAAGTCAATGTCATACAGCTTTCTCACCAAGTGAACGATCTCCAGGTGAAAAGAAGATGCACAAAGCCCGGTCTCACGCTCGTGAGGAGGGTGCGCAACCTATGAAAAAAGATAGTGATGCATACAGTTAAATACGATGGGAGGAAGAGGGAGCGAAGGACGATGCCTACCAGGGGATGTGTAGTAGACTTTGTTTTGTGTGAGCGGATAAGTAGCGAGGGGAGATGTACCCACTGCCAAGATACTACGCATTCATTCACAAGACTTCGCAGCGACAAGCAGCTCACCGTCTCTCCCTCACTGCGAGAGGAGCGATGGGAGCTACTGGGTGGCGGAGGCAGAAACGATAGAGACAAGACGATGAGGACAAGGTCATGGATGAAGCTGATAGACTTCCTGCACGCTTGTGAGGCCCACCATCATTGTCCACGTGCAGGAGCTCAGCGCTCAGCCACGTGCGACTGCATAGTATTTCCACTTTCGGCAGGTGTGCTGGTTGGTTCAGCCTCTGAGGCCCAAGGGACAGCAAATAGAAGCATGCTCATGGCTAGCAACGAGACGCAGAGCCATCATCTGAATCTAGCTTTACAAGCAGAGATGAGTGTTAGAGGAATTTCAAATGAAGTTGCGAAGAATTCGCTATCGCAGGCGTGACCGACACTTAAGGATCTTTCGCTACTCGTATTCAAATCAACACAGCGCACAAGACCTCTCTGAAATATATATATATGTACATGCAATTATACATTAACTTCGCATACTACAAGTGAAGTGAACGGTATCCGGGTAACGTATTGTGGAAATCAAATGATACAGCGTGAATGGGTGCGGTAGTCCGAATGAAGGTAGACAAGAGAATGATGATCATGAACCAGATAGAACTCACAGACCCAGATCCCTAACAAGCGAGAAATTCAATTAGATCATTCACGAAGCCTTCGCCTCATCATGGGCCTTCCACTTCCTCCCAAGTTCCACACGACCTTCAGCATCGCCATTGACAGTGAGCCATGCTTCGAGTCGTCGTCCAAGCTCGCCACCACGACCACCGCAATAGTCACCCGTGGCATTCAACAGCTTCTCTTTCTCCTTCTCCGCCGCTGCCACCTTCGCCACCATGGGGACAGCCTGGCGACCCTGGGGCTTGGCTTGGGTACGCTTCTCACTGCCCTCACTCCCACTCTCGGATCCAGTCAATGTTGGGGAGATGGGTGTCTGAAGACTATCGGCATCAGCAGCGGTATCAGAGCCGTCTCCGATATCGTTCCGATCCCAGCTCTTGAACCACTCGTCTTCATGATCTTCAGGCCCAAGGATACTATCAACAAGTCCTTCTTCCCATCCATCCCATTCGACGCAGCGGTGAGCCATGCGTAACCGTACGCCCCAAGCCTCATAATGTAGCCATTCCAGGGCGACCGCTGCCAGATCTTTACTCTCTCCATTCACGATGATCTTCGTCGGACGTTTCGCGAACTTCTCGACTGTGGCACGGAAGAGTTTCGCTGTGAAGGGACTGGTCTGGAGTACCACCGGAACGTGTGCGGCAGCCCATAAAGGCCGTGTTGTCGTGGATTCCCAGTCGATAACGCATGTCTGAAAGAAGCATAATTAGTATGAATCAAACATCCATATAAGAACAGCGAACTTACTATCTTTGCAATGTCGTGTTCGTCAACGAAGACGTTTTCAAGGCTAAGATCATGACAATCCAAAGCAAACTCTTCGGCGGCGTCACCGTCACCAGCTTCCTTATGTATTATGGCACCTAACCTCTCCACAAGTCTCACAAACCGAGCCATTTCCTCCTTGACCTTCTGTTCACGCTCTTTCAAGTGGGCGACCAAGAACGTCGACCTCTGCATACGCCTGTAATCGCGATACATGGTATCACCAGGACCCTCCCACTCTTCCTCACTCTCTTCCCAGTCGTATTCGTCACTAGTATCACTCTCGTCACCCGGCAATGCTTCTATATGGTGGTGCCTCGACGTATGGATTTCATCAGGATCAAGATGTAAGCGATGAGGCGCTGCCTTGCCCTCATTCTCGAGCATGACACCAGTGATCTCTCGTTCAACACAAGACATGAGATATGAATGTGTGGATCGCCAAGGCCCCCTGTTCATTTCGTCGGGGTGTTGCAGCTCCCCACGATTAGAGCCGAAGAATGGCCAGGATATAATGGGACCAACATGGAATTTCGACTTGACTTTCTTGCTGTGTAGAGGAACTGGCGTCATACTCAGAGTATGAGACATGACATGAGGAGCAGTCGGTGTCGGTGCGGTGTCGGTAGACTCAGATACTGGATCAGGGTCAGGTCCGCTATACAAAGACCCAATCTTGGGAAACCTATGCGCGAACAATGGAACAACCAACATCGCCAGGTTCTCCATGAATGCCATCAGCTGGTTATGCGACATGGAATGAAAAACATGAGAGAGGGGGATCCCGACGGCCTGTGAGAGGTAACGCAAGAAACGGTCACGTGAGTGTCAGCGATGTAAGAGGGTATGAGGGCTGGGAAGAAATAAATACCTTGGACATGATAATGAATTCTCCGCCGAGACGATTATATGGGTTAGAGTCGTAATGATACACGGTGGGAACGGGTATATTTGTGCGTTCACGAAGATATCGCATAGTGGCAACCTCAGATTCGGTCTTGAGATGCGGCATGAACCGACGAGCGACGCGAGCAACAACTTCTCGTCCATCGACCAACGTTACAAGATAACCCTATAAGAAGGTGACTAAACGGACATTGTGAATGCAAGACATTTCTTACTTTGTGGAAAGTTCCTTCATTGTAGTAGCTGAGTCAGCATAAATTCAAAGATGAAACGAAGACGTGCATACCTGCACCGAGAAACTTGATGCGAGCTACCTCTGCACCTGCTTTCTCGTGAACGATGTCTTTGAGTAGTTTCCGATCGACCTGAAAGGGTGGTGCGGCGCGTATTAGAGCATCAGCCTTCGCCTCGAGCTTCCGATCTTCATGCTCAATATCCCAGTCCCACTGAAGAGATGATCGTGAAAGCAGAGGATCGAGAGTCTGTCCGAGTATCATGTTTGGGCTGTCCAACTTATGTACAAGTCCACTTGGGGCGTCATTATCTTTGAGCATGTTCTCAGCAGAGGCTGGGGGAGGTATTGAATTGAAGAAATCCTTGTGAAAGTGCCCAGCGAGCAAGTACGTAGACTGTGAAAGATATCCTGTGCTACCACTGTTGTAAAGACTGAAAGAACAGAATCCGATACAAAGAGGGATGGTGAAGGTGAGCGTGCAAAGCTGAAATACGCGGTGGGTACTTATCTTACCTCGGATAACTCCCGTATTTAGGCTTGGCTTGCGTGATCTCGGGCGCTATTCCAACGGTCATCTCCTTCGAACGTGCAAGCGAAGAATAGAGATCTACGGCGGCGACCTCGCAGCAACGCCGTCAAGTAGCTCTCGATGATCATCCTCACTGGTGTCGTTATATATCCCTACCTTCTCAGTCTAATCTTATGATCCTGCCGTTCTTTCGCCGCGAGAATCACAATCGTGAAGACTCGCGGACTCACGGCCGATGTCTTCCTCCCATTTTCGCCCGACATCTCATTCTCGTCATACGCCAGTAGTCATGGCACTGGCAGCTCTGGAGCTCTGTGGAGTGTGCCGAAAGCATCGCTTTCATAAGTAGACGACATTAACAAAACCTTATTGCAAGATATCAAAATGCTAACGATGGAAGCCTCTTCAGAAACCGAAAGCCAAGCTCTCGTCTATTCTTGCATTTCGCCTCCTTTCGTGCCAAGGTCGCGACATCAAGTTTCGCAGCAGCCTTGGCAAGGAATGGAATCACGAATGTACACGCTGCATCATGTTGTATCGCGACAGTCCTTGCGTTTGTCAGGCAATATCCCGCTCTCGGGCACTTGCTGCCTGCGGCGCTTATGTCCATGTCTCCATTGAGCGCAACATCTTGCACTCTTATCTCTACTTTGCGCGGATATAGAGCGGTTCGTCATTCCTTCATACTGTTGCTATCTGCAACTCCGGCTGTACTGTGAAGAAATAATTCACATGTTGCTCCATCGTCATGGAATTCTATCGGTGAGCAGCGGCTTTTGTGTTTACGTCCAGGCTTATCTGCGTTTGAAGACTAGAATTTTCGGTCTTACTAGGCGATATTGTACGCCCACTGAAGGGTTCACTATCAGACGAGAGTTCTCATACGCTGAGCTGCAGACGCAAGTGTGAGGGCGTTCATCAGGTAGTTGGAGACGACTTGATCACAGTTCACTGAACTTTGAACATGCTATTTGTGTCGCCACTAGGCGTCCGCTTCTTTCAAAATCACGGAACTGCTGTCACGATGCTATCACTCTTGTAAGTTCCCATGTATCCGCAGGCTGCCAACGTTCACTCTCCATAAGTTGGGATCAATCATACAAGTCACCTCTATAGCCGACTTCCTATGCTTCGTCACAGCACTATCCGCAGATACCGATGGTACGGTATTTCATAAGTATGAGCGTACTCTTTAGTATTGGCCCCCGAGTCCGACGGTGACTATATATACGTTCCACGCCTTCTCTACTTACACTAACAATATTTGTGATCATTCAGCGCCTCTGATCTGTTATACGCTTCGCAGATATTTGTGCTGTGTCTTGATGGACGGCTCGCATCTGCCTTGTTTGCACCATCGTTTATGCTATTGTATCTGTACTGAACCAGTTTTCTTCCAAAGTCCAATACATATACTTGGTCCTCTGTGGTTTTCGGCGTTTACCTTGCTGGCAGTGGAATGCAAGTTCGGATGCTGTGTGATGAACCTTATGTTGACAGCCTTCGACCCCTCGAAGGACCTGAGAGCCAAATGGTTTCACAGAATTTCTTTCTGCATTCCCACTCCTCCTACTACGAGTATACGTTTCGTTCAACTACTCATCCCCACACTCCACAAAGTAGTATCGTTCGCATTGAATCTCAGATCGATTGCTGTGTCTCCACAATAGGAAAGGGTAGTCATAACACCCCGCGGCGGCATCGAAATTGCAATTTCGTTTCTTGTCCTCGCCTCCTCATGTCTGCGTTCGTATTCCCAGATCCTCCCACCGCCGCCACACTAGCGGATGCTCGCCGTGATCTAGATGGTACGAAGCTTTCTGTGAAGAAGCTCGCCGCGAAGATCGAGGATGCGGAAGGGCGGCTCGCTCGTATTGTGCAGGAGTCCAAAACCGCCATTCAGGCGTTGGAGAATGAGAAAGCGGCCTTGGAGAAGCATCTGGAGTATACGCAGGCTTATATATCTCCAATGAGGAGGCTGCCGCGGGAACTCTTGGAACAAATCTTCTTGTTTAACTTTGAGGATTACCCATGTTGCGCATGGGTGCTATCCTCAGTTTGTTCGTCATGGCGAAGGTTGGCACTATCCATGCCGAAGCTATGGTCAAAGGTATCTTGGTATTTATGTCGAGTATCTTTCACAGCACTAACCATCTTGTAGATCCGCTTGGTTACTTCGTCAGAAGCTCCTGCGGACACCGTACGTCTGTGGCTCGAGCGTTCTGGACACAAGATCCCCCTTGATATTGAGATATTTCTCCATTCACCACCATCAGCTGCGTCTTCCAGTACTCGCCCACGTCCCCCAAGACGAACAACTTCAAACACCATTTTGATAGCTGACAATTGGGGTGCTAATGATTGGACACCTGCTATGACACCCCCGCCTCAGGGCATAGCTATTCCAATCTCTCCTTACGTCTCTGTGCATGCAGGTAGGTGACCTTATACATATCGTGCCATTGTTCTCATTGACATGTCACCTTCAAGCGGGTGGCACACTCCTGCCTGTGAACCTGCATGCCCAAAACGAGAGCATGATGCCGCCAATAGTAGGATCCGAGCGCCCTCGCGATACGGCGAATTCCTCGAAGTCAAGATCGACTACGCAATATTGGGGATACATCGCTATTTCCTACCTCGTCGAGCAAATTCATCGCTGGGAACGGTTTGTATTCAGATTCGATAAACAATTCCCGTCTGTGGCGGCGCTAAAGTCTATCGTTGGTGCGTCTCGAGTCTTCTATATTTCTGCATTCCCTGTTGCTTGTAAATATGTCATCGACAACTGACTGATTTGACTCGTGTAGGTGATGCGCCGCTGCTGCGCGAGTTCGAGGTTTCGTGTGCAGAAGGGATGTCTTCTGGTATTCCTCTTGATTGGCCGTGGCTACCATGTGCGCAAGCGGATAGCACGTACAAACTTGATCAACTGAAGTCGGTGACATTGCAATATGTCCCGTTCAAATGGTCCACCCCGATGCTCCAGAATCTTCAGAATCTGACTCTTCGCTCTATGCCTAGCACCTACGTCAATACTGATCGAGTGCTGCATATCATAGCCAGTTGCCCCTCCTTGGAGAGTCTCTCCTTGCATTTCAATGCGGTACACTCCGCAGTATTGCCATTAACTCCCACGACTCTGTCGGAATTGAAGTCTTTCAACGTCGGAGGGCACTATAATTTGGTCGCAGTCATCGACACTCTTATCCTTCCATCACTCGAGTCAATCACATTTGATATCGATACCCGAGATCCCATAGAAGATTCCCTCACCTCACTTCTCCTCCGCTCAAGTCATCCCCCGCTCGCACATCTCTCCCTTTCCTACTCCTCAGCGAATGCTGGGGTGGGAGTATATTACGGTGCAGGATCCTCCATTACCTCATGGAACTTCCTCAGAGACATGGATACCCTCCGAACCTTGCAAGTTGGTGGCACACCATTCGAGTCTTTATTGATGATCCTCGGCACACCTGAAGACGATGATCGTTGGATATGTCCTAATCTGACCAAACTCAACATGCGCGCGTGTCAGGCACACACGAACGGCGCAGCTAAACTCGTCCGACTTGTCGATGCTCGTAATCCCGATCATACAGGAGGTTCCATGCTAGCTCAATTCGGTGGTGGGACTGCCCCTGCGAAACTGCGGCATCTGGAGGTCCACGATTGTGCGGTTTTGGGGGAGGATGTGATTGAATGGCTCAAGAATCGTATAGATGAAGTAATTTGTACTGAACCTATGTATGACAGGTACGCTCGTCGTTCCGTATAATTGCATGCATTGCTTTTGACCTTGATATTCATCGCTGTTGCTGAGCACAGTTCGATTTACTCGCCAAGAAGTCCGCCCTACCATGATACCTATGTATGAAGTTATCGGTGCACCGATTTGAAGTGATTGAACGGATCTGCAAAATTACTTATATTCTTGTCTTTTGGGTTCTCAGAGTTGCTTCTCATTATGTATTTGTATGCTCCGATAGCTTATATAACCTTACGTGATACCACATGCTGGGCAAAGACACACTTCATTGCATCGAGCAATGTATACAATGGCTACAAACAAAGTCCATTTAAAAGTACACGTATTATACGAGACCCTGTCTATCAGATATGAACGTACAAAGCAATACGACGACAGCACACGAGGTTTGTGCCAGATGTGGGTGTGGGACCAAGGTTATTTCTTTCCATTCTCAATAGCATCCCCATTCTTGCAAGCCACTATTTTGACCTTGGGTACGTTAACCATTTCATTCGACTCCATCTTGAATGAAGCATTCTTCACGATGAAGGTCCAGACGTCGTCGCATAGACGATATGTATGCAAGTGACCCTGTAATCAAGTGGCTCAGTCAGCTTCCAGCGACACGGCTTGCGAACGTTCCCACCTTTAGCGTAGTCTTAGTCTTGACTTGTTTTACAATTGTATCAGCCAAAGACTTGTCAAACTGGAAGTTGACGGCGGAATCTGGATGAACGAAGACTATCTTTGGACGTCATGGGAATACGTACCTGTTGCAAAACCTTCATCGCCAATTGGGGTGTAATGGCTCCGCTCGTAATTAGCTCATCCAGGGAGTCTGTGAGAGCCATTCCGATCCTAAATAGTACCGCAACAGATGCATAAAGGCCCAGAAGTGATTTATTGTACCAAAAGAACATACGAGGAGCCGCGATAGAATTCGTAGTAAGCTGTAGCCATGACGGGTGACCAAATTTGCAAGTAGATGATGACTTCAGAAACCCAGTGAAATATTAGACAACTTAAAAAACGGCAGGAAGTGTTTCTTGCTTGCGGTGCGTGGTGGACACCGGTGAAGGAGTCGAGAGAGCCTGAACTTGTCGGCTGCTACTTGCTTACCGAGGCTGTGACGGTGACACAGTAACGAAAAGTGTCACAGGGCTCGAAATTCAAGGTCGCAATTTATCTTATGAAACATCTGGGTTTCACTTCTGAAAGCATTTACGACGGCAGAAAGAAAGCGAGGAAAGCACAAGGGCAATGGTATATTCTGATCTACACTGTATAAGTACGAAAGGAGGGTATAATATACGACTACAAAACTGTCAAGAGTTCTTCTCCAAATCCTGCAACTCACGGAGGCATCTGAAAACAGCATGGATCCCTTCCAACACCCGCCCCTGGTCAGCATCATCCACTTTTGATAGCACTGCAGATAGCTTATCAGGATGCCAACGCAAGAGGGCCTGTCTAAGCTTGTCCTTGCGCGTACCAGACGCGCCTCGCACCCTCAACGGAGCAAATAAGAAATCAGCGATAGCAGTAGATGTGAAGTCCTCAATGTTCATTGGAGGCTGCTGGACAGGCCATGGGATGTCTGACCAAGTAACATAGTCATCAGACGTGGAAAGTTTGCGGCATCGATCCTCATACACGTTCCACCGATCAAGGATCGCGCGTTCTTCGTCCAGGACACGTATTTCAGCCCTGTAGAGCTCCGTGCGCGCCTTGTCGCGGCGACCTTGAGCGTTGCGCAGAACACCTCCAGCACGAACCCAGTCCAGCTCGGCTCTCCGAATTTGCTCCTGTTCATATGCAAGTCTTTTCTGACGCCTCTCCTCCTGCAATCGGAGACGCTCTGCCCAAGCTTCATCGTCAAGCTTCGAGGAACTATCAGCATCTGATTTCGCCTGCTGCGTGGGGATGGTTGTGTTTCCAGCAGCTGCAAAGGGCGTGCGAGCACTAGTCGTGGAAGAACCTGGAGCAGAAGGAGGTGGAAAGGCAAAATAGCCCGTCATTGGAAACCTAAATTCAGATGATGACAGCGTAGCCGCGAAGCAAATAACGAAAGAAAGAGCAGAGAGCGTGGAGATGGATAACGGAGGATTCAAGGAACTGAGGTGGGTGGACCAGACCTCACCAGACTGGTAGCCTTGTCTTGAATACGACCTCCGCCACCGCGTTAGGGCTCCGCTTGAAACCACAATTGGGGAGGAGTCTGCTTCACTTGTGAGTCACCTCCATCTGCGACGACTAGTGCCGAGTCGACGTCTGGCAGTAATCATGGCAAGAGCTGCATACTATTCAGACCGTCTTTCCTTGCCACACGAACCGCCAGGACCACCAGGACCACAGGGAACTCCGTATTCTGAGCACACTGTCGGCAACCGCGAACTACACCATGACATCGCTGGAACCGATACTGAGAACCAAACTGATCATGGCCACTTACGGCAATGTTCAGTCAGAGGTTGTACCACTGTACTTCCTCCAGACTATTTGCAAAAGATGTGTGAATCATGTCGCGGACGACATCGCATCTATGCTTCCACCAAGCGAGCGAAGCGCAAGATGGAGAAATTAGCGATCGGAGGACAGTTGGGTCCTGTGGTTTGGATGCCGCCTCACTCAGATGGACGCGATGATCATCCTCAAGCAGGACCTTCGACACAGCCGACCCCACCTGTAGAGGTGATGGCTTACGTGCGATCTCTTCTGGCCTGTACTGACCCTTTCTCAGCATCAGGACTCAACGGTCTCGCACTATCCACTGACAGCATCTTCATGGGAGAGCAGTGCGATCGATCCTAGCTTATTCTCGCAGGAAAGCGGCTCTTTCTCGCAGAATCCGCATTCTCCTACCCAGGCCGCCGATTCATACACGCAGGTGCCTAGCCCGTATGGGCATTATTCAAGTACTGGTGCATATACTCAGGATGACAACACGGGTTTCCCTCAGAACTCAGATGGTCAACATTATCCTCAGCACGCTAACTCGGGCACATACTCGCAGAATGTGGATACAAGTCCATTCTCTCAGGGTCCTAGTCCCTACCATCAACACTCAGAACTCGCTGGTGCTCTTAATCTACCCCACCACCAGCCCCAACCTCAGCATGCCGTGCAGCAAGTCTTTCAACAAAGTGCCCCTCAGAACACTCCGCTTCCGGCACCGGTACCACATCAAGCCAGTCCTTCCTTCTCGGATCTTTCGAGTTCCCGTGCACCAAGTCGTCTTACTAGTACCCCAGCCATACCGACCGGAGAGATTTCAGCCAAGGCGATCTCTGAAGTCGCTCCAGCGATTGGAGGTACTACACTTCCTCACCGATATTGCTCAGTTAAGGGATGTAAAGCAGTGGTCCCTGGTGATTCTTACTTTAAGATGTGCGAGCCGTGCAGAAACCGTTACCGTAGCTACGGTACAACTAAACGAGCAAAGTGGAAACGAGAGAAGGAAGCAGCTATTGCTGAGTTACAAAAGCTTCGTGAAGAGGACGATCGAAAACGAGCAGCTCTGGGACTACCCGTACGTGTATCCTACCACCATCGGCCGTCTCGATACTGATGCAGCATATAGCCACTCGCGGAAGGCGAATGGGCGAGTGTCCCGCCAGCGCATCTGCTCCAGGCAGCCGCCGCACAAATGCCCGGCGATATGCCTTTCGCGCAGACAGTGCAGAGTATCACTCCAAGGATGTGTACTGTCTCACATTGTCGAGAGGTTCTTCCTCCCGATTACGAGTTCCTTCGATGTGAACGTCATAGGATTCAGAACCGACATCATAGCAAGTTGAAACGCGTGCGTGACAAAGAAAGCAAGGCTGTAGCTTTCGAGGATTGGTCTGTCGCTGCCGCGGCAAATGCGCAGGTTTCTCAACAACAGGAGTCAGTGATTACCCAAAGCCCGTTCATTGAGGAAGAGAAGGACGAAGAGACAAGGCAATATATTGACCCCGTTGGTATCAATATTGTTATCTATTCTGTGCACTTCTAACCTTTCACTCTTCCCTCAGGTCATTCCTGACACAGAAGGGACTGGCATGCCTCCAGCAGCTCGCGGTTCACGTCGCACAAACCATGTCTGCTCTATCAAGGCATGCTGTAATTTATTGTCACTCTCCAACCCATGGAAGATGTGTGACTCTTGTCGAGATCGCGACCGCACTACCAGGAAGATCAAAACTTTGCGTGACAATGGCGTACCCGTGGATCCCTTACCTCCCCGCGCGAAGACGCCACCTGAATTGACTGTGGTAACGAAGGCAAAGAAGAAGAGTGCTCCTAAGAAGAACCAGAAGAAGGATGAGCAGTCACAAGAGCCTGTTGCGAGTACGAGTCAACTGGTTATCCCGATAGTTCCTAACAATAGCAATTCTTTGGAATTCATGAACCCGTTAGGCCCACATAACAGCGAAGATACGGAGTTCATTTTGGCAGATGACTTGGCTAATGCAGACGATTTTCCTATACCGCCTCGACGTCTTCCGACAAGATCTCCTGGAGAAACCCCAACGGCCTCATCTACACCCACGGCCACAGAGCAACCAATGGACCTACCACTCGTCAAAAAGAAACGGATGTCGAAAGACAAGACGAGCTCAGCCAACCAATCTGTTGTCAGCACCTCAAGCGGTTCGACGCCCTCGCCTAGTGCGACTGGAAACACTTCGACAGCAGGTCAACCACCTCAGACTGCTGAGATGTCTCCAATGGCACCATCTTCCGCTGCTGCATTCTTTTCGCCTCACTACCCTATCCCGTATATAATACCTCCAGCCTTCATGCCACATTTTCCGTCAGGTGCACGATACCCCTCTTATAATAATAATTCACCCTCATCATACGGACGGGAGCCATATGCCCCGTCACCTATGTATCAACCCCCTTATCCTGGCTATCCGCCGTATCCATATTCTTGGGGTCCTTGGGCTGCTGGTTATCCTGCAACATTACCTCCCGCTGCACAGGCCCCGACGTCTACTCAGACTTCTACCCCAACTTCACCTCCTGCGGCAACCGCCTCCACGGTGCATGCCGCTGGTGCTTCTTCGTCTAGTTCGCCCTCTGTTTCAACTTCTTCTACTGCACAGACATCACCTCAGTCGTCTCGTCAGCCACCTCCAACTCCTGCCGATCGAGCGACAATGTACTCTATGTTTTCCTCGCGACCACCTGGAGCCTCTCACAAAACGCATACCAACACTACCCCGTATGACGCAACCGGAGTTCCTGCACGGCCTGACCCACTGAAAGTTGCGTTCTCCATACGTCCCAATGCTCCTTCACAAACGGGGCGGAAGAGGCAAGCTGAGCAGGAAGCGCCCGGCCATACCAACAAGCGCCAGGAACTCGAGAACTCAGGGACAGTCACCGACATACCAGAGATCTCAGAGGCACAATTTGCTGCAGCGGTGTCCGCAATTGCAGCGAGTGCAAGCGATTTGGGAGGACATCCGCTTGGGGCATTGCATGTTGCTTCACATCACGCCCCGAGTAGTCCTGGAAAGCGACCCGTCAGTTTAGATGATATCTTGAATGTCATGTACTTTGAGGGCTGATTCATTTTGTTGGCTATATAGACCTGTGCGAATAAGACTTGTCACCGGCCTTTGCCTGCTAGTGCGAATGCCTCAGGTACGGGTGTTTTGTGTGACAAGTGCAAAGAGCGGATCAAGAAGAAAGCGGTCGTCGCTAAACGACGGTTCAAGCTCGAGCCACGTAATTTGGTGGGTTCCACGCTGTCGAGTGGTCGGACGGAGGGGCATGGGCGTAATTTGACTTCATGAGTCGGCACTGTACACATGTCGGTTTCGCTAGATTGGATTTTATCTGTGGTTTCTTTCGTTCTCCCTTCGTCTTTCCGTATACCAAACTGCATTTACTGTGACTTCCAAGCATTATTCGTATTTTTATCTCTGTCTCACTCTTTCACTTGTCACTGTATTAGACAGTCTAGATGACTTTCCTGGCTGAACCACAAACATCACAAGTTGAAATCACGATCACTTGGAATTCGTAAGAGCATATCGTAAGCGCTTGTCCAACACGACCTTCTAGCTTCGTCCCCCACTACACTCTTGGGTATCGCGTGTTCAAGTATGGTTGCACTTCTCCAACGTCCACTGAAGGGTTCCAGGATCTCGTCTTTCTATCCTGTCAAGTCCGTGCCACCACTGTCCTCTCTTGACAGCGCGTTCCAGCTTCAGGAATACATCTCGCTGCTCATTCGTGCCGACGTACATGACGTGGAAACAATTGTCTCATTGCCTGGAGGAAAGTCGGGAGAAAGACGCGAAGGAAGCGATGGCTCTAATGGTAGTGAGGGCGACTCGGATAAGGATGGTAGGAATGACGTGCCGGTCGACCCAGCATGTTGGGTGTACGAGCAACTGAGGTGAGTCAGGGTCGGTAGCCACTCTAGTTTGAAAGACATTCAATGTTATTACAACTCAGGCGACTTGCGCAAGACCTTTCTCATCCACTTATCACGATGCTGCAGCAGGAATGCACCCGATCCTCCTGCCCTGAAATGAAGGCGGGCGAATGGTTGTACCTTTGTGTTGCACACGGAAATGACGGCGCGACAGAAGTACGCGACCTTATATTATTATTATGCGTCGCAGCAGGACTGACTATTACATTACCAGCAATGCTGCGCTATTGACTATATTCTTCACACATTGGATAGCGCGACTGCCCTCCTAAACTCCCCTCGAGCCTTTCCATCCCGGTTTGTAATGCCATCTCGAGTTGTAAACATTTGCTAATGATCTTTCGGAAACGCTTTGTAGGCTCTCTATTCCTCAAGCATCACATCGCCACTTTTCCTCTCTCGCACGCAGGCTTGGTCGCATCTTCGCTCATGCATATTTCCATCACCGCGAGGCCTTCGAGCAAGCAGAAGCAGAGTCATCGCTATATGCACGTTTCCTAGCCCTTACCTCCAAATTCGACCTAGTTCCCTCCGAATTCCTCGTCATCCCTCCCAGACTCTCGAGCATGCAAGACGATGACAGTCGTGGCCGACCGCTCAATCTACTCGATTCCCACAGCTACCTCAGAGGAGACTCAAGTGACCAAAACGGCAACCGAGGATGGGACCTAGGAGACTCATCTTCCATTGTCAACCTCAGCATTGGTAACGAAGATAGAGGTCCTGGTCCAAAGGGTATCGGCGGAGGTGTTAGCCCTCTTCGCAAATCCCGTAATCGCACGGGCACCATGGTTCATAGCGATGCATTTAATGTCGCAGAGGAACTATCCAAAGTCGAGGAGCCGACAAATCCACTTCAGCAAGCTATCGACGTAGCTATCGCTGCTGAAGCAGATGCTCAGGACCGCGTAGATGCGGTTCTCCCGACAACTGAAGAGCCTCTACAGTCACAACCAGAGTTCCGACCCCCAGCACAGCCTGAACTTATTCAGATCGAAGAGGCTCCGCCGCCCGAAGTTCCTGAGTTGTCCGAAGTGGTTGATTTACTCGACATTGTGGCGCCGCCTCCTGCTGAACCTCCAATACCACCGCACGTAGATGATACCAGCGAAGATATCACGGATGCTTCTCTGGACGATGTACCCTCCATTGATCCTTCTGACACAGGTACAGATGTGGAAGTCCAGGAGGAGTCGCCTCTTCAAAATGACGACAGTGAAGTAATTGGGGTGGCGGTGGACGTGCCATCCGAAACCTTGGATGTATCTGCCACTGACCTGGAGGAAGATTCACATCCTGCTGACACTGGTGAAGCACCGTCGGAAGCTGAACCTGAAGAGACTGAGCCCGAACCTGTGCCTACGATATCCGAAAAGAAGAATGAACCCCAGGTTGCTGAGGCACCAGTGGAAGAAATTGAAGTCAAGCATCCTTCTGCGACAGAATCAGAAGAAACTCCATCGAGCGAAGTTGTTGCAGACGATCCGACCCCAGTACAGGCGGCCGACAGTCAAGCAACGGGACCCTTAACGTCATCAGAGGATTCAGAGTTGGATACTGTTAAGGACACATCGATCGAGGAGTTGTGATGTGAGTTTTAATATCGTTTACGCCGTCGGGCGGGTTCCCGAGTAATGTGTATCGTCGTGGATTGCTTTCGTATATTTATCGTTTGCTCATCGGTTTCACCTTCTGTTACTATACAATGTTGTGTTTATACGGAACTGCGGACTGTTGTACACACGATCTTCACTCGTCCGCTACCTTGATGAGCAACTTTCCAACAGTCTTCCCTGTCGTGAGATCTTTCTCCGCTTGTTGGACACCCTCCGCCGTGAAGGGATACTCCTTGTGGATCAAGACTTTCAACTTCTCATTGGCCACCAGGTCAAATAGTTCTCCAACGTAGCGACGACCTTCCTCGGCAGTATAGATGTAGTTCTTCAAGCTGGTGATATCCAGTATTCATTATTGTGGTCATTAATTCCATGGGCAGAAAGACTCACGTAGGTCTGGCAATCTTGATGTTCTTCTCAGCCAACCTGAGTGGTGAGATTGGAGGAACGACGCCAGAAGCGTTGCCAACAAAGACGATGGTACCCTTCCTGCGGATGACCTTGAAGTCAATTTCATACCTAACGTTTCAGCGAACCCGTCAGCGTAAGTATTCCTGAAAGATACAGGCAAAACGTACGTGTCCTTTCCAACTCCGTCAAATATACCATGAACACCTTCGCCACCAGTAATCTCCAGCACACGTTGAGCGACGTCTTCCGTTTTGTACAAAATGACATGATCGGCGCCGTTGGCCTTCGCAAGTTCGGCCTTTGCTGGTGTAGAGGTCGTCCCAATAACCGTTGCTCCTCGCAACTTGACCAATTGGGTCAAGAGAAGACCGAGGCCACCTGCGACAGTATGGACCAAGATGGTATCACCTGGCTTGACCTTGTAGGCTTCTTCAACGAAGGTGAGAGCAGTTGCACCTATATACCAGGTAAAGTGTCAGAAATTAATCAGGACTACTAGAGCCACGTTAAGTAGTACCGTGACTCTTACCTTGGGTGGTTACTGCGCCAGCGAGAGCCAATGACACTTTACCCGGGATGGGGAAGACATCATTCCAAGGCACAGTGATATATTGTGCATATGCCCCCAAAGTGTACTGATTTAAGCCAAGTCAGTACTCATGGATTGCACACGCATCACAACTTAGGTTGTAAGACGTACTGCTGCTACCTTTGTACCAATTGCGAACCCGCGCAGCTTGTATTCCTCGTCATTCACGATGTCTGAATCGGACGGCAGTGATACAATTGTCCCTGACGCTTCCGAGCCGAAGTGAGCTGGGAAAGACTTGACTGGGTAGATCCCAGTCCTGCAAGCAACGCCATGGATGAGTCCAGGCGATGATTTCAAGGACGATTGAAACTAAGAGCGTACCTCCAATAGTTGTCAATGAAGTTCACGCCGGCATAGTGAACCTGTAGAGTTCATCGTATAATATGTCTAATACTCGAAGAAAGGAGGAAGAAGGTAATATACTTTGATAAGGATCTCATTCTTCTTGGGTTGAGGCAACGGCACGTTGATCTTGTCGATGACGTCAAAGTCTCCGTTCTTAGTGATAACAATCGCGGATGTCTCGGAGGGAAGGGACATCGTGCTGCAGTGAGTCTGGGATACCTATCTCTTGACTTAGTAGAAGTACGAAATGGAGCAGCCTCGATATAAATAGGCGAAGCAAGTTAGACATCTCAGTCACGGTCAGGCTTTGTAAGCCTGAATGTCCTCATCGATGGTGAGCAGTATTAGCTACTCGAGGCATTCTCTTGCCTGTAAGTGGTGGAAACGCTGCAGTACGAACACAATACGCAAGAATAGCGCAATTCAAGGTACGAAAGATGGAAAGAGAAGCATGATCTCATGCATCCCCTTGGCAAGAAAGGAGAAGTAAACTACAACGCCTGCCTAATCCGGCATGTTTAATATCAGGGGCTGCACCCTCGCTTGTTTCGTTTGTCGTCGCATTCAACGTCGACCAGCTGCAACTGCATTCGAGTTACGCACGAAAAAAAAGTACGCGGATTTGGTTATGGATATCAAGAACATTCTCAACTAGCACGGTAAATACCCGTAGATATTGCCGAATGACACCCTTGTTTCCAGCGCGCTCCTCACTTTTGAGAACTGGAGGTACGTCAAGCACCCGAGCCCACCAAGATGAGGCCAGTTCACAATTTCGGCTTGAACTTGGGATGTTCCTCCCTTTTCGTACCATCCTCCGTTCGAATCAGTAGGTCATAACGGAAGAACCGTTCCCGGGTCTGCCACGTCAACGCCGATCTCTTGTATGGTAAGTCGATTACCTGGAAATAGGTCAGAATCAAGCTCATTGGAAGGTGGCTGAAAAACTATTCACCGTTTGTACATGCATCTCAGTGGAGAGCGATAGACCGATGACACCAGGGTTGTGGATTTTGGGTTCGCCAATAAGTCGCTCCGTACGCGGGTCGGCCAAGAACAAGTAATGCATGATAGCAGCGAACCATAGGGTGGCTGCTTGAAAGTCAGCACATGTGTCCACATACAAACGTATAACTGTACTCACAGCGACCATCCTTACGGAACTTCTCCTCTCCTATGAGACAGTGCAATCCTCGATCATAGTCCCATGCTCCTGCAGTTACGTATTGATTGACATGGTTCTCCTTCAATCGGGGGAGCATGTCAGTGTCGATTCTGATATCAACAGATGAAGGCTTTACATACCCTGATATACACCAGTTCCGTGTATCCCATCAGCTCGCCATCCCAGCTCATCATGACAGGAAGGCAACCTCCGTCCGCATCCAACTCTTTCAAATACTTACGATGCTTCTCAATCGGTCCAGCCTCGTTCCAACCTCTGTGAACCCACGGATCATTGTGCCATCGATGGAATGTCTCAAGATGACGACCGACACCATTAGGCCCAAGTTTCTCTTCCTCCAAGTCAACATAGTGGAGCTCGAAAGACTGTCCGTACTGAGGGAAGTACTTGCGATACAGTAACTCTCCCGGCCTAGGCTTGGGTGGACGAAGTGGATGAGAGGTGATAACCAGGGGAGAGCGCGAGAACGATGGAATGTAGGGGAACGGAGCTCTAGCGTAGGCAGCGGAGGACTCGCGTATCCAACTGCGGTTGTGCCATCCGAGTGTACCGGCTCCTTGCCAGAAACTACCCCGGAGAAGGAAGAGCTCGGGATCGGTCGGCTCGGGTTCGTAGACACCAACGTGTCTGTGTCTAGCAAGGCCCGAATGGAGAAGGTAAGTGGTCAACTCCTCGAAGTTGCCGAATGTCTGGGAGAGGACGATCGGGATGGTTTCTTGCTCGTGGAGGATGGTATGCAGCGCGTAGATGACTGCCCAGAAGTCCTCGATTGAGACAGTTTCGCCATCAGCTGGGGGTGCGACCTCCAAGAGGTGATAGGCAGGGATATGTTCTGCTGTATGTTCGAACTGTGTATTGACACTCGTCACCACCAATTTGAGTTTCCTCGGGAGTGTTTTATAAAGGCTTGCGACTTTCCCATTCACCGCAATGGAAGTGATGTCGTCGATTAATACGTCAATGGTGGTAGATTCGGGAAGGACGGCGGCTCTGCGCCATTTCGTCTGCGCGTCCGCTGGCGCAGCGAAGATGGGTGGAATGGCCTGGTCGGCTGGAGGTGCAATGGACATTGTGCAGGGAGGTGAAGAGGAAAACACTTGGGGAAAATAATCTGATAAGATATACGGCGAGAAATATCTTGGCGATCACACCACGCGAGAGATCCTGCGGTTATCTGATTACCGATAAATTTCTCCCTATAAAATCGCCCGAAGATGCGAGGAAATCGTGCCTGTCGTCGAAGTTGAAGTCACAAAGGTTAAAGTTGGGTTAAAACCCTCAGTTCAGAGTTTCTGTATTCGCTCGTATTGCATGTAACGAGGAGGAGATGTCATAGTTAACTGTAACAGTATGGAAGATGCAAAACGAGTGTGAACACAAGGCTATGGACACACGCAAAGACCGACTTGGTGAGAATCGGACCACGGAATGAAAGTTACCGAGGAACACCATCGGTGAACCAAAGAATTCAATATTTACACACCAGGCCGAGGCCTGGATCGGTGTGGGGAAAAGGAACTCGGAGGCAGACGGATGAAGTCACTACTGACGTCCCCACTCGCGGTCAAACTCGATATTTCGTGGCAGGCCTGAAGGAGCTCGAGCAAGGTGGAATGGACCACCAGAGCGAGCGATGTCTATGACACAAGCTCTTTTTCCGGAGATTTGACCTGATCTCCGTGTTGATGAAGGCCGTAGCAGTAGCAATGAGTGAAGAAGGCAGAAACACAAGTCTAGCCACGCAATGACATGCATCACAGGCCGCATGCCTTTTGACATGATCTAGAGCATATATATATTCAGAAGTAGTAGATGTCTCATGCGGTCGCGAAGATAATGAGTCACGACTGGTACCGTCTCAGTGGGACAGCATGAAGTCCATGCTGTACGTGAGTCCGCTAGCTCTGAGTGATGCTGTCACAGCCCAGAAGTTCTTACTACCACAGTTTCAGTAGGCTATTGCTGAGTTAGCTTGAAGTGGCACTCCGCTAATCAAAAAGGGGGTCTGTGGATGTATGATAGCTGGTCTAGTGGAAGGCGAACAGGCAATTGCGGGCGCTTTGTCACCACATTTCTACCTCGCAACTTCTGTTGCAACCCATTTTCGGAACGTTTCATACGTTCCTGCATCATATCAGTCTTGTTGTGCTTAGCCTCGCCTGACATTGATTCCCCCGAGCGTGCAGGAGTCATCGAGGTCGTTCGGTAGCGGAATACATGTCGGCCGCGTCTGACTCAGCAGAGGTGGTCCATCTATAACTAGTAGTATAAGGCGAGCCAGAGTGCCATTGGTGTATCATCTCTACTCCGACTTCGACTTCAAATACTTGCTTATTGCTCTTCTAATTTTCTTATCCTCTTTCCTCCATCTCGCTGGACGTGTCCATGTCGGCCATACCCAGTCCCGCACCTGTTTCTGAACATATCACCAATCCGAAACAGCTAAATAAGCGGCGCGGTCCAGCAAGAGGCACACCAGAAACCGGAGGCGAAAGTTCTGCTCAAGGTTTAACAAACGTCGAAGCCGGTCCCTCCAGACAATATGGAGAGCCTCATAAAAGGCGTCCCTACCGGACCAGGAAGCCTCGAGCTGCAGGAGATGGAAGTGGGGTTGATTTAGAAGCTGGTCACTCGGGTCTTTCTGCACCTACTAGTGAAACGCCTGGCGAGAACCTACCTCCCCAACCTCGTAGGGATGGACGCCCATCTCGCAACCGCGAACGACCCAGACGTTCAGACAACGCTGCTCCGGGTGCACCGAGTGAAGCCGACGTTGCTGCAAAAGCAGGTGAAGCCGTTTCACCTTCAGCTGCAACACAGAAAGCAGATCGAAATAAACGAGGTGTTAAGTTCAACCCAAACCTAACCGACTCTAAGGATTTCAAGCCCAAACCTGCCCATAAGTATCGAAGCAAGGCACCAAAGGCCGACGACCTGACCTCCAGATTGATTCATTCCCTATCCAGGCCACCCTACGCCGACTGTCCTATCTGCTTTTCTGCCATTCACCCCGCTCAACCTTCATGGTCGTGCTCCCCTCTTATACCCATTTCTCCAGTAACAGACGAGAAGGAAAGCTCTGGCGAAGCAAGTAGGACGGCAGAAACCGCGCAGTGCTGTTGGACGACTTTCCACCTGAAGTGCATTCGATCTTGGGCTTCGAAGAGTGTAAAGGATCTAGAGGACGCTTGGCGTGCTAGAGGTGACAGTCGCAAGGCCGAATGGCGTTGTCCCGGTTGTCAGGCAAAGCGTTTGGTTGTCCCGACTAGTTATTGGTGAGCATGTATTCATTTTGCTTTACATCTACAGATGTCTAACCATGTTGTAGGTGTTTTTGCGGGTCTACTCCTGATCCAAAACCTCCTCGGTTAGCTACCCCTCACTCCTGCGGAGGTCCCTGTACCCGACCTCGTGCTTGTGGACACCCTTGTTCGCTCTCTTGCCATCCAGGTCCATGCCCTCCATGTCAGATTACGATTCAACTCCCGTGTCATTGTGGTCGCCGGTCCATGTCCTTTCGCTGTTCACATTTGTCACTCAGCAAGGTCAGACAAGCTCCTCCGGTCGATCTTTCGTGTGGAAATAAATGTGGCAAGAAGCTGAACTGCGCAAACCATGCATGTGAGGACGTCTGTCATGATGGGCCATGTAAACCATGCCCAGTCACGTATGTGGCGAAATGCTATTGTGGGAAAGAAGAGAAGGACTTGAGGTGTGGAGAAGGCATTGAGAAAGCGTCAGCTATCGTCGATACCGCTGGCGAACACAACTGGATCGGTCAGTTTCCTTGCGAGAACGTTTGCAATAGGTGTGTCTATCTGTCATTTCGCTGGAGTTTAGCTTATAGTTAATGGTTCTCACACAATTAGGGCTTTCGACTGCGGTATACATCATTGTCAGAAACCTTGTCATCCTCAGGACCCATCTCCTTCTACATGTCCTCGTTCGCCTTCGCTCGTTACCCATTGTCCCTGCGGGAAGCACGAGTTATCTCCATCCACTGCCGAGTTCTTTCCTCCCGCTAGCGAACTCATCAGAACAACATGTACCGATCCCGTCCCAACGTGCGAGTCAACTTGCATGAAACCCCTAGACGGTTGTGAGCACGCTTGCTCTGCCAAGTGTCATATTGGACCGTGTCCTCCTTGTTCAATCATGCTTGTACGACCCTGTCGGTGCGGTTCGACTACTCGCAACGTTAAATGTTCAGAAGAACAAGTTCGAATGATGGCCCGCGAACATGGAGAACCAGACAGCGAGATCCTGTGCGACAGGTTGTGCACAGCGTTGCGGAATTGCGGACGACATCAGTGCAACCGTGTGTGCTGTCCTCTTGCTTCGCTTGCTCCTGTTACAAGAGGCAAAGGGAAGAAAAAGGCAGCAGCCTTGTTCGAGACAAACGTCGCGGACGAAGAGGGTTGGCATGAATGCGATCTTGTGTGCGGCAAGATGCTCAGTTGCGGAAATCATAAGTGCGAGGAGAGAGATCATAAAGGTGCTTGTCGGCCTTGCTTGCGCAGCTCCTTCGAGGAGATGATTTGCCATTGTGGACGAACGATCCTTGAGCCTCCCATTCCCTGCGGAACTCGTATCCATTGCTCCTATCCTTGTGATCGTCCACCTCCGCCGTGCGGTCATCCGATGGCGCCACATATCTGTCATGAAGACCCCAACCCTTGTCCGCCTTGTATCTTCCTCAGCGGCAAGCGTTGTGCTTGTGGCAAGAAGATTGTCGACAATGTTCGGTGTTCTCAGGAGAAAGTATCTTGCGGGACGACCTGTGGAAAGTGAGTCCAGTTATCGGTTTTGTTACTCCATCCTGATTACTAACGTTTATCGTTCAGGCTTTTGAGTTGTGGATTCCATCATTGTGAAAGGCTTTGCCACGGAGATAGTTGTGGCCCTTGCACTGCAGTCTGCGGCAAACCTAGGAAACTCTGGTATGTTATTTCTGTTTGATCGTGGTCGCGCATCTTTTCACTAATCTATGTAACTTCTTAGTTTGCCAGCCCATCATCCCTGCACATTGCCATGCCACGCACCTGCTGCCTGTTCAGAAGCAGAATCTTGCCGTTCTGTCATTTATATCACTTGTCCTTGCGGTCGAATCCGCCAACCAGTCCCCTGTGGGCGTAGTACAGCTAACCCAGCTGGTCGTGAAGGCTCCCAACAACTCAAATGTTCAAACGAGTGTCTGATTGCGAAGCGGAATGCTCGTTTGGCCGAAGCACTTGGGATCACTCCTGAGAGCCGTGAGGAAAGTCGACAACAAATCATTTATAGCGATGAATTACTGTCGTTTGCAAGAGCCAACCCAAAATTCTGCGCGATGGTGGAGAAGAGCTTCTCTGAGTAAGTCTATTTCTTGTCAAGCATGCTGCACGGTTCGATTCTGATGACATTGTTAGTTTCTTGTCTTCCGGGAAGAAGAATCAGATACTGGCGCATATGCCGGAAGTACGTCGCAAGTTTGTTCACGACGTAAGTTGAATGTATCTTTCAAGTAATGTTCTCTTGACTGATCGTCGATCAATTCCTAGCTTGCTGCAGTTTACCGCATGGATACGCAGATGGTTGACCAAGAGCCACACCGTAGTGTGCAGTTGATACAACGCATCGACTCTCGTGTACCCACTCCCACGTTGTCTACTGCTGCCTCTTCAACGCCGCCAGCTTCATCGATGCATACGGGACTAGGTAAACTTGCGGACCTCCGTGCGCCCGTCTCGCAACAATCCACCAGACCTACAACACCAGCATGGTCGCGTGCTTCTACCCCCGCGTCAACGTCGGCGGCTGGCAATGGTAGAGGATGGACGTCCGTTGTTACTCAACGCCCAACAGCGAAGACTGACGTCAGCCCTACTGCCTGGCTTACGGACAGCAGCGCTCGTGCGGCTGCTGCCCAGAATCCTCCAGTTCCTTCCACCTCTCGTGTTGCCCAAGCCCCGCCGGGCGTTCCAGTGCCATCAACGAGTCAAGCGGCTGAAGATGTGCCAGAGAGCTGGGAAGATGAACAGTGAGGATGTGATTTACTTCGAATTGCTGTGAGTACGATAATTGCGTTGGAACTTTACAGTTAGAATATATCGTTAGCGAATCTTGTAAACATACTACTCTCAATATCATTGTTCTCCACATAGCCCTTCAGGCTTCCTCCAGAAGTTTGAGGCAGTAAGTATGGGCGCCAAGCTGTGGCATGCGCGGCTATTGACGGGCTCCCGTCATCTAATCTTGGTATCTGTATTCGGTCATATTTTTGGGATGACTCTTGTCAACTCTTGGTAGAGTATGTATTTTGGTCTAACTCTTGGGTTGAATTCCTCCGATCTTTTCTTTAGCACTCTCGTGAACGATCCTCGTAAGAACCCTATCGCGTACTCGACGTATGTTGGATCACTAATATGCTTTATAGACCTTCTGCAGGTTTCCATCTAAAGGAGTCGATTCTTCGGTGAATCGAGTCACATAACGGATGCAAACCCCTTCGCAGAATAAAAATTCTGTCGTGATTGACACGGAAAAATACACTCGTTCAAAGACAGAGGATGAGTCTTTGAGTGACCTTGGGGAGCCTAAGGAGTTCTACTATACTCGTAGCTTAACAAAAAGGCTATTGAGATGGGGTGTCGAAGCTCGAGGTATGTTCTTGTCAATGCGGGTAGATTCTTCTTCTAACTTGATTTCAGGGATTGCGCCTGCACCTCTGTGTGAAAGGACGGATACCCAGTTTCACAAGCTCTTCTTCCTGTGGTTTTCAATGAATTTTAATATTCTGTCGTAAGCATCTATATTACAATCATTCTGCGCGCCCTCACCAGTTTCCAGCTTCTCTGCGGGCTCTCTAGGGCCTGTAATATTCGGCCTTGGACTGAGAGACTCGTGTCTGGTCATCCTCTTCTTCAATCTCCTAGCTAGTGCCCTTCCTGCCTATCTGTGAGCTTGCCCCTGCCTGTCAGATCATTAGTGACTTATCACATATCGATAGGACGACATGGGGACCCAAAATAGGCTTGCGTCAAATGTGTCAAGCACGATACAGTTTTGGGTACTGTCACATTTCGTGTAAGGTTTGGAACCATGCACTGACGTCATTTCCAGTTACTATGGAATCATCTTACCCAGTATCCTGAACATGGCTTCCATGATGGGCTTCTGCATTCTGAATTGTATACTTGGTGGTCAAACATTATCCAGCGTCTCAAATGGAAACCTCAGTTGGAGGTATGTCCGTGGTTCAATTCCCCCCACCACGACGACACGCTAACGACGTCATGCAGTGTGGGAATAGTCATAATCTCAGTCATTTCTTTGCTTGTAAGTAACGCCAAAGGCGTTTCGCACATTGTTATTGCCTTTTACTTAGCGCTCTGTATAGGTATCGTTCTGCGGATATAGGGTCCTCAACTGGTATGAGCGCATCGCTTGGATCCCAGTCCTTGTCGTCTACGTTGTCGCTCTAGGACTTGGTGGAAAACACCTGTCCAATCAGCCCCCTACGGAGCCCGCATCTGCGCCTGCCATATTATCTTTTGCGTCAGTCATAGCTGGATTTGTAATAACTTTTTCTCCTCTCTCCTCGGATTTCACGACATATTATGTACCTTCCGTATCACCGTGCGTGCAAGTCATCATATAGCTTCGTTGCACCCACTCACCCCTCTATCTCGCCTTAGCTGGAAATTATTTTGTTATTCGTATTTAGGTTTCAACATCCCAATCGTACGTAATCCCCCTTCAGCGAGCCTCATATCGCCTAAATGCCTTTCTCGTCCCCAGATTACAATTCAGTGTCTCGGGGCTGCTGTGGTACTTGCAGCACCATCCGTCCCGGCATGGAATGAAGGGTACGAGAATGGAAATGTCGGCGGGCTCCTCGAGGCCATGCTGCACCCAGTTGGAGGATTCGGCAAATTCTTAACGGTGCTGATGGCGCTTTCCGTTACTGCCAATGTCTCCCCGACTCTCTACTCCTTCGGTCTGAGCTTCCAGATATTCATGCCTTTCTTGGTGGTCGTACCAAGATACCTTTTCTCGCTTCTAGCCATTGCAATGTAGGTTTTGCTTACAGATACGCCTCACCCAAGCACTCACCATTGCGTCGAAATTAGCATCATTCCACTCTCTATAGTTGGACAACACAAGTTTTATGATACCCTAACGAACTTCCTGGGCTTAATTGGATATTGGGCGAGCGCGTTTGGTGCAATCATCCTTATGGAACACTTCGTCATCCGACGAGGCGATTTCTCCTCATACGATCTACGATACTGGAACAACCCTCGAAAACTTCCGACTGGCCTAGCGGCGTTGGGAGCTTGCGCTTTGGCATGCGGTCTTATCGTACCTTCCATGGATCAAGTGTGGTTCGTTGGGCCCATTGCGAAGAAGACTGGAGACATCGGTTTCGAATTGGCTTTCTTTGCCACGGCACTGTTCTACATCCCGCTGAGATACATAGAACTCAAATACAAAAGTTTGGTCTAAGTAACGACATAGAATCATACCCAGACACTAAACGTACAATGTTAGAAATGTATGCAATATTATGATACATGCGAAGAATCCCCTCTGGTAATAACGAAAAACTATTGCTACAAAATATACAGCTATAGATACAGAATGGTTAAACCCAGTCTTTATCACTGAATGATTTGATCGATGAGTTACTGGGGGTAGGAAAATGGTCGAACTTGCATTCGGAGCTAGGAGAGATGTACGCCGAAGAAGGGTAGGAAGGTGGGTCCGAACAGACGACATGGGAAGAAAAACGTATTGAGTGCTCGGAAGGTTTGGTCGAAGGGAACATGGAAGAGTATGTATCCCTGCCGAGGGCACGTCCATTGACAACCCATGTTATTATTAACAGAGGGGGAATGGCCTATATCCACTTAGACTCGGACTCAGGTTGATGTATACTGGGAAAATAAACTCACTTGAACTTGGCCTATAGCAGGCAAGAAGACGAACTGGAGGCGGCTATTCAACCCGTACAGTATAACGCTAGTCATCGCCCATATGGTGTATAGTGATGCGGACTCAATGAGGATAGCAACAAGAGATGTGTATGTCTTTCCAAGGCGAGATCCAAAGACCGTGCGGACGCGATGGCGAAACCATAGGATACGACCAACAATAAGGCATGTCAGGATAACATGTGAGGACATCGTAAGGCTAAGGTAGACAATCCCTGGGACGTCGCAAGTGTCCGGCAGCCATGCGAATCCTAATCCTACGATCGCAGGAATGCAAATTCCACCTGTCACTGTATGGAAATGAGCAATTTGAATGGTGACATGATGAAAAGACTCACCGATTAGTATAGCTAATACCAGTAATGAAATCACCGCAAATATTATAGTATGTCCCCCCAGAACGTTGAATATAACGTAAAATCGGTATAGCTATAGGTATGGGACGGTCTTAATTAATTCAAGCCAACAACGGTTAAATGATGTACTCACAAGTATGCCTTCCGATAACCAGTTCATTACGACGTATCTAGAAGAGTTGCATTGTGTCAGAAATCTGACCGAACAAATAATTGGCTTGATAGTACGGACATCGTCGTTCTGGCTAGGTTTGCGGCATGATGTGCATGGTGTGTCAGAAAAACAACATCGACAGACCCATTATGGCGGAAATGCTTGGTTATTACGATGGATTGGTACCACCAGATTTGAACAGCAATGCCAGTGGTGGCCAAACAGAACACCGTTGTCATGTATGCCAATAGTCTGAGGTCTCGTCTGTAAAGTGGTCTCAGACAAACCAAGAAGAGCGTAGTATGAACACCTGCGAGGCTAACATTGATTATTACGGGCTGCAGTCAACAACCTCAAGCGATAAACGCACCGTATGCGAGTACAGCAAGCAACATGCCTACGAAGCTCAACTTTGCTACGTCGAGGTCATATTCAGCCTGCTCGGTACAACTGTGGAATATGGCAGGCATCTTTAGACGATGTTTTCTGGTCATGATCGCAAGGGTTTATAAAGCAAAAGAAGAAGCAGTGTTGCTTCAACATCGTGCATATGTTCCAAACTAGAACCCAGGGAGGTAGAAGGAAATGGAATACTGTGTTCGTTTAGTACTGAATCAGCATAAACCGAGTGTGCCAGGAAGCTTATGTGGAAACCAAATACCTCGAATACGAGTAAAACGGTTACGTCTAGGAAAAGGTTGTTACGAGAAGGCCCGTGTGGTTAGGGCCATCTATATTCGGCAGTGTCTCCGATAATAGTCCGAATCACATGAGATCGTATCTCAAGCGCAGATTTGGAGGGCCCGTCAAGGCCATCGGAAACCAGCTCATGCCAAATCACGCTACGTACGAAATATGCATAGCGAGAACTAGTCAATTGGATTCGCCCGATACATCCACGATCGCAGACGAAATCCTATCTAGCCACATGTCTATGATACCGAGTTGCATCTCTGCGTGGTCGAGATCCGGAAGGCTAGGAAATTCTGGAGGACCGATGAGTACAGCTGTTTCCGCAGACAATCGCAAAGCACACTGACCTTTCTCCCACGAATCCAATTGGAGCTTCAAAGGATCCAGCAGCGTTCTTTGTACTTCCTTTAAGAAACCACGTTCCCTTACTCCAGTCTAAAGATGTCTCAGCACGCTACGTGTCCCTCGAAGTCGCACACTTACCGTATTACCGACGTCGCGCAGTAGAAGCACGTAGAGCAATCCTAGACTCTCAACCAGGCGTAATGGCTCCGATGACTCCAAGAACTTTACTAAAGGCGCTGTCAAGTTGTTCGGCTGCCTCAGGAATAGAATGGAGCCGAGCTCTTGCATGAACAATGGTGAGCTGAAAACGCTCGATGGACTTCCTGTAGATGGTGGTTTGGAAAGAGCTTCGAGGATGGCTTCTTTGACCAAACCGATTGCTGCTACACTCATCTTCTGCATCGACTCGTCGTCATCTGTAACGAGATCCTTGAGGAGCTTCAGACGGACAAGTGAAGGGGCAAGGGAGAGCACGAGGGAAAGGATACGATATGTGGCATGTCGCGTGGTGGGGTCCGGATGCACACCAGCCAATGGTGCCAGAACATGGACAAGAGGTACTACTAGGTCAACAGATAGTTCGGGACGAGGTGACACGTTCCGAAGAGGACCTAGCGATTCAAGGAGAACGGACAAAGTCTCATCGAGCGCTGCATTGCTCTGCATCGAACCCAATATAATGGGCAAAAAGGATCCGAGAGTCTTCAAATTCATGTTCGGCTGCGACGAGTGAGCGATCAGGATCAAGGAGCTTATCGAAGGCTGAGACGTTAGTGTATTGATTGACAAGCCGAGATCGCTCAGGGCATCCTGCATTACAGTGGTTGAGCTGAACGCTCGACAAGAAAAACCAAAAAGTCAGTTATGCCACATACCAAGACATTCGACACTACTGCAGCGTTCTGGACCTCGGAAGGACCTTCTATAGACCATATTGGCATTCTGAGATTAGGGTACTGTCTCTCAAAGGCTCTTGCGATCAGTCCAGCACGTAGACTGTTGGCATTGCTCTGCACAATCTCACGGAGGAAATCGCAGAGGATAACCTAGAGCGTTGAATTCAGGTAGAGCGAATGAAGTAGAAACGATCATGCACACCGCGACCACTCCTTGTTCTTCAGGATCATTTCCAACCCACCCACGGATGGCGCCTGTGAGACCTGACAGTGACCATACCAGATTCTGAGCATCCACATCAGTGTGTTGACTGACAGCAGAGACCGTGCCTTGGACTTGAGATATCAAAGGTCGCAGGATCTCACTGGCGGTCTTCTTCCTTTTTTCCAGCCGAGGTAACACTAAAGGAAGTAAGCACAACGAACGCAAGTTGCACGAGATTCCTAAATCTCACCAATGGCGTATAACTGAATGATACGCACGATTTGCGCAGCAGCCAAGAGAACGTTATCAGCGTCGTTCTCTGTATCCTCCTCATCATCGGCGGCTCTCTCGAGTCTTTCAACAGCTTCTTGAATGGCTATCAAAGCTTCCCTCGGACTACATCTTGAGCCAACAGTCTCGAGGAGTATCTCAGCGCCCTCCAAGGAACTCGGTAGTAGCAGTGGTACGATCGCAAGTGGATCCTAGCCGATTCAACAGGCTTAAGACCCACGGTGAAAGTGGACAATGCTTCACTCACGAGATCTACATCTTCAGGACGATATAATATTAACTGATTCAACTGCTGTAAAGTGTAAGATGGTTGCCGCTTGTCGACAGCGGACTCAATAAGGCTTGGAAGCTTTCTTGCGTCATCCTACATAGAATCAATAGTTGGAGTAGTGTCGAGCAAACTAAGTGTATGATACATACGTACGTCGCTGATGATTGCAGGAGCGACGAATATGTCACTCATCTTCCTTCAATCGTAACAGGGCCTAGCCTTAGAAGAAACGAACACGATAAGTCCAATACGGACAGGACGTGCGAATTATGACTGATTTCTACCGTAATAAAACTGTTAGTATCGGAGGGATCCACAATGTAGAGTAGAGAATTTGTCTTATGGTAAGCAGAGAATATCATGCTGCAGCTCTTTTGAGAAGTTCACAAAGGCTAAGTCTGAAGCGCCCATCGACATTCACATGTCTTGGAGAAGGACATCATGTTCACCTACATTCAACACAGAATTCGAATTCACTTGCTTCTTACTAGCACAATCTCTTTGTGCTCGTCCTTTTGGTTGTTGTACTCTTCTCTTAAAATACGATCTCTATGCGAACATAGCCGAGAGCTATGTCGGCTTCCATGCTAAGCCTCCGTTCGCTCTCTCAGGCGACTCGGACGTCTCGCAAGCCAACTCTGATTCTCTTCGCTCTCGTACTTATACTCCGATCTCGTCTGTTGACCGTACCGAAGGATGCTCTAGACAAGCTCAAGGCTGTTGCTTATAGGCAACCCCTTTCCTCAGAGGCACTGAATCAGGCCTTACAGCAACTCTACGTGGACGAACCTGATGGCACTAAGACTTTGCTTGTACCCTATGGGGGTAATATTTCTAATGTGAGTATTGTGCCTGGAGCTGTAGGTTCTTAGTATTATCTGTGGCTATCTATTTGCTGCGTCACTGCACAGCGCCGCAAGCCTTGCAGACACTAACGTACGTCAACAGGTCAATATAGTTCCTACTTCAACTTCTAAGTTCAAGGAGGATGCGAAGTACTTCCCACTGGTACCGGAGAGTCACAAAGCCAACCTCGACAAGCCGTTCTTACGACAGCTTCTCGCCGTCTTGAGGATTGCCTTTCCATCCTGGTATTCCAAGGAAGTTCTGATACTGCTTCTCCATTCATTCTTCCTTGTGGCTCGTACGGTTTTGAGCGTCGGCGTTGCACGCCTTGACGGTCGAATCGTTCGCGACCTCGTCAGTGCCGATGGCAAAGGGTTCCTCAAGGGACTCGGGTTGTGGTTTCTCATGGCCATCCCGAGCACGTATACTAATACTATGGTGGGCTCAGAATGTGATAGACTTACCTGTGAGAGAAATTGATGAGTGTGTCAGATTCATCACCTTCAAGCCAAGTTATCTTTGCGTTTACGAACTCGTCTGAGTCGATATACCCATGACTTATACCTCTCCTCCGCACCTGACCTGAGATACTACCGTGTTGGTCTTGAAGGAGGCCTTGGGGATGTAGATCAGTACATCACTTCTGACATTGCGGCCTTCTGCGACGCGTTGTCTGGAATATAGTGAGCCCCGCTTATACGTGTCTTATGTTTCTTTTCCCATTGACACGATGCATCAAGCGGGAATATTCTCAAGCCGTCGTTAGACCTTTTTCTATTCACTTCGCAGCTCTCGCGTACACTCGGTATTCGTGGTACACTCTTGCTCTTTATGAACTACTACATCACAGCGAAAATCCTGAGAGCAGTCACACCAGCTTTCGGCAGACTCGCTGCTGTCGAAGCTAGACTTGAGGGTGAATATAGAGCCGGCGTGGGTAGGGTCGGTAGGGAAAGTGAGGAGATTGCGTAAGTTCCTTTCTTTTTCTACGTTCATTTCCTGATGTAGCGGGATCTGCAGATTCTACGATGGCGGACGTCGCGAACGCGACATTCTATGGAGGGCGTATCTTCGCCTGATCAAGCATATTAACTCGATTTACAAAGTACTTCATTTCTGGAAGTCATAAAGCGACAGGCTTATGTCGAATGTAGATTCGTATTGCGTATGAATGGACTGAAGACTATGTCATCAAATACCTATGGAGCGCAGCGGGCTATGCTCTCATTGCAATACCGGTCCTATTGACTAGACGAAGACATGTCGGAGTGCAAGCCTCCGCACCGGACACGGGCAGAGTCAATGATGAAGTTGCGAATAGGACGGAAAGTATGCCCTCCCCACTCTCTATATTGACTGGCTCCTAACTTTCGATACCATATAGCTTATATCTCTTCCAGAAGACTGCTGCTCTCTCTAGCAGATGCCGGAGGACGACTCATGTACGCTTACAAAGATATCCTAGAACTAGCGGGCCTCACAACACGTCTATACACTCTTCTTTCAACCCTCCATTCTCTTCCACCTCTCCCTAAACCTTCATCCTCAACGGCCGTTGAGATGTCGCATGTGGACGTGACTGTCCCTTCGTCAAAGACGTATGACTCCGACGCAATGCTCCTCGTGAAAGATCTGACCATGTCATTACAACCCGGAGAGCACCTGATGATCACAGGAAGCAATGGTGTAGGTAAGACTGCGGTGGCACGAGTACTAGCAGGTCTTTGGGCGCCATACGGTGAAGGAGTCGTGCGTAGGCCTGAGGGTAACAAGGGTGTATTTGTTGTACCCCAGAGGTCGTATATGGTGGTAGGAAGTCTGCTGGACCAGTAAGCGTTCAACACTATCCAGTTGGGTGCAAAGGCATGCTGAAGCTTGATCTCCAGGATTATCTATCCCCACTCTTACGCCCAATTCCTTGGGTCCGGCCGTACACACGAGGAGCTAATGGATATCCTGACCGCGGTCAACCTCGAATATATTCCCTCGAGAGAAGGCGGTTGGAGTACACGTAAAGAATGGCGCGACGTCTTCAGTGGCGGCGAGAGACAACGGGTAAGTGATTTTTATGATATTTCGATCGGGTTTACGGAATGTTGTTGATATAATCGTATAGATGGGCATGGCGAGGGTATTCTACCACAGACCACAGTTCGCTATCCTGGATGGTAAGTCGTTTCTGAAGATACATGGCAGGTGTAAATTTACTTGTTGTGCAGAATGTACGAGTGCCGTATCAAGCGATGTCGAAGGCCGGATGTACGAGCACGCCAAAGCGCTTGGTATTACTTTGATTACCATCTCACTGCGGTAAATACATCATATTTTAATGAAGACTTTTGCTGACACCTGGAGCATCGATAGACCGTCTCTGACGAAGTATCACAACCGACTGCTGACGATCAACGGAGACGGCAGCGGTTCCTGGTCACTGTCCCAAGTTGGGACTGCAGAGGAGCGTATGGAACTAGACCGTGAAATTATCGCACTAGAGGGGAAGCTCTCGGAAGTGGGAGATTGGGAGAAGAGGGTCCGAGAGCTGAACAAATTACTGTCAGCTCAGACACATTGACGTTGACGCCGCGCGTTATTGATTTCACCGTTGCTCTCGCCGTTACTCGTATGCTCTTGTACTATAGCTGATGTAATAGGATCAGAGGAGGATGGAATGTACTTTTTGATGAACGTTACGTCTTAAGAAGGTGAACCGGGTAAAACAGTCCCCGTTTCTAGACATTGCAAGTTCAATGTCATATCATTCAAGACACCATTTCAACGAATTCCTCGTCACATTCTTTCCTATAATACACGCAGAGTTTTACCGTTGCCAGGACATAGGTCTCATCATTGAGAACCTGGGTTTCGGCACCATAGGCGCCGTAGAGTCCATAGACGTATAACTCTCAACACGGTCCAACTGAGTTGGTTCAGGTTTGGGAGGAAGAATGAACGGCGTGATACCAACAGCTTCAGACGATGAGAAGTCGACCTCTTTTCGAGGCGTAGAGAACATGGGGAGGCTGGCTGTGTCGGGAATGAAACGGCGAGTACCTAAGAGGAGCATGACGTTCACAAATCCTGAACGTGAAAATGAGTGAGAGACATAAACTGTGAGGAATGGGGCAAGTCGTACCTTGAAGGTTGAAGATAAAGTCTGCTAGGATAGTTGCCCAGAACGGAACCTCACGCCCGCCGAACTCGATCAGACGGGCGATTGAAACTGGGAGCAGCAGGATACTATACGAGACCTGTAGGTTTTTAGGTCAGGATCTTAACATCTATCTAGCGCGTCAGAAGTATACACACAGGATACCTATGAGCGAATGTCAATACTAAAAAATGCACACACAGAGAATAACGTACCAGACCATTCGTACAGCAACACGGAACATAGAGGCATCAATGATATCCCTACTGATGGCCAGTTGCCAGCTTTCGCCATTGGGGACGAATCGAAGACGCCAACGACCGTTGCTTTGCATCAGGTTTCCTCGAACGCATAGAAGGATAGCCGTATAGAGGACGAAAGACAGGAACGCCGAGAGAAACTCCTGGAATAACGGTGATCAGGCGAATCCTCGATTAGAGTAACGTTGAAACCAGTCTCACGAAGAAGTACTCCAAGAATGTGCGCTCTTGTGGGTAGTCGGGCGTAATCCAGCACCTTCAAGACGAATTCAGCATTCGCCACAGAGGCAATACTAGAAGTGAGTATACCAATAACCAGATGGACCGAAGTATGGGCCTCGCTTCTTCGTAGTCTGGATTGCAATAGGTCCAATGGCGACGATAAAGATCACAATGAACCATCCGCTGATCAGTGTCAACAAGAGTCCACGACGAGTAGACTTCCAACGCAGGAAAAGGAGATTGAACAGATGTGCCGCTAACACGAAGGACCTGCAGAATAATGCATTGAGGTCATTCACAGACACACACTACGTTGCATTATCACTCACCAGAGCGCCATTCCGACATTACCAGCTTGCTTTATAGCACCTTGGAAGCTACAATATGATCCAGGCTGGACTGCTCGTTTGATCACCCACAAGGCATTCATAGATGTTCCGGCGGCTTCAAGCACATTGGCGACCAATAAAGAAATGAAGTAAGGAATGACATGGGTATTGTGATACGTAGGAGACCGAATAGAAACCACCTGCGCAAAACATAAGCATCCCGACAAGTAGATAGAAAGCGGGTGTACGTACCACAAACACCAACAGAACAGCCAACCCAGATAGTCCGCCCGCTACGACTAGACTCTGTGAGAGAAGCCTTGTGAGACTGACATAGGCGCTCAGTCATCAGTGATGCTTCTTACAGCAATGCCTCCAGCATGTGCGCTGTCATAGACAACATCCGAACCATATCTCACGTCATCCCTGGCAAGAAACTGAAGGGCCGATGAATCCATGGACACGCGCCGCGTGAAGTAGAAAAGGGGAGACCAGCTCGAACCAAGAGCAGGCGAGAAAGCTCAGGCCCTGTATAAAAGGGATGTCTGAGATGGCCTGCCGCAGGTAGTGACGAAGATAGTGAAACCGTAAAAGAAAGTGCGACGGCCCATCACATCGACGGATGTTGTTTCGTTATATAGTGCAGAACGACTGGCCGAAATTATCCTGAGAGAAGCTACGGTGTAGGTAAAGATCATTCACTATTTCGGGACCACCATCACTTGTCAGGTACGAACTGTGATGGTATCTTCGTGCTTCTCAAATTTGAGGCATATATGTGAATGACATTGAAGACAATGCACGTATGGTGTGCAAGCATACAATGAGTCTTGCGCCAGCGCGCACATTAGCGCACCTAAGAAGAAACGGAAATGAAAAATGAATGGGCATTTCGGGGACGTCAGGTGTATATCGACCATCTATCTCTTACAGAGCCACAATACCAGCATTAGGCTGCAAGATAAAGCAGTCATTCCCATGCTCACCAATAACATATAAATCTGTTATTACATGATATCTACATCCTTACACCCCGTGTAAGCTAGCCACAGATAAAGTTTCATAAACGAGGCCTCCGTATGAAATCATCGTGCGCCCAATGGACAAGATTGACAGTCATGAGATAGTTGACTAGGATACGATGGCCTCGAGGTCCGCTAGAAGAAAGTCCACAACTGAACACAGTTCTACAGAATGCTGCCGGTGCGATAAGGACTGAAGTTGCAGCACTGTCATGATGATCATAACGAAGCGAAGGCAGCGAAGAGAATCCTCGGAAGACACATCAAGCCTTCTAGGCATCTTCCCAGCGGATGGAGATCCTTCGTTGGATGAAAATGAATCCAAGTGAACAGCGCACGGTGGGCGACCCGGCTGCCGTATACTGTAATAGCCTAGAAACGATGATGGAGGAGGTAAGTAGGATATTGGGGTTTTGGCAGAGTTTGAACGGCCAGTCAAGCTAGTCATGTTTCAAAATGCCAAGGCGCCTACGCGTAATTCTGATCTTGTCAAAAACGTTGACCTTCATGTCGACTGTTCTCAAGCTACATATTATCTCACCTCGCTACCCCAGATTCATTTCGCTATGCATCGTGTCGGCAGCCTGACGAGAGCACAGAGATGCTATATCTTAAGCTAGCTCGGTGAGTAAGCAGTCTCATCCATATTCGTTCCGACCCCTCATCCCAGTATGATGACAACTTCATTGGTATATGGAGAGCTCGTCTCGATGAATGCCACGCCTATGCAACCCTTCAGGTATACTCTAACGGAGGAACCGCTGGGGTGCATAGGCATAGAACGGAAAGCTGATACTAAACTTCTCACATTTGTTTTGCGCATTTCAGAATGTCGCTGACGCTTCTCCTGTTTGTAGATCCTGATGGGCTTGTCCAGTTGTCTATAGTAAGTATATGCTATGGACGAACTTTGCTCGATCGATGTTTGCGAATCCGATCTGGTGCTATCCAGACCGAATTGAAATAAGGCTGGTAATGAAGCACCGTCAGCCTCGTTGGAATCTTTATATGGACGCCCCAGCCTCTACTTCGGCTCTCTCCAGCTTGGCTCTGACCGCCATCTCCTTCCATCACATAGTCGCTCACTATCTTCATACGCTCTTTGTTTCGCTTTACGTTCATTTAATCTGTCCCACAACACTTCGATAATACTACATAACACCATGCCGTCTAACGCAATCGCCATACTCGCGGATGTTACCACCGGCTTCCGTAATAACGTCAGGCGTATGCGAAGTGGAACTCTCCGAGATCGTACTTGCGCCAAGGGCAAGGAGAACCGACCACCTGTTCCCAATGACGCCTCATCTTCGAACACAAGCAGTCCTGTCAACGTTGGTTTTCGAGTCCCGAACCAGAACTCGCAGATGCTGAATCAAGCATCCACCGCGACACTTCGCCCCGGAAACACCATTTCTATCACTGTCAACGATGTCGAGCCTCAACCAGAGCTTCCGCGATGGGAGCCCGTCGATGGGACCATCATCATCAAAGTGCGCCTCCCATCCATAGACGACATTTGGCGATTCAAAGTGCCCTGTGACATCGCTTTGGAGGCATTCCGCGAGAAAGTTGTACACAAGATCGGGTTCCCAGTTGGATTCACGAAGACAACGAAGGCGAACGCGAAGCTTATCGTCTCGGAGGATGCCTGGAAACGATGGATTGCTGGAAGAGTCAAGGATGGGCGGAACCGCCCTCTCGTTGCTGTTGAGCCTCAGTGATCTGGTCATCCCTTCTCGTTTCCACTATTCGACTCCTTCGCTAGGATCATGGCCGCATTCTACGTTGACATTCACTCCTCTCGCTGCTACCACTAATGACAAATCCGCCACGTCGACCTCGTAACACATGCTCAATCTCGGATTCCCGGACTTCACGCATATACTTCGGTTTCTCTTGCAACGTATTTGTATTCCGTCTCTTCCCTGACTGCTTCTGTGTCAAGTCCATGCACGTCTGTACCAGCCTCCCACTAGCACTTTACCGTTCTGATCAATATGCATATGCAAATGCACACTCGTACTTGATATCTTCGGCTACTTTGGACCTTGTGCTGCTCATCACTCGAGAAGATCTGCATTGCATTTCGGTATCGGAATATTTCCCTCTTGGATCTTCAGATTGCCAGAAGTATGGTATGATACATCAAGATACAGGCTGTGCCGTCATCTCAGGATACACTTTCGCGGTTTCGGAAACTCGAGATGAAATATATCCCCGGGGGAAACATATTCGACGGTAACGCGAGTTCAACTGATGCGTCCCGGGGTTGTTGACGATCATAAGTTTGCAACATGTACAATGGCGTCCAGGCTCAAGACTATTGATGATCACCTTGGGCGTAATGTAGGCCTTTCTCTTTGTGGCTTTTCCCATCTGGTGTTTGCGGACATAAGCTGTCACGTATGGGAAAGTTTCTTTGGATTCCTGCGATAGTGTCGGGTGAGTTCACGATGTGCGTATTTCTTATTATGCGAATAGTTGTAGAAAAACAAGGGTATTCTGAGAATTGCATTACATCACCATAGTCTGTCATAGTGCTTCTATTGCCTTTGCTCTGTATGGCTACCAAGAGCCACCAGGTCGTGGCAACTTACCGCACCATGTAAGTACTAGTTGCTTTCCTATCAAGACCGTCCCCTCTATTGACGTCGAGCTGTTGTGATAGATACCACTCACACGGTCCCGGTATCTATAAGTCACCTACTTCCGTCCCGCTGCTGGACCTGGGCACCAGATTCCCTCGTTAATCATCACAGACGTCCCGACAAGCTCTGACGTGCAAGGGATGGAAGTTTGTTGTATGTGGCCAACCTCGACTTGAAATTTTCCTCCGTTCTCACTTCTTGGGTTCGAGAAGCACTGGCGGTGTCGGGCTACTCACATCCCCATGGCCATGAGAACCTCGGCGACTTGAGGATATTCATCGGTCAGTATCAATTTTGTAGAAGCATCCCAAAATATCCTCATATCGGCGCAGCATATTGCCTGGAGTTCTGTTTAAACCTCTACAGGATGGACGATCCTGCATGGTGGCTATTATCTAGAGGTACTTGGTTAATATCAAAATTTCGTGATCAGGAGGCGATTCCGTGCTGTCTAAGCTAGGATCTTGTTGAGCTTCGACGCTGTGCCAGTGTCATAGCTTTTGCTACACCATGCTAGGTGTCTTCCAGTTGATTGACGCATCTCATTTCCGCCAGGAACCAGTGCTCTGCGCTCCTCATTCGGCTCCAAAAGCCACTTAAGCGTGTCCACCACTAGTACTAGCTTGACATGGTTCCTGTGGTGTTACCGTCTGACTACAAAGCTGGTATTCGCATTGACTCGATCAGGCTGAGCGGATGTAGCGCGATCATGGGAAGTGGTGAATGAAGGGGCCTTTAGAGACTCTGAGAAGACCAGATAAGGTTCTGCGGGGCTGTTTCTAGAGTTCCATGGACCGGCGGAGACAATGGGTGATCTTTTCCTATCGACCCAGCCAACAGGTACGAGAAGTCCCAGGATTCTCGCGTTTGCGATGATAGATCTTTGCCACCCGCAGCATCATAAGACAACTATCGCGTGTCCTGCATCTCCTTCCATGCGTTGTTGGAATTGGACACCCTGTATTAGAGCGCAATACGTCAGGGCGCGATTACGTGCTATCCTGCCTCGTTTTATTCCTGGCGACTAAACGTATTCGCGTCCTTGTAATGGGTCCCGTTACGGGGGACTGTGCCTGGGTGAATCAACTTTTGTTGCTGAGAAGGATAATGCTGTAGATGATAGCCGAAAGATGGTAGAGAGGTACAGAGCTGCACATGGCCGAATGCGGTGGTGAGTCTGGTGACAGCGAGGAAAACTGCATGGCATCATGAGAATCAGTTATGTACTGCGATTCGACAGCCATGTCCTGTAGTAAGAACGCGTGTTGGCTATAAAAGAGAATGCACTGAGCCAAAATACCACGCGAGCTGGCAGGATATGGTCTAGCATGTTCTGAGGAACGATCGAAGTGTGTCCAAGTATTATTTATGCACCTAACCCTAGTGCCGGATATTTAGCCCCGCGTCGGCTAACTAGAGGCTCGGTCGGGCTGGCCGGCTTAAAGAGGACGCGGGGATGACTAGAGACGCCGGTCCCGCATCCGTAAAAGGCTTGCCGCCAAGGAGACAGCCCGGAAGTAAAATCACATCAATTGTAATTTCATGTGGTGGAATGTGTTTTTGGCGGTCATTTACTAGCGTTTATATATGTCGGGTCCTCTCTTCCCTGATGTCTCTGACATCCCCCTTGCTTCCCCGCCCAGACGTCTCCCTGACTCTTATAACAGGCTATACCAGCTCTTTGCTGCGCGGCGACCTTCTCGCTGCACACCTCGAGCACTAACATCATACAGATCGACACCGGGAGGTAGCATTCATGGTACTTGCAGGAAAACCAGGGCGAGATGACCCGCTGGCTCATGTCACAGCACCACCACCAGACGAGACAGAGGAACAACGTCAGGTTCGTTTAATGGAGGAAGCCGAGGCGCAACGAGTGTCGGACGCGATAGACTATGACATTCAGCAGGAGAAGGCGGCTAACTTCAGAGGAGACATCATTAAGGTTCTCTTACTCGGTATGTGATGAATCCTCCTCGAATGCATGGAAAGTGTTGATTGAGTTCTGGTCTCAGGTCAGAGTGAATCAGGTAGCGTGTTCGTGCATTTCAATGATTGGGCGCTGCTAACGAGGTTTCCCGCCCTTCAATAAGGCAAATCAACGACCCTCAAAAGTACGCATGATTGACTCTCATGTTATCCTATAGACTGAGATTATTCCAGATTTCCAGCTGTTGAACTCGCCAAAGGTCTGTTGATCCTATGGTCATCGTACAAGCATATACTGAGCTTGCTTGACACGATCCCAGGCTTTCAAAGCTGAGCGCGCGTCATGGCGAGCTGTAGTCCTTCTCAACGTTGTTCGCTCTATTCGAACCATCCTTGAGGCCATGTCGGATTTCCACGATGCCCAAAATTCTCCCACATTATCTCCCTCACGACCCACCACGTCGCCGTCCTCCTCGGTATCTTCGTCGGGATCGTTTTTGCGTCTATCGCCTGAACACCTGAAGCTAAAACTACGATTACTTCCCTTGCTCCAAGTTGAGGAATCACTAATTCGCAAATTAACGCCGCCTGGGTCACCAGAATTTGAATCAACCCACCTGTCTCAAATCACCAACTTGCCAAGCCCTTTTGCTAGTCAGAACGTGAAGGGTAAAGAGATTGCGGTGAATTCGCAGTTTGCTTGGAAAGGCGTGTTTAGCAAAGTCGTGTCATCAACGAGGGATAGTTTCGATAGTGCAGAGTTAGTTGACTGGGAGGACCCCAATGTAAGTGTCTGTCTTTTCTTGAGTGCGATCAGTTGCTAACGGTATGTTTGTGTGACAGGATCCAGGGAGGATTATTCATGCTTGCTCGGAGGATATGATTAAGCTTTGGAAGGACCCTACAATTCAAAAGATTCTGAGACTTCAACAAATACGGCTAGAGGACATGGGTGGATTGTAAGTTCATCTTGGATACATGTCTTTCATTTGTCTTACTCGTCTTTCAAGTTTCCTTGACGACCTCGAACGGGTAACTTCTCCTCGTTATATCCCAACAAACGGTAAATCACATCCGCAATATAACCCTATACATATGCTGATGAGGTATATCTTTCAGACGATATCCTACGTGCCCGGCTCAAAACGCTTGGTGTAAGCGAACACCGCTTCAAGTTTAAAGAAGGTACCGTACCATCCTCTTAAACTGTGAACCCAAGTGGGGTGTTGATTGAGAGGATTGCGTCGCGTGTTCTCGACACGCCCTGTTCTCCCGTCCTGGTTTTGCTCTTGGTATCTAACAGAAAGTCCCATAGGATTCGGTGGTACGATTACAAGAGAATGGAGGGTGTATGATGTTGGTGGACAGAGATCTTTGGTATGTGTTGTCTCCTTCGTATTCGATTATACATATAAAGATCGGTTTGCTGACTATAACAACTTGTAGCGAGCAGCTTGGGCACCGTACTTTGATGACGTGAACTGCATTCTTTTCCTTGCTCCAATCAGTGCTTTCGACCAAGTACTTGAAGAAGATCCAACCGTGAACCGGCTGGAAGACTCCGTTCTTCTGTGGAAGAGTATCGTCTCGAATAAGCTGCTAGCTGCGACCAATATTGTCCTCTTCCTCAACAAGACCGATATCTTGAAGCAAAAGTTGCAAGCCGGCATCAAGTTTGCAGACCATTTGGTCTCGTATGGGGACAGGCCGAATGATTTCGAGAGTACAAGTTATTGTACGCAAATTTTCCTGTGTTTTAAGCTCGAGTTATGGTGGTTGATGGTTTGTTTTTGTTTCAGATTTGCGGAAGAAATTCGCGCAGATACAGAAGGACAAGAGTCCACAACGGCGAGGGTTCTTCTGTCATATGACAACCGTCACGGTATGTTTCATATCATATCGTCGTCATCGTCTTCGCTTCACGCGCGCTCTCGCACATCGTCTCTTCCCGTTCTGTTCTGACATGTTGCATGTTAACAGGACCCGAAAGCGACATCGATGATCCTGATAGAGGGTAGGTCTCTTTTCTCATTTAGCACCCTGTCTGTTGATTGCTCTTCCGATTCTGCAATCCGTCCCCTCATACGTTCTTTGTCCGTGCTTGACCTGTTGGCTGATTTGGCTGACCCACGTTCGTTCGTTTCATTAGTGCAAGATACGGTCGTGCGCAAGAACCTCGCTCAAAGCCATTTGGTTTCATGATGACGTCCCATCTTGACCATCTGCACATTAGTGCTTTCTTTGACAGCCAGCCTCATTTCACATTCGGTCCCTCGGTCCCTCACCCGCCTTGTACTTCTTTCGTCGACACCACCACCATCAACAATCGCTCGAACATTATCATCACCATCATCATCATGAACGCTATCGACCCTGCAGATTGATCTCTTCCACCCCCGCCGGCTTTCCTTCCCGAGTTTTGACTTTTGACTTGACGAATCATGGATCATTCCATATGATCCAACTAGTCAATATCGGGCCTTTGGTTCCAGCTTGGGCATTTATCTCCTACCAAGCATGGTCATCATGAACGCTTCATCAGGGGGGTCTCCCTACTTTCCGATCTTCGATTCTCATAATTCATAATCGCCCGAAGTCGTCGATATCATTCAGGAGTGAAGATAATGAACGCTATTTGTTTTTCATTCATCCCTTCGTTCGTTCATTCATTCAGTCATTCTTCCATTCCTCAACTCTTTATGCGCTAATCCTTTCGCGTCTCCCTCCACCCTCCACCCTCCTCCTTTCGCGCCTCCTCAACATCCCTCGCCTCTCACCTCATCTGTCCTGTTCCTCGTCATGGTCACCTCCTTATCATCACCGCTCTCCGCTTTTTGCTTTTTGGCCTTTTCGTCTTAATGCTCTCGATGAGATATTGTCCCACTTTCTTTGTTAAATCCCTCCCTTTTTTTCCCGTCACGCAGCAGCTACCAGCGATAGCTCGTATCCTTGGCCTGTCATTACCCTTCTCATCTCTACCTCACTCCCTTTCATTACCTTTTTGCTCAACCATTGTTGTGTCCATCCTTGACTCTCTTTCACTTTTCTGACCCTTTCATTGTGTTACCCTCTGCAGCTGTTTTTTTTCATCCTGACACTTATTTCATGGTCTGGTGGTGATGGTCTTGGTGGTGACGCCGTATTTGACTGTGTTGTATTTGTAGATAATCCTATTAGTTATGTTTTACCTCTTTAGTGCCGGACTTGATATGAACGGTGCGTTGCGATCAGCGAGCACGCCGATATAGCCTGAGAGTTGGAAACTCATGTGTACGACTGACTGTACATGCGGATGCTGGCGTATTGTGCAAGAACGTCGTTGCGTACATATTCGTTTTCGTGGGCTCAAATTCAAAATTGGGGATCTCGGAGGTAAGATTTGGATATGTGTACGAAAGGAATATATGAGTTGACAGACTCGGAAGCAGCACGAGCAAAGATACGGCATACGACATACGAAATGATTACTACTTAGCAGTAGGATATTAGTGTTAGAAGAAACAAACAGAACTGAGTGAGCGATACAGACAAAGAGAGTAAGAATAGTAATAAGATATACGGATAAAAGTTAGGGAGATAAAGCAATCACGAATTGTCCATACCACACACCCAATCATTTACTGCAGAAAAAGGGTTGAAGGACACTCGCACGGGTCTGTGATCCAAGGAATGAATCTGGTTTAGTGACTTGGTGCGATATGCGAACGACCCATGTTAAGCAGCTTAACGTTCCAACACTCGAACCTCTTCATCCCATGCCCCAAAACCAAGCCATTCAAACAAATGAAGGAAAGTTCTCTTTGCCATGTTCGCTAGGTTTTCTTGTATGTCTTCCTACTTTAAGTTTTTGAGGATTGGCAAGAAGTTCGAATGGTTTGCCTGTTTGGTTCGAGATGAGTTCAAAGGGCGCATTTGGCTCGGTTCCCAGCTCCAGGTGTGATCCTTGTGCTTGTGCTTGTCTAGGTCCGTGTTCTTTTCCCGGACCTTGTTCGAGCTCTGGCGTTAAAGCAGGAGATGTATTTGGATTAGGGCCAAGCGCGTGACAAGGTTCGGACATATCGATGACAGAAGCCTGAGGAGGTTGAGGTATAGTTCGAGGGCGACTAGGAGTCGTCAGAACATTAGGCACCTGAAGGGAGGACGGGTCACTACTAGGTTTGAAACCAGGCGGGAGTTCTAGTGGTCGGAAAGTGGAGACTGAAGGAGAACAAGTTGAGACGACTATGGATGGGACTGAGGGTGTTAAAAGTGTTTGGCATGGGTTGAGTGTTAGCCTCTTTGGCGTCTTTGGTGTTGATGGTAGTCGGAAAGTGGGAAGGTAGAGTGAAGCTCGAGGTCGGAATTTGATAAAGTTGAAGAACGTGCGTGCGGTGGTTGTTGTGCGAGTTGTTAATGGGAGGGTGGGTTTGTTGAAGAGAGTCGGAAGGAGGAGTTGACGAAGACGAGCTTTCTTCGCTTTTCCATCTTTTTTTCCTCCAGCTTCGTCTTTCCCAACGTTTCCTGCACCGGCAGTCATAGAAGAACTAGAATCAGAACGCGAAGAATCCTGCTGGAGGACACTTTGCAAAACCTTCTTCGCACTCGCACTATAGTCCTCGGGTTCAGAAAAAGAGGATTTGCACATGTGTATGCGATACAAGATGAGAGCAGTGACAGCTAGGAGAGTGAGGATGACGAAGAGCATGGCAAGGAAGAGGCCTAGCGAACCATCGAGTGGATCGGGAGCGGGCAGGTTTTGAGGGCTTGTGAGGATACTGGTGAAAGGGACTATGGAAGCTGTGGGAGAGGCCGCTAGCACTAGGGGCGAGAGTGGTTGTATATTTGGAGGCATTTCAATTTAGCGTTTGGAGCTCGAAGTGGAGAGCAAACCTGAAGAAGGAAAACTAGGAGTACGGTAGCCTGAGACGAAATGGCAAGAGAAGCCCTTGAGGGCTGGTTGAGCACTAGAGGACGCATTGAAGTAGTGCATTGGAGAGGCTGAGATAGTTGCAAATTGGACTGGGGTCGGATGTGTCAGCGGAGAGCCGGTCTGTACTTGGACGGGAGTCAAGACGGTTCGAATAGGTTCCAATTAGAGTACTAGGATCGAATACTTGTGAAGCAAGTGCGATGGACATCTGGAAGGTGGAGAGCCGGTGACGCGCTGATAAGATAGTGTGGGATCGATGACGTGCGGGGAACTGCCGGCCAAGCACCCCAACGAAACACTGGGGCGTCTCACCACGGAAAGTGCAGAAAGTAGCAATAGAAACTCTTAGAGAGTGCTCGGTCAGGCCTCGCACATCGCAGTACGCCTCCAGAACACGCTCCGACTTGCTGGGGGTGGTCCGCAGCTACGCGACATTTCCGCAAAATGAAAATATGGGGACGCCGGCCGGTCACACCGTTGCCAATGTCTGCAGGCGTGTCTTCCCCCAACAGATCCTTCTGTGGCGCGATCTTCCTATAAAGCCCGTCCACCCCCTTCCCCGCCGTTCTCCACGCCTCTCCCCCTCCTTCCTTTTCCTCCATCATGTCTACCGTCGTTCAGACCCGTAAGACGCCTCCGCCTGAGATGGCCAACATCACCCCGCCTCTCACCCCACCTCTGAAAAAGGCCAAGCTTGAGAAGCCCAATGGCAAAGATGAGCTTTCTGCCGACAACAACGTTCCTGATAACTATGTCGCCTGGACCCTCAAGCATCAGAAGGAGCTTCCTCCTGTCACTCTTGACAACTTCGTCCAGAATGTCAATTGGCTCACCTGCGCCATCCTCACCCTCACGCCCGCCCTTGCCATCTGGGGTGCTTTCCACACCAAGCTTCGTTGGGAAACTGCCGTCTGGAGTGTCATCTACTATCTCATTACCGGTCTCGGTTCGTTTTCTTTCTATCATCCCCGTCCTAGTCTCATCTATTGACGTCACACGCCTCTAGGTATCACCGCAGGCTACCACCGTCTCTGGGCTCACCGCTCCTACAATGCCGCAAAGCCTCTCCAATACTTCCTTGCCATGGCCGGTGCCGGTGCCGTCGAAGGTTCCATCAAGTGGTGGTCTCGCGGTCACCGCGCTCATCATCGTTACACCGACACCGAGCTCGACCCTTACAATGCTCACCGCGGTTTCTTTTATTCCCATGTCGGTTGGATGCTCCTCAAGCCTCGTCGTAAGCCCGGTGCTGCCGATGTCAGTGATTTGAGCAGAAGCGGCGTTGTCAGGTGGCAGCACAGGTGGTATATCTACTTGATTCTCGGTGCTGGCTTCATCTTCCCTATGCTTGTTGCCGGCCTGGGCTGGGGTGATTGGAGAGGTGGTTTGATTTATGCCGGTGCCGCCCGTTTGTGTTTCGTTCATCACGTATGTCCTCGAGCACTTTCTCAAATTGTCAGTTTGCTAACGCGAATCAACAGTCAACGTTCTGCGTAAACTCGCTCGCGCACTGGCTTGGTGAGGCGCCCTTTGACGACAAACACACTCCTCGCGACCACCTCATCACTGCCCTCGTCACCGTTGGCGAAGGCTACCACAACTTCCATCATCAGTTCCCCATGGACTATCGAAATGCCATCAAGTGGTACCAATACGATCCAACCAAGTGGTTCATCTGGACCATGCATAAGCTAGGCTTGGCCACTCATCTCAAGGTCTTCCCGGATAACGAGGTCAAGAAGGGCCAGTTGACGATGCAGTTGAAGAAGTTGAGGGAGACTCAGGATGTTCTCAATTGGGCGCCGGACCCGTCTGACTTGCCGGTGATAAGCTGGGAGAGCTGTGAGTATGCCCTGCTGGCTTTGTATCTAACCTGATGTTGACATGCATTGTTTCTAGTCGAGCAGCAAAGCTTAAAACGGCCTCTGGTCGTCGTTGCTGGCTTCATCCACGATCTCTCTTCATTTTTGGATGAGCACCCTGGAGGCCGTCATTTCCTCACCAAGAACATCGGAAAGGACGCAACAACTGCATTCTTTGGTGGTGTTTACGACCACTCTAACGCCGCTCACAACGTACGCTCTCTTTCTTCCATTCACTCGAATTGACCACCTAACATCATTCTGTATAGTTCCTTTCGATGCTGCGAGTGGGTGTTATACATGGCGGTTGCCAACATGGCTTGGAAGACAGGGCTGTCCCACCTGCTCAACGTCTTCGCATCGCGAGGTACAATGAGCTCAGTGGATCACCATATGCTAGCTCAACGGCGTGGTCGGACGGGGAAGGTATCCTCAATTAAACGGCCCACTTTCTCTCGTCTTCGCGGTCCTCTCGAGTTTCACGTCTTACATCAAGATTGAACCCTGCATTTAGTGACCCTTGTCTTGTTATCCGTCCGTTGTCAATAGTGTGTATTTTTTCATGATCCAATCCTCCTCCATCGCATGGGGTCTCCTCTCATTCTCTCGATGATCCCACCCTCCGCCATTCTCGTTTTTCTTGTTCATGATGCATGGTTTTCACGAATTCGATATTCTCCTCCACTCATGACAGTTGTTTTGTGTTGCTCCTTGCCTGCTACTCCCGAGTGCCACTTTATAACTACAAATGCATTCGAAAGAGGTGGGGAGACATAGGGCACGCCCAGAAAAGTTAGTGTATTACTTAGAATGACCTCCCTTTTTGTTGGTCTTTATTTTCTTAGAGAACTTGATGCGTACGTCGTGGTTTCTGCTGGATGTTTTTAGTGGATCGGTAGCGTAGAAGTAGCATTGTGTAGAGGTGTCGATGATAACATTGAATGGTTGTTGATGCGAATGGTCGTGCTCTTGATATTTTGAAATTGGGAGTTAAGACGTTCAATTAACCGTACAAAGAAGTTGACGGGTAATACAGCCGAGACCGAAACGATATATAGAACTTGTATAGAACCCACTGAAAGACGAGTGCAGAATCCCTCAAGGCAGGGAGAAGGAGTTGCCTTTCCTGGCTAGAGGCTACCAAAATAGGCAAACATACGACCACATTGAGAACAAGAATCCCAGGGCGTTGAGTAGCGCTCGACGTCAAATTCCTTAGACTTGCAATGACTTGCCACGCCTAAGTACGTTTCCCCAGTGATTTCCTTCGTCTCCTTTTATGCTCCCACAGGCACTCTAAATTAACTTTTGACTGCTTTTTGACTTAGGATATTTAGGAAATCATACATGCCTTCACTCAGTCGGAGAGGGCGGTCATATTCAAGTTACTCGTAGCAGAACAGCCCTATCGGCAACGTTTTTTTTCGTAGGAGCTCGTATGATGATGACGCTCGCTCTTCCTTCAAGATTTGGGTTCCATGGTGTGGCTTGTACTTCGCGGTGTGCGGTTTGCACTCGGAGTCGTGGACTCGGCCCGGGCGCAGCAAGTTTGTTGGTGCAGTTGTGTTCCTCGAATTTGAATGGACGAGGACGGCGGTCGAGTGCGGGTGTGCGGTTTGGGAGACGATGTTTCTCGGTTGAGAGTGGACCACTTCGTTCTTCTTCCACATCATCAATACCTTCTACGCCTTCTACACTAACATCAACACCTACTCCGACTCCGACACCTACACCTACATTTACGGCTTCTATACCTTCAACACCCTCAACACCTTCAACGCATTACACGTCTACACCCACAGCTCCATCTATACATTCTACCCTTTCGACGCTCAGCGCCGTACACCGAGGTGTAGAATTCGAGAAACGGTCGTTGAAGATTTTACAAGAGAATCTTTCGATGAGTCTGAGGAGGGTTGGGGGGCGGGAAGATGGGGGTGTGGATTTACAGGGATGGTGGTGGGTTCCCGCGAGTGGGAACGGGACTCGTAGGGGTGAAAGTGGTTTAGGCGGGAAAACAAGTGAAGATGAAAGTGGGACCAGTGGGAGAGAGGGTGGAAGCGAGAGTCATGACATGTTGAACGAGAGAACACGAATTCGGGTCATCGCCCAATGCAAGATGGAGAAAAAGAAGATTGGGCCAAAGTATATCAGGGAGATGGAAGGTGTCTTGCATCGACATCTTCTCCTCTCTCCTTCTCCTTCGCAAAGTCACCACGACATACCACCTATGCCCACCAATCACGAACGAGAACGTGAACGAGAACGAGAGCCCATAGTGGGACTTTTCATCTCTTCATCTCCGTTCACGAAGAGCGCGTTGTTGAGGGTCCATTCTTCACCCATCCCATTCATGCTCCTCCATCTTCCTCCGTTTTCTCTCCCTTCACAACCTTCACAACCTTCACAATCACTATCCGAGACACCACCTCCCGAGACGTGCCTACATGACTCTGATTCGCGACTTTCCTCTGTCCCTGGGGACTCAGAAATCGACCCTTTACTCCTCCCCAATCCAACCCAGCCCGGTTCACTCGGTTCCCTCATCTGTAATCCGGCCCTCCTAGGTCAAAACGGACCTCTGAAAGGTGAGCTCGAACCCAGATGGGAATGGGCTCCGACCGGGGTGGGAGATGGAAGGCCGGGATTGTGGTGGAGGGGAAGGAGAGTGAGGAGTTGGACGCCAGATGCTGAGGAGCATACGTAGGGTAGACCTTTGGCTGGTTGTTTTTAATTATCAAGGATATATCTATGTTGCAAGGATCCGCATTTTAAAGTGAAGACCTACAAGTTCATTTGCAAAGCCTACTATAATCACTACTGCTCAGAAAAGGCTAATAAGCTACGAACTACGAAAGCCCAAATACAAAACGCACGTATAGTACAAAGCATCCACAGGAACGGTGTACAATACACAGAGAAGCAAAATGGTTTACAGATAGAAACTACAACTTTGGGGAATCGAAGAAAGAAAGAAGTCGAAAACAATCGGAATGAATAGCCGAAAAAGGAATCTAGGTTCAGAAATAGCAAGCGTGTAGAGTGCCTTGAGAAAAGAAAAGAAAAAAGAGAAGAGTTGTCCATATCCAAATGTTCTTCGTACGAGAGCCGTCCCGGGTAGGTTGGACAGTAAACGGACATCTAATGAAGCAAATTCCCTCGGGTATCGACGTTGAAAAGACTAGCGAGCTCCTTCACAGAAAGTCCTGGAAAAAGGAAAAATACAATCAGCATGTCAATTCAACGGAAAACGGGACAGAGATGACTCACTTCCAATCTTCTTGCCATTGCCTTCACCAAGACTTCCCTCGGCAAGGTTCCTCTTGCGCTCCTGCAACGCAAGGATACGATCCTCGACAGTATCCTGGATGACGAGCCGTTCGACAGTCACATCACGCATCTGACCCAGACGATGAACTCGGTCAAAGGCTTGATTCTCGATAGCCTCACTCCAACCGAGGTCAAGAGATATTACGCGATTGGCTCTCGTCAAGTTCAGACCAACACCGCCGCATTTCAAACTAGAAGCAATCTGAGCAAGCGGAATTCAACGACAACAACGATGGATACCTACCTCATGAGCATAATCTTGGCCTTGTCTTTTGACATGAAGGTACGAACAGATGCATCACGTTGATGACGAGTCATGTCACCTTGATACCTGGAAAGCATGTCAAAAGGAGTTTTGGGCTGGATAGATGGTATCCTGAACTTACTTGACATGTGCAAAGCCATGCTCGGCGAGATAGTTGGAAACAAGGCTCAGACACTGGGTCCACTGAGAAATGACAAGAGTCTGCCCCGACACGAACTATGAGTATGCGCAAACCTCCCAGGCAAAATAAAAAAAGAACATACCTTCTCGTCAGGATGTTCCTTAGCCCAACTCATCAGGGAATCCATCATGTGCTAGTCAAGCGTAAGCGCATGTTAGAACACAGTTGATGAAATCTACGAACCTTCATTTTGGTCGATGGCAAGAAGCGGGGCATCATCTTCACCTTCTCTGGTGGGATGGGAACACTGGGCTTGGCACCGAAGATGATGTCCTCGTCCTCATCGTCCGAAATGACGATGGCACGCTGTTTGCCTTTCAAGCTTCGATGAACACGCCTTGCAGCAATACGAGCGTCGGCTTCCTCCTCATCCTCATCGTCTTCAACGATGAAGTCGCTCAAGTCGTCATCTTCGTCATCTTCCATTTCTTCATCGGAATCAAGGATACGAATGGGTTTAGCCCTTCTCTTTCGAAGAGTCCGACCAGCAGGCGCTTTGCCCTTACCCTTGACGTCGTCTGTGAGGTCAATCATCTCGACATCTTCGACCTTAGCATTCGTCGCAGGGGAAAGTTCGTCATCGGTGGGCTCGAAAGCTTGGCGGGTGAAGAGCTTTTCTTCGGATATAGCACCTCTGCAAGACGGGCAAGGACGTTCATTGGCTTTGTATGGATTAATCTCGTTGGCATCTTCCCGTGCAGGGGTATGGAGAACATTCACTGAAACATAATTCAATGAGAGCTTGGCTAAGATTGAGTAAGAAGACCTACTAATGCATTCGCGACAGAAAACATGAGTGCAGCAAGTAACAACAGCATCGGTGAAAGTATCATAGCAGATGGGGCACTCCTCTCCTTCAAGAGAGGCATCGGTAGACTAGTCGGAGCGTCAGTTCCAGTTCACGCTATACCAGCTGATGTACACTTACTTCTTTCTCAGCCGCCATACGCTCGAGAACAATCTCCTTGAACTTTGATTTCATACGGTTCACAAATTCCATGGAGACTAGACGAGCAGCACGAGCGAGTTCAGCACTCGTGTCTCCCCCATCCTCAGCTTCTTCAGGGCGGACGAACCCATCTCCATCTTCTTGTATTAAAGTTGGATGTGAGCAAATCTGGCGTAAACGTAAGAGCAAGACAAGGACTAAGAGGACAAAGTCAGAGGTCATTCTTGGGGGTTAAAGAGAGATAAGAACAAACCTTGATGATAATTCCTGCACGGCGAATGGACGGTTTTGAGTATGGTGAAGAATCCAGAATAAAACCAGTACACACTTTAACACAGTACCGGCCCTGAGGAAACGGTTGAACTTTGCTTGAGACTTAGCCTCCACCATAGCATATATATCGCGTTCCTCCTGACTGAACTGGAGCTTGCGAAGGACCACATTCCTTGCAGGCAGCTCGATCAATCGCTTGCCATCCAACATGGTATCCTTTTTCCTTCGTAACAACGTCATCTGGAAGATGCTCTGAAGACGACTGCTCGCGAGATCCGCTGATAGAAAAAGTTAAGAGGCGGATTGAGATAGCAGAGGGGAAAAACTTACGTTGCTTCTTCTCATTTCGGGCAATCTTTGCATTGAAGTGGTTCCAGTCGTACCAAGGACGAATTTTGAGAAAGCGAAAGAGACCATAAGCATCAGACAAGGTATTGATGATTGGGGTTCTAGGGTGCAACATAAGCTTATCACACTCCGAAATAGATGTGCACTGAGAGAACCTACCCTGTAAGGCACCAACGATACTTGGCTTCAAGCTCAGAGACCGCACGAGAGATACGAGTGCGCTTGTTACGGATGTTCTGTGCTTCATCGATGCAGATTCGATGCCACTGTTGGGTGTAAATTAATATACGAGTTGACGAATATGCTATCGAACCTGTGCTTACCTCAATCGTGAACAATAAGCCGACTATATGCAGTACGTTAGCGACACGAACATGCAATACGACAAGACATAATACTGACGCTCTTTCTTTGCTCCTCTTTTCTTCGGCTTCACGTAATCATCGTCGTCGTCATTCTTGTTTTTCCTCTTCCTCTTGGCCTTCTCTTTTTCCTCGGCCTCGAAATCAGGCCACTCATAGGCTAGAGTCTAGAAGACAAATATTAGAGAAAAGGAAAGTGATCCCATAAAGATGGAAACGCACATGGAACGTGGTGAGGACAATATCATACTTGTTGATATCCTCGCTACGTTTTGGCTTATTACTACCTGTAAAGAAATGAACATGATGGAAACGAAACAAGGCGGGGACGTCGAGCTGACGAACCGTGGTAGATTAGACAACTCAAATTGAGGTTAGTCTTCATGTCAATCTCTTGTTGCCACTGATCCAGCAATGCGACAGGTGCAATGATCAGGGTCGCCTTGCGAAGCGGGTCGTTCGAGCGGTTGGTTGCAATGACGGCAATCCTATTGGAAGGAATACATCAGTGTCAGCAGCAGTATATTCACGCGCATATAGCTTACATTTGGACCGTCTACACAAAAAGACCATTAGTAAAGTGCATATATGCGCATGATACGATTGAACGAACCTTCCCGAGACCCATTTCATCGGCGAGAGCACCTCCTTTCATCGTGCTGTTTTCTTTGTCGAGCATCCAAGCAACGCCGATAGCCTGATGTGGCATCAGCGCGACCTCCATACCTGGAAGTGGATGATAGAGATTCTGCAGGTTCAGCCTCTCAAGAGCCTTCTCAACACTAGCGTTGCCATCGAATTGTTCTGAGTTGCCTGCCGCCACGAGGAACTTGTCAATGCTGGAGAAATGAAGGTAAGTATTTATTCAAAAAGGAACGAGAGCGAGGTTCTTACTCGTCGGCCTTCGCAATAGGTCCTTCGTAGAGGTCCTTGCCCCGGCCAAAGAAGTTTCCGTTCTCATCGAAACGCTCATCATCCGAGAAGTGCGGGTCTGCGGCGGCGGGGTTGGAAAATATCGCAGGTGGCTTGACAGTCTCTATCTTCACATTCGAACCGGAAGCTATAGGTTGCGAAATTACAGGAGGTAAAGGCTTGACGTCGCCAAAGTTGGGATCGACACGAAATTGGAAGAACCGTGGCTGTAAGCTCGAACTGGATTCTGCAGGTTCCGCCTTTATGATACTTGAGACCCGAGTAGGGGAACTGGTAATGGCAGAAGGAATAGCCGCGGTGTATTTGTTTCGAAGCCCACGGAGATCGTTGAGCTCCTTTTCCAACTTCGAAATCCGAGTATAGTCCGCCTTCGTCAGTGCAGATTTCCATCTGGCCCGCTGCATTGCAGATGTCACTTGCGAGATCCGACTGGTAATGTCGGCGAGCCTCGCACGGGTGTCTTCGACATCGCCAGAGGAAGGAGCGGCCGGCTGGTCACCAAAAGGTTCCGGTGTCCTTCGATTGGCTAGAGCCAGCGGAGCCTTTGGAAATTCGAGCTTTTGCCTCTTGTACGAGGATCCACCATGTAATGAAAATTGAGGCTCGAAGCTCTCGGTCTTGGCAAGGTGATGATCAGACGCGCGCTTCTGAGGAACACTAGAGTCGCCCCTCATCGATAGCCCAGACAAATGTTGACCCAGCGGTGCAGCAGGTGAAGATGCAATCCTGGTGGGTGAACTCCATCCGTCTTCAGAGTCCAAGGATGTCAGGATTCGGGATGTCCGATTCGGGGTTCTTGCGGGAACAGCTATGGATAGGGGATTGGGACAACCAGAACGAATACGAGCATCGCGAGATGCACAGTGCACGCTGCTCTGAATAATGTGTGTCTGCATTAAATTAGCACCAGACATTCCTAACTGAAGATTGAATACTCACTCTATATGCAGCAAGAGAGCCAATGCCCGTTGTTTTGCCTCCGTCTGGAGAACCAACACGCATTATTAACTCAATTTTCGCGCGCAGGCAACCCTCCTCGAGGCATGTCACGTAACCAACTGATTATAAGACGAATAATTGAGAAAGTGAAGACATATGAAGTGCAGGACACTCACATCCTTGACCTGGTTGGCGTGTAAGAAGAAACTAAAGGGGACAAATTGAGCATATATGTACCAGCCATGGACAGGACGTCAACATACATTACTATCATGAGGATATAGTTGAAGGTGTTTCTCTAATTCTGCGAGGTATACACCAGGCACCACAGTGTCCTAACGTCACCGGGCATCGGGCCGCTCAGTGACAATAAACGATATTCACGGATTGAAACACTTACAGGTACTGTCGGTAGGTAGCCAAGCTGCTCTTTGGCTGTGGCGAGCAGGGAGCTCTGAGAGCGAGACCTCTCCATGGTAGGATAGCGGGTGAAGAGAAGGGGGAACGGACGGGGGACGGGAAAAAGAGACGCCAGCAAATATGTATGGCGCGGTCGCGTTATTTGGGGTTGTTTATACCGTGGCACTGCCATTTTGGGCCATTGCCGCTGTGCTACAGAGCGCAGCATCGCTACGAAATTCTTTGCAGGCCACTATAGCGCGGTCAAACCAATGGCTATCTGAACATTTCCGTGTTCTGGAAGCTTCTCACCTTGTAGCCCGTGCATGCATGGCGCTTTGGCAGTCTTTGCCCCTGCCACCTACGACAGAGGCGATGATATGAATGGACATCCTTTGACCTGAATAGAGTTCTATCAAATACACGCCTGCTATGTGACTCGATTGACCTCGTCGTCCAACGCGCACAAGGCGCAGACCTGGCTGGCGTTATAATATCCTTCGAAATGTGGCGCGCAGGGATTCAGTCTGGATCCGAGTAAGTTATGTACCTGCCACAGACTGTTTCGAACCATTTGCACATTGCAAATGCACGCGCTTGCGGCATGTCTTCTGCATAGTTAGTTTAGCCAGACAAAGAACTGAAGCGAAGAAGTCGTGTATATTCCGACCGCCAGTCCTTGGTATACACCAGTAAGATCACAATAGAACATAGATAAGCGTCCGTAGAGAAAGAGGAGGGGCGAGAGGGCGAGCAACAGTCCTAGCGAACATAGTTTCCGCCGGTAGCGCCATAGTTAACAGGTGCTTGAGGTGCGACGCCAGGAGGAGGGGTATTGATAGGTTCGTATTGGCCATTGCCAACATCTGTAACCAAAGTATGTCAGTCAAACACACTCCACGAATTCCGCGCAAAGCTTACATTGGAAACCTCCACGTCCATATTCCTCCTCTGCCCGCATCTTCTTGTATATGAGCCAGAAGGCGTGCTACAAATCGAGTGAGTATGTACTCCTACGATGATTCAAAGTCTTTGAAGAACATACTAGATGACCAGGAATGTATCCAAGACTGCACAAATGAAGATGATCAGCTTTGGTCAGAGCAGACTACAAGCCGAGAACATACATTGTCAAGCAAATGTTGATCAACAAATCACAACTACATCCCGTAACGAACGCTGCAGCCGCAGGGGGAAAGAGAATAGCAACCTATTCCACATAAAAGGGAAGACCACGTTCAGTTTGACATGGCGCATAAGTCAATGACACCTACAATGATAAGAACAACGTCGGAGGTAGCAACCATATCAAGAGCGGTACAAATGAAGGTCGTTATTGTGACTTTGTGTATAAGCCCTTGAGAGTAAACGAGGTGGACGTTGAGAGTAGAGTGCGTTGTCGGTACGGAGCATTCCATTTACATGAGCGCCAAATTCAGCAGTGACGTCGGGAAGGCTTGGAACATCGAACCTTAATATCCACAGGATTGGAGACGATATGTTGGATAGGGAATAGGAAAACCGATGTTTTCAATGTTCAGCATTGTGTATTCAATATCCAAAATAAAGACACGGTTTAGAAATACAGAAAGGATCATGTGACGGGTAGATAATTATGTGGAGATTCATTCGGAGGCTCAGAGTAGGGTACCATGTGTACAGTTAGATAGAAAACACTGATGTGCTCATCAAATTCAAGAAGGCTTGAGGGAAAGATGACGCATGGTATTGGGCGTTGGGCTTTGGGCGTGAAAGGTTCGTTTTTGGAATGGACAGAGGTCATATGAGGTCGACTGACATGAGGTTATCAACGAGGATAGCCTCCCGGACTAAGACGCTTGGTCAATCACGGTTTCGCGTCTATAGAGGCGACAGGGACTTACGACGGACAATAACATGCGACATGACTTCAATGTCCTGAAGACGAGGGGTGGGGTCATTCGCACCAAGGAGAACGACTGAATATTAAATACTTACAATAGCGCATGTCAGGTGAACATGCAGTGCTCGCTTCCGAGCTGACTGCGACTTATGAATAGCAATAAATTTGCCCCTGAGGTCTACGAAAAAGACGATAAACCATCGAGACCCATGCGGGAGAAGTAAGGCTGATACACGAACATTCTGAGACATGCTTGAAGTCATTCGCTTCCTTAAAGCTCCGAACATACCGAGCGAACAACTCCCCGCCTTTAAGTTTTGCCTCCAGGAGATCGCATTTGTTCAATAGGAGGATAAAGGTAACGTTCGAAAGTAATTTCGAGGAGCATATCGTCTTCCAGAGGGTGAGGGAGTCAAGCTGAAACAAACGCGAAGAATCAGAATCAACGTATCAGATGAATTACGTGTAAGTTGACATACCAGACGGTTAACGGATCGATCTTCGGATAGAGTTTGGTTGAATCCCGCCATCGAACATAGAAAGATCATGGCGTTCACTGTACGGGTGATGTGGATCAGAAATTTTATCAGTTGGGAGTAAACTCAATAGAGTACCATCGTCAAAATATGGTGCCCATGCCGCTAAGATAGACCAAACTCGATGAGAATGAGGTTAGATGCGGGATGATATTGCTGACCTCGCTGGCCTTTGCTTCCTCCTACGTCGTAAAAGAGCCAGGTCTTCCCTGCTTGGGCTGCAGCTGATTGACCTTCCGCTGTGCAACATGTTAGGCTAGCTAACAAGGGAGCCGATATATACGTACCTGACTCAAATGTCATTGAATGTTCCTCGACACCAATTGTTTGTAAACGAGCTTTGAGGATATCCGCTAAGACGTAAGTGAGTATGAATAACTACAAAACATGCTCAATGACGACATACGGAATGTTGGTTTGTATTTCTGAGAAGCAATTCGTCGTGTGTCGTCCAGGAAGCTGATTACAATGAGAAACGACCTCGATATTTGTCGTGGATACGTACAAACCCGATTGATCCCGTAGAACGATATCCGACTGTCGCAACTGCTGCTGCACCGGCGGGCTCTTCCAAAGAGCAACAATATCTTTCTGGCATGTCTCCAGAATCTGCCTGGCTTGATCAAGGTCGTCAGGCTCAGAGCCCCGAGAATCTTGTTTCCGTTGTACGAGAGCTTTCCATCCTGTGCCTCCTCGAATTGAAACTTCCGAGGCCCGACTGTAATACTTTGGTGTGAGACCGTCCAAAGATCCGCTTCGTCGGGGCTCATCAGCAGACAATCTATTGACTAAGATCATCTCTACCTGACGCAGTGGTGCTAGTCTCGTCTTTAAGGGTCCAAGGTCGTCGTTACGAGTTTCCGACGACGACCGATTCGCATTCGGCTGTGGTGAAGATGAGTACGTCGCGGCGGATTCTTTCTCCTCACTGGTCATGTTCGAAGACCCTGCCATGATGTCGAGGATGAAGTTCACCGTTCGAACAAGGTTGAGCTGAATGACTGCACGCCATGCCTCGGATTCAGCTTGGAATGCTTTAGGAGCATAGTTAAGCTGGAATTGCTTTAAGATGGTGCTCTTCCCAGACTCGGCCTGACCTGTAGATTGCCATGTGAGATCATTCATTCGCACATGGATATGACAGCTCTAATGACAGATCGAATGTACTCACCAAGAAGTAATACCTTAATATACTGCTTTCGCTTCTTCAACTCGTTCCGCTCGACCTCTATTGCCTCGTCGATAACGTCCGACTTTTTCTTGGCCTCCTTTTCTTCTTCGAGTCGTAGCGCTCTTTCGAGCTCCGTTTCTTCCGCTGGAGGATACGGCGGCCATGATTGCCCTACAGGGCCTATTTGTATTGGTGAAGTGGATTCCCGACGTGTAGACATGAGGTGATATGTGCTTGAGCTCTCAGTGGGGGACGTCCCACTGGGCTTGGGTTGAGAGGAAGAGAAGGCTTAGTGAAGGAACGCATCTTTTGAGTCATCTTCAAGGGGATTTGTGTATATGATATCCATCTCCGAACCCCTCAGCGTCGATCTTGACCATCATATCAAGACACAGCGGAAGCGTTTGCGATCACAAACTTACATCTGAAACAGCCACGCGGGTTGCTAGCTATGCCCGGAACCACGCTATCGAAGGCGTGCACCGGTCACATATATAGGGCTCTGGGTAATCTTGAATCTCGATGACCCGATGGGCTGCCAAGCAATGCAGTTTGACTTTCAAAAAAGAGGGCATGGCAACTGTAAGGACAGAAACTGGAGCAGGTGACTATGCACTATAACACTTGTGGCTAACGAAGACGAAAACAGGCTGAATATTTAGCGACGAGAGGAGTGTAAGTTATGGATATGGAACCGTAATTAAAGGACGAAAACATGCAAGACATTGGACAGAAGAACTTGAAGAAGCCTATAACTTGAGGCTTTGCCTAGCAACATACGACGACGCCAAATTGAAGCCTTGAACAAGAATACCCGAAAAATAGAAAGAGAAAGACAATAACTATAGTGTTAGAAGTTAAGGATGACTTGTGGCAAGAAATTTATACGTTTCTCAGAGTTGGTGACGGATGGCCACCATGACTGAATGTCTAGTCATTGATGGCTCTTGTATTTGGGGTACCCATAGAGCGTCCATCCCACTATGCAGAATCGCCAACGATAAAGCAAGGCATGTACAATTGATGTGGTGCCGAGTGGACACGCTGGTATCATCCAGACGCACGTTCCGCTGTCCATGAACGGTTTGCATCCCCGCCCAGCACGAACTCGACATCGTCCTCCTCGGTCTCCACGTCTTCGTCATCTTCCGCCTCCTCGTCATGACGTGACGATGCTTCGTCCGCGGGTGGGTCATTGAAACCAGCGGGATCAGCAGGTATGTTTTCATGCTCTGGCGGTATGGGAGCTTCTTCCACTACGCTCTGAGGAGCCGTGGGCAGTATGTATCGTCGCCATTCGTGGATTCGAACGTTATTATCCCGCACTTCCACCAAACTTGACAGACTGAGGACATCCCTCACAAGCTGAACATCAGCAGTCAATTGCTTCACGCGGTTGAATGAAGCAATCAAGGATATGGATATCCACCCACGAGAGTCCATCTGCGACAAAGACGAATATCAGAATTAGCCAATCATCACAGGTTCATGAATCATTACAAACTCACGCGTTGTCGAAGAAAGAAATCCTTCAATAGGTTTTGAGTGCTCAGATAGTACTCTAACTGGCCAAGAAGCTGATGCCGCAAAGGGTCAAGGGGGAACGATGTTCTGGTCAAGGGAGAAGGAAACGGAGGACCAACAGTTTGCGAAGGAGGTGGTATCATGAGCTGTGGAGGCGGCTGTGGGTACGAACCGAAATACGGATCGTACGCCGCAGGATGAAAGTACGTCGTCCCTGAAATTTGCGGTTGAGGTACGGATGATGGATAGTAACCAGCTGAATCGGACATCGGTGGAAGATGCGGAGGCGGTACGACCGTGAAGGGTGGCTTCCCCTGTTGATTCTGCTGATGTTGTTGGAAGCTACCTCCTCCAGCCCCACGAGGAAAATTCCTGCCACCTCGGCCGCCACCATATCCACCACGTCCCCGTCGCATGGAGTGACCACCACGCTCATAACCGTATCCACCACCGTATGAACCACGTCTCGGTCTACCACCATGGGAGGGTTGATAGTCACGCGGGGGCATATCTCTTTGTTCTTCTGACAGAACGGGCGGTCCCGGTGGCGGTACTCCTGGCACCATACCACCTCTACCAAAGCCATACCCATAGTTCCTGACTTGGAACTCGTCACTAGACTGCGGCGGTGAGGTCATTGGCGGGATAGCGTTTGGAGGATAAGCAGAGGTAGAGGATGTAGGTGAAACTACCATGGGCACACCTAACGGCGCTAACGGGGGTAAGTCTACACGAGGTGAGATAGGAATCGGTTGTCGGTAGGACTGTTCCTGAAGATGTTGAGGGCTAACGTTGTCAACAGGCGAAGGTACATTTGGGGGAGAACCGCCATTCAATGACGTCGCAGAGGAAGGTACTACATTCGTCACACTCCCTTGTTGGGTATCCGATGCCTCAAGTGTTGACGACTGAGTAGGAACATCCTGCAAAGCACTTGCCGTACCAAACTCAAATCTGGTATGAGATTCAGTCAAGTCAATGACTTTCTGATCTTCAGCACTCATCAGGCCAGTAGATTCGGCGAGAATCGATGCCGATCCAGAGGCAGAGGCGATCGACGCAGATGAAAGTACAGCAGGTGCGGTTTCCATACGATCTCGGCTCGGTGCAGACGACTTGGTCTGGGGTGTTGTCCTAGATCGCGAACGAGAAGGTCCAGCGTTTTCTGGAGTCACACCAATCGTGAATGCAGTGAATGGCTTCTCGATGCCGAGCTCATTCTCTTCAGGGTTGCTAACAGACGAGTCGTCTCTCTTGCTGTTCACATCCAAGCCTAGGCCGCCTAAATTGCCCGAGTTTGCAGCAGTATTGGGAGCCGGAGGCGAGGATTGACTTAATGGCGGACTTTGGGAGTTAGCCAATCCAATGCTGCCAAAACTGATCTGTTTCGCTCGTTCCTCCTTTTGCTCCTCCTGGCTTGTCTGCGACTGTCCCAGGTACGATGCAGGCGGAGGTAACACAAACCCCACATCACGATACCCTGCTACAGCATCGGATTCACCGGGCGGTGGCGGTCGTGAGACCATGGTAGCAGGTGGAACTCCCGCAGATGCTTCAGGACTGGTTGGATCAACTGCAGGTTGGGGGTACAAAACTGGAATGGGTGCTTGCACAGAGCCAGGAGCATACAAATGATGAGGGGCCTCGGGACCGGCACCCCAAGGTACATATGGCGGGCCGTAAGCGTAGGGATATGGTTGATACAAGGCGTAAGGTGCGGGACCAGGGAACGGCGGTGGATAGGTAGGAGGAGAGGAGGGATACGCGTTCGGAAGACCATACGGATGAGAAGTTGGAGAGTTTGTGGCACGGGTAGATTGGTAAGAGTGTGTACGAGTCGCTCCTGTACTGGAAGGTAGAGGAGGATAGTAGGGGAATCCGGGAACAGGTTCCGGGTACGCAGGACCTTGAGGAGGACTGAAGGGTTCTGGCTGATTCGCTTCAGCTTCAATGGATGCTGGTAAGGGTATTGCAGCCTGAGAAGGAGGCAATGCCGAGGGGTTAGGTTGAGAGCGCATCTGTCGTTGAGGTGAGGTTGCTCTGGAAGAGCGAGCGCTTCTGTTCGCCGAACCCCCAGCTCTGTCATCAGGCAACCGCCTCCCTCCTCGGACAGAAGGCTGTCGAGGACTTGAATTCACACTGCCAGTTCTGCTATGAGGCTGAGAATGGGCGACTGAGCTTGAGTGTGACACAGATTGTTGCACTCTTGTAGTTGAATGTGTGCGACTTTGTCGTTGAGAGTTGGGTCCAGATATTGATGCTGAACCAGAGGCAGAGCCCGAAGAAGACCCATGCCCTCCGGATTGCTGATTCTGGAACTGCGAACGAGATCGTGCATGGAGTTGTGTGCGATTCTGCTGACGTTGTGCATCTGCTACGGCCTGCAGTTCCTCCGGCGGAATAGTAATCCATTTTTGTTTATCACCTGTGTGCGACAGATCAGACGCTCGATGAACAGAACGAAGAGACATAGTCGAAGACGAAAAATCAAACCCGTCAAGGATGAAAGCATGCAGCAATGGGGTACCTTACGAAATAGAAAACTGAAACGTACCTTTCTTTGGTGCTGTAGTCAATAACTCTCTTAAATCCTCTGATTTGCTTATGTCCAAACCGCCTACCACCCCAGTGCCCCCATTGCTGGAATGTCGCTGTCCTAAAGGTGGCGTGACTATCGACATGCCTACAGTAGGCCAATCCTCCAAGTCTTTGGAATGTGGTGCTGGTGAACGCTGCGGGGTTTTAACTTGCTCGGCAGGTGGCAAGAGTGCTTTGTGGCCGTTCAATTGCTTTCCTGTCGAGGAATCACTTTGCTGAGCCTCTTCAGAAGAAGACAAGGAGGGAACTGTTTGCCTCTGAGATTCTGAAGATAGTCGAGGAACATCTGATGGTGCAGGTGCTGATTGTGGTTGAGCAAGCGCACGAGCCTGAGCCCATTGCTCCTGGCGAATGCTCCACACGTTCGCCGGACGACCGGCTGAAGACTTTTGAATATCAGATTGCGGAGCCGGGGCAGACGAGTCAGTAGGCTCTATTTTTACGTCATGCTCAACGTCCTGGTTGGCCTCGGTTTTGGATTGCGATTTTGAGGCGGAGAGGTCAGTTGGAGCAGGTTGATCGTTTGGGGAGGTATCGTGGCTAGTGACAGGCCGGAGAGTTGGGGGGGTTATACCGGAACCATTTTGGCTCACACTTGAAGGTGAAGCTACCGAGGCCTTCTGAGATGGCACACGCTGCGAAGATGGCGGATTTGAAGCAAGCCCTTTTCGCGCTTGCTTCGCTCGATCGGCATAGGAAAGGGGCGGTGATTTTGAACTTGCTGAGGCTGGCTGTGGCACCATTTGCTAGCAGACTATCCCAGAAAGCAGAAAGGCCCACTGGATAGGAAGGGGAAAGTGGATTGTTCGCTGAGGAACTTGATCGATGCTGTGATGCTGGGAATGACCAGATGGAGTACAAGAGGCTCCGTAGCAGTATCCGGGGGTGCTACGTTCTACCTGAGTGCGAGGTCGGTGACTAGAGAGAAGAAGAAAAGTCGAGGATACCGAGGAGGTCGACGTCGAGGAATACGCTGAGGATGTGGCTGCGTGCGCGTACTAATGTTCGCAAGCGCCCTAGCTCACCGGTTCTGCGCCGGCCGGCATCCCCGCCGATCTGCCTTGTATGCTCCGGCGTACCGCCGGCGAGACCCCTTCGCGCCGTGACCAATCAGCGCTCCTGATCTTACCCAAAAGCAACAATTCAGTCCATGACTGAGTCTTTTGTTCTCTACATATACTGCATATGTGCGCGTATACTGAAGCTTGCATACTGAGTAATCTAGGCCGCTATCTATCATGGTAGGAGAATCGGGCAACGGGATATCTAACGCCTCGACTTCTGGTTCACTGTGCAATGGCACCCTGTTAAGTTAACCGCTATGTTTCACCAAACTTGCTGGACATTGCAGATTCTTCATGATTCCAGCTCTGCTCATGTCTAAACTCATATTTCCTCTAACGACCACACTTTTTGGAGCAAGGATAGGCCAAGTGCTTTGCTGTTAGCAAGTTCCCACCCCTGGTAGTCTATTCTCATTCGCTCTGAGATCACGGCTAGTCCTCTTTAGACTCGGAATAGAATGTAGGGACCGAAGATGGGTCAGGTATGCAATTTTCACTTCGATGTAGGACAGCTGACGGTATTCCATCTGCGATTGTTACCAGTATGATGCTTTGGACAAGTTCGGCCTCATTTTCTGTTGATGCGCTAATCCTTTGAACGGTTTCTGCGACAGTCGCACGATTGTATTGCAGTTCGTTCGAGCCATTCCTCATTGGCAAGCCTTCAAAGCTTCAACTTTTCAATTTGCACAAGTTCACAATGCTTAATGTAGACGCGTTGTGTCACAATCACGTGTACGTGACATAGGTCTTTAACTTCGCTCGACAGGTGAGCAAATATTCGCTTGTTTTTGTTTTCGTTATGGAGCTCTTTATCTTCATGATAGCCCCAATTTGCTTCCTCGCTCAGGGTATTCTCCACATTGCTATGCCGCCCCGTGTCTCATCTATTTCATCCTTCGCCTGCTTACTTTCCCCACTCCTAATTGCGCTTGCAACCAGGGCATCAAGTGTATCCCTGAGTATCTTTTTCTTGACATGTAACCCATCCTCCTCCCCTTCGCCAACGTGTGTCTTTGCAGCAGCTTCTTCAGACCCTTCTTCCTGATTCAAATTTGACAAGGTGACTCTGTCCCAATCCACGCACAAGTCTAGAAACTCATAAAAGACGGTTACGATGCCTTCAAATTGAGTTCCAGCTGCGGATTCTCCTTCGAGAGGCAGAGGTATCTTCCACAATTCCTCTAGCGTAAGTGTGTCCCACGCGAGTAAAGGTGCGCCGACCTTCACGGGAACAACTACAGCTGGACACCCATTCAACAACTGATAGTGCATCACACTTTCAGCCGGCCTTGCGCTTGTTGTCCAAAGCCCCGCCCTATGAGGCTTAAGACCCACGACCACTAACACGAGTCGTCTCGGTGTTGGCGGGATCGGGAGAGGTGTGAGTGAAGGCTCAGGTGAGGGTGTTCTTGAGCGAGAAAATATGCTAGAAAGATTGGGTAAATCGGCCTTTGTGGGCAGAGAGAGATTAAATGACGAAGACAAGGTTTCGGGCTCTTCGGGAGGTGGGGCGGCACAAAGCTCGATAACTGATGCAGATTCATTCAGTAGCGTTTGTCCGACGCGGTAGTCGCCTGAGAAGAGACGTTGGATGAGGAATTTTTGAAAATCATGAGACTCACCTTCAAGGAATGGCCCGTGGCAGAAGACAATATCAGGCTTCATTGTGCGAGGTATAATCGGCCTTCGACCACTGGCGAAAAGATATGGCGAGAACCAGCCCTTCTCGGTCGAAAAGTAATCGAGAACATCGGAAATCAATGAAACGTCCCTGAATAAAACGCGATGAGCAAGTCTGTCTCTGTCTTCTCCGCATCACTTACGTATGAATACTACTCCTGAAGAATCCCAAAGACGCGTCCTCAAGAATATGCTTATATTTCAACGTGATAAGCATAGTCTTAACGCTGGTGGTCTCTAGTCGTTTCGAGTGTATCGGGATCATGGCATTAAGCGGCTTGTCAAACACGAGATCGTTGGCAACTTTCGTGGCCAGATCGAATCCGACATACATGCCTATCTTCACCAAGAGGGTATCACCAAATGACGTGACGATCGCGTCCGATACCGGTCCCATTACTGGCGAAGCGACCGCTGCCATCCCACCCTGACTCCCTCACATGCTTCAGCCCATCGCGACGATAAATTACAATGTGGCAACTCACGGTGGCGGCGATGACAGTATGGACCGCTAGGTCCCTGAAACGAATGCATGGCAAGAGAAGAGGCGATGAATCTCCCCACTAGTTTCAATTCAACGACGCGCGCGCGTACGTTGCCAGAGTTTTAGTATCGAAGTATTATGAAGATTGAGCGACAAGCTATTTTGAGCACTTACAGGTGAGAGACAGACTACACTGGTTCCAGACGCTCGGAGTGTTTCCCAGGACGACATAACAATTCGTCCAGTCATGGACTATAAACGCGAGCCTGTGTGAGTCCGAATGTTCACGATGAGCGGCAAGATCTACTCACACCGACGAGTTTTCGGACTATCCATGGTGCGGATTTTTCATTTTCTGCGTCAGGGATCGAAGCAGGATCTACAGGTCCTAGTGGAGAGATATGAGTACTGCTAGTCATGGTGGGGATGTGAGTGAGAATGGTATCCTGCAAGGGTTCAATTGCAATTGGCTCTTTATCCATTAGCACTGCTAAATATAGTCATTCAAATATTATCACCCATGCGGTGCCAGAGAATCACAGATGCACTGGTGGATGGCCACAAAGGTCAACACCAAAGCAACGAGAAAAACGTGAAAATTCAGCGCCCACCCAGACATACAGTACTTGGTCTCGCTGTACACTGGCGACGTCTGATAAGTTTAAAATAGAGCTTCATATATCCTATGTCAATAACGAATGCAACGCTGCCATGATTAAGAGATGTAGCTCGATTTGACTGGTCCGTTGAGCAAGGCAAAGTATTTGACCTGAGGAGATATTTTCTCATGCCTGTTCGAGCCAGTGTTGCATGAGAGCATCTACCAAACATCCAAATGAAACGTGAAGGCAGGGATAGTTCTGATTTAGATTCATAGACCCCAAACCGGTGAGCTCCACAGCCTCAGCCTCTGGGCTGGAAGTCTTAGAAGAAGTAATCCCATGAGTAATCAACGAGAGTCTACAGCCTAGTAAAGAGATACTTATGCGTCCTCAATACTCACTGTCATAGGGCACAGGGCCTTACTCATTGTACTCATGCGAATACGTAGACACTAATCACCAAACTGATAACATTTTGACTCTAGAAGAGTAATCCACTGTAACAACAGGCACGTTGAGGCCTAGCCATAATAACACCACCTCCCAGCGCGACAAACACCACCCAGCGTCTCCCCGACCTGCCGTCTATAGTGGGACGTTGAAATCCCTCTGCCCGCTCTACTCGAGGATGTTAAGATCCTCCTTCGAAATGTATCGGCGAAGGCTCGTTGAGGCCGCTATATCTGAGTGTTGAGAGTACATAAATGATTGTCGAAAAGGTTTCTAACTCTAGTAGCGGTAGTAGTCGGGCTTGTAAGGACCGCCGACGGGGATGTCGAGGTACTTGGATTGCTCAGCAGAGAGGGTAGTGAGCTTTACGTTGAGCTGAGCAAGGTGGGCGCGAGCGACCTCCTCGTCCAACTCCTTGGGGAGCATGTGAACACCAAGGGGGAATTGGCTGGTGTTGGTCCAGAGCGCGATCTGGGCGAGAACCTGGTTGGTGAAGGAGCAGGACATGACAAAGGACGGGTGGCCAGTAGCACATCTGCATAAACGCGGTGGTGAGTTAGATTCGGAGGTGAGCAAGCGCTATCAACTTACCCCAAGTTGACAAGACGACCCTCGGCGAGAAGGATGAGATGGCGTCCTGAGGGCATGGTGAATCGGTCGACCTGAGGCTTGATATTGACCACCTGCTTAGCATTCTTCTTCAACCAAGCGACGTCAATTTCAACATCGAAGTGACCGATGCTACATACCATACACAGTCAGTATTTGCAACCAAGGAATGACTATGATGGACTCACTTGGAGACGATAGCGTCCTCCTGCATGGCCTCAAAGTGCTTCGCAGTGATGATGTCGCGGTTACCGGTGGTAGTAACGAAGATGTTAGCGCGGGGGGCAGCTTCTTCCATGGTGGTGACCTCGTAACCAGCCATAGCAGCCTGAAGTGCGTTGATGGGGTCGATCTCCGTGATAAGGACACGAGCACCATATGAGCGCAAAGACTCGGCACACTGTCAATTCGACAGTGAATCAACATCTCATCTCAACGAAGGCAGTATTTACTTACGCCTTTTCCGACGTCACCGAAACCAGCCACAACAGCAACCTTACCAGCAAGCATGACATCAGTTGCACGCTTGATACCATCGACGAGGGATTCGCGGCATCCGTAGTAGTTGTCGAATTTAGACTTTGTGACGGAATCGTTGACGTTGATGGCTGGGACCTTAAGTTTTCCATCACGGAACATCTTGTACAAGTGATGAACGCCGGTGGTAGTTTCCTCCGACAAGCCACGAACGCCTGACGGTTCTGTCAGCGTTGCACACGAAACCAGAGTTTGGATAACGTACCAGTGATGTACTGAGGGTACTTCTCATGAACGAGGTTGGTCAAATCGCCTCCGTCATCAAGAATCATGTTCAAAGGCTGACCGCCGGGGAATGCAGTAAGGGACTGATCAATGCACCACAAGTACTCTTCCTCAGTCTCGCCCTTCCAAGCGAAGACGGGAACACCGGTGGCTGCGATGCTATATGCGCACGGTAAGCGTAGTTGAGATGATGATACAAAAGACAAGGTGAACTCACGCAGCAGCAGCATGATCCTGAGTAGAGAAGATGTTCTACATCATGAAAATAGAAGGTCAGCACAAGAATTAGTGCAGTCAATATGAGTAAACGTACGCAAGACGACCAGGTCACCTCAGCTCCGAGAGCGGTCAAAGTCTCGATGAGCACAGCGGTCTGAATGGTCCTAAAGATCGGGACGAGCATGTAAGTTTCATTATACAGATAGAAGTCATTCAGCCAGAGATCGAAGCTTAGCTATCATAACTTACATGTGCAGGCAGCCCGCGATACGAGCGCCTTTCAAGGGCTTAGAGGCTCCGTACTGTGCAAGTGAATCAGCGATATCTCCGTCGACAGAAGTGATCATTGTGTACCTTTTGCCTCATGTACATGAGTCCGGGCATCTCATGCTATGACAAGACTCGATGATTAGACAATAACCAGGATCAAATAGAAGTTACACACTTCAGCAATCTCAATCTCCTTGCGACCGAAAGCGGCGAGAGAGATGTCTGACGATTTATAAGTAACAAAACGGCTGCTTTTCGTAATCGCCACTTACCAGCAACCTTGAAAACCATTCTGACCGTGGAAGAAAACAGGTAGACAAAGTATGTGAGAGTGTGGAGGAAGATGGGCAAAATAAAGTCGACCGTGGACTCGAGTTTTTCACTCGACCCATATTGATAGGCGCGCATACACGTGCAGTCAATTATCTCCCCTTCAAATTGGGCGCCTATCCTCCTGCTGTCTTCCTCATGTCCTCCAGCCCATCATCTGGCAAATGTCGTCTTGCGGAAATTATCCAATATAGTTGCGATGAAGAAATAGTTCGAGGGAATTATACTTACCATTGCTGGCCTATAGTTCGCATATTCAGACTGTGAGTATCGATAATCCAATCAAGAACCTTGGGTTGATGGCCAACGTTGACACAGGTGTCCTGGTCGGCCTGCCGTTGAACTTACACGCTTTGTAAACGTGGAGTCCTCAACCGGGGCTATTGAGGTTCCATCAACCTCGAGGTGACTAACATGAATCTATGCCGTAGTTGGTGATGCTGATTGTTTTCACGTCAATTATCCAGCGAAATGCTACCGAAAGGGAAGCCCTGGCGGGACGTCGTTCACCATAACTCAAAGAATTCAGAGACTTAGGACGCTGTATCATGGTTTTTTTGCCTTGCCTTGCCTAAACCGTCCATGATGTCTTTTGCATGTTACGCTAGTACAGAATTATGGGTCTCTCATTCTGTTGTCGCCTCGAACAACGGGATCCAGAGCGGCGGTGACCCTCCGACGGCAGTGAGTTATTGAGTTTCTCAAGTTAGTTCTTGGAATGGATACAATCACAAGCACAGCTGATCTTCGATTTGTGATGCAGGCAATATACTTTCCAACAACCCATAATTAAGCGGTCGATCACTGTTATGCTCTCCATCTTTGACATGGTGCAAAAGCGATGCCGGGTCTCCTATGCGCAAATCGGCCGTGGCATCGACATCATACATACCTGTTCTTAGGCCTCCGATCACCTTCCCATTCCCAAGAGTTGCTCTGCGCATACTACTCACATATTTCCCTGCCTGATTGATGCTTTCATACTCGTGTGGATAGTGAACGTGGCTATGGCTTTGGCTTCCACCTCATTTGGTCCTTTGGACATGACCATCACATACCCGATCTAACGATTGGGATTAACGTTGTTACCAGTATCGTTACCAACTACTCTTTCTGGACTTCTAGAGAATGTGCGTCAACTTACGGCGATCGTATTTCCGGGAATCTCGCGTCCATTGCAATCGAGGATGTCATCGATGTGAATGACTATCGCGGTGAATGTCAGCCTTCACTTAAAAGGCCTAAGTAGTCTGTTGCGAAATGCTTTGGATATTACCTGTATGCTTCACGAGTTGAAACTCGCGATGGCAAGACGTGCCCTACTCTGGAATCCAATATTTCTACGTTCAAGGAAAGCAGAGGGGTGGGGGGGGGGGGGGGGGCGGGGGTCGTCGGAGGTGAGCCCCTCATGAGAAGTCGTGAGAGCCTGTGGTAACGAATTTGTGATTTTCGCCCGATTGATCGACGGGGAATCGCGATATAATGGCCGTGCCATCGCCTTGACATTTCGTGATGCGGGAGCATGTCCTTTTGTGGGCAAGCATCGAGATTATTTTTATGGGCGACTCGGTTCACTATAGGCGGGTTCCTTAGCTTCCCAAGTAATGAACAACAAGAGCATACTCATTTCGGTCGGATGATGCTGGCGTTCAATCTAGCTACCGACCGCCCTTCTCGTAGATCACAAAAGGTTACGGGAAAATGCGTTGGACTTAGTGCTGGCACAAGCCATACGAATTGATCAGAACAATGATGCGTATGTACAGACTCGTGATCAGGCAATCCGTGACTATTTTTCAACGCAATTGTGCTGGTCTAGATTCGTATCAACAAGAGCGGGATGCAGAGATTCTGTGACCCTTGGCATACTCAGCTTATCCCCGCATGGAACCGTGCAAGAAGATAGGACTGATATGTAGCCTTTTTGATTGTGGATTTGCTCTCAAGGGGCCCACCTCCGAGATCTGAGCCTGCATGAGAGCTGGCAGGCTGCGACGACTACAGCATCTAAAACGGGTAACGGCGAGGAATGCTTCCGGCGGTGTAAACTTACGTAATGAGTATGGGATCTCCGCTTGGTCGTCGCAAAGGACATCACAACATAACTGCCACGGTTTCTATCCTGTAGCCTGACCTGGAACAACATCGTGCAATTATTTCGCCCTGCCAGTGCTTCATGGCAGATGGCTACACTATCATCATATTTTCTCATTATGCGCTTTGTCTTTCTGATTCTGTTGTAACTTGTTTTTCAAGTTCGCCGTTTCGAACTTGAGGCCGCGGAGAATGCCACTGAGTACCTGTGCTGTTCGCGTTCCTGATGGCAGGTCAACACCTAAAGTCTCAGCCTTCAGGAAATCATTGTGCCGAATGCATGGCTCGGAACAGCGCCGTTGCCGTCGCGAGGGTCATCGTCACTTGTACCGGAATTTGGGTTCGGTAAGATGGATGTGGACCATGATCTTGATCTTCTCGTTCACAGCCTGCTAGTACCTTCAAGTCGTCAACTAAAGGGCTGCATGATGTTCGTCTCCTCACAACCTCTGATCATCTACTCGACACCACAGTTCAGGTGACGACTGCAAGATCCAACTGATTTAATTCTCGACCCGTTGGCTACGACCCGTGGCACTGTTCCTCGCTATGCGCCATTCGCAATCCTATAACTACGACGGTGTTCCTCTGGAAAACATTAAGGTTGAACCCCCAGTCGATACTGAGTCGGCTTTTCGCCAACAGTCGCCGCCCTCCACTCCGTTCTCTCCCCAGTCGGTCCACGCTAGTTCGGTTACACGATCCTCGTCTTACTCCAAACGACCAGCATCGCCAGTTGCCTTCTCTCCTTATAGGCATTCAAATCCGAACTTGTTTCCAATAGATCCCACACTTGGTACAGAGTCTTCCAGCATGTCACATCCATATGGTCAAAGACATTACTCTGCTACTCCGCCAAGTGCAGGATCAAGCCGACGAAGTGGAAGCGGCGATCAGCATACTGCCGCCTTTGGTTATTCCGACACATATGTTCAGGTATGACCGCCAGTCTTGGCTTAGGGTGCTCAGGCTCAGTACTGCCTCTTTTTTTCTCTCTCTCAGGGAACCTCGAGGCATCCAGCAGCAGCCACGGTGATGACTTCAAGTTTGTCAGGTGCAATGGGTGACATGGGCGTTCCGCCTAACCTTGCCGTATCAATGACAACTTCGCCCTCTGGCATAGCGTGGACACCCCAATCCTCTCTCCCCGAAGGTTACAATATGGACCCTTCGTCCTTTAATCACATGTTTGGTTCTCCTCCTACCCCTTTGTCCGCAGAATCCGCCCATGGTTCTTTCCTACCATATAATGCCTATAATACACCTGGCTTTCCCTCACCCTCTGACGCACAGCAGCCCGTCCACCCTGGATACGTGAACCCTGGTAGATACTCCACTGCACGCCATTCGAACATGCAACCTTCTGTTGTCGTTCCGTCGCAGTCCACATCTTCAGTACCCGTTCCAATGGTAGTTTCCCCTCCCCCTGACTCGTCTAGCTCTATGAGTCAATCTCGCAGCGTGGAAGAGGAGCTTCGTCGTCTCAGACTACAAGTCCAGCAATTGGATGCGCAGAAGAAGGCATTGCAACGTGAACTCCACCTTGCCCGTTCTCAACCATCTACATCCGCTGCTGGACTCCCCTCTCCCATTCCGACACCTACCTTCGCTCAAAGTCCTCAGGCTTTCCAGGAATCGTGGCGTGCTCGGATGAACGCTCGCATCAAGCTCTTCTGCTCATTGAATCGAGCCGGAAATGCTTTGTGCGCGTGGCACGATTCTCGCCGCGAGCGGCGCCAATATCCTCCGAGGCACGCCCCACCTGGTTACCTCAACTGTGGGTGCTCTTTCGAGGAGGCACTTTTCGAAGAGAGCCTTGCTCGCCATGGCGTTGGTAGCTATCATCCCGGAGAAAGCGTCAGGATGGATCCTGCTCTGAGGAACCCTCTCCTGAAGTGTCTTCAGGATCGATACGGTTACCAAGACGGGGACTTCGAACGCGACCCTGTTACTGGTCTTTGGATCGAAGGGGAAGGTCCCGGCAAGTGGGAAGCTAAGCTCGCTGCCGGCACTACGCCCAAGAAAAACCGCGGCGAAGAACGCCATTAATTATATTATTTCCATCTAGTGGGTCTCTTCTATACTAATCGGCTTGATACATCTTTCTCGCTCGAAGGATTTCCTCTCGTTAACTCACACTATCTCTACTTAATCATTCGTTTTCATTCAGGGTTCCTTTCCCCGCTGTCTTCATAGTTCTCCTCATCATATGTATTTGGCAACCATGCTTAGACTTCTGTATCTTATATCCTAGCACTTCTGTACCGATGTCGGTATTTACTGTATCCATAGGTATTCTCCCCGCTCCTAGTATTTAACAGTCTGTATCTTTACTCTATACATGCATATGCACCCTTTACATGCACCTCGCGTTGCGAGTCGTAGGCGACAAGGGAAACTTCAGAGTGAATCTGGCAGCGTTCAATTGACTTTCAATGTGCCGTTCACCTCAGTTGAGGTCTTTGTTAACACAAGTATCGCGGGAGGGGTGAACACCAAAGCTTAACTTTCACATCACTTTGGCCATGTGGTGCAAATTATTCGACCCTTATGCTGTTTAAGTGTAACACGTATCTCCCGAAGCCACAAGCGATTAGTATCTCTGAGAAGGAGGCCACTTCGCCTGGCGAGGTTATGGGCTGAACGCTACTGCATGAATACTTCCGTGGTCTCGTTCCCAGTTGTTCGTTCGACTGCGGCGGTGGGGTGAGTCAGAACGTCTGGGGACGAGACCATACTTCCGGTGTTTTGGATTGCTTGCTCCATTTTGGTAGGCAGTGTCACAAACGAGGTGGCAGGGTTACACTCGACACATCAATGCATCACAGCTACATTCAGAACGATAGGCCCCTCCAAAAAAATCATTCAGTCGCTTGCGCTACGCGAAGCAATGCCGGTTCGACGGCAGACCCGCCTGACGCTCTGGCATTCTGTCACTCCCCATCACGCTGTATTTCTTCCATGCAAGCCTTGCGGCCACTGTCTAGACACTGCCGTCTTGTACAATGCTTCCGTAGTAATAGCACCTGAGTAACTCCCATCTGTACCTTTTCATTGTGCTCCCTGGTACTTGCCTGAGGATGAGGCAACATATACCGAAGCAATACAAGGAGATCGCTCGCAGCATGGTCCTTGAGCATAGTCTCAAGTACAAGATGGTCAGTATATATACCGGCATAAGCGTGCATGCAATAAGGTGCTTAATGAAGAACCACCGCGAAACGGGAGAGGTTGAAAGGCCTCCAATCTGTAGCGGCTGTCTGTGTCTTCTTGACGCACTTGAGGTGAACGTAGGTAGCCTGACTCTTGCCATTATCTGACAAACTACAGTACTGTACTACTGCTGACATGCAATTACTCTATGTTATTCTCATCGTTGTCGTGGTGCGACTGTGACTAGAAAATGTCCAGGAATAGGCCCGACTGGTCTCCGGTCACAAAATGGTCACAAACTTCGCCTGAGCTCGGCACCTGCTAAGCTGTGTAAATTAGACCTCGGTTATGATGAGTGATTTTTTTGGAGGGGCCTATCGTTCTGAATGTAGCTGCAACTTCGAATGATGAGCGAAGCAGTGCATTCTCACTCCGACCTACGTATGAGCACCGCAGACCATGTTTCATCCAATTATGAGATTAAGAGATCAGATCTGGATTGCTTGACACAGTCATAATTGTATTTGAAGGCACAGCTACATTCCAAAAGTCCAAGGTATCGTTGACGAATGTTACAACATATTGGTGTTCTCCGTGAAGCTCGTCAGGATGAAATCGCTGCTAGGTATAAGGGGGCTGCTAGGTATGAAGGAAAACACCACATTCATTCAGCATAGGTGTACTTGCCACCTTTCTCAAGGGCCTAAAGAAGGAATGCAAATTAGCTACCGTCTATGAACCGTCGGGCACCGGCGGGAACAGTCACACTAACCTTCTTGTACGCCGGTCTGACAATGATGAAAAGCGGCCCATCAGTGAAAGTCAAAACAGCGAATACAGACTCACCGCTGATGGATTCGTTTGACATATTCCTTGGTATTTGGACCGAGAACCTCAGGGAAACGATGACACCAGGTTTCCAACGGGAAAGACATTTGGTAGTCGGCGGCGGTTGGCCCGTCGCCGCCAGCAAACCACTGTCTGTTGTCCTTTGACAGATGTTGTTCAATCTGCCCAATATCATCATATAAGTTACGGGGGCCGCCAGGACGAAACAGTAGATTTTGCTCACGAATGCAGCATGTTTCTCCAAGCGCGGATCAAGCATCTTGGTCTGTAGTGTGCTAAACACAATCTTGACAAGGGGCCGCAGTATGAACGGTGATCTTTGTGGTACAATGTTATAAACCAGCTTGTTCACGAGCATTGGCATAAGCGACCCCTCCGCGTAATGAGCGTCTGCACGAGCAATTGTAATCCCAGAAGCATTGAGGAAACACGAGTATGCCCACAGTACAAGTCATCTATCTTTCCTGCCTCGGGAAGGTTTGCCTTGCCTCCGCCATACTTATTGATGATGTATTCTATTGAGGATAGATGTGACGGCCCTGAGCAAACAGAGATACATTCGGCATCTCCCTGACTCACCAACAATGGCGCCACTCTCAGCGAGGGTGATATCTCCATCGGTGATCACCGGCGCGTATCCAAGAGGATGCACGGCGGTGAGTTCCTTTGGGGCTGTCATGTCTGGCATGCGTTGATATTTCTTCAATTCATACGGCACGTCAAGCTCTTCCTGCAGCGCACTCAGTACACATATACCAATATGCCAGAGTCGAGCTTACTAGAAGCCAGAGAATTCGCTGAGATCGCGAGTCATTCAAATGATGAACTACAAGCGTGCTGCTAGGGGCTGACATCGTTCTTCGATTCATGGTATGAGCTTGCCTGTCAAAGCCAACTTGAAGCTCATGACATCCGCACCTTTGTTACAAGCGATATATAAAAAGCCCCTATGTAACTATGCAATCCCGACTGCTAGACTTGGAGATTAGAAGATACTACAAGCTATTATGTGTTCAAGCTGCAAGGTGCACTTCAAGGGAGGGAACGTTGGTACCTGCGGGAAGTGGACCAATAACACCAAATAGAGACAAATAACGCGTTCGCGCGGCTCTGACATTTTCCTCATGAGAGTCGGGAAGCTTCCGATTAGTAAGTACGCTCATCATATACTTGGTCCTTCGCTATCACTACCAGAACAGCTATATGCTGGCATAGGCCCTGACTGGACATATCGCAACCGAATCCTTCGGCAATTTCATGAGAGCAGCAATAGGTACACAATGAGATTGGCACTGACGGTCTTCCTGGCAGTGTTCCTTTCGCCCGTGGGTTCCCTAGCTACCATGTCTTGGTTTAAAACGATTCCGAATTCCGATGGTTCCGACGTTGTGAGTAGCGTCTCTTTAATCTTAATCTTATGCTCATTGCGTGCGTTGACAGACGTCTCGCCGCCCGAGCCGACCGGATGAGGAGGAAATTATGAGCATTCTCCACATCTCAGGTAAGAGACCTGTATAACTATCGGAGTATATTCGTACCTAAATTCTTTACAAATCAAGAACAGTTTCGGTCTTATCAACGCAGACCAGATTGCTTTCGACGCGTGGCTGCGTCGATTCGTGCGCAATGTAGCGAACTAGAAACAAGCGAAGATGAAAGAATTCAAGGTCAGTATCGATTCATCATGTCTTATCTATTTGTTCACATCTTTTTTAAGCCGCCATTTCCTTGACATTGTGCGAGCTTGCAACAGCCCAGCATTCTCCTCCGATGGAGTGTGCACTGTTCTCACCGAGGGAGGAGGCGCCATCCTTCGCTATTCGTGAAACGGAGCAGAGTAGATGCGTTGAGTCTGCATATCTTATTACTTCCATTTCAAAGTTCCGAACTTGATCTGTCTTGATAGAGCTCTCTCGAGAAGCGCACAATATTGGTCAAGTTATTCAGGATATCTACGCGAAGTCCGTGAGTACTCGCAACTGAAGTTCTTCCTAGGGTTGGCATCCAAATATTCAATTGCGTAGCTCAACTGTGTTTCGCGTTTCGTCGATGGAATGACATAGGTGCGACTACCTCAAATAAACGCATACATGCATCTCACATTTGTCTGCCGCAGACACGGCCAAAGAAATCTATCACAATTCCACGTTAGATCATATTCGTTTCCTGTACCAACTAAAAACATACGAAGAGAAAAGAGAGAAGAGCGAGGATGAGACTCATGTTATCTTGCAGGTCTGTTGTAGGTTCTGGTGCAAGTGATCGTCATACTGAAGTGCAGATCAGGAGATCCAACAAGTACTCTCGGGGTTCGGTGCGGCTTCAGCTGCACTGAGGCGTCACTCCGAGGGGTCTGCCGAGGCTTTCAAGATGCAGGTAGAAGTACGTATATCGCATCGGATGACGCATGTTTATTGTGCTTATGGGGCGTAAGATGGCCAACTCGTTGGAGCACGTCCTGCTGAACTTTCAACGGCGGGGTGAGGACTCCCACCAACGCTGGCTAGCTGAAGTACGTTATTCCATCGTGACCCGCTTGTGTCGGACCTTGTGATTCTCTGACATGATTGCAGTTGAGTTCCGCATCGAGCGTCCTCGTTGACAAAGTGAGTTTGATTTTGGAATCAAATGTCGTAAGGTAATTAATTGGACCCTCATATTTTGACAGCACGTTGCATCCTTCGCTGCCTTGGTCCCATCGCTTCAGGACGAACTGTTGACACAAGTCAATGCCTTGTTCGAGAACACGCATGAACAGCATCTGATGGTGCTGGAAGTAGCTGTGAGCCCCGTCCACTCTCGCCTGCGAAAATTGTCGTGATATTTTCTAGCACGAAGTTCGCCGATCGCTGTCATTTTTAGGTGATAATATTGGTGTCGTCCACCAGGCAAGTTTGGGTCCTTGATTTCGACCGGAGTTCCCATGATTTTGTTTTCAGTCCGTAGAGCGGCTTTCCGCTAGGACGCTTGAGGTCGCATCTCACCTGGAGTCGCATGCTCGCGAGGCTCAAAACGTTTACCGTATCCAACGGGATGCCATGCAAACTGCGGAACACCTCGCCGGCGCCCTTCTTGAGCTTTCTCATCAGACCCGAGAGGAGATGAGTACTATCAACGGGACTGCTTCCGCCGTCGTCGATGGTCTGTGGGCTCAGAGTCAATCTCGTGGCAACTCGCTGAGTATCAATGGTTGGACCAAAGCCGCCCTCTTCTGGATGCTCGAAATAGTGCTGCGAGGTATGTTCCTATTGACACAGGCGTTCTATGCTTTCTCACCGGTCCCTTGATATTCATACTTGATGATGATCTGATTTACTACAGTGGATTCCAAGTACTTTGACTCTCTAGTGCAATTGCCTGTGTTTCGTTTCGTTGGCATCATCTGGCATATCGTGTGGTACTTGTTACAGATGAGCTTTTCATCGGCCATGGTATTTTACCTTTGATTTCTCTTCAACAGAAGCTGCATTGCATCTTTGATCTGCCTTTGTCTAGAGCATGGCGGTCCTCTTCTTCTCTACAAGACTCTGGCTGTCTGGCTCATCCGAGTCCGGCCATGTCTCCGTTTCGCAGGGCCTGGGGTACGTCTGGCACTTCTCCGCATTATCCGCATTAATCTAGAAGATGCCGGTAACAGCAAAGGAAAGTGCGCAAATCCAGTGTCACCGAACGACCTCAAATTAACTAGCGTTGCCCTATGCCCTGACTCCCACAATGCTTTTGTCGCCTTTCCTGGCTCTCGATGCCACCCTCGTTCACGTACATCGCGAATTCCAGATAGGCTACTCAGTGCTTCAATCGATTCCTTTCGCCTTTGATGTCTCAACTCAGGCTTTTCGCCTTGGCTTCTTTCTTCTACTATTGCACAATTCGGACAGAACGTCGCTCAACTCACTTTTCGCTTTCAGTCGTCATTCAAATGGATTCTAATCCCAACCGTAGCATTACTCGATATTTCCCTGTGGTCGCCGCTGTGTTTCAAATGATGTAGCCTAGCAATCTTTATAAGACATGCACTCCTTGATATTGTCTTTACGGTTGGGATACTTTCGGTTTTCTGCTAAATGCCAGCCGTTGCCCAAGTCACTTAGCAGGTGAAACGGTACGGAAAAAGACTCGTCGATTAGAGCTCCGTCTCCGGCGCCTGTTGCGTTTTCCTGCCCCAAAGGGAAAATTAGTGACATTGCGGAATACGCCGGATGACTACGATGGGGATGTTCCTAAGTTCCCAAATGAATCTGTAGCTTGGGTCTCACTTCGTACCTAAGAACTTCATCGTCGACGGCTGCAATGTCCGTCGAGGTATGGGGGAACCTACACTCAAGCTTTGAAAACAGGTCGGGTGTTATGAATACAGCTAACTACTTTCAATCCAACAGTCAATCTCTTGTGGTGCGGCCTAACGCTGACGCAGGGGCCAAGGCTTCTGAATCTTATACCACGCAGAACCAAGCGCCCAAGGTGAGTGTTCAGATAACCTGTACTTGTAAACGTTGCTCACCTCCCAGCTAACCTTCATGTCGACGCAGACTTCAATACCACCGGCGTATTTCAAAGTGGGCGGATGCGAGATACCTCTGAAACAGGGAGGCAACACACCGATTGGTGGAGCATCCCATGGATTGCGCCACTGTAATACCAGCGTTACATCTATCACTGGGCAGCCCAATGTTCAGTTGTATATGACTAACTCAACAGTAAGTGTCCGCGGCAAAAGGAAGTCATCTATGGGCATGTTCTAATGTTCTGCAGTCGCACCACACTGAGTCAATTCGTCATACCCGAATGAGTGACTTTCAGACGACAGGTCGTCTGTCGTCCTCCGCACTCCCGCCAAGATTCCAAGATCGCTCTCGAAGCGATGTTCATTTCGTACTGCCACAAGTAGCTAGCTGTCCGCGGGCGTCGCCGTCGCCGCATACTGCGCTGTTTGGTTCCAGAGTGGCTCATGAGAGGGCCTCGCAGACGACAACAAATACAATAAGCTACAATAAACCATCTACGTTCTTCGGTGGAAACACGTCCAGTGAGGTTCCGTATGGACCTCCTACTTCGGATGCGCATGGAAGAACGACATGGGCAGTGTGCATTGTCATTTGTCGTGGTATCCTGCATTCTTACCTGCTGTGTGTAGATCAGAGAAGAATGCCTGCTCTTCAAGCAGGGTCGCTGTATGTGGGGTCCCCGCTGTCAAAGAATGCATATCTCGAGTGCAACATCAGTGGCACGCCCACCCATAACAAATGTGATTTATTGACATTATCGATTCGGTTGTTTTGCTAACCGTCATCGCAGCCCTTCCCGGCTCAGCTTTACTCTCCACCAACTCAGGTAGGAGGATGTTTATTACCGGGTCGAACTAGTTCAAACGTCTACCAAACGTTTCAGGATCAGAGGCAGATTGGTGATCCTTACGTAGAACCTACTCGCCTTCCTGTTCCCTTGCCAAATGGGCTACCAAGGCCTGTACAGTTTCTCAATCCACCGGAACCGCCACCATTACTCCATGGGTCAGACCTTCCGCAAGTTCCGCCACACTTAGAGTCTTCGCCGGTTTCAAGACATCCGGATCCGCCGCTAGCTTCCCATGGGCCGAAGATGAATCCGAACATAGTAAATCATACGTTTAGTTGTATATAAATTATTGATGAACCGACACTCGACCGCAGGAGCCCTACGTCGTAAGGCAATTGGAGTCGTCCTCTGTATTCACTGCACCCACTGCATCCACTGCACCCACTCACGACATAGCCAGTCAAGAAAATCCTGATCTTGATAGCGCATCGACCATTTCTGACTCTCGTGGGGTATGTCAAGCTACCGAGGACAAGAACCTAGCGGCAACGAATGCTGAAGTAAGCAGTCGATCGTAGTATACCATCATCTCACAGAACCAATTCCTTTCAGTCAATTTGTGTCAAGCCATGGGCAACAGAAGATGATGCTCCTTGCAGTAAGATTGATGATGACCATGTTTGCGAAATCAGAGCAAAGCAAGATGGGGCTCCCAACAGCAAGGCCGCCGAAAGCCAGGTTATCAAGAACAAAGCTGCTAAAACACAGGCTCTTACCGAAGGTGCTGATGTCCCTAGCAAAGTATGTTGAATTGGTTTCTTCGGGTCGCTTTAATCTGAGAGTCCCGTCAGCCATTAATGTCGAAAAGGATATGTCGAGACTTCATGTTCGGCTCGTGTCGGCGCCCTTTTCAATGTCCTCTCGCACATCCTCCTAAACACGAGTGGCACAAGGTATTGTTTATTTGTCTTCCGCAGCAATCTATACTCATCGTCTTTGACTGCAGTACCTTGAGAAGAAGGATGAAGTGTGCCAAAAATTTCAAAGAGGCGCATGTCATATGGGAGATAAATGTCAATATAATCACCCAAAGGCTGAAATTTCCAAGACGGATTGTCCGCCACTGTCGCAACCGCTGCCTAGGCAGGTTACGAAAACAGAGTCGGCTCAAGCGCACAATATGGAGGAGTCAGAGTCTCTGCAGGTTTGGGGATTCCACCCATCTAAAAGTAACGGTCTGACGAAGGCACCATTCATAGAGTGCAAAGGAACCTTCAACGACCGGGAACTCGGCAGCCCCGGCCAAGGTAACAGCGTCCACGACGGTACCTTCCTCTTCACGCGATACCATACCGAAGCCCCTTGAGAGCACACTCAAGAAATCGGTGAATCACGTTGATCCTGATTGCCGGGTTACATGTAACTCACGATTCTGCAGGTATTTAATGGCAATGTTCCTGATGACATGTTGGCATCTGCAATAAAGGCAAAGCCAACAGCGAAGGCAGAAGAAAAGGTTAAGCAAACAGCAACCCGGCAGCTGATCGAGAAGTCTGGTCAAAAGTCGCAAGCACAGCAAAAGAAAAAATTGCACGCGGATGCTAAGGCTTCTAAAATGACTATAACAACCAGAAGCCGCACAGAGAAGTCCAAGGCCAATCAATCTCTAAAAGCGAATACTACTGCAACTGTGGTGCAGCTGCCACCCTCTCGAGAAGATGAATCCGAGGTCTCTCCTGGTTCCAGCCATTATGTTCTCTGTGTAAGCCAAGCCCACACTCCAAAATCGGAACGGGTTATCCACTGATGTCACATGCAGGAAACATGCCCATCGCGTGATGCATCACCATGTCCTCCCAAACCCAAGGTGGCGTCGACAGATGCGAGGCCTATAGAACGCCTGCTAGACTCCAGCAAGATTTGCTTCGACTGGCAGAGAGGCCGCTGCAATCGCGGACATTGTAAATTTGCTCATAGGCACATCGATGACTCTTCATACGAAAATAAGGTAAGCTTATTGATCAGCGTCTGTCTATGATAGCTTGAACTGAACCTTCTCCATCAGCCTGACGCACTTAATGACCTCTTAAAAAAGCTAGAGGCATCCGAGTCGAATGCCGCACAAAGCAAGGATCACGCTGTGCCCAAATCTGTTAGTGAGGACCTCTTAATTTCCATTAGCAATTCAGCGACGGTCCCTGCCCTACCTCCTGGTTTGGGTCTCGAAGCTGTAAGATTTTCCTTACATGGTTTCTTTGCATAGAATCACAGTTCTTTCATTAGCCAATTGGTGCTCCGACGCCACAAACAGACGATCAATCTGAGAAGCTTTGCCTGACTATGTTCGACTCTGCGAAGATAGTATTTGGACCCGGGTTCGAGGTGCAGAAAGTGGTTACGGGCTTTGAATCACGAGCGGTCATCTTACCCGGCCTGCCCGTCGATGTTAATGTGGACGCTATCCGGAACGCCTTGGAACCATTCGGGGAGGTCGCCGATGTCCAGGTAGTTGCAAGAGCCAAGGATGCATCCAAGGTCACTGCAAAGGCATTCTATACGGACCATGCCAGTGCAGCGCAAGCAGCAGCAGCGTTGGATGGATCAAACTTTTTTGGCACCCGTCTTAGTATTCAACTCGCAACACACAAGTCGACGTCACTAGGGAAAGGTACGGTTTGCGACGGAGACATCGACTTGGAATTTTCAGCTCCCTCGAGAACAGGATTTGCTGGATACCCGAGCCTTTCTCTGGCTCAGCAAGCCATTGAGGCAGCCACCAGGAATGCAGTACTAGATTGTTGGATAGCAGCGGAGATCCACAATGGAATTCCTAAGGTCGGTTCGGTGACCGTCCGATTCCAACATCTTCCGCCGAATTTCCAAGCAAGAGATTTTGAGAAATTCGGTAAGAATCAAGGCGTCATGCTCACTAAGCCGAACTACATGCGTTTGGAGCGAGCTCTCGAGAATCTGCATGACTTGCTGCAGCGCTTTGGTGAGATGGAGACCCTGAACGTGAGCTCTCCACCCTATCCAAGGGGCCTGGTGCGCGCCTGGGTCCACTTCAAGTCCGCAGATGCGGCTGACAGACTTTGCAACGAACTTCATGGACGTGGCCAGCGATTCCTAGGAGGCGAAAGACTTTATGTCCACCACGTGCGGTCGGTCAAATACCGTCTTCCTCGTGAAGTATACAAAGCTCTTTGTGTGGACATACGGTTATTGCGGTCCTATGCATGCAGCAGGGACGCGCGCTCCGATATCGTTGTCGTAGATCGCAACGATCCAGTCATAGTCAAACTCGTGGCAAACGAACTTCCCGTCTTGTCTCGTCTCAAGTCTGCGTATGAAACTCTTCTTCGTGGTGACATCGTGAAACACAATGGCGAAGTCATCTGGGATCCTTTTTTCGACAGGTCCTTCGGTGCAGCATACCTTCGCGAGCTACAGAACCAGCATCCAGGTCTCATCATTGAGAGAAATCTACGCAGACGTGTTATTTCACTTTTCGGCCCCCCTCATAGCAGACGATTGGTCAAAGAAGCTATCCTCGCTCAGCTATCACGGCTGCGTTCGCTGAAATCGCAGAGTTTCCCAATCGAAGGACACCTTATTTCGCTCTTCATGAGCGCAGATCTAGCAAAGTTGCAAGAAGAGCTAGGTCATGAAAATGTGGTGTTCAATTTGGCGAAGCAAACTTTGCTCGTGCGAGGAAATGAGGATGCATTTCAGGTTGCACGTCTCGCCATTCGCCACACGAAGCAACGTTGCAGTGGCCCTCGAAAGCACCTTCTTGACGCATGCCCTGTGTGTTTTGATGAAGCCACATCGCCGGTCACTCTTCGCTGTAGCCACACGTGGTGCAAATCATGCCTGCGTGATTACCTATTGGCATCGATTGATAACAAGGTCTTCCCTTTGAGTTGTTTAGGAAACGAAGCCAAATGTGCACATCTCATTCCTCTTGAGGTCGCTCGGGAGGTTCTGACACCGAAGGAATTTGATACAATCTTGACTGTGTCGTCCACGGCCTATGTCCATCTGCGTCCTTCAGAGTTCCACTATTGCCCTACTCCCGATTGCCCTCAGATATATCGCAGCGCTCCCAAAGACACGGTCCTTCAATGTCCCTCCTGCCTTGTCCGCATATGCCCCCACTGCCACGTTGAATATCATGAAGGTTCTGTCTGCCCCGACCGTGACCGTGAAGACCGGAAACTGTTCGAAGAATGGGTTAAAGACCATGACGTCAAGAATTGCCCTCACTGCAAGGCTCCCATAGAAAGAGCAGCAGGCTGCAATCATATGAATTGCGCACGATGCAAAACCCATATATGCTGGGTCTGCTTACAGACCTTTTCCGGGAGCAAGGAAGTATATGACCACATGCATGACACCCACGGCGGCATTGGGTTGTGACGATATTCGGTTCTGTTACTATTACTGCTTTTTCTGTTGTCATACTTCTATGGATGACTGGATCTCTCCCTCTGTTTAACTTATTCCTATTCATGCCTGTTAATCGGATTTGTTGTAGTATTTGCATGACATGCGTTGTATACTTACCTTACCTTGTGTCCTATACCTAAGGCCACTCTGCAGGTTCATCTATGTACCATTAGCATATAACCATCTGCTCTATATCCATTTCACAACTTCTGACTTATGTGGCTGCACATCCTGTGAGGAAACCTGAACGTAATGATAATGGTAACATATTATTTGAAATCCATTTGTGAAACTGGTGGTACATTGCTTGGCTAATAAGTTACTACACGTGGATCCATGAAGGTCTGCGAGGGTGGGCATCTCCATTTGCAATGTTCCAACCAATAGGCGTACCTTCATGTGATCCTAACAAGACTGTTGTTAAATATACTTAACGAACTGGTTCGAGACAACGATCAGCAAACGCAACGGATACTTGGAAGGCAATATCTTACAGATTCATACGGTCGTGCTGGTTCTTCTCCATGAAGAGGAAGTGATTCAGGTAGCTCAGGTATAGACGGGTCGTATTTGACCGTACGTCCTTGGTCGTCCATAAAGCCTTCTGTGGGACTTGGGTAATGACTCAACTCCGGAGGATTAGCTTGTGTACGAGGAGCATAGACAATATACTTCAACTCCCGAGGACTACCAGCACGCCCAGTACGAGGAATTATCAAAAGATGGTCGCCGCGTCGATTCCAATATCCGTATCGTACGACACGAGCCTCAGTCTTAGGTGGGTTGGGCGAGGTATCCCGAGCTCGACGAGAGACGCTGGCGGCTTGGGATGCGGATGAATAGACTGCTTGAGGTTGTGAAGGTTGTTGAGCAGACGATCCAGAAGGGTATGAGCCATGTTGAGAGGGTTGTGGAGGTTGATGTGTATGATTAGAAGAATAAGAAGGCTGTGAGACATGCGAAGGAGAGCGTGAAGATTGCGTGGTTTGTGATGAGCTATAGGAAGACTGAGAGGGTTGGGAAGTGTGAGTAGGTAAAGCCGCCCGGGACGAAGTATATGCTGTGGAAGACTGGGTGGGAGGATAAGAAGGCTGTACCAAAGGAGGCATGGACTGTGATGAGGAATAAGTGGGTGTCGCGGATTGTGATGAATAGTACGAGGATTGGGAAGAACCGAGCGCAGGTTGTGTATGAGACCTAGACAAGGGAGCATGGCTTGAATGCGACTGCGATTGCGCGGCCGCGGCGGCAGACGCAGACACAGAATTCGTCAAAGAAAGCGCAAACGGCGAAGGCATTGGTGGAGCCGGAAGGGGATTCCTCAAAGAATTGCTTCGCACTGGGGAAGACGTCCTTGAGCGAGAACGATTGGGTGACGGTAAAGGCGAAACGCCAATACGCGATGATGTCGCATTCGAACTGGAATAGTTGGATGGACCTGCATCGAGAGTTGGATACGTATGACTACGTGAAACTGTCCTGCCATTGGAGCCATCAGAAGAACTCTTGCGAACCGGTGGTGCAGGCTCCGTCCCATGTCGGTATGGAGAGGTCGACTTGATATTATGCGACGTACTTCTGTCCCTCTGAGAGGCGGAGGAATAAGCTGCGCTGGGTTCCTGAGTTCGAGAAGACGTATACGACGTGCTATGTTCCCGAGAATGTGAACTGGTATATGGAGACGTCCCATTCTCCTTTGGAGCTATCGACCGCTCTGCGTAAGGTGCAGTGACTCGGCTGGGAGACGGCCTCGGGGTCCGAGAGTTGGTCGATGACGAAGATGATCCATATGCAGGCGTCCGTTCACGTTCCTCTGGAATAGGCGGGAAAGGTGCAGAACTGGTAACAGGACCATTCGATGATATCAGAGGGTACGTTTGACTCCGAGATACTTCCCGATCTCGTGTAGGACTTGGGCCTCCGGACCCAATATTCGGACTTGTTCTAGAGCGTGAAAGGCTCTCGGAGGAACCAGAGCCACGCGAAGGCGTTCCGCTTAAGATGGGACTTAGCAGACTGGCCGGCTCGTCAGAGAAGTTGTGCAGCGGAGTGAAAGTAGTGAGTGAGGTCGACGAGGAGGAAACAGTGGATGGAGCGGATGATTGTCTGATCGGAGTACGGCTCTGTGATGAACTCGTCCTCCCGTTGGTATTAAGTCGGGAAGGTGTCGTTGGAGCGTAGATCGGGCCATGAGTGTGTGTACGGGGTGGCGATGGGTCATCGACATCTTCGTCTCCGCTAGGTCTTCGAGAGGAAGCGGGTGTGTGTGTTGTCGAAGAAGCAGGCGTCTTCGAGGAAGCGACGGCAGCTGCAGCTGCAGATGCAGATGAAACCGTAGATGAGACGTAATGGTTGGGCGTGCGCACGATGTTGGGTGAGAATGTCGGTTGCAACTGCTGATGAGAACTGAATGCAGACTTGTCTTCTGAATTGTGCTCTCCGGAGCGACGGAGCTCACTAGAATTCGAGTTGGATGCATTACGGATATCTCGCTCGACATCCTGCGAATGGGAATGCTGGTGACGAAACTCATTCGATCGTCGCGAGGCGAGTGCCTGGGCCTGCTGTGAGTGCTGAGAATAATTTGAGATCATCGCAGGTGCAGAAGAGGGAACTTGATCTGATCTAGGCCATGATTCCTTTTTCTCACTCTGAGAAGCAGATGAGGCATTGGAGTAGATATTGTAAGGATGCCGAGATGAATCGCTGTTCGATGCCTGCCGTGTGGAAGACACAGGTGCCGGCTGTGTCTGAGTCCGCTGTCGGGGCTGATCCTGCATTCTATCTTGTCTTTGTGTACTCTGAGAATTCTGCGGGTCCCGAACGCCATGTCCATCACGCGGCTCTTCTGCTCTTTCACGGCGTTCAGGGGACTTACTTAGACTTCTGGGTGCCCAAATCCATGGCGTCTGTGGTGCTTCCTCCGCAGGGCGTGGCGGACCGAAAGTTGGCTCATCGGTACTGTATCAGACGCAGAGACGAAAACAAAGACCAGCAGCAAAAAAAGAACAGTATGAGACTTGTATGCATCTACAGCGGACTTGCCGAGTAAATGGTTAGGTACACGTACCGGATATCCATACCCTCCAAACCGAGTGGGTTATCTAGCAGTGCCGTATCCCAATAATCAGAACGACCCTGTTTCGTGTATGGGTTTCTAGTACTGGGATAGCGTACGTCTCCCCAACCTGGATGAACTGCCCAGGCTGTAGATTGTACCGTAGGCGCCACACTTCGGTACATGGGGTTAAAATGCCATTGGCCACCATTCCAACGGCGGGGGTCTACGCCCTGGGGCGGAGGTGGGGGTCCTGGAGGCGCTCTCGGAGGCCAATGACCTTGCCAGCCAGATGGCTGACTAGGACGAGCAGTAGTCCATGCTTGGAACTGCTGGGGGGTCATCCAAGACATCATGGTGATAAGATGAGATTCAGACTGATCGGGGTGAAAGAGAAGATCGTGCAAGTAGAAGCTGCCAATTGAGTATGAGGATTAGACACAGGCACGAGAGATAGGCGACTCACGAGAGCAAAAGGCTGCGTATAAAGGACAGAAGTCAAAGATAGTCGAGAAGGTCTCGACTATAAACTGAAGATGGCGCCTAGCTGCGAAGAGTATACGTAAAGGACCTGCCAATTGTCCAGAGTGGATAATGAAAGAAAAGCGACAGGTCGCTAGCAACAAGGTGGCATTTATCGAAGGTAAGTAGGGTATCGAGACAGCGGCGCAGGCTCGCAGTTCGTGGGCCCCGATATGGCGGGGTGAGGCAGAGAGATGAGCTCTCGTACCTCTGCCATACAGCTGGCGGTGGAATAGCTGGCCTGCTCGGACATCGCCGGGCGTCGTGGCCGACGACCAACGGTCTCATCTGCCACCAATTTGCGATATTTTCATCTCGGCTCAGCTCATGGTGTACGTTGAGCGTACAGTGAGGATATGGTTGAAGGAGAAGGGCGGCGATGTGCAAAACAGTGTCTGCCGCGAAATAGCTCAGAGTCAACGCGGGGAAATCCCTCTAGCGGCAATTACCCTAAGACTCCCACGTTCATTGTGCACGACAATTCTGGAATTTTTGATGCATGGTAAGAACGATATATTCGCCAGACGCAAGAGCACCTGAGCTCTCTGTTTAGCTAGTGGGATATGGAGGACGACTGGGCAGATGACACCACTGCTATACGCGACTCGGAATGGGCCAAAATTTCCTCCGATTTTCAAAATGTGCGTCGCAGCACCGCACGGTCATCTAAGCAAGATGTCTAAGGTTCCCTCTCAATAAGGCCGGCTACCGTGAAGGCATTACTGCCGGAAAAGAGGGTGCTCTCCAAGAAGGCTTCGATGAAGGGTATGCAGAGACAGGTGTGCCTATAGGTCGAGAAATAGGCAACCTCAGAGGAATTTCCTCCGCCCTTGTCTCTCTGCTCAGTTCTCCTACCTTCGTACCCGAACATGGGGACCGAGAGCAGTTCCTGCAAGAAGCCCGACTCATTTCAATGGAGTTAGCGGAATTGCGTTTTTCTGACGTTGCTCCACCGGATTTGCAAGCCGAGCAGCATGCTCGTGAACACTTGGAATCTGCAGATGTAGATGACAGAGACTTTGACGTCGAGATGAACGAAGAAGTCAAGCAAAAACGGGACGTGGAAGGGTTGGAGGACCTAATGACACGAATGGGCGCAGGTTCTATTTCTTCTGCAGAGGCGAAGGCTCGTCCAATAAAAGCTGATGTAGCGAAACTAGTGGATCGATTGAAGTCTTTGGCTGGCTCCCTCGGCATTCCGCTACCTCTACCTTGACGACATAATTCTACTAACCTACCAAGTGAAAAGACGTAGCCTTACAAATATCTGTAACCAATGTATAGTACATGAGAAGCAGATACAATCCAGAGACGGACTAAGAACGACTACTGAAATGGGCGAACCATCTTGGTTAACGTCGCATCTTGGCCTCACGAAGTTATAATGATGTCTCCGAAATCTCTACAAGTATTTTGCAGGGAGCTCAAAAAGTGCTCTCCGATAACGGAGTTGTGCACCTCTTCTCGTTTTACCCCACTTCCTCGCCAACTACAAGTGGTCACTCTGAACGAGACATCACTTTCGTCGCTCCAACGAGGATAGTTATTGAAGACTAGGCCAGGTCATTTGCCTGGACTCGTTCCGTCACCCAGTCATCGAATTCGGCTAAAAATAATGTGTTTCACAAGTAATGGCTTAGCATAGAGCAGTGAGGCGAAATTATTATACTCACGGTTCTGTAATTCTCGATACACTATTCCACGTGCAAGGCAAGCTTGTCGAACGTCTTCTGTAAGTGCCTCCATCTCCTCCATTTTCGCCTGAAGATCTGGACAGGAAACCAAAGTCCACGACCGTTCATCAGATATGTCATGAATGTAGGATCCCATGAAGATAAGTGTCAACTTCTGAAGACAACATGATCCTTGGGGATCTCTTACGCAACGAGTCACACTGCGTAGAAGGTCGGTGTCGACGGACCATTCAGGATATAAGAGGCTGCGTGATGAGACACCATGCCTCAGAACGATTGTCGCAGCATGGACATTGACCGGAAGGGCGGAGAATTTGGTGTTAATTCCGATGGGTTCTCCCCCTTGAGATGACCAGAATATTCCAAAAGCAATGTGATGAAGATGAGGGAAAGCATAGGGGTGGTTAATCCACGCCGGAAAATGAATCGACTCGTGCCAGCCAATATGATGAAACCGCTTGAGTCGACGCAAGACATGGTTTGGTACAAGTAAGTGGAACATGTTCTGATAGAGCTCCAGAGTATCCAGCTTTGGAAGTAATTCCTCCGGAAGCTGTATTGAAGAAATTCCCCCCTCGGCGAATGCACCAAAAGGGCCACTTTGCAGGATTCGTAGTACGCGGAGTGACGGCAGGAAGGGCAACTCTAATGACTCCATGAGGTGTACCTGCTCCAGATTGAGGATCTCCAATGACGGAAGGTCGATATCGGGCGTGAGAAATTGAGGAGGAGCGGACCTGGGTGTAAACGATGGTAGAGAGCCTTTCAGTGTCAACACCCGAAGATGAGTCCCGTTCAGTGCTTCCCGTAAGAACGGGGTCCCGACAGGAATTCCTGTGGTGGACCTTGTCATTCGAAAACCTATAGTCAGCGACCGTAGAGAAGGACAACTCGAGAGAACGTTAATTGCGTTCTCTCGCGTAGGGTCATCCAACCTCCGGCGTCGAGGCCAGATGGGTAGGAGGCTCTTCAGATCTTCAGGTTCCTCTCCGTCCATGAAAGTTATGCTGTGAACCAGGGCTGCGAGACCAGGTGACTTTCTGACTGTCCGCGCAAACAGAGCGAGTTGACGACGGGAGAAGAGGAATGGCCGGTCGTATAAAACTTCGTCACCAATCGATCTCCAAGCTCGACATACCCTGATGGCCCTGAGCAAAGCAAGTAGGCCATGATCTATGGCCTGGTAATTGAGGTATTGGAATGGAGAGCCAAAGTAGGGGAAATAACATTCATATTGAAGGACCTCCGGATAAGAGTCTGCAAGCAAATAGCGAAAAATAATGAGCAGTAACTCTGGTGGCAAATTACTCCAAGGCTCGTGGGCACGCCGAAGCCGGATGCGAGTGTGAAGCCTCGGCGAAATCCAACGTTTGATGAGATGTTGAACAGCAACCTTCATAAAGTCGCTTGCTGAAGTCAGCAAGGTGATACTTCAGCAGGAAATACCTCAGTATCTGTAAATTCGAGTTCAGATTGACAGTAATGTGTGCATCATGCAGTCAATATTCTAGCCCATTGAAGAGGGGTGAATGGCATCGACGGTGATACAAAGAACTCACGATCATTGAAACAATATCGGAGTGGTCAGCCACGTGGGCGAACATAATTTCTGAGGTCGTCCGAAAACGGAAGCACTCTCCAAGAATGTCTTTACTTCGCCACTCCGTCGCTCGTTTGCATGTAAACGCGCCTCGAATACCCGTCACCAATCCCAACCGACTCGCATTGAACCTCTTCCTAAGCCAAGTCCGACATTATGCCAAGAAGAACAAACGAGATCTCGACGTTGAAGATGTAAAAGGCAAGAGCAAACAAAACATCGCCACCGATACCCTCGTTCCAGGTTCTCAGCGTATACTGGCCGATCCGAACTATGTACAATGCGAAGAAAAGATGAAAGGAGCTTCTGAAAAGTTTCGGAAGGACGTGGCAGCGTTTGAGACCCGTGCAAGCGGTCGTATCACTCCCGCCGTGCTGGCACCCGTAAGGGTTATGCTGCCTGACAACAAAGGGCCTGATGGTAAAGGCGTCCATCTAGAGGAACTCGCTACTGTCGGCGTTAGGGATGGGACAACACTGTTAGTGACTGCCTTTGAGGAACGCGTAAGTGTCTTTCGTTGTGTTCGAGAAGCGGAAGTACGAATTGATGCCATGTTTGGGTCTAGTAGACTCTGAAATACATTGAACAAGGCATTTATGACGCGAGGATATCTGGTGTTATTCCACAGTCATCTGATAGTCGTACAATCAAGATCCCAATGGCCAAGTGAGTTATTTATGGTTGTTCATATGATTCATGCTCTTGACTGTTCTTCCTAGACCGACGGTCGAGACTCGACAGGCTTTCTATGCAACTGCTTCCAAGCAGGCGGAAGAGTTCCGTGTGCAAATACGGAAACACCATCAAGCGTTCTTGAAGAAAGGGGCCTACGGAAAGCGTGCGCCTGAGGTAACTGATGTACGTATTCACATTCCCTTTTCGTTGAAACGGTATCATTCCAACGAGACGCGGATTCCAGTTCCAGAAACTTGCGGACAAATATATCAAGACGATAGACCAGACACTGGCTGATTTTAAGAAGGTTACGGGCGCAAAATGATCTAGATGTAGTTATAATACAGCATGTTCTATATGTCTATCCACCCGGATCCTACTCATCAACGCTAGCCGAAGCGACTACTGAGCTTGTCGTATATCAAGAAAATGAGCGCACTGCTCGGTACTGCTCTGGCAACAGTGACACCACACCCAGCGTATAACCCCTTCAGTCCCTGCGCCTTGTACATCGCCCTAAATATCGCTATAAATGACGGTGCAGCTTGTCCTGCTGCACGAGGTCTCAACTCCGCCTCGGTCTGCATTGCACTTTTCACGGTATCAGCAGGGAAGAGCGCGACATTGTACGCCACGCCAGCGCAAGCACCTGAAACGGCTGATTCCCAGCCCCTCAGTTCTGGTTTTTTCTTTGGGGCTGTCTCGTTTTGTGGTGCATCGCCTGAGAATTCAGTATTTTGACGACGCGAAAGAAGCAAACGAGCGACGGCTTCTTTGGAAACGAACCAAGCTGCTCCACCACCTGTCTCTCGAATGAGGGTACCTGTGTGTCCGAGCCACAGACCTCGGAAACCAGTCTCTCGAACGACAGAGGTAAGGACTGCGATGGGTCCTGGGAGCTTGCTAAACGAAGGCGAGGGATGATGTGAGGCTGTTGCTACGCCTGCTACTGTTGACGGCTCGACGGTCACAGCGGGAGACATCAGCATCTGAACTTGCATTTTACATTTTACAAGCTCTATTGGAGTCCTAGAACATTGCAACCTAGTTGAAGATGGGACCGCAAGAAGAGAACATGATACTCACAAGAAGAAACTCGTGATAGCGCCTGCCCCGGCTGCAGCTATTGACAGCTCACCCAAAGTTAGGTCTTGCGAGATAGGTTTGTCTATAAGTTTCCGTATTCCGTTCTGAAGTTCATTATACGAGAGAAACAGGGCAGCATTCTCTGTCATGGCTCCAACGATCGGAGCTGGCAAGCCCTAGGACGTAGCCTTCAGGATCTCACGCAAGCGTAAAAGCGATAACGAACGCACCCTATAAAGCCCACGAATACCCTCCTTCTGGAACGTCTGCTTCAAGCAGTCAATTGGTCCACTGAAACGCGCCGTTTCATCCAGGACCTGCGACTGTAGACGCACTTTGGTGAGGTCGAAGGGATGCTCAAATACTTTGGATATCATTCCTGCGATCTATAAGTATTTGAGTCACACGACTGAATAACAAGATGCAAGGCAGACTTACGCTACCAAAGGCAATATCCTTCGCAGCACGCATCGTCACCGAAGTTGCCGAGCCATCGTAAGCCAGAGCATCGGGTGGAGCCTCCATGGCAAGGCTTGAAGGAAGCGGTACGAGAGAAAGACTATTAAACCAGGGGTATGGAAGCAGGACAGCCAGACAGTCGACTAGCACATTGTAGAAAATGAACAACCCTTGAACGGGGTAAGTGGAATGAGATGGAGCCGGTGCTTGACTCGCATGTTTGTGGCTTTTTGGCAGGAGTAATGAGAGAATCTAATCAATTTGCCTGAAAGTTTTATCTTATCTGATAACACGGGCAAGACTCGGCCCCGATCTCAGTCGACATCCATTCGTTCTTCAAAGCTTCACTTCAACGTGCGTGCAGCTTCAGAATGGCTAGAAAGATGTATTAATATACATAACAAATAGCAGAGGTATCAAAATATTTGTCCGAGCAATCAGATGATCAGTACAGTCTAAGACCAAATCCCAATGAATCGCTAAATAAACCTGCAGAGCCCATTTCAAAAAAAGATGACAGACATGGATCCAATCATTATCAGGACAGTCACAGCCCAAGAACATCCCAGCAATAGGCCTCTCGACCCCTCGGATGTATCGCCCACAACGGGCGGTGTGAGCGGAGAGATATTCGGATTGTTATTCGGGGAAGTCGTCCGAGTGACAGTGCTCCCACCACCCCCGACTGTTCCGCTCGGTGTGTCGGTAGGAGCTGGACCTGACGCGCCAGTTGTATACGCACGAACATACGAGATCTCGAAATATGCGTTGTCATATTTTGGACTTCCTGGTCCGACCACATTGTCTGGGTAGCAAAGTCCCGTAGGACCAGTGTGAGCGCATGTGTTATTGTAGATAGAATCAACACCCGCCCTAACAACAAATGAGAAAAGGTGAGGGAGAAATGCAGGGAAATTGATAAACTGACCAGTCACCGCATAGTGTGATGTCAAGGACAAGTTGTTGGGCCGTAAAGAAGTTGGTGATGTTGCAGTTGGCACCAGCTGGATAGCTAGCGGACGGAGGACCCCACTGAGATATGTCTAATGGCGATGAAGACGTTGCTTGTGAAATTGAAGCTGGCACGTTTGATCGCTAGAGTGGCGTGTCAGTTCGAGAGGTGTTGGATCAGAGATGAACAGGCAAACTTACACTCCAAAACCAAATACTGTTGTATTCCGTCAGTTGAGTCCACAATTGTGGCAGATAATCAAAGTCTGAACTCACTAGACACCGGATACATCAAACTGTGTAGCCCAAACTCCTCCGCCAGCAGCAGCGAATCCACTATTGAAACTGTTGGAAGTAGTCTCCTGTACGGTACATCCTGACCCGGTACCGCAATCTCTCTCCAAGCTACGACCGGTCTGATCAGGCGGCGGATCATGGAGACAGCCTGCAGTGGTATGGATTGCCATTTGGTTGTTTGGCATGAGGTTGATAGCTTCTATGATATCGATCTCTCCATCGTCTGGCCATAGTGAGCCCTTGGTCCAGAATGCTGGCCAGACCGAGCAGCCGTAGGGGATGTGAAGGAGATCGATAACCCAGAGGCTACCGAAACTATAGAAATCTTTCGAAGTAATGCGAACCTAAATATACCGAAGTCAGATAGGATTGCGCCGGTGATAGCCCCCGAGAAGATGAACGCTATCTGTATGGTCAAATATAGACGCAACGTATGGTTGAAGCGCAGCAACCCAAGGACAGCGTGCGACCGAGCACAAAAGCGACGAAGGCGCAATAGAAGGCAGTCCCCAGCAGCAAGACAAGTCTGACGGATGCTCACAGTATTGCGTTTCTCGTTGAAAGGGACGTTGGAAGTATTGTCCACCTTCATGACAGCATGTCCTGCGTCGTTGACGTATGCCAACTTCTGCGAAAAGGAATCAGAGGCATTCAACCACCATACGTCTCCTGTAGATTTCGTCAAGCATTACACCAAATAAAAAAAGGTGTTGTAAACGCACCTAATGTCAGGTTATCCCAATTTCCAAAGAAATCCCAATCGTCGAAGAAGCTGGCTCCGGAGTAGTCATGAACCACATCAAAGCCAGAACAGTAGAATACACAACATAAAAGAGAAAATAACGATACAAATCGAAGAAAAGCCATGATATCGTAAAGCAGCGTCTAGTGTTCAGGCAAACACGTCGGATGTCGTTATCGTGAGGAGCAAGGTAAGGTGGTGGAGTAGGCAGAGAGGCTGCAAGGTATATATTACAGAGAGAGAAATTACAAGCACGAGAGGCGGAGCAAAGCACCATCCATGGGTATGAACAGAGCTAGAAGCCAGATCCCACTGCCTCTCATTCGAGGTTCTCCACATGTTCGCTCTTTTTCAACTGCAGCGCCCAGGGCGAACCGCACGCGAATTGCGCCTCGGCCTCGTGTTATCTCACGTGTAGTTCATCTCGTGATCGCGTCTTTCCCGTACCGCTTTTGGCTGAATACCTTGTTGAAACTTGAAAGCATTCAAGGTGTTCGTCGTTCGCGAAGGAGGGAATGCAACTGCACGGTAGAGGGACAAAGTCGATCGATCTGAAAACAACGTAGTATCTAGCCATTGTGAATAGGACGAATCTGGTAAGTATAGCAGCGGTGATCTCTCACCGACATCAGACAAAAGCAAAAATAGTTGATTGAACTTAATTTTCAGTCTTTAATTAGAATGTTTGTCGTCACCAGTTAAGGAAGTACTTACTTACTACTACATATTCTGGACACCACATTGTTGCGATCGTTGATCGAAGTGTCGTTCTTCCCCTTTCGGTCAGCAGTGCACCAATATAAACGCCCAAAGATCAGTCAGGAAGGGTCTGAGTTGCTACTTGGTCTATGTCTTAACATTCGCCAGCCATACAAGGCCTTTCATCCGATATTGATAGAGCCGAGGGTCTGCAGCAGGAGCAGAAGGACTTACAGTGTGGAAAACTGGTACTCGAAGGTATGTATTCTAATGTGATGTTTCTAGGCCGCCACTAGTACTTAGTGGCGCTGAACTTCATCCAATGAGGTTTTGCTGGGATAATATTCGACCTCTGTGATCTCAGTTGCGTAACGAAGCATACAGAGGGATAAAGAATACAAAAACCTTTACCTTGTACTTTTACAACATGCCCCCAGTTTCAGTGCCTCGTTGCAGACCGGGTATGGCTTCCGTGCAGATATCACGCGATGAAAGCTCGATTGAAGTCAGCGATGTTGTTTGCCGTAGTGCGGTCTCAAAACCAATCGCGATAATGATCATCTTCTGAATTAATGCCACTCGATGTGCGCTTGTATCGAACAATGGAAAGTACAAGGTTGAGGCAGTGGCGGATGCTTGGCACCACTCCCAGATTACATTTATAGCTGGCTCTCCGAGCAATCGCATCTTCACAACACTTTCACCATGGTAAGTGTTTTAAATCTGTTCTCGCTGTAAACATTGATCGACAGCATGCGGGCCAGGGCGATACCAAGCCCATCGCTGTCGCACCGATGAAATGTTCACCTTGTGCATACGTCGCTCAAGGTCAGAATTGCTTGAATGAAGCAGTCTCCGCATGTGCAGGTTGTCACTTAGTGACGTACTGCTCCGAGGTGCGGACCATATGCTTCATGCACGTTCATTGTACTTAGCCAGTCAATTGACAGTTATGCCAATCGAAACACTGGCCTGAACACAAACAATGTACGCAATCGATTTCGCCGTTCTTCATGGGTGTTTGAGGTAGCTAAACATTTGACAGCATGCAAGCATCGACTACGCTCTAAAAATGGAAACCCGATCACGTCATATCTGGGACTTTGCCTTTATTTTCTTCCACTATTACTCTCAGTGATAGCTTAGGGGTGGGCGAATGCTTGTACGTTGACAAAGTTTGCAGCCGTGGCCGTCTGCTTCCGGCACTCACTTGACTGCCAGCTCTAGCTTGGTACCCGCAGTAGATATACTCAAGCTTTCTCGTAACGAGGGCAGGAAGTACACCAGAAAGGATATTTCACTCGCCTTCGTTGGTATGTGACCCTGTGATTATAATACTGATCCATTTAATCACTTCAGGGTCATCACACAGACGGCAATCTTGAGAATTTTATACACACCGTGACTGGGTTACCTCTGGACTACGCTGGAACTTTGACAGTTCTACTTAATAATTCTCAACCTCTCATCACTTCACGGACCATTGCAATCCTCTCGATCCTGGGCAACCTTGAGCAAAGCGTCCCTGAAGCAGCCGAACTAGCCCTTCACTACTGGTATTCGTCCTTCCTACCTACAGGGAGCTCTGAATTAGTTATCGATCTGGTAGACACTGTGCTCCAGCAACTACCCCTTTTCCAAGATGGCATGTTCTCTGTGAAGCTCGGCAATAATGGGAAACTTTTGGGCTCTATCGGAGGGAAAATCCTGACCGCACTTGTAGGACAACAGATATCTAGGCGACATTGGGGCTTGGCGCAAGCTGGAGAGGAAAGGCGACGTGTGATGTACGTACGTCACATTTTTATGCAGAGAGCTGGCGTTGCTGACCGTGTCACAATAGGTATAATCAGGCCCGCGAGGAAGTGCATCAGAGATTCTACGCCAACATGGATCCCTCTCACAGGCTGGCCTTTGAATATTTTCGTCAAACAGGCATCGTGTTCCCTTTCGGAGGCTCAATAGCTGAATTCACAGAACCTAATTATTCCTTCTTCATGCCTGGGTGTCAAACCCCGGAGTGGCTGCAACATGACCAGGTTCAGCCCCTCGATAGTTGGGAGTAAGTTCTTGATTAGTTCGTGAGCCGGATGTATTCTAACTTTTATCAAGTCGACCAACTGTGGTAGAGGTGGGTAGGGCACATGGATGTCATGAATCGGATATCTTCGGCTGTCTCTACTTCTATCTCTCTGAAGAACTACGAGCTTTTGCAGAGCGGTTGCGCCGTTTCAAGATATCAATCTACATCACATCACAAACCACTAAAGATCTTGCGCCTAAAATCAAAGAAGGTGCCTTTGAATCACTGGGACTACAGCCAACTGTACAGTTCGACCGCATCGACTTTCATATCTGTGTTTTGGAGAACAGACTCACTACTCCAACGGAATTAATCTTGAACTGGGGCCCTCTTCTCAAGCGGGAGAATCCACATGCCACTATGCTGGGAGCTCTCATGGTCTGGGCAGACAACGAACCCAACGGGAAACTGTATGATGTCTCCGAAATTAGCGTTGCCAATGGACCATCCGCAGATGATTTCATTCGAGGAGTTGAAACTACTGCAGTGGTAGCTGAATTTTGGCGCAAAGGATGGGTGCGTCTGATATTATTCAGTCATAAAACGCACTTTCCGCTTTATCTGGCATCTAGATTCCAATGCCGGTTTCGGGAGCTTTAAATACACCAGCCATCTTTTCTCACGTACACGTTCTGCACGCCGTGTATGACAACTCGAAGGCTTTCGCAATGTATCTCGAAAGAAATGATATTCCTGCCATCGCAAAGCGCGCTGGCTTGAAGCTGAAAACTAAACATACCGTAGTTCCCCACGTTGAGTTCTTTGTTGGTCCTATGTCACACTCATGGAGCTAACTGATCTACTTCAGCGACCCATTGGTGTTCCATTAGATGCGCCGTTCAACGCCGTCCCAGAGTTCGCAAGCCGCGAAGATTTCTATTTGCAAGTCCAACTGACCAGCGGTATAACCGAGTTTACGGAGCGTTACATAGAGTTTGGGCCGGCGTGAATGAAGTATAATGTGCAAACATGCGCCAATGCAATTAGATGTGTGTATATCATGAACATGAACAATGATGACCTCCATCCTCTCCAATATGTGTAGACATAAACAACAACAAAAATGCAACTCAGGAAGAAATAGATAGGAATGAAAAACTAGAAAATAAAATGAGTCGCCACCTGGGCAACACAATACATATAACCTGAATCACCAATTCCAGTTGTCGTCATCGTCATCTAATAGCGATCTTTTCTCCTTCTCCTCAGATCCGCCTGAACCTTTGGCAGCGAAGACAACACTGGGCACCATAACCTCACCCAATCCCTTCCTACCGCTCTGTACGTCTGTATCTCCCTCAAGTTCGTCATCATCGAGGAGAGAGCCAGTACGTGATGTCGATAGAGCGGAAGGGGAAACCATGGGTGAAATTGGTGACAAAGTCGCTAAGAAGGGGTTTGAGGAGATGGAAATTGATGGAGTAGAAGAATGACGGGCGCTGCACGATCGTGATGCTGGAGCTGAATTTGGCGTTGAAGGCGTTGAAGGTGACGCCAATGCCGCAAATATGGATTGAGAGACATCGGATAGAAGTAGTGAGGCGCGTTTCTGTGACTTCAAGAACCTATTTGTCGATACAATATTAGCTAAAGTGTTTTTGTGTATTAAATGGAATAGAAGGAAGACATACGTTTCGCCTTTCTGAATTTCCTCCCACTTCTTGCCTACGCTACTCCCTACACTGCCGAACATGCTCAAAGAACTCACGCCTGAGACAGCTGGAGGTGGTAGGCCAACGTTAGTGCGTTTGACCGAAGCTTCTTTCTTGGAATCCAAAGTTGGTGAAGTGATTGGGGAAAGAGGCGATTTGGGCACCTCTCTTGAACGTCGACGGAGAAGCTTGGATGAAGGAAGCTCACTCGTGGGCGACAGGGATATGTTCGCCGTAACAGGGCTCATGACCCCACCCTGACGGTTAGTTTCGTCCTCATCGGAGTAGGATACTCCTTCATCTTCAATGCAAGATAGCGATGATTGTGACGACTGGGAAAGCCGTTGGACGGAGGAACCTGACTTTGATGTCGAAGATGTCTCTGCGGTCGAGACGGAGCTAATGCTTTGTGTGTTGAAATGACTAGCCCTTCTCAACGCAGGTGTCATCGAAGCACGAGAGACACCAGCGAAACCCGGCAAAACCTCTGATGTCGATGTAGAACTAAGCCCTCCCGCCAGGAACCTTCCAACCTCATGAACTCCCTCCTTGATGCCATCCAAAACGGCACCATTGCTTGAGCTCAAAAGCGGAGTCGGCAGTACGCTCGATGGAGCAGAGGACGCGGGTTTAGACGACTGAGATGTTGCAGAAGAAGGGGGAGTGCTATATGCACGGTCCATCCCCCTGCTCACAATCCGCTCCCATTTGCGCTTGAGCTGGTTTAGCTCTGCTTCATGGATGGCCAGTTGTGAGCGTAGTTCGAGACATTTGGCTTCCTTCTGAGCGATGAAACTTAGAAGGTCAGCGTGTCTGAGAGGATGAATTTGTGAGCACCAATGAGAACACTATGCGACTATAGAACGTACTTCTCGGTCAGAGTCAATGGCGGTCGTTCAACTGTAGTACCTCCGTTGAGATTCTCCAAACCTAAGCTTCTTCGATCACCTCTAACTCTCGACACGCTATTAACAGACTCCCCGCGTTTCACGCCAAGGGAGTTACTTCTTCTCACAGTAGCTGTAAAAGAGAAACTCGAAGAACTTGACGGAGAGCGCAAGTCAAGAACACGAGTATGGTCACTAGGGAAGTATGAAATAGACGATTGACGTCGAGGGTTCTGAGAAGCTGGTCTTCTAGACGATGTCGGTGTTGATGCTGCAGGAGAAAGGGGGGTAGGACAGCTTCCTCGAGGGGAATCAATTGCAGGAGGCGAGGTCAGCCTGGGCGATGGAACATTGCCATCTACAAGTTGAAGTGGTCGAGGAATGTTGGGTGTCGAGGAATTTGCGGACATGATGGTGTGAATATGATAGGTTTATCGTAAAGACAGACGTAGACAGAGCATTCGCAAATAGGTACGTTATAGAAACGAATGAGATGGTTGCCAGTGGCTACGGATGAAAAACGAGTGGGTGGTTCAGATTGAAGGTGAGAGATCACCGACTACGGATGTCTAGACTCTCATACTCAAACAGGTCATACATAAGGACGGAAATCTCTTCAAAAACAGTGTTTGCAAGTGGAGTATCTTGTTCTATGGATTGAATCGTTTTATAACATTGAGATATAAAGAGGCATGAGAGACTTGAAGGGTATTGCAACGTTGAATTATATGCAAGCGTTACGGTACCAAGCACAAGCATCGTAGGTCTACTAGTGTTTTGACTCCTTCTCTGCTTCCGCAATGAACTTCTTGATACTGTTCACCCTGGTTAGTTGTCGACAGTCCATTCTCAATGCAATAGAAAGTGCTGAGCACGTACAATTCCTCCTCTTCCCTGCAATGGTATAAATTAGTACTGACACGCTCGAGTGAATAAAGTCATATCGACGCACTTCGAGCTAGCATTGATCGGAACAGTCTCCTTCACCTGCTCCAACACAGGCTTTCCTGCGCCAGCAGCCGGAATGTGGGTCTCCTTCTTGCCACCGGATGCGGCCAACACAACTCCGACTGTCGTCAGAAGAGTACCCAGAGCGAGGTACTCATTTTTTATGGCACGTCCAAAGATTTGGCTATAGTGGAGTTCATTAGGCATCTTCATAATACGAATAAGCTAGACATACTAAGACATAGCAAGAAGAATTGACGATGCAGAGAACAAGTGCAGTTGGTTGTCTGAAGCGGGTCTCCGGCTAATCCCGTCAAGCGTTGGCAGAGGCCCGGGAAATTCCGTATTGACATTTCGCCTTGAACCAGACGTCCTGAATCACTTAAAGTCGCTCTAAAAATGCATGCATTCACCGAAATGACTCAGATGTACTGTATATACAATGCAGAATTGCTTTTAGCTCGCAAAAAAAAGAAAATTTGTCCCGCTTCAAAGCCTTCTTCTTTCTCCTTGACCCCATCAATCATTCCTACAATACCGGTAGTTCCACATCTATAAATTGATTTTTTTCCCTAGGATATCGCTTTACAAGGCTAGTCCCTGAAGCAATGTCTCCCTGTGTGTAAGTAGTTAGAAGCGGAAAACTGAATTGGTACGAACTACGACACTTACCATATAGGGTTAGCCCAATCATGTAGCTCAAAATGGTTGTCGACTCGGAAGGTACGCCCGCCACTCTATCGCTGCGACGAAGCTCAGCGCATGGTATGTTGCCGCACGCAGAACATGTCGGAACATCGTCCGTCCATTGGACAGACGGGAGTACTCATCTTATGGTACAAACGACTCAGGCCATAATCTCAACATCTTGGTAGTAATCCCCGTTTAGGCATGGCCATACTCGAACATTTACTGGTTACTACTGACTGCGACCTGAGCAGATACAGGTTACGGCGGTTTGCCACCATCATGGTCGATGGAGCGTTTCCATGGCGAAGTAACGGCCACCTAAAATTGAATTGATCATTGGACATTCAAGAAAAACATATCGAAACGGGTGAGTCGACGATCTCCATTTCAACGACCGACAAGTATTGCCTTCGCTTTCCCATAAAATTATCTAGATGAACTCTTATTTCGAGACATCTATTGCACATATCAACCTCGATGAATTCACCAACTATGTAGACTATCTCCTGTGCATTGAGGTACTTAGCCCCTCCTCTCTTTGGCTGAGGAGTGACACCAGCAGTTGTAACGATCCAAAGGATATTGGGAGGAATATCCCAGTGAACGCCGAACTACGCCGTCGAAACGGGGGTCGGGCTACTTGTTCTCACTCAGCCTTCTCTCACGCCGACGCATTCCAAAGGGTAAATTCGCCGTTGTGTCAGAAAATGGTGAGTCATGGACTCACTTCGACGGGGTAAAGGAGACTTAATCTCCAGGTATATCATACTGCGGACCTGATTCAAGGCACAAACTCAAACTTGCCGACTTTAGATGGGGCTATACCCCGCATTTCCAACCGAACAACTGCTGTAGACGGTCATGATTTATCATATAACAGTTGTCCATACTGAACCGCGAAGGCCTGATTCTGAACATAAAGAGCGCTCCTTCTCGCGCCTCAAGCGCGAGTCAATACGACACGATCACGTGTGGATGACCTGTGTTACCCGAGATTTCCGCGTGCTGGTGAGAACAAGCAGGGTTCGTTTCCTCCCATTCTATCGGTATCCGCGAAGAATACTATGCAAAGGATTCTCACTCCAAATATTTGGTGCGACTATCGAAATAAGCCTGGCATTGCTTGTGAAAGGTTCTCAACGCTAATTACCATGGTACAACACAGACTCAGGATTCCACGTCATTGGTAGCTACCTGCTCTATCACGGCCAAACGCAGCCGTTTTTGGCATTTTCGGGCTCGACGCTTGTTTATCATTCCAGGCCCGCTGTTACGCTGATCATCCTTCTTTCTTGGTTCGCACGTCTTCCTGAATGGACCTTTCGTCCCTCTCACAGGTATCTCCTTGTTCTCTCCCGACGTTTCATTACCAATGGGACGCCGAGACGGAAACCCACGACATCGACATCGGAACGCTCTCTCTGCGCCATATTGGTGCCTTTGGCGACTTCACGTCAGTGTGATCAAGCTTGAATGGTAGAGGAGACCTTTCCAGCCCGACCTGGCACTCCAAGGAGGCAGCAATTCCGGCGCTCCATCATTTCTGACGTCTACACCGCTCCGTTCTGACTCGGAACTGTATTTGTTTCTTCGACAACTGTTCCTGATTGTCGGTTATCTAAAGAGCACCATTCGTGAGATTGCCCTCGGAGCGGAACATTTCTGTCAAGTACGGCTTGTCTCTCTCAGCAACGTGAATATTGACTAATGTGGAGTGAGTGTCATAATATGTACATGGTCGCTTCCAATTGACTTTCAGGAACAAGATTCACACAGTCGCTTGAGCCGGTAAGTTGTCGAAGTTTCACTCAGCTCCCACATTACAAAACTGACAAACCTTTGTCGGTTAACGCTGCTTGCCCCATTGATCGTTACAAAACAGGTCTACTTGTGGTATCGATGTGTCTGGGAAAAAGAGAGTTAGGGTGCAACCGTCCTCTGCTTCAACATGGTTGCATTATTCGATCCGCTTGAATGTTGGGCGACGTAGCAAGTCAACGCTGAGATGTCTCCTGGCAGTATGTTGGAAGACATCTAGACCTGTAATAGGGCTGATACGACCGCTCTTCTATGAGTCAATACTTTGGGAACCAAACCCATGGTAGGTCACTACAGGTCTTCGGATCACCATCTGGTCAGCACCGCCGGGCATTGTTCTTCGCACACACAGAGAGAGACGAAACCCAGGATATCCAGGAACAGAACAGCCCCAGTTCCACGGGCAAGGGTCACACACTGGTTTGTTGCCCCCCCCGGCACGAAATAGCAATATGCTCTCTGGGAGAGTGCGCAATTTGCATTGGGAAATCCTCGTCTTTACTCAAACAAACTCGACATGATTGGTTGCATGAAGCGTTTGGCATTTATCCAATGATTGTCTACGCCTTAGAGCTTCTCCACCTTTGATCGTAACCGTATCAGGAAGAATTGAGATGTCGAAGAGTATAAAGAGTAGTGAGGTTGACTGGAGAAAGGCAGGACGCCTCAGCAGTCTCTTCACTCCCATACAGACTTAATCGCGCTTCTCTGACAATGGCTTCCAAGATTCTTGCCACACTTCTTGCTCTTGCAGCTGTCTCCAACGGTGAGCCATCTGCCTAGTCACTATACGACATGCATACTCAACAACCTCCTCAGCCGCTCTCGTCCGCAAAGCCACTTGCTCGGATGGTCGTACCACAGCGAACGCGGCTTGCTGTGTCTTGTTCCCCATCCTCGATGATATTCAAGAGGTTCTCTTCGACGGTGGCGAATGTGGTGAGGAAGTACATGAGTCTCTCCGCCTCACTTTCCACGACGCCATTGGTTTCTCGCCTGCTCTCACCAAGCAGGGCAAGTTCGGCGGTGGAGGAGCTGACGGTTCCATCATCACGTTCGACACTATCGAAACACCTTTCCATGCCAACGGCGGTATTGACGACATCGTCGACGCTCAGAAACCATTTGTCGCTAAGCACAACATTTCAGCTGGTGACTTGTAAGTGTTTTGTGTCGCTGTGTGCCATGATACTCAATTTTTATTTGTAACAGCATTCAATTCGCCGGCGCTGTAGGTGTCAGCAACTGCCCTGGCGCGCCAAGACTTCAATTCCTCTTTGGTGAGTAATGTATGCAGGATTCCAAAGTATACAGCAGGTAACTGATGTGTCACCAGGTCGTCCTGCCGCTAAGCAAGCCTCTCCCGACTTGCTCATCCCCGAGCCTTTCGATACCGTTACCAAGATCCTTGCTCGCTTCGGTGATGCTGGCTTTAGCCCCGCCGAAGTCGTTGCTCTTCTTGCTTCGTAAGTGTCCGCCCCTCATTATACATTCGGTAAGGAATCTTATGGCTATCCTCAGTCACTCCGTCGCTGCAGCCGACCACGTGGATGCAACCATCCCCGGAACCCCCTTCGACTCCACCCCTGGTATCTTTGACTCTCAATTCTTTATCGAGACTCAGCTTCGTGGCACTCTCTTCCCCGGCACGGGTGGCAACCAGGGTGAAGTCGAGTCTCCTCTTCGGGGTGAAATTCGTCTCCAGTCCGACTCTGATCTCGCTCGCGACTCCCGCACTTCTTGCGAGTGGCAGTCCTTCGTCAGTGAGTAAACATTTCTAACAGATACAACAAGAACTGTTCTGATATGTATCGTCCTCAACAGACAACCAATCAAAGCTCCAAAATGCCTTCAAGGCCGCAATGGCTAAGCTTGCCGTCCTTGGCCAAGACACTTCGAAGTTGGTTGACTGTTCCGATGTCATTCCTGTCCCCAAGCCCCTTGTTGGCACCCCTCACCTTCCCGCTGGTCTGACCCACAACGACATCGAACAGGCTTGCGCTACAGCAGCCTTCCCCACCCTCCCAACTGACCCTGGCCCGGTCACTTCCGTTCCTCCCGTGTAAGTCCAGCGTTCTCCGTATAGGATTATAGACTGACTATGTGTCTCACAGCCCGTCTTCGTAACCGAGCTACCTTAGCTTCTAACCATAGATTCTTAGTTTCTGGTTTCTAGCGTATGTATAAGACTGCAGGCAAAATCATAATACGGATTGCATCGTACTACTGAGAGCAAATATGAAAACAGCAAAGCATTGAACAAGATATAGCGAGTACGTGGGTATGAGACGGTGTCCAAGAGATATAGTCGATTTAGTTAAGGTTTGCACCTCAGCTTAGAGAGGCCACCAAGTTCCGAACCCATGGATTAGCCTCGATGCGTGGCTGATACTTACTGAAACAGTTCTTTAATGCCTCCAGTTGGGCTTCTGGATTGTCTTCCTCCAAGTCACCGTCCGCCATGATGACATCCTCCCCATCTTGCGATAGCTGCGACGACCATGCTTTCAAAACCTCTTCAACAAGTCGTGTGCCTTCTTCGATCACTTCTGGTGGGAACTGAGATTCATCTTCACCCGAATCTATAGATATTGTGATCGTTTAGTTGATGCTAGATATGACGATCTGGCATGTAACGCCTACCGGTGTTGAAGTCTTCTAGCTCGTCGGCCTTTCGCCTCGCCAGCTAGACCCAATGGTCAACAATGGAATGCCCAAGTACAAGCGGAACAAACGTACCTTCACAACATTCCCTGGGAAGTTCGCAAGCTCTGCAACATGTATACCAAAGCTCTGGTCGCAAACACCTAGCCGGAAATTCGCGATGAGATCTCAAGGGCGTGATAGAGAAACATCTATAAAGGACTCACCGGGTTCGACTTTGTATAGGAGAGTAATTTCTCTTTCTTTCCGAGCATCTTCTGATGAGGACACGTGTGCAACGACGTGAAGGTTCTTTACGTGTGATATCTGTTGGTCTAGTGCCGTCAACTCGTGGAAGTGAGTTGCGAAGAGGCAGAAGGCGTGAATCTCTGAAGCTATGTGCCTATAATGAAAGTGAACATGAGATCGGATCAGAGGCGAATGCTCAGATACACACTCTGAAATTGCCCAGGCGATACCGAAACCATCATACGTGGATGTTCCTACGCAAAGATAATCAGAATACTTCGCTAGTCAGGAAGTCGCAAGATTATACCTCGCCCGAGCTCGTCGATGATAACCAAGGAATCTTTTGTCGCACTCTGCAACAACCGAGAAACTCAGACACGACTGTTTCTAGTAGACATCAACAATACGCACCTTTAAAATGCTAGCTGTTTCCAACATCTCCGCCATGAAAGTTGAGACGCCTCGAAGCTGGCTGTCTCCTGCCCCCACACGGCAAAGCACGGAATCGAAGATGGGGAGACGAGCCTCAGAGCAAGGCACATAGCTTCCGGTTTGTGCGAGGAGTGCTATCACGCCGACCTATTTCAAAGCGTCCGAAACGTAAGTCACAACGTCTCTTTTTGTCTCAATAATCGGAAGCATACCTGGCGAATATAGGTACTTTTACCACCCATGTTTGGACCAGCTGGACAAAGGTTTGAGTGAATTTAACGAGCAAGGATGAGGGAAGGCGTACTGATGATCTGGAACTCGCTTTCATTCTTTATCATCTCAACGTCGTTCGGGATAAAGCTGATGTCATCTTGAACCTCCAAACATGGATGCCGAGCATCTTTAAGCACTAGACTCCCGGAACCTACCAGAATTTAGCTCATCAGCCTATAAGGGTTTAGGTGTAAAGAAAATACGTACTTTTCTCTAGTACCGTAGGCTTAACATACGCCTCAGGGGCGTTGACTGCTATATGGGCGAAGCTACAGTCTTTCGTTAGTTCTGCTTGAGGTCTAGATGGAGGTTCATACCTAGTGATGACGTCTAAATGAGCCAAAAGACCGTTCCATTCTTCGAGAACTGGTGAATAGGTTGCTAGAAATTGCCGTTGTAAATAAAATATGTGTATCACAAGGGGATGATTTGGCATACCAGCGATCTGGACGACATGTCCGACGAGTTCACGTTGAGTTTTCGAGTAAGCCTCGGTAGTCTCCTGATAATCTGTTGAGAGCTCCTTGAGCATCTTCGTCGTGAAGTAGGCTCCGTTTTTCAAAGTTCCGAGCTCAATGTACTTCGACCCGGACACAGCTTTCCAATCCTGCGTCAGGCAAGAACATGTAAGTGGTAGGTGAGCTTGGCGGACAAAGACAATTTACGTTTTTCGACACTCGGAAACAGTATCCATACGTAGGCGAGTTCTCGAGATGCAACTTCTTATCCAATTCCAGATCGAGGTCTCGGCCTGCCTTCCTATGTTCGTCATCTAATCCATCTCGTGCCTCCTTCAACTTTTCCGCGAGCTCTTGCAATTTCTCATCATATTCCGGCTTGATGACAAAACGATGGTTCTGGAGTTCATCCAGATCCAGAGTCTGCTGTACCATCTCGGCATACTTGGCTAGATTGTTGTCAAATTCCTGGAATAACAGGCTCAGTATGACAATTATAACATATGAACAACATGACCATACGCGAAGCTTGACGAGGTATTGCTCTTCGATGAGGTCCTTATATTCCTGGGTTGTATCGATTCCTTCCAATGTTGATATGAGGCCTTCCAACTGAAGAATGCCGATGAATACATGTAAACCCAGATCTGTATGCTGACTGACCTTGAGAATAGCCTGGTACACACGAACAACATCTTCCAGTGAAGCGATCGACCTCTGGAATCGCTTGCAAATGCGATTCATATCTGGCATCATCTTAAGACACTCATCCTATCACAGGGAATATATGTCATGATTCTTGATATGGTCAAAGAGTAGCATACCTGGAGAGTTCGGCGAGCATTGGCGTCTTCGACAAAGATCTCTACGAGATTCTGGCGTTTTCCTATAGCCAGGTGCGTTCAGATCTATTTCGGTAACAAGCTAGTGACCACGTACGAATAGCGTGCAGGTTGACCAAAGGTTGCTTCAACCAACTACCTAGCAACCTCGATCCCTGGGCCGTCTTGCATTTGTTAAGCAGCCCAAAAAGTGTCGTATTCTTGTTAGATCCCTATGAAGAACGTGCGTAAACATAAGCGATAAGTTAGAAGATTGTTCTTGAGACATACGACAGTTCCAGGACCATCAATGAGGTTAAGAGCTCTAAGTGCACTTGCGTCCAGACGCATATATTGAGTTAGATCATGCGTTCGAATTGTGAAAGCCCCGCGATTCGACGGATCAGACAGCAGCGAGAGATAACAGATGAGGGCGGCAAGAGCGGAAGGTGCTACAGGAAGACTCAGTTGTGCTGTACGCAACGAGGTCAGAACGTAATGTGAGAAAGGTATGGTCTGAATGCATACGGATAGTTTTGACGGCGTCTACAGCAGACGAGGAAGACGGTATTGAACTAGCATTTAGAAGTTGTACCAGATCATCCTGTATGCTCTTGGAGTTGAATTCACCTATGGCGAGAAGCACGCGTCAAAATGGCAGCGATGGCATACAACCTCAAGATTGCTTACTTGGCTTGCGTTCTGTGATGACAACCCCACAACGCTCCAAGACGTCTTTCAGTTTCTTGAGTTCGTGGTCACGGTCGGTGGTACCTGAAGCCGTTCCAGTAGGGATAATGGCCTCTTTCACACCGAGTTGGATGATAAGAGTCTGTGAAAGTTATAACTTAGCAAGATACCATTGCTTATCTCAGCTTCAGGAGCTTACCTCTGTGTTGGAGAACAGGTCATTATCCGGGAAGTCTGCTACACCTAACTCTCGGACACTGGTATCTGCGAAGGCGATGCCAACTGTCTTTGTCTTGGCTTTGGCGGGTAGGCCAGAAATACCAGCTGCAGAGGCAATCTTGATTGACATAACAATGGGTGCCGAAGTGATATCGGAGTTTACAAAGAGCATGTCTTCTACAGCTTGCAAGTTTCCAGGGGATGCCTGTCAACAATTCATTTGGCACTCTCTTGATTTTCCATCAGGAAATATACGTACTTCTTTGTCCAAACGAAATTTGGTCGCTCTCTTGCCCTGACCCGCTTCAGGGACCCATATCTCTACCTTCAACTGTTTCGCTGTGAGAGCGTCTCGAAGGAACGTCTTCGCATTATTACTGCTAAGGGTCACGCTTGGGAGTCCGCCACGTCCACCAGGTCCCAGATATTTGATCACGGTATTGGTGCGATAGACGTGTGTTGCGACATAGAGCGCATCAGGTCCATGGACTGAATAGTACTCATTTCTATCAAAGAGTCGAATGGTGCCAGTTTCAGGGGATTTAGGAGGTAGCTTTGCAAAGAAACTGCAGAAGCCGGGATGTGATGCGTTATCTACGGCTCATTAGCGAGACAAACTTATATGTTCATCTTGGGGCTTCATACCAATTTCGTAGTCGGCATCTTTCTCCTTGCCATACATCAAAGCCATTATGAAAGATTCCTACTGGGCCGCTTGGATAGTCACGATTTACGAGGCACGGATTGTTAACAACGCGTAGACTTCTTGAACAGGTTTCAAATCCAGAATATGAAAGATAACAAGAGCAAGCTGTTTCCAGAGCGTGGATATGGAGGGTATGTCACTATAACTATGTTAGAGCGCGGTTGGTGAACGCGTCCTGAAATTCCACGATCGTATTTAGAGACGCGTCAAAGACGTGTCTCGATCATCCATTCATACTCCGACCCATCTCCGCCTCAAGCATTTTCGGTCCAAACGGGGACGAGTTTCGTGTGGTCGAGCCCGGTTGAACTTGTTCCTCATCTCATTGCAAGTCTTTGTATCTCCAATATTTATGTCTGCTTCTGACAGAATACTTAATTGAGCTCAGCAAGACCACATATCTATCGCTGCCATTGCCCATCAAGCTTCCAACGGACCTGCATTGCCAGCTGGATCGATTGCTATCGTTGTAGCTTGTTCTACAGGTCCATTTCCGTTCGCAAGCAACTTTTATCAGCACTCTTGTGTACAGACGCAGCGGCCTATTCTCACCGCAGCCTCTGAAGTGGATTACTAGTGCAAGAGCAATATTTTTCCTTATTACTTCAATACCTCATAATCATGGTGTCGAAGTTTGTCACGGAATTAACATCATTCTCTCATATTTAATTAGGTTCTAGCTAATAATATTCTAGTGGTTATACTATCCCTCACATACTCTATACATCTGAGTAGCCTCCAATGCTCCACGCTTGATAAACTGGTCAGTGGCTGGATGATGACGAACCGTACGTGACAAGGTTGTGACCGGCGTTCAAGTAGTCCGAAGCTTTGGGGACGATTGAACTTGGTGCGTATCCAAAATGGTGTCGCTTCTGTGCCTACGATGGTGTGGACGCCTAACTTATACATCGGTTTCCATATAATCATCAAAGCTGACAGTGTTGAGTTTCATGAAAGCCATGAGCTGACGACATTGTTCTTCCTGCAGAGCCGGAATTTATTACAATATCGACGACACAATTCAATCATGGCCTGTACACTTTTGCTCTGGAACATGAGATCCGTGATCTAGCCGTTCGGAGTTGGGAGTGACCCTGTTCAACAAGAGTCACAGACCGAGGATCCAACAGTCAACCAACGGTTGTTATGATGATTAATCCGTCTTTCGGACGTTGTGTTGAATGCCGCAGCATCTCAGCGGAATGCCGTCTTCGTTCTCCCAATGGGACTCAAATTTAAACATTCAGAACTTACTCGATGCCAGTGCTCACCTTTCGTCGGGCCTGAACAAATAGAATAATGGCAATCTGATCTGACAGCACCAAGCAATGTGAAATTTGAGTACTACTGCATAATCTGACACCTTACACCAGCTAGTTTGACCTGCCACATCAGACGTAGAGTAGAGAGGTGTCAAGTCAGACTTCTTGACCAGTCACGGAGGCGACAGACGGGCAGCAACCCGACGAGTAAATTCGAAAATACGCGGTCACGTGGAATCGATCGGACACGCGTTTTCAGCCTCGCGGCGACATTTGAGTGAGTTGGCCTCCATGCTGTATCCGTCACTCTGCGGCCTGTAGAATCAATTCTTTCACGACATCCTCCACGACCTTTCATGTTTGCAACGCTCTAATACCTTAGAACTCCCAGTCACCGTCTTGATACCCTCCAATGACTTCTTTGATATTTTCAGGATGGCTCATTCTTTTAATGGTCGCCTTTTCTGTCACCATCAGTGATGTGGATGATGGAAAACGAAAGGTTCTCGTGCCTACGGAGTCCGACTTTATACCAAGGCACTCTTCAAAGGTTGGTTGTGGTAGCGTCTGGCAGTAAACGTCACTGAACAGACACCTCTGAACAGAAGAGACGTCGGCTGACAACATCTACCGCAGCTATTATGTCCCGAAGGCTTCCGCAAGAGTTAATTGACGAGATAGTAGACTATCTTCAATATGACAAACGCTCACTCAAGTCTTGTGCACTCGCCGGTAGGATATTCCTACCTCGCTGCCGCAAGCATCTTTTTCGTTCCCTCCTGGTGAGGAAATATGGCCCTGATCCGTACAAGTTACGGTTTTACACTCACGTTTCGAGCAACATACGTGAGCTCACTATCCAAGGAAACCTCTGTTCCGAAGTGGCATATTGCTCTCGATTCATTGATTACGGTCTGATCGAGTCATTGCACCTCGAAGGCAGCAAGTATGACTGGACGGACATTCAATGGACGATCTCTCCAGGTCAACTACCACACTTCGCGGCGCTCAGAGATCTCAGCCTCTATCGAGTCTATTTCCCTTCGTTTGCAGACATGAAGTCTACTCTTTCGTCGCTCAGGAAACTCAATACTCTTTCCATGGATTTTGAAGACTGGAGATATTCCGTCATTACAACAACCAACATAGATGCCTGCATCTTTCCCTTATCCGTTCATAAGCTTCATATGCGTCTGAACATGGTCACACTACCAGGTCTCGTGCCGCAAATCTTATTACACTCTGCGGGTGACTCACTTCGTCATCTATCCCTGGATATCATGTCGACAGCGAAACCTGCTCGTGAGTACTCTTCTGATTGGTTCCAACTATTCTACTGACATTGTTCTTTCCAGTGGAGATAATGAACCATTTGGACTGCTCTCGCAACACTTCCCTCGAATTCCTCACATTTCATTTTACATGGCATATCCAACGCCCACCATGGATCACCTGGCGGGACGACCAACCCCTCATGAGCATCCTCCTCTCCCGTATTCATTCCTCCCAATTGCATTCGATAACCTTCCACATCAACTTCATGCACACGGAAGTCCTGAATCCACGCTGGTTGCGTGTTCTGGACCTCAGTTTCCTGGACCGGCTCGCAGAACCCGGGAAGTGCTATCCGGGTGCTCTTTCGCGAGAGCAGTTGAAAAGAGCCGAGACTGCGACGAAGAATTTGAGGAATGTCAAGCTGGTGCTTGACTTCCCGAGAGCACTGGGTTCGCATACGTTTGCGCTCGTTTGCAAGATACTGCAAGCACAGTTACCTACGCTAGCTTCCAAAGGACTTCTGAACATTACGGAGGCGGCGACAGCAGCGTCATAGACGATTCATAAAATATCCTCCAAGTTGACAATGACCACAATGCATTGGGTTGTAACATTATGTCCCACACATTTGTAACTGTATTCGCTGTCATTCTCGTTATGCATTATTACAGCATTCAAAAAATCATTCAGCTAAAAATTCTTGTCCCTCATACCCCAATTTCCTTCACGATGCGCTCCGTAGTCTCCCACAGTTCCTTTGCCAAATTCGCATTTGTTGCCTGCTGAGAGGGAGGCTTCCCGATCCTTGCTTTCGGTGTCAAGTACGCCGCTTTGTACTTCTCAGGCTCGGCTCTGACTACGGGCGCCCCGGCGGCAAAGACGGAGGCGTACGATCCTCTATCAGGGGGAATGAAGAAAAACCTACCGAAGGTTCCGAATATGAAGCGCACGATGGAAGGGGTACGGGCGATCCAAGCTTGATTACCACCTGCAATGAAATTTATGATAGACGAAAGGAAAAATTGTAAGAATCCAGTGTGAAGCAGCGAAATACGGTTGAGCCTACCAGTGTCAACGCTACCAGGATGAAGCGAAAGAGCGATTATAGGTATGCCTTCAGCATCGAAGCGTCTCTGAAGTTCATTGGTAAACAGCATGTTGGCTAGTTTGGTCCTTGCTACGTATGATCAAGGTAGAATCGTTAATCATCGATGACCGAAGCACGAAAGAAATATATACCATATCGAGACGCGGCGGGGAACAATGAACTCGCATGCTCATCGTTGAAATCTTCTCGATTACGAAAACGAATACCACCCTTCGCCTGTAGTTCTGAAGAGACCTATGGCATATCCGGGCATTCAGATCCTGCCTGAAAGAATGGACGGAGGAGACATACGTTGACGATGCGAACATCTGAGCCGGATTGTTTTGCCGTCTCTCGCATGAGCGGAAGAAGGGACATGGTCAAAACGAAAGGGCTAACATGACTGATAAGTTAACTATCAGAAAACATCCTATAATCATGATCGACAATCGACATTCGTACTTTACCATCATGATATCCGAAATCCCTAAGTATACCCATGTCAGTCGACGGTGAAGCATGGTGCCGCAGTGACATACCATCGCGCGTTACGCTATACGGAGTGACTAAACTATCAGGGTTATTGCATGTTCGCTTCAGCATCCTGTGAGATCTATGATAAAAGATGACTTACAGAGCCGCATTGTTGACTAAAATGCGAAAAGCATGAGTATATAGAGGTACAGAAGACGACCACTGTCTGTACCCAAAACATCTAGACGCTTCTCCTTAGCTATGAAGTCTTCAGCAGCTTTCTTCGCATTGCGGGGATCGCTAAGGTCAAGCTTGAGCCAAACGACTTCGCCATTCCCAGGGCTCAGCCCTTCTTTGTGCAGCTGGTTTATCGCGGCTTTCGCTTTCTCTTCATTCCGAGCAGCCATGTACACTTTCGCACCATGTCTAGCCAGATGCTGAACAGTTGAATACCCGATTCCAGTACTGTGAAATGGCACTCAGCATGTTTCCAAGGTACCATGGAATCGAAGATAAGACTCACTTGCCACCTGTAACTATGATGACTCTGCGGGAGAGATCGCTCAAATCCCTGTTAGGGTTGAAGCTTCTTGAGAAATATCCACCCATGATATATGAAGAAGCAGATATTAAAGGACGAATGACACGAAGTTGACGCTGGTGCCATATGAACTATCTGAACTTTTATATGGTCGCGCGCTGCCAAATAACCTTACATGCTGTAGCTAGCGTCACTATCGCTTTGTTGATGCCGCATGACTCGGAGAATGTTACAGCTGCGTGTGTATTTGATTTCCTCCTAAAGTGGCCTGTCATTAAGTGATGACTGTCTTGCAAATAAAGCATAGGATCGAGCTTGCCTGTCGTTTCACGAAGAGCTGCGAAGTGATCAAGGAAATAAGCTTGGGAAAAGACGGCGCAAATCGACCATTTACGGACCTATGCCCAGGTATGTAGCTGCACCAAGAACTTATCAAATCCAATTGAAGGTCTAATCACCACACATCATGTCATATGTTCGCCCTGGAATGGATCTGCGCATATCTTTGACGCGCTGCGGATAGTACTCGGCGCCGCTAACTTTACCTGACAAGAACTCAGAACTCAGAATTAAGCATGCACAGAACTCGTACCAAGGTCAGGCTTCCCCACCTTGATGGCAGTTCGCAGCACATGCTGCGTACAGATACGATTCTGCTGTAGGTTTATTCCACCTTAAGGGAGATAGTCGAGATGGCAGCGGTGAGCTTGGCCTGAGCCAACCACTGCAAGTGTAGCCGTGCTGTAAAGGTTTATGATCACGCATTCCTTGGATCTAGGCCCCGCGAGTGGAAGCCTTTGCCTTTTGTAGCAATATAATAACATATTAGCAGTTTTGAAGAAAACATTGCAGATATTAAACGATTAGTTACAGGTAAATTTTGAGAGGTCATGGTCGAAGTGGGTTGGTTGAAAAGAGCAGGTATGATCGCAATACATTTATCTTGCACACATCCTGCGTATTGTGTGCCTCGGAGCGATTCAATCAAAGATAGACGGTATTTGGGTTCAGTCAAGCACGGAAAGCGGTCTTCCAAGTGGCAAGAGAAGTGTACGAGGAAGCGAAATGCTGGCAAAGAAGGGGCAGAAGACCTACATGAAGCGCGAAGACGTTTGAAGGCAATGTCGGTTGATTTAGGGAGAGCTGTCTGACATCTACAGTCCTCGACGATGAGATCGAAAATGATGATAGTACGTCTTGTTTGTTTTCTCGCCATCCATTAGGAAACAACTGGGTCGCAGTAAGGGGCGCCGCCCGGCGACGCACGCTTACCATTCTTGACTGCAGCACATGACTGCGTGGCATGAGCGGAAGGGAGTTGCTGAGCGAAAAGTCGCCGAATGCGAGCTACTGACACTCTCAGCGCCAGAATGCGAGATGAGCATCAATTGGGCGCAAAGCAGGCAGCTGATGTTGTCACCTGGGTGCGAATGAAAGAGCGGTGCGCTGGAACGGAGGTGGAAATGGAGGCGAACCGCGTCAAAGTGCGAAGCATGCCTAACAAGAGCATCTGTCGTGGCACAATGTTAAGGTGTATATCGCGAAGCCGGGTATACTGAGTAAAGATCCATAATAGTAAACACATGCCGATTCGAAATCTCAAACGTCAATCTCCTTCAAGAGACTCTCCGTTGTCTCCCAAAGTTCCTTCGCCAACTCCGTATTGTTCGCATCTGGCGTTCCACTGTTGATAGTCGCCTTCTCCGTCAGATACACTCCCTTGTACTTCTCAGGTTCAGCTCTAACAACAGGTGCGGCGGCGGCGAAAGCGGAGGAAGTAGCACCTTTACTAGGAGCAACAAAAAACAGTGCAGTAACGGCCTTAAAGAGAGGCCTCAACAGAGCGGAAGAACGTTTGATGAAGGCTTGATTCCCATCCGTGTCGACACCTCCTGGGTGAAGCGAAAGAACGATGATAGGAACACCTTCTTCGTCTAGACGACGTTGGAGTTCTTTGGTGAACAAAACGTTGGCCAACTTCGAACGTCCTACAAGAACGTGTCAAAGAAAACTACGTGGGCATAGAAGTAATACCCACCGTAACGAGCCATGGCAGGGATCAAAGCCTTCGCGTGCTCATCGTTGAAGTCTTCCTTATTGGCAAAATGAACACTCTTAAGCATCTTGATTGCATCAGAAGAGACCTGCAAGCTCTATAAGATTCCGAAGAAAGTATGTCAGAAATAGAGGGTGCATACGTTAACAATGCGAACATCGGTTCCCGGGAGTTTCGCTGTCTCCTTCAAGAGAGGCAGGAGGGTAATGGTAAACACAAACGGACTGAGATGACTAGTGGGACAGACACGTGAGTACCAGTAGGTGTAACAATTTCAAAATGATTGTACTTCACGACCATAACATCCTGAATGTCTTTTGAAGCTATCAGCTGCCGCATAAATCACGAAGAAGAATGACACCAACCATAAAGAGACTTCGCATAAGGTGTTAATAACCTAAGGTCCAATGGTCAGCAAGAACGACACTTCCCAAATTCCAATTTCACTCACATGGCAGCGTTGTTGATCAACACATCTAACCTCTTCTCCTTGTTCAGGAAATGCTCAGCACTCTTCTTTGCTTTCTTTGGGTCACTCAGATCTAGCTCAAGCCAAATGACTTCACCATTTTCAGGTGCCAAGCCCTCCTTCTTCAACCTCTCGATTGCAGCTTTAGCTTTCTCCTCGCTGCGAGCCGCTAAGTAGACTTTAGCTCCATGGCGTGCGAGGTGTTGAACAGTAGCGTAACCGATACCGGCACTATGAAAAGCGAGGAGGAGAAGGAAAGGAAGAGAAAGTGAGTTTAGAGTCTGTGACACAACCGTGCCAAGCACAACAGGGTCGATCGTAAGATCATGCATCATCGTACTTACTTTCCCCCCGTCACGATGATCACTTTCCCCGACAGGTCTGAGATATCCTTCGTAGGGTCGAATCCTTTGGAGAACAAGCCACCCATTGTCAATGAATTACAGCCTTCGTTATGAAGAGAGAGTGCGTGCAGGAGGAGTCGAATTCAAACAACATCCCCGGCTTTTCTATCGTTCCCATGGTGGCCACTTCCATATCCGCGGTATATCCACGGTAATATACGTAATACACACACAAGCTGCGCTCTGTGCACTGGCCTATGGAGGGAACCGATTGTCTGCCGAGAGTACGTTTACTGGAGGCTGGAAGCGAGCCGGTCGCTCCAATGTATGTCACAGATGATCCGTGAATCAGGCCTTGTGAATCAGGATGCAAGTTCATTTCTGTTACTGAGGTCCATTCGGCACCACTAGCGGTGAATTAGAGTCCAGGATAACTTAACAGTAAGCGAATTTGGCTCGAGAAACATGTGGAAAGTGAGCTAATAGATCATTCAGGCTTGAACTATTCGCTATGCTTACTAAAGTCACTGTCTTACTGAGATCGCACTCTCATTGGTTCTAATGCCCAAACTTGAATTCATCAGTGTTCTCCACAATGCCAGACAGTAGATCGATTCGCTTTTAGGCCTTTCCGCAGAGTGTCGCTGGCTTGAATCATAGCTTAAACCCATCTGGCTCGCATTAATCAATTTTGCATCTGTTCATGAATAGCATTCATTATAATATGCAGGATCCAATCGCCCCGAATCGGAAGGAAACTCCAATTCAAGGACACGCTTTTGTCTCTTCAATGTACGTGACCGCTTCCATATCCTATGTTCAATGCGTTCCTTACTGACACTCTGTTTCTCTAGATGGCAAATGGTGGAAGTGGGAGATGTGGATGATATCTCAAAAGACTGCGTGGGACGACAGTACATATACCGACAGTGGGTGTGCCAACAACACACAAGGCATAGGCAAGCAATAATCTAGATGAAGCTGCGAGCAGGTAACGCCCTACCTAAGGATGGGTAGCCGTGTGTCACATTGACGAAGGAACTGTCGACGAGAAATTAGAGGACACTGCTAGTGGCGTGTGACGACATCACTCTGCTCGCACAGGCAGAGCCATGTTATCCCCATGGGCTTAACACCGTCCTCCCCGCTCATGCAGGGAGTAATTGTCATACTGCTTCAGCAGACTAGCCTGGTAGAATGGATGGAAGTTACACAGTGATCGGGAAGCCGGATGCGACTGACAAGAGAGCTTGAAAGTTTGACGTGCTGCAAAGAGAAATAGGACGTATTGCATTCCCTTTCACTGGGTAGGGTTGACAGTAAGCTTATGCAGACAATATGCAGTCATTCTGTCTTTAAAGCAATCGTCGAAATATGTGATATGGTGGGTAACGAGGACGAAATGTCCTTTGCGCGATTTCGTAAAGATCACGATCACCAGTATATGCTCACTCGCAAAATCACCATGTAGTAACATGCGGAGACATTTTCGTCTGTTCATCGAAGTGCTTACTCTTTACAAATGCTAGGGTAATGTACATCTAACTTACACAACATAACAACCTGATGACAACCAACCCTCTCGTACATTACTCGAATATTGTACATACCCCTCATGAACATACTGTACACCCGCGTTCCAAGACACAACTCAGAATACTTTTACGTTAGGCAGTCTCTCAGATCCGCCAAGGCGAAAGCTGAATTGTTCAAACGATGTAGTTGACGATAGGCTTAAACCACGTTGATCTTGACCTTGCCAGCTCCCCCGCCAATCCCGAGTCCAATCTCCTTCTGGGGAGCCCCGCCACCAACAGTGATGGCTGCAATAGGTCCGACAGCCGAATTGCTACCCTCGAAGGTGTCGGCGAAGGCGGAGAAAGGCGTAGATGGACTCAGAGTGGCAGGCGTACGGGTCGAACACGTTAATGCAGGGGAGCTCAGCTCGGATCCAGACTCGTTACTGTCGTGTTCGTTTCCAGATACTGAGGGGGAAGCCCGAGCGGATACAGAGAGGAGACCGCTAGAGGAAGTGTCGATGCGAGTATGCGCGTTGTTCTTAGTGCTGAAGAGATGCTGAGAGGTTTGGGAGCGGATGTTATCGCGTTGCGAATTGGTGATATTGCTACTGGCGTTGCTATTGTTCCCGCTGAGAATACGATTGTTACTGCTGGTATACGTGATGTTCTTCTTGCTGTCAAAACTGTTCTTCACGTTCGCGCTCTTCAGAGAATTGCCCTCACTAGTCCCCGAGTTTAGAAAAGTAGAGCCGGAACCACGGTCGCCACTGATGTATTGCGAGGGCAACGTTGTTGAGCGTGCATGGACGGTCTGTGCTTGCCCTTTCTGAGCGTCTGCCTGAGCACGGGCTTCGGCAGTATGCGTCTGGTTACGTTGACGCGTAAAGTTCGCCTTCGCATCTGCAGAGTCGAGAGCACGACGAGAAGGGGGCACCTTGATCTCCAGAGCAGAAGATCGGACCCCGCCAAAGGACTGTTGTGGACGATGCGCTGCTCCAGCGTGAAAGTCTTCCTCCGACAAGGAAGGCAGGAACTCCCCCAACCGACGACCCGTTCCAATTGTAGGCGGCGGACCATTCAAGGTAAGGGTAGAGTTAGCACTAAACCCCATAGGCCCTTGTCCACGCAAAGACTGGAGTTCAGCACTAGCTACTGCCAGCTCCTCCTGCTGTCGCTGCAAGTGCGCCTGTAACAACAGACGCTCAACGCGCGTGAAACCGTCCTGCGCCCTCGCTGCGTTGTTCGTCCTGACACCTAGAGCCTGAATCTGTGCTCGGAGGTCTCCGCTATCGTCATTGAAGTCCAGAATAGGGTTGTGAGGCATCCTCAAAGCGTCCCGAGATGCGAACTCTGCCGCCTGGGCGTTCAGTCCGTCATATTGAGTTCCTAAACGATTGACGCCTAGACCACGCAGAACAGGATTCGAGAACTCCTGATCGAAGTGGGGGGAATGAGCTCCGAGGCGTTGGTTATTATACCCGATATCGGGAGCGAGGCCCAAGTTGGAGGCCAGTGTCGGGGAGATGCCGCCGAAGCCAGAGAGTTGAGACATAGGCGATTGTAGCTGAGTACCCTTGAGATTCAGGAGCGCAGCTTGAGCGATCGTAAGCCGCGCAGGTGATTTCTCGTCATCACGACCCATCCGTTCCATGCGCTAGAATCATTATTCATCAGCAACAATATGAGAAGGAAAGACCATTATCATACACTTACACGGAGCTCTCGTTGCTCACTGGTGTCCGCAAACCTGACGGAAATACGACACCCAACATCGTTCCATCCGCGGACCATACGCCCATGAAGACGTTCGATGACCTCCTCGGCTGCCGTACGACTCTCCAACCTACAGCGACGTGTAAGCAGTGACCCAACACATAACAAGACATAGTTTGATCAACCAGGTGGGAAAAGCTCACCTGACGAACGCAATTATTCTTGGTGGGTTACTCAACCGAGTCTGGAAGAGACGGCTACTCATGATTCTGAATGGTTTTACCAGCGCCGCCAATGTTGGCTCGTTGATGCTGAGGGGCAGTCCTTCCATGTACAAATTCGTTGAGCTCCTGTCCTGCAAGCGCTCCATGCGAGCTTTGAACGAATCTGATGCGGTGAGCTCGGATTCTGTGGAGTCCGAAACTGAAAGCGTAGAAAGCGAGATGCCATTTGAGTCAGAAACAGATGAAGGAACAGAGCCATATGCTGTTCCGGGTATCTTATGAATCCGCTGAACAAGGGGCGGATCAGCGAGTGAATACGATTAGAGAACAAGCAACAACGTACCTTTGAGAATGAAGGGTGCAAATTGCGATATTTACGAAGGGTCTCGATGCACCTCTCGGCGGCTTCGACACTTCCAAACCTGGATATATGCGTGTTCAATCGGTCAGGTGTCCAAGGAAAAGCAAATACTACTCACAGAACGAAGCCGTATCCCCTAAAGCCAATGAATATGAGTCAGTATGATGTAAAACAAGGCGTGGTATGCACGATGGCGCATGTATGGAATGAAATGGAGATGGCGGACGCGAATAAGGGGATACTCACGATGGCTTATCGCTGACGTGACGAGTGAACGTCCTAACGCTGACAACTTCACCGAACTCGCTTGTCATGGCGAGCAATTGCTCCTCCGGAAAGTTGGGCGGAAGACCATTGATATACACATTTGGCGTATGGTCCGTGTCCATGTCTGGAGCAAAGGCACCATTCGAGTCGTTGGATGATGCGACACTCTGCGAAGGGGCGAAAGGAGAAGACGTCTGGAACGGAGATGGCACCGGGATAGCAGGTGAATGTTTTAGGAAAGACTCTTGCGTCGGTGCTAGAGAAGCCACGGTCAGGGACATCCTAAAATAGGCGCACCGGGGAGGGACGAGCGCCGACTTACTTGGACCTTCACTTATTAGGGCAGAACCCATTGAGATGTCTAACACGTCAACAGAGCCACCTGGTGCGCCGCCGGTAACGGTTCTTGCCTTATGCAGAGAATCGGGCACTTTCTGCGTGACACTCTCCGCGCTCTCCGATATATTCAAGCTATGGATGTCAATAGGTGCATCAAGAAGTCTGGTCTGGAATTGTGGTGCGCTGGCCGAGAGTGTCGAGGCCAAGGAAACGGTAGAGGCAATGGAAGCGGATGAGGCGGAAGACGAGGGCGAAAAAGAATTTGGGGGCGAAAGCGGAGGTGTGTTCTGCATAGCGTGCGTTGGAGGAGTAGAAGACTTGAAGTTCTGCGTGAAAGAAGGAGATTGAGAGACAAGTGTGGTGTCGCAGGATATAGAGGGTGTAAAAGGCGATCTGGAAGCGAATGAGGCAGAAGTAAGATTCTGAGACGAGGGGGTACTAGTGGGTGACTGGGTATTCTGCAAAGTGGTGCTTGAAGTAACGAGAGAATCCGGTGTGCGAGAAGAAAGCGTGTTGTTCGAAGGCTGCATTGTTGCCGTCAAAGATCTACGAGAGAAGACGATAGAGTCGCGGTTCCTTGTAACAATCGGAGAGTAAAAGGCGGAGATATGTACTGTCTGGAAGCGACCGTTGCTGAAAGTAGAATTCGAGGGATAGCTGTAGTCGGAGAGCGAATAAGCCTGTTACAGCGGACGGAGATACGGGAGAGTCTCACGCGGGTGGGCGAGAGACGAGGGTATGTGACGCGATTGAGAGTATAGATAGAAGGAATAAGGATAGCGGTAGTTGGAATGCGAGTGATAGAGCTACTTGCGTTGCTCGACTATGTACAAGGACGGAGGTACTTGCGGAATGTCAAGGGCGGCAAGAAAAGCGGTATGGGGATATAGCAGGGGACGATGACGGCGAGAAGAAGAGGAACGGCCAGCGAGCGAAAGTGAATGAACAGGTTCTTATAGTTCTGAACCAAGAAGCTTCGGAATAGGAATCTGGATGAAAAAGGACGGGGCATGGCATGTGAAGAAAGGGAAGTCCGATGGCAAGATGAAAGTACCTAAGATCGGTGTCTTCGATATTGCAATAACACACCCAAGCCAGGAATACACGCCCCGCGCAATGGAACAGCACATCGGGCCATGCTTGCTTTGAACAGCTTCGCGGCATGCATATTGGTCTGATGGCACTGGAGCAACTTCCTGTTCAGTCCCCCGACAATGTGCAGTGAAAATAACCCGCCGGTGGGAGGGAATGGTATTTGCGAGGTCGAGCCAGCCACAGCTTCAGACACCACATCTGTCACCGAAAGCGCACGCTGATCCACACCGACGATCTTTCTCATCGCAATTAACCCCAACCAGCAAGTCCCTCTGCCAAACAGGATTCTCCTCCTCAAGGCCTCATCAGGAGTCTTCTATCACTGTCTTCTCGCTGCCGTGCGCGTGAGCTCTTCCAGGCCAAATTTCCAAACCTTGCTTCAGATCACCGAGTCTCGCCATCGGGCCAGGCCTTCGGACAAGCTAAATGCAAAGTTTAGGTCTTCAGGAGATACCGGCCTCCGCTCCATGCACATGAACCTGAATCGTTGGACATGCTATGGAAAAGGGTGCCAAGCTTCAAGACTAGCATCCAGCAGACTGTGGCGGACATGGACATGCATGCTCGCAAGGAACGGCAAGCGTCTCCGCTCGAAATATTTGTGGTCGAACATGCACAGCCAAAAGAGGAAGTCGTTCAAGGTCGATTCCCCAGAAGCGTTTCTTCTGTCAAGAAGTTGAGCAAGCTGTCAATAAGCGCATTCTACAGATCTCAGGCACAGTCACTGCTAGATATTCAATGCCAAAATTTGCGACCCCTCAACCTTGCTTAACAGACACTCAAGCTCTTGAGAGACTTGAACCTACAACGGATACATATGTAGCGCCACAGAGACTGCAGCATATATAATCGATCGCCAACCCGATTCCTGACAAACGCTAATCCCAAGGACGATCGACGATCCATCTTCCCTTCGCACTGAGAACCCCTTTCTTCCATGACTGAAAACGCGAGCAACGACCGACTACAGTCTCAACAGTCTCAGAAACTTGAAACTATACTAAACGCCACTAGCGGATGTCGCATAAACCCCCGACAAATATGAAATTTCAATCGAATCAAGACTATTTGACACGAGACACGAGACATGCAACGTGCGAATACAATGTCCATATGCAACATTTCAGGGATGATATAAGAATAGTGTAGCATGAGACGTCCGTAGTCTAAGAGAATTGAAATCGATGGAGATCCACATGTAGTCCATGAGAGTAGAGCGTAAGTAGAGCGTAACTGGGGTGTCAGTAGAGCGTAGGTAGAGGTGCAGGAGAACAGTTCGCAGACAGCATGGTCTCATATAACGATGAATGAGCTTGTGACGGAAGACCGGGCCATGTGATAGCAAATACCCAATCGCCACAAGAAAGAGCAAGTTAAACTTGAGGCCTGACGATGAAATCGATTTTGAAATCCAAGCAGTCTACGGCCCCATAGAAGCCGAAGAGTCTTCAACCGCAGTCGACATCGACGAACGCATCTCAGCAGCACGCGAAAGCGCAACAAGCCTTTCGATCTTCGCCTTGCAAGCACAACGAGGGACAGGAACGCCTTTAAGCCATCCTTCGACTTTGCCTTCATGATCATCCAAGTCGGCACAGCGGGATCCAGTTTGACCTTGACCTTGACCTTGACCTTGACCTTGACCTTGACCTTGACCTTGACCTTGACCTTGACCTTGAGCCTGTGATTCAGGAAATGAAAGCACAGGTTGGCTACAAGTCATACAGCGACCGGCCAGACAAATCCAACAAGGCCTATCTTCTTTCCTGAGCTTGAGAGCCTCCAAAGCCGGATCGCCTTCCTCCAAGTCCCTCTTTCGTTCCGGCAGCGCCTTACCTTTCCCCTTCACATCCATCTTTCCAGGCCCCTTCCAAACCCTATCCTTCCAATGAAGTAACGTTTCCCCAACTCTCTCGAAAAGCCCTTTCTCAATGGGGACCCCACTTTTCTGACAAACGATCCTCCTAGTCCCATTCACATAATACCCAAACCCAAGTCTCATCCTCTTCAACTCTTCACCCAGCTCATCCTCACCCAACTTCCTCTTCTCCAACAGGTACTCTTGTAAAGGGTTATCTAACCCTAAACTCATGTACGAAGCTAAAGTACCCAAAGGAGCTCCGATCGCAAGTTTGGAACGAGGGCCTAAGGAGAGAAGTTTGAGTATGAGTGCGAGGATCGCGCTTATGATAAGTGTGATTCCGAGTATGATGCATGGGATGCGCCGAGGCGTGAGGCGAAGACGAGGGGCTGAGATGCGGATTGGGATTGGAATGGGTTGAGAGGTATCGACAAAGTAGATGGATCGAGCCATGATGGACAGATACATGCCCTGAACCGAATGTCAGTTCTACAAGTCAGCTTTCGTCAGATGCAAGGAGAACGTACATAGATTCTGTTAGAGAATCCAGCGAAACCGTTCCGAAATGCACCTATCAAACCTTGTTCGCTCAATCTAGCAGCCTTATACATCGCAGCAGGCAACACCATTTGCAACCCCTCAAGCCTCTCTTGAACGAGTGTATCGGTGATGTTCATACCAAAGAACACCCCGTTGTAGGCACGGCCATACATTGGGTATCCAGATAGGTTTCTCAAAGAAGCGAGCTGTTCGACATGGTCAGATTCTACATCAAGAAAAGAGGAAGAAGCTAAAGATGCATTTCTGTGAATCCCGGTGAGCTTCCCGGTATAGAGGTCGACATCGGCAACGACACTCCAAACGGACATAGCCGGTGTACACATCACGGCGTCTAACATTGGCCGAGGGGAATGTGTGAAGAACCAGAATACGACAGGTTGATGTTCTTGCGGGAGCGTCACGGAGGACTTGCAGTCTGACTGGTATGGAATCGTACCAACGCCTACGAAATGATGGCATTAGAGGAAGAGAAAAAGGAAATTTCAACGCACCATAAAGGTCTTTAGCGGAATCCTCGACAGACCACTGAAACTCGCATTTATGAAAGCTAACGCTGTTCGCCCAACCGGTCTTGTTGCGGAATGGAATCATATTCATCTAAAACCATCACCGAGGGAGCGAATGTGAGAAATCAACCCATCATCCTCGGAACCGGACAGGGAATGAGTACGTACAGATCCAGCATCATATCCTATACAACCGGATTCCTGAAAGATAGCAATTGTCTCTGCATGAAGTGTCCCATTTCCACTGGCAACCTTTGGGAGCTAAGAAGTATATGTAAACCATTAAGGACCATACAAAAGCACTCGAACCTGCGTTTACTCACTTCGAAGTCTGCGATGGCATAGCCTTGATGAACCCAATGAGGATCTCCCACACCGAATGTAATATCAACAATGGCATAGTTTGCAGCGTTCAAGAAGGCTAAATACGTATTGAAGGATGAAGCCTTCTTTTCTACGATGTCAGAAAACATACCTGTGAGGTCGGTAAAACTCGGGCCTTCGTTCAACCCAATGGTTTTATAACCCATCGTGGTATTATCTGAAAACAAAGCGCATATTCAAAACTCGGCAGTCTAGCTTAGACAACAACGAAACTTACGCGGACCCATAGACCAATGAGGCTGCATGATCAGAATAGCCCCAGTCAACGGATTCAACAACGTTGCGAGACTACCAACGATCACACCTAGCGAAACTTGCCAATGCCGATTTTTGAGGGAATTATACAACGCGGAGAAAGGGCTGGGACACATTGTTAATATGTATGACGGTTTATAATGGTTCTCGATCGATGATCGAAATATGAGCTCACGTACTTTTGACTAGTGTAATCGAGTAAAAGCGTTTGATCGGCCTTGGCATTGCCTTTCATCAAGTCCATGAGAGGCTATGGGCGTCGGGGTGAATGGTATGAGGGGTACAAGAGTTGGGTGGACGTACCTGGTGCTTTCGGGCATCCGAATCTTCTTTCTTCAAAGCTGAGATAACGACCATGAAGATGATCATTTGGAGATGAGGACCCTGATTGACGATCGTTATAATCAATTATGTTGATACAATGACGACTACAGTAAGAGTACTTACGCATAAGTAATGGCTTATGAGGCTGTCTTGGGTTAACATCTCATTCATTTGCCAACCTACTCATAACATATCAGATTATGAGGATTTGTAAGAGCCTTTGTGTGACTCGCCGTCAGGGAAACAATAAGGAAGGACGATGAGAACGATGCCGCCCGCAAGCATCTCCAAGATCAAGAACATAAACTTGACATGAGGCGTGATGACAAGAAAACGAGCAGTCAATTTATCCTCTTTGATAACTTGTTCCCATTCATCCGCAGCCACGTTATCACCAAAGACCGACGCATCTATCAAAATCAACCAATCAAAGTTAGTTTCTCATCATACCGTACAAGAACGTGAAAGACATACCATCGAGTAGGGCTACCTCAGACGATCTATCAATGTCATCTTCATCCACTCCATCACTTGCGGCCACTGACGCGTCGTCAGGATATTGAGGTTCACGACGTCGGTGAAGACCTAGGAGATTGCCTAGAGGTGGAGCAGTACTGCGACTGCTTGCATGTATCACCTAAGTATGAAGGAGTTAGACACAGGAAGGGAGACGAAGTGAAAGTCTGAGGGAACGAAAGAAATGCACGCGGAGGCGAGCGGGGAATCTGAAAGGTCGCCACTCACAGATACTTCCTGCAGTCCAGACCACCCCACTGCTGAGCTTTCTACAACGTTTCTTTCAGGATGAATCGAGCTGGACGTGGCGGCGGGTTCGTTGAGGCAAGGGAACAGAGGGGGCTCGGGAATGATTGGGGGCAACTGCAGTAGTTGAACATCATCTCCACGTTGGCTATCTTGCTCAATTCCTTCGGGAAGAGGCGGCGATCCAAAGAAAGGTTTCAATACAGGCATAACTGGGTCGAATGTTCAGATCAAGAGGTAATCAAGTAACGGCGACAAGTAACAGCCGAGAAAAGGATGTGATGGCCAGAGAAGCTCGAGAAACTAGCGGTGCGGGCGATCCTGTGCACAATGCACAATAGCCCTCGTGTTAGACTTCACATATTGACACATATTTTGGCTATGACATTCTGTTCAAGTGACTTCACAAAGTGGTCTGCATTGCATGCCATAAACGGTTCTCAGCGAATCGAATAGTGAAGATGGAAAAGAAAGAGAATGAAGACTGCATCAATGAGATCGCCCGAAAGACTGTGACGCCTCTAAGATAAACATCAGCCGACACGAGTAAATTGAGATAATGGTCAAGAGTCGACTCACCAATGAGCTTCATGGTCAGCACTTGTTTACACTACTTTGGGTATGCCACAAGCAAGGTATGAGGTATAATTGTCCTCCCATCGTGTACTAGTACAGCCCGGGCCTGGAAGCAAACTATGAAACGGGAAAGCACTGTAGCCATTGCCGCATGGTGACAATCGAAGCATAAAGGAAAGATTTCTGTTGCGAATCTGTATCATATGACTGACTAGAGAAAGGCATTGTGCCCGTGCGGCGTGAGTACGCTGTGAGGGTTACCCTGTGTTAGTAACTCGTTATAGTTAGGATCATTTCATCCAAGCATACCGTGCGGTCCGTGTCGATCACTGAGTCAAGTTCTGTTATCCATCTGCTCAACTAGCCTGTTTGAAGCACGCCTATGAAGGTAAAATAGGAAGCCATAGGAATTAAGCAAGCAGTACTTTGCCAGTTGAGAATTCAGCTGCGACGACATGGTTAACATTTAGGCGAGCCGATTTGTCGTCCCCGCCCGCAAGTTCCCCATATGGCACCGTAATCTCCGATATCTGCCGGCTCCTCCGGGCGTTTTCCTGAGACAGCACTACTAAGGCATCTTTCGACTAGACCTTCATTGTACTAAAAAGCAGCTAAAAATCGGGTAGCTCATCTTTAAGAATGGAAGAATACTTGCATTCATTGAGAGCCGATTGGCCGCCACATGCGTATATTTGGCGGCGTATCTGAGACTGCAGGCTAAGAATGCTTGGTGTCTAGTACCTAATCATTCTCAAGCAAGAAGCGGGCTTCCATGTATCTTCCATTCAATGAATGCGCTATTATAGACGACATGTGCGAGATATCGGAAGAGATAAACGATGCCATAATGGCAACGGATTGTGGGTCCATGTTTGCACTGACTCTTGATTGCTTGTCCGTTTTCCCAGGTCTGCCATGGCAACGGGCAATCCGAGCAATCCAACCTATGGATCCTTGTGGGTCCACGCCCAATTGCCTCGGGAAATTAGCCGGATTGCCTCTCTCTCCGACGCGTATATATACCCTCCCATGCGCTCTTCCCTTCCTCACCATCGTCGGCCCTCCCCGCCTCTGCATCCTCTATACAGCAGCCTCTCGCCTCAGCACTCGCCAAAGCAACTTCCTCGTCTCTAACATTCGCAATGTCTTCTTCTCCTGTTGCATCGTCCTCCTTGCGTACCGTATTCGGTACTTGGAACACCAATACTACCTCCTCCCAGGAGAACATCGACTTGGAAGCTCAAACCATCTCGGGAACGCGTCTTCCCCTCCCCGCTACTATCGTTGCTCCTACGCCAGTCCTGGCACGCACTTCACGCGACCAAGAGGGCACCGACCCCATCGATGACTTCTTCGGAGTCACTCGCACTCGAGGCACTTCAGACAGTCGCCATGATACACCTGCACTACCTTCCATGGTGGAACAAGATGTCGAATCTCTTCCACCTCCCCCTTACGCAGATTGTCGGGACTTGCCATCCTACACTGCAGTTGCCGAACCTCCCACTCTCGCTATGTACCTCTTCAAGTTTGGATTCTGTACGTGCTTTTCCTTTTCCTGTGGTCCAAATGTGATACTTACTACGATGTGATCCCTTCAGTGTTCCCACTCTTCTGGCTCGCCGGAATCGTCATCCTCTTCTCCCCTCTCAGTGCGCCCGAGAACTGGGAACCCACAAAAACAGAGACTGAGAGGGTTGAATTGATCGAGTTGTTGAGGCGTACGGAGAGGAAGTGGGCTAAGAGGTGCTTGATTGCTTTCAGCATCCTCTCCATCATTGTCATCGCTATCACTTTGATCGCTGCCCTCGTCATGAGGTCGTAACGACCTTTCACCCAACTTCATTTTCCAATACTATTCTCGAATCACTCAACACTCCTCGTTTATCGCCAAACTCGAAAAATGGCTACCTTCAAGCTATCGATCAACTCGCTACGCGCTTCAAGCACTTCCTCCGCTTTCGCCATGAACCGTCGCATTCAAGTCACTCGCTCTCCCCGTTGCTTTACTCTTCCACCATCGCTGAGCTTGCTCGCCATTCAATACTATCATTATATTATCACACTTATTCTCGTTATTTCTCTTTCGCTTTTGGATTCTCTGTATTCTCCTCTGTATCATCTAGTCATTTTTTGCTCTCTTGTTCTCCTCAACATCGCATCAATGTATTTGTATCACTGATAAACTTAGAAATGACATCCATACAGCATAACTAACGTGGAGTGAAAACCGAAACTTAAGATGACAATGATCACAACAATGAAGGGGGAGAATGAAGTATAACTCGAAGAGATGTTGAAGACTCGTTCCCAGGGAGAAAGTCATGAGTCGTACCATCCCCCCTCCTTAAGAATGCAGCAATCAATCTAGCATCGTCTTGCTTGATAAGAACAACCACATAAAGGTTTGTCTTGCTCAAAGCGATGCAAGAGATCCTAGGTCCGGTGACTGTGCTTGCATGATAGGCTGTAGAGAGACAATTTGATTCCAACTACCCATGAAGTCTTGACAAACTACCGCAAAGAAGCACTCGAAACCGGTTAATTAGTGTAACATGACTGAGTGAGCAAGTCGACTCGGAGTGACCATAAGTACGAAGTACGATAGCTGTGCATTCGACAGGATCGCCCTGATAAGAACTCTGCAATCGCGTAGGAGTAAGAGAACGCCGGTGAGCAGTGATCGATGATCAAGCGGTAAAGATCCCAATGTCCTTGTGAAAGGCGTTGTCATCGTCGTCGTTATCGTTGTCGTTGAGCATGAGAGACTTGCCGGGGACTCGGGAAGTTCAACATCGATCAATGATCGGTAATCGCCCTATGCCGGGCCGGCTGAATCAATTTGCCGCAGCCTGGAGTTCGTACTTATAGTTCAATTATTCTCTCTCTCTCTTACAGTACATCCAGTTGCATTACCCGGTGTCCCTTACTGTTCATTATAATATTCGCTCCAAACACGTTCGGTTGCATCGGAGGCCGGCCAAGTTCTGAACCTTTGTGCCTTAGCTGAGGAATATAGCAACGAACCTAGTAATAGTATGCTGTGCATCTCTATCTACGTGTCAAGATATTGACTGAAAACATGTCTAGGACATGGTTGATAGCAATCAGATATCAAAAACGTTCTTGTTCTCAAAGCTTCGCTTGCAATACGAAGATGATATTGATGCCTTGCTGTGAAACCTAACTGCTCACTTCGATGGCGAGCCCGCGCACTTGGACCTATTTAGGTTAATAGTCGAATACTTCTCCACCTTCATGAGATGGATGTGTCTTCGGGGTTCGGCGAGTCGCTGCACTCCTGCTTTCGAACGAATGCCCATGAATTCGTCGGGCTTCTCCAAACGAAGATACACGAAGTTCATTTTAGTAACCGGGACTCATAGTCACCATGCGCTCCTCTAGCTTTCTATCAAAATCAGATCCTATCGTCAAGGTTTCAGCGCCCAGTCAAGTTCTGGTCTTACTAGGTGACCATTGATAACAGTGGATGCCCGCCATCATCTGTTTTGCTTGCTGGCTGATGCAATCTTCGCTCACCGGTTTTATGTTTGGAGGTTGGGCAAAGTATAAGAACTTCACTTCAATCATGGATGCTCCCTATCGCAGGTCGATCCTCTTTCTTCGTCGTTCTTTCTTTGGGTGGTCTTTGACTGCTCTCCTCTTTTCATGACCGTAATGATTTCAAAGCCTACAATCTTTCTTCTCGCCCTGGTGGCACTTCTTTCTTTCACGAATGCTTTCCCTATATCTCAGCGCGCCGTCGATCTTTCATGTATGTTCGAGGCTTGTGACCCACCTAAACCTGTTGCAACTACCACTCCCTCTCCTCCACGAAACACGTTCTCATGGCCCGTCGTCAGTATCTCTCCCCTACCGTCGCAGAAACCGTGGCCAGTTAGCTTCCCTTTCCCGGTCCCCATCCTATCGTCAACATCGAGCCAACCTCCTGCTATCACCGCCTCTGCTCCTATCCCTAGTGTTGTAGTTCCGAAGCCATCAGCTCCTTCTTCCGAGGCGCCTCCAGTGCATTCGAGTGCGGTGCCGCCTCATATTTCGAGCCAATCTCATGTCGAGACCCACAGTAGCTCTCATCTAACGACGCAGACCAGTTCTTCGGTCGTACATCCGACTTCTTCGCATGTCACAGTACAAGAAAGCAACTCGCCATCTCAGGGTCGTCCCTTGCCATCGACACGCTCGTCAGAGCATGCTTCGACACACATCGTCCCTGTCCCAAGCACGCATAGCACGTCCTCATCAACAAGAGGTGCAGTTATACCAACTCATATCTCATCGTCACCTTCAACACGTGGTGCTACCACGCATGCAAACCCTTCCTCAACACGGAAAACTGCTTCGCCGACGCATATTTCATCTTCGACGCGAGGTGTGATCGTCCCAACTCAGGGTGAACCCACCTCTCCACATGGATCACCTCACGGTTCTCCGACGCACTCTCCTAATCCTGGATCTACGCAGGGCGGTTTGCCTCTGCCTCTGCCTCCAATACCACCACTGCCACCTATCCTACCCCCTCTCCCTCCTCACGGTCCCCCTCGTGGATCACCTCACGGTGCTCCTACGAAGTCTCCTGGTTCGTCCCCAACACCAGGTGGTTCATCTCCGCCTCCGCCTCTTCCACCTCCGCCTCCTCCCAATGGTTCCCCTTCACATCCTTCGGGCACCATTGCACAGTCACATGGCACGGCATCGCCTACGACTCACCACTCTGCCACAGGAACCCAGAGTCACGCGCAGGTAACGACATCAGGTGTTTCGCCCTCTCATTCATCAGCGAAGCCCTCCTCCTCTCCATCTGGAAGTACCGCTTCTCCTCATGCCACGTCACCTTGTGCTGTAGGCAAAAACGGAAAGCGTGCACCGCCGGCTTGCACCCCGCCTGCCCCAGTTCCTACAAAGGTACTGTCACTCAGTTAAGATTCCAGTGTTGCTACATTCCTAATGTACTGCTCTACAGCTCACATTCTCCCCAGATATTACACAAAAAGCTGATCAGGAACTTGCCCGTATCAAACCACATATTTTCACCGGCGAAAAGGACCCTTTTGCTGGGAGGCATACCGTCAGTATAGTCCATGCTGCGTTCCCAGGTCTTCAAGGAAATTGTGACAGTGCTACTCGCCTCTGTACCTTTGATGTACGTTCTACCGTGTTCCGAAGCATCATGGTACTGGGTTCTGAATCACTCACTATATTGCAGTACTCCAACGCACCAGGGGTTTCCAATAAGAATAAAAAGATCAAGACAGCCTGGGATGATGGTACCACTCATCCCAATCCATGGACACAGAACGATATCGAAGATGTATGTCGCCAGGCCATTGGCAAGGTGTTCCAGCTCAACGGCGGCACGCTGGGCGTCAAGGCTAGCAGTGCATCGTTCTCGATTGCAACCAAGTTCGGGAACAACATCTGTGTCAAAGTGAATGTCATACCTCTGAATAAAAAGAAAAACAGGCCCAACCCACAAGTGTCGTCGTGCTTCCCTGTAGGCATCAACCCTATCCAAGAGACCCCTGGTGATCCATGCTCGGCTCCTCAGACTACGACGTCGGATTACACAGTGTGACCTCGTGATACTCAAGGCTTCTTGCTTAGGCAAGTTTGTAGCATTATAGCTGCTAGTCTTTAGAATCCGAATAGCATGGCGAATCTACCTATACTTTGGGGTACATACATTGCGTCAACCTGATAAGCGTAGCAGCAGGCGAGATACACGTGTGCCTTTAGAAGCTCGAATGGCACAGACAAATTCAGATGACATTGTTTGAGACGGTGAACATTCGTATGGATATAGATCACCCAAACAACATTGTTTGAAGAGACAAGTATTCAGACTGTTCTTTCTCTCCGCTCTCCATGTAGTCAACCCATTTTTTCACCTTCCTCCTTGACAACTCGTCATCGCAATACTGGATAGCGAATTCAAGATCGGCTTTCCGCTTAGAGTCAGCAGCATGATGTTCGTTAACCCATTCCGGTCGAACCCGTTCCATCTCCTCGATGAACAGCGCACGCAGCTGCGTTTTTTCCCATTCTCGCAGGTGTTCGAAATAGAGTTCATTGGGTTGGCCATCTTCTTCAACCGCGTACGACGTCTGATCAGGACGCTCTTTGCGACTGGGTCCGATGAGGAAGGAAGGAAACTGACACGCTTTCCAGAGCGGAAGCGCAGATACGCATTCCCAATCAACGAGCCCTGTCAATTGACCGGAATCATCGACGAGAACGTTGTGGAATGAAATGTCATCATGATGGATGATGGTGCGCTCGGGTGCCTCAACATCCTGAGTAAAGAGACTCGGGAGTAGACGAATGAGCCTCTCGGCGAGCTTTTGCGATTCTTCGGCTTCTTCTATATCGTCCTCGTCGTCTGATGTTCGAAGTGTCTCTGCTGCGTCATTGAGGATGAAGGTTAGACGAGCTGCGAGCCAGCCGTAGCTCGATTTGAAAGGACCGCGGGGAACGTCTTGGTCGTAATGCTTGTCCCAAAAGAAGACCATGGAGACTATAGGACCAATTACTAGTCTTTCGGTTGTATCTTTGTCGGGTGAACATTCTCCAGGATAAACGTTGCCGATACCAAGGAAGGGGTGGTCATAAAGCTTAGCAAGGAAGCCAACGATCGTCTTGACTAACACTTGCTTAGCCTCCCACTCCATATCCTGCCACTTCGACTCCAGTACACCTCCCGGCAGTTTTTCCATAATCATCCATTCGAAGCCAAGAAAATTATTTGGCGAAACCGCATCTGCGTCGTACGCAACCACTTGAGGTACAAGATCGATGCCGCATTGTTCCCGCACAAACTTCAGTGTTGCGACTTCACTGATAGTTTTCTTCCCTGGATCAACTGGCAATGCTACGCGTATTAGGTACTCATGTTCGGGCACCTCAATGGAATAGAGTTTGTTGAAGCCTCCTTCAGCAAAGAAGGTGACATTGAAAGGAGCATCGGTGGGAAGATTGAGGTATTGTCGGGTTGTATGCTCGATGTCGGTGAACGAGGGCTCAGATGTCCAGCGAGGTCGACTACCCCATAGCGTAGATTCCCATTCCACTGTGCGTGAAAGCCGAATAGTGGAAGCCATGGAGGGTCTGTAACTTACGAGGATGACTCGGAGTAAGAATGGACTTTGTTCAACTTGAACGCTGAGGTTGGTGAGTGAGAAGTGCACCAGGAAACAATATTGTAGGTGCTAATTGGCACACGATATAAAGCAGTAGTCACATAGTCTGGTCGTGGTGTCTTGCAAACAGTCAAAAAGGGTATAAGAAAGCAGGCGCTCCTCCACTTTCCTTGCCAGGACAGTGGATCCGATCAGAATGATCGCACGAACTGATCGAGGCAAACAAGTTCTCAGAATGGTTTCCTCGTCACCGTCTCCATTGAGAACCCAAATGTCTTAATCATGCTCGCTTTCTACATGCAAAGACCCGCAGCAGTTACAATACAGGCTAACACTTTCTTTACTTTGAAGCTGGTGAAAGTCCATCACAGCCTCATTACACAGCGTCTCGCGACCGAGTCTCCTGTCAAGATATTTCCATCTTCATTGGATTATACTCACAAGAAGACCAAGTGTTTGGCCACATCTGGGTTTATCTTCACATCAACTGCCCTCATGTGAACGTTGAGCGGCAGCTTATCAATTCGATGCATGGAGCCCATCCATTGTACAGCTGCATGAATGCTTTGCACGTCGGCACTTGAACCCTTATAGTGCAGACTTCTCTCCAACCAAAATCTACTCGTTGCAAGGATAATGTACATCTTATTCTATACTTTCTCTTAGTTGATACGGCTAATATTGCTTTGTTCGGTTTCATGCGTGATTGGGTGGGTCTTCCAGGCGACTTCCAGCGAGCGTATGAACGAACTCTAATCATCCGATGCATGTTTCTATACTTGTCACGATACAAACACATAGTCTTGCTCCCACGTAAAGTGCTTTCTGGCAAACAGTTGACCATGTCACGGCACAAGAAGCAACTGAGAATTGCATAAATATCTGACCTTGCCCTCTACCATCGAGTCCTCACTGAGCCCCTTCACTCTTGTACTGCGTGCGTTTGTTGACTGCGTACTCTTCCCCTGCCAGCGATCTCATCTATGTTCGTAGGCTTGTCAATACCAACAACATGGGCAAGGCCGACAAAGCATTCAAGACTTTCGTCAACAACATCCCGAATGACAAGCTCACCAGTCTGCCTGATGCTACCCAGACACTATATCGAGACGTCGACTTCCGTCTCGACATGCAGGGTGTACGCGTCCACTCTCCTCCACTCTCCATCACATCCGCTTTAGCTTTACTAACGCAAAAACTCGACTGCCCCAGATGACAGCCGACAAGCCACCCCGGCATAACCTCCAAGTCCAAATCAACAACTCCACGACAATCAGTACACTCAAGAAACAAGCTCCGAAGACTGTCTCCATGTATCATGCCAGTAAATCCGACACTCCGGCTGTCATTCGTCAGGGATTGTTGGATGGGACGAACGTTCCAAGTTGAATATGTGAGGTGTGACGTCCACGTTCGGAGATTACGTCGAATACTTTGATCAGGGTCTCTTTTTTTTTCAACTAGCCTGTAACTCCGTAGCCACAAATTTTAGTGAAATGACTGAGTTCTTGTTCTGTACACAGGAATCCGAATGCGGCGAGGGCCTGGACTTGCAGCGCCTCCGCATCGTTGTCAGTGGTCACATTCTCATGTCACTAGAGAACTGCGTCTCTCTACTCCGCATCTAGGAGACTGCATGTCACTGGCTTGGGAGAATGTGCAATCGTAACCGGAGGATCCAATCCATGGTAGGATAAAGTACGTATTGTGTTCGATGATCACTTCAGTATAACCTTAAATACTATTCTCAGAACATGAGGTAGTTATTTGACGTACTCGAAGCTAGCCAAAACCTACGGGCTACAAGACACAAGGATATATGATTCTGGATACCAGGAAACAGGATTAGCTCACAGAAGATAATTGTTTATCTCAAATCTAAAGACGAAACCGCGAAGAGCGAACGATGCTTCTAATTCTTGACATTACCACGAAGTCGACCAGCATATCCATAGAGTTGCGAGACATTTTCGTTCGTCCGGCGCCAGAAGTGGCCATCACATTTTGTGTCAAATGTCGGACCCTCTTCCAGCGAGAGCGTCCCACTGAGTCCGTATGACATGCAGTATTCTGCCGCAGGGATGTCGCTCGGAATGTCTGGATCGTCTTCAACACACCAAAGTGTCCAAGTTGAATTATGATATACGTCCGGCGGCCACATATTGAATTGGATGCCGTTGAACTGCATACCGGCAATTTGATTCACTAGCTCAATCTCGCGTGCATCCAACTCGGGGTACACCAGGAGTTCGCGTGGTTTTCGACAAGTAGACGGTGGATATGTCACTTTCATTCCTGTAGACCTCAGGTCTTCACAAAATGGGTTGAGTCTATTGATACCAAAAAGATCTGAAGAGCTCACCGGAGTGCCAGTGACCTGAGAAATACCAAGGCGAGAGCCGCCTGAGTCTAACATCCAGATAATTCAGACCCAAACCGAGTCGCCCAATGAATTTTGAGATGGGTTCGAGACTGTGTGACGCATCGTCCAAATCCACAGTAAACGCTGCATAGCTTATTTTGTCCAAAGATGTTGAGAATTGAACTATCTTCTCCAGGTACGCCTCTGGATGGATAATGAATCGCATCTTGAAGACCGTGAGGTTGAGTTTACTACTATATCTCCTTCGCATTTCAACGGCATCATCGTGTATATGCAACGGGTGAGTAGCTCTCCTAGCTTCTGTATGAGAATCGTCATTTTCAGACTGATTCAAAGAGTCAGGAAGAAGGGTTTGAGTGTCGGAATCAGTCAAGTCAGGCAACCGCTGAGGATAAGAGGTGTTGTCCAAATACAGGCCAGTCACGTTCGGCAACGCACAGGCGATGGCAACAACAATGTTTGCAGAAACTTCGCACTCATTAAAGTGTAAACCAACTGGGTTTGGTGCAAAGGAAGCAAGATTGCGACACAATTCCTTCGTAACTTGGTCCCCCGTAATACGAACACTTTCGAGCGAGATCATGCGCAGTTTCGGCATGCTGTACATAGTGCTGGTAATCAGACAAGCAGCTTCAACGAAGATAGTCGAGCCATTTGGGGGGGTGATAACGACATCTTGCATGACGGTGAGTATCGCCGGGCGGCGAGAGATGAGGTCCTTGAAGGCGTGAATGCGGTGGTGGGAGTCATGTATGACCACCCGCTCGAAAATATGGGGAAGGCAAAAGTTGTAAAATTCGTGACAGACTAGGGAGCAGGCATACATTCCGGGCATGTACTGCGGTTTGTCAGGAGTACGATCATTTGCTCGAACAAGTGTAATGATGTTTGCTAAAAGTTCTCCAGGCAGACGATATTGAGATTGACATTCAGCCTCAAACAGTGCATGGTTCTGGGGGAACGAAACCGGGGTAGGAGAACACATGATGATGGTGGGAGCCAAGATGAGTTTGTTACAGCATGGACGGCCACTCGCGGCAGTCACTGAGTGTCACCATCACTATTGCTCACGAGGTTCGAACCTTCGCGACAATATGAATGTTCATATCATCGACGCAATCCTAATGGTACAGATTCGCTATAGATACAATGTGAGCATTGCGCGAAATTATTTCATCAACTTTGACTTCTCCCAGCCTCATCGGTGGTGAGGGCCACTAGGCCTAGTATCCTCGAGTTCCTTAAACAACTGCTTACTCGCAGTCCCATATCGTTCTAGTCCCTGCAAACTACGCTTCCTTCGAGGTCTTCCATCGTGATGCAACTCTGCGCTTGTCTCTCCAGATACAGGCCTACCTATGCCTCTGTTCACGTCTAGCGACGTCGCACCTGTAATGGTCTCAGAGGCGGAAGGCGGCTCAGCCCATGGATCAGTATCAATTACGGTTTCGGAGCCGGGCGCAGGGGCGAGGGGCTGAGGACCACGTTGCGCTTGGCCAGAGATGTCCTCTGCAAAAAGCGGAGTATCAGTATCTGCATCGTTGTCAAAGGGAGGTAGAAAGCACACCTTTAGGGGGAGTCCTAGCATCGGAAGTCACACGGCGTCCAATGTTGGGAGGACGATCTCGTCCTGTTGGAGGGGGCAAGTGCTCCTCGGCACGAAGCTCGCCACCCTGTTCACCGCCCTGTTCACCACCTTGTTCACCACCCTGTGTAGGGAATTCTGTTTGCCAAGCTGTCAGCGTTCGTTTCCAACGATCTAAATGCTTGTGACTCAAGGAGAATGAAACTTGATTCACCTTGGGGAAAGAGCGAGACGTAATGATGGCCCGTTCGAGCCTTGGTGGCACCAGGGATACGACCGATACTAGTGGCGTCATCACCAACCAGCTCTTCGTGCAGCAAATCGGTAACTGGTTTGTCGCTCATGATTAAATCAAAGATGGTTCAAGTTGGTCGTAAATTGAAGTCGTGAAGAGTGTTAAGAAGATGATGCGTGTGAAGATGGCCACCGCAGTCTAGGGATTTATAAGGCCCTACTATAGGGGTGACTTTTGTGGTCTGTGCGTCATGAACTATGCCTACAGCCGGGAAAAAAGAGGAGTCAATCCACCCATACCCTCGACGTACCAGTGCGCGTGACGTCATATCGATGTTCCCCACCCAATAACGTTTCAATGGTGCCGAAGGCCATTCGATCCTGAATAAATTTTACGAGTGTATTCTGGAACTTGCATGCTCTTGTAAAGAACATATACACGTCAAAGCGCCAATCGCTTCACTACTGTCCTGGTGATTCCGTCTTCCTGAACAACCTGACGACGGACAAGTCGATACTTTCCACCTGAAGGAAGCCAAACGAAGCGGATGTACCAGTACAAAATGCCGACCAAGGATATTGAGAATGCCACCAGAACGTGCAGCTAAAGAAACAGCAAGTAAGTATTAGCGCCCAGAACTGTGAAGGAAAACATACCCAGTAAGGTAGCCTCTCGTAGGGACGGAAACCCCGGGCAGGAGGAATCAACGGCGCGACGACGAGGAACACGTTTGAAATGAAAAAGAAACATGTAATAGACCACCAGGCTTGGAAGGGTGGCTTCCATTCGTACTTGAGTACCGATGATTTCAGAAGTAACACTCCGAGGGAGACGAACGTGTTGATGAGCGATATAGGATACGTCGATGCTGAAAGATATAATCAGAATCAGCCCTCATATGCTTTCAAGCGAAGGCAATGGTGAACTTACTATTGAGCATAAAGTGATATGCATCTCCGGCAGGAACTGCAACCACCAATATCGAGTTCACGAACCACTGAGCGAACAACCCTGCCATTGGCGCCCCGAACGGTTTATTACTGGCAAAGAAAGACGAGAAGGGAAGTATCCCTTCCCGCCCGAGTTCTTGAATGACTCTTCCATGTGAGAAGAGAACCGCAAGTGTGTTGCCCAGAATGGACAATGCAACAACACCGCTAAGTATCTACAACGCAATGGCACACGTTAATCTTCGACCACAAGATATCACGCGGGTATAAGGAGTAGTATGCTTACCCGCTCTGTCCTATCACCCCAAAGCTTCCCAAAGAACAAGGCTGCAGCAATCCGGCCACTCCCCAAAATCTCCTCTTTACTCACAACAGCGTAGTATGCAACGTTGACGAGAAAATATACCAGAGTGATGGATAGCATCGCGAGAGGTGCAGCTATTTTCATCGTTCGGATTGGGTTCTTGACTTCGGAAAGGGCGTAGTTGGCGTTTGAGTAGCCAATGAATGACCTAACATTAAAAACAGGTAGTAGTGATCAGTGGCAAAGGACTAAGAATGTGAAGGTGAGCATCATACCAGATAACATTGTACATCCCGGTCACGAACGCGTTCGTACCCCCACTTAAACTCCCCTCCCACATTGTACTCCACTCAAAGTTCCTCGGGGGCTCATCCAACTCAAACCCTCGTACACCAAACAGAACAGCCAAGCCGCTCAATGCCATCACCACAAGGACAACTAACTTGAATACTGCAAGGGCGTTCTGTAGTCGGATAGCCCAGTTTAAGTGGGTACTGTGGAGCAGGAAGGCGAATGTTATGCAACACAAGCCGGTGAGGCGGATTGAGATAGGGGAGGGTGTGCGTGAGGTGAGGGCATGAAGCGCATCTAGATCGAAACGATGTGAAGCTTTCGTGAGTTCAGGAGACAGAGGAAGAAAAGGGAGAGCTTACATTCACCGAAGACAGACGTTGATGCGGATGACCATCCCTACAAGATCACAATTGGTGCTGAGACTTCAAAGAGGAATAGTAAGACGACGGTACGCACGATGAAGACAGCATACATAGCGTACATGCAGATGGCAAGGTATCGAGGTCTTCTATAGATGAAGTCTAAGTAGTTTTTCTCCCCACCGCTCCTCGGGATACCCTACGGTTCAGTATTATCGGTATGTGGCGAGGTCTCTTCAAGATGTGTGGCGCGTACCGTCCCAAGCTCGATGTAAACAGCCGTGCCACATGCAGCAACTATGGCTCCGAGCAACCATAATACAAGGGATAGGCCAACGCTTCCTGACGAGCGCAAGATTACGCTTGGAGTTGCGAATATCCTGCATAGATAGGGGTAATATCATATTCGACAACCTGATATGAAGGAAAACCAAATGAGACCTACCCCGTTCCGATGACACGATTAAATATCAAGAATGCTGCACTAAAGGTACCTTTTTCGAAAGGGGGGAGTGGGTCAGTATGAGATGCACTTCGGAGGGGAAGGGCGAAACAATCCATACCAAGTTGTCTATGCTCCTTAGGTACACCATCTAGTAGGGTACAATTTTGTCCTTCATCTACTCACAATTATCTTCGATACCCATTGACGACAATTGTGCAGTGAGCACTAGACTGAGGGACTTACCGCCAAGCGCGCCTGAGATGGACTGCTCTCCGTCCGAGTCCTTGATACTGGCATCGACTACTATTTCCTCAACATCAGGTATATCATTGGATCCATAGTTTGTTGGAGATCCTGAGCGGAGGAGAGGTGCATCTTCTCTGTCCTGTAATGGAGCACTAGACGATGGTCCAGCGTGACCTGAGTACGATCTACTCATGTCCGAGTCTGCTATTCGTCTTAAGTCAACCTGTTGAGAAAAAGGACTCTGCAGCTGGGAGTTTGAGATAACCAGACGCTCTTCCTTGGGAACTGCGTACAGGCAAGAAACTCCGAATAAGATGAATGGAATGGCTCAGAAGGTCACTATGCGGATAGCATCGAAATGAAGGGGTGGCGGCTGGGGACACCCATGGAAGTTCGCCATGCTGTCTGCACTGCCAATTAACAGTTATGAATAATGACAGCATTCAACAAAGGAATCATGTTGCCTACAAATAGAGTCTAGAGACGCGGATTACGACTTTGCAGGCGAGAATCGCGAAGGAGTTGCCTCGAGGCGTGCCGATCGCTTTAGCGACGCAAATCTTGAAGGGTACAAAGCGATTTGCGTGAAGTCATGCACTTCAATAAGTTAATGCGAAAGGTTCGAATGGCTGTTGTCGTGCTGGAAGCCTTGAGAATGTACAATGCCAAAAATTCAAACACAAACACGAATCGAAGCGACAGCGATCTGAGAATATCACAACTATCTTAATACAGTCCAATGACTCTGTTCAGAATACAGTATAACCTTTATCTTGTTGACTTCTCATAACTTCTTTACGTCCCCACAGAAACAGACAAAGTCCCCATCATCAAATGCGAAGACATTTTAGACGGTACCAGACTTGGCGATGGTAATAGTAGCCTTTGGCTTGCCAGAAGCGGTACCGAGAGACTCGACCTTCCTCACGATGTCAAAGCCCTCGACGACCTCGCCTGTGAGTACGTGGAAGCGGCAATCAGCATAATTGATTCCGAGTGTTGGGTAAAGATAGGGGACATACCGAAGACAACGTGAGCGCCATCGAGCCAGGAAGTAACGACAGTGGTAATGAAGAACTGGGAGCCGTTGGTGTTCTTTCCGGCGTTGGCCATCGAGAGAATACCAGGCTTGGTGTGTTTGAGCTGAAAGTTCTCATCTGAAGAAATGCGCATATATTCAGAGCCAGGACCAGGCAGGCGGCGGCGCAGTCACGACATACCCTCGAACTTCTCGCCATAGATGGACTTTCCACCAGTGCCTATGTGACCATTCCGGCGTTAATACACCGAATCCGAGGAATGGAACGGATGTCATGGGACTCACCGTTGCCCCGAGTGAAGTCACCGCCCTGAAGCATGAAGTTGGGGATGATACGGTGGAAGGAAGAGCCCTCGTAGCCAAAACCGTTCTGGCCGGTGGCGAGTTCACGGAAGTTCCTGGCGGTCTTCGGAACGACATCGTCGTACAGCTTGAAGACGACGCGGCCAGCCGGCTCGTTGTTGATAGCAATATCGAACTATCAAGATTGATGTTAGCATCGACATGTGGGGAACGGGTGAAACCGCTGAAAACTCACGAAAACGTTAGACATGGCGATGGATTGTCAGAGAAAGAGGGATGGTGGAGAAAGTGGTGAGTTGGTCGATTCTTATGGACACTCGGAGGAAGCCGATCACCCAAATCAGCCAAAAGATCAGCACCGAAAAACCCAGGTGGTGATTATCTAAGCGCACTGTGACCAATCAGTCACAATCGTTAGAACTCCCGCCGTGATCCCGCCCCAATGCGCAAGCCGGAATTGTCGTTGTATGAGTCCATGTCGACTGCTTGTTGTACAGTACCTCTTCCAAGGTTGATATCGCGTGAAGTGAACGTCCTCGTGGAGGTGTGTTTCGACTTCAATGCCAAGACAACAGAATAGTGAGGAAGAGGTATTTTTGCTTGTACCTGTGCAAACCGTCACCTTCGATCCATGTGCAGTCGACAGGGAACTTTCACAGCTCTGAGCATCTTTAGCCTCAGAGACAAGAAATGTCCCCTGTCATAGTGCGATTATCGACAATATTTGGTGTTCCTCAGCTATCAAGCACGTTGGAGGAGGAGAGTAACAACGTGCTTGAAATATGCACTCCATCAACACATCATCCTCGACGGCGCTCAGTCGAGATTTGACCTCCAGGGCTTAGACCATGTACGTGTTGCTAGGGTGCATGCTGCATCTGAATGAATATGTGAGTGTGGTCTCAGTCAACGACTTGGCGAATTGAGTGACTAGGTTGTCATACCTATCTCCCAGGTTGGATCTTGTGTACAAGAATGCTGCTGCTTGTCGTTGTGTCTTGTACATGCCTTTTCCACATTGTGCAGACCTGGATTTGATACGATCCACACGCCGCGGTCAGTGACCATAGTTGTTTTGAAGAATGCCACAAGCGTAACGGCCTAAAGTCAAGTACAGCCATTGTGTGTCGTCCTAGGCACCAATCCTAAGGATAGATGGGGGAAAGCTTACTGGGGACATTAGTAGAGTTGCTGGTGGGGACGGTTGTTCATCCTCGCCTCCTGGACGAACCCGACTTGGTCCGCGACGATAATTAGCCCATAAACAAGGTTTTTTTTTCCTTCGCAGAAATACACAAATATCAACATCCCGCCGGCTTATTTGCAACATTTCGAGCACCAATCACAAAGAACCTTGGCTTTCCTGAGGCCTTGCCGGCAAGTTCGGACTTCCATCTTTGTCGCTACTCAGCATCGGTAAACGTGATCATGTCATCGACCGTCTGTCTCCGGTATGTTGACTGCCAGATGTTATATCTCCTTGGCGTCAGCGGCACTTATAGTGTGGTGAATTGGAGCTGTAGACCTCCGCGTTTCAAGTGAACAGAACACAATCAGAGAAGATCATACGCTTCTGGCCGAGGATCCTCAACAACCACATCAAGTTGACTCCCTCCTACTTGCATTCCCATCCATCGACTCCGCAGTCAACGCCCGGTGTTCCTGTCTATATGTATACACCTGAGTAAGGGTGTTCATACTGATTCCGTCATCGTCGGGGTGGCTAATGTTGTTCAGTATCATGAAGATGTCAGTTTGTTCACTCGCTCGAGTGTGGGCGTACCACAAATTGATTTTCTTTTGGTCTCTGTCCATCTAGGGTTCGACTGCTAGCGGCGTATCTCGTAACGACCATTATTGGCCAACAACACACAGTCCAACAATTGCCGTCGCGGACTCCAAGATCGGCGCTGTGGCTGCAAAGCACAATCAAAGCTTCCTGCAAATCGTCTCGCGTTCAAAGCGGCAGTGTAGTCAGCAACGATGGTTCTCCGAATGTTTGAAGGTTTGTTGTGCAGTTTGTATTTACGGGCTAACCTCTCTTTGGAGTCAAGTAACCATTTCAGGCAACCTTCTAGGACCGCTCAGAGAACTCCCGACACATTGCTTTCACACCATCCTGAAGACGTATTTCATCAGTGTACGCCACATGGGACAAACCTTTGAACAACTTCTTGAAGGTCGAGCACTCGGCACTCTTTAGACCGGCCGCAGGTGGGCGTCGTGGTTAGCTTAAACTTCTCTGACACCTGGCAATGCTTTATTGGTGACTGGCGCCTAGTTCCCTGACTTTTTGAAGGTTTGCCGCGAGCGCCATCTGCGAGGTGAAATGTCTTCATCCACCCGCTGTAATTGCATACTTTCATTTCATCATCCTTGTCACTTTTAGCGTTCCGCTCAGTTCCCAGCAACATGACCCCCCCTTTGAACATTATAGTTCTAGTATTTACCGCAAAGTTGGTCAGAAACCTCGTGTTTTCGCAATCCTTGTTGTCCCGCGGTCATAAAAGAGTGCTGAAGTGACATTACCAGTTTGTTGAAGGACTTCGTGTTCGGGTTATTCGGCATCTTGTTGACGAACGTGACGGCATTTCATTATGTTATCTGACATGCGACGTCGACAGCTCATGACAATCTTGCTACTTTGTTCTTTCTTGAGACAATGGACACAATTCACCCTACAGCTTGAACCAACTGACAAATACCGAATAAGGGTACTAATCGGAGGATACCTATTGTTGTTGATCTCCCGTTTCCTGTACGTTGTTTTGTGATACCCATCATCGCGCGTTTGCCTTTCCGCTTGCTTCATTTACGTTGAGTGCTTCATCCACTGCCGTGGCATCAAGTGATTCGCCTTGTCTTTCCCAATGCATTGACAAATTGTCGCGACCATCTGATACCGCATGTACATCGTTGCAATTTTGTCCCACTGTCACTTGTCAAGGAAGCCTATCTTGCACACTTCCCTTCCCACACACATTCGACCATACGCAAAGCTCACTGGCCCCGCCGAGGAAAGATATCACCAGGTACACATGAAGCGCATATTGTTTTCCAATATGAGTACATACATAGTCTGAAGAGCCGCTCGAAGCCCCAGCGCACTCGGCGATCTGCTGAGAGCCTCACCCGGTCTCCGCCACCAGGTCGTGCCTTTTCCACCTTCTCCATCATCTCGACTAGCCTGCAGTCGACGTATTTATATCCCTTATGTACTGGCCTTTGTCCTTCTCTCCTCCCTTCTCGATGTCGCCTTGAACGTGCTGGTTGTATGCTCCATGCTCCAGTGTCAAGACACACACCTGTAGGTTTATGGTATGGAGGTTCTGGATGTTTATGACGATTTTGAATTGTAAGTGTGGGCTGAGCGTAAACATTGTTATTGGAATGGTGAGCTAATTGGAACTCATACCTTGACTATATGCAGGTTCGTGCATAATGTCCTCCATCTAGTAGGCATATGTGCGTAACAATCGATCTCTTGAGATCCTACATGTCTGATATGCCGTAGGCATCCTGTACTACGACTATGTCGTCACCTTCACCGATGAGATCTCCTACATCTGGTCAAAACCCATGTCGCACTCATCGTGGCTGTTCATGTTAAATCGATACTTCTCGATTCTCAGTGTACGTCCCTGAGCTTCTGACATGTCCCTCATCGTTTATCAGTGTTCGATCATCACTTGCAGGACGTTGCCGTCAACTGGGGGAACTTTGCGGACTTCAAGTCTGTCAAAGCATGCAAAGGCTACGCTTTCTTTCGCCAATTGATGCTGGTGGTCGCTCAGGTTATCGTCTGTTGTAAGTGCTGGCTTAGTTTAAACCATGTTATCGATCGACTGACGATCGACGTTCAGTCATTTGCTTTCTCCGAACGTATGCGCTCTACGGGCGAAGTAAACGAATTATGGCCTTGATCCTTTCAGTCGCTTTGGTCCTGTTCATTTTGGCATGCGTGAGTTCATTATGTAAAGTTCCCTCAAGAGTCTCTCAAACAACTATACGCGATTCAGTGGTCTCTTGTCGGCCAACGATCGGAGTATAGTATTACACACGGGTGTCATCAAGCGTTAAGCAAGAACAGGTACGTCGTCTTCGCTTCATGTATGCCATTCTTTGACGAGCGGTTCTTGTAGTGCTATTCGTAGGTTCTCTTTGGCTTTGAAATATTCTTAGCCGTCTCTAACGATAACATCTTCAATGATAACATGATACCTCATTAGACCTGGCGGTCGCCTGGGAGGCGTTGTTTGCTTACGACTGTATGATCTTCGTCCTCACCATCTACAAGACGTATCAAGAGAGAACCCGAAGTAACGTTGCAGTACTCAACAGCTTGATGGAACTCATTTGGCGAGATGGTATGTTTTCTTTATCATGATAGTAGCCCTTGTGCTTACAGACATTCGCATAGGTGCTATCTACTTCGCGTGAGCAGCACCATGATTATGACAACTTTGTCGTCTTGATTGATGTTTCCCGAAGTGTCATGGCTTCCGTGAATGCTGCGAATACTTTGACGTTCTACGTGTGTACATGAATCGCTTGCACCATCTTCCTGTTCTAACTTTGATGCTAGTTCCTCTCGGTATGGAAAATCGTACTGAACCCCTGCTGATCGAAATTGATACCATCCTTTGCGATAGCCCTCGCTCAAGGGTATATTATCCACATTCGCTAGCAGGTTCGTTCTGAACATTTCCTACGTCCGCAGTATGGCGGTTACAATTCTTTTTGCACGTCAGCGTCTCAGTGACCATGATGTCCCGCATCATGCTCAACCTCCACGAAACCGCCTCTATCATCAAACCCAAACCAACACCCGGGTCCACATCGACGTCAGACCCGTCGAACAGCACATTGCTTTTCACTTCCCGGATCGCCATGCCTTCTACGGTACTGGGTCAGAGCATTACTGACCACCACACGATATCGGAACACACTCGCGACGTCAGCGATTATACCAATCATGTGTACCAAGGATTTGGGATTGAGGAGGAGGGCTTGAGCCCTGACTCGGAGGGAATCGAGTTGGAAAATATGAGCACGCCGACTGCGCTCATTCCACATCGAGACTCAGATAGATGGTAGCCGATGGGGTCTAGGTTGTGTCTGGGTTTCTCGCTATGCTGGGTTCATGGCCTTTTGTATCGTCTTTGCATCGTCATGAAGGAACCCTTTTGCGTGTTTTACTTTAGAAGGTTTTGCTTGTATCAGTAACTGTAGCCATGTACTTATCTTTTGCATCTGTAACGATCACTACGATACCATTTCAATATTATACCACCTCATTCTCGTATTCGTTTTCATCCAGACTTGACTCGCAAGCGACTCGGCAAAAAGTGTTTTAATGCTTCATCATATCCCAGGGATTTGAGCGTCCGTCTTCACAGGTTTGTGCTTCCATGAACGAAGGACGAAAGCATGAACATATGAGTATTACAGTTCAACGAGTGTATTGAGTAAGGAGAGTAACGCAGTACGATGTATAGAGTGAAAATCAAAGTCTTTTGGGGCTAAGAGTCCGCCAACTGCGTCAAGGTCCCAGGTACACCAAAGAAGGAAGGGGCATAACAACGTAAATAACACAAGTGCAGATGCCACGACATACTGCGAAAGTATCCAATGTATTTAGGCTAGGATATATCCGAGAGCAGCAAAGCCGATAGCAGCGACTCCGGCAATGGATGTCTTCAGGCTAGTGGCATCGCTCGACGAACCACCAGAGGTTGACTGGCTGTCGGACCCGCTCGTCGGTGCATTGCTGGCGCTAGAGCCAGTTGCAGTTGGGGTGGTAGAGGCAGAAGTTGTTGGGTAAGCGGAGCCAAGAGGCTTAATCTCGAAAGGTTCGGAAGTAGCGTAAACCTGTAAGGAGTAGACTCCTGAGCCTCCGACAAGAACGAGTAGTTACAAGGGAACAGACCTCCGTGCTGTTTAGGGGGTTAGCGAGTAGGATGGTATATCCCGAACCAGCTGCCTGACTTGCTTGGTCCTGGGTGATCGTCTTGGAGCAATCAAAGTTGTTCTCAATGGCAATGATCGCCTGTGGCTGGGTGAGAACCTTGGGATCCGTGTTGGCAATGCTGCAAATACGCTGTCAGGCATAGAGACACGGGGATCGCGAGGGACACGTACAGAATGGTGAAGGTCTGGAACTGGGATTCCTGGCAAGTCCATGCAATGGTATTGATAGATTGCGCGACTATTCATTAACAGGAGCGAGTGTAAGAAGACCGGACATCGTGTCGACAATGTACACTGTTTGCAAAAGGGTATATCCTAGCACTTACCCCACCAAGCATTCGAAGAAGGGGTGGTGATCTTCAAGTCGGCAGTCGCGACGCCAATCAGAGCGGCAAAAGTGGCGGAAAGCACTGCGCGAGAGAACTTCATCTTGTAAGGCGAGCAGAACCAGGCAAAAAAGAGAGGCTAGTTGGGCGAAGGCGAAAGGAGACCTTGTTCTCGTGCGAAGGGAGACAGCAGTTGCAACGAACCATGCCAGCTTCAGAGAAGCCCTTAAATTAGTGCGGAGCTTGAAGCTTGGACGTGCGGCTTGCCTTTGCCGTGCCAGCCTCGGGCCCTTCATGGTCGACCACCATCTCGACGCTGTTCTCCACGATGAAGTCGAAGCTCTTGCTGGCTGGCCTATTCTCGTATCTTGTACTGGAATAAGGTTCTTCGACGCGTTTATCATATGACAAGGATGGGCGCACCGCTAACTCGTGGTTACTGCGCTTCATGCAATGGGCACTTTCAGCATTTACTCTGTCGAAGGCTTAATCGTCTTCGATGGAAATATGTAGTGGAACCAGGGCCGATGGGCAGGCACAACTCAAGACTTCTTCTTTTATATTGAAGCCGCTCATTCTGGTTGCTTGAAGCTCTGTTCAGGCGAGGGAACCACAATTGAGGTAGTCCGTTGTTCATATGGACCATGCTCCTCCTCATTTTATGTCTTTGAGCTGAACTTGTATCTCTCTGGCGGATATGTCCGAGTTCTTGGTGACCTTGGCGATACTCAAGAGTCTTCAACCGAGTAACAACTTGCAACGCGGTAGCAACTCAATCACCCTTTTTGCGTTGAGATGAACGCGTACATGTGGTCATACAACCGTTTAAAGAAAACTGCTGTGCTCATTGCCATGTCTCTGGTACTAACCCCCAATGACCTTCGTTGGTGTGCATAACACACCTCATACACGTGTGTACTGGAAGATAAGTATGCAAGAAAACGCCAGTGGTTGACAAATCTTTTACCTCAATCCCCATCTACGCTGCAAATTTGAAGCTCGAAATATTCAATATTGAAGGCAGGCCTTCGTATATCTCTTCACAATAAAACCGACGGGTGAATAACAACTTGAACTCCGCTCTTGTGACGTATTACTTGCAGTCTGTTGAAGTTGGTGAGTCCATGTTTCGCAGAGACTACGCGTCTTTTGTCCTAAGCGACGAACCTTAGTAGGTTCTCACCTGAGGTTTCATTTTCTAGAATTGTATAACATCAGTCATGACCATGGACCGTCGTACCACTCAAGTGGCGTTCTTTGAAGACGCCGCTCTTGCTCTCCAGTGGGAGTTCATAGCGGATCATCCTTCTATTGCTATCGACGACGCTGAGCTCGCCGTACAACTATTTGCACACGAAACGCAGTTTCTGGCCGAGCAACAGTCAGACTACATGAATGCCCTACGTTTACAAGACGAAGAATCTAACCGTGTGGCCGACCCTGGACCGTCAACTCAAAGACGAGCTGTGTCTGCGGATTCTCGACCACCCGATAGGTCTCTTTAGCATCGTGATTTGTCCGTTTCATTCATATTGAGGCGTTTTGTTCAGAACTCAACGTTCTCGGTCGCGGTCGCAAAACAAGGTGTCCGGAATTGTAGGCCGCGTCACGAATACGCTTGTTCGACGACGCGATACATTACAATTGCCGGGATCTACCAGTACTCCTCGCGCATTTTTACACCGACCAGTGTATGTATGCGATTCATAGCTCACATGATTGCTTTCTGACAACACATCACAGTCGCAAGCCAGAGCCACATGAATGTGTCATCTGCCGTTCTAACATATCTAGTATCGCAATCAAAGTTCCTTGTGGTCATTCTTACGACCTCGGTTGCCTGCGAGAATTGGTTCAAGCATCAACTCGTGATGAATCCCTCTATCCCCCACGTTGCTGCCAACAAACTATTCCCAGGAGGCTGTTCGAGTCGCACCTAGACCCCAATCTTTCTGCGCTGTTCTCCGAGAAGAGCATTGAATTCGGTACCCTAAAGCGTGTATATTGCGCGAAACTTGCATGCAGTCGTTTCCTGGGACCACGGAGCACGTCATCAACAACTACTCCGTATATCTTCGTGTGTCCTGTCAAGTCCTGTTGTACACGGACATGTAGCTGGTGTAGACAGGAAGTCAAAGGACACGGCAAGCACTCCTGCGCACAAGATCAGGATCAGGATGGCAAGCAATTGGCGAAACTCAGTCAGAAGGCGGGTTGGGTGTCATGCCCTGGATGTGAGAGGGTTATTGAGTTGCACACAGGTTGCTTCCATATGACTTGCATTTGTAAGACTCAGGTGAGTTGCATCGTTGCGTTGTGCACTGCGATGTGGCTCATGTTATTTTCGACAGTTTTGTTACAGGTGCCGTGCTCAGTGGAAGACGTGTTCCTGCCCTCAATGGGACGAGTTACGCTTGACGGCAGAGACGGAACGACGTCTCTCGCTGCTTCCCCCTTTGCGTACGCTGGAACAACCTCAGGATTTATTTCCTTTCGTCGTACCCCCAGCAGCTGTTGCTATGCATCAACACGTTCCTCTTCGCCCCGCTCCCAACAATCGCGGTCAAGCTCTAGACAATCGTGCAGCTTCATCAGGAATGCAACGCACCGATGCTCCCGCAGTGCGATTACCCGCCCTTGATACGCAGGTTACGCCCGCTAGAGGTCGTGCACCATATCGAGACAAACAACCTCTTCCGAGTCCTGACCCCGGTTCTCCTCCTACACCTCCACCAAAGCGCGCCACTACAGACGGTGTACGCGGTGTCTCTAAACCGCAAGCCGAAGCATCAGGTAGTCGACTCCATGTCCGAACGCGAATTAGTGCCCCGGCTGTAATGCAAGCTCGAGAGAGCATCGTAGCCCGTGGATTACAAGCTCAAAAGCGTAGGACGCAACAGAGAAAGGACCTCTCGCAGCGACGGGCTGAGTCTCCGCCGTCTCCATCGACTTCTACTATAGATCCACGTGTGTTGGATACGCTGGAATCTCGTATCGACAGGTTGTTACATGCTATCGAACATTTTCCTTGTCGGCATGACTGGAAGCTTGAACGGTCTCAGAACGTCTGTGATGGCTGCTACAGGAGTGGCTCTGTTCTCTCGGTGAGTCGATAAACGCCGCTTCTTAGGGTATAACGTTTTGATGAACGCGTTATCTTCTAGTATTGTTCTTTGTGCGCAGCGCGTGCTTGTACGAGATGTCAATTAAACCGAATATGATCTATCGCGCCATGCCTGCTCCTCCGTCATTATGTACCGTCTCGATCACTATGGACTATGTTTATGAAAAGCGCTTCATATTTCAAGTTGCTTGTCGACCCTCTGCTTATACATGTATCTCCTAGGCTTCGTCAAATATGCGAAGTACAAGCTGGGGAAGGTGTCCTCCTGCGCTAATCAGCTCCGAGTAGGCTGCCACGAACAAACTCTATTTTGACTGCTGTCTATAGCTACACGTGCTTATGCTAGGATCCCATATAATTGCTTTTCGAACCTGTCAGATCCCCTGCATCCTACCATCATGTCTCTTCACACATCTTCAAGCCGTCCTCCTTCATTGGCGAGACCTAGCGGTCATGCGCATGACGTGGACGAAGTCGCTGAAGAGTTCCAAGGTGATACGCAGACCGCGTTTGCCGATAGGGCTCTAGCTATTCGGCTGGCTCGAGAAGAGTCTATGAGAGTGCAGCAGTTCAACGCAGATCGACAACTCGCTCTGAGTCTCGCTGGCGGAGCTGCGGCTCCAGCGCCTACCATATTGAACACGCGAGGGTGGGTTGAGTTCTGGTTATGCTGGTTGATCCAGAGTGATTTAATGGGTCATTCAGACCAGCAGCTACGGCTCCAATTGCCACTGTGCCTGCTAACGCTGCGGCAACGAACAGGTCAGCTTGTGTCTTATCTCGTTCATCGACGTAAAGCATTCTTAGCGTGACTTTCCGCAGCTCTAGAGACGCCGCTAAAACGATTGGGTTGTTACACATGATATCTGCATGGTGGTATGGGACTGGCTCTGAAGATAAGGCATCTACTGCATCTAAGAGTCAGACGCCCGCCGCCGAAGGTTCGCGCGCGCATGAGCAGTTTGTATTTCTTCGCCATTCGATAGGATCCGTACTGATAGGCTTGTCACCTTGTAGGCGACTCACAGGACACGATTGTGTGATCTGTGGAGACGCAATACGTGGAATCGAAGTGCGCACTCCCTGTGGGCACTACTACGACAGGCAGTGTATCCTCGATCTCTTCCAAGCTGCCACTCGGGATGAGTCTCTCTACCCACCCCGATGCTGCCGGTTGAAGATACCACTGTCATTGGTACAATCATACATGACATCAGCAGCTATCAATCTGTTCAACGAGAAAGGGCGCGAGTTTGGGACATTGAAACGTGTTTACTGTGCCAATCCTCGGTGCAGCCGCTTTCTCTGTGCACAGCTTGAAGCTATCCCATGGTTCAGCACAACATCTGTCAAATGCACGGCAGAGGGCTGCAATACTGAAACTTGCTCTTTTTGCAAAGCTCGTTTGATTCCGGGCACCATCGTGCCTCATACGTGTCGGAAGGATTCCGTGGACCGAGAGGTGCTCGCGCTGGGCGAACGTTCTCGATGGGCTCGCTGTCCAGGATGCGAAACGCTCATCGAGCTTAACCTCGGGTGCTACCACATGACGTGCAGGTGTAAAACTGAGTTCTGCTATGTCTGCCGAGCCATATGGAAGACGTGTCGATGCCCTCAATGGGATGAAACTCGTCTTCTCGCTGCTGCAGAAGCTCGAGTAGATGCACAACTTGGTATTCCACCTGCTCGTCGGGAAATGCATCGCGCACAACCTCCTGTTCGAGCCGTTCCTCCCCCAGCCAATATAGCTGTTCAACCTCGTCGCATTGTCCAGCCAGTGGCACATGAACATGATGTAGTTCATCATCCACTGGCAGCCGCGGCGACAACAGCTCGGCGGCCTCAGCCACCCCCAGCACCTGTCCGTGTCAACATTCCTACTAGTAGCACCCGACTCGCTCACAATCCTACACCTACGGTTACCGCGTCAACCCCAAGGACCGAACCACACGCGACGACATCCTCTTCACCCGCTAATGTCTTCAGCAGACGAGCTAGTGTTCGTAACGCTTATACTTCTCCTTCAGATGTCGGTAATTGGAGACGGAGCGCCGCTACGAGTAGCAGCGTACCTCAGCCGACACGCAGTGCGCAGGTGCCTAACAAGGGAAAGCAGCGTGAGCGACCTGATAGAGCTCGACTTGTGAGAGAGGCAGTGGAGCATCTACGCGTTAATCATGAGTGCGACCACCTCCACTGGAAATATCGCCAGGGGGGTGGTCTTTGCGAAACTTGTAATCATACTCTACCCTTGTATCTTTTCGTGAGTCTTTCCTTTTTTACGGTTGGTCACCACCATCGCTAATACGTTTGACACAGAGATGCGGGAATTGCGCAATATTGGCCTGCAACAGATGCCGTCGCAATCGTCTTTGAGTAAGTGATGGGGTTGGACATGTCAATCAATGTCTCAGTAGATTGTGCTTCTGTCTACCAGCCTGTAATTCTGCAGTCAATTCACACGCAAAGTGGCATGTTCATCGTGTTGACTACCAGTTTCACCTTGTGTAATGTGATGCGATCATTAACGAACTGAGGATGTCGCTGCTCGAATGCATGGATCATAGCATTGTGCATGTAAACCTAATACAGAAGCAAAGCATGACGACAGACGGCTTGCCGCCAGAAAGCGGAAAAGTTTTCTCCTCGAGAATCCAAGGTATCGGATACGTACAGTATGCGTACGATAATCACCTTAGAAGGTGGACGGTCTGTGTGCGACAAAGGTCGAGCGGACCTTCTGGACACGGTGAGGAAGAGGGAACTTGAGATTGGGCTGGAGCAGCTGCTTGATGTAGGGGCGGCGAACGTCGTCAGTCTTCTCGATCTCGACAACACGAAGGATCTGTAGTCCTCAGAGTTAAAAGATTTTGAAATACGGATGAATTGTGGAACATACGTGGATGGACCGGAAACGGGCACGGTGACGAGCAGCCATATCCTGGTAGAGGCTCTTGACGGCATCCGCACGAGTGAGTTCACGGAACTCCTTGTACATGTTATGGGTGCCAGAGCGGGAGTCGTAACGGATCCAGATACCGAAGTTCTTGACCTTCAGGGGCTTCTTCTCATGAATCTGTAGAGATTACGTCGCAGGGCGACATAACTTGGTTAGTTATCCCATTCCGCCTGCCATTTGAACGGCTGCAAGGGACCACAACGTGATAACACGTACAACGTTGACGCCAATGATCTCGCCATTGGCTTTCTTGACCTTCTTCAATTGCCTGGAAACGACCTTAAAATTAAAGCTAGAAAAAAAGCAAGCCGCATGCGTACCGGAGGAAGTACCAGAAACGAGACTTGGCAACAACTTCATTAGGCGCAAAGATGCGCATACGGTAGATCTTGGGTTTGGGCTCAGCCTCGGTGGGCAAGTGACGGCCGACGACCTGGTATTCTGTAAGAGGCATCTGGAGAAGCACCGTTGAGCGACATCCGTTCGAGCGAGTATGAATCCATCATGAAGCAGTAGTTTAGAGACCGTGGCAGCGGCAGAGAAACATCGCCAGATAGTCGGGACACATGAGACTCACTTTGAGACTGGCTTACCCTTGAAGTTTTGAGGATGTCAGCGGCGTCGTGTACGATGGCGAGGACTGATCCTAACAAGACAATAGAGTTCATAAGCGCTAAAGCGGAGTTTGAATCTCAAGTAGTACTCTATGGCACGGAGGCTTGCTGATACACGGCAAGCACGACCTAATCGGCCGCCTAGTCAAATTGTGTGCAGATAGTTGAGCGGATTGCCGTTTCGCACGCTGATCTGACCGCCCGGTAAATACAATACATAACATAGACTTTACCCTCAACTTTGTTCTGCCTGCAGATGGAGGTTTAAATTTGAAATCTAGTACTACACAATAATAAGAGTATGTTTGATACAATCTGCTGGCCTGTCAGAACAATAGAATATTTTTAAGTTCATCAAACAGTATTGACATTGCGGACATTCTTATTGTGCATGCCCGGCAGACTCTGATCAAATTTGGATCTTCCGGACTTACAGATCAGAGAATCATGTTTTCATTGGCTGATCACAATCTGCCGGATTGGCAGATATTAATTATCTCAGGGGAACAAATTCTAATTTTGTCGCTTTAGCATACCTCAACAACAATAGAGAATATGTTAGACAATCTGTTGCCTTAGCAAATTCTAGTACAAAGACTAAATTTGTTCATAGACAATATACTGTATTTGCGGTAAAACATCTACCATACAAACAAATAGTTGTGTAAAATTAGAATCTACTTTCCGGTCTTCCGGGCGGTCAGATTGGCGTGCGAAACGGCAATCCGCCCAACCATCTGCACACAATTTGACTAAGCGGCCGATTAGGTCGTGCTTGCCGTGATAGGCGAGAGTTACAGCTCTACCAAGCATATAGTAGTTGCCGTATATATTAATTTTTCCTGTCAAGTTGACTATGAGCTACACGTACTACTTAAGACATCCCGGATGGTATCTATAAATCCTATGCGATGTCTAATCAACCAAACCTATCAAGAAAGTGACTGACGACTCAGAATGCATTATGCCCTGGGGACCAATGCTACACTCGGGTATTGTAGATGCTCGAAAGCAAGGAGAGTAGTTGGGGATCAACAAAGCCGGGATGCCTAGTGTTAAGCTTGTGTCCGTACTTCAAACACAGGTCGGCGGGATAGATGTCCAAGTTGGGTGCTTGAGCGTGTTGACGCTCAACAGCAGAATGTATTGTCCGTAATAGCTTGCTGAACTCATCCTGACAGATCTTGATTGAGCTGTCTTGCATGAATAGTGTAAGGTAGAGAACAATTTGACACAGGTGAAGAGGTTCGACCGTCTCCGCTTGCAAACAAGCAGTACTTCCTGATATCAGGTTTGGAATCGCTAACCAGGTATCAGAAGGTATGGCGCAAGTAGACGTAGAGTGTGACATACCTTTATTACTGATGATCTCGGTGAGCGAGAAACTTGATGGCAGTCGTGCATAACGAGAGCGCGCGAGAACTTCCACTACGCCCCTCGCGGTTCTTTCATTCTCCCCAAGTAGCCGGATAAGTAGATGACCTGCTCGAGCTTCCGCAGCCTGTGGACTGGCCCTTCGTGATGCAGCAAACAAGGGTAGCAGTGCAGATCCGATACATGTTAAGGCAGAAGATATCCATGTGACCCATTCCACTGCCTGCTTGTTCTCCTCTCGCTGATTCATCTCCCGATGAACAGCATCAATGAGGATATTTACAACTGCTGAGCGACCGACATTGGTCATCCGTCGTAAATCCGTTATGCGAACGTCAGCAAGGTCATTCAGCTCTCTATCCGCATGGCGAGAGATAACTTCCCGAACGCACGAAACTACCTCCCTCCCGTCAGCTTCGAGAAGACACTCTCGCATGGTAGTTCCGATGAACTCGTCGTCCATCATTGTCGCGTCCGCAGCGACGAGAATGGGTACATCAAGCGACATGTCCTCGCGGACCATTTCCTCCTCTCCTCGCGATACGGGATATGAGGGCCCACAGAATAGGGTGTTTCTCAAGATGGTTATCATGCGGCGAATACTCTGAAGTCCAGTTCTCAGAAGTGGTGTCTTGTAAGGACACTTCGATGAGAACACCGGAGCTATGGTTACCGAGAGGTATAACGATGCCCAAATGCTAATGAGCGCTGTCACGACCCAGCCCACTGCGGTGTCAAGGGACAGAAGAAGGATGCAAAGGCCAGCAAAGAATAGGAACAGTGCAAGTTGTAGAAGCATGGGAAGGAATGCGGCAATTTCGAATACGCGCCATTTGGTGAGTCCTAACCACCTCCAGAATCGTATTCTGGTACGACATCGAGGTGCGATATTGTCTTGAGCCATGTATTCGCGTAACCATTGCTTTACGAGCATGGCTAGTGAAGCCGTGACCAAGCTGCACACCAGTGCTGAAAACCATAACGAATTGATGTGGACTGACCAGGCATCGGGGGAGGGAGAGGGAGAGGGAAGCGCGATGGAAGCGGGTATAGTTGAATTGATAGAGCCACCATTTATATTGAAACTGTTGAGCTGTTGCGATATCTGCACAAGCAGGAGATTCGTGACCTCGGCTGGATCGGTCTGCAGATCCTTGTACGATTCAACGTTAAAAGCCGTCAGAACCGCAGAGAAAAGGCCAGCCTGTACTGTGTATTAGTTGGCGGTTTTCTTGCCACCGAGACGGAAATTCGTACAAATACCAACAGAGTATCCATGTCCTCCTTACAGTCCCGAACTTTGGATTCGTCGTACTCTGACATAGCCTTGGCTAGTCTAGGCCATCCACGCAGTCGACCGGAGAAAGTAGGATCCTAGTATTCGCCAATTTTTTCAGGACAGTAGGACTCAGAGGACGACCCTAATAAACTCACTACCATTGAGCCACCCATGGCAGAATTAAGGGTGGTGCCATGGAGCTCGTCGAAAGACAGGTTCGTAAATGAGCTCATCTGTCTAGGGCTGGAAGAGAGCTCTTCAGTATATTGAACAGACATCGTGCACAAAGCCACAACTGGCTAAGAATCTCGTCTCGCGAATCAATCTGTATAAGCAACGTTAATCAGATGCTATCATCTTGGACTTCGGGACTGAAGAAAATAGTTGTAGCATTCAAGCTTATACATACTCCTGTCAATCAAATGCTGACTTCTTCTCAAGTATGCAATGGTATCTCTCGGAAGAAGGCAGCTTGTAATTTTGGGATTATCTCGCTTAGAGACGGCCCATCATGCGCATCGACGCTGAGTTCGAATTGTCCTTTCTTCTCTCGTAACCACCATTTTCACTATTTGACACGTCCCGCTTTCGTGTATTCTCGTTCTTGGAGGCAGGTGCTGTATATACCTTCTCGGTGCCGCGCGAATACGCAGAATGCAATATCGTGCCTGCCAACTTGGCCATATGCTCAGTTTATCCGCCACAGGTTCTGGTATTCCCTTCCTCATGGTGAGCCGGCTTGGCGTTGAAGTTGTTCAACACACCCTATGGCTTCCCGATAGTTCCTACATGGATCGAACGTTATCAAGCGAAACGATTGAAGAATGCAACGTGATCCCGTCTCTCTTGGCCCTAAGTCACTCGTGCAGTATCTTCTGCGAAGTAATAGGGTAAACGCTATCGAACAACTGCGTCAATCGCTGTACTTTGGCCCCGTCTGGGCAGTTCTTGTCACCGTGCGCATATAAGGTCACCTGAAGATTCCGCATGCTGCATATCGCTCGGAATGCCTGTCCGAAATAGCTATAAAAGCGACCTGTATCATGGAGAATTGTATCCAGGGCATCTCGAGTCGTCAAGATGAAGTTCTGTGCTGCTCTGCGATTCTTCACTGTGGTTGTGCTCGGCACTTCGTTATGTGCTACTGCTGCTCCAATCTCCTCGTCCGAGATACAGGACAAAAGTGCACAGGGTCTTCGTCTCCTCAGTCTGGAAGAAAATGCCGTCCCTGTCTGGAAGACCGAAGACGAGAAACTGGAACTAATGCGTCAGGGTGTCAAATTCTTCGATGTTACGGAGACGTACGAACTTGAACAAGGCCTTCCTAAACAAAAGGCACCCGCTGCAACATGTATGTGTCTTCGTCGTAATTGTCTCGACCGTTCTGCTGATCTCATAGAATGGTTAGTCCCCGCGCCTTCGCACCAGTCTGCTGTCAAAGCTATTCTTAGCACGGTCTCCGTATCAAAAATGCAATCCAACCTTGCTTCTCTCGCTGCATTCAATAACCGGTACTACAAGTCCTCTACCGGCAAGGATGCAAGCGACTGGATCTTGAATACAGTATCGCAGGTATAGTTTCGTATTATATTTCTCAATGTCCTTTATGTTTGACTAAACTGGTGTATGCAGATTGCTGCAAGCCGATCTGAGATCACAGTGTCGGCATTTACGCACTCGTGGACCCAATATTCTATCATCGCAAAAATTCCGGGGACCCAGGCCTCTTCCCCAGTGACAATCCTTGGCGCACACATGGACTCCATCAACCTCCAATCGCCTACGAGTGGACGAGCGCCTGGTGCAGATGACGATGGTACCGGCACTGTGAACCTCATCGAGACTCTGCGTGCTCTTATCGCTGCGGGTTTCAAGCCGAGCACTCCTCTCGAATTTCACTGGTACTCTGGCGAGGAGGCTGGTTTGCTCGGAAGTCAAGCAATTGCGACGAACTACAAGAACGCCGGAATCCAGGTCAAGGCGTTCATGGAGCTCGACATGAGTGGATAGTGAGTATAGGACAAGTCTTCTCTCCGCTCAACTCTAATCGCAGCGGATACAGCTTTGCACCTGGGACGACAGAGGTGTTCGCCCTTGAAGCCGTGAGTAACCTCCAACTTATTGCTTTTGGCCAGTTTGTTCACAAGCATTGTTATCAGGATTACATCGATACTGGCCTCAACACCTTCTTGAAATCCCTCATCACGGCTTACTCCGCCTTCGGATGGGCAATGGATACCCCAGTAAGTCATCTTATTCGTAGTGTTTTATCGAAATTAGCCTAAACATGCAATGCCCTGCATAGTGCGGTTATGCCTGCTCTGATCACGCATCATGGTACAAGTTCGGATACCCCACGGCCTTCCCATACGAAGCCGTGACTGGAGATGACAACCCGAATGTCCACTCTTCGGCTGATACTACCTCTGTTCAAGGCTTCTCTTGGTCGCATTCCTTGGAGTTCGCGAAGCTCGCGGTTGCATTTGCATACGAACTGACGATCTAGGTCTGCCTCATCGACAGCCTGGCGTATATTCGTTATACAAAGCCCAAAGATAGCAGAAATAATACAATGATTGTTCTCGCCTTCCTTCAATCTTCCTACTTAACCATGAATGTGGTCCTTGAACCACTTGCAATGCGAGCACAGTATGAGAAAAACTAAGAATATGACCCAAGGTCGGACATACCTTGCTGAGAAAAGCGGCCGAGTCCTTCGGGGTTCTCCTTTGTGTATCGTAGTCAACGCGCGTAACGCCAAAACGAACCAGGTATCCGTCGGCCCTGCTTTCACGTCAGGCCTAGCTTGGTATAAGAGCCGAGTACCTTCGTACCATTCAAAATTGTCAAGAAGACCTGCAGGAAAGACAGCCATCAGTTCTGAGCCACGAGCGTCCAACGTTGAATTCTTGAACTTACTCCATCCAAAGTACCCTCTTACATCTGCACCGTCCTCGGTCACAGCCTGCAAGAGGGCCTTCGTATACTGCTCGAAGTACTCCGCCCGATCTTTATCATGGATGGCTTCTTGAGATGTGACATTGTTTTCATTCTTAACCGCAAAGCCGTTCTCCGTTACACTGACTGACGTTAGTTTGGGCTGCCAAGCATCAAGTGCGAAGTCTTACTAGATCGGTTTCTGATAGGTCTGTTCGGAGGAGTGTGAGTAGATATGAACTAAATAAGTTGTCCTACATCAGTCTTACCTTCCACAAGTAGTTCAGAAGCTTATAAGTGAGAAATTAATCAACTTAGGAAAGATGAACAACCCAGGACTATCGACGTACATTTCTGAATCCGGGGCCGTCTAAATGTCAAAAGGTAAGTGAAACATCAGGGAGAGGACAAGAGCACATACACGTTTGCAACCAATCAAACTCAGCTGGATCCATATCGCATGAAGGTCAACCCTTGAGTAGATAGTTACGATATTACACACATTGTGTACCAAGCTGCGTTCCATCTGATCTCGTATGTCCCATCTTGACAAAACCAACGGATTCATCGCCATCGCCATCATGCTCTGAACACTGTTAGAATGGCGCAAAACAGCAGAAAATGATACGTACGGATAACATGAGTTGTATATGTATTCAAGCCGAAGAAATCAGATGAACCTTGAACAATGGCTCGTTCTTCAGGCGAAAACTCCGGGAGCCTGTCCCCAATAATAGTCTTCACGCGGGCAGGATATTGTCCTCTGTAGATCGGATCCTACGTAAAGAAATGAGTGGGAAAAAAGGAGCATTCAATCTTTGTGACAAACGGCGAATCTGGCTGAAAGAGACGTCAATGAACGATCGGATCTATCTTACACATTGAGTGCCACTTACTCAACTTGAAATCCAGAGCACGAGCAGTAGCTTCGACATCTGATGTGAACCCCTCCATCATTGTGAAAACTCAGGCAAATGAGAAACACATACTCTCAGGCGAGTCATCGTAGGGAATAGTCCATTGACAATCGAGGGTGATTCCAATCTGGCCGCCTTGGGCTGGCTTGAACTCTTCACGGTAGGCCTTCACCGCGTAGGCATGTGCTAGAAGCAAATTGTGTGCAACGCTGATATTGTTGTCAGTTCAAGCATTTCACATACATACACATAAATCACCAACATCCAATGTTCCGTATCGCCGACATGACCGGGTGCAAATCTTCCGCTGCCATAGCCTAGCAGAGAGACGCACCATGGTTCGTTGTGGGTAATCCTTTAGAAGCGGTTGCAGTTAGGATGTATATGATATGGCGAAAGTGCAAACCAGTTTTGTACAATATCACCAAATGCACGGAAGCAGACCTAGCTCGTTTGTTTCAGCAACTGGAAACCGGTGGAACTAATCCATAAGACCTTCGCATAGTTCACATAATCCTCAATGATCTCGTCTTTGTTAAGCCATCCTCCGTACTTGTCATGAAGTCCTTGTGGTGAGTCCCAGTGGTGCAATGTCTTAAGATAAGTCAAATTCAGGTAAGTCAGGCGGAGGCTGGGTTTTGGAGACGTACCACGAAGGGCACGATGCCATTATGCAATAGTTCTTCGAGCAACGTCCGGTAGAACTGAATACCTTCCTCATTAATAGGATCATTACGACCACCTTTCGGAATGATCCTCGACCATGAGAGAGAGAACCTGTACGCCTTGACACCGTAAGAGGTCAAGAGGACGACGTCCTCCTTCCAAAGACGATACGAATCGCTAGCGATGTCACCACTTGAACCATCTCGAATCTTTCCAGGCGTCTTGCAAAAAGCATCCCAGATTGACGGCGCACGGCCACCTTCAGAGGCTGAACCCTCGATCTGGTAGCTAGCTACAAGAATGTTCAAATATACCACCCATCATGTCAAGCTGAAGAAGCCAACCGGTCGCATATCCCCACAGAAACTCCTTGGGTAGTTTTGCTTCGCCGGACATCGTCTAGGACTACAGTAGCTGGTGAGACTCGAACTAGGCTTCAACTAGGGAACTCGACTGGTTATATGTGCCTCGGATAAACGTCGGAATGGCATAGAACACGAGATGCCATATCTGTATGTGCACTCTCACTGGCATCCAGTTGTTTATGAAGACGTGGGTTTGTCATTCGTCAATGCTTCTGGCGACAGTCGGCACAAATGTGAGCTGATCACGGGCATGCGTCTCATGGAGCGGGAAGAGCACGAACCTAACGGTATGGAAATAATACACTGGATGCAAACATTAGTATAGAACAGTAGTGTACGTGAGAGCAAGTCTCGTCAATTAGCATATTTGGATGGTCGTCAGTTCTACTTCTTTGACAGAAGTTGGTGATTGTGTTGGAAACAGGATACAATGATTGAACAAACCGTCATTCGAACCATGTTGTGGTTCAGTTGCCTCGCTACTCGTTGTAATATCTCCAGCACTTGGGTATATGGTGGATATAAAAGGTATACTTGTGGCGAGCGTAGTGGACGGCCTTGCGGAGTTTGACCAATCCGCATGCTGCTCTCTGAGAAGCTTTGGGTCTCGGATGTTGAGCATTAAGCGGGACATAAGTGTTGTTGCAAGTCTGAAAACATTCCAAGTAAACTTTTGAAGTCAGGAGTACAATCTTGCGACATACACGTTCGTAAAGGTTGTACTGATGCCTTTGACCAATGGCTGATGAGAGGCGTTTCGAATGAACCACTTGAACAGAAGATGCATACAATACTATTACCTTGCTAATCTGTAGATGCATTAGGAATGAACACAAAGAGAAGCTTGCATACGCACCACGAACGTTATGATGTTGGACAGATTTGCAATTGCCATACAACTTCGCGTTGTGACTGAGATAGATATTGAAAGATTCAATCAAGCTCTCTCACCCAAAATAAACGGCGCCTAGGAAAGCCGACATCCTATCAGCGAAAGACGAAGCAAGTAAGTTCTGAAGCTTACCATCCCTGAATAGAATATCAAACAAAGTCCTTCGTCCACCTCGCTCCACGGCAAAAGCTTTATACAGCGTCAAAGAGAATATCAAAGTGTCGAAGATGAGAAGACCGCCCCAGGCGATTGCCAGCCGACCGCCCCTGGAAATGTCATTGAGTCCTCCAGAGGAAGGTCGACGTAGGAGTAAGGTATGCCCACTGAAGCTCTGACAAGCTACTATTGCACCCTACAATTGACGGCGCCGCAGGTGCAGAATCGTGCTTCGCAAGCACACCCCACTATGAGGTTGTCAGCGTACATGTCCGGCAGACCGACTGTCTGCGCACTCACACAACCGACCGCAGTAACGATGACTGCCACTGCGGAGGTCACGCGGAATACCCATTTGTTGCGATCGTAAAGGGCATACGTGCGAATAATCAGCAACACTATTGGCCGTCATCGATCGATAGTTTCTAAAACGAAAAAGAGAACATACCGCCAACGAGAAATTGTATGACTACAGCGTAGATTTGATGGTAGAATACTAATGCGTCACAGCTTAAGGCGCGAGTCAGTATGCAAAGGTAGATTGGACTGAGAACATACAGCTTATATTCGTTGAACACATGTTTTACTATCCAATTGCGTAATGAAGTAAATGACTCACTGCGTCGTCGTGGTCCGCGAGGAAGGTTTCCGCCAGGATGGGAATATGTGCATAGACACCGAGATATCGAACTAAGAAGAAGAGTATGACACCCCAACGCCACTTGAATGGCCTGAAATGCCAGTACCGTTCGATCTCCATGCGGATTGTGAGGAAATAGTCATAAAAGAGGATGGCTGGATGGAATGATGAAAGATGAAACATTTGTTTTAAGCATGCTTGGCTGAGTCACGTACTGAAAGAGACCAGAGCGTAGTACCGGATGGCTAATCTGTTCACATTTCCTCAAGCAGATATCGAGAGAAGAAGACGACCACACCTACGTTCCCACAGCGGCCTCCTCAAGAGGTGTCATCAAGCTCTGAAGGTCGCCTTCACCTTGACGAAACCAGGGTCGTTGAGTATCCGTGGGCTACAACTTGAGCACAGTGAGATGTCCTGGCGAACGTACTAGTACAGAGACAATCTTCTTAAGAATTTTCTGGAGGGCCGATACATGCTGCATCATTCGCAGGATGGTCATACGTCTGGACCTATAAAATGCATCTCAGCGAGGTTGACATGTTGGAGCATGCGCGTTCCTGGCAGTCACGAAGTTTGTCTCGCTAGCGCCGAATCATGTCCTGATCGTGAGTGTGATCAGGTGTGACCATTCAGATTCGTCTCCTGAACTGTTGGCTTCGGCGTTGGCCCTTCCACTGGCATATCTCCAACATCGAAATGTTAGAATATAATGCGATTGTGACCTGAAAAATTCATGCTTTGAAACCTGAGGACTTGCAGGGAGATGGATCCTCTGGTCACTAATGCATCACGGCGATGATACCCCAGGCAAGACGCCTTGATTTGGTGTGGTTGGCGCTTCGGCGCATCCGCCATCTTCAGAAGACTGATAGCTAAGCAGGAGGCTATTCCAACGGTTCTGACATACCGACATCTGTCCATCGTAAGACAAGCGGCCTAGTTTGACAGTTGAGCCCAATGTCAACCATGACTATCTGTCATACGATGCTCCCGGCCGCAAATCCAACCCTTTGGGCACAACTAGGCACATCTAAGGGTCTATCATTGACATAAGCAAATGGGTTCTATTTGGTAGGATGAACTATGTGTGGCACGAAGATACTCACCTTTGATTGAGGACTCGCACAGCTCATGGATGGACTCTTCACAAACTATCCGAAGAGCCTTCACGTAGTATTCATGACCTGCTGGTGTGACGAGAGCGAGGTCAATCCGCGACACGGATCATTAGCGAAAGAGCTCAAAATTTTGAAAGGCAAGAGCGTACTACAATTGCCTGACGGGCTTGAACTCATGAACAGAAGATTCGGGCACATCCGAAAAATAAGGCCCCTCCTTTTCATCCTGACTCGTATGGTCGTACCTGTTTCACGCAAAATGTTTGCTGCATAAGAAACTCGTCGACTGAATAAACAAAGTCCAGGGCGACCGTATTGCCCAGAGATGCCGCAGCAATCGCATGGAGATACGAAAGTCCCGACGGATCTTCCAACTCCATCGGAGGTAAGGCAGATTTTCAAATATTAGGCAGACTGAACGAAAAATTACCTATAGAGGATGAAGCTCCTCCCAGCCGCATTGACCACGAGAACTAAATGAAAAGGGGAGAATCATTGAGCGCTCGTGATATCGGGACCGTCGTCGTGACTCGTGAAGTCAACATCAAGCCTATTTTCCAATCAAACGTTTGACCACTACCACACCTTGCAACCCTGCAAACTCGAGAAGCAAGTGAGTTCACGGTGTTATGTCTTGTAGGCGGTACGTACAAAGTGACATCGGCTGCAATATAAACGATCGCTAACGCCGAATACACTGTCAACCGACAACCTAGCCACGATCGAGCTCGGCTCATAGGATGTCGTGTTGGACCTTACCAAATCCGGGGATGCGGTAAAGGATGTTGTCCATATCGCGAAGACAGTTACGAAGACATCATTCAGCACGAACGATACACCTTCGGACCCCCACGTGGTGACGCAGAGAGCCTGCAAGCATGGAAGGGCCGTGCTTCATGCCTAAACCCATATCGTCCCAAATTCGTTTGTGTGGATTGTAGGCGGAGTTTCAAGCAAGCTGTCATCGCTGAAAATGAGTATGACAAGAACGAGTTTGGCAGGAAGGATAGGGTTCGCCCTGAACGCGAACGCATTGCGCATGTATGGAAGGTTTATAAGTTCAAGATGCCGAGCCTGAAGAAGATATCGCCTGATCAGTGGGGAGAGTTTCGACGTAAAGAGAACCTGTATAATGCCGAAGGGGAAGTGGCGTTCAATGAGGATGAGCTGCAAGCACTTCAAGAGCTCAGTCCGACATTCCATTGGAGATCTTTCACGAAGAACATACGTTGTCCTCAATGCGGAAAGGAGGGTCGTCATGTTGGGGGAACTTTTAGACCGTGCGCAAAGACCGATGATAAGGGTTGGGAGAGGATCAGACAGATGCTGGAGTCTGGCGAAGACTTCAGCTATTGCATGACGGAAGAGGAACAGTTGGAGGCTATTCAGGAGGGTAAGAGGCTCAAGGAAAGGATAGAGTTGGAGCAGGCGTGGACTGCGCTAAAAAAGGAGCGCATTGCAACCCTGCAAAATGCAATCAGCTTAGGGGAACGCACACCAGATGAGCAAGCAAAGTTTGACAAAGTTCGCATGGTCAAGGACTTGTAATCCCGATTGATCATGCTGTAACAAGAATTGTGGTTTGCTGTATCATAAAAGCATAGTTTATTGAGTTCAAAGCGCTTTTATCGTGTTGTCTACTGAGAGGGAATGAAAACATCAATTTTACGCCACGTAGCCCAAAGCATGATCCCCGAACCTTCATCTCTTGCTGAACGCTAACCACATAAGCCCCTCGAACAATTCCGTCACTTTCGGTAGCTTTCTCCGAGCTTTTCGACGTGGCCGGAGCGGGGCTAATCGTAGAGAGCTCTGTTCTGGGGCGGGAGCTGCTTCCGGTCAGACGCATATAGCCGCTTTGTCGAGGGTTTACTAACCCGCAGAGCCTTGGGTCTCCGCATGATGTTTCTGATTCAACCGCCTCTCCAATTCTTCAAACGCGGACAGGGTAATGTTTTTCTTCGATGCCAGGCGTTTCTGTCGAGAGGTGCGGATTTCAGCAGGCCACTTACTCTCCGGGACACGTAAAGCGCGGAGGGACTTTTGAAGTGAGTCTATGGCCTTGTTGTAGTCATCCAGGGCTTCTTGATAGAGGTCGTACACGCAAATGGCGCAGCCTGACATACAACATTCTGGCACAATTGTGTCAGCTAAGTCACTAACCGATGAATGCAGTAACCATACGTACCGTCTTCCGCGGGAGGTTTGGGCTGTTCCGGAATGATGAAACCCATGAAAGTCTTCGGCTTTCTACGGCGTCTCTGTATCTTCTCCCCAGACGAAATGGCACCTTCAGCATCTTCCTTCAATTCCGATATATCTTGCTCATAGGCCCCCTTCCCGCGCAATGACTTTTCTAATCTCTTGTATCTATTCGAGAGGTCTTGACCACCTCTAGTGGGATGCTTCCATTCCTCGGAGGTGGTGGGAAGAGAACGAGTGAAGTCTAGGGTATCTTGGGTGGTATACCACAATCTAGACATTGTTAAGGTCCATTTGGGAGTGCGCAGGGCATGGTATATGGGAGAGAGTCTACAGGTGCGAATCATTCGACATGAGAGGACGGAAACAACGAAAGTCGCGAATTGCAAGGTGGAAGTAGCATCAGAAGTGGACTGGTTACACAATTCGCGGAATATTTTAATATCTGATTACCAAGACACATACTTAAGTGTATTGTTATAGTAATCCAATTACAGCTACACGCCCAAGTACTACTCGGAACCGCCACTGCCTCCTCAACTCTGCTCAACATCGGACACGATGGCGAGTACGGCTTTCAAAACATTCTCGCTTGCAAACAACGTAGTGGAGGTATCTCCGCAGGATGATATCTACAAGTTCGATGTCGATGCAGACAAGCGCATCAATCGTGAACAGCCGTGGACAAAGGAGTAATTAGCCATCCTCTTGGTCGGTCGAAGCGAAATCGTTCTGACTTGAGTTACCAGTCCACACTACTTCAAGACATGTAAGATATCTGCAACCGCCTTGATTAAAATGGTATTGTTCTCTTGGCTGTACCCTCTTCAGGAGACTGAGCACCAGTCGTACAGGTAATTCATGCACGATCGGGTGTACCATACGAGATCATGGGCTTGATGCAAGGGAAGGTTATGGGAACCTCCCTTGTTATCATTGATTCATTTGCGCTCCCCGTACAAGGCACAGAGACCCGTGTCAATGCTGCCAATGAGGCGTATGAATACATGGTGCAGTATATTGAGGGAAGCAAACTGGTGAGTGGCTGTATCTAGTGCTTATCTATGTTGCTGATGCCTATTCTCTTGTATTAGGTCAATCGGCTGGAGAATGCTGTAGGATGGTACCACTCACACCCAGGTTATGGTTGCTGGTTATCTGGTATTGATGTTACCACTCAGTTCACAAATCAAAAGTTCCAAGATCCTTTTGTTGCTGTTGTCGTATGTCATACCCAAATGCTTATCTCTATCTCTGAGATTTGTTCATTTTAAATGTAGATCGATCCGAACCGTACCATTTCTGCCGGCAAAGTAGACATTGGAGCGTTCCGGACATACCCAGAGAACTATACTCCTCCCGATGCAGCCGCATCGGAATACCAATCGATTCCACTAAGCAAGATCGAAGATTTCGGTGTGCACGCCAACCAATATTATCCACTTGAAGTTCAAATCTTCAAATCGAGTCTGGATAATGAATTACTTGGTCTATTATGGAACAAGTATTGGATCAACACTCTAAGCCAAAGCGCTCTGATATCCGTATGTTTTCGCTACTAATTCAAATGTTGCCATTACTAACGTTGTTCAGAATCGGGCATACGCTGTGTCACAGCTGAATGATCTGCAGCAGAAGTTGGCAAAAGCTCAATCCTCAGTGTCTAGTACCCGCGCGCCCATACCGCTACCCAAGGACGACATCAAATCCAAGATGCTGGCAGTATGTTTATAATTGTCTTCGTAACCAATCATGCTTACATCCGCCCGCAGAAGGAGGAGAAGAAGAAAGAGGAAGCAAATCAGCTGGCCAAGAGTGTCAAGGATGGGTATGTCCTCGTATATGTCTTCAACCTTGTCGAGATTCACTGAGACCACTTGTCAGGGCGAAGATTGCGACTGAAGCACAACATGGTCTCATTGCACAAGTGCTCAAAGACATTCTTTTCTCTTCGCGACCAGGAGCGCCGACATCTTCATCGGTCTCGGTGGAGGAAGTCGTTGATACCGCCATGTCTATCGGTTAGAGTGTTTAGATCACCATATTCTCCTTTGCTTCAGTTTCCTTGCACTTTGTTGTATCTCTGGTCGTATTACTCACATCGCACTTGTATTGTACTTGTTTCTTCGCATGTAACGTCCCCTCGCAAACATCCCCACGAATGTCCTCTTGTCTTCTGCACGTGGCAGTTTCTCCATATGCGCGTCTTTGTCTTTGAGAGGAGCGCGTCTTGGTACGGCGCAACGCTCTTTGTCCTCCTGCGTCCTCGCGACGGCGTTGCTTTTGTACCTCTCTGCCATAGAAGGGGATCCTGCTACTGTAATTGACTATCCGGCGTGGTCCGCAACACCGATTTAATATTTACATAACTCCCAACCGCCGGAGTATATAAGCCAAGACTTTCTTTTAGTTATAAGTATAGGCCCGTCTTGTTACACTTCATAGCCATCTATTGAAGGTCCTAAACGACACCATTATCTATGCGTTTACACCTTGCAACGTCTTGGACGTTTGCAGCTGCAGCTATCGGCTTCGGAAGCCTTCCCTCTGTCATTGCCTGGGGAGCGGCAGGTCATGAAATTGTAGCGACTATTGCCCAGGTATACTTGCACCCATCAGTGTTACAGAACGTATGCGAAATTCTCTACCCGGGTTCCAGTCTTTCATCCAGTGACTCTTCGCCGCCTTGCCACCTCTCCCGTGTCGCGACTTGGGCAGACCAGGTTCGCCGTCAACCCCAATACCGGTATAGTGCGTCTCTGCACTACGTCGGTGCGCTGGATGACCACCCTTCGGATACATGTCTCTTCCCCGGAGAACGTGGTTGGGCGGGGCGCACGAATCACAACGTGCTCGGGGCAGTGAGGAATGTCACCGAGATTCTGAACGGTTATGTTGTCGGCGAGCGTGACGGCGCAGCGGCGGAGGAGGCTATGAAGTTCCTCATTCATTTTATCGGAGACATGCACATGCCACTTCATCTCACGGGCAGATATCGAGGTGGCAACGGCGCTAAGGTTACTTTTGACGGCCGGGTTACTAGTATGTCAATCTGCCCTCCGTGAGCAGCAAAGAATGATACTGACATGCGCCTTGACAGATCTACATTCCCTTTGGGATGGGTTGCTCATTTCCAAGGCGCTGAGAACCATTCCTCAGAACTATACTCATCCATTCCCAGCTGGGACTTCCGATGTCGATATCGAGTCCCACTTGCGAGGGACCATCTACGACCCCTACGTTCGTAGGGTGGTGTATGAAGGGTTTGGCACTGGCCCTGCCAGGGGACGATTCACGGAAGAATCACAGGAATGGTTATCCTGCCCCCAAGGTCAACAATCGTCGTTCTGGGCGTCAGCACAGACATTCCTGGGTCTTCGCACAGCAGGAGATGAGCGTAGATGGGACGACGATGTCCTATGCCCGTACGCTTGGGCAAAGGAGTTGCAGAAGCTTAACTGCGAGTTTCCTATATGGCCGCGTGAACTTGATCAGCCTCCCTACAACCATTCGGTGTTCTCTCCACTTCTCGACGACGTAGATGAGGATACAGAAGCGGAATCTGACTACGTCTATTCGCTTCCTTCCATAGATGAATTTGGACGACCACGTCCCCATCCTGATCTTCTCGAATTGGACACCCCTGAATATGCAGGCCAGATTGAGAAAGCGTGGCTCGTGGAACGTCTTATCTCTATGGCTGGTGCTAGACTTGCTGGTATACTTAATGGGTTGTTCTTGGAGGATGAGTTGACGAAAGCAAACTCTACTCTCCCAGTATTCTTTTTGAAGTGATGCTCGATACCCTTGGATCTGCTTGCTTAACACATATTTGTATTATTTGCTGCACTTATGTACTACTTGTATAACGCTCATTGACTGGATGTCTGAACTGGCGGGACGTTGAGAATTCAAGACTAGCGATGTCAATCACGCTGATTAGAGGTAATCACACAGTGAGGTGTAAAACGTGTATTCGTATTACTATCATCTCAGTCATGTCTAAGCATGAGAAATAACCTTAACCAAGAACCCAGGAGAGAAAGGAAATTGTATTATGGCCTACTCCCCATTATTAGTTGGACCGCTTATGAAGGGGGGCTATAGAAAATTATCAGCAATGCCATCTAGTCTGAAGCAGCATTTATAACTTACACAGGGGGCACAGACGTGACCGGTCCAGGGTCAGTCGGAAGAGTGGGGAAGGGAGTGGCTCTGCAAGCCTGTTCAACGTCCCTCCTGTTCAAACCGGCGGGGAAGTGAGCACTGCCGGCGAGAGGCGGGGGAACGGGAATGACATCAGAGCAATCGACGAGCTTCCTGGTGTCCTGGCCAGTGACAGCGAGCTTCGCCATAGCAGCCTTGAAGGCGTTCTGAAGCTTGGACTGGTTGTCTAAACATCACTTTTAGAATATGTAGCACATTGGCGCGAATAACAGCTGTACTCACTGACGAAGGATTGCCACTCGCAGGCAGTGCGAGAGTCACGAGCGAGATCGGCGTCGGACTGGAGACGGATTTCGCCACCAAGAGGAGACTGGGCTTCACCCTGGTTGCCAGCGGTACCAGGGAAGAGGGTACCTTTGAGTTGAGTCTCGATGAAGAATTGAGAATCGAAGATATTAGGAGTCGAGTCGAAGGGGGTTCCTGGGATGGTCTCATCAACGTGGTCGGCAGCAGCGATGGTGTGACTGGAAACATCCATGGTTCAGTTGTTCTGAATACATCGTGAAGTTTTTTGCTTACGAGGCTAGGAGAGCAACAACCTCATTAGGGCTGAATCCGGCATCCTTGAAACGAGCAAGGATTTTGGTAACGGAGTCGAAGGGCTCCGGAACGAGCAGGTCAGGAGAAGCTTGCTTAGCGTCCGGACGACCTGACGGGCAGGGATTACCACCACTCTTAGGGTCAAATGTGTGGTCTCTTCCACTCACCAAGAAGGAACTGCAATCTTGGTGCGCCGGGGCAGTTACTGACACCGACGGCGCCTGCGAATTGGATGCTGCGGCAGAGGTAAGTATAACGTACCTCAAGTGAATGCAAATCATCGAGACTCACAAGTCACCAGCAGAAATGTTGTGCTTAGCGACGAATGGCGTTTGGGCGTCGACGATGTCGTCAATACCACCGTTGGCGTGGAAGGGTGTCTCGATAGCGGCAAATGTTATGAGCGAACCATCGGCACCGCCGCCACCAAACTTGCCCTGCTTGGTGAGAGCAGGCGAGAAGCCAATGGCGTCGTGGAAGGTGAGTCGGAGGGACTCGTGTACTTCCTCACCACATTCGCCACCGTCGAAGAGGTTCTCTTGGATGTCGTCGAGGATGGGAAACAGGACACAGCAGGCGGCGTTCGCAGTTGTGCGACCGTCCGCGCAAGTAGCTTTGCGGATGGTTCCGGCTAAAGAAAGCATTCAGAATGGATATGGGTTCCAGACACGTTGGAACACACCGTTGGAAACAACCGCGAGAGCAAGTAGCGAAACAAGGAGCTTGAAAGCCATTGCAAAGAGAGGCGTTTGAGTCTGAATGAGGGAAGAGACTGCTGAAGCGTCCTGCCGTTCTCCTCTCAAAACTGCCACCCTTTAATACATTTTGTGACCTTGGGTATCAACATCACTTTCGGTTTCAACTTGAAGCAAACGAAGCATAGCTGAGGAAGCAATCTGGACACGGAGCCAATCACGTCCCAAATATTTGAGCAAGATTGAAGATTTCCCAATGCAAATGGTACAATCTCCCAGAGATGTTGGAACCAACGCATTGAGCGGGCATGTCGCTACCGTCTAGAAGGGGAATAAAGCCCTCGTCCATGGCATCGGCACTGTTCCTGAGTCGCGTTTTCGGGTCGGCGCACGTTTGGGTGAGAAAGAGAGATACCGGGTCCGTCGACATCGAGGTTATCCGGATGGTCACATAGCATACAACCCGTGGCCCAGGTTCCCAGAACGACGTCTACAAAAATAAGGCACACACCCGCTTTATTTGTCGCTTAATTGTCAAGAAAGCATCGTTGACGCAGAGGTCACTCCAGAACGGGCGGAAGGCACCCGGTTGGAGCTACTTGATATTCTGTGGAGTCAAATTGTGTCGTAAACTGCAAGGCTATGGCTTCCGATGCGAATGCAACAGTCAAATTTTCATAGCATGTGCGGATTACCAATGCCGGCCACATGTAATTGTGAGAGGTGAACAGCAATGATACACACAAGCTACAAGGCGGATTCAGAGGGAACCAATTCCTGAGAGTAAATTTAAATGTTCGAGGTTTCAATCACTCTACATCATGGTGACACTTACTTCTCTGGGAGAGCGTCAAACCTTGACAGTCGTGTTCCGCGGCCTCGAGGTGACTTTCGAGAGAAAGGTTCCCTCCAGTTACTAATAATAAGGTATGGGCTTCGATCACGGATACTGTCAAATTAATGCGAGGAAGATTAGTAGCAAAACAAGGTGATGTTCGAAGTACACGTTCGTCAGGATTCAAAGACCCTGGTTCTAGTTGAAAGGACAGCTTAATGGCCATCACTAGCGAGTTACTGTGCGATATACGTGCAAGTGAGTCGGGTCTTGAAAAGAGATGTCTCGACGATCGAATCGATATCAAGGTCGGATTAGAGCAGTAGAGGAGGCAGATATCTGTGAGAGAGATGGTCGAGAACGAATGTGATCCAGGTAGAAACGTGAGAGTCATCGCCAACCGACCAGCCTACCACGGACCTGGTAATGAAAAATCGTTGGGTTTGAGAAAGAATTGACGGCGGGTGTGAGTATTCCTGTATGCATCCTTCGGCTTGGCATGAAACCCTGTATTGTGCCATGGCAATCAACAATCAACGCTTTCCCGAGTAAAGCCATGCTTGCAAGAATAGTCTCACCGCATATTAGGTGTGTGAACGGCCTGAAGGGTGCCCGTTGAGGATCCGTAAGATATAATGGGAAATGAGTTCCTGAGCTGTATACTCGCACGATGCACTACCGATTCCGGCACATGCAGACGCTCATTTACGACTGCACGTGCATTTCATGTGATCGCGTCCGTAGAGAAACAGACGGAACCTGGGGAGGATGTCTAGTTATTGCGCTCGACAGTGAGTAAAAATGATTATAGACAAGCCTTGCAGTATTGTAGACCCAGCAATTCTCACACCTCGACCTCATCACCAAAGGGATCCCAGTCTGCACCATGCTCTTCATCATTCTCAGCGTTGTTCTCATCTACTTCAGCATCGTTCTCATCCGCCTCAGCGTCATTCCCATCAACGCCATCGTCTGACCACTCCAAAACTTCTTCCGACGGCCTTTTTCGTTTCTTGCTCTTCTTCCGTTTCTTGCTCTCTTCGTCATCTGAACTAAGAACAGACATACCGCTCTTGGTCAAGCGTTCCATCCTGCGTTCCACACGCTCGACGCGTTTTCGGTGAAGTGGGTGGGTAGGATATGGCGTTACCATGGGAAACGGTAATGGGTCCGTGTAAAAATATGAGGATGACAGAGTAAATTCTGTATCGGGCTCTGAATCCTCTGCTTCGGAGCTGGGACGCAACGTTGGAGATGAGGATGGCAAGACAACCGTGGAATCATTCAGGAGCTCCTCTGGCAGGTATCGACGTAGAATTCCACGTTCGCGGTCGCCTTCTCTCCGTAGAAAAGCAGCGAACGCTCTGTGGAAATTCCATCGCGCGATGTTCACTTTGGCGCTGGGCTCTAAAGAAATGACATCTGAGTCGCCTGGAACTTGTTCATCGCCGTTCTCATCGAGAGTCATGTGGGCAAGTTTGATGGCATTCCCTGCTGAACCTTGGGCGAGATGAACATATGGGCTACTACTGCTAGATTTCCGTGGCGGGTCAACTTCGAGCGTGTTTGGGGTGATATGAACAGATATGTTACGACTGTGGCGCTTCAGGGATTGTTAATGCTTCAATATTATACCGGAATGTGGACAAGACATACATAGATGATACCCCTGTCCGTGGCGAGACTTTTCGGCCAGGCCTGGGACAGTGTGAAGTCATCCTCGCACACCCATGTCCACCCTTCGGGATCATCCTCCGCTTCAGAGTCGTCAAGATTTACGGAAAAGCCATCGGGAGGTGAAGGGTCATAGAGATCACGAAACAGTCGGCGCTCTCGTACACTGGATAACTTGGCAAAAGTCTGTCCGCCTGCTTGTATCACTCCAGCCTGGGTATGGTAGCGGTGTAATTTGACGCGTTTCTGCACTTCGAAGACGTGCCCGTGCCATGTTGACTGCGTGCTTGACGTTGCTTTCTCCTTTCCTTTGCTGCTGGCGCGGTAGTCCTTACTCGGAGGAGGCAAGTCGTCGTCAGCGTCCGACGCAAAGAGGAATAGGATCAGTTTGTGGAGGTGACGAAAGGTATAATTTCGCGGTACTTGTACGACTCTGTAGACGCCTCCTCTTTGTCTCCTATACGATGGTCCCCCTTGCTCGCAGACCAATTGGAACCGAAGCACAAAGTGTTTCCTCAAAGGAATAGCTGAAGGTAGTTCCAACGCAACCAACGAACGCTTCACGCCGAATGGATTACTTGGTGAGTCTAGGGGCACAGTGTGAGGCGTGCGTGGAGTGCTTCGAGAGCAGGGAGTGCCGTAGAACTTTGAGTAGCCGCGACCGACAAGTGGGGATGACCCGACTGGCTGAATGTGAGGTCTCTTTGCAGGAGACCCTTGTGGAGAGGGGAGGGCGGGGGTTTCATAGACCTCTCGCGATCTTTTGAGCATCACGACAGATACCTGGTGTGTACTAGGCCAGTGAACGCGTCAAGTTGAGTCAATGGACGTGTAAGTTCTGTCACTTACATATAACAGGTGTTACAGAAATAAAGTGCTATAGTTCTCTGTTCGCAATGCTTCAAGGATGCTGGAAGGGAGTTATCCGTCGCGTCTTAATGGCAAGAACGCAGAGACTCAGAGGGGCATGCGCAGACTCCGGCAGTCTGTCACATGGGCGTGCCACTCAAAATTAAGTTATCTCATTTATATTTTATACATTTTTACAATGTTATATGCCTTCGATAGCTCAGTTGGAAGAGCGCGAGACTGTAATTGGCTTACGTAATCACTCATCTTGAGGTCGCTGGTTCGATCCCGGCTCGAAGGACTTTTTCTCCCTATCTCTGAAAGCCCTTTTGCGTACACGTTTCCAACATACTTTGTTAGGAATGAATGTCACTGGTTCGATCCCGGCTTGGAAGATTCTGAATACCATTCATTTTGCGTCTTTTAGCCCCATGGCCAGCATCCGCTGAAAATCTATGACGAATCATTGGTGTTGAAAGTGAGACCAAAAGTTTGCGCAGTTTGTGCTACATGTTGAATGTACATCCATGCACATTACTACTATCAGACTAAGCAAGAAGCCTCAACGTATTCGGCGCCAGACATGCTTTCACCAGTGAAGTATCCGACCAGACAGAACCGCTCTGCGTAGGAGTCTCACCGAGGACGTAACTCGGGTCAAAATTACCAGCAGCCCATCCGACGTAACCCAGGAAGACTGCAGAAAACAACAATAAATGCCAAGTAACAAGCAGCGGGAAAGAAGAGAAACTCGCCATCGGAGTTCTGCGCCTGGAATTGAGCTTGTTCACACAGGAATTGCTGACAAGATGCGGTGTTTCCACCTCCAGTCTCGGTGTTGAACGCTTGGCGGCCATTGCATCGCAACCATTCTGCAAGAGGGGCCCAGGCATCATCAATGTTATTGGTGACGCACTCGGCGTTTGTGCCGCTGTGTAAAAAGTAACGTTCATCAATAACAGAAGTTCTGCAAGTTACGAAGAAAACGCACGAGTTGTCGAAGTCGAGGTACTTGTGGACGTCGAACACTAGGTTCGTCTTGCTCCCATCGGGATTGGTGACCTTGTTCAGTGCGTCAGCCGATCCGTTAGACACAAAGGTGGCGGCAGATGTCCAGTTGTTTCCGGGCAGGAGAATGGTTTGGGATGTAGCGCTGCACATCGCCGATCAGTGTGGGCTAGAGAATCGTCAAAGTATGATGGCTTACCCAGCATTACGAATCGCAGTTACTGCAGCTTGGACAGACTGGGCCCAGCGGTTGATGTCAGGCACATCATGAGGCTCGTTCATACTAGAAGTAAACGCATGAACATCATCGGAGCAAAGCGACAACGAATGAATGCTTACACTCCAAAAATGATCTTGCTGTTCGAAGCATACTTTGTGGCAATGGATCCCCAGAGAGCGGCAAATTGATCATCTGTTGGGCCACCTTGACCGATAATCTGAGAAATGGCATTGAATTGAGTATATGCGTGTTATTGCAGTCAAAGAACGGAATGGAACGCACCCCCTTATCCCAGCGGGCATAGTTGTGTACGTCAACGATGCATGCAGCCACACCAGAATTGATGCAAGCTTGAACAAGCGCGTCGTACTTTTGGAAATTTGTCTCATTGATCACACCACCAAGGACGTCGTTCGTAAGGAATTGCCAACCAACGGGTAACCTGAAGACATTGAAGCCGTCATTCTGAACAAAGTGATTCATTTGGCCTTCACCATCATGACCGTAGTACTCGGTCAGAGGTGGCCAGGCAGCAGAAGCGGTGCAAGAACCGTCACTGTTACATCCAAAGTCGAAGCCGGCAATATTGACGCCGGCGAAACGAAGCTTTCCTGCACTGGCGGGTGGGGTAGCACAAGAACTGGAGGGGGTCGCAGGGCCAGTAGTAGATGGCGCAGAGGTAGGTGTGGCCGTAGGAGCGGGGGTAGGTCCTGTCACAGTCGACGCAGGGGGAGCAGTCGTCGGGGCGGCCGTGCCTGGAATACATTGAGAGTAATCTGAGGAGAAATGACATGTATATATCAGTAGACACAAAGTGCATTATATATGGACAGCATACAATCATTTATTTTAGAGCACACGGTGCCAGATACGCATGTGGTTGCGCCCGTCCAGCCCTGATAGACGTCAATAATAGTGTGCAAAGCCCATATGTGAACGACGTACGATTCCGCCACCTACACAAGAAAGCGTGAGTATACGGAGACAAACAAGGACGCATACATACTCACATTGAGCCCATTCAGTAGCCTGAGCGTTAACCGAGAGGCCATAGAGTCCCAGAACAGAGAGCGCAACGGCAGATATCATATTGAAAGACCGGGGCGAACTGATACTGCCGTTCGTACTAGACTCATGACTAGTTTTATACCCTGCCCGCCAGGGAAATATCACCTTGTGCAAGGATAGCAAGGCACATTTCTGTCGGTCCCCGTCGCGCAGGAAGGCATATGGAGATTATAATCATTGGTATTCCTGTGTCTTCACGAGGCCAGAACTAAGCACAACCGAAGCCTTACCGACCTTCTAGACGTTATTTTAAGCCCTAGAATAGGATACAATCCACCCCAGCAGCGAGCGTGATATGGTCAGGAGCAACTTTACCAGCAAGAAGGGAAATCGAACGTTGTGCGGAAGTGCTTCGAGGCGGTTCATCTTCGCGTCAACGTCGGTCGAGACTGCAAACCAGGTGGTAAGAAAGGTCAGAGTTTTAAGTGCCTGTTTGCTGGTCTGTAATGTGCCGAACACTATGATGTGGAACGGTTATACGTCTCAAGAATATCGGGTAGGTGGACATACTTGTGTCCTCGGGAAAACTGTTAGGAAGTGCAGACATCTTGGTCTTTCCGCCTCACAGGCACATTTACGAAGAAATTTATAGCGCAGCATATTTGCAATGCAAGGCTCCGTTAATGCACGCTGTACTGCTGAATGATGATATTAGTGTGTTTTTGGAGAAGGTCGTCTTCAAGCGCCTGCCTCGCAATGACATTTGGCGCTTCGCTTCAAGCACCTTGAATTTTGAAACAATCTTGCATCTTGGACCAGCCACCTTGAGCTTTTCGCGTCCTCTGTTGCTTTCTTTCCATATTCTACTCGTATTCGATTACTGTCTTTGGACAACTGGGTGTAGCGGCTCTGCCCAGCGAAACCTACTTTCTCTTGTGTCTCCAGAGCACAGTCGACTGCAAACATGATTCAAACTGGACTAATTCAGAACGCTCACAATGACCTGGTCACGGACGCGTCTTACGATTTCTATGGCCTTCGGCTTGCCACATGTAGTCTTGATCAAAGGTTGCTATCCTTTATTGAAATCCATGGAGGGTATTGACGCGAATGACGCGCTTCGCCACAGGATCAAAGTATGGCAGTTGAACGAAGGATTGGGGACATGGGATATCGAGGATGATTGGAAAGTACGCCTTCGTATATGCGCTTTATCCATTGCGTTCTATATTCACTCCTTATAGGCACATGACGCCGCTGTCTCGAAAGTCAGCTGGGCGCACCCAGAGTTCGGCATCATCCTCGCTTCATCATCATTTGACAGAACAGTCAAGGTCTGGGAGCAGACTTCCTATGTCGAATCTGAGCAACCTCAAATCAATGGTGCAGCATCTGCTCCAAGCTCCTCACGTTGGACAGAACGTGCGGTACTGGTGGACGCAAAAGGAACGGTCCGCGCCGTTGAATTTGCGCCACAACATTTCGGATTGAAATTGGTAAGTGCTATAGCCACTATTTCTACATGTACGGGCTGTCTCTGTGTCGGGGAGATTAAAATCACTTGTGACATCGCCCTTATCATAAGCAATTTCGTCGAACTTTCTCTCCAGACTATTCTTCGTTATTGCTATCGCCTAGTATGAGCCTAACGAAAACCCATCGAATAGGCAACAATTTCATCTGATAATTATCTACGCATTTATGAGTGCCTAGAACAACCATCACTCTCGAGTTGGCAACTAGGAGAAGAAGTCGACGTCTTAACACTGCCCTCTACGTCTCCAGGCCCACGCTCGATTTCTCATACAGTGACTCAAGCTACACCCACACAAACAACCTCTACACTAGATGGCGCTTCTTCCTCGCTAGTAGCACATGCACTTCAGCAACAGCAACAGCAGCAAAGTCAGGCATCTGGAAGGCCGGGGATGGGCAATCGAGAGGTAAAGTTTACGATTCTACTCCAACGAATGACATTTGACCGCATGCCCAATCCAGGCTGATGGCGGATGGTGTATCTCGTGGTGTAAAGATAGATACTGGGGTGAAATTATTGCTGCATCATGCGGCGTAGATGGTAAAGTCAAGGTTGGTCTATTATCTTGAACGTCAAATCTTGGGTGACTTAGCTGCTTCTAGATTATTCAATTGTCCTCATCACGACGTCCCGCCACTCTTCTCACCCTCGACCCATCTCCTCACCGATCTCAAGACACTGCTCCAAAACAGACGAGTACACTTACAATAGAAAATGAACCAGCGACCTACGCTGTTACCTCTGTCTCATGGGCGCCTTCATGCGGCCGCTCGTACCAGTTGATTGCTACAGGAAGCCGTGACGGGCGAGTACGAATTTGGCGTGTCAAGCCTCCTGCGCTCTCTGATGAGCTAGACGAAGATGGTGACGGGGACGGAAGTGAAGGCAGCTGGAGTGCAAGTTTAGTTGGGGACTTTGATGACCACAGGTGATTACTTCTTCCCATGTTATGCGTAATATCATGCTCATGCATATATTACTCAAAGAGCCGCGGTCGGTCGAGTCGAGTGGAATATCACTGGGTGGGTTCACCTTTCACTATACTGCAGTCAATCATGCTAAGCCTTGTACCACAGAACGATACTCTCGTCTGCTGGAAATGACGGCAGAGTTCGTCTCTGGAAAGCTACTGCTGGAAGTGTCTGGAGACCCGCTGGCCATATCAGTGTCGAGCAAGCGGAGGAGCTTCCACCAGATGTGGATATGGACGAAAACCCGATGGCAGACTGACACAGCTTTATCATGTCTTGAAGCGCATATTTCTGTCACATCATCGATACGTTCTTCTTGCGTTGGAATGGGCCAAGTATATTGCTTTCAAAATCAACGCTTGTGACTGAAGTAAAATTGTTCGCTTGGAAAGGCCTTCTAATTAACAGGTATGCATGCTTGTCCGTGTTGAAGATTTTCTATCACAGCATGCTCTCGCCGACTCCATCAGGCTCCCAATGATGATGGCGTATATATTCTCGCTCTCGGGACGGAATGGGGAACTGTTGAAGAAATCGACTAAGCTGGATCGCTGTCAGTGTTTCAACCACTCTGTATATGCTTGTCATGGGCACCTGTGCAGAGGTAGGCATCTTCTTTCTGCACCTTATTTTCGAGTGAGCAAAACTTCGGTACCGCCTCGGTATACTGGAGGAGATGGTTTAAAAGTTGTCGACCGCTGTCAAGACTACGTAGGCTCGGAGAGAAGCCCAAATTTGAGGTGATATCGTGAATTCCTCAATCCCACTCAAGCAAACCTGCGGTAATGAAAACACCAATCTTCGGAAAACAGGTGTAATTTCGAAGATAGCTTACACCAAGCTGAGGTCGCGAAACCGAATACGGCGTCAAAAGGTGCGTCGCCGAAAGCCGCTAACGATGAAACTCTGTGTGGGCCTGTGGACAGCCGATAATCCATGCTTTCGTACCATTCCCTCTATGTACTTCAGTCAGGGAGCAATCTGTTCCTGAAAGGTACGAAGATGTACTCGGATTTCAACATGGGATGTCTCTGCTTGGAACCATGCTGTGTGGTCAAAGGCCATAGCACCGTCCCCATTGTCCCTACTTTTCCGCCGCTTTTGTGACTTCATTACCTAAGGTAAGGTACTGGCCACTTGAATCTTCTTTGTCCTTGTCTCAGTTCCCATCACTTGGGGCCATAGACACACAAAGGTCACTGCGGCACCCAAAAATCGATATAAACCCGCTGCCACACGGACACTTGACAGCGTGTTTTGATTTCCGTCTCCCCTTTTGCTACTACGATGTCGATCCCATCTGACCAAACCATGCACTCAGACTCCCCTCCACCGGCAAACCCTGAACCACCGCCTGACGATGAAGGAACTCCCTACAAATTCACATTACAAGGCTGGATACAGTGGTGCAATAAATACATCTACTACGACGACCTGCGAGAAATGCTCATTGAAGAGATGACTGGCCTTTTCATTGGGCCCATGCCCCCACACAATTTCATCGACGCCCTCATGAGGCTGAAGAAGAAGCTGAAGGCTGCGCCAAAAGTCGATTTCTCCGAAGTGCCTTTCACGGGAGTCGAAAAGGATATGTACGAACCCTTAGTATGTCCCTTCTTGTCTATAACGGTTCCTTTGGCATCACTGACATTGGGCCATCTAAGTGCAACGCTATCAACGATTCTGGCGTCTGCCCTGGCTTCAAGTTGGTCGACGTTTCGAGCTCAGTAGACAAGAATGGTATTCGACTGCGCCCGGATCTTGTACTTGTACCCACCGATGCTAAAGACATGATGGACTATACGATCATGGAGTTTTTCGTCGAGGTCAAGGTCGCAAAACCCGCAGACCCTTTTTACGACATCAATAGCAAGGCCTTGAAAGAGACCATCGAGAAAATGAAGGGAGACAGCGCGAAGACTCGTGGGCAGATCACAAGCTATGCAGCTGCATTATTGTCTCGTCAACATAGAACGTTCGCATTCTCTATCACCATCTGTGGCCAATATGTTCGCTTCTTCCGTTGGGACCGCGCTGGATGTATTGTCAGCGAGAAATTTAACTTCCTCAGAGACTCACATCTCTTGGCCGAATTTTTCTGGTGCTATGCCCATATGACTCGCGAACAACGTGGCTTCGACCCTACTGTGGTACCTGCTTCTGCTGCCGAATCCAAACTGTTCTCTGATGCTCTGTCGCGACACATTGAGGAGTCCAAGCCCCGTGATGTCAGCTATCTACAACCGAAACCCGATTCTACCTATCCGATCTCCAAGATGCAGGTGCCAACGATGAACGGAATTCGCGAGGTGATCGTTGGCAAACCTTTCCAGGATAGTAACTCTCCTTGTGGGCGAGCGACAAGGGCCTACGCTGCGTATGACCTGGTGGAGAAGAAGGTCGTCTTTGCCAAGGATTACTGGCGTGACGAGGCTAAAGGACTGCTTTCAGAAGCTGAGTTCTATGACATACTCAAGCAGAGCAATGTACCCTTTCTGCCTGAAGTCATTGCAGCTGGGGACTTGTATGTGAAGCCAAAGCAGAGGAATGCGTGTCAGAAGACATATACTCAAAAGTATTCCCCTAGTAGGGCCAATCGCCCGAAGTGGTGCCAGCCATGTGCGGAGCTGCGGACCCTGGTTCATTGTAGGGTCGTTCAAAACCTCACCTTTCCTCTCCCGTCTGCGCTCTCATCGAAGGAGGCCGTTCAAACTATTCGCGATGCGATTGAAGGTGCGTGATGTCATGCGTGGATCGCGCATCGATTCTCATACTCTTTCTTGTTCATCACAGCTCTCAAGGTCGCGTATCACCACGGCAAGGTCTTTCATCGCGACATTAGTACTGGAAACATCATGATCGATGAATCTGGTCGCGGGATCCTCAATGACTGGGATCACGCACAGAAAGTGGTTTTCAAGAACATACCTCAAACATATCAGACAGTCAGTAGTTTTATTATCCCCACGATGTCTCACGCTGATGGTTTCTTAGGGGGTTTGGCAATTCAGGTCCATCTTGTTGCTGCGACATCCCAAGAAAGCCCACGACATTCATGATGACCTGGAATCCTCATTTTGGGTTCTACTTTATATTTCCCTGCATTATTTCAAACACAACCAATCGATGATCTTCGACTTCAGTCTCTTCGATGAATACAAGCACGTTGGTGACAACTGTCACTCGCTTGGAGGTCTCTCTAAGAGGGGCTTCCTGTCGGAGGGATTGAAAGAGGTCCAATGGAAATGTGCCCCATTGAACAAACTCATCCATGGGCTTGGCGATTTCTTTCAAAAATATTTATACCATCATTCGAGGCAAGATGATGACGAAGGCATAGCTTCCTTCAAAGATATACAGGAGAAGATGGTCCAAGTCGATGCCATCCTGGCGTTTTTTGACAGTGCTTTAAAATCTAATGGTTGGCCGGAGAAGGACGCTCTACCTGACCAATACCCACCCATGACCGACAAGGAGAATGCCCAGCTGCTTCATGATTTGAAGTCACGGGCTATTGCTTCTGCTGCTCGGAAAAAGACATCTGCTGCCCTCCCTGCTAAACGGCGTGCATCGGTCCCCTCGACTGCTCTAGCTTCGATGCGAATTGAGTCACGTATTCCTGGGATACGTTCCAGCAGGCGAGTAGCTCAGCGGAGGAACAAACAGCAAGCTCCTGTGGCAGAGCCTTCACAGCTCCCCATGAATTCTCGTGGTACCGTGAAGAGAAGACTCAATGAAGCCCCTACAGAGATGTCGAGTTTCCGCTCGAAACGGGCAAGGCTTGCAAAGTGAAGGTCTTCAAACGTGCATCCCCGCCCGAGCGATCAGGAGTGGCCCATCAGTTTCCTAGACATTCTAAGTGGAGAAGTTGAACGGTTCCCGTGAGGGTGATTACCCGTAACAAGTCACGACGCATATCAGAGTCGTCAGATGCTGCTTAAGAAAGGGAAAGAGACATAGGGTAAAAAGCGGGACTTTGAAGTCAACCGACGTTAATGGTAGTCTACCTTAGTTGAAGTCGAGTACATGCATAATGTAGATGTTGATGATTGTTCAGCTTTGCATTATATACTCCTTTATGGCAAGTGTACGGTTGCCAACTTGCGGCGCTCTGAATTCAAGACTTATTGAGTCTAATGGGGTTTTCACAAGTCTGATCGCCAAGCGTCCAAACTACGTACGTGAGAGGACCCGCACCTGCAGCTTTCGAGCCAAGCGTCTCGATCATCCGAGTCGTCCAGCGGCACGCCAATACGAGCGGGTTTGGCGCACCTTACCTGGCAAGCGGATGTAATAGAGAGGCCTCGCTGCCCTTTCTCTCGTACATCCATCTTGCTTGCTAGGTGAGCCGTCTGCCGTCCTCCCATCGCCCTTTCGTCTCGTATTGATCTTCATCTTTACTTGCTGCTAGCAAGTAAAGCTGTAACGGCGAGACTACTAGCAGAGCAGCAAGACTTGAGAGACTTAGAACAGAGGTTTGAGCAGAAGAGTGGGGGTGAGATTACTGGCGTTGGAAAGACAAGAGACGAGGCACGAGAGAATATATATAGCTAGTGGGGCGTTCCGTGCCCGTAGAATACGGATGACGAAGGACAAGAAGACGGACTCGGAAGAAAACGAACGTAGCTAGTGAGTTGCCTAAAGAAGAAGTACACGCACGTAGATAAGATAATGGCCGTAGATAACCGAGGAGGAGCGGGTGGAGAGGCAGGGCGTGCAGCAGTCTTCACTTGCTACTAGCAAGTAAAGTAGGTACTCGAACGTCTACGGCTCCATCTTTTTCTTACCCACCTTAACACCTTAACACATTATTCTCTCTACTTTTTGTTCTTACTATTTTCTCCGACTCATATTGTACTGTATCTGTGTCTATATCTCGTACTTAGCGACTCCATATGAAAACTCGAGCAGCACTGGCCCCCGCAAGCCCAGTGCTGCTGCGTCCCACTACTTTTCTTGTGTGCCCCCTGCATCTCCCGGAGAACCGCGCCTGGAGGGCACGTGAATGTGACACTTGGGGAAGTGTGACATGCTCGTCTACAAACTTGAGACCTTGTTCTTTGTGTACCACGTCTTATCTATATAAGTAGGTTGGCCAAAGATTCCCCCGCCACCCCACCCCCTTCTCCCGAACTGCCCTTTTATCTCTCCCCATTTCGCATATCGCCTGCACTGATCTTGCTCCGCTCAACAGCCCTCCTGTGTAGTTTGCATGCCAGTGAAAAGGCTGCTTTCCTCACCCCGAAGGCTAATAAAACATTCTGATTCTTAGTCTGGCCTTTGTGCCAATCGCCCCTGTCTTCCGCTCTCTGTCAGTTTTCGACTTTCGGAACATACCAGACTGTGTGGCTACTTGAGTCCATCTCATATTCTCGCATAAGTGGGTCCATGCTTTCACTGCGTCGTAGAATGTAAAAATTCAATAATCCCAAACTGTGTTCTCCTTAGCATCTTCGGACGTTCAATTACTACCTCTGCGCCTTTGCAGCGAAGGACTTCATCGAGCAGTGTATACGTCTTCTACGACCACCTGCGATAATTGTCCACTCACAAAATGACCGGCGTATTTGTCGGGCCCATACCGCCACGTGATTTCCTCCTCGACTTCCTGAGGCTGAAGTCACTACAGAAACCAGAGGCACAGCTTAAAATCGATTTCTCCGAAGTGCCATTCGAGGGAGTACAAACCGATATGTACGATCTCATAGTACGTATCTCTCATCCATAATATTTTGTTGGTAATTTGCGCTGATATGACGCCATCCAAGTGCAATGCTATCAACAATTCCGACGTCTGCCCTGGCTTCAAGTTGATTGACGTTTCGAGCTCAATAGACGGTAATAGCGTTCGATTGCGCCCGGATCTCGTATTGGTACCAGCCGACGCTGAAGACCTGATGGACTATACCATTATGGAATTCTTTGTCGAGGCAAAGCTCAGCGATCTCACGGATTCCTTTTACAACGTCCAGGACACAGCCCTGGATGATACCGAGGAGAAACCGACGGGAGACAGCGCGGAGGCTCTCGAACAGATCGCAAGCTACGCAGCCGCGTTGTTAGCCCGACAGCACAGAACGTTCGCATTCTCTATCGCCATCTACGGCCAGTATGTTCGCTTCTTCCGATGGGATCGTGCTGGATGCATCGTCAGTGATCTGTTTAACTTACTGGAAGACTCGAACCTCTTGGCCGACTTTTTCTGGTGCTATGCCCACATGACTCGCGAACAACGTGGCTTCGACCCGACTGTGGTACCTGCTTCTGCTGCGGAATCCAAACTGTTCTCCGATGCTCTGTCGCGATACATCGAGGAGTCCAAGCCCCGTGATGTCAGCTATCTACAACCTAGTCCCGATTCTACCTATCCGATCTCCAAGATGCATACTCCAATGGCGAAGGGCATTCGGCAGCTGATTGTTGGCAAACCGTTCTGGGATGCTGACTCTCCTGACCGGACGACAAGGGCCTACGCTGCGTATGATATGGTGGAGAAGAAGATCGTGTTTGCGAAGGACTCTTGGCGTGATCAAGATGAAGGCATGCTTTCGGAGGCTGAGATCTATGACACGCTCAAAAAGAACAACGTACCTTTCCTACCCGAAGTCATTGCAGCTGGGGATGTATATGTGAAGACCAAGAAGAAGAAGATGTATCAGAGGACACTTATCAAAAAGTGGTCTACTTCTAACAGCAAATTGCTATTGTGGCGCCTGCCATCTGCGGACCTGCGGACCTTGGTTCATTGCAGGGTCGTTCAAGAACTCGCCTATCCTCTCACGTCTGCGCTCTCATCGAAGGAGGCCGTCCAAGCTATTCGCGATGCGATCGAAGGTGCGTGATGTTTTATGTGTAGATTGACTTTCGATCTTCATATTTTTCTTCCAGCTATCAAAGTTGCGTACCACGATGCAAAGATTTTCCACCGCGACATCAGCACTGGAAACATCATGATCAGTAGATCCGGTCGCGGAATCCTCAACGATTGGGATCACGCACTGAAAGTCAGTCTCAGGGACACACCCCAAGGGTATCGGGTAGTCAGTAATTGTATTCTCTGCCTCATGGTGACACTGACAGCTTTCCAGGGCACTTGGCAATTCATATCCGTGCCGTTACTGCGGCGTCCTAGAAAAGGCCATGAGGTGCACGATGACCTGGAGTCGTCACTCTGGGTGTTACTTTACATCTCTCTTCATTATTTCAAACACACCAAACTTTCCGACGTCGATTTCTTCAATGAGTACAACGAGTACAGCCAAAATGGCAGTGCAACTCGTCACGCGTATGGAGGTTTAGCAAAGGCGGGCTTCCTATCCTTGGGACTACTAGATGTGAAGTGGACGTGTGCTCCTTTGAACAAACTTATACACAAGTTCGGCGATCTCTTGGACCGATATCAACAACAATACAACTGGCAGGATGATGACGAATTCGCGGCTTCCTTCACGGACATCCAGAAACGGCTCGAGCAGGTGGATACTGTTTTGGATCTCTTCGATACTGCTCTGGCATCCGATGAATGGACGGAGAACGATGTGTTGCCTGATCAGTATAGCCGGAAGGACGAGAAGAAAGAGACTGAGAAACGTCATGATTCGAAGTCACAAACAGTTGCTCCTGCTCGGGAGACGAGTCCTGTTCTCGTCGCTGGCATTGCGCCTTCAGTTTCAATACCAACTCCGTCCTCTATCCCTGGCATACGTTCCAGTACTCGACTAGCGCAGCAGCGTATTGAAGAGCAAGTCCCCGTAGCGGAAGCTGGGCCTTCACAGCTTCCCATGGATTCTCGCAGTACTGTAAAGAGAACGCTCGATGAAGTGCCTACAGGGGTGTCAACGTCTCGTTCGAAGCGGATGAAGACCGTGGCGCGAAAACCATCGAAACGGGCACCAAGACCCCCGCCTCCCGAGCGACCAGTGGTAGAGCATCGATATCCCACGCGTTTCAAGTTGAATCTTTCCCGCCAAGCCGGTCGTCTGAGCAACACGCAGCATGCAGATGTCGAAATGCAGGATACTCGACGCCGGAATCCCTCTCGGTCAAGTGCAAAGTCGAAGTTGCACGAGACGCGTCGTCAACAGGTTGCTCCTATTATCGAGAAGCCGACAAAGGAGAAGAAACAGACAGGTCGAAAGGGTAAAAAGCCGACAAAGTCAACGGAAGCTGGTGGTAGTCGATCTCAAGCGAAGACAAGTACTCGTCGGCGACGCGGTTGATTGTTCGCCTGTGCATTTTAGAATCTTTCCTGGCGGCAACACTACGTATTATATCCAATATGGTCCCTGGCGTCTTTGGATCTAGCTAAGCTTCGCGTTCGCATCATTTACTCGCTTTAGGTGGGTGGATATTGAGCTAAATCAATTCACTATTTCTGGACACGAGTCGTCGATCATCTTGCGGAAGGTTCAAAATCACATGAAAAGTGACTGCGATGCTGATGCGTTGTTTGTCCAGTATCGATATTCCTCCCCCCCCGTAATTATAAGAGATAAATAAGTACTCGAATGGGTAAAAGTATCGAAGCATGGAAGCAAATCAACTGGGATATACTGACTATCTACACCGTGGCGAGACCGAGCAACAGGTAAGTGAGATACAGAGGATGCCCACGAGGCTCGTTCGAGGAATGTGAAACAGATGGGAAAGACCTTGGTCGAATGAAATGGGCAAAAAGATCCAACCTGCACTTTACGCGTTCTTGGTGATGTTGGCTGTTCGTATCTCGACTCGTACTACTACAAACGGGAACGGCGTACCCTCAGATTCACGCTCCCAGTCCTACCGCTGTCTCCTGTAGGGTGATGAACGTGCAATAATTGTGCTGGACGCAGAAAATATCGGAGCTCTGAAAGGCGCAGCGGCCAAGTTCAGAACTCTGGCCATAGTCACATTAGCACATGAATGTGACGTCTGGCGAAGCGTGACATCTCGCGTGATAAGAGACCCCAATATTGATCTGTTTCTGTCCACTACGCATATCGTCTGCACTTCTTTCTCCTTACTCCAGATATCTTTTATCAAACCTGTCAATCAGTCAAGAAGTAGTTTCCTCTAGTTTGGTTTCGAGCTAGTCATGATATTTCCATTGTTAGGCTCTTCTTTGCCATTCTCGATTTCGTGTTGAAAAAGTTCAGGTCCAAAAATACACCAAAGATACTACTCTGTGAGACACAGTATGTTCTATTTTCCACCCGTGCTGTAAAATATAACGTCCTAATCCGACCAAGCCATCCTTTTAGTATCCCCTTCCAAACCGCCTCTTTGACTTCCTCATTACCGCCGCAGTGTTGAGAGATCCCCTGCACATTTACAACAAAGGGCTTTATCGAGTGGCGCAACCGATACGTTTACTACGACGACCTGTGAGACTTGCTCATTCACGAGATGGCCGGCCTATTCGTTGGAACCATGCCCCCACGTGATTTCCTCGTCGACTTCCTGAAAATGAAGTCACTAGAGAAGCTGAAGACATCGCTAGAAGTCGACCTCTCCGGCGTGCCTTTCAAAAAGGTCGAAAAGGATATGTATGAACCCTTAGTACGTCCTTTCCCGTCTATAATAGTCAGTGGAATGTCGCTGACATTGGGCCACTCAAGTGCAACGCCATCAACAATTCTGGTATCTGCAATGGATTCAAGTTAGTCGACGTTTCGAGCTCAGTAGATAAGGATGACATTCGACTACGCCCCGCTCTCGCTCTCGTACCCTCCAGCGCTGAAGACCTGATGGACTACACCATTATGGAATTCTTTGTCGAGGCTAAGCTCAGTGATCTTGCGGACCCCTTCTACGACAACCAGGACACGTGCCTAGATGATACCACCGAGAACATGACGGGAGAAAGTGTGGAGACTCGCGAACAGATCATAGACTATACAACCGCGTTACTGTCTCGCCAGCACAGAAGATTCGCATTCTCCATTGTCATCTGTGGCCAGTATGCTCGCTTCCTCCGATGGGATCGTGCTGGATGCATCGTCAGCGATATCTTTGATTACCTCGAAGATCCGGACATCTTGCTTGATTTTTTCTGGTGCTATGCGAGACTAACTCGCGAAGAACGCGGCTTTGACCCTACTGTGGTGCCTGCTTCTGCTGCAGAATCCAAACTGTTCTCTGATGCTCTGTCGCGATACATTGAGGAGTCCAAGCCCCGCGACGTCAGCTATCTACAACCCAGTCCTGATTCTACTTATCGAATCTCCAAGATGCATATTCCAATGGTGAAGGGCATTCGCGAGCTGATTGTTGGCAAACCGTTCTGGGATGCTGACTCTCCTAGTCGAACGACAAGGGCCTATGCTGCATATGACATGGTGGAGGAGAAGATTGTGTTTGCAAAGGACTCTTGGCGTGATGAGGATGATGGCGTGCTTTCGGAGGCTGAGATCTATGACACGCTCAAAAGGAACAACGTACCTTTCCTACCCGAAGTCATTGCAGCTGGGGACGTGTATGTCAAAGCTAAGAAGAAGAAGGTGTATCAGCGAACACTCACTCAAAAGTGGTCCACTGCAAACAGCAAACCGACGCTGTGGTGCCTGCCTGGTGCATCGTTGCGGGCCCTTGTTCATTGCAGAGTTGTTCAAGAACTCGCCTACCCTCTCATGTCCGCGCTCTCATCAAAGGAGGTTGTTCAAGCTGTTCGCGATGCGATCGAAGGTATGTGATGCCATATGTGGACAAAACATTGAATGTGCGATTTAATCTTGTTCATTCCAGCTATCAAAGTTGCATACCACGATGCCAAGTTCTTCCATCGCGACATAAGTACTGGAAATATCATGATCAATAAATCTGGTCGCGGGATCCTCAACGACTGGGATCACGCGCTGAAAGTCAGTCTCAGGGACACACCCCAAGGGTATCGGACGGTCAGCATTTTTTTTTTCTGCACGTAATGGTTGTTCTGACGATGGTCCCAGGGCACTTGGCAATTCATGTCCGTCATGTTTCTGCAAGACGCCAAGAAAGGCCACGATGTCCATGATGACCTGGAATCGTCATTCTGGGTGCTCCTTTACACTTCTCTGCTTCATTTCGAACACAACAAAGGGAGAGTTTCTGACCTCAATTTCTTCGATGAATACGAGGAGTACAGCGAAGACGGCAGTGGAACTCGTCACGCGTATGGAGGTTTAGCTAAAAAAGGCTTCCTAGCTGGGGTTATACCACAGGTCAAGTGGAAATGTGCCCCTTTGACCACCCTCATCCACAAATTTGGCGATTTACTCGATCTCTATCAATTCTATCATTCAAAACTGTATATGGACGAATTTGTGGCTCGCTTCAAGGACATCCAGGAAAAGCTCGACCAGGTGGATACCGTTTTGAATCTCTTCGACGCTGCTCTGGCATCCGATGAATGGCCAGAGAACGATGCGCTACCTGACCAGTATAACCGGAAGACCAAGGATAAAGTGGCCGAGAAACGTAGTGATTCAGAGTCGCAGGCCATTACCTCTGCTGCTCGGGAGGGGAATCCTACTTCGATCGCTAGCATGACTCCTCCGGCTTTGGTGCCAACTCGGTCTGCTATACCTGAAGTACATCGTGGCATTCGATCAGTCAAGCGGAGGGGCGGACGGCAAGCTCCCGCACCAGAAGATGAGCCTTTGCAACCTCCCGTAGGGTCTTGTAGTACGGGGAAGAGAACAATCGATGAAGCGCCTGCAGAGGTGTCAGCGTCCAAGCGGGCGAAGACCGCAGTGCGAAAGCATTTGAAACCTGCATCCAGACCCCCGCCTGCTCAGCGACCAGTGGTGGAACATCGATATCCTACGCGTTTCAAGCTGAATGGTTCCCGTCAAGCCGGTCGTCTGAGCAACACACAGCACGCGGACGTCGAAATGCAGGATACTCGACGCCGGAATCCCTCTCGGTCAAGTGCAAAGTCGAAGTTGCACGAGACGCGTCGTCAATAGGTTGCTCCTATTATCGAGAAGCCGACAAAGGAGAAGAAACAGACAGGTCGAAAGGGTAAGAAGCCGACAAAGTCAACGGAAGCTGGTGGTAGTCGATCTCAAGCAAAGACAAGTACTCGTCGGCGACGTGGTTGATTGTTCGCCTGTGCATTTTAGAATTCTTTCCTGGCGGCAACACTACGTATTATATTCACTATGGTCCCTGGCGTCTTCGGAATTAGCCAGGCTTCGCGTTTGTATTATCTACTCGCTTGGAGTGGATATTGGGCCAAATCAATTCACTATTTCTGGGCAACGAGTCGTCGATCATCTTGTGGAAGGTTCAAGATCACATGAAACGTGACTGCGATGTTGACGCGTTGTTTGTCCAGTATCGATACTCCACCCCCTAATTAAGAGACAAGTAAGTACTCGAATAGATGAAAGTATCAAAGCATAGAAAGCAAGTCAACTGGGGTACACTAACTATCTACACCGTGGCGAGACCGAGCGACAGGTCAGTAAAATACAGAGGATGCCCATGAAGCTCGTTCAAAGAATACAAATTCGAAACAAATGGGAAAGACCGTCCAGGCATTGTCGAATGAGATATGGTGTCACAGTGCCATGTAGGTATGGTAAAACTGTTACGACTGGCTGTTAGTACGTATGCATTACCCTGCGAGTCCCTCCCTTTACTTTGGCAAGAGAACGATATCTAAAGTCGGCGGCGTTATGACTTCTGATAGCCGTCATGCAGTTACAGTTTTGAATCAGGAATGTCTGTGGTCTAAGCCGAATTGTGCCCACGGATTGAAAAAAAACGGAGTAGCTGGATACCTGAATCCACTCGTGTATCAGCCTTATCCCGCTAGATGTCGCATGCCCCACGATCAGATCCAGATGGGTTACCATATTACATTCTGAGTCGCCAGGAAGTTGCAAGCCGACTGCGGCGGTTGAGCGTTGACTTGTCACTGAGCGTAGGGTTTAACTTGGGTTTAACTGGCCCACAATTGAATGGCCTTCCTCCGACAAAAGTGCACTATATGTGCGTCGCCTTTCATCCTATAAGAGCGACACCGGAAACCTGATTACGCAAGTAGGAGTAGGTTACGGTAAATTAGATTACATATTAACATATCATGCACCTCGACACAGAATGTTTCCACTATCACATTAGACCACACCGGCTGTTAGACTTGTGAAAGTTCTCTGGTATGAGCTACAATCGCTTCTGCTTCGGGAAAACGGGCTTTAACGTTGCATTTGAAAGGGAGAGGTCGCCTGTGACATAAACAAGATCGCAATCAGCTCATCGTCGACAACTAAGAGAAATATATCAACTCACAACACAAGTCCGTTATTGACGAAGTCATGTGTGTCAGGAATAACAGGCTTTCCTTGTGTATCTGTGGTCGGCATGATAGTAGCGGCCCATAGAAGGGACGCCATATTGATAAAGAGCCCGTTGTTGGCAACATGACGACCAACACAGATCCTGTGATTCATGTTAGGTTTGGTTGCGTATAGTTGGTCATCGTGAATTACCTTCGACCAAAACCCTGAAAATCGAATCAGTAAACTTTCTGTTGCGTAATCATTCAGAAGAAAACTTACGTAGCTAACATGCCCTAGAGTGAAAAGAAAATATGTCAGATGAGAAAAGGACTTCTTAAATGAATACAAACGAACCCTCTAGAATAGAAACGTTAACACTACGACGAGCTACTACTGAATTATGATACGCACCATCATGTGTGTCAGGGAACGGACAGGTCAGACGGCCATGTTCATCGAGATGACGGCTGGGATTGAACTCATCGGCATCAGGGCCCTGAAACAAATTCGGGCTCAGAGCCAGATAGCGGTGGAGAAACATCAAAAGACTTACATAGACATCCGGATCCGAGTTCATCGCCCTATATTATTATTGTTAGTAGGAGGTGGACCGTGATAATATGGTTCTGACCATTGGTTGGCGATACAAATGGTGCCCTTGGGTATGAAGTATCCGTCGTACCAATCATCCTAACAAAAAAGATTCATCTTCACAAAACGTAAAATAAACTTCAGCAACTTACTTCGACGGACTGATGGGGTGCACCTATCGGAGTTAATGATCTCCATCTCAACGCTTCTCGGACGCAAGCACTGATATAGGGTAATCTGTCGCGGTCTGCGATAGTGGGCATGCGTCCACGTCCAATGACCGTATCGAGTTCTTCTTGCGCTTTCCTCTGGACTTCAGGATATGCAAGCATCGCGAGCATAAACCAAGCCATCACTGTAGATGTCTGAAAAGGGGAAGTATATCTCAGCGGTGGAGGTGGTGATAAGCGGTGCTCGGATTACCGTTTCACTTCCAGCAGCACTAGAACGTGAATCGTTGAATAAGGAGGATTCAAAACGAACCGAAGAGTACTGACTAAATTGTAGCAGCCAACCATGCTGACTGTGTATTATCCAAACCAAGCTGCCTCTCATCACGGATGAGAGTAGCTGCAAAGCTGTTGATATCTTCACCCTGTTTCTGAACAATTATGTCAATACCATGGCTATCTCGACTACACAAATCCATATACTCACGATGCGTTCCTGTACCTCTGCATACATCTTTCCCAGATAGATCGAATCTCGGCGATACCATTCCAAAGCCTCCCGCTTCCATTTTGCAATAGCTGAGGGGAGGTACTGAACAGACGCGAAGGCAGTTAATACCAATATCGTGTTTCATAACGAAAGTTCAGAACGTACCTTCATCCACGTGAAGTATTCCACGTAGTGCGCGCCAGGAGATGCAGCACTAACAAAGCGAATAACAAAGTCGTTGACATATGCCACTTTGGGATCATGGCAAGATTCAATAGTAGGTGTGTCGTATATAACGCCGAGGATCATCGAGGACGTTGCTCTAGACGGCTGCATAAGATAAAAGAAAACAAGAAAAAACATAGTAGAAACTACCGTTTGAGCTCATCGTCCCAGTTATTGGAGTCTTTGAGCATCCCTTGCACGATGAGCGTGGCTTCCTTTTCTTGAGCTGCATGATAATGTCGAGCAGCGGAGCTGTTCAGCCCTTCGTGGGCGGCACGTCGCATCGTTCGCCATCTGGAGAAAGGCAATGAGTCACAGAGAATATGGCAAGCTAAAACACGCACAGATCCGTATAGCCTTGAAACGGCAGCAGAAGACCTCCGGTAAGCATCTCTGAAGCAACTGTACGAGTCGGATGGGTGAATCAAGCCATGCCTTAATATCTGAACACATTCGTACCTATGAAATTAGGTCGACTGCTGTAATTGGAAGCACGTCGATCAAGCAAGTCGGCAGCGACCTTGTGATTGTTCATGATGATCATATGTTTGCCTGCAACCTTGAGATGCACCAATGGCCCTATTGGACACTTCAGTTCCGATGGGGAAGTCCAGAATGCAATAGATTCCATACCATACTGTTTCCCCCAGTTTGCAAAGGTTATCCATAGTCGCGGGGTTGTCATTAATTGGAACAAACTTCCGAAAAATGGGACTCCAGATGGTCCCGGGGGCAGTTTGCCCTTGCCCGAGCTATGTGAGTATCTGGAAAGGAAGATGGTCACGAAGAAAGCTACGACGCCACCTACTAGAGGCTGGAGGCTCTCTAGGTAGGAATCCGCAGGCTGCCACGGCCCTGTGAAGGGCTCGTCGCTGAAAGAGAATGGAATAGAGGAATTGAAGGAAACGTTCATTATCGAGTGAACGGAAGATCTTTTGAGTGAGGATTCTGTTGAGAAGAACAAAGAAGTGAAGCTTTATACTGAACATGGCCAGGCTATGTTATCGTGTGACCGATAAAATGAGCCACTGCTACACCGGTGTCTCGATTTTTTGCGTGAGCAAGGCAGAGCGCATGATGATATGAACGGTGAGTCGAGCCGAATTACTACTGTAATGTTTTCTGAAATGGTCGCGGGTAGTTGTGTCATCATAGTTTGGAAAACGCTGCAAGGCAAAGCGGTACGGTGTCAGTGCAAGAACAAAGATCCTGTCTTACCGGAGCAGCAATGAATACAACACAACTGTCTTTAGCGGACATACCACCTGAGAGTCGGAAATGTCCGTTCAAGTTGGAACGGTCAACGTGAAATAATCTGGATTCAAAGCAAAGGCAGTGCGCTCAACTACGACGCAAACCGAAATATTCAAAATTTCTGTATCACGGTGATAAATGTCAAACTTGTGAGCGTGGCCGAAAGGTTCTATGTACGCTGGTAATCTAGTGACCGCATGAACCTGCGATACCGGTGCCGCCAACAGAGGAAACGTACCAAAAGACTGCCTCCTGATGAAAATCGACCAGCAGGGAGCCCGGAGGATGAACGACAAAGTACGTTTGGCTTAAGACAGGTAACGGTAGTCTTGTTGCAAACGCATAAAGAAAACAAGTATGCTACGGATTCATGTACGCTACGATCTACGTAAGGTTCATGCTCCGACCGCTAATCTCCATGAGTCACCGAAGCGCCCAATTTACAACACACCCACTCGCTAAAGGCGACGAATAACAAAGTCACCCACTGAATGAGATAACACAACAAACAACAAAAATCAACCTATCCACAACCTACATATCCAGCATCTTCCAGCGACTGACCCTCCGAGTAAGTGACCCAACAATGAGTTCTGCCAAACTCCTACTTGCCACGTCGGCATGATCTGAATCCTGCAGTCGAGCGATAGTTGTCTAGAACAACTGAAGTCCAGGGTAATGAGGGTCCGTGAAGGCCATCTTTGCATGAACATCATCCTCCAAAGCAGTGTCCTCGACTGGAGATGTGCTGACATTCAGAGCACCAAGGGCACCTTCGGGGGTGAGCTTCTTCATCTGCTCCTCAGCCTCGATGAGGCTAGCAGTGATGTCGGCAATGGAAGGGGAAGAAGTCGATTGCATGAGGGAAGTCGCAACAGCAGTGTACTCAGGTGCGCGGGCGTAGATAAGGACATCGGTGACATCTTCATCCTCAACGGTGACGCCAATGGCCTTGAGTTTGCTGATGATGGTGGTGATACCAGTGACATACTCGATGATGGGGTTCTCAATCTCATGGGAGAACATGTAGAACTGACGCTTGAGCATGATGCGCGTAGCGCGACCATTCCGCTCGTAAATAGCGGCAAGAGCCTTCCAGGCTCCAGGACCAGTGTTGCACTCACAAATGTGCGCTGTCTCGCTCTGCTCCACAGCAAGCCCGATCGCAGTGAGACCATCCTCGGATAGCGAATCCCAGATCGCAGCCTTCTTAGGGTCATCATCTGGACATAAGAGTTTGCCGCTAACAACGTGCCAGCAGCCGGCGCGACGGAGAATCATCTGCATGGCGAACTTCCAATCATAGTAGTTCGACCCATTGAGTTTGATGATCGAGGCGATGAGCGAATTGATGTTGGTAGACATGAGAAGCGATGTGTGGGAATGAGTGACCGAATGAAGGAAAGGAATCCACCGGGCAGCTTGTATAGCCTACAAGCGGGCGATGCGTTTGTGATGAAAATCGACCAGCAGGGAGCCCGGAGGATGAACGACAAAGTACGTTTGGCTTAAGACAGGTAACGGTAGTCTTGTTGCAAACGCATAAAGAAAACAAGTATGCTACGGATTCATGTACGCTACGATCTACGTAAGGTTCATGCTCCGACCGCTAATCTCCATGAGTCACCGAAGCGCCCAATTTACAACACCTCCTGACTCGAATAGATGCATCAAGATATCCATACGTCTTCCGAGAACAAGTGTCTCCAGCGGAAACTACACCGTTCGCCGCCCGTAAGCTGAATGGCAGAGTGATGATGGTAGACGACAAGTATTTGGAGAACTTGAAACGCCTATGAATTGCTTACGCGCCTATATTTTTGTTGCTGTTCCATCACGACTTTCGTGTCCTTTAACGATGCAGAACTTCTCTCCTGCATCACTGAATCCCTGATTGGACTGCGCTGCATATCTACGGGAGAACTCTTAATCTGCAGTTGAAATCTACCCCCTTAGCATATGTGGAATACTTGCAGGTTCCCCAAGAATTGTCAGCGTTGTCTTTGAGACGCATCATTGCAAGCCAGAATGATGCATTCGGATAGAGAAACGGGTCAATGTTTCCTTCACTCGCTGACAATCAATTTCACATTTGCTGGGTGCCGGCGGCGAGCGGTTTCACGAGGTCCTGGTGAAACCTGCCTACTCTTGAGCTCGCGTCTCTGTATGTCTTTATACTTTTGGTGAGACTTAGGCTTTGCTATACGGCTTCGGAGCTGACTTTTTCATTTTGTTCGGGACGGCGATGACGCTTCATGCGTTGATTAGAATGTAGGGGCAGGCTCTCCTCGCTTTAGGCGGCCACCTTTATTCGCATTTGCTCTCGGTCCTGGGGCCTGAACCTGGTCTCGAATGAGGTAAGTAAGCCTGGAAGGTCATTATTTGTTTGCCACAAAATGAAACCATTCTCGTTTGGAGTACCGGATCCTGAATTATAATCAGTACTGCGTTGAAGAATTGACATGGTGAAACATGGAAACTATGTAGCGCAGACATACCTTCCGACCTCGGTTTGTTTCAACCCCTTGCATCACAGATGCGGTAGAGGTACCGACCGGACTGCTCGCGGGGGACATGCTTTTACATATACAAGCGGACCGGCGACCATGGGAAGACGCTGTCTGGATCTGTGGGGTAGGGGAAGTCCCTGGCCGAATTTACACTGTTACTAATCTCATTTCCGGAACACATGGCTACGATGGACTGGCGTTTTCTTGGAAATGACATGGTAAGTACAAACCTGGTGTCGTTCTCTCGACAGGGACACCAGCGTTCATTATGCTCAACTGAACGAAAATGCCTTACTATTGCCCGATGAACGGTGAACGGTGACATTGCAGTAACAGTGTGTCATTGCCTCCGAACTAAATATATCGGGGGAGACTGGGTATGTTGATGAACCACCTCTTGTTTATCATTGGTTGGAACTTCGGGAATGGGAACTTACGACGCATGTATAGAAAATATGCCCAGAACGGATGGTTCAGGGCGAGATGGCCGAGTGGTCTAAGGCGCCAGACTAAGGTGTTGTACTGTTCAATCTGGTCCGAAAGGGCGTGGGTTCGAATCCCACTCTCGTCATGTATTTTGCTCATGCTTGAGCCTCAGCAGTCAAGTCTACGACCATACAGATATCAATACTTCGTCACACAAGCTTAACAGTATGTTTTATTTACCATCACTCCCTTTACTACTGGGACGTCGATCCACTCTGACCAAACCATGCGTTCAGCCTCTCCTTCGCCGACCACCCCTCAGCCACCACTTAAGAATCAAGGAACTCCCTTGAAATTCACGTTAGAACGCTTTATAGCGTGGTGCAATCAATACATCTACTACAAGGAGCTACGTAATTTTCTCATTCGCGAGATGACCAGCCTATTCGTTGGGCCCGTGCCCCCTCGCGGTTTCCTCGAAGCGTTCATGAGGCTGAAGGTACTAAGGAAACTGAACCCTGAGGCACTGCCAACAGTCCATTTTTCTGCAGTGCCTTTCAAGAAACTCGAAGTGGATATGTACCAACCTCTGGTACGTCTCATTTCACATATAATGATTATTGGGTCGTCACTGACATTGGGCCAACTAAGTGTGATGCTATCAATAATTCAAGTTGATCGACGTTTCAAGTTCAGTGGACGGGAATGGCATTCCATTGCGCCCGGATCTGGCATTTGTGCCAATCAACGCTGAAGACCTCATGGACTATACGGTCATGGAATTCTTCCTCGAAGCCAAGGCCAAGGATTTTGCAGACCCCTTCTACGGCACAGAAGGCAACACCTTGAACAATACTATCGAGAAAAGGGAGGGCCAAAGCTCGGAGACTTGCGGACAGATGATATCCTATGCGGCTGCATTATTGTCCCGCCAGCACAGAACATTTGCATTCTCTATCGTCCTGTGCGGCCAGTATGCTCGTTTCTTACGATGGGATCATGCTGGATGTACTGTCAGCGATAAGTTTGATTACGTCGAAGAGCCGGATATCTTGCTGGAATTTTTCTGGTGCTATGCGCGACTGACTCGTGAAGAACGTGGCTTTGACCCGACTGTGGTGCCTGCTTCTGCTGCTGAAGCCACACTGCTCTCTGATACTCTGTCGCGATATATCAAGGAGTCCCAGCCGCAACGTCGGCTATCTGCAACCCGATCTTGATTCGACCTATCTGATCTCCAAGATGCAGGTCCCAACGCCAAATGGCATTCGGGAGTTGATCGTTGACAAACCCTTCTGGGATGCCGACTCTCCTTGTGGTCGAACGACAAGGGCCTATGCTGCGTACGACATGGTGGAAAAGAAGGTCGTGTTTGCGAAGGATTCTTGGCGTGATGATGACGAAGAGATCCTTTCAGAGGTGAGATCTACGACACACTTCAGAAGAGCAATGTACCCTTCCTGCCCAGAGTCATTGCGGCTGGTGACGTATATGTGAAGGCAAAGAAAAGGAAGGCGTATCAAAGGACATTCACGCAGACGTGGTCTGTCCGTAGCGATAAAGCTGTAATATGGCGCCTACCATGTGCGGAATTGCGGACTCTCATCCACTGCAGAGTCGTTCAAGAACTAGTGTATCCTCTCACATCTGCGCTCTCATCAAAGGAGGCCATTCAAGCTATCCGTGATGTGATAGGTGCGTGATGTTTTATGTGCAGACTGACTTTCGATCTTCATACTTTTCTTCCAGCTATCAAAGTCGTATACCACGATGGCAAGATCCTGCATCGTGACATCAGTGCATCATGATCGGTCAATCCGGTCGGGGAGTTCTGAGTGACTGGGATCACGCATTGAAAGTCATTCTCAGAAACACACCTAAAGCGTACCGAGCGGTCAGTGCCTCTTTCTCTCTTCACACAATGGTAATCCTAACGGACTCTCAGGGCACTGGGCAATTTATATACATGCTATTGCTTCAATATCCAATGAAAGGCCATGATGTTCAGGATGACCTAGAATCTTCTTTCTGGGTCCTACTCTACGTCTCCCTGCATTACTTCCCACACAATCTTGGGTCGGCTTTCCATGCCGGTTTTTTCGACGAATGCATGGAGCAGTCAGGCCTTCATGTCGGGGACGGGAAGATTCATCTTTTAGAAGGCTCTCGGAAGCCTTGCGATGCAATGTCCTGTAACTCGAAGAAAACCTGTGCGCCATTGAACAAGCTGATTCACGCTGTCGGCAAGCTTTTCAACAAGTATCAATCGTGCTACACGAGTCGAGACGATGATGGTGAAGATGCAGAGGCCCGGTTCAGGGCCACACAGGAGAAGCTCGAACAGGTGGATGTTGTCTTGAATCACTTCGACACTACTCTGGAATGCGATGAATGGCCAGAGAATGATGTACTACCCGACCAATTCCCATCCAAGACCAGGAGGCAGGAAGATCATGTAATCCATGATTTGAGCTCACGAGCTGTTGCTACTGCCGCCCTGGAAAGGCAAGCTGCTGTTAGCCAGCGAACCCTTCCCACTTTGATATCCGTCATCCCTGGGGCACTTTACAGCGCTCGATTAGTCCGGCAGGGGAGCGGACAGCAAGATCTTGCATCGGAAGCTGGGCCCTTCACGCCTTCCCATGAGCTCTCGCAGCGCTGTGAAGAGAACACTTAATGAAGTGCCCGCAGAGTTGCCAGCATTCCGTTTGAAGCAGGCGAAGATGTTGTCGGAGCGAAGCCCTCTGAACCATGCGCACGAACCTCCGCCTCTTGAGAGACCAATGGTGGAGCATCGATACCCTACACGTTCCAAGTCGAATGGTTCCGAGTCCCGTTGGGGTAATCTGCTCAAGGAGCCACAGCAGGAGAACGTCGAGATGCAGGATGTCCGATGCCGAAACGCGAGTCGCTCGAGAACAAAGTCGAAGTCGAACAATACGCATTGTGTTCAGGCCACCACTAGCGAGAAGTCAACCAAAGAGAAGCAACAAACTCGTCGAAAGGGTAACAATCCGGCCAAATCAACGGCAGGCAGTGGGAGTCGGCCTCTACCCAACTCCAGTACGAGTCGGCGGGATTAGATTTTGTTTCTGCTTTGCATTGTGTACTCTTGCCTGACCGCAAGTCTCTGTACTACTTATATTTACTTTCTGTGGTCTATAGTAGTTTCGAATTGAATTAAGCATCACATTCTCTATCTACTCATTTAGCCCTGTGAACGTATATGAACATGCTCGAAGCAGTCTCCGGCAACACGCCACAGTGGCAGGATGTACATGGAAGTGTCATGAGCGGCAAACCGTGACATTTGGACAGGCCATATGTTCTTCGTTCGACGAAATGTGTATTGATAGTGTCTTCTCGTGCAACGTTTTGCCGTCTTACCAGAAGCCTCAGATTCAGGCCTTCATCTGGTTGAGATTTTGTCTTGTCTATCCTTCCAGTCTGGTAGATACACGCTGCCAAACTGCCTCATTTATTCCTTTTCAATCATACGCTAACCCATACTTCAAGCTGGCGTGCTTGATCCCTGCTAGACCGTGTCATTACAGACACAAAGGGTTATAGACAGCTGCATAAGTATACGAAGAAACGAGACCTTGTACGTAGATCCGCGCCAATATAGTTGAGTCCTCTTTGTTCTACCGCGTGCACTGAGTCACTGGCCAGCTCGCATTGTCTCTGTCTCTGTCTCTGTCTCTGTCTCTGTCTCTCTTTTCAGATATCGCCTCTTCGCGACAAAAGTAAGAAACTAAACGCGGATTTAAACATTCACTCTCTGATAACTGCAAGGCCATAAACTCATTCCCATTGTGCAGGTGTTCCCGTACCTTCGTTCCAAGTTCAAACTTCCTTGGTGCGACTCCAATTAGCCACTGCCTGAGAATCAAGAACTCCTTTCAAAATCAATACGCTTATTAAGAGACTTCCTCAAATATTCACGATATGCTCGGCCTATTCGTTGGACCCGTGTCCCCACGCCATTTCCTCGATAGGTTCATCAGGCTGAAGTCACTAAAGAAATTGAACCCTGAGACACCGCCAAACTCGGAAGTCGATTTCTCCGAAATGCCTTCCATGGGGTCCGAAAAGGATGTGTTCGAACCTTTGGTACGTCTTTTGGTCTATAGCGGTTATTGGAGTGTCGTTGATACTGGACTACCCAAGTGCGATGCTATCAATAACTCTGGCGTTTGCACTGGATTCACTTTGGTTGACGTTTCGAGCTCAGCAACCAAGGATATTATTCAACTGCGCCCGGACCTCGCCCTCGTACCCTCCAACGCTGAAGACCTGATGGACTATAGCATTATGGAATTTTTCGTCGAGACTAAGCTTGGTGATCTTGCGGACCTCTTCTACGACAATCAGGACACATGCGTGGATGATCCGATGGAGAACATGACGGGGGAAAATGCGGAGACTCTCGAACAGATGATATCCTATGCGGCCGCGTTATTATCCCGCCAGCACAGATTATTTGCATTCTCTATCGCCGTGTGCGGTCATTATGCTCGCTTCTTCCGATGGGATCGTGCTGGGTGCATCGTCAGCGATCTGTTTAACTTCGTCGAAGAGCCAGACATCTTGCTTGACTTTTTCTGGTGCTATGCACGACTAACTCGCGAAGAACGTGGCTTTGATCCGACTGTGGTGCCTGCTTCTGCTGCCGAGGCCAAACTCTTCTCTGATGCCCTGTCGCGATACATTCAGGAATCGAAACCGCGGGACGTCAGCTATCTGCAACCGAAACCCGATTCTACCTATCCGATCTCCAAGATGCAGATTCCAATGACGAAGGGCGTTCGCGAGCTGATTGTTGGCAAACCATTTTGGGATGCTGACTCTCCTGATCGGACGACAAGCGCATACGCTGCGTACGATATGGTGGAGATGAAAATCGTGTTTGCAAAGGACTCTTGGCGTGATGAGGATGAAGGCATGCTTTTGGAGGCTGAGATCTATGATATACTCAAGAAGAACAATGTGCCCTTTCTCCCCGAAGTCATCGCGGCTGGGAACGTTTATGTGAAGACCAAGAAGAAGAAGGTGTATCAGAGGACACTTATTGAAAAATGGTACACTTCTAACAGCAGATCATTACTGTGGTGCCTACCATCTGTGGACCTACGAACCCTGGTGCATTGCAGGGTCGTTCAAGAACTCGCCTATCCTCTGACGTCTGCACTCTCATCGAAGGAGGCCGTCCAAGCTATTCGCGATGCGATCGAAGGTACGTGATGCCAACTGTGTGGCTTGCGTTTGATCTTCATATTCCTTTCAGCTATCAAAGTCGCGTACCATGATGCCAAAATCTTCCACCGCGACATCAGCACTGGGAACATCATGATCAGTAAATCGGGTCGCGGAATCCTCAATGACTGGGATCACGCACTGATAGTCATTCTCAGGGACACACCCCAAGGGTATCGGGTGGTCAGTAATTGTATTCTCTGCTTCATAGTGATACTAACAGCTTCCCAGGGCACCTGGCAATTTATATCTGTCCCGTTACTGCGGCGTCCCAAGAAAGGTCATGAGGTGCACGATGACCTGGAATCGTCATTCTGGGTGTTACTTTACATCTCTTTTCATTATTTCAAACACACCAAACTTGTCAACGTCGACTTCTTCAACGAATACAACGAGTACAGCCGAAACGGCAGTGCAACTCGTCACGCGTATGGAGGACTAGCAAAGGCGGGCTTCCTATATGGGGGACTACCAGGTGTGAAGTGGACGTGTGCCCCTTTGAATAAACTTTTACACAAGTTCGGCGATCTCTTCTACCAATATCACTTCTATCATGGGAGGCAGGATCGTGAGGAACACTTGGCCTCCTTCACGGATTTCCAGAAACGGCTCGACCAGGTGGATAGTGTTTTGGATCTCTTCGACACCGCTCTGGCATCCGACGAATGGCCGGAGAACGATGTGCTGCCTGATCAGTATAGCCGGAAGAACGAGAAGAAAGAGACAGAGGAACGTCATGATTTGAAGTCACATGCCGTTGCTCCTGCTGCTCAGGAGATGAATCCTGTGCCCGTCACTTGCATGGCTCCAGTTTTGCTGCAAACTCGGTCCGCTATCCCTGGGATACATTCCAGCACTCGATTAATACAGCAGAGTATCGGGCTGCAAGTCCCTGTACCGGAAGGTGGGCCTTCACAGCTTCCCATGGGTTCTCGCAGTACGGTGAAGAGACCTCTTGATGAGGGCCCTGCAGAATTGTCAGTATCCCGTTCAAAACGGGCTAAGACCGCGCCGGATCGAAGAAGGTCCTTTAACCGTGCCCCTAGACCCCCTCCTGAGCGACCAGTGGTGGAGCACCGATATCCTACGCGTTTCAAATTGAATGCTACCCGTCGGGGTAGTTCTCTGAGAAACCCACAGCAGGCGGACGTCGAAATGCAAGATGACCGACGGCGGAACCCCTCTCGGTTGAGCGCAAAGTCGAAGAAGGCATATCGTTAGAACCCTTCTAGGAATGACTAGAAAGCGGCGGAAGGTGATCGTAGTCGATCTCAGACGAAGTCCAGCATGCCTCAGCCACCAATAGCTACATCCTCTTCCATATGTTTCGTTTCTATACTGTGCCTACCCTGATTTTTATATTGGCTCACTGTCAGTGTCTTCTGCTGTATTTTTATGAGTGGACCTGGGCCTACGTTGTAAGGTTCAGGTTCATCGAATATGGGACAATCCGAGCTGGGAGATACAGTTAATTCAAAGGTTAAAGATGGGTACAAACATTCAGATGCTGACGGGTGTCAGGATAAATTATGTATTCATGAAAGGTCATGTCATCGTATTTGCCTTTAAGAATCATCGTTCGGACAGGTACATAAGCATGTTCCCCGTAGCTGTTACGGCTTCACAGCAATCTTTACTGCACTACGGCTATTCATCTTGTCAAGTGCTTGTTGGTACTCGTCGATCTTGAAAACATCGGTGACCTATGTGTCACGCATGTTGAGATATTGTGTACGCTTCAGTGGGGCTCATACTTACCAAACCTTTCACTTTGATTTTGCCGCTATCCAGGTACGCCACTGCTCGAGGGAAACAGTGGGTCTGAGCGAATGAACCAATGATCTGCTCAAATCATCTAATAAGTATTTCATAAATGTCACATATCCATAGATTTCCTTACCCGGATCTCATCGAGGAATATTTTGGAAGGAGACCAATGCACACGAGCTGTACTGTCGTATACGCCATAGATCATGAGTGTACCACCGCGGCGAACATAATTGATAGCGTCCGAAGCGATCTTCTCAGAGCCGGTAGCTTCGACCTGGGTAAGAGGGTTAAGCACGCATAGCAGATAAACGATGATCGTGACATACAACGACATCGAATCCATATGGGTTGTCCTTTTTGAGTTGTTGCCATTGGGCTTCAGGATTCACTCGATCAAGTTCAATGAAATGGTCGCCGGCTTCTAGTTGCTTCGCTACTTCGGTCTTGATACCCTTGTTTGCGGCAATTGTAACTTTAGCGGCGCCATTCAATTTCAAAAGTTGCGCCAGGATGAGACCCGTAGGACCAGCTCCAATAATGAGTGCTTCGACGCCAACAGGAGCGTTCAGTTGATCCATGCCATGAACTGCGCATGCAGCAGGTTCGATCAGTGTGGCTTCGTCATCCGAGAGGTTGTGGATCTTGTACACTTGCTTCGCCTCACTAGCACCAAGTCAGTCCACAGCAAATGTCAAGGATGTCTAGAACGACTACCAACAATGCAACGTATTCAGCGAAACCGCCTGCAAGCGTTACACCTCGGCCGTCGAAGTTTTCGCAAAGCAATGACCTGCCTCTCCGACAGTAGAAACATCTTCCACACTATGTCTGAAGTCAGTCCTTTACATTATGCGCAAAAGCAATCCATCACACGAACCGTAATGCCTGGGTCGGCAACGACTCGGTCTCCTTTGGCGAAGCCCTCGACGTCCTTTCCGATATCGGCGATTACACTGGCCAAGCTGCGTACTCAAAATAAGACACATATTGAGTTGCACAAGAGCCGTAAGCCTACCGGGAATTTCGCGATGAACTCTCCGTCATGCACATGTCCATCAGTTCCACAAACCCCTGGTGTCACGATCGACTGGAATCAACAACTGTGGGACATGAAGATCATGTATCTCAACATACCACAACACGTCACTGAAAGTAGGTGTCAGTGCAGGAAGAAAGGTGGCTCGGGATTACTGCATACCTTTGAACAATACCTCCCCGTCGCCAACCTGAGGAATAGGAACATCCCGTACCTCAAAGTTCTTTGGCTATATATACAAGAACGACAGTGACCATTGATATCACAGGAGATCGATGCAAGTATAGTAGTCTTACCGCATGGTAGTAAACAGCCTTCATGTCTCCACTCATGGCCACAAACGGGATTGTATTCTTGTGGAGAGCAAAGTGAGGATATGGAGCAGGACGCAGGGGGGCATCTTCCTGGACGAGCTGAATTAAATATAAGCTCGATTGCCATGATATGCCGGGGAAAGCCTGAGGCCTGAACGCATGTGGGGTTGCATGAGGGCGAAGCAAGCTGATAATGATCCTACGAAATCGGGATTGAACGTTACACAGTATGATCGATCTTCCAGACGGTCCCCATAGAGATGAATGCGATAATTATACAACGCCAAAAAGCGCCTCTCCCTCCCGGTCCGAACTTCGTAGATAGAGTGGTACCAATTCATAATTGAGCAAAGTTCTATAAGTATTCAACGCTGCGTTCGCGTTGACCTAGTCAATTGATCTTGTCAGCAAGCGAGATCATTACAAGGTTGAATAACGTGAGGACAGAAAGGATATCATGTTATAACATCACCAAGTCCCACAACAACTGGTTATCACTGTACAGAATATCACGAATTCGTGTCCGTATGCAGTGCATTCTAAGGTCTTGCAGGATAACAATGAAAATACTGAAAAAGCTCATCGACTCAGCATTCATCCTGCAAACATAACGGAAGTAACTCACCAGCAAAAAGAAACAACATTGCGAGCTTGTCGCTCAATCTAATTCCACGTCTTCGTAGGGTCAACGCCCAACCCACTACTGATCTTACCCACAATCTCTACAACTCCTCTCTCCGGCAAGGTCGGGTCGAACTTCAATTTGGTCGGTTCGGGGTGTCCCGCAACTGCCCTCTCCGTGCCTTCCCCACCATTCTTCTCGTACTCCAAAACGACCTTGCACACACCTTCCAGTGTAGTACAAGGTCCTGTATACCCCAGACCGCCTTTCTCAGAGGACGTACGGGCACGAGAGTCGTCGAAGAGGAGATGGACGTTCGTCAAGGCAAACATGGAAGGCTGGAGGAAGATGATATCGCCACGAATAGCAGGAAACAGTCGGCCAAGAAAAGCAAATGATGAATTGACCAGGAAATGTCTTGCGAGGTAATACCATTCGACCAAATGAGCGATAGACAACATGAACGTCGGGGAAAGGTAGATGAACGACACTGCGCCTTTGCAAAGGGTGCCCACGGCATTGTACACATCTAGATACGTCGGCGTTGGTCCCGCATCCGTAATACAGAATGCTTGACCGCCGATATCCGGATTGGAATTACCAGATTGAAGCTCAATGAGCCGTGCTTCGTAGCATAGATGCGCGAGGGAGCAGTTTTCGACGTAGATGAAGGACTGCATGATGGACGGGATCCACGAAGGGTTCACTTTGTCTCTAATAAGCCTGTCGACTAGGATGTCACCACCAGGACCGAAGATACCATTCCCGGGCCTCAAACAACCTGTCCTGAGTATGCCGTCGCCTGACTTGGAACCATCCGAGTCTCGAACGAAACGTTCTGCATGAAGTTTCGAAACGGCGTAATTGGAGAAGAATTCTTCGTGTCTCTTGGGTAATTGGTTGTCATCATCTGTAATCACTTGAACGAAGTGCTTCGCTTCTGATTGCCACGGCCAAAGCCAAAATCGTGATCGTCGCACAGCGACCGAACCGGAGGAGGTATATATTAGAGCGGAAGCACCGACAGCACGTGCGGCGTTCACGATATTCTTGGTCCCTTCAAGATTTATATTATCGGAAAGGTATAACAAATCCGGGTGACGTTCAAAGAACCGGATGACAGCGGCGGTGTGAAAGACTGTAAGTTCAGGAGTGCGTTCCTCAGTAGCGGGCCAAGGTTTCTGGAAGGCTTTGAAGACTGCGTCCGCATCCGTCATGTCTACTTGGATGAAGTCAACGTCTCTGGCAGCTTCCTTGAGATCCTTACGGGATGGTGGTCGAATGTCCAGGATACGAATCTTTCGAGGATCTTCACCTCTCTGTAAGAGATGTAGAACGATCCAACCGCCTAAGAAACCAGCCTATACAAGCGTGTCTCCAAATCAACTCCACACACCCGGAGAATAACATATTTAAAGACCCACCCCGCCTATAACGATATACCTCCGCCCAGTCTTAGACGGTAATTGACCCTCCAATAAATCAGGCTTCTCCGACACTCTAGCGAAAGTCTCCTGGATGAATTCTTGGGTCCAAGGTTCAGAACCGAGATTCCCTGGAGGACGTTTGAGTTTCGCATCGTTTAGCCATACATAAAGCGCATAGAGCGTTGGAATAATTAAGACGGTCAACCACACTGCTGCAGGCATCGCACTGTACTATGTGAAGACTATGAGCATTGAAGTCGTGATGAAGAGGTGAGAAGGAGAGACCCACGGAAGGGGCGGTCTCTGGTGGGCGGTGAGCGAAGGGGGGTAAGTAATTTGGACCCGTTAGATGAAATAATGCGTTTTGATCATAGCATACAGGCGCGAAGGGCACATCCAGATCCTTTACAGTCGCGTCGTCGCGGCACAATGGCTGAACGTCACAATCCTGGACGTTTTCAACAGCGCAGTGATGGTTCATAAAAAGCAATGCAAACGAGACCCCTACACCATAGGAGTTATCGCAAACACCGATCACGCTGTGCGCGATTCCTCATACCCACTCGCACAAACGAGCTAGCATATTGAATACGACAAGAAAGATCGCAATTCCCACTAGATATAGAAAAAACACACAACAACAACCTGCTAGCACAAAAACATAACGGTAGACTAGATATACAAAAGCGCAACTTAAGCGGGAGGTGGTGGGGGAGGAGCAGGTTCGCTAGGTGGAGGGGCAGCACCTCCCGCTACGGCAGCAGCCTGGGAAGGATCACTACCTGGTACGCCGGTATATCCTTGCTGGGCGTAATATTGAGCGTATTGTTGCGCTTGTTGCTCCTGCCATTGTTTGAACTCCGGAGAGTTGACATCGTAGCCGTACGCGGCCCTGCACCATTCAGTCAGATTGGTTTTAGGATTGAGAAAGCGAAAAAGAGCGCACCAGTAGGCCGCGTATGCGTCTACATCGGTTACGGCAGGGGCTGCTGCTTGGCTGGGAGCACCAGGGGGTGCGCTGCCGTCTGGTGGCGGCGGTGGAGGTTGCTCTCCTGGTGGGGGAGGTGGAGGAGCGTTACCTGGTTGTGGAGGAGCATAACCCTGTAATACCAACGCCAGACAAGTTAGTATTCAAACCCATGTGATACAGACCAAAATTGAGTTTTTGCAACTGTCATGGACATTGCAAAAGGAAAAGAGAGCAAGGTATTGATGAGCTGAAGTATACATACGCCATAAGCACTGTAAGCAGCGTACTGGAGTTGTGCGTGGTGCAGCTCCGCTTGTTGTTGGACCAACATGACTTTGACTTTGGCGTGCTCCGCTTGGACTACTTCAAGGAGATCTTCAGTGAGTGCTTTGGCACGGGCTACCATTGTCTCATCTGGACCTCTGTACTATACGTCAGCCGCAACAACCAACTGGTGCGTAAAGACAACTCACGTAACGTGAATATACATGGGCTCGTCGTGTTCTTGTCCAGTCTCTTGGTCAACGAAGCCAGAACCGATTCCTTTGATTTGTACACGCGTCTGGGTTTCTTGTTGGATGTATTTCACGAACATGCCCTACACAACTCGCTTAATAGTCGGAACGTGTTTCAAGCAGCTCATAAACGTACCTGGGGACCAACAACCTTCGCCCTGACGTTGAAATTTCTGATAGAGTCGATACCAACAGGGATCTTCTCTTCAGGCCATTTACGCTAAAGTTGATCTCATGAGTGAGATATAAACAGTTCAACATGCGACGGTGCATACCTTCTCCCGCAAACGGTCCTTCTTGTCTTCCACAAGAGAGCCCATATCCAAGTTGATTAGCTCATTAACTTTGTCGATCGCCTTTTGCATTGCATCATTCGTGGTGGCTGAGATGTGCAAGTAGAGCGGTGGATCCTTCTCTGTCGCCTTGGTGCGATCGGGGTACCATGTACCCTTCGTACTGACGGAAGCACCAGTCTCTTCGTGAATCTGCTCAGGGTCAGTCGCGTGTTCGAGATCGGGATAACGAAAGCAAACTTGCCTGAGATTGAGTCGACCCCTTTGTCAACAAGTAACGATTGCGAACATCGTTAATGTCAATGTCGTGCGTGAAGTCTCCATCGTGAGGGTCTCTCGGTCCTAATGCAGTACCTGTACCAGAGGAAGAACCAGCGAACTGAGCAGCAATTTTGGCAGCGATTGCGGCGGCGGCAGCAGCAGCCTCTGACGCGGACTTTGTCTCATCAGTCTTTGCGGCCTTTGCAGGAGAGTCGTTGTCGCCGTTGGGAGCAGCCTGGTCCCACTTTCGTTTTGAAGCCATGGGTAGAGTCAAGGGCAGACTGTTTTCTGGTGGAGGACAGAGGTAAAGGAGTGTAGACGCTCGTATCGTGGGCGTGCCGGACCATGCCGGGGATTGGAAGTGCGCTGGAATTTTTGTAGAAAAGTGCGAGCGCGGACTCCTTTCTCTTTCTTACGGCCTTTACCTCCTCCAGCCATCTCAGTCATGGCTTCAGTTTGGATGAGAGCCGCGAAGGCCTCGTCGTACTCAAGGCTCTTACTTAGAGCCAGCAGGACTGGACTCGTCCTTCCTAGACAGGGTATGCCACAGTTTCACATCACAATGTCGTGTACTGACTGAAGTTGGACTATTTTCAGTCCATCTTTCTGCTGTACGGTATTTTCCTGCTGCTGCCGCCAGCACAAAAGTGGAGGATGCATTGAACCCCGTGGAGGATGCATCGAACCCTGTGGAGGGTGCATCGGAGTTCGATGCTCCCGTGGAAGTGGAAGATGTGCCTTCGCCTTCGCCGTCCTATGAAAAGGCGGAGAAGAAGACGGACAAAAAGCTAACCGAAAACCTTCACTCTGCCATCGAAGGCGACCTACCTGAGTTCTCTTCGCTCAAGGGCAAAATTTCTTACGACGTCCTCAAGGCCATTACCACCACTCCCATGAAGCTCACACACATGAGTCCTGTGCAAGCAGCTGTCCTCCCCATGCTTCCCGACCTCGTCAGACCGCCTACAACCGAATCCGAATCTGCCGAAGAAGACACCAAGAAAGGTCCTCGTGATTTACTTGTCAAGGCAAGGACTGGTACTGGTAAAACTTTGGCTTTCCTCGTCCCGGCTATCGAATCTCGACTACGCGCCATCGAAGCACACGCAAAACAAGCGGTTGCAGATGCTGGTCTCAAAACGGATAAACAACTGGAAGGTCGTGCCAGACGTCTTTTTTCTCGTCAAAATGCCGGTGCTCTCATCATCACTCCTACTCGTGAATTGGCTTCCCAGATTGCTGAGGAAGCCATTAAGCTTACCACTCACAACGACTTGGAAGTTCGTGTCTTCGTTGGTGGTGTAGGCAAACGGAATCAAATGCGAGAATGGATGAGAGGTAGACGGGATATTGTTGTCGGTACACCTGGTCGTATTAGAGATTTGCTCGAGAACGAACCAGAGGTAGCCCAGGGCTTGTCCAAGGCCAAGATGGTACGTGTTAACGCTGAACCTTAATTACGTATAGTCCTGACACCTTTCATAGCTTATTCTCGACGAAGCGGATACTCTGCTTGAGATGGGTTTCCGTGAGGACATCGAAGCCATCACGAGTGCCTTGCCCGCCCCTCCAGAACGTCAGACATTCCTTTTCTCTGCCACGGTTTCTCGCCCTATTCAACAAGTCGCTCGTGCTACTCTTGACCGTAACCACGCCTTCATCAACTGTGTCACGGATGATGCTCCGCCGGTTCACGCACATGTTCCCCAGTATCACACTGTTGTCCAGTCTGCGGATAAGCAAATTCCTCATTTGCTCCGTCTCTTGGCCCACGACCAACTTATCAACCCCGGCAAATCCAAATCCATCGTCTTCCTTCCTACCACTAAGCTGACGCAACTGTTCTCCACAATGTTGCGTGAGCTGGCAGATGGTACCCTTCCCTTTGGACGTAACACCAGGGTCTACGAGATGCACTCCAAGCGTACTCAAGAAACCCGTACTCGCACATCGGATCAGTTCCGCAAGGACAGGTCTCCTGCCTCCGTCCTCGTCACTTCCGACATCTCTGCTCGTGGCATCGACTACCCCGGCGTCACTCGTGTCATCCAAGTCGGTATTCCGGGATCACCTGAGCAATACGTTCATCGTGTCGGTCGTACAGGTCGTGGTCTCGACACCACCGGCCGTGCTGATTTGGTTCTCCTTCCTTGGGAAATCGGTTTCGTCACATGGCAATTGACTGACATTCCCTTGAAACCTCTCACTGCTGCTGAGCTCAAGAACCAAGTGACCGAAGCTATTGCCGGACATGACGAAAACGCCAAACGACCATACGCTCCTGTCCACGAGAGACTTGAGGAGCGTGTCTCGCAACTGCTTCCTGAACTCGACGAAGAGGCTATTCGTGAATGTTTCATGGCTGGTCTCGGATACTACCTCAGCCGTTCAGGCGACCTCCGTGTCCAAAAGAACGTCATTGTCAGCGGACTCAAGGACTGGACGACTGGGGCTCTGGGTCTTCCAACACCTCCCTACGTCTCTGAAACTTTCCTCGAACGGATGGGTGCTCAGGACCAACGCAAGCGTCAAAATCGCCAGCCCAGGGAACGTACCAACCGTTGGGAAGGTCGTGGTCGCCAGAGTACACGAGACGCGCCTAAGGAGCATGAGCATAGATTCGGTGTGAAGGACCTCGATCGGGGTGACTACCAAGAACGTATTGGTGAACGACCTCCGAGACGAGATGGCGATACTCCCTTCGTTACCAAAAAGCGTTATAACGACGAAGAGGGCGGCGGCGAGAGGCGATCATTTTCAAAGTATGGTGGTGACCGTGAACGACGTTCGTCAAGATATGGTGAGGACAAGGGAGAGGACCGTCGTTCGTCGAGGTATGGCGAGGATAAGGGAGAAGACCGTCGTTCGTCGGGATCCAGGTATGGTGGCGACAAACGACCTTCCGACCGCGAGCGGTGGTAAATCACCATATCACCCCATCCAAGTCGAGGGTACGACCTAGTCGAGCTACCTTGACTTCATTCACATCGTCGATTCCAGAGGTCATCATACTCAGGATTCTTAGAGACGAATATCCCAGCGCTTTCTATCTAGTAACAAAGTTCACTTCTTTGCGCTGCGCGAGGTTCGGTCCTAGGAGAGTTTTATGGGGATGTGTGATGTATATTATATTCTGTAGGTGATAGGTAGCAGCATTATACTTGCGCATGTACGGGTCCCTTTATGTCATGCTTTAATCTCTATAGATTCTACTTTTAAAACCCCCTCCTCATGTGTATACCTTCGTGTTTCTACCCCAACCATATACAATATGTCTACACAACAACGACAGCCAACGCAACATGATGAAACATACACAACCGAGAGCAATGTGATATGTGTCCGTCAGGACCTTCGATCCGAAAGTGCTATGGGTCTGCTGTCAAGAGCACCTCCTTACCGCGCGGAAGAGGCTCTTCTTGCCTCAGCTGCTCTTCGCTTACCATGGCATCCTTGGGGTGTGGTGGTACGAAGGAGTGGAGTTGCTGGTCGATTTGCTCTTGCAGGACGGTAGGTCCACAAGCAGCAGCGACGAAGCCTAGGAACGGAGGTGAAGGGTTGAGTGGTCGAGAGCAAAACTCTGGATGTGCCTGCAAGCCGACAAAGTATGGATGATCTGAAGAAGTCCGTTCGTCAGCAAAGTAAAGATATTAACTCAAAACTAATGATGAAACATACCTGGCAGTTCCAGTACTTGCATTCGCTCGCCCTTCTCGTCTTTGCCGGCGAACACAAGACCGCTTGCCACAAATTTCTCGATAAGAGCCGGGTTCACTTCGTAGCGGTGACGATGACGTTCCCAAATCTCCGCGGCACCACCGTACAGCTTGCGCAATTTCGACCAGTCAGCGGCGGGGTCGAAAACAGTGGGTCGGAGACCGAGACGCATGGTCCCACCCATGTGCGTTTTGGAGATTTCGGGCATGAAAATGATAGCGGGCTCCTCTGTATTCGGGTCGAACTCAGCGGAAGTCGCATCTAGAGAACACGTGGGTTGTATACTGTGAGGAAAACGTAGCTTGGAATTCGACGCTGACTTACTCTTCATGCCAAGGACGTGTCGAGCCCACTCGACAACAGCAAGCTGGAAACCAAGGCAAATACCGAGGAAGGGGCATTTCTGTTCACGCGCCCACTTGATCGCCAGGATCATCCCTTCAGTTCCGCGAACACCGAATCCGCCGGGGACGAGGATACCACTACATAATGAGGTGAGTTCAAATGCATTACCACCGGAAGAGAGACTAACCCTGCAGAGACGACTGCACCCCAAGCGTCGTGGTACCGAGCCGGGCTTGTGACTTGGGTCTCCGGTTCTAAATCGGATGCATCGACCCACTAACAGATGGTTGTGAAATTTGATCACTGAATTGAATGTGATACATACTTTGAGGATGAGTTTTCGCTTGCATCGGAACGCAGAGTGTTCCAGCGACTTCGTTACAGACATATAGGAATCTTTGAGGTCGGTGTATTTGCCAACAAGAACGATAGAGACTTCATCGAAGGCTCGTTCCTGACTGTACGGACAGGCTGATGAGGATAGGCCAAAGAACACCACTTCACGACGGCTTACCGAGTTGTGAGTTCTTTCCATCTCTTCTGAAGGCTTTCGCCTCGATCTCTCATCTCCTCGGTCAGCTTGATGCTGGGAAGGTTTAGTCGCTTCTGCAGGAATTCCACGATACCCTGCGACTGAAGAAGGAGAGGAACGTGGTAGACGGATGAAACGTCGTGTACACCGACGACTTGCTCGGGGGATACATGACAGAACATTGAGATTTTGGCTTTGGTAGCTGGTTCCAAGGGCTTCTGTACAATAAGTCGGCAAGCAATCTGAGAATCGTGGAAACTGTGTAAGCATAACGACGACTCGATCATAAACGAACGACTGACCAGGTCAGGCAGAAGACCGAGTCCGCGCAATGCGTGGACGGTAGTCTGGGTAGGCTTTGTCTTCTGTTCACCGTGCATATCCGGAACGAGGGAGACATGAATGAGAGCAAAGTTCTCATAACCCACGCGGAACTGGAATTGACGCATGGCCTCGACGAACGGCGCTGACTCGATATCACCCACAGTTCCGCCAAGCTAGATAAACAATCAGGGTTGAAGGAAAATAATACTAGAAAGTAAAAGAAAACACACCTCGACAATACAAACATCCGGCTCTTCACCGGTGTCATCAACGGGGATTTTAGAAACTCGTTCAATCCAATCTTGAATAGCATTTGTGACATGGGGAACGATCTGAAACAGTAAGGTGAGTTTAAACGCATCGAACAATTTTAAGAAGGTGCCGTTTACCTGTACCGTCTTGCCCAAGTAGTCTCCGCGCCTCTACCCCCGAGTTAATGCATTGTTCAGGTAGCAAAATTTGTTCGGAAACCCACCTCCTTCTCAATAACCTCCCTGTAGATCTTTCCGGTAGTAATGTTGTTATCGCGGGACAAGGTAACATTAAGGTAACGTTCGTAGTTTCCAAGGTCCAGGTCGACTTCTCCGCCGTCATTAAGAACATAAACCTCGCCTGATCAAACGTACTTCAGAAATCTGCGAACGACAGGTTCGCAGTGCATGCAAGCCCTCACCATGTTCCTGAGGTCTCATTGTGCCGGCATCAATGTTCATGTATGGGTCTATCTTGATCGCAGTGACCTTCAAACCCGTTGTTTTCAAAAGCAAGCCGGTTGAAGAGGCTACAGGATTGTATTGCATTGTAATGTTATTATAAAACATTTGTCGACATCGACACTCTAAGGCGTACCAATAACGCCCTTCCCGATACCACTAACAACACCTCCAGAAACGACGATGTACTTGGTCATGACGGGCACAAAAGAAAGGACGACAGCCGGAGCAGGTGCAAGAACGGCGTAAGAATGCTCGCCAACTCTCAACGGTCAAAATTCTGTCCTCGGTCACGCGTCACGCTACACGTGCGTCGCGTCTGTCACTTTCGCGCGACCTCCTGCAGCCAGTTGCAGCCAGCCCATTCGCTTAGAAAAACGTGTTCGAGATACTGTACTCGGAATAAAGTTAAATTCGTACTGTACTTGCATCACAACAGAAGCATCTTCTTTATCCAAGTCATCTGCTTGTTCTTGAATGCTTTTTCGAATCTGGCTACTATAGATCTCCGTCATAACCAGTCATTGCATGAGTGGAAAGGGTGAAAGGAAAGGGATGGAATTTCTGTGCATCGCAAGAGTGTAGATGGTATGAAGTCATATTAGTGGAGAATCAAACTAAGAAAGCAATAAAGCACACAGCAGTAGATAGCAATATGTTACAACTAAATTCGAATGAAATTGAACAACTTGTGGCAATGCACAATGCCACGGTTGGCCGTATCTGTAACCGGAATACATCATTCACCGAGTTGATGCAGAGCATGAGAAGGACACTTACTAAAGAAAAATCCAAACCTAAAAGGCAGAAGCCGGAAGTTATTATCTCGACACAGAGCTATACGCCCTCTTCGATTTTCGATATGTCTCGCGGTCATACGCCGTAGGATCATAATCCACGGTGACGCTGTGTTGTATTTTCACTTGCACGTCCAAGTTGACGTCAAGGTGATTTGGAGAATGCGGTTCCGATGAAGAGTTGTCATGGACTTTGCTCGGTGCTGGCGGACGAAGCGCGTAGTCGTCATCAACCCGGTCTCGTTTCTGACTGCTGAACTGGGTACGCATGATCCGTGAGATGTCGCGAGGTGAGGTAAGTTCCCGTGTCATTGTGTGCGTCATGGTTTGGACAGATTGACCCCGCATCTGAGCCGCAGCGTCTGTAGACCGGGAATTAGTGTCCAGGAACACTTTTAAAGATGTGAAAATCGAACCTCGGAGATGGATAAGTATTCGCTGGGCCATTATCCAAGTAACGACGTAGCCGAGCGTTGCGCTGAAACATGGTGAGCAATCACAATGTCACCTTTAGGCGTTGGGAACGTACGCAGAAGACTGGGAAACATAATCAGTGAAATGGAGAAGATGAAATATTTGAAGACATACCTGTATCTCCTCATCGCTGGCGCGGTATAAAATTAAATTAACAATGTTAGCAGCTGTCATCACATTGCGATATCAGGATTCCACCACCAGGTACCAAATTACACCTATACGCACCAGTTAGGACCACAAAATAGCCTATGCCGTCATAGAACATGCTGGACATGAACATCGTCAGATAAAATGATCAGCCAGGAAGAGACCTTGACATACAGTTTGACAAGTCCTGACATCCTAAACTCGTTGTGAGACGAGGACAGAAATCACGCACGAATTCACATACCGTCGGAAAGAGGGTATGGTATCGAGCAGGTAGTATGTAGATATTCCCATCGTAAAAACATCATAGAACATGGCAAGAAGATAGAATAGCCAAACGGATAGGCGGTTCCGCCTATTGGCGCCGACACAACTTATACACGACGTGAGCAGCTATGACACGAACATGTGGCTCAGGAACTCACTTATGATGCTATTTACCCGAGAAAGAACGATATCCGAAGGTGAGGCGGCTAGTAAAATAAGTTGAGGTGATAACATACCTCGTTTTGTATGGCTTAATATGAAGGATGATGGTTATACGAAGGCGTCATGGTAAAACGATGCGAAAGGACTCACGTATACGAGCGAATACATTCGTGAATATTTCGGCCTGAACAAAGCGGCAAAGTTCAATAAAGCTGACCCAGAAGATGTCAATATGGCGACGTACGGCTGTGAGGAGAGAAAACAAGGTGAGCAATGTCCAAAGCACCCATGGCGCGCGTCGAGAAATGTTGTAGGCCCTATTAAACATTGAGAAACAGAGGTTGATCATGCAGCCATGAATGATCGAATTACCTTAGGCCCAAGATTATTTGGCATACCATCATTTGCGCGGCTACAAAAACCACATAGGTTGATTGAGAGCCATAGAGCAAGAAACGGCATGTTGACTAACGTTTCAATATGGGTGCCACCATGTAATATTTCAAGCATTCTTCCCACGTGAACGTGCTGAAGTACCCAACATTACTGACGGTAATTGTCGCGATGCTTAGGTATCTGCCCCAAGAAGAAATCTGCTTCGATCCGCCACATCATCACAGAAGGCTTCGCGCACCTCAACACGATGAATAGAATGCATCCTGGACTGAGCTTCCATGACGTCTGGCTGCGATAGAACCTCCATTCCGCGGGCAACGTCAATACGTAACTGCAAAGAAGCGAGACGTGGATCAGGATCGTCACAGACGTCCACAGAAGAGAAAAATGGGCGTCAAGTCGACGTTGGGAAGTAGACTCACTCGTATAGTGCGATGGACATAAACCCAACGCGTAAATACGCTGCCCCATTGCTCTTCAGAAACTCAACAGGTTGTGCATCTAGGACCTGCGCCATAGCTGCGTCCTAGGATACGTAGCAAAGTCGCGAGGGCCTAAGGGTCTCCGCAGTGGATTGGCATACGGCGTATGTATAATGACAAGAAGCTCCGGAGGGAGGACGGAGACAATGAAAGCAGTCCGTGGGTCAGAGTTCAGACAAACATGACAGCTGTGGTAAACATGTATGGACAGATGTAAAAGGGGAACCGCATGCAAAAGTGAACTAGCAGCCGGAGTCGGCGGCATGATATGGTTGTGTGGGACTTGCATACTGTCTGTCTATCGCAACGCGTGGTGGATGCAATTGAAAAATATATCGTAAATTCACGTCAGCGCGCTGCATATATGTCGACCCGGTACCACTTTTATACCACTTATGGTGAGCAGGTATACAAGAAAGGAAGGCCCAGCCCACTTATTCCCCGCCGTACCTGATATCTGCGTCAGTCGGTCCCCATACGACCGGTGCTGATCTCTATCTCGACCCGTTAGCCTCCGTTAGCTTCCCGCCAATCCCTCATTGTCCCATAAGCTCAAACCCAGTACCAGTCCAGAAGGTTTACCACTTCAACGAAAATCCCTCGGAAAACGATCACATAGCAACAAAGACACAACTTAGTGAAGCACATTCCCTACAAATACAAATCCCTAGCTATTAGCACAGCAACCCAAAACCTGTATGATAAATTAACCATTCATGATCACTCGTGGAGAAAAATCGGACACAAGCGTTTCGGGCTCAAACCCTATGAGAAAATGACCTCTCACTGAATATACTTGGATCATTTCCCCCGGCCGTTGCTTCTCCCACTTACTTCCCGCTTCTCTAAGAAGCCTTCTCGTTTCTCGTGACGCAAAGCCGCACGAAGCGTGAGTATTATCGAGGTAAGCTCCCTGGACCCCAACGAGAAGATCGTGAGGAGCGGTGAGGCCGGTACGTCTCTCGGTAGGTTTCTCGATCCAGCGCAGCAGGCAAGTAATCCACCGTCACAGTGTGCTCAATTTGTACTTGTACATCAAGTTCCGCATCTGTGTTTGTTTGTTCTGGCCGGTCACCATAGAGTCCGCCGTGGTTATTGCGATCGGTTGTATGGCGGGCTTTGAGGCTGAACTCGTCGTCTAGAGGATCTTTATGCGTAGTGGCTTCGAATTGCGAGCGCATCGCCCGGGAGACATCAGCGCCAGAATGGAGTTGACGGGTGACTATTTGTTTTACTTGATGTTCAGCTGCAGCGTCTAGAAGATAGAAGATTTGGTTAGTCAAGAAGATGAGCTAGAAGCTTAATCTGTTCAAATGAAGGCTCACCCCGAAGGTGTATAAGAATCTTCTGGCTCATGATCCATGTCACAGTATATCCGACAGATGCTCTGCAATAATATGAGAAGATGCATTTATTTGTGACTTGACAGGTGAAACAACATACCCCGATGACTGAAGATGGAATCAGTAAGCGTCTTAGTAACCATGCATGTACGGGGCGCACGTACCTGATAGGACTCATCGCTCGTTCGATAAAGAATTAGGTTGAATATGTTCGCGCCTGAATGTCAAGTGAGCACTGTGTGTAAGGGTTACACCAGCGTGATGGACGTACCAGTCAACACGACGAAATATCCAAGACCATCGTAAAACATTCTATGTTGCCTCTTTGAGTCGAGATAACCATACCATGACGAAAGTAACTTACAACTTGACAAGGCTAGGCATCCTATTAGGAAGCAACACGTAAGTCAAGAACAGGGCATAATGCAAAGAGCTCGCGTACTTGCGAAGGTTCGCCGACCACCCAATTAGATAGTATGTGGATATTGCGAGGGTGATGACGTCGTAGGACATGGCAAGAACATAGTATAGCCAAACTGAGAGATGCCTGGTGCTATTTGCTGGCGTACAACTGAACGAGGGATGGTGTCAAACGGACAGTGCAGAGTGAAACGTTCAAAACTACCTACTTATTTATCTGGGGAAGTGGGTGGAGCAAAGTGAGTGCCTAGATAAGTCGTCAACCTACAGTCAAACTTACATCGTTTTGTGCGGCTGAAATGGGAAGGTTAGCACAATAATGGATACGGCAATTACGGTACACTCACGTAGTCGATCCCATAAGTTAGTAAACCATTCCATCTGCATACGAGTAGCATGAGGACAAGCAGCATTGTTGGATGTCAGTAACTATGTGAACGTACCGCAGTAATCAGAACAAATAAGATTAGCAAGGTCCATAATACACGCTGTGATCGTTTTGAAATATTGTACGTCCTGGGGAGGTAGCTGTCAGTAGCTGGGCATATCTGGAATTACAATATCCAGGCATACCTAATTCCGAGAATTACCTGGGAAATCATAGTCTGCAAAACTAAAAGAAGAATCAGCAAACGATGGCGCTTGGATCAAGCTGTGTAGACGGACCTTTGAACACTGGGGCGGCAAGATAGTAATGACTGCATGCTTCTGCACTGAAGGTTCCGAAGAACCCGACATTGCTGATAACAAGCGTGATGATACTGATGTATCTGGTATTGAAGCAACGTTAGGTATGTACAGTTCATGCGAGATAATATAAGGCAACAAACCTAATAAGAACGAAAAGAATACACCCGGCACTGAGCCTCCATGACCGCTGAGCCTTGTAGAATCTCCATTCTGCCGGTAAAGTCAAGAGGTAACTGGAATTGGTGAGCCACTTTATCACGATTAATATTGAGATGACGGAGCGAACATACTCGTAGGCAGCAATGGCAATCGAAGCGACGCGGACGTATGACGCGCCGTTTCCCTTGAGAAAATCAGGAGAATCCGAGACCATTTGTGAACGCGTAGAAAAGCCACAGAAAGAGGGAAGAAGTAGAAGCTACAGGTGTTGGCTCTGCAACGAGAGAGATGCCACACGACAAGGGGGTATCTCAAAAGTTAAACTATCATGGTGGTAGTGAACAAAGGCGGGTTAGCGGGCAGGTATAAGGCAGTGAGGGAGACGCTTATGATGGAGGGGGGTGGAACGCATTTTGGTCCAATGGTGAGCCACAGCGTGCGTCTGGCCACGGAGGAATGATCGAAGTTCTCGGTTTGGAAAATGTTTTCACTCATTTTCATTTTACAGTACCGATCCGGCTCGGCACCAATCGATCGCTCAGATCTCGGAGCCAAGGCGCGCTGAATTTATGTAGAACGTTGAGCTTCCCCTTCTCAGCCTTTGATGCTTCTTCGTCAACAACGAACTACAGAACATCTTCTATGGTAAACCCACCGTGCAATGCTCGTTTCCGTCGCGGATATGAGAGAACGACTTCATTCCGATGCCTTATCATTCCGCGCTTCAAGATGCACAGCTCCTTTCAATTGATGTACTGCATCTGACTGTCATCACGAGTTCTCCATCCGGCAGCAGGAGTCAGCACGCAACGTCGGACGCACGCACGGCCATATGTAGTGTAGCTTGAGAAACTACGGAGATCATGCGAGATACAATACTTGGAGTCATCGATGTTACCACGGTTCTTCAGTTTAGACGATTTTGATGCAACAAATAGATCATGGGGAGCCATGTTTCAAGAACGAGGCGGGACGTCAGACCAAGGACAACACTTGTCACACATAGTATGATCAGTGTTGTGGAAAATCGCAGTCGAGAAACCAGGCTTCCAGTAGCGAAAACCCTCGATGGAAATGACGTACTTGGCGAGCGATACTGGTAAACTTCAAACGACCAGACGATGCTCGCCTTGCGGTGCGGACAGCGCGTACTTCAAGGCGAGACATGCTGACGGTTTCTTTTAGTCTCCGAGGGTTCGCGTTAATCTAAATCACGTCACATATATGACGTCCTGACGTGAAGCAACAATGAAAGCAGCTTTTCATCACCATCACGTTTAAAAGGTGGGAGCGTGTAAAGCAGCCTCAAACCATTGCTGCTCATTGAGTCGCGAAGGCAACGATCTGAGCATGTTGAAACAAAGACAAATCGCGATCATTAGCAGTAAGTCAAAACAAAGCACTATACATTTTGCGTCGTATCTCTTTACATCCACCTTAATTGCCACTTCGTCCGACAGCCCGTGCAAGAGACGAGTTCGCCAGCTGAGGCAGTTTCTTTTCCGGGTTCGGGTCACTTGGTGCAGGCAAAAAACCAGCAGCGATCAGCCAAGCTAGGTATTTGCCCACGAGCTCATCGTCCACAGTGGCGTTCGTCTGCGCCATATGGGGCGCTAGCAATGTCTTCATGTTCGTATCATTGAGCTCCGGTGCCTTCGTGCTCGTCGGTAGGTCGTCCAACACAAAATGAAGTAGCGGGAATAGTGCGTTATCTTGTACTTCCATAACATGCTTCTCGAGTTGTGTCCGCCAAACGAGGTACTCGGCCGTCTTGGTAGGGAAGCCATACCGTGTCAACGCAGACAAGAATTCGTTGAATGTCGGCCGAGGATACGCTGCAACGTGCAATACGCTCAGGTGATTACGAGGTTCGGGGAGTGGCGCCAGGGCAGCTAACGCCGTCGAACGTGCTACATGATCCACTGGTACCATGTTCACAGTATTGTTGATATCGGGAACCAAGCCAAGCTGAATACAGCCTTTGACCAATCTCCAGATAAAGTCGTCTGTGTTTGTAACTATAACGCGCCACCATCCGTCAGTTAATGCTTAAGCGCCAAGGATAGCGCAAGTGAACCACGATTGACTTACCTGCTGATTCAGAGTCGCCCACAACGTACCCTGGACGAACGATATGACCTCTCAGGCCCCGTCTTCCGGCTTCGAACAGCAATTTCTCGGAAACCCATTTACTCTGACCGTATCCGGTCTTGAGCGATGTCCGAGCGCCCTCTAGATCATCATCCTCCGGAACACCACCTGGTCCGCTTGAATCCTGTGAGAGGGAGTCAGAGAGTTGGACATAGTACTCCGTATCGATCGCTGATGTGGAGGACACGAATACAAAGAACTTGGGTTTGCCGGATGATGCTAGTTCTATGGCGGTGACGGTTCCCAGTACGTTGGCAGATCGGAGCTTCTCGTATGGGTATACCCAGTGCACCTAAAATCACGAAACCGCTCAGTCAACAATCCAAGGGGACGTAATCCAGATATGCAAACTTACCAAGGCACCATTGTGAATGATAGCGTCTGCTTCTGTCGCGACATGGTCCCAAGTTGACTGATCGAGACCAAAATGTTCTTGATCCAAATCACCCTTGACGACTTCTACTCGACCAGACTCGACCCATTTCTCATCCCATACGCCACGTCCACTCGCCGCATCCCTCAACCGGTCTAGGGCTTGTTCCGCTGTACGTGCACGAACCAGACAAATGACTTTCTTGACTCTGTTATCACGCTGCAAGAGATCCCGGAGGATGAACGCGCCCAAGAAACCTGTGGCTCCAGTCAAAAAGACTGTCAACGGCTTGTCCGAATAGTCAGACGGTAACGAGGGGTATGATGACTGAAGCTTGGACAGTAGGGTTTCATAATCCTTGCTATACTCGATACGAGGAATAGCCGCTGCAAGAACAGCTTGTCCAGGAACTGACACATCAGAGGGTACTCCAGGAGTCTTGTCACCGTTCTTCTCAGCAAAGCCCAGATCGGCGTTTCTGAGACGGTCTATCGCCTGGGCTTGGCTACGAATGGTAGGCTTGTCGAATACTAGTCCAAGAGGTGCGTCGACGACAAACGTTTTACGGATCTCGAAGATTAGACGAGTAGCAAGGATAGAGTGGCCACCCATATCGAAGAAGTCCTCATCCAAGGGAATCGGTGAAGGTGCATTGAGAAGAATGCGGGCCCAGATTGAACGGATATTTTCTTCAGTGGGGGTGGCAGCCGCTTGACCGGCTGTGCGAGCAGCTTCAATAACTGCAAGTTGCGCGGTATCGGGGAAGGGAAGTGCGGGTTTGTCGATCTTCCCATTGGGATTGAGGGGCATACGCTTGAGGGGTACGAACACTACAAAACAACTGAGCTCCCACAACGGACCAACTCAAGAACAGGCACTTACAGGTAGGGACACTGTAGCTCGGGAGCTTCTTCTTGAGATATTCCCGAATATCCTTGATCAAGCGTCGGTACTTTCTCATACCACTCACAACACCCTTCTCGTCCTCAGCCTCGCCAATATCACTAGCGTACTCATCCAAAGCAGGACTATCGGCAGGTACGAAGTAGCTGACAAGGATCTTCTCCTCATCCTTATCTCTCCGAACGAGTGTAACGTTCTCCCGAATAAGTGGATGTTGACTGAGAAGGGTATCGATTTCGCCAAGCTCAATACGGAAGCCTCGAATTTTGACTTGATCGTCAGCACGTCCCGTACACTCGACGATACCATTGGGAAGATAGCGTCCGAGATCTCCAGACCGGTACATCCTATCACGAATGCCTTTCCAGTAGAGTGATTCTGGACCTGCAAGACCGGTATGTGGGTGACGGATGGTATCATGACGGGGATGCGAGTCTACCGCGAACCAATTCGTCACGAACTTCTCAGCTGTGGCTTCGGGATCAGAGTAGCCTTCGGCCAGACCACCTGAACGAACGTAGATCTCGCCAACTTCCCCCACAGAGCAAAGAATGTTTTTGTCGTTGCGATTGACAACGAGGAGTTGGACGTCAATCATGCCCTGGCCAGCAGGCATTATGTCCTTTTGAGTAGCAAGGAACGTAGGGTCTTCAGATACGCTAGGTATAAGGAAGTACGATACTGCGCGTTGAGTTTCAGTTGTGCCGTACATGTTGATGATGTTCACGTTCGCTGCGAGGGATTGAAGACGATGACAATCCCGTTTGGTGAGAACATCGCCGACGAAGAACGCATTTCGGAGGGAGGAAATTTGAGAAGTGGCTTGTGCCGAGAGAAGCTGACCCATGGCGGGGGTCAAGTGAGTCACCGTGACTTCATTCTCTGCCATCCATTCCGCAAGTCGTCCGGGCGTTCCGATGTCCTCAGCCGTAGGCACGTAAAGCTGAGCACCGAAGAATAGTGGCGTGAACACTTCGAAAAACAATCAGCTGCAATCACAAACCGGTATGTAGATGAACTTACTGTCACGTTGAATGGGATCATGAGCGATACCCGACAACATGGTGAACTTGGAGTTCTCGTCCAGCCCGAAACGTTCACCCATCCAAGGGAAGAAGTGTGTCAGACTGTAATGTCTGCCCTTCACACCTTTGGGAATACCAGTACTCCCACTGGTGAATGAAAGCGTGGCAACACTATCAGGACCCAAGGCGACATTAGGGTCAGTTTCCGCAAGATGCGTATGAGTTTTCAAGACGTCTTCTCCGTTAACACCGTCGCCACCAGCGATAGTACCGTCATCAAGCAATTCGAGAGCTGGGACTTCAACTCGAATTTTGAGCTCCTGCGAAATAAAGTCGCGCACAGAAGGACAAATCTTGCCTGCTCCCTTCAAGACAACGAGTGCACGAGGTTGTGCGACCTTCAAATAGATGGTCTGTCTGCTTGGAGGATAGGCAGGATCTGTATATTGAGACATTCATAAGTAACGCACGTACATTGAACAGCAAAGGCCAAGTACCAATAACAGAGAAGGTGGCACCAGCCTTGAGAATGGCCATAACCGCGACTACAAGTTCCACGCTACGATGAGCATAGACCATGACAACCTCTTCCCGTTGAACGCCATGGTGCAGGAGATGGTGAGCTAATGTATTCGCCGCGTGACGAATTGCTCCGTACGTGAACATTCTCCGCTCCTGCGGGACTCCAGGAGCAGCTACAGGAAGTGATTGGATGACACAAGTTCGGTCGGGGAACTGCTTGGCATTGCGGCTGAAGACGTCAGTGATCGCTCCTTTAAAGTCGCACCAACGAAGATTTCCAGTGGGATCAGGAATTTTCTCCCTCTGGTTAGGAGTGAGCAAGGGAACGGTGCCCACAGGTGAAAGTGGGTTCGAAGCGACTTTGCGAAGCAAAGCAGATAACTGGTCCACAATAAATTGAATACGGGTGGGGGTAAATAGGAGTGCGTTGTATAAAATTCGCAGAGAAATATGAGGTGCCAATGAGGCTCGACTTGACTCTTGCTGCCGTCCAACAAAGATAGTGAGATCGGATGTTAGACTTGTAGTATGTAGGAAGTCGCGAGACGCATCGATTTCATCGAAGAATCGGACACGGAATAGCGGACGGGTAGCTTCTGCACTGTCGGTCTTGTCTTTGCCCATAGCACGAACAAGAGTCTCGTAGGGTACAGCGTCTGCTTCGGCTTCCTGCTCGACATGTTGTACCTTGCGCACAACTGCCCAGAAAGGATCCGTCGGATCTAAAGAGATACGAACCACGAGAGGGTCGCTAACAGTGGAGGAAGATGTCCCGATCACAATATCGGTGTCTCCAGTATAGCGATGAAGCAGGACAGAGAAAGACGCAAGCAAGAGATGGAAAGGAGATGGTGTTCTGCTCGCAATGTTGTCATCGTAATTTTCGTCCTCGTCTTCGTTAAACAGGGCTAATTTGAGGAGTCCAAGGCAAGCCTGTTCTGAAAGATCAGCAGTAATAGCGGCTTCGACCAGCCTGTGTCCTGTCGGCCGTGGATAGTCGGTGGGTAGCGAGATTGACGGAATATTTTGGAGTCGAGCTACCACACGGGCCAGCCGTTCACTTTCCATGGCGAACGGTGGATGAACAAACTGTACTGGTAAAGCACAACTCGGCCGATCGACTTCAGATCCATCCTGCAAAACATTTTCGTGACTCGATACCGTCACATACGCCATTTGTCACTGTCACGGATCGCGTTATGAGACGCGTTTCGCCAATTTAAGATGATCTTCGTTGTTTCCGCGTTGTGGTTTTAGTAGCTATAGGTGCTACATCTTCATTCTACTGTCAGTAAGAGTAATCAAAACTACCTTCCATGTTCCGGGTGAAAGCTCACGATGCTGTTGTGGAAAGATGTCCAGCCCAGATGTTCTCAGTGAGCTACTTGTTGCCCAGCTCTTGGAGGAGGACATGCGAACTTTCGCGGATGCAAGAGAGGCCGAAAGGCTTCAGATGACACAAGTCCTCGCAGACTCCTCTCGAGCGTCTGGTCGAATTCCTAAGAAATTCAATATCAAAGACACGATGTCCGATGGGGATGTTGCGCTGCAGCTCATGGCGGAGGAAGCAAGGTTAAGCGGCGATGCAGCGTTAGCTCAGGCATTGCAGCATTCCGTTGATTCCTCCGTCACCGCAGGGCAACAAGAGGCTCAAAGGCTCGCTGCCGCAGAGAAGAAACTCATGCTAGATGCTGAATTCGCTCGTCGTCTGCAAGAAGCCGATGAAAGTGGTGACATTGACCCAGATGCTCCTAACATGCAAAGTGCAGAAAGGTATGATAGGACATCTTTAACACTCGTGCTCGCCATTATTCATAACGCATAGTGTTTTGGGTCAAGCGGCAATCGAACGTATATTTGCGAGTCATTTCTTACGAGCTTTGTGTGCCTATTCTAATATCTATTCCCACGTTGATTTCAGGCTGGCGATTTAAACGATAAAGGGAAAAGCAAAGTCCAATGGAACAGGAATGGAAAACGTTCTCAGAATCTTGATGAAACTGACTCCTTCTGGAAGCGAGTGAAGGCAGAGGATGAAGATGTCAAATGTAATAGTATTTACCGTTCTGCCTCATCCCCTTCACTAATTCCCTACGGTGCAAAGTCGATGCGGATAGCAGACCAACCCCAACATGTGGGATTTGTATGGAAACTTTCAAAGCAACCCACTCTCCAATTGCAGCTGCTCAGTCCGCAAACTCCTCATCCAAGCTTCCGTTTGGCCTGTACCTGCCATGCCCTAAATCTCACCCGTACTGCGCAGGTTGTCTCCAATCTTACATCATGACTAAACTTGACCCAGAAGGAGACGGCAGCGGAAACCCTAGCATGGTCGTCTTCCCTCTTCGTTGTCCTGAATGCTCTTTATCTGAATGGGCAGATGGTATCCCGGATGACGTTGCTGCTCGTGTATTGTCTGAGAAGAATATGACGACTTGGGTGGGTATTCCCCATCGCATGTCTCTTGAGACTAGTTTTAACATTGATATTCCCTTTGGTAGCATCACCAGAAGCTACTGGATAGCCTACCAAGGCATTATTGTCCTAATCCTCGCTGTTCTGCTTTGGTTCAACTTCATGACGACCCGGATGAACCACAAGCTCAATGTCCAGCATGTAGCACATTAATGTGTGTACCATGTCGAGTTGTCTGGCATCAAGGTGAGTTTCTCAGCGGGAGCCCTTCGAACGTGCTCACACGTAAAATCAGATCTTTCTTGCGAGGAATATCAAGTAAGTAAACGCCTCATGCTGGATAATTGTCCTCAGTGATGGACCTTCCATAGGCTCTTCCACTTGACGAACGCTCTCCCGAAGACCAGCAAGCCTTACAACTGATGAAAGCTCAGAACTGGCGTCGATGTCCCAAGTGCGCTGTAAGTGAAAGCATCTGTAACTACATCTACGTACTCTCATCAACCTTGCTCGCTTGCTTGCTATAGTTCATCGTCGAACTTTCTGTCGGATGCAACCATATTACCTGCAGGTGCAGGACGGAGTTTTGCTTCAAATGCGGATGTATGTTTTGCTTTTCTACCTACTTGTACTTTTCATATTTCATTTATTCCATTCTATCTTTATTCCCATTACTTAGCACTGTGGGACAAGAAGGGCCAAAAATGTACTCGCAACCCCTCTTGTGAACTCTGGGACGAGGAAATGTTACTCGAAGAGCGAGAACGTCGTCGCGAGCGTGAGGCTCAAGGCCGCCAAGCTTTCCGCCTACCACAAGCCCCGCCACCTTACGTTGCCCATGCACCAGTCGTGCAATTCGGTGCGAGAGCCCCAACATTCGATTGGATGCATGACCCAGGTGTGTCAACCGTATCTACCTTTCAATACCCTCTTGGACAACTCTGTTAATACTGTCCTTGATTCGCTAGATATTCTATCTACTCGACATTGGTTCACGTCTCAGATGATTCAAGACCTGATCTGCAAATACTGTGATGTCAGACTGAATTCCTTAGCAGACTTACAGTACCACTTGAGTCACACACGTCGGCATGCGGTCTTCGCGTGTTGTGGTCGGTTTTTTAAGGCAGAAGCGGACTTCGACAGACATGTTGTTGCAGAGCCGAGGAGATTTGGCCTACATTTACATCAGGCTCGACGTAATGCGTAACTGAACCTTCTTTCATCAGGATTCCCATAGAGGTGAAATTATATGTTTTCGCTTCTTTTTATTTTCGGTGTCTATATATGCTTGTTGCATAAGACGGCGACAATAATACAATAGAATACAATTACAGAGGTCCAAAGAACGATGGTATACAGGACTTCTTCACGCTTCCTACTTCCTATTACGCACATAGTTCAGTCTCCTGGAAATACACTTCATGGCCTGATGGCAATCTTGAGAGCTCCTCGGCTGCTCATCTTGTCCAAAGCCTTTTGGTAATCCTCGAGCTTGAACACGTCGGTGACCTAAGGTGTTTGAGGTGAGTGCCATGAAAAATTTTTGAACAGCTAGCCACAAAATAAAACTTACCATTCCCTTGACTCTGATCTTACCGCTATCAAGGTAAGCAACTGCTCGAGGGAAGCAGTATGCTTGCGAGAACGAGCCGATAATCTGAAAATCACTGCATCGGCAACGGCCTCAACAAAACACGTCGATAAGTAGACGTACTTTGATCTCATCCTGGAAGATCTTGGATGGCGGCCAGTGGACGAGAGCCTTGTTCTCGTATACACCATAAATCATGATAGTTCCACCCCGACGGACGTAGTTAATACTGTCTTGAGCCAGTTTCTCGACGCCGGTAGCTTCGACGACGACATCAAAACCATATGGGTTGTCTTTCTTCAGCTGCTCCCATTGAGGCTCGGGGCTCTGTCTGTCGAGTTCAATGTACTCGTCACCAGCATCAAGTTGCTTCGCGATATCCATCTTGATACCCTTGTTGGCAGCAATGGTGACTTTGTGTGCACCGTTCAGCTTGAGCAATTGGGCCAAGATGAGACCTGTGGGTCCTGCACCGAGAAGAAGAACGTCGATTCCGACAGGGGGGTTCAACTTGTCGAGACCATGAATGGCGCAGGCCGCGGGTTCGAGGAGTGTTGATTCCTCGTCGGTAAGATTCTGGATCTTGTAGCATTTCTTCTGGTGGCTTCAAGGCACCTGGTTAACGTATTCACATTGTGCGAGAACGCATGGCTTACTATACGATGTACTCCGCAAATCCGCCATCCTGCGTGACGCCTCGAGCGTGGAAGTTCTCACAGAGAACAGCCTGCCCACGCCTGCAGTAGAAACAATTCTCGCACTACCAAGTGGCTTAGCATCTCTGCAGTTGTCATATTTATTCAGCACTTACGGAAATGCCGACGTCAGCGACAACCCGGTCACCGATCTGGAAATCCTTGACGTTTTTGCCGATTTCGACAACCTTTCCAATGGCTTCATGGCCAGGAATTAACTATTCGAGGCGCATATAGTCAGGTTTAATGCATTTCTGGGGGAAATGGAACGCATACAGGGAACTGGGCGATAAATTCGCCATCATGAATGTGGGCGTCGGTGCCACAGACGCCACAGCAGGTAACTACAGACGATCTCAGGTTCAATCTGAGAAAGTGCGTTGAGGACGAACAGACCTTTGAGCAGCACGTCGTCATCGTTGCATTTTGGGATCGGCACTTGTCTGATATCAAAGTCCCGGGGCTATCATGACCCCGCGTCAACATGTGCGATACGATAAGCACATGGACACGACAAACCTTGTTGTACCACAACGCTCTCATAGTTCCTTCTGGCATGTTTGGCAAGTAGGGGGATGGTAGTTTATGAGGCGATGAAGATGAAGGAGAAAAGGAAAGAAACGGCAATGGAGCATTGTGATTTTTATCTGCCCTCGAATCCAAGCTCCATGACGCCAAGTGTGCAGAGACGGCGACGCGAGCCGGCCCGAGCATCGAAGCACCGGGCGGCGATATCGGCAATTCAAATAGGGTCCCTGGAAGGTTCCTAGGTATTTTCTGCTTTAGGCAATCCTTGTTTATTCCAGTCCACTTCGTCCGCACCAGAAATCTACGGAAAGCGTCATCCACATTCAAGGAACGTTCTAAGCTGACAGTGGCACATGAACGATGAGAGGACTGATGACTTACGTCCACACTGCATCCCTCCTGACACTATTATACACGAAATCAGATAGTGTGCCTCAGCATTGCACCCTAATTCTTAGGCCCCGTGGACGAGCCGACACCCTTTCCTGCCAACTGTTTACTCCAATCTCTCAACACATGTTTCATCACCTTCCCACTCGCGGTCTTTGGTAGCTCATTCGGAACGCCATTTTCACCCAGGAACCATACCCATGCCGGTGCATTCTGCAGGGTACACGTCATAGGGAAAATCACCGAGGAAGTTATTTGTGACATAACGTACCTGGGGATTCATGCCTTCGGCAACAGTCTGTCTGACTTGTTGACGAGAGAGCTGTGCATCGTCTTCCAAGGTTACCCATGCTCCCACAACTTCGCCGTAACGAGGATCAGGTACAGCTACTGCTGCCGCTTCCCGGATATGAGGATGCGCTGTCAGGACATCTTCAATCTGAACAGGGAAGAGGTTCTGCAAAACGCCGTCTCAGTTGGGTATCCGATCGATTGACGCGTCGATAAACGCGCACCTCTCCGCCACGTATGATGATATCCTACAGTTATTTCAGCTACAGTGAGACCTCACCAAACGGGGACGATAAGCGCACCTTGATACGCCCGACAACTAGCGGAGCGAACTCAATCAGTAACAACGAAGATGTTCCGCAACCAAACTTTACTCACTTCTCAAATAACCTTCTTCATCCATAATAGCTTCATCACCGGTGTGCATCCAAAGCGTTCCATTCTCATCCGGTACCATGACTTCCTGTGTGCGCTTTGGGTCCTTCCAGTATCCCTTTTGCAAGCTATATCCAGAAACGAGCAGTTCTCCCGGCTTGCCTATAGGAACTACGTTCCCTTCGATGTCGACAACTTTGGCTGATACGTGCGGATGGATCTTGCCTACAGTTTCAACGCGCTTGATGACTGGGTCATCAGGTGTTGTTTGGAATGACACCGGACTCGTCTCAGCTGGGAAGCAAGCATTAGGGAGTCGATCTTTTGGATGCGGCAACATAATATAACATACTCATTCCATAGGCATTCGTTAGCTCTCTGAGGTTCAACCTTTCGATGAGTTGCTTCATGAGGTCGATTGGTGTCGAGGAACCCGCAGCGATTCCCGTCCTACCACACCCGTGTTCGACTCAATTTGTCAAAAAGAATCGACAACAAGACTTGCCTCAAGTTCGAGAAATCCAAGAATTCTCCAGCTTCCTTCCTCCTCTCAACCTCTGCCAATACACCTAAGAAATGCGTAGCCACGCCATGCAAAGCTGTGCATTTATCCTCGATTACTGCATCCACTATCCGAGGAGGGTCGAATATCTGGGAAGGGTATACTATACAAGACCCGTGTGTCCACGCTGCAAGATTACCTAGAACAAGGCGTATAAAAAAGAATACCATGTCAGACGAAGGAAAAACATATGAGAAGGGAGTAGACTTATCAAAGCAGTGGAATAGTGGTGGAACGTTGCCTGAAGCGTAGTTGGGTGAGTATCCAAAGTGTATGACGATGAAAAGGAGACGTACAAACGACGTCGGAAGAGGTCAAACGCATGCAACGCCCTATGTTCAGTGCGTTGTTCAAGAGATTATGGTGCGTTAACTGAGATAACAGTCAGATTCAAGCTGTGTCAGATACGTTTAATGTGTCCATTACCGAGACTGCTTTCGGAGCACCTGTTGTACCACTGGATGAAAGATGTCAGTGATACCATGAACAACAGCCTGCACTTTTGCGAACTTACCTCGTGAACTGCAGGTTGATGACATTGTCTTGATGCAATGTCCGGCCAATCTCCTTGACGCGTCGATCTTCGCTTCCGTCTTCCCGCCAAACAAGTATCTCACGAAAGTCAACAGCACATCTGGTGTCTTCCAGGTCTCGCTGGAATTGCTTGAAGTCCGAGGTAGTGTCAACAACTATTAGATGTTTGAGGTCCGGCAATGTCTCCTCCTGGATCTCTCCTGGTGCAGATGACTTGAACGAAGGAAATGCTTCTGAGAAAAGTTTGACGTATTCGGATGTGCGAATGCGGGGGACAACGAACAGGTGACTGACTCCTACTAGAGACAGAGTCTTGACCTACGGAGAAGGTCGTGATCTAGAACGGGAGGAGCATAGCAGGGATCATCATACAAGTTCAGGAAGCCTATATGCAGGATTAAGCGTCACGAGGATGGCACCTATACTCGCACAAGCCCATTGCAACATGGCATAAGCACTGCATAGCACGCGTTCTGTATTTCAATTTGGACCGGAGAATACTTTGTCGTGACTGACCTGTTGTTACCCATCACAACACCAACACGATCGCCTTTCTTCACTCCCAGATCTAATAGACCTCTTGCGAGGGCTTCAATATGTCTATCGAATTCTTCGAAATCCCAGGCAAGGTGGCGTGAGACTCCCAGGTTTCGCGACGTGGGTCCACCATGGGCCCTCGGCAACTCGGACCTACATATCAACGCAGGATTTGTAGAGTGCCTTGCTAGTATATCTTGGGCAAAGTAATTCGACAACGTCGAATTGACCAACGGGGGTTCCTTTGGACCCGAGATGGCAGAGATCGTCAGAGTCCGCTTGCCATCACGTCGAGCTGACTTCACGATACGACCGACGCGTCTGCTCGTCGACGGCGGACGAGCACGAAAACGCAGGAAAGTATACATGGGGCGACAAGTTGGAATACATTTTTCGGGGCTTGGTCCGTAGTGAGATTTATACTGACGTCTCGAGACACCGCTTGTGCGTGAAGCGGGGATGTGGGGTAGCGCTTGCCGTCACTCGTGACTATTTTCAGCCCATCTCTTCGCTTTCTCTTCTGCCGTGTCCTACCGTGTCCGTCATGTTTGACAGCCTGGTTTCTCGATTTGCTTCCCTCCCAGGGTCTTTGCGAGGATCTTTTTTCAGCGAGGGAGTTCCGAAGAAGTACACGTCGGCCGTGATGGTTTGAGAAAACACCTAGAAGTCTTCGAGATAGAACGATCGATTGACCATTACGCGCATTCATGCACTCTTATTCCTTGTCCTCGACCTGCCTGCTCACTGCGTAAATCACGTAAAGCCCTGTTCTCTAGATATTGTCGTGAACTTGGTAGGGATGAGCCGGTCACAAGACCTCAAATGAACCAAGAGTCGTTCGTGTGTAGAATGCCGTAACATCATTAGCTAGACTCTATAAGTGCAATGGAAGTGGAACGAGACAAAAATAAGACATTGGCCGCTCGAGCAAACATAAATAAGCCAATTGGTGCACCTGCATCACGCCTCAAAGTTCTGCAGTCTTGACGACACCGACGCTGTCACCGAAAGGCTCGAATGAGATACCCACCTTTCTGCTTTCTCTGGTTCACTTGGGTTCTTTCTTTCTATTCACGGACAACGGCCACTAGCATATACACGGATCTTGATAGTACGACTTCCTATTCAACAATGGCTTCGAATCCTATCAATTCCCCGGCGAAAGCCACAGACAAACACAAGCCATCAGGCTGGCCTGGAGCTCACCCATTAGAAGTGGATGGGTATCCTGTTGCGCCTCCCGATCTTCAACTAGAACAAGTGCATATCTATATTCGACATGGTAAGTGGATTCCGATAGTACGGTTACGCATAGTCCTTGGGGTTCAACGGTCTCATACAGGTGAACGAACGCCAGTGGGAGTTCGAATGTCTGCCCCGCCCGCTTCGATACCTGAACACTGGTCATTATGCAACACGGCCAGACGGTTCCGGGCAGTGGTGGCAGGTTTGCCGCATGATGACATGCAGTTACCTATCAGGAAGGTAGTGGAACGACCAAATGGGAAGGTAAAGGAGGGAGAATGGTGCGTTGGATTTAAGCCTTTCTGCTTATATGCGTATTTGACCAGGCCTTCTCAGTTTATTGGGCGAGTTAACAGACCTCGGTCGACAGGTAGGTGAGTTTTTAATTTCTTGAAGTGTCTCATAAACTCAATGCCTTCAAGACAACATACGACTTTGGCAATGCTTTGAGACGACTATACGTTGACCGGTATGCGATTAATGCGCTAATTCTGCCAATTAATCATGACGCTGCTTTAGTTTGGGGTTCCTCCCAGATACAGTTCATAGTAACGCTGAAGTCTACTTTCGTACCACGAATATGCCTCGGACTACGGAATCTATGCAACAGATTATCCATGGACTATACCCTGTAGAAAAATCTGCAGAAGGATTTGTCCCTCGCATACGAATACGGTGAGCACGAAGAGCTCTCCAGAATGATCTTTTCATGTTGACTTGTTTATGTAGTAACGGCAAGGACGAAAACCTCTTTGGCAATACGCTTGCATGTAAGCGACTGGAGATTCTCCAGATCGGATTCGCACAAGGTCAGACCAGTGTTTTCAAGTTATGTCTTGAAACTTTGGCTCATATGTTGTCAAACAGCTGCCGCTGCGGCATGGAATAGCACGTTGGAACCTTTAGATAAAAGGGTGTCAAAGTACCTTGGAGGCAATCCTATACGTTTGGACGGCAAGCCAAGGGCATCTGGGGTTCTTGACACGGTGAGCTAACCCTTCACGGCGTCTTGAAGCTGGTCAAACCTTGGATATCAATGATCAATTATAGGTGCGAGCTGCAATTGCACATGGCATTTCAGTACCGCCAGAATTCAGAGAGAAAGGTGTCGTCGACGTGATTGTAAGTCTCTTGAAGTTCTCAATTTTTTCTTTTTTTTTTTTGCGATATTTAAGTAGTTTCCTCTTTCAGGAGAAAGCTGTCGTTCAAGAATGGTTCGCAGGTGAGTTGTTCCTTCACATATATGCACCAATTACTGACTCGTTATTATAGGGTGTGAGATGTTCCGCCGCTATTCAATTGATCCTGAAACTAAAGTCTGCTGTTATTGCGTATTTCCTTCTCAGATAAGACGGAAGAAGTCAGAAGACTCGGAATGGGTCGTCTTCTCTCTGATCTCTCAGCCAAAATGGCTTCCAAAGTTGAAAAAGGTGACCAGGACCCTATGAAGATCCTCATTCATAGTACGCATGATACTGCACTGGCGGGTCTTTGCAGTACCCTCGATGTTTATGACGAAAAGTACGTCGAAATTTCAAATTTTCTCTGTGAACGTAGTCCGAGCCTTCGTCACAGGTGGCCAGCGTTCTCAGCATCGATCACATTTGAACTCTTCCGTAAACGAGACGCGAACGATCTAAACCCGCCTTCGACCTGGCAAACAGTCTTATCACCTTTCAAGCGGCACCATCCCTCAGAGCATTGTTCGTACCATACCCTCCCTGCTCGGTGTATGTTTTCTGACATCTTGACTTCGCTTTCAGTCGTACGCATGCGATACCAGAACAGGAATCTGGTCCTCCCCATCTGTTCGGAAGAAGGAAAACATTTGCCTGGGTCGCCAGAATTTTGCACTCTGACTGCGTTTCGTGATAGAGTTCGGGAACTTACACCAGTAGATTGGGATTTAGAGTGTTCACCTGCTGGACGGACATGATTTCTTTGTTCATTTGTTGCGCAGGTATACTTCGGTAGTGATGCGGTCATGGAAAAACGCAGGCTCGTTAGTACGACCTTTGAAGTCTTTGAGGCTCAAAGTATTTAATATGTTCACTCATCGAAGTGGGGATAATCACACATACGCTCACTTAGCCAGGGTATTGCAACCGTCACACGGATATTCACACCAAGTGAGCAGATAATGTGAATACGGAACTTGTCTAATTTCAAAGTGGAAGACATGGTATACGGAGACTTTTGATGTATGCAATGCAAAGACAATAATTTTAGTTTCGCCGACGCGTACTGGACTTGGCTGCCGTTGACTTCACTGGCTGTTTACCTTTTCGACGAGTTTGCTGCTTCTCCTCGGTTGACTTCTCCCTAGCGGTGGCCTGAACACGACGTGTGTCCTTCGACTTAGACTTTGTTCTCGAGCGACTTGGGTTTCGGCGTCGGCTGTCCTGCATCTCAACGTCCTCCTCCTGTGGCTTCTTGAGCGAATTACCCCGACGGGAACCATTCGACTTGGAACGTGTAGGGTATCGGTGCTCCACCACTGGTCGCTCAGGAGGTGGAGGTTTGGGTGCACGCTTCAAAGGTCTTCGTTCCGGCGCCGTCTTCGCTCGCTTGGAACGAAACACTGGCAACTCTGCAGGCACTTCATCGAGTGTTCTCTTCACCGTGCTGCGAGAGCTCATGGGAAGACGTGAAGGTCCGGCTTCCGGTGCAAGATCTTGCTGGTCGTTCCTCTGCTGGATTAATCGAGCGCTGGAACGTACTCCGGGGACAGCAGATCGAGTTGGAGGAGCTCGCTGGCTAGCAGCAGCTTGCCTCTCCAGAGCGGCAGTAGCAATAGCTCGCGACTTCAAATCATGAATCATCTGGTCCTCCTGCTTCTTGGTCTTCAGCGGGAACTGGTCGGGTACCGCATCGTTCTCTGGCCATTCGTCGGATGCCAGAGCAGTGTCGAATAGACTCAAGACAACATCCACCTGTTCCAGTTTCTCCTGTATTGCCTTGAACCGGGCCTCTGCGTCTTCATCGTCTTCGTCGTTTCGACTCGCGTGGGACAACTGATACTTGCTGAAAAGCTTGCCGACAGCGTGAATAAGCTTGTTCAATGGCGCACATCGCCATTCAATGTGTCTCAGCTTATAGTAGAGGAGACTGGTCTTCCCCGCGCCTCCTAATAAACGAGTTTGCCCGTCTCCAGCACCAATATCTTCCTCCTCTGAGCATTCGTCGAAGAACCTGACATTGAAAGTCGGCCCAAGATTATGTTGAAAGTAATGCAAAGAGTTGTATAGGAGGACCCAGAAAGAGGACTCCAAGTCATCATGAACGCAATGTCCCTTCAAGGGGTTTTGGAGCAGTAGAATGGATATGAATTGCCAAGTGCCCTGAGAAACCGTCAGGATGATCACTGCGCAGAGAAGAAGAAAACACTCACTGTTCGGTACGCTTGAGGTGTGTTTCTGAGATTGACTTTCAGTGCGTGATCCCAGTCGTTCAAAATCCCGCGACCGGATTTACTGATCATGATGTTTCCAGTACTGATGTCGCGATGGAAGATCTTGGCACCGTGGTAGGCGGCTTTAATAGCTGAGATGAACAAGAGAGAGTATGAGAAATCAATGTACTGTCCAGAAATAGTCTCACATACCTTCTATCGCATCGCGAATGGCCTGAACGACCTCCTTCGATGAGAGTGCAGACATGAGAGGATAGGCGAGTTCTTGCACGACCCTGCAATGAACCAGGGTCCGCAGCTCTGCACATGGCAGCTGCCATATCGGAGTCTTGCCATTATTAACAGACCACCTCTGTGTCAGTGTCCTTTGATGCACCTTCTCCTTGGCCTTCATATACACATCCCCAGCCGCAATGATCTCAGGCAGGAAGGGTACATTGCTCTGCTTGAGTGTTTCGTAGATCTCGGCCTCTGAAAGGATGTCTTCATTTTCATCACGCCAAGAATCCTTCGCAAACACGATCTTCTTCTCTACCATGTCGTACGCAGCGTAGGCCCTTGTTGATTGACCAGGAGAATCGGCATCCCAGAACGGTTTGCCGACAATCAGCTCCCAGATTCCATTTGGCGTTGGAACCCGCATCTTAGAGATCGGATAGGTAGCGTCGGGCTTGGGTTGCAGATAACTAACGTCCCGAGGCTTCGATTCCTGGATGTATCGCGACAGGGCATCGGAGAAGAGCTTGGCCTCGGCAGTAGAAGCAGGGACTACAGTCGGGTCAAAGCCACGTCCTTCGCGAGTCAGATGAGCATAGCGCCAGAAAAAGTCGGCCAAGATGTCTGGCTCCTCGAGGAAGTTAAATAGATCACTAACGATGCATCCAGCACGATCCCATCGGAAGAAGCGAGCATACTGGCCGTATAGGGCGATAGAAAATGCAAATATTCTGTGCTGGCGGGATAATAACGCAGTCGCATAAGATATCATTTGTTCAAGAGTCTCTGCATTGTCTCCCGTCATCTTTTCGGAGGTACGATCCAGCGTTGTGTCCTGATTGTCGGAGAACGGGTCCGCAAGATCACTAAGCTTCGTCTCGACGAAGAATTCCATAATTGTATAGTCCATCAGGTCTTCAACGTTGGAGGGTACGAGAGCGAGATCTGGGCGCAGTCGAATATCATTCTTGTCTGCTGAGCTGGCAACGTTAACCAACTTGAATCCAGGGCAAACGTCAGAGTCATTGATACCGTTGCACTTGGGTAGTCGAACATCAAGACGGTCCAATGAACGTAAGAGGCGTGAAGAGACGCACCAAAGGTTCGTACATATATCTTTCGAGCCCCGTGGAATGAATTTCGGAGAAATCGATTTCTGGCGGTGCGTCAGGATTCAGTTTCTTCAGTGACTCCAGCCTCATGAAACTGTCGAGGAAATCGCGTGGGGACGTGGGCCCAACGAATAGGCCGATCATATCGTGAATATTTGAGGAAGTCTCGCAGGCCGGTGTATTGAATGTACAGTATAAACTTTGAAAGAAATTCTTGAACCTGAGGCTATGGTTAATTATCGTACCAAGGAAGTTTCAGTCAACGAAGTCACAGGGAAATAGGACAATGGGAATGAATTTATGGCCTTGGTATCATCAGAGAGTCGAGAGTAAATTCGCGTTCAGCCTCCTACCTTTCGAGCGGAGACAAAACCTGAAAGGACAGAAAGAGATGTGCATTACGCAGAAAGAAGTGCACATGGCAGAACAAGGAGGACTCGGAAACTCAATATTGGCGCGGATCTACGCTCTGTCACATTTTGCCACTTGTGTCTTCGTATATACAGCTATCTATAGCCCTCAAGTTTAGTGTCTGTAATTACACAGCCTAGTACCGGTCAAGCACGTCAGGAAGAATGGGCAAACGTATGATTCAACCAAATGAAAGCTCGGAGGCTTCTACAGATCTAGAGACAGCAAAATGTTGCACGAGAAGCTATCGTATTTGATCGAACAAAGAAGACATGGCCTGTTATGGTTCCCCACTCATGCGTTCCTAAGTATGTCCTGCCATTGTGACGTATTCAATGCCAAAGACTGCTTCGAGCATGTTCATATACGTTCACGAGGCTAAGCGAGTACATGAAGAGAACTTGCGGTGAGGAAAAAGTATACAGTGAATGGAGCAAAGACATGTCATCCTAATTTGGTCGACGCGTACTAGACTTGGGTGGAGGCCGACTGGGCCCATTACCTGCCGTTGACTTGACTGGCTGTCTACCCTTTCGACGAGTTTGCCGCTTCTCCTCGGTTGACTTCTCGCTAGCGGTAGCCTGAACACGACGTGTGTCCTTCGACTTCGACTTTGTTCTCGAGCGACTTGGGTTTCGGCGTCGGACGTCCTGCATCTCGACGTCCTCCTCCTGTGGCTTCTTGAGCGAATTACCCCGACGGGAACCATTCGACTTGGAACGTGTAGGGTATCGGTGCTCCGCCACTGGTCGCTCAGGAGGTGGAGGTTTGGGTGCACGCTTCAAAGGCCTTCGCTCCGGCGCGGTCTTCGCCCGCTTGGAACGAAACACTGGCAACTCCGCAGGCACTTCATCGACTGTTCTCTTCACTGTACTGCGAGAACTCATGAGAAGTTGTGAAGGCCCAGCTTCCGGTGTAAGAGCCAGTTGTTCATCCCTCCGTTGGACTAATCGAGCGCTGGAACGTACTCCAGGAAGGGCAGATCGAGTTGGTGTCGAAATTGGAGAAGCTCGCCGGTTAGCAGCAGCTTGCTTCTCTAATGCGGCCGTAGCGATAGCTTGTGACTTCAAATCATGAATCATCTGGTCCTCCTGCTTGTCAGTCATTCGTGGGAACTGGTCAGGTAGTGCATCATTCTCTGGCCATTCATCAGACGCAAGAGCAGTGTCGAAGAGACTCAAGACAATATCCACCTGGTCGAGCTGTTCCTGGATTGCCTTGAACTGAGCCTCTGCGCTTTTGTCGTCGTTACCGTCCGCCTTTTCGTAGTAGTACTGGTAGTCGTTGAGCAGTGCGCCGAAAGCGTGGATTAGTGAATTTAATGGGGCACAGCGCCATTTGATGTGTTTCAGTCTATGAGAGAGGAAACCACTCTTTTTTAGACCCCCTAGTGGATGAACTTCGCCGTCTCCATCCTCTCCATCGTGGTGCTCTTTGCATTCATTGAAGAAGGTGAGATCAATAAGTTGCCCTTGATTGTGTTTGAAGTAATGCAGAGAGACGTAGAGTAGCACCCAGAAAGAAGATTCCAAGTCGTCATGAACGTCATGACCTTTCAAGGGGTTTTGGAGCAATAGAATAGATATGAACTGCCAGGTGCCCTGAGAGTCCGTCAGGATTACCATTAGGCAAAGAGAAAACTAGTCACTAACCGTCCGGTACGCCTTAAGAGTGTTTCTGAGAATGACCCTCAATCCGTGATCCCAGTCATTGAGAACTCCTCGACCAGATTGACTGATCATGATATTTCCAGTGCTGATGTCGCGATGGAAAATCTTGCCATCGTGGTATGCAACTTTGATAGCTGAAAGAAAAGGATGAAGATCAAAAGTCAGTCTACACATAAAACATCACGCACCTTCGAGTGCATCACGAATAGCTTGAACGGCCTCCTTCGATGAGCGTGCAGACGTGAGGGGATACGCTAGTTGTTGAACGACTCTGCAGTGGACGAGAGTCCGCAACTCCGCACACGGTAGACGCCACATTACAGCTTTACCGCTACGGACAGCCCAACTCTGTGTGAGCGTCCTTTGAAACTTCTTCTTCTTCTTTACCCTCATATATACGTCGCCAGCCGCAATGACTTCAGGCAGAAAGGGTACGTTGCTCTTCTGAAGTGTGTCATAGATCACAGCCTCCGAAAGGATGTCTTTATCTTCATCACGCCAAGAATCCTTCGCAAACACGACCTTCTTTTCCACCATGTCGTACGCAGCGTAGGCCCTTGTCGCTCGACCACAAGGAGAGTCAGCATCCCAGAAAGGTTTGCCAATGATCAACTCCCGAGTGCCATTCGGCGTTGGAACCAGCATCTTGGAGAACGGATAGGTAGAGTCGGGTTTCGGTTGCAAATAGCTGACGTTGCGGGGCTGGGACTCCTTGATGTATTGCGATAGAGCATCAGAGAGCAGTTTGGCCTCGGCAGCAGAAGCAGGCACCACAGTCGGGTCAAAGCCACGTTCTTCGCGAGTCAGTCGCGCATAGCACCAGAAAAACTCCAACAAGATATCCGGCTCTTCGACGTAATCAAACCTGTCGCTGACAATACATCCAGCACGATCCCATCGTAAGAAACGAGCATACTTGCCGCACACGAGGATAGAGAATGCAAATGTTCTGTGCTGACGAGATAATAACGCGGCCGCATAGGATATCGTCTGTCCGCGGGTTTCTGCGCTTTCCCCCACCATTTTTTCGATAGTATTGTTCAAGGTATTGCCATAGAAGGGATCTGCGAGATCGTGGAGTTTGGCCTCGACGAAACATTCCATGACCGTATAGTCCATGAGGTCTTCAGCATCGGTTGGTACAAATGCTAGATCCGGGCGCAATGGAATGCCATTCCCGTCCACTGAACTCGAAACGTCAATCAACTTGAAGCCAGAGCAGACGCCAGAGTCATTGATAGCATCGCACTTAGTTGGCCTAATGTCAATCGCGGTACAATAACCATTATATGTGAAATGAGACGTACCAGAGGTTGGTACATTTCCACTTCGAGCTTCTTGAGAGGGATTTCAGAAAAATCGACTTCTGGCAGGTCCTCAGGGTTGAGTTTCCTTAGTATCTTCAGCCTCATGAACGCTTCGAGGAAACCGCGAGGAGGCATGGGCCCAACAAATAGGCCGGTCATCTCGCGAATGAGAAATTTTCGTAGCTCCTTGTAGTGGATGTATCGATTGCACCACTCTATAAAGCCTTTTAACGTGAATTTGAAGGGAGTTCCTTTATTCTTAGGTGGTGGTTGAGGGGTAGCCGGCGATGGTTGAGAGGTAGCCGGCGATGGTTGAGGGGTGGTGGACGAAGGAGAGGCTGAACGCATGGTTTGGTCAGAGTGGATCGACATCCTAGTAGCAAATGGGGGGACGGGAAACAAAACATACCGCCAAGTGTCCGTGTGGCAGCGGATTTATATCGTTTTGCGCCGCAGTGACCCTTTTGTGTCTATGGCCTCGTGTGGCTAGTTCCCGAATCAATCAAGTTTCAAGCAACGAAATCGCCAAACAACCTGGGACAATGGGAATGTGTTTTCAGCCTTCAAGTTTGACTACGCAAAAAGGATTTAAACATCGGCCCTCTGAGCTTGTAATTATGCTAGATAGTGTATCTTCGTACCTTTCAAGATGAGGACAAGGAGTTGCCCCTTGATCAATGTAAGAAGTCTAAAAGAAAAAAACTTCGAGTGAGGTCAAAAGATGAATGCGAACAGCGGCAGACGGTCAATAAGTACAGCAAATGGTATACGTACTCCGAGAAAGGAGCCTTCAGCATCTATAAGACCAGTCTGGTAGAACAAAGAAACTGCATGTCTCACATTGGCGCGCATCCACAGAGATGTCACACTTGGCCACTCCTCGTGTTCCCGCGTGACAACTGTCGATCCAGGTACGAAGACGTAGCGATCAGCCAAAGTCGGGTTTGGCTTACTGGCAGGATGTATCCAGGATGTTGACAACGTTGTTCACATCGGCTGATACCTGTGGACCGATCATATGACTTCATTCTTATCTATAAAAACAAGTAGATACCATGACGTTCTGCACAGTTTAGCTTACACTCACTGGCACGCAGAACTTATGCTTCGCCGGTTGACGTTAATGCTGCGCTTCTGGTCATGGACCTGTCATGTTCGCACCGACAAAGACAAGGGCTACTCTGAGATGCATACCATGGGGCTTTGTTTAGTGCAAATTGATCCATTTGACAATCTAGGCTTCCGACGACGTCAAATTGAGAAAGTTAAGCATGTTTTGCGTCACGATATCTTGCCATCTTCTTCCATCAAGCTGTTGAGCGGAAACAACCGGTATCCAAGGACCATGCGGTAAAATTCGCGTTTGTCGCCATTGCTTGTCCAATGGTTTGAGGAAGTCGCTGGAGAACAATGACAACGAGACATTGCATGGCGTGGTACTAATAACGCGGTTCAGGGCGGTGACTAGTCAGGGATGGCACTGAATTTACTTGATGCTAGCCTAGACTATGCGGTGGCGCTGCTGTCGAGGAGCTTTAAGTCAAAACATCAACGCTTCAGATCGTGATGTTGACAGGTGCCCTGGCGCCCTGTCTTTTCAACCACCACGTTGGCGACTTGCGATGCAGAGGAGTTTGCGGTGATTGCACGGTGTCAATTTCGCCGATAGGGGCGCCAGTCTATGAACGCTCAGCATCACGCGGTGCTGGTTGAGTCCGGGGTTGACGTTGAGCCCCTACATATAGTACTCCACTACTGATATCGGTCTTTTTTCAACAATCTATATGCGAAGTGGTGGTCGAATATCAGCCTTGATTGGCGGAACATACATCACGACGCACCCTTACAGAAGAATCTGGACGTCGCCGATCCTACCAGGTCCCTCGGTCTGGTAAACAGCAGACGAATGGCTTGAAAGTGAGAAAGCTCGCAGACGAAAACGTCGTCAAGGCCGTCCTGTTAAGTTAGAGCTCAAATCCGGTCATTACAACGTAAACAGCCCAATATTGAACTAAAGATTCCAGAGATGATCTACGTTAAGATACGACGTTCAGCTGACTTGGACAACTGGGGTGTACTTATCAACAGGCACATCCTTATGTTCCTTAAATACAGATCCATAATCTTCGCCGGAGGTGATGCCTCTCCAGCCCCCCTCCCCGTCGTTACCAACAGGGAGCACAGCAAGGTTCAGAGTATCACCCCCGTGTTTCTCCCCACCACGTCGACGCCCCGTTATAGTTCGAACCCAAGTAAGGTTGATGAACCATTTGGCCAGCCTCGGAGCGAGCCTCAACGTCGACAAAAGGGGTGGCAGCGCGACAAACATCGCGAGGACCTAGAACAAATTTAGCTAGGTCGAATACGGGATGGTTTTGGATGTTACCTGTCCGAATGATAAAGAGAACTCTTGGTCATTGGCAGCAACGAGACATCCGAATTCCACAATGGAGATCCAGTAGATGTTGGGGATGAGCACAATCGACATAAAATGAATGAACGAATAATTGCGTCCAATCGTAGACCTACATTTGAAATATCCATGGAGTGAAATGTAATGAAGGAAACATAACCACTCACCATGTACGGCCAAATCGTGGTGACCATCGTTCACCTGATCGCCATATTGACTTCCGTTGCAGGATAATAGCCACAATCCATGATACCACCACAAGCCCAACCGTCCCGAAAACCAATGCTGTCAACCATGGAACGCCAGCGGAGCTGTCACCAATGATCATGAACGGTATGAGGTAGAGCCAGCTGACAAAAGTGTTGGCAGCAACACAGGATTCTTGTGCGAAGTGCGAAAGATTGCTAGGCACCAGGATATACACTAGAAGGCAAATCCATAATGCGCCTGCAGCAAGGATGAGCAAACGAACGAAGAGATGTCCTTCGCCTACGATGCCGTTCAGCCGGTGTTTCTTGTACCAGAATGACACGATCGAGTAGATGAAGAGATATACGCTAAGAGGGGAGCCCGTAATGATCGTCACGATTGCCGCGTGGAATTGGGTGAGCGAGGCCTGAATGATGGATATGCCGCAGGTGATTAGAAGAGAGTAAATGGACAGGACTTGAGACCAGAATGCTTCTTCCGCAGAGTGGGGCGAGTAAAACATCAATACAGCTGAGACCAAATGAGAGTCTAACTATGCACTTCAACAGAAAGGAAACTCACAAATGCAAATATTCGTGATGTAGGCTAGACAGCATCAACAATATTTATATATGTCTGAAATCGGGGCCGAAACCACTTACATGCGATGCGCACCAATGGCCCTATGACGTGCATTTAAGGACATACATTACAGTGAGGGCAGATTCAAACACTCACCAGAAACGTCTGGGTTGGGGCAATAACCAAAAGGACAGGAATCATCCGACGGAGCCTTGAGACAATACGCCTGCTTGTATGGTCCCACATCTGCTGTCAAGTTGAGGAAGCTAATCATGCCCTGCGTGACGGTGTAGTTGCTAGCCGTGCAATTCAGTAGATCGTCTTCAACGGCCTGTTGAGCAACGAAGCATCGCGTATCAGGAGGCCACAGGCCGTTGTCTGAGGCCATTAGACGTGAATGCTATTGGAGCCGGTCAGGACCTGGATAGATGGAAATTGAAGAGCAGGAGAGGTTTCGACAACGACCTTTAAAGGTCGCGCTTGCGGAAACCAAAAAAAGAAAAGACATTCTTACATCGTCTGAAATGAGAAGTAATCTCCCTTCGGGACGCGCAAATCCACGCAAGAAGCTCCACCATACCGTGAGTTGTCTCCGATTGATTAATATAATGGTTGTTACTGTTGGCTTCACCGAAGGGAGGTTATGAATCCAGCCGACGGTCTGAGGATGCACGCTTATGCCCAGATCAGGCGCATCAATATTAAACACAAGAGGACGGAGAAAGAAGAATTTCACGGGTCATTTTATGGTGTTTTGTGTAAGCCGCTTCCGTCGCCAGATCCAGGCAACACTAGCTCTTGCGCCCTTCATCTTGCTACCCTGTGGGGCCAAGCACGTATGTCGCAGGACGATATTAATGGCAGTGCAGGATTTGACGTTATGCAGGCAACAGACAACACTGATCCGTTCTTTGCGGGAATAAACTAGCGTGCTGGACTGAGATCGTCAAAAGCGATTATGATGCGCCATACATTGTATGGGCTTGGCAAATTAGTGATTTTCCAGACCGTAGGGATGTTACAGAATGCCATGAGAAAGGATTTTGATCAACCGCCGCCCCTCGATGTAAAACGTTCTTGTCGTCCTAGTCAAAAGATAGATTGAGTGCTATCACATTAATCATGCAAATTTTACAATTGTGACTTCCAAATATCACACTTCTTTTAGCTGAGCGGACTAATGAACACTAGCACCAGATTTGCGCCTGAGCAAGGAGACAGACATTCGCATTCAATATCCGTCTTTAGCAACCCTCGAATAATCGTACGAGGGTTCATGCACTAGCAACTTGGGGGGAGAAGCATAGTCGTTCGTCTCCAATTCGCTCTTCCAATCATCATCTCCATCATCGTGTCGGCCTGTGGGAGCAGCAGCGCCACTCAGTGCGGTGTGATCCTCGAGTGAACGCTTCCGAGGTCGGCCAGATAGGCGTCGGACCCAGGCCAGGTCCTTGAGCCAATTGAAGAACACTTTGTAGAGTCGTAGTGTCGACAGTAGAGGGGGAAGCGCAACAAACATCGCCATGACCTAATCACATGATTACGTCTACAAAACCGCGGAAACTTCGAGTTTATGGTCATCTTACCTGACCGAATGAAAGTGAGAACTCTAGATCGTTAAGAGCTACACCGCATCCAATCTCAACAACAGAAATCCAATAGGCGGTTGGTATGACCACGATGGATACGAAGTGGAGGAAAGAATAATTCCTCCCGATCACAGACCTATTTTCAGTGAGCTGGCATATCACACCAAAACGTTGGATGCCTTACCACGTGCGGCCAAAATGAGGCGACCACTTTTCCCCAGGAGGCCAGATTGTTTTCCGTTGGAGGAGGATAGCAACGATCCAAGAGATGACTGTGAGGGATAAGAAGCCAACAACCAATACGAGCAATGAAGGCACTTCGGTACGTAGAAAGGGAAGTACCCGGAAGGGAAAGACATAGAGGTAGTTAGCGAGCGGGATTAATTGTGTCTCGCATGACTCCTGGCTAAAATCCGAGAAGTGCGTTGGGACAAGGATGTAAACCAGTAGGCAAACCCATACGACGCCTGCTATAAGGATGAGGGACCGGGCAGCCAGATGCCCTTCACCGACTATACCATTGAGTCGATGCTTCTTGTACCAGAAAGATGCTACGCAGTATATGAAAAGGTAGAAGCTCAGTGGCGAGCCTGTAATGACTGTCGCGATTGCAGCATGGAACCGAGTAAGGGATGTTTGAAAGATAGACACCACGCAGGTGATAAGTAGCGAGTAAATCGATAGCACTTGGGACCAGAATGCGTCTTCTGCGGATTTCGGAGAGTAGAAGATCAGGATAGCTGAAGTCAAAGGATTAGTCTGAAAAGGAATGCCAATACGAGTATTCCACAGACGTACATAGACAAAGGTTCGTGATGTACGCTGGCGTACAGCATCAGCGTCGCAAATTCATGTTATCGAAGATAGTAGCATGACCACATACATGCTATTCGCACCAATGGTCCTATGAAATCCTTTAGCATGTTCGGATACCTGGCAAGACTTTCACTCACCAGCGATATCACCATTCGGACAATATCCAAATGGGCATGAATCGTCCGACGCAGGATTCACGCAGTAAGCCTGACGATAAAGACCAGCATCCGATGTTAAATTGAGAAAATTAAGCATGTTCTGCGTCACAGTAAAATTGTCCGGCGACGAGCAGTAGAATTCATCAGCCTGGAAGGCCTGTCGAGCAAGGAAACAGAATGTGTCTGGGGGCCATATAGTGATATTGTTCGCCATTGTGGATCAACCACGGACGAGAAGCGGATAAGACGATTGAAGGGGCCGAAGGAGTAGGGGTCAACAGCCTGTGCCTTGCGCTTGAGGGCGAGGAGGACATAATTGTAGTCTTGATCAATGCATACCACGATCATTACTGGGCTATCAAACTCTATCAAGCATATATCTGAGACGCCGAATCACGTTCAGGGAACGCGCCGAAACATTAGGATGCTGGGAAAGGTGGTAGCACTTACGGAGGGTGAAGGTAGCAAACATAATCGTTGGCATGCAGCCTTGGCAGTTCGACGTCCGATGTCGATATAAGTTAGAAACAAGAGTTAATGCTTAATATTTTAAATAATCTGAGCGGGCCGCCGGATCTGGTAAAGGATTCAAGCTGTATAGACTTGATACTCATATTCAGATGGAATTCTACGATAGCGAGAAAAAGGAGGATTGGTATGCTACACACAAGTAATATCTACTGAATACATGACGAACAAGATGAGGAAAGTAAAATAAAACCCGTCTGGCAACTATTTCCTCCTTCCTGGTGCGGCACTCACACTACGATCCTTTTGCGGTGCAGGAATCATACCAGGTTCACCAACAGGGTTGGCGTCACTTCTGGTACCACTATCATTGATACCTGCAGGCCCCTGACGTCGGACGATCCCTATGGGCTCAAATGGCGGCGCCCGACTTGACAAACTCGATGCCGCGTGTGTCTGTCCTGACGAGGAGGGGACCTGAGGCTGCTTGTGATGAGGAGGCTGAAATGAGTTAGCGGGATTGAGGTGGATCACACCAGGTCCTGCAGGCAGAGAAAGACGAGTGTTATGTGGAGGCCGTTGGATGGGTTGTGGGTGTTTAGGGTGAACCGGGTGAGAATGTCGTTTACGAGGATGGTGATGGTAGTTAGGGTGATACGACTTGCCATGACCGTGACCTGCATGACTAGAGCTGTGCTGAATAGATGGGTGGTCCGAAGAAGGAGAATCATCCCTGTGGCTGTCTGAATCTTCCTTATGTAGCACTTCTCCAGAATCGTCAACCTGTTCATCGTCGTATCCATAAGCAAATGGATCGTCTTCAATCCTTGTTCGTTCCTCCTCCAACTTCCTCAGTTTTTCCTCCAACTCACCGATGACTCCGCCCTCACCCTCGAGCTTCTCCCGTCGAAGATTCAGCCTCTCCATCCTGTTTCCTAGACCTGCCATTTCAGCTTGGAGGCCCTCAATCTTGCATTTCTCCTTTCCCTCAGCATCTATCCTCCTCTGCCGGACAGACTCCGCCTGCTTGTTGGCCTCCTTCCACTCTCCTTCCACTTTCTTCCGTCTCCGCTCAAGCTCCGGAAGCATGTCTTCAACATCTTTGATCATAGCCTTGATCTCATCGGTTGCAGCCACAGTCTGACGAACGGCTTCTTGCAATGCCAGGACCTTCTGTCTAGCCCGAGTTTCCTGTTGAACGTACTTCTCCGAAGCTCGTTTGAGCGTGTCGATTTCAGAACGAAGAGCAGCATCAGCCTTTTGTGCTTCACGTCGAGCAGTCTTCAACGATGCAGTCAGAGTAGCATGCTCAGCATTTAGAAGGTTGAGGGCATGCGTGAGCTGCACTCGGCGGTCCTCCAGTGAGAACGTAGGGGGTGGGGTCGGCGCATGACTTGGAGCATGAGAATTAGTTGAAGCCAACGGAGAGGATGTGGCTGGCGCTGAATGGTGCGAGGCATTGGACGAAGTAGACAGAGATTGGGCTAATGGTTCTGGAGAAGGCATATCGCCTAGTATTACGTCCTTTCCTAGATCGGATTCAATACCAGGTTGAGAGGAGTCTAAGAGTTACTGTTATAAGTGAGTCCATTATGCTGGTTGAAAAGGGAGACACACCAGTAGTGAATTGTCCTCGGAGGGTACTTTCGCCCGGAACGACGCCAAGCTCAATATCGTACTGCCTAGATGGCATTAGACCAAAGAGAATCATAACAGCCTCGTCGGTTGCGTCGTCGATCTTCATCAAAACTCTCTGCCAAGGCGTTCCATTAACTTTGACACTGAGACCTTTTGACAAGACCTCTGAGATGATTTGTGTCGGTCGGCTGCTGCCTTCCATGAGAGAGCCATTAGATGCACACTCATTGCGGTCATCAGGAGCGTTATCCTCATGAAGAGCATCTATTGTTGTCACATCTGAAGCTGCCAAAGGAGACGATAGAATGAACGTGGCTGAGACAGACGTGATTTCGCGAACAGACAGTGACAGCGTAGGTCTCCATGGTCGAATTGAATGCCACTGAGACACCCTATCATGCATTATGTGAAATGAAGAGCCAAGGTGCAGAGAATGCCCGTGTGCAAGGTCAATACTTAAGGGGAGAGGCACATAAGCGGAGGCGTAAATCGTCTCGATCAACTTCGAGTGAGTGAAGAAAAAATATGACGAGAGTGGGATTCGAACCCACGCCCTTTCGGACCAGATTGAACAGTGCAACACCTTAGTCTGGCGCCTTAGACCACTCGGCCATCTCGCCTTGAAATTTTCGCATTTTATGATATCACATCATAGCTTCATTCTCCTCCTAGAATCTCCAACAATAAACGAGGTGGGCCGTTAAGTAACATACGCAGTCTCCCTGATATATCTATCTCGCAGGCAACGACATTTTGTTACCGCAATGACGTCACCCTTCATCGGGCAATGTTAAGGCGTTATCATTCGGTTGAATATAATGAATGTTCCTGTCGAGAGAACGACACTGGATCTGGATCAATATCTTGCGTACTTACCGTCTCACTCCCAAGAAAACGCGAGTCCATCGTAGCCATGTGTCCCGGGAATGAGATAAGTAACAGTGTAGATTCGACCAGAGACTTCCCCTACCCCACAGATCCAGAAAGCGTCTCCCCATAGTCTCCGGTCCACTTGTATATGTGAAAGTGTGTACCCCGTGGGCTGCAGTCCGGTCGGTACCTCTACCGCATCTGTGATACAAGGGGTTGAAACAGACGGAGGTCGGAAGGTATGTCTGCGCTAAACAGTTTCCATGTTTCACCGTGTCAATTCTTCAGCGCAGTACTGATTATAATTCAGGATCCGTACTCCAAACGAGAATCACCTATCGTGGCAAACAGATAATGTCATTTCCAGGCTCACCTACCTCATTCGAGACCAAGTTCGGCCCCCATGACGGAGGGCAAATGAGAACTCAATATACCGCCTGAAGTCAGCAGAGCGGCGAGAGCCCGTCCCTACATTCTTATCAAGACATGAAGCGTCATTGCCGTCCCGAACAAAACAAAAAGCTCAGTGCTGCGGCGGCGTAGCAAAGCCTAACTCTCACCAACAGTAGATAGACATACAGAGACGCGAGCTCAAGAACAGAGAAAGGTTTCACCACGGCTGCCACGACCTCTTGAAATCGCCTACTTGCACCTAGAAATTGTGAAATTCGATTGTCAGCGAGTTTACTGACCGGTCTCTTTATCCGAATGCATCATTCTGGTTCAAACTTCACAATGATGCGCCTGAAAGACCGTGACAACGCTGGCAATTCTTGGGAAACCGGCACGTATTCATCCTCAGAGAGTAATTCTTAACTGTACGCACTGAGAGCTCTCCCATACGCCGTATGCAACCCAGTCCAATCAGAGATTTAATGATGCAGTAGGAGAAGTTTTGCATCGTCAAAAAATCTCAAAGTCGTGGACAGGGTGGAATGGCAACAAAGATAGGCGCATAAACAAGTCATGGGCGTTTCAAGTTCTCCGACTCGTATTTCGACTCATGACTTGTCGTAAGCCATCACCACTCTTCAGCTTACGGGGGCGGACGGCGTAATTTCTGCTGGTGACACTTGTTCTCGGAAGGCATATGGATATCCTGATGCATCTACTCGAGTCAGGAGGCCATGTTTTGGTACGTTTCTTCTGTTGGGCGCACCGGTATCGCAACTTCATCCGGTCACTAGATTACCACTGCCAGGGTGCATAGAACAATTCAACCCCGTCAACAGGTTTGACTATCCCTTGATACAGGAATTGCGAATATTTATGTTTCCGTGGTAATTGAGCACACTGCCTTTCTTTAAATCTAGATTATTTCACGTTGAACTTGAACGTCCTTTTCCGAGTCTCAGTCGGTATGTCCGCCGAAGACAGCTGCATTGTGTTCATTCCAGCTCCGGTAAGACAGGATCTTTGTTCTTGCACTGACTCTGTACCGCTTCACCTTGCAGCGTTTTCAAAACTATGATGACAAACTACCCGCGACCATTTCAGAAAACATTACAGTAGCAAATCGGCTCGACTGACTGTTCATATCATCATGCGCCCCGCCGTGCTCGCGCAGAAAAGTCGAGACACCGGTGTAGCAGTGGCTCATTTTATCGGTCACACGATAACATAGCCTGGTCATGTTCACTATAAAGCTTCATTATTCTTCTCGACAGACCTCTCACTCAAAAGATCTTCTATTCACTCGATAATGAACGTCCCCTTCAATTCCTCTATTCCATTCTCTTTCAGCGATGAGCCCTTCACAGGGCCATGGCAGCCTGCGGACTCCTACCTAGAGTGCCTCCAGCCTCTAGTAGGGGGCGTCGTAGCTTTCTTCGTGACCATCTTCCTTTCCAGATACTCGCATAGCTCGGGCAAGGGCAAACTGCCCCCCGGACCATCTGGAGTCCCATTTTTCGGAAGCTTGTTCCAATTAATGACAACCCCGCGACTATGGATAACCTTTGCAAACTGGGGGAAACAGTATGGTATGATATCCATCGCGTTCTGAATTTCTTCATTGGAACTGAGGCTTTCAATAGGGCCATTGATACATCTCAAGGTTGCAGGCAAACATATGATCATCATGAACAATCACAAGGTCGCTGCCGATTTGCTTGATCGACGTGCTTCCAATTACAGTAGTCGACCTAATTTCATAGGTACGAAGATCTTTGGATTCTAAGACATGCCTTGATTCACCCATTCGACTCGTACAGTTGCTTCGGAGATGCTTACCGGGGGCCTTCTGCTGCCGTTTCAAGGCTATACGGATCTGTGCGTGTTATGACTTACCATATTATCTGTGACTCATTGCCTCTCTCCAGATGGCGAACGATGCGACGTGCCGCTCACGAAGGGCTGAACAGCTCCGCTGCTCGACATTATCATGCAGCTCAAGAAAAGGAAGCTACACTCATCGTGCAAGGGATGCTCAAAGACTCCAATAACTGGGACGATGAGCTCAAACGGTAGTTTCTACTATGTTTTTCTTGTTTTCTTTTATCTTATGCAGCCGTCTAGAGCAACGTCCTCGATGATCCTCGGCGTTATATACGACACACCTACTATTGAATCTTGCCATGATCCCAAAGTGGCATATGTCAACGACTTTGTTATTCGCTTTGTTAGCGCTGCATCTCCTGGCGCGCACTACGTGGAATACTTCACGTGGATGAAGGTACGTTCTGAACTTTCGTTATGAAACACGATATTGGTATCAACTGCCTTCGCGTCTGTTCAGTACCTCCCCTCAGCTATTGCAAAATGGAAGCGGGAGGCTTTGGAATGGTATCGCCGAGATTCGATCTATCTGGGAAAGATGTATGCAGAGGTACAGGAACGCATCGTGAGTACATAGATTTGTCTAGTCTAGATAGCCATGGTATTGACATAATCGTTCAGAAACAGGGTGAAGATATCAACAGCTTTGCAGCTACTCTCATCCGTGATGAGAGGCAGCTTGGTTTGGATAATACACAGTCAGCATGGTTGGCTGCTACAATCTAGTCAGTTCTCTTCGGTTCGTTTTGAATCCTCCTTATTCAACGATTCACGTTCTAGTGCTGCTGGAAGTGAAACGGTAATCCGAGCACCGCTTATCACCACCTCCACCGCTGAGATATACCTCCCCTTTTTAGACTTCTACAGTGATGGCTTGGTTTATGCTCGCGATGCTTGCATATCCTGAAGTCCAGAGGAAAGCGCAAGAAGAACTCGATACGGTCATTGGGCGTGGACGCATGCCTACTATTGCAGACCGCGACAGGTTACCCTATATCAGTGCTTGTGTTCGAGAAGCGTTGAGGTGGAGATCATTAACTCCGATAGGTGCACCCCATCAGTCCGTCGAAGTAAGTTTTCGAACTTTATTCTACGTGTATTGAAGATGAATCTTTCTTATTAGGATGATTGGTACGACGGATATTTCATACCCAAGGGCACCATTTGCATCGCCAACCAATGGTCAGAACCATGTTATCATGATCCACTCCCTACTAACAATAATAATATAGGGCGATGAACTCGGATCCGGATGTCTATGTAAGTCTTCTGGTGTTCCTCCACCGCTATCAGGCCCTGAGTCTGGATTTGTTTCAGGGCCCTGATGCCGATGAATTCAATCCACGCCGTCATCTCGACGAACATGAACATCTAACCTGTCCGTTCCCTGATACACATGATGGTACGTATCATAATTCAGAAGTGGCTCGTTGTAATGCTGACGTTTCTATTTCAGAGGGTTCGTTTTGCATTCATCTAAGAAGTCATCTTCTCGTCTGACATTTCTTCTATATTCTAGGGCATGTTAGCTATGTAAGTCCACCCCTGAATGGTTATGGAACAGAAAGTTTACTGATTCGACTTTCAGGGCTTTGGTCGAAGGTAATTCACGATTACCAACTACATGCAACCAAACCTAACATGAATCACAGGATCTGTGTTGGCCGTCATGTTGCCAACAACGGGCTCTTCATCAATATGGCGTCCCTTTTATGGGCTACAACTATCATGCCGACCACAGATGCACAAGGAAAGCCTGTTATTCCTGACACACATGACTTCATCAATAACGGACTTGTGTTGTGAGTTGATATATTTCTCTCGGTTGTAGACGAGACGACGAGCTGATTTCGATCGTGCTCTCTCACAGGCGACCTCTTCCTTTCAAATGCAAAGTCAAACCCCGTTTTCCTGAAGCAGAGGCGATTGTAGCTCAAACCAGAGAACTTTCACAAGCCTGACAGCCAGTGTGGTCTAAGGCGATAGCCAAAGATTTCCGTGACCAGGTGCATGAAAATGTTACTTATTGTAGTCTACTTTTACTTGCATAATCAGACATTCTCCTCCTGAAGTGAAGAGCAGCGCACGTAGAATGCTTTCTGTTGGAAGAACGTCATTCAAGAATGGTCTAGTTAGACCCGACGCTCAACGACAAGTCGACAGTTAATCGCCGTGGTTGACTTGTAACTCGTTCGGAGTTCAGAAGGCAATGCCATCCAAGCTGAAGGTAGTGTGGCATGCGAAATCCGAACAGTGTGACAACTGTCCATAGAGCTGATACGTGTGCGCAGGCATCATACTTCTTGAGTCTTCTCAATTTTTAAATCACTTTTGACGTCTCGAAATTCTAGTGCAGTTCATTTCAGGCGATGGGTAGTCCTATTCCGTAAATGGTAGCAGCCAGACCTCATTGTGCTGCCAACTGGAGACGCCTTGGACAAATCGATGGACAAAGGGGAGAAGAGAGACATGGTCGTTGGTCCATTCTTTCAATTGCCGAACACTTGGCCTAGATTGTCAAATGGATCAATTTGCACTAAACAAAGCCCCATGGTATGTATCTCAGAGTATCCCTTGTCTTTGTCAGGTCCATGACCCGAAGCGCAGCATTAGTGTCAACCGGCGAAGCATGCTCACAACAAGTTCTACGTGCCAGTGAGTGTAAGCTAAACTGTGCAGAACGTCATGGTATCTACTTGTTTTTATAGATAAGAATGAAGTCATATGATCGGTCCACAGGTATCAGCCGATGTGAACAACGTTGTCAACATCCTGGATACATCCTGCCAGTAAGCCAAACCCGGTTTTGGCTCATCGCTACGTCTTCGTACCTGGATCGACAGTGGTTGTCACGCGGGAACACGAGGAGTGGCCAAGTGTGACATCTGTACGGTGGATGCGCGCCAATGTGAGACATGCAGTTTCTTTGTTCTACCACTGAGTACGTATACCATTTGCTGTATTGACCACTCATCTCTTGACCTCGCTCAATCTTTTTTTTCTAGACTTCTTGCATGAATCAAGGAGCAATTCCTTGTCCTCATCTTGAAAGGATACACTATCCATTATAATTTAAGCTCGGACGGCCGATGTTTAAATCCTTTTTGCGTAGTCAAACTTGAAGGCTGAAGACACATTCCCATTGTCCCAGGTTGTTTGGCGATTTCGTTGCTTGAAACTTGATTGATTCGGTAACCAGCCACACGAGGCCATAGACACAAAAGGGTCACTGCGGCGCAAAACGATATAAATCCGCTGCCACACGGACACTTGACGGTATGTTTTGTTTCCCGTCCCCCCATTTGCTACTAGGATGTCGATCCACTCTGACCAAACCATGCGTTCAGCCTCTCCTTCGCCCACCACCCCTCAACCATCGCCGCCCACTCCTCAGCCACAGCCTGAGAATCAAGGAACTCCTTTGAAATTCACGTTAAAAGGATTTATAGAGTGGTGCAATCAATACATCTACTATAACGACCTACGAAAATTTCTCATTCGCGAGATGACCGGCCTATTTGTTGGGCCCATGCCTCCTCGCGGTTTCCTCGAAGCGTTCATGAGGCTGAAGATACTAAGGAAACTGAACCCTGAGGACCTGCCAGAAGTCGATTTTTCTGGAGTGCCTTTCAAGAAGCTCGAAGTGGAAATGTACCAGCCTCTGGTACGTCACATTTCACGTATAATGATTATTGTACCGCGACTGACATTGGGCCAACTAAGTGTGATGCTATCAATGACTCTGGCGTCTGTTCTGACTTCAAGTTGATCAATGTTTCGAGCTCGGTGGACGGTAATGGCATTCCATTGCGCCCGGATCTGGCATTTGTACCAATCAACGCTGAAGACCTCATGGACTATACGGTCATGGAATTCTTCCTCGAAGCCAAGGCCAAAGATTTCGCAGACCCCTTCTACGGCACAGAAGGCAATACCTTGAACAATACTATCGAGAAAATGGAAGGGCAGAGCGCGTCGACTCGCGGACAGTTGATATCCTATGCGGCCGCATTGTTGTCCCGCCAGCACAGAACATTTGCATTCTCTATTGTCGTGTGCGGCCAGTATGCTCGCTTCCTCCGATGGGATCGTGCTGGATGTATTGTCAGCGACAAGTTTGATTACGTCGAAGAGCCGGATATCTTGCTGGAGTTTTTCTGGTGCTATGCGCGACTGACTCGCGAAGAACGTGGCTTTGACCCGACTGTGGTGCCTGCTTCTGCTGCCGAGGCCAAACTGCTTTCCGATGCTCTGTCGCAATACATCAAGGAGTCCCAGCCCCGCAACGTCAGCTATCTGCAACCGAAACCCGATTCTACGTATCCGATCTCCAAGATGCAGCTTCGATTGTCAAATGGCACTCGGGAGTTGATCATTGGCAAACCTTTCTGGGACGCCGACTCTCCTTGTGGTCGAGCGACAAGGGCCTATGCTGCGTACGACATGGTGGAAAAGAAGGTCGTGTTTGCGAAGGATTCTTGGCGTGATGAGGATAAAGACATCCTTTCGGAGGCTGTGATCTACGACACCCTCAAGAAGAGCAATGTACCCTTTCTGCCCGAAGTCATTGCGGCTGGTGATGTATACGTGAAGGCAAAGAAAAAGAAGGCCTATCAAAGGACACTCACGCGGAATTGGTCTGTCCGTGGTGGCAAAGCTGTGATATGGCGTCTACCGTGTGCGGAGCTGCGAACTCTGGTCCACTGCAGAGTCATTCAAGAACTAGCGTATCCTATTACGTCTGTGCTGTCATCTAAGGAGGCCGTTCAAGCTATCCGTGATGCGCTCGAAGGTGCGTGACGTTTTGTGTCTAGACTGACTTCCGATCTTCATTCTTTTCTTCCAGCTATCAAAGTCGCGTACCATGATGGCAAGATCTTGCATCGTGACATCAGCACTGGCAACATCATGATTAGTAAATCCGGTCGAGGAGTCCTCAACGACTGGGATCACGCATTGGAAGTCATCCTCAGAAACACACCTCAAGCGTATCGGACAGTTAGTGTTTTCTTCTTCTCTGGAAAATGATGATCCTGACGGTTTCTCAGGGCACTTGGCAGTTTATATCCATCTTATTACTTCGAGACCCCAAGAAGGGTCATGACGTTCATGACGATTTGGAATCTTCTTTCTGGGTCCTGCTCTACGTCTCTCTGCATTACTTCCCGCACAATCTTGGGCCAGCATTCGATGCCGGCTTCTTCGATGAATACAAGGAGCAGCCAGACCTTCGCGCTGGCGATGGGAAAATTCGTCCGTTAGGAGGCTTTGAGAAGGCTGGTTTTCTTAACTATACATTGCAAGACATCATATGGGAGTGTGCGCCGTTGAACACACTCATTCACGTGGTCGGCAACATTTTCGACGACTATAATACCTCCCACAGGAAGCGGAACAACAATGAAAATGAAGCAGCGCGGTTCAGCGCGATACAGGAGCAACTTGACCGAGTGGATATGATCTTGAATCACTTCGACACTGCTTTGGCCACCGATGGATGGCCAGAGAGCGACGCACTACCCGATCAATTCCCGCTCAAGACCAAGAAGCAAGAGGACCAAATGATTCATGATTTCAAGTCACGAGCTATTGCTACTGCAGCCCTGGAGAGGCAAGCAGTTGCAGTTGCCGCTGCTACCCATCGAGCTCCTCCAACTCGATCTGCTATCCCTGGAGTACGTTCCAGCGCTCGATTAGTCCAGCAGAGGAACGAACAGCAAGATCTTGCACCGGAAGCCGGACCTTCACGCCTTCCCATGAGCTCTCGCAGCACTGTGAAGAGGACACTTGATGAAGTGCCTGCAGAGTTGCCAATGTTCCGTTCCAAGCGGGCGAAGACCGCGCCAGAGCGAAGGCCTTTGAAGCGTGCACCCAAACCTCCACCTCCTGAGCGACCAGTGGCGGAGCACCGATACCCTACACGTTCCAAGTCGAATGGATCCCGTCGGGGTAATTCGCTCAAGAAGCCACAGGAGGAGGACGTCGAGATGCAGGACGTCCGACGCCGAAACCCAAGTCGTTCGAGAACAAAGTCGAAGTCGAAGGACACACGTCGTGTTCAGGCTACCGCTAGCGAGAAGTCAACCGAGGAGAAGCGGCAAACTCGTCGAAAGGGTAGACAGCCAGTCAAGTCAACGGCAGGTAATGGGCCCAGTCGGCCTCCACCAAAGTCTAGTACGCGTCGACCAAATTAGGATGACATGTCTTTGCTCTATTCACTGTATACTTTTTCCTCACCGCAAGTTCTCTTCATGTACTCGCTTAGCCCCGTGAACGTATATGAACATGCTCGAAGCAGTCTTTGGCATTGAATACGTCACAATGGCAGGACATACTTAGGAACGCATGAGTGGGGAACCATAACAGGCCATGTCTTCTTTGTTCGATCAAATATGATAGCTTCTCGTGCAACATTTTGCTGTCTCTGTAGAAGCCTCCGAGCTTTCATTTGGTTGAATCATACGTTTGCCCATTCTTCTTGAAGTGCTTGACCAGTACTAGGCTGTGTAATCACAGACACTAAACTTGAGGGCTATAGATAGCTGTGTATACGAAGACACAAGTGGCAAAATGTGACAGAGCGTAGATCCGCGCCAATATTGAGTTTCCGAGTCCTCCTTGTTCTGCCATGTGCACTTCTTTCTGCGTAATTCACATCTCTTTCTGTCCTTTCAGGTTTTGTCTCCGCTCGAAAGGTAGGAGGCTGAACGCGAATTTACTCTCGACTCTCTGATGATACCAAGGCCATAAATTCATTCCCATTGTCCTGTTTCCCTGTGACTTCGTTGACTGAAACTTCCTTGGTACGATAATTAACCATAGCCTCAGATTCAAGAATTTCTTTCAAAGTTTATACTGTACATTCAATACACCGGCCTGCGAGACTTCCTCAATTATTCACGATATGATCGGCCTATTCGTTGGGCCCACGTCCCCACGCGATTTCCTCGACAGGTTCATGAGGCTGGAGTCACTGAAGAAACTGAATCCTGAGACATCGCCAGAAATCGATTTCTCCGAAATGCATTCCACGGGGCTCGAAAAGTATATGTACGAAGCTTTGGTGCGTCTCTTCACGCCTCTCACGTTCATTGGACCGTCTTGATGTTCGACTACCCAAGTGCAACGGTATCAATGACTCTGACGTTTGCCCTGGATTCAAGTTGGTTAACGTTGCCAGCTCAGCAGACAAGAATGATATTCGACTGCGCCCAGATCTCGCTCTCGTACCCTCCAACGTTGAAGACCTGATGGACTATACAATTATGGAATTCTTCGTCGAGACGAAGCTTAGTGATCTTGCAGACCCGTTCTCCGACAATCAGGACACAACGCTGGATCATACCTCCGAGAAGATGACGGGAGACCATGCAGAGACTCTTGAACAAATGATATCTTATGCGACTGCGTTATTATCCCGCCAGCACAGAATATTTGCATTTTCTATCGCCCTATACGGCCAGTATGCTCGCTTCTTCCGATGGGATCGTGCTGGATGCATCGTTAGTGATCTATTTAACTTCCTCGAGGAGCCAGACATCTTGGCCGACTTTTTCTGGCGCTATGCTCATCTGACTCGCGAAGGACGTGGCTTTGACCCGACTGTAGTCCCTGCTTCTACTGCCGAGGCCAAGCTCTTCTCCGATGCCCTGTCGCGATACATCCAGGAATCGAAGCCTCGGGACGTTAGTTATCTGCAACCCAAGCCAGACGCTACCTATCCGATCTCTAAGATGCGGGTTCCAACGCCAAATGGAATCTGGGAGTTGATTGTCGGCAAACCGTTCTGGGATGCCGATTCTCCTGGTCAATCAACAAGGGCCTACGCTGCGTACGACATGGTAGAAAAGAAGATCGTGTTTGCGAAGGATTCTTGGCGTGATGAAAATGAAGACATCCTTTCAGAGGCTGAGATCTACGAAACACTCAAGCAGAGCAATGTACCCTTCCTGCCTGAGATCATTGCGGCTGGGGATGTGTATATGAAAGCCAAGGAGAAGGTGCATCAAAAGACACTGACACAGAGGTGGTCTGTTAATAATGGCAAGACTCCGATATGGCAGCTGCCATGTGCAGAGCTGCGGACCCTGGTTCATTGCAGGGTCGTTCAAGAACTCGCCTATCCTCTCATGTCTGCACTCTCATCGAAGGAGGTCGTTCAGGCCATTCGCGATGCGATAGAAGGTATGTGAGACTATTTCTGGACAGCACATTGATTTCTGATACTCTCTCTTGTCCATCTCAGCTATTAAAGCCGCCTACCACGGTGCCAAGATCTTCCATCGCGACATCAGTACTGGAAACATCATGATCAGTAAATCCGGTCGCGGGATTTTGAACGACTGGGATCACGCACTGAAAGTCAATCTCAGAAACACACCTCAAGCGTACCGAACAGTGAGCGTTTTCCTCTTCTCTGCGCAGTGATCATCCTGACGGTTTCTCAGGGCACTTGGCAATTCATATCCATTCTACTGCTCCGAAACCCCATGAAGGGACATTGCGTTCATGATGACTTGGAATCTTCTTTCTGGGTCCTACTCTACGTCTCATTGCATTACTTTCCGCACAACCTTGGGCCGACTTTCAATGTCAGGTTCTTCGACGAATGCTCGGAGGAGCAAGATATTGGTGCTGAAGACGGGCAAACTCGTGAATTAGGAGGTAACGGGAAGATGGGTTTCCTCTGGGATCAGCTGAAACACGTCGAATGGCAATGTGCGCCATTGAACAAACTTGTTCACGCTGTCGGCAAGCTTTTCAACAAGTATCAGTTGTCCCACCCGAGTCGAAACGACGAAGACGACGAAGACGCAGAGGCCCGGTTCAAGGCAATACAGGAGAAACTCGAACAGGTGGATGTTGTCTTGAGTCTCTTCGACACTGCTCTGGCATCGGATGAATGGCCAGAGAATGATGCGGTACCCGACCAATTCCCACTCAAGACCAAGAAGCAGGAGGATCAGATGATTCATGATTTGAAGTCGCGAGCTATTGCTACTGCCGCTCTGGAGAGGCAAGCTGCTGCTAGCCAGCGAGCTCCTCCAACTCGATCTGCTATCCCTGGAGTACGTTCCAGCGCTCGGTTAGTCCAGCAGAGGAACGACCAGCAAGATCTTGCGCCGGAAGCCGGACCTTCACGTCTTCCCATGAGCTCTCGCAGCACGGTGAAGAGAACACTCGATGACGTGCCTGCAGAGTTGCCAGTGTTCCGTTCGAAGCGAGCGAAGACAGCGCCAGAGCGAAGGCCTTTGAAGCGTGCACCCAAACCTCCGGCTCCTGAGCGACCGGTGGTGGAGCATCGATATCCTACACGTTCCAAGTCGAATGGATCCCGTCGGGGCAATTCGCTTAAGAAGCCACAGGAGGCGGACGTCGAGATGCAGGACGTCCGACGCGGAAACCCAAGTCGCTCGAGAACGAAGTCGAAGTCGAAGTCGACACGTCACGTTCAGGCCACCGCTAGGGAGAAGTCAACCGAGGAGAAGCAGCAAACTCGTCGAAAGGGTAAACAGCCAGCCAAGTCAACGGCAGGTAATGGGAGTCGGCCTCTACCCAAGTCCAGTACGCGTCGGCGAAAATAGTATATATATTTTCCTTTGCGTTGTATACTCAGGCTCTTGTCTGACTTGTCTGACCGTACTCTAAGCCTTTGTACCATATTTACCACGATCCAATCGGAAAGAATCCAAGGGTTATCACTATCTTCTGTCAATGATTTCCTGTGTAGTGCCGAGCTTACGGCACCGATTACACCTACTCCCACCAGGTCTTTCTGGGACTCGGATGAAAACAATATCGTGGCCAAACACAATAAAGACAGCCAGTGACCACCGCAGGGCTCGAACCTGCAATCTCCTGATATTGATTCCATAATCGTAGTCAGATGCGACGCCATTTCGTCAGGTGTATTTTGAATATTAGTGTTTTCTCATACATAACATCTAGTATGTGCTCACAATGGCATCCACTGTCCACTGTCCAGCCTCTATGCCCTCGCAAGACTACCGTTCCTTCGTAGATAGATTTTATAATGTGAGAGGAGCGCCGACTATTGTCATTGGGTCTCACCTTCTCTTAAAACCAATGTGGTTTGGTCTATATGATCTTTGTTGCCGTTCGGCATCAGGAAAAACCCGTTCTCCGAATTGGAGAAAAATGGAGAGAAAACGGAGAAAATTGAAGAAAGTTTTGATCAAACTGGAGAAACTCAGCAAACACGCCGTTTTTATTACCCCCCCCTTAGCGAAATGGAAAAATGAGAGAAATTTCTCTCCAAATTTTATTCTATTTGAACCATTTCTCATTCATGGCAGTCACAATATTAGATTTGAAGAAGATATATTTCAAGCTCGGAGTAGTATACATGCAACATACTTCAACTACACTGATATACTACTGCAACAGAATGACTGTAGTCTACAACATGAGCACCTACAGACATCATAACCGTAACAACACTTGTACCAATACTCACCTTCTACTAACAGATGAGAAAGATGGCACAACTCACAAAGTAGACGAAAGACCACAAACAGATTACGGGTCACATGCGTGAATCTAGTTAGAGGCAGATTGAGGTAACACTACACTGAGACTGAAGGTGACATACCTGGATTATACAGTCAGACTATAGCCCATGCCCACAAGTAAATCCTATCATCGGAGAGGGATATAGTATCTAAGGCAGGAATCCTATGTGTTATTCCCTAGTCAACGGACATCATCACCAGCCAAGACCGATGAAATATGACAACCACCGTGCACACTCATATTTGCAACGTACCAAATATGTACCTTCCTGGTAAATCATTTCTGAAATCATCCACGGTCGAATGCACTCATTTGTGACCTACTTAAGGCTAACCCAGGCTAACCCACATTGCTCACGCCATCGCCACCCAACCAGTGACGATTGTGAGTCAAAGCATGCCACGTCGGCGTACATATGGCAAAAGACGGCTGGTTCACTCACCCATTTGACTCGCCTACCACACGAGTGATTATGGATACGCTTGCTGGCAAGCCCTTAGGACTCAGGCTCAGGAAAGAAGCTCGAAGTCAAAGTCGAGGATGAAGTCAATGGAGAGCAAGTTCACGTCAACGCTCGGCGATGAACTTGCAAGTGAGTTTAGGGCAGGTGAGAAGTTTGCCGCTCGAGACTTCGAACATGTATTTGTTCATGACTCCACATGTACTGTATGCTGCGGCGTTATAGGCGCTGTAGTATTTCTCTCATTTCTCGACAACTGGAACAATTTTCTACCATTTTACACAGTTTTCTACCATTTTCTACCATTTTATGCCGTTTTCTCCGTTTTCTCCTAAAAGGCAATTTGGGTTTTTCCTGATGCGCCCTCGGTGACATCATACGATCGCATCTACTTGTTATCATGCTCCTCCGTTCCAAATTCACTGCTCCCCTTAAACGGCGCCTTCTTTCAACCAAATCCTCGACATATAGTCCATTCTCTTTCAGCATGGCGAAGGCTTTGATTCTACTTGCCGACGGTACGGAGGAGATGGAATTGTGAGTGAGCCTGTTCACCGTCCTTTTCTGCAGCTGAAGGCATCACTTTATCTCAGTACCATCACCTACGATACTCTTGTCCGAGCAGGCGTATCATGTACCTCTGCATTTGTTCCAGCGCATGATCCTACCAAAGAGACCAGCACGTTCACAAATCCACCTTTCGCGAAAGGCTCTCGCGGAATCAACATCCTTCCAGACTCCTACTTCTCGCCTCAGGAGTCGACACCCGTTCGTACTCTGGTAACTGCGGGAAAGTATTGCATTGAATCCTTTCTAGGATATGTATGACCTACTTGTGATTCCCGGCGGCGCGAAGGGCGCAAAGACGATGTCAAGCAGCTCCCCTATACAACACCTTGTCCGAGAATACCTTCAACAGGACAAATTTGTTGGCATGATCTGTGCAGGTAAATGTGGTTTTTAAGAGATCGGTATAATTGGTTCACGTGGATTTAGGGAGTTTGGCTGCGCTCAGTTCAGGCCTTTCAAAGCGACCGTTAACCTCACACCCTAGCGTAAAAGCTCAACTTGAGAAACGTGAGTTATGCCTCTGCAGTGCACTTGAAAACATATACTTTTTGTCGTACTTATCGTGAATCATTCCTTAGACTTCGAATACTTGGAAGATCCAGTTGTGGTTTCAGGCAAGCTAGTAACAAGGTAAGCCTCCTAAAGGTCGTGCAAACGACGTACACTGAAGCGGTGTTGAATTAGTCGCGGACCTGGTATGCGTTGTCAATGGTATCTAACTATTTCATTGTCTAAAGCGGCTTTCAGGTACTGCCTTCCCGTTCGCGCTCACGTTGGTCGAGTTACTCTGTGGGAAAGAGAAACGAGCTGAGGTCGCGGGACCTATGGTGTTCCCTCCTGGCACTTTTGCCTGAAAAAAACAGCAGAAGATTACAAATGGTATGAAGCTTTATTTGTTGGGCGTGTTTGTGTATACTACATTCATCATTTGCATTTTCCCAGTATCAGAAGAATGTGACACCGTGTATCATAGGGAATCATTTTTGTGGAATCTATAGGTCTTTCTGAATTTTCCTTCGACTGTCCGTTTCATACCCACTCATCGAAAGGTATGCAATTCGAATCGCTCTCTGACAGACCCTCCATATCCGCAGGGCTGGGAAAGCATCGCTAAACTTACAACAAGGCGCTCCTCATGAGCGCGAAACGGTGCCTTCGAAATCCTCATTGTACGCATAGCCGCCGACTAAACGGCTTCCCGACGATTACAATCATGTCTGAATCTGAAGATGATTTGAAACCGTTCGAATGTGCGTAGAGTACTTCAGAACCTTGATGATAGTAGTGTTAACATACGACTACATACATTGCAGATGAGCTTCCTCAGACGCCATTGAACGTCATCAACAGTTGGGTTGTTCGACTGCAAGCTGTAGCCATTGTCGTACGTCCTCTCCAACAGTTTGTTACCATCTTCATTTGATCAGGCCCTGTTTCTCCGTTTAGACTGCTTTACTGGCTCAAATCGAAGTGTCTCTCATTGGAATGCTCGAGGATGTGGGCAACAGCCCGCCCGCGTCCGATACCGCCGTTCGAATCTTCGGCTACTCTGGACTCATCTTAAACCTCGGCGCTACCTTGTCGGCCGTTTTGCTGCTTCTTGCTGTCACTTCAGTGCCCACCGCAGCTCGCAGACTGTATATGACTTGTCGTCACGGCTACCCCCGCAAGGTCTTCCTTCATACGAAGAACAACAGCGTCATCGAAGTAGAACCGAAGACAGATACTACTACACCTTCTGCTAGCAATCTCCAATTTCCGAGGTCTTTACCTCCCCAAGTGGTTCCAGACACGCTGGCAGACATGCAATCCCTCAATCGCTTCCTTCTACGAGGGGATACTGAGGGAAACATCCTATATGCGTTTGGTGTGGCGCGAGGATGGGGATTCCTTTTGCGACATTGCATCTTCTGTTTCATTGGGGGATGCGTATGCACGTTCGTTCATGTCTGCATTGCACTTTGGGTTAGTGAATCGACAACGGTCGCTTCGGTGTTGATGCCAGTGGCAGTCGTTGGATTCATTCCGCCCTTGGCTGTGTTCTTCTTCGGTATGGATAGTCCGTCTTGTAAGCAATGTAGGGAAGAGAGGTATGGGGCGTATGGTACCTTACCATGAAATTATACTCATTGAGCCATGTTGGTACAGGAAGTCAAGCCATTTGCGGCTAGATGATGTATATGTGTCGAGATGTGAGTCGCCCTACATAATCACGCCAAGCAGTTAATCGAAGTGACGATTCACAGAATATCTGGCTGAGGAATTGCTATGAGCAGATAACACGTATGCAGGACTATATGTATGAACATGGAATGCAGGTGTTGCACCCGTGACGGTTATGAAAGGAAAGTGTGGGATTGATCGACGTTGATCGGGCACATCTCGTACCGATATCATCATGCTCGTCAAAGTTATGGCTCTTTACCTTTTGCATCTTTTGTGTCTCTTTTTTTTTCAGTATCCTAAGTCTATCAACCGCATATAGTCCGCCTTGTCATGTTGAGACGTGATCAAGTGCTTACCGCTCGTGTAATAAGGTTCCCGCCCGTCAATACCAGCGTTCAATGTATTCTCATGCACCGCCAACGAGCTATATTGTATCTCCGACTCCTCTTGGACACTAACACAGTCTCACAGTTTCTCTCAAACTTCTGTAGGATCCGTTGTAGGCATGTTGAGGTGAGTAGCAGCATGTCGTTGTGAAGACCAACCAGCTCACCTTCGAGTCCGGATTAGACGGGAGAGTTGGACTGTGATCTTTCAACGAAAGAAATCTCCTTCATACGATTACAAGTTTCCGTCGCTGGAGGAGATCGAAAAACAGTTTGAGGATGCGGAGCGTGACAGGTCTAATGTCTTCGAATCCTCCCAGCGACAGCTTGAGTTCGATTTCCTTGAAGCAGAAGCTGCCAGACGGCTGCCTGAGGAACAGAGGGAGCAGGAATTTGATCAATTTCTGTGCCGTGTACGCGACAAGTTCCTATCTGACGAGAAACTTCGACTTGTGGAATTCGAAGAAGCTGAGGCCAAGCAGGAACGGGTCTTTCAATCAAACGAGGTTCGGCGCGGTGGGGTCTTCGAGCAGAAACAAGGAGTTCGCGAGTGGGATTTCAACAAGTCCCACGAGGAACGTGACAAACAAGCCAAATGGTTCCTGCAGCTTATTGAGCAGCTGTTCTCAAAGGGGCATGCATATTGCGAAGAGATCTACAACCGGATGGTCGACTCCCTTTCTGCAGAATTCTTAAACATGTTGCGCTCCGCTCAAGAAACTTTCATTTTTGCGCAAACTAAACGCAACAATGTACTTAAGAAGATGGTGGTGAGTATAGAACCTTTCTGTGATAGCTTTTGCATAGCTGAATCAAGTGTGCAGAAGTCTTCGAAGTAAGTATAATCCTGAGCAGATGCGATTGTTCCTAATAAGTGCCCATTCTAGGTCTCGGATGACCACCTTAGAGTCACATGTCAGTCTGCGTACTTGGTCCCTGGCTACTCGAGGGTGTGACTAACTTATTCTCGTATCGTAGAGTCCCTTTTCCGATCGTGGCCGTGCATTGGTCTCTCCATCTGATAGTGCGTTTATGCCTCTTCCATCTTCCACATACCATTGAACACTTCTCGGCCATCAGAGACGGAAACGTCGCCAAAGCCAACCATGATACCTTCACCATCACGAAGTCCTTCGATCCTATATCGACCAAGTACGATTGGTTCTGATGGTCCCTGGATCCCTGCCGCTCCCACGACCGTTATACAAACATCAGCGCGCCCAGCTAGTCCTTCGTCATCAGCGCTGCGTCCGATACGCATTGCTCCTCGACCTGAGGTCGTAAAAAACGAAACGGATGATTCGCGCGGAGCTTCCTCAAGCGCATCACGACGTCGTGCGTTACGAGATTTATTGGCTTTCTACTCCGCCTTGCTTCACGAGAAAGAGGAGAAGCGAGCAGTGCTGTTCAAGAGCGCATTGAACAGTCACGACTCGACGTTCAAAAGGGCTGAGGCACAAAGGGCTTTGACAACGGGCCGACGAGATAGCCGGTTCAACGAGGCTGAATTTTCATTGGAGTCACAGTTCAACTCTAGTCAAGGGGCTTTCCGCGATCAGTTCGACAGCAGGGAACAAGTACGCAATGGCGTTGAAGACCACAGAGACCAACTATTTGAAGACGCTCAGAGCAGGTTTGAACTGATATTTGGGCAACAACAGTCTTCGCATTCCCGGCGCGTAGGAGCTGCTTGCGCAACCGAAAAGCGCTTCGCGGCATCATGCAAGTCAAGAGTGAAAAATCTCTTGCTGGGCATGGAGCAAATGGTTCGGGACATTCGAGAGAAACACAGAAGATTATTCACAGAAGCATGTAGTGGATATCAAGGAGAACCTGCGCCGCAACACACCATTCCTGAACTTGTGTCATCACCTCAGATGATAGCCCCGGTGTCACATCACAGTCATCAAGATTATATCCGGGTGACTACAAGTCACTCTCCCAGTTTTGACAATCTACGAGCTCCCAATGTTCATCTGATTCAACCTGTCATGGTCACACCTCCAGACCGAGCTCCTGATCCAGAGTCCATGTTTGTAAGCTTCACGCATAACTTTGTTATTGCTAATCCTAAATATTCACATATTACCCTATATTGTAGGCTCCTAAGACACTGTTCAAAGCCAATGGCTGGTCTGCTGGATTGCCTCTGCCCCAGACTGAAGATGTTCAAAAGCAACACATCTACTCTTCATCAACTATAGAAGAACACCTCAAAATGCATCAAGCTTTCTTTAAGAAGAAAGAAGCAAGAAGACATAAAGAAGCTGAGCATGCACTTCAGAGGTGGCAGCAGATCTTCACTATCAATGAATTGAAGAGACAAGATGAGTTCAAGACTCAGCAAAAAAGATGTCATGATGCTGTGGTTCAAAGGCAAGTTACACAGCCCTCTCAGTTTTGGACAGAACAGCAGGAGAGAGAGGAAGAATTTCAGAGGAATGAATCTGAGAGGGAAAGGTTATTCTGGACTCAGGAGGAGAAAAGAGTCTCAGATTTCAAGAGTTCTCAAGAATCCAGAGATACACAATTTCACAAGCAACAGGAGTCCTTGCTAACTAAAGCCCAACTACAAGAAACTCAGAGGGAAGATGATTTTTCTGGATGGGAGATCTCTATGCAGGGAAAATTCTGGGGAATGGTCATGAAGTGGAGAAATGGATTTGCTAATGATGAGTTGAAGATGGAGAGGACATTCAAGAAGATAGCTCAGTCAGCTGATGCCTGAGACTGTTGTAGGTCTTTAGCATATTGCCTACCACACTAGTATTGTTCAATTGAATATGCACAAGTTATCATTGAACTTATATTACTCCTTGGAGGTTGAATAGTAACAGTCAACAGATCACTACAATGATCTAGATTGTTGTCTCTGGACTGGGCCATAGATGAGCATGTGTGCCTCAAAACAAGCCCAGAACATTCAGATCCTCTGTCTGAGCATGAAGTGTCATCAGTAGCTCTAACTTCAAGTAGTCGGAGAGCTCAACGGACAATTCCAAATGTACATGCTCTAGTTTCTTAAGGTTTGTCTGCCACTTTGACACTGTTGTCCGACGAAGCGTCGTAAGGGCAATGGTAACGCAAAGCGGCACAGACATGCCAGGAAAGCCTCGATCAATTAAACTGTGCCGCTGCCGAGGTCTCGCTTATACAGGATGATCTTTGATTCCGACGCAGCAGTAATCATCAATATTTATGGCGGTTCACTAGACCCATGATTTCAAATATCTTCAGCTCCCTGACGTGCGACGTTACTACCAGAAGAGATGCGAAGGTGAGTGTCAAGTTGCACTTATTGCGCGCCAGTCATTATACCTCCGAGTCCAACTCCATGTTACCGCATATAGTCACTGGAAACCAAGTTGGACGATCGTATTCAAGTTCAAGCGAGTTTCTTCACCTTCACAGACACTTCCATTGGAGGAGATAGAGGAGCACTTTGCCCATGCAGAACGCGAGCGGTCACGAAGGTTCGAGGGCTGGAAGTTGCAATTCGAATTTGACTTCCTCCAGGCCGAGGCTACTCGCCGTCTTCCCGAGGAACGAAGAGCGTCACAAAGCAAAAACCTTCTGCGTGATGTGCACGACAAGTTCATTGCAAGCCAGAAGGCACGAACTGAAAACTTTGAAGCGGCTGACGTGGCACAGGAGCATGTCTTCCAATCAAATGAAGACCGTCGAAATATGATCTTCAATGAAGAGCAGGCTACTCGCGAACGTAACTTTTTGGATTCCCAGGAAGCGCAAGTCCAACAGGCCGAGTGGTATTATCATCTTAGAGTACAACTGTATGCCGATGGTCATAAACATCGAGAGCAGGTTTTCAACCGCGTCTCAAACGCAATTTCGACCGAGTTCGGCGTCCTCTTGCAGTCCATCCAAAGGGACTTCGCCGCTGCACAGACCAGGCGTGACGAAATCATCAAGAAAATTATGGTTAGTCAATGCTCATAGATGTCTGGTACGATCAACAACTGAATGTGCAATATTAGGAGTCCCCAGAGTGAGTTTCTGGTTCCAAAATCGAGTGAAGTCCTGTGGGTCTCTAACTCCTGCTTTATCAGGTTCACAGCTGCAAATCCGGCCGAGACTGTAAGAACATATTCATATATGTATACTTCCCAACCGTCTCCGTAACCGTCTCACTATGCAGAATACTTCAAGCATTCATACTGAATTCAGGCTCCCCAGCGACTTCATGTCTAGGATAGACCGTGCGTCCCATAGTTCAAGGATCCGCGCACCATGACTTGACATTCAATATCTATCTCACAGGATATACACCACCTATCGCACCCCATAGCTCAGGTGTCGGCCCACCGTCCGCCATTCATCGTCCCGAACCTGCACGCCGTCAGCGGCGCACCCGTTCCAGAGTTCCATCCATACAAATGGCCGTCCCTTCGGGATTTTATAGTACCCAACATCCCCTGATGAGCCATGCATCAGTGTCCCAGCCCCCTCCATCCCCGCCAGCTCGGTCTACATCAGTATTGCCGATGCCTGTGGATGAGGAAGTCAAGTTGAAGTCCGGCACGTCACAAAGCGATTCCACCGGATCGAATAAACTGCGTGATTTGCTGGCTTTCCAGACTGCGCTGTTTCATGAACAGGAAGAAAAGCGTTCTGCTATTCTTCGCGATATCTTGAAGGATTTCGAGTGGAAATTCAAACAGGCCGAGAATGCCAGGAACGAAGCCCTTGACATCCGACACAGACGATTTGTCCAGGCTGAGGGGGAGATGGATTCGCAATTTTATAGCAGTCAGCGGAGTTTGGAGGAAAAATTCAAATCACGAGAGGAACTACGAGACGGTGCAGAAAGTCGAAGGACTCATATCTTCGACAATGCCGAAGAAAGATTTGCGACTGCATCCGAACATCTACGGACGTGGTTTTCCAAGCGGGCGACGATTGCGGACAAAGCCGAAGCTGAATTCGCATCGTTGTGCAAGTCCAAGATAGAGAATACCATCCAGGCGATGGAGACAACGGTACAGGACATCAGGGGGCGGCATTCAGTCCTATTTATCAAGACTTGCAACCACTATCAGGATTCGTTAGGCTTCACTCGCCCCGTAACACCTCAGTCTGATATGCTCCCTTCCCTTCAACTCAGCCCAGCCACGCAGTCGGCCATGTTACCCTCAGAAAGCACAGGTTCATCAATGCCGCATCGTCATGCTCGTAGTTCACATGCTCCACCTCCAATATCGATACCAGCTATCCATGCTCCGCTGTCGTCGGCAACACCAGATAAGACTGAAGGGAGGAAACATAAGTCCGAGCGTGAAACAACGTTTGTGAGTTTTCCCTCACGCCTTTCTTACATTCAATTTTCATGTCCATACTCTGAACGTGAACGCACAGGCTCCAAGAGCATTGTTACAAACCAACGGAATTTCTGCTCGCTTGCCTATGCCTCAGGATGAGAATGACCTTTTGGGACATTGTTCACGTGCGAAAGCCTCCAATGTTGTAAAAAATCACATTAGGAAGCACCAATCCCTTTTCGAGAAGGGAGAGGCGAGTAGAAGGAAAGAGATGAAACATGCTCTGCAGAGGTGGCAACAGTTGTTCGTCATCAATGAGATCCAAAGGCAAGAGACATTCAAAAGCCAGCTGAGAGATTGGAGGGACGCTGCAGAAAGAAGGGAAAGTTTGCAGTTCACTTTGTTTTCTGATGGCCAGCGTGACCGGGAACAGAGATTCCGGAGTAAAGAGGCTGAGAGGGAGAACTCATTTTGGGCCTCCGAGAGGTACAGGAACCAGGAATCTCAAAGGTCCCTGGACTCCAGGAATATTCAGTTTCACAAAGAGCAAGAAGCGATGCTGAATAACGCTCATACGTTGGAGGCACAAAGACAGCAAGACTTCGCTGCATGGGAGATCATCGTGCAGGGTGATTTCATAGGGAAGATGATGATGTGGAAGGACGATTTTGCCTCTGATGAGTTGGCTAGAGAAAAGGAGTTCATGAAGATTATAAATTCGGTCAAACACTCAGTTTGACGACTTAATTCGCGTTGTTGTAAACCCACCTATACTACACCTCAGCTAATAGTAATAGACCTCGCGTCGTTTTAGATACAGATACAATTCAACTATTCAGGTTATAGACACGACAGCAAGTCGAGACAGGAAGTACATCAACAAAGCCCCAAAATAAAATCTAGTATGAACGACCAAACAAGGTCCACCGCTTCGCGTCCTTGCCGCAGCCTGGGCACTTGGTCTGGCCAGGAACGATGGGAGTCCAGCGGGATTGGTCGAAGGGTATGCACAGAGACTTGGCACCAGCGGAAGGAGCACGCTCATCCTGAGGCTCGGCGCTACACAAGAAAATAAAGAGAATTCATCAAGCAATGCACCAACAAACAGGGAATTCGCAACATACGATCGACCACTTCGTTCCTTAATATCATCCTCGCAAGCCTCCTCCTCACACCACGGTATAACGGCAACGCACTTGTTGTCAAGGGTAGGAACGATATCTTCCCATTTGGTGACTTGCTTAAGACGAGAGAAGTAAATGTCCTGAGCCTTCTTGAACATGTCGTTGTGGATCGTCTCGAGGAGTTGAGGAACGGAGGTGGTGATGTCGGCAAGAGGGATTGGGGCCTTGACACCTGTGTCTCGACGGACAGTGAGAGTTTGTTGCTTGGCAATATCGGCAGGGCCGATCTCGAGACGAAGGGGAACACCCTGTGGTCCAAGCAATCAGTCATCAGTACGCGTCGATGTATGACATGCCCACCTTCTGCTCCCAGTCATTGAACTTAAAGCCAGGAGTGTAGACATCACGAAGGTCGGCCTTGGCCTTGACGCCAACCTTCTTCAACGTCTGTGCGACCTCCTCACATTTGTCGTTGATAGTTTTCCTCTGTTCGTCAGAGGTCTTTGCCGTGATACCACAAGGAACAATGACGACCTGGATGCTCGCCACTCTCGGAGGAAGCACGAGACCTTGATTATCACCGTGAATCATGACCATCACACCGATCGCCCTTGTTGACAGACCCCAGGAGTTCTGCCAGACGTAAGTCTTTCCTTGTCCAGTCGGATCGTTCGGGTCCTCGACAACAATGTTGAACATCTCAGGACGAGAGAAGTTCTGTCCGAGACAGTGAGAAGTAGCAGCTTGAATGCCACGTCCGGAAGTGGGGACGAAGCCTTCGACGGTTGTAGTGTAGAGACCGCCAGCAAACTTCTCCTTCTCGGACTTGACACCAGGAATCACAGGGACAGCGAGGAGATCTTCGTAGACTTGACGGTAAAGCTCGAGGATCTGTCGAACTTCGGTATCGGCCTCAGGTTTGGTCAAATGTGCAGTGTGACCCTCTTGCCAGAGGAATTCACGAGTACGGAGGAAGGGTTCTAGTAGAGCACGCATAGTCAGCGATATTGTATGAGTGCAATGGTAACCATCAAATACCCACGAGGGTTCTTGAACTCCCAACGAACGACGGAGTTCCATTGGTTGAGCTTCAAGGGCAAGTCGCGGTGACTCTTGATCCACTTGGCATAGTCTACATAACATGGTTAGGTTGTTCAGTCAGTATATGCGCAACAGTTGGAACTTACATGGGTACATGGCGGTCTCAGAGGTCGGACGAATGGCAATGGGCTCTTCGAGATCAGAGTTTCCGCTAGAAGAGGCGTTCAGTTTAACGGAAAAGAAGGAATAATGTTCGAACATACGCCCTGGTGACCCAAGCGACCTCTGGAGAGAACCCTTCGATGTGGTCCTTTTCTCGCTCCAGGACCTTTGAAGAGACGAACATGGGGAAGTAGGCATTCTGGACACCAAGCTCACGAATCTCCTTGTTGAACCAGTCTGTTCACAATGTCGGTATCTGCAGAACGAGTGGAACATTGTTTGGGCATACCTTGAATGATTTCCCAGATGTTGTACGACCAAGGCTTCAAGATATAGCACCCACTAACGCTGTAGTAGTCCAGCATATCGGCCTTAAGCAAGACCTGGATAAAAAGACGCAACGGTTTAAAAGCTTGGAGAAAGCCACAACACAATAGGGCGTACATTGGTATACCATCCCGCGAAATCGACCTCCTTCTTGATACCGATAGCAATCTGAACAGCGCCCTCGATCTTTGCAGCCTCCTTTTCTTTTTTTGCGGGGGCAACTGTAGCATGGGGGGCAGGAGCCTCAGTCTTGAGAGCTTCAAAGTCGATCTCGTGCAAAGGGTTCTCTTTTGTTTCGAGGCGTTTGAGGGACGAAAAGAGTTCTCGTCCAGTAAGGAAAATAGTAGAACTAGTGGAGAGTCCGCGAATCGCGAAGGATGAAGAGGACGACTCTATCGTGTTGTCGATCACAGTGACGACATTATGGAAGGTGTGCTCGTTGAGAACCAAAGGAGAAACTGGTGTACCGTCACAATATTAGTCTTGAAAACCTGGAATAACATCATACGACGCACGAGAGTTCTTATCTAGCGAGAAAAACTCGGTGAGCAGGTCTTCCGATGCCAATCGCAAGTCTTTCAGATTGAGTTTCTTTCCCAGAACGGTTGAAATGACATCGGTGTGTTCTCTTGCAACGACTACCAGAGGAATTGGAGTCGCAGTTTTGGCGGTCTTTGGTTTGTAGACCAGCGTTTTGATGAGCTCGAAGGGCTTTGGTGCAGATGAGCTCTGTTCGAGAGCTTCCCGCCAAGTAGCAGGAGAACTTGCTGGAGCATGCGAGACTGTAGCAGTCGGGATAATCGAGAGGCTTTCTAGCAGGGCACTGATGGCGTCGACAGAGGCCATGGTGGAACTGGAAAAGAGTCTAGAGAGTTGCTGCCGGAGTGGTGGTATACGAGAAAGAGAGTCTGTAGTTGGACGAGCTGACTCGAAGCGGGTGGAAGAGAACGTTATCAGATTTTGCCGGATATGACTCCGATACACTGTTCTGAATATTCCAGCAGTTCGTCCAGCTGCTGAACGCGACCCAAGCATACGCACAAGTTGTGCGACAAAAAGACTATTCGAACGAAGAAAACGAGTGAAAGAACAGTGATGTTGTCACTATCTACCCGACGCCTCGATCGACCCGGCCTCTTATGATGTGAAAAATTAGAGATAATTCCCAGTAGTAGGTAGAACGAGGTGTGTGTATTAGCAGAGACAAACAGTACAACTATACTTCAAACTACAATTAATCTAGGAGTGGAGGACATCTGTACACCTTCGGCAGAGCGGCTCTTCAGCTAATCGAGTGTGCAAGTAGCATCGCGGACAGCGCTCCTTAGGAGAGGGTCGTGCACGAATTAGAAGAGGGACGCGATAATCTAGAATTGAAAAAGCTTCAGTGACAGTGCAGAGATATGATGCGTCGTGACGAGACATACTGTTGAAGACACCGGAAATTAGCCATTCACCAGGAACGTTCTGGCTTTCAGACGACGAGATATGTACGGCGGAAACGCAAAAGAGCTTATCCAGTCTATGCTGGTCTAATGAAATGGGGAATTTTCAGTTGCGAGTCAATACGGTCAGCAACAGGTCCTACCTAGCAAGTTCTTTATAATTACCGCATCGATATCTGGTGCAATCACAACTAGATCGATTTCTGCACTAAGAGCGTTGCGTATCTCTCTACAGAAAAGTTCATATGAAATTAATATCTAAAATGTACAATCAAGGAAAAACATACCCTCTTCGACGAGCGCCCTCGAGTACCGACATGACTTCGGTGCGCAACGACAAGATAGGTTTCATCATTTTTTCAATCTGCGGATTATACCAATGAACATCCTACAAACGAAGTCAGCCTATCTGAACATTTTGTCGAGAACAAAATCAAACATACTAATGGCTTCCATGTCTTTGTGAAAACAGAAGGAACTTCGCCTTCGTGTCGGTGAAGTACTTGATGAACTTCCTCCGCCAAGTGAGGGAGGATGGGTGCAATCATGTGAATCAACGTCTCGAGTGTCTGAAAAGATCAATATAAAGGTAAGTGCTCGGGATAGTTAAACATGGCATGATAGCAGAACAACACAATGAACGCACCTTGTCAAGTACCGTCAGTACCTCCCTACGGTCCCAGCTGTCCTTTCGCTCCACATATAGGGTATCCTTCGTGACAGTGATATATAATGACGATAATGTATCATAGATGAATTGCGACAAGATAGCAACCACTTATTCTCAAAGTTAACGAGCGTACTCATCGGGGAACGAAATACTAACACTCACCTCTCGGGAAGTCATATGCCTCATACGCTTTACGAGCGTCCTGTTCGGCAGCGTATAGCTTCTGCATAACATACTGAGATATCTAAGAAGAAGAAATTACCTCGATAAATCTCACGCCAAAACCCAAATAGCAGCAGAGGACTTACTGGACTCATTCCTCTCACATCAACCTTAAGTTCCTCGGGCAATCGGCGATCTTCCAAGCTGCCCAAGCAATATCTGAGAGTGTTCCGGATTTTGCGATGCATCTCCTCGGTCCTCTCTAGCACTTTTGTGCCAATCGACATCTCGCCTGTGCAATCCACGCTTGCGACCCAGAGGCGTAAAGTCTCTGCACCGTGAGCTTTCATTTTCTACAATACTGATTGTAAACATAAGCGCATGATGAGAATATATTCGAAACATACCTTAGAGCCGTGAATGACCTCCTTAGGACTAATGATATTCCCAAGAGACTTGCTCATCTTCTTCCCACTGACATCGACGACCATTCCATGAGTGATCAACGTCCCGTACGGCGCCATCGCGCCCTTCCCTTGTCCATCACCCTCAAGAGCCCCGATAGCAGTCAGAAGCTGACTTTGGAACCATCCTCGATGTTGATCACTGCCCTCCAAGCAGACGTCGGCGAGCGGTTCGCCAGCTCCACGCCCCTTTTCCAACCCTCGCAACATCGACCACGAAGTCCCACTGTCAAACCAAACATCCATGGTATCGGTGCCTTTTTTCCACGTTTCTTCGACGTTCTCGCCTTCTACGAGGAGATGACACGGGACGAATTCCGAAACGGGTCCGTCCCACCAGTGACGAGTACCTTTCTCTGAGAGAACAGAGAGGATGTGGTCCAGACTTGTTGAATCAAGGACTGCGCGGTTTGTTGGAAGATGATAGAGTGCAGGGATTGGGACGCCCCAGACGCGTTGTCTTGAGATACACCATTCGGATCGCTGACGGACGTGTGACTCTAAACGGTTGCGTGCTGGATTCATGGTTACTAAAAGTGTCGGGGAGAGATAAATTGGCTTGACTCACACTGCTCGGGGATAAACCTGACGTTTTGTAGTGCAGCTATAGCATCTCCCTTGATCTCTTCCAGGTTTGCGAACCACTGTGAAGTCGCTCTTCAAAAGATCAATGCCTCAGTACTATGTGTAAATCCAAAAAGCGACACTGAACGTACTTGACGATAATAGGCTTATCCGTCTTCCAATCATATGGATACCTGTGCTTAATCACATGATCTTTTCTCAGTACACCCATGCTTTTCAGCAACTTCGCCATCTCACGACCACCATCACCTAGCACTTCCTTGCCAACTAATTGACGAGCAGCTTCTTCACCAACGACTTCGGCAATATCGGATGAGAAGCAGCCCAGGTCATCCACATGACAGAAGATCTCGTTGGGCAAAGAAGCAGAGATGAGTCCGGCGTCTCGGAAAAGTTGGTAGTCTTCTAGACCGTGTGCAGGTGCGCAGTGAACGAGACCTGTTCCTGTATCTGGGGTGACGTGACCTGAGGCGATAACGGAGAAGGGGGGAGCGTCTGCAAGGGCCGGGTTAACCTTGTGAAAGAGTGGTCTGTAGGGTGTGCCGACGAGTTCGTCGCCTGCAAAATATTTCAAAACAACTCATATGTCGAGAGCAAGAGTTGGGGAATACCTATCAGTGTGCCTAGAATGGCATCATCGATGTTGAGCTGTTCCAATATATCCTTCACATCGGCCAAACGATCTTGTGCTACTATCAAAGTGGGACCTGCCGGTTCAGAGAGCTTCCCGAAGACAACATACGTCATCTCAGAATTGACCGCAATGCCCTAAGCCAGATATCAGCCAAACAGAAGCACATTACAGAAGAAAGTTTGTATATACCATATTGGCAGACATAGTCCAAGGCGTCGTCGTAAACGTCAGCAACTGCACACTCGTTCTGTCCGGAATCAGAGAAAGAAGTTTTTCGCTCATTTCCGTCTTGTGATTTAGATCAAGGTCGAAAGCGACATAAATGGCATAAGACCGATGCTTGTCCTTGTACTCTAACTCTGCCTCAGCAAGTGCCGACCGAGATGATGGTGAATAGTGGACTGGGCGGTAGTGACGATATATCAAGCCTAAGAAACGTCATTAATTGTGTTCCCCAAGGTAAAATAGAAAATGTGTACCTCGTTGAACCATCTTTTGGAATATTCGGAGCTGCCGCATTTCGTACTCGTGATCTACAAGCATACATAAGTCTGGCCTTCTGCCAATGCAATAAAGGTCGCTCAACTCACCCAGCGTACGATATGTAGACTCCGGACTCCAATCTGCCATGATACCAAGTTCCCGAAATTGTCCCAGTTGGTTCTGAACCTGTCCTTTCGCATAGACTTCTGCTTCGGCTCGAATACCAGTGGGCGAAATCTCGTTCAGGTCTTTCTTCACCGTCATCAGAAGATACTTCATTGATAGCGTGAAAACATCGACTCACGCCAAGCTCTTTAAGAACCTTGTTCTCGATGGGTAGACCGTGACAGTCCCAACCAGGGACATAACTGTGAATTTGGGAGTAAGCTGTGGACAGCACTTACGTCCAGTTGAGTTGCGTACTGTACTCTCCGACCAACAGAGGCATGAAACCGGTTGATGATGTCCTTGAAGATTTTATTTAACGCGTGACCTGTAGAAAATAAGCTCATAAAACGCGCGGGAACTTGTGAAGCCATACCAATGTGAAGGTCTCCATTCGCATATGGAGGTCCATCATGCAACACGAACAGAGGTCCCTTTGCATTTTCCCACTAACAATGCAAAATTCAAGCCGAAGCAAATGCGTTAATTAGTTACTGTAACACACCTGCCACCTATACAAATCTTCTGTAGTCCTCCGCTTCAACACCTCATCCTTCGAAGGGTCATTGGCCATAGGCAGTGAAGTTTTCGGAAGGTGCACAGTAGATGAATAGTCTGCGCCATCCTTGGTCTTAGTCTTAGCAACTTGTAATTTTGAACATGTCGAGCTCAAGGAACGACTGAAGTGAGGTTTGGTGACATGTTTGCAGCAAGGAAGGTTCCAAGGTCGCATGGGGTTTACCATGCACTCAGAGGCTTCCTCTCTGAGCCACCGTTACAACGTAGAGGAGAGAGGAAGATGAGCTATCGAGTCTTTGCAAAAGCAGCGTCGCGATCGTCGAAGTCCTGAGAAGCAAAAGCGCTATGATATTTCCGCATTAAGAATTTCGAGTCCCAATATGGTATGCCCGAGCCCCCGAAGCATTGCCTATTCAACGCATCATACGAGCGGTGCTTATTGCCAGTTAGTTTCATATTCATATTCAAGCTAGGGGATATCTACAAAAGCTACTACAATATTACTCCTATAGCATCAACCGCATGAACGAATGGTGTTACAAGGGAATGCATCTGCATACGCAACAACGTAAAAACATCAGAGCTGTATGCCAGAAGTGAAAACGTGAAAGGGGGATGGGGATGGAGGACGGGAATACAAATGCAACCTTGACCAACCGCGAAGTTCGACGTGGGCAAAACAGGAAAACAGAGCCGACGGCAAGGAAGGCGTGAACAAAGCCATACCAACTTGGACGTACAAAGCGAGATGATGGTATGTGCCAATGCATGCTGAGACGAAGGGTGGAGAATAGGGATGAGGATTGAGCGTTGGTTAAGAAAACACATCGGAAATGCTTGATGACAGACAAGGAAGAATGGAACAGAGAACAGAAACAGAGAAAGACGGAAAAGGAGGAAGAAAACAATAAACAGTGATGCGAAGAATATGCGTAGATGTTGTACTTGCAATGTACTTGTGTGGGAGGTCCATGAACTGAATCCGTCTGAATCCGAAGAACATAGATGATAGAGATGCAATGAGACGAGGAACGTCTAATGCTCATGCATATCGGGGATAGTCCTCGCTCGCTGCGACAACGTGGTCGCCTCTCTCATGCGCCAGGCGGATGATGGTTTTAAGCTTAGGAAGCTCGTCACGTAGAGAGACCTGTTGGCCTTCTTCCCATCGCTCCAAAGCCCAGTCCCTTACGAAGACGCTTGACTGTGAAAGGAGAATGAGGATACTAAGAATCTGACGACCAAGGAATATCACAAACCTTTAGAAATTTCTTCCCCGCATACTTCTTGAAGAACGACTGATGCCGAATGGGCTTCAGGATAAAATTCAACATCAGGTTGGCTGTCGGGATCAGCGCACTCTCAGGGTATGACGCGTAATGCGCCAAGTTCGGAGTCTACGAAGGATTTGAGTACAACGGAGGAGAGCACGATGAAATACATAACCCACCCAGTCAACGAACCCAAGGATCAGTCTCGCCAACCATATCGCAGCAGCAGCCATGAGCGACGGCGGGGCAGCAATCAACCTCCACTCGAGACATTGAATTTCGAGAAGATATTTTGCAATTGTCCGTGATTGGACGTTATAATCGTCTGCTTTGCTGATTCGTCGCAGGAAATGGATTGGGTTGGGATAGCTCATATTCCAGTCAAGCGTCTTTAGAACATAACGCTCCGCCTGTAGGATCTCAGCCTCTGTGTATGATGAGTCCGCGCAGTAGAGGAAGTTCTGTGCACTTGGCGAAACAATTTCCTCGACTTTTGCCGCGATGAACATGCAGGTGATACCGACCAATTGAAGTTTCGCCAGTGACACGACACGTTGTGAAAGGAAGCGGTCAATGATGTTTACGCAGAGGAATAACGTCTCCGGAAGAAGGCGGAAACGTGAGTGCACTTGGATGAGCCAATCTGTAAGGATGCCCCGCATCTTCCATGCGAGGTCTCTTTGCATCTCCATATAGTTAGGATTTGGCATGGTTGTTTGCTGAATGAAGGTTAAATATCGACACGATATAGAACGTGATGTAACGCACCTCGATCCCTTTGAGGTACTCGAAGATTTCAACAACATATTCGCTGACCATAAGAGGATCATCAGCATCCTCCGCATCAAGGTCTTGCCACTGGTCGCCGTCAGGATCGGCTTCCTCCACGTCAAGTCTTACTGCTCTCTCAACCTCCTCCTCCGCTCTCGCGTCCTCATCCGGTGGTTCAACTGAAGATGTACGCCGCTTTTTGAACACCCGAGTGGCCTCTGCCTCATCAAGCTCAGGTTTGGGTGCATGCCGTGGAGCAGTCCGACGTTGTGCGGCGGTACCATTGGGGCGGTGGACGGACATAGGATGACCTGCGGCCGCGGCCGCGCGAGCAGCAATAAACCGTTTGGGTGCAGGCACAGGAATGATAGGCTGATCGATGATCATCGCGTTGTCATCGTTGCTAGGCAGATGTTGTGGTTCTGGCTCTTCCCGTAGTTGTTCTAAGTGCACAGGACGATGGGCGGGTAGGGTACTACGCGTCGTTCTACGAGTCGCAGTACCATTGGTGGGTGGACGGATGACAGTCGGAGTAGGACGAATAGCACCGCCGACATGTTGGAGGGGTTTACGGAGGGTAGTGGTAGTAGTCGTAGTAGTGGTGGTTTTATGCAACACAACACCGTCGAACTTTTCTTTGGCCTTCTCCTTGCCCTTAAGTGCACCAACGTCCTTTGGCCTCGCGATGTTCACTGGCGGGCGAGGAACTTCGCCCAAGGCTTCTCGTTTACGTTTGCCTTGTGCCGCGAGGTCGATACGAGAGGAAGGAATGGCAGTCGCCTTGGCGCGAGTCGCAGCGGTGGTGCCCGTGGCCCGAGCGATTCCTGTCGGTTTCACCTCGGCGGGGGCTACATGTGAAGATGAAGGGGGTTTCACGCGTAATCTAGTAGATCTAACAGCATTCTCCTTGTCCTTGAGGACCGCCGTGGTACGGGTCACCCGGGTCGTTCGTCGAACCTAAACCTGGGTGTAAGCGGCGCGGTTTTGGAGAGAACGACAAAAGAAATATACCGGGACTTGTGAAGACATGAGAAGACTAGTTCAGCTCTACCTTTGGAATAAAAAATACAGTTGAAGTGTAGAATAAGAGGAAGGAGGTGGAGGACGCAGGTGGAGAGCGTCACGGTCTGCAGCGCAGGCCGGTTTTGTTCAACACCCACCACAATACGCGCAAACAATACGCTCGCGTATTTCGCACGTGACCGTTCGGCGGGGGCGCGTGCTTTTTGCTTTGTCCTCGTCGTTCGCGACAGCGAGCGGGGCCAATGACAGTCGGAGTGGCCACTGAGGACTAAGGATGTTCAACGGGAATGTTGAGGGTGTTGGGCACGACCACCTCGCCGTCTCCACAACATTCGCTTGTACAAACAGTGGCGCAAACACAAATCAACATTGGCAACAGATGTGGATGAACGTTTTCGTGTTGTTCGCCATGAAGGTTTTCCTGGTTACAGTTCATCCGCCAGGACCCCCTCATTACAATCTATTAGATCTCTATCGCGTACGATACACATTTGATGTCCATCTCACGCAGAGTGAGCTTCCAAGACGTTCGGAATGATGGGTTGTCGCTGGTCATTTTCACTTCACAGTGCGGTACCATGACTAATTCCCAATGGGTCCGCCCTTCGTTTCATTTTAATCATTTTTCTGTTCCTCGAATGCTGAATCAATGCTGAATGGTGAGCAAACCCGCAACTTCCTGAGCCCAGCCAAATGCGGTAACAGTCGGGAGCTCGGGCTTCCCAAATTAGTCGCAAGAGCTCCTCTAAGCGCTTATCAAAATCTAGCTGCCCTTTCGCCACGACCGAATAGAGCAATCAAGTTCGAGCATGCAGAATGCAACCTGAGACTCGAAAAGAGGATTCAGACTCGGAAGATGACTCTGACTATGTTCCACCAGCAGGAGGTAGTGCAAGAGCGCCGTTAGGTACTGCGTCTAGGGGCGTATGCTGACGTTTCTTTATCCGTAGATGAATCCTCCTCTGATGAGGAACCCGAGGCCAAACGAATTCGTACTGGCTCGCCCCTACCTACCGTAGAAGATGCCGCTGAGCAGAAGAGGTAAACTGCTCCATCCTGTTCACCGTCCCTTACGCTGAGTCATCATATCCGTAGGATTCGAGACGCACTATGGGCTGAATTCCAAGCTTCAGTGTCAACGCCACCTGTTCACCCCCTTCAAGAGACCAAAATGGTCAAGGTAGTAAAGCGCTTCCGCTTTGCTGGGGAAGATGTCGTGTAAGTCATGTCTCCTAAGGCTACCTAGTATCTTGATCTGGGTTGACGCCTACAAGTGTCATCTAGTGAAATGAAGGAGGTCCCAGAGGACTCCGATGATGCCAGGAAATGGCCCCTATGGCGTCCTGATAGCGATGGAAATAGCAAAAGCGTCTCCCCAACACCAGAAGGAATGGCTTCACAGGCGTCAGCGTCGCAAACAGGGAAGCCTTCATCGTCAGGGGCCAATACGCCAATTCCAAGCAGCCAGGCAGGTCCGTCGGAGTCAAAGCCAAAACCGACTAAACGACCAGGCCCACGGAAACCCAAAGTGCAACTCGCACCTTTACCGGGGAAAGCCAAGAAGCTTACAACGTTGGACAAATCCGCCATGGATTGGCGTTCTCACGTTCAGGCGGGACAGGAGACCGGGTTGAAGGATGAGTTGGAGGCTCATCGACGTGGAGGTGGGTACCTGGAAAAGGTTGAGTTCTTGAAGAGGGTCGAAGAGAGGAAGGAGGAGGCGTTGGAGGCGAGTAAGTCTGGGAAGAGACGACGGTAGGCCTCAGATCGTCGGGGCAGTGCTGTATGGACGTGTATACATATTTTGCTCTGGCTATCGTCTGTATGTATATGATAGGATTTTTATACGAGTTGACTAGAGCATGGTTCCCTATATATTTAACAGCAGGCCGATTATAGGGGAATTTACCAGGGGATAAATAGCGACAGTGGGACTGAACGATGCAATCCGAAGCATTGCAGGGTAGCAGGATGTAAGGAGTAGTTTGCCCCCCCACTCATGCCATAAATTACAAATAGAATACTCCAATATACAAAAACACTACAACAGTGATGGACAGCATTAGATAATTGCAAGTAGTATGTATGACGACAGTCTAGCGTGAGGGTGTATCCAAATGGCAAACCGAATGAATCAAATGCGTTCGTACATACAAATATAAGCCTTAGCTTTCAGTACTTCCTCTATCGTGGTGAGGCGGACGATGGTGTCACTGATGTATGCCCACTGTCTGGGCTGTTTTGTGGAACCCACAACATCTTTCTCAGACTTCGATGTGTCAGATGTATTGGAGGCCGTTGGCGTGTCAGCATCAGGTTTCGGAGAAGAAGGGGCTGAACTGTTCTCAGGTGCTGGCCGCGAAGGAAGAGCAGTATACGCAACATAGTGGCCACCGAGCTACGAAGGGAATATCAGTCAAGATCACACTGTCGAGCACGAAAACATACCATGTTGCCAATATGTACCACCACTGCATAAAGACGGTACATGCATCGCTCTTCATTCTTACCATCGAGATGTTTCTTCATCCCTTTCTCCTTGGAATTTTTGAGTCCAAAGTCCTCCTTCTTAGGCGCCAGATAGGGTGCCAGATCAAGGTACTCGGGAAATGCGACGAAGTCATCTAGCTTCTTGAACCCACCGGTAAAAGAAACAGTATATTGCTTCGGGGTTTGCTGGAAGCGCTTCAAATGAATGACGAGAATCGGTGGCGGGTCCGCAATGAGATAACGCTTGTACGTTCGTCGCATAAGAACCTGTTGTGAGCGGGGTATCCGCTTCTTCCTCTTCTCCTCTGACTCTCGTGATCGAGCGCGACTTACGTCCGAGCGAGATGACTGTGCCGTACTTGCAGGTAAAGGTAGCTTTTCCACCGACGCTCGAGGAGAACCTGCTGGAGAGGCAGGGCGTGATGCCAGAGAGGAGGCGTCGGAGTATGCAGAAACGCTCCCTGAACGATCACTGGCGGAATCGTCGAAGTCTGCCTCGTCAGAGGAATCCGAGTCATCGAACATGCCGCTCAGCGCTTTTATGAACTTCTGTTGTGGCGTGCGCTTGACCTTGGGTGTAAGGAGGGAGTCATTAGAGGGCATTGCATCCGCTAGCCTAGCACCAAGAGATTCAGCAGCATCATCTTCCAGACGATTGAAGGCGGTTTGAGTTAGTGGAGATTCCGGCGCGGTAGTCGAAATGGAAGGTATAGGTTGACCAGCGTAGGTGGCAACTCGAGCGGGAGAGGATTGTGTAGATGAAGATGGTTGTCCCTCCGTGCCTAGCGGTAAAGGTGGAGGTCTCATTCGATTAGATATTGGTGGCGAAGATTGCAACGTGGTCGGAGCAGATGCTATTGACTCGGCATCTGAGAGAAAGGTGTATGAAGGTGAGATTTGGATGGGGGTAGAAGTTGCCGACGGGTGAGCAAGGTCAGGGGAGGATGCCGTAGACTCTTCAGCACTGTCCTTGCTTTCAGGTAACAATAGGTTCTCCAAGCTATCCGCTTCACTACTGTCCTCCTCTTCATCAGGACCCTTCTGAATGTCCTGCTTTCGAGGTTTGTAAGTGCCATTAGCAATCTTCCAACAACGATGGCACCCAACCATGTTGTCGCTATCGAGAATTTCGACAGCTGTGAACATGCGTAGACACTCGTCGATACCAGGAAGATGGCCCATCTTCGAGAGAAGAGCATGTGCAGAAATAGGCGGGACAGATCCAGAGCCGCTGGCGCCGCTTATTGCCTGATGGAACATAGCGAAGGGACTGGAGTTGGCGGGATGAACATCTGCCAATAACCTGCGAAGGTAAGCTGCTTCTTCATGCGTCGGCTTCGGCGGGCGCGGAGATTTCACATGTTTGTGAACGGAAGGTTCAGCAGAATCCCGCTGGAGGACGAGAATTGGCGGGGATATGTTCAAAGGTGGGGTAGCTAAGGGTGATGGTCCTGGCGAAGGTGATATACCGCGACTTCTCGGCACGTCGGACATGTCGCCCAACTCGGAGCTGCTTTCGTAGGGAGAATTCACAAGTGTGGGTGTACTAGATATCTCAGTCGAAGCCAACCCCTCCTTGAGAATATCGACTGTCCTCTTGCGCTCTTTCGATCGACTATTTCGCTTGGAGCTCATGCCCATCTTCATCGATACGCTGATTCGCCGACCAAGCTTTCCCCATGCATCCTTATCCTTGTTGTCTTCCTTGCGCGTAGATTTGACATCAGGTTCCACAAAATCCACATGGGGCGACGATTTTGGATCCCTCTCTACATCTGGCTCGACGCTCGCCCCTTCATCATCAATTGCCTTGGGAGGTGCCTTAGCGTCCACATTCGGAGGCTGGATTGCCGGCTCCACCACGTTCCCCATGGCCTCTTCACTCGACTTGGAATCATCAGCAATGTCGAGACTCCGCCTCCGGCGATCCTCATTCGCTGGAAGCTCGCTGTCTTGAGGCGTAACATCCGCACTCCGTCGTACTGGACTCACTGGAAGAGAAGAGGATCTGTGCATAGGCACTCCAGAGAGATCCTTATCGGCTGGCCGGAACCGGAGCTTCTTCGCCAGATTCTTGAATTTGTCTCGTTTCCGCTCTTTCACATAATCCTCAGGCTTGATGCTCAGACTGAGATCATTGAAATCCTCATACGTGAGTGAGACCTTCTTGCACTTCTCGCAGACGAGAATGCTAGCTAGTCGACCGCCGAATAGCATGTCGACGAAAGACTGGAGCTTGTCCTCGGCTGAAGGCTCAGAAGTTGTAGGGAAGGAAGCAACAGCTGTGTTCGATGAGCTTGACTGGGGATCTTTTCGTTTCCTCCTCCGCTTCGATTTGGGCGGTGGTGGTGGTTGGCGCTTTTTGATGATCTTGAAAGTGGTCAGAACGATCAATGGCACCAGTACATCGAGATTACACTCACATCAACTTCCTCCATCCGCATTGCATCAAGTAGATGACGAAGGAACTCGTGAGCATCTTGCTGTTGAAAGTCCAAGTATTGGTCATACTTGGTGCCGATCGTAGTCAGGATTTCCCTGGTGAACGAGAGGTCAGCGTGATGAGCAGTATGATGCACAGTACATACCTAGGACTCATGTTCTCCCTCTTGCGATCATCCTGCATACGCCATGCCATTTGCATTGTGTGAATGAAACGATCGCCGAGAGGCATGCCCTCCACCCATTCACGCTCATACTTCCCACCGACATAATGACCATTTGTCAACAACGGCGAACGTCTAGACAGAATAGAACTTCCTCCTGGGTTGTTCCAGCGTGATTGAAGCTCTCCTGAGTATACAAGCTCGTGTAGTAATGGTGTGGCTATAAGCTATAATGCAACTCGCATGACATTTAGCAAGGAGACAGCGATGCTGAACACATAGACATACCCCTTGGAGTGTCGAGTTCATGAAGCATGTATTGCCATGATTCACGAGTCCAGGCGGTAGATACGCCTCTTTCTCTTCCTCGTCCCGCTGTTTCTTGATCCGGTACAATTCTTGCGGGGTTGGTTTCTTGTCGCGGTGTTTCAACATGATGCAAGGATATCAAATCGAAGAATATTATGCAGACAGTTCAAAACAAGAATATAAGAAAGGAGTGGAATAAGCACGTTGGCTTAGAAAGTATGAAACAGGTATATATGGGGTGGGTGGATGTGGCGAAGAGATGTTATAATGGGCGCCTAATATACATTTCTCAGCAATCGGACAGCACAGCTGTATGGTTTGTACACGTTTATTCGCTCAGAACGACATCTAGAGTAATTCTAGCAGTTCCCGCAGTTTCCGTAGTAGTACCTCGTTCTCTTCCTCGGTCCCCACAGTAATCCTTACGCAGCCAGTACAGCCAGGTTCACCCCCTCGGTACCTCACCACGACACCATGTTCTTCGGCGAGTGTCTTGTAGATCTGCTGAGCACGAACGTTGTCGGGCTTTCCACTACCATTTTTCTCCAGAATAGGTACTAAGACGAAGTTGGCATCGTTACCTCCGATAGCGGACCCCAGGCCTAGTAGCTGAAGCGCAGCAAGCCCCTTGAGCAGCGATTGCCGAGAAGCGACCAGCTTCGCTACCTTCTCTCGCATTGACACTACTGCGGGCGGTGACAGGGCGGACAACGCCAGCGAGGCAGTCGGCGTGGATATATTATAGGGTGCCTTGGTGTTCATGAGAATTTGGATTAATGCAGGGTGGGCAATCGCAATCCCCAGTCTGCGTGCAATTCATCAGTTCTCAGTTCACGCTTGATGCATGTTCACACGCACCTGATGGCTGCCAATCCGAAGCTTTTACTCAATGTCTGCATGACGCACAAGTTGGCGTATTCGTGGACCAACGAGGCGGCGCTGGCACCTTCCTCAGCGAAATCAATGTATGCCTCGTCAACGACGACTACACCCTTGAAGTTCTCATACTCAAGCAGCTCGCGAACAGTCCGAAGAGGGATGAGCGTGCCCGTAGGATTTCCAGGCGAACATAGGAAGATCAACTTGATTGAAGGATCGGCACCAATTGCTTTCTTCATCTAAACGAGTGGAAATGAATATCAACAACGATGATGAAAAACAGATGGTAAGATGTAGGCTCACACCTCCTCTAACCGCACGGAAAATCGACCTTTTTCTCCTCCCTCACCAAAAGCTCCAGTCAGCTCTAATGGACACTTGACAACACCGACGTCATTCACTTGTGCACAGACTGCGTACATCCCATACGTTGGCGGTGTCGTTAGAATCTTTTCCTTGCCAGGCGCGACACATATACGCATAAGAAGGTCAATGACTTCGTCTGATCCAACACCCAGGAAAGCATATTCTGGTCCAGGGAGGTTTCTGAGCTCGGCAATTCTTGACTTTATTGGATCATGAGTCGGCGAAGGGTAACGGTGGAGATCAAGGTCTAAGGTATGCTCTAATTCAGGTTCCAATGTTGATCCGGTGTCCTGCTTGCTCGGAGAAGGTATGGAATGACCTAATGCATTCTCATTCGCATCAAGCAAAATGCCTTCAGAGTAATCGTCACGAGCGCATCGGTAAGGGTGAAGTGAAAGGATGTTTGGTCGGATCACTTTCTCGATGTCAAAGTGAGCCGGTTTCGTTGGGTATAGCGATGGCGGTAATCCGAGGATAGGCATGTTTCTGGGCTTCAACAGTCAGTAATGCGCCAATCACCAGGGTTCTTACAGCATGAAATGTGACTCGGAGGGAAAGATGAGTCGAAGTAGGAGAAAGAGATTAGATAACGGCCTCATTCAGAAAACCAATTGCTGTATCTAATCTAATCTAGGCGAGATATAGAGCTTCTGTTGTGGATTCCAAATTGGCCCTCCTTTACTTACCACCCGCCGACCTCGCGCACGCTCTACTTCACCGTATCCAGCATGCCCGGACCAGGAAAGAAAAAGCAGAAATCGTTACCCAAGAAACCGACAAGCAGCAATTCGGTTCGCGGTGACCAACTGGACTCGTTCTTCAATGACATCGACTCTACTGGAGGATGGAAGGATGTGGTCATGTTTCTTTGCGACTATTTTCAACTCCCAGGTGAGTGTCTTGTAGTCAGTCTATTTCTGAATGCTTAGCTCTGCCTCGTGCATTAATAGACATGAACAGACGTAGTGGACTTAAGAAAGTGCACGTCAATTTCCCTCAGATCTATAGGAAACTTGACGACGCGTTCGCTCAAGCCAAAACACTCGGTAACGATAAAGTTATGGGTGGAATTGTCTGTATCTGGGCCAAAATGTCTGTTGACGCGCGTCTAAGGAACAAACTGTTCAAGGAGGGTCCGTACGCAAGCTAACAGATATTTTAACAAGTCGCTGACCAAAATAACAGGGCTTCTCTCGAAACTGATCCCACTGCTAGACATGCGATCGACACGTATAGTTGGCCTGCAGGCTCTCGTGACAATGACACATCATGGTGGGATCGAAGTACGCGAAGACATCGCGAAGGAGACACCCACTCTCCTTAGGCTTATGCAAGAATTCCCAGACGACGCGAAGGTCAACGAACTTGTCGTCAGCACGATCTCACACGCGACAGGTAGTCTCATTAACACCGACATCAGCATACCAGCACGTGTAAAGAAGGCGATCGACATGCCGACGCTTCTTAAGCTTATTGTGGACGCGATGCGAAAGCCCACTGCAGAGTACTATCTTATCAACCATGGCATGAATTTCTTCATGTCTGCGTCTATGCACTATGCCCGAGAGATGAAGGCGATTCCACCTCTCATGAACCTCCTCGTTGCTGCTCTGCGAAGCAACGACCTGTCTATCCGCTCCGACGCTGTTATCACTCTCCTTCGTATAAACATTCCCGACTCAGAGGAAGATACTCGGTTCAGCGATCCCCACAAGTTCATGGCATCTATCTCCCGTCCGTCCCCTTCACACCTTAATGCCGCGTGTATGCAATATGGAGCGACAAAGGTGGAGACGTACCTCAGAACGCAAACGATGAGAGACTACCAGAAGGCTATGATGGAATGTGCTCAGAACCATGATCTCGTCAAGCTTGGACGGACACTCGCAGACTTGATCACCCGGACAGAGTACTCTGTTGCTGAAGGAGGGTACCAGGCAGTAAACGAACGAACAGGAAGAATGGAACTCATGGACGTCGGATTGCCTTTTAAGATGTGGTCGGACGCTTTACCCCATTGCGCCAAAGCCCTTCGTGCCAAAGGCGAACTCGACAAAGCGGACATTCTCGACATCAAATACTGGATTCTCAAGCAGAATATTCCTAAGGCCACTGCGCATGCTGAGAAGAGCCTCGAACGCAATCCCAATGTCGCATACTTCTATTATGCTATTGGATTGAGCGCGGATAGTACCCAAGCTTTACGGGCTGTCAAAAAAGGCCTGAAGGCGAAGCAGACCACCCCCTTCGTAAGGTATTACCTTCTCTGGCGCGCTGTCGAGCATGCTGGCAACATGGCTATCACAATGTTAGCGAACTCCCCTGTAGGTGAACCGCAGTGGCAGGAAGGTGTCGCCTTCTTGGTCTCTGCATATGAAGATGCGAAGATGTTCTTCGCTGAAGCTCCGCCCGACGCTAAACACATGCTCTGCATACTGAACTGGTACATCATACTTGACATCGCCATCCATGGTCCTGAGTTATCGCCCAACCTACAGGAGCTTGAAGTATGTTGTTTCTTTTGATTCTAATAAGTAGCATGAATTTGGTTTACATCTTTGATTTTCTCTCAACAGGTAGCCAAGCAAAAGATTGAGTGGGCCAGTCAATTCGCAGAATTCATCGGATCACCTCCCAGGAAGACTCAGCTTCGCCTCACCCGCGAATTGATCCTTCGTCTATACCCGACCGCAACAAGAGACTGGGCTGACTTCATTACCCGCCTGGACGGAATGAGTTCTTTTACTGAACGAGAACAAGAGAAATCTACTGAAATTGCGGAAGATACCCTTTCTGCTTGGTTGAATGACCTTGAGCATGAGGAGGGCGAGGAGGGCGGATGTGGGGCACATCACCATGGGCCGTACAAAGCTCCATCTGTTAGTAGAAGTCACGTCGAGCTGTACAGGTGCACCCATTGCGGGAACCCCAGCGCTATTCTACGCAAATGTGGAGGTTGCGGGAAGACCAGGTATATCTCACCCATCCAGTTTATACGTCCTGTTTCCTAATCTCCTTAACGACAGGTATTGCGATTCCAGCTGTCAGAAAATGCACTGGCCAGAGCACAAGAAGTCTTGTAAGACTAGTCCCACATCTTCGACCTAAGTCATCTTTGGCTCCTGTCAGGCCCTCGCATCCTTCCTACTGATTCAGACTTCTTCTACGCTTGCTGTATTCCTCTCCCCTTGCTGCATCTTCATTGTACAATATTGCATCCGCGATCGATTCGCTCTGCACACGGCCGACCTCTTTAAGTAATAGAATCCTGGTGGGATCTTGTTGGTCTCGTACCTAGCCGCTGCGGTGGTTGGGGTGCGACCAGGAGTGGCTAGGTATGAGAACAGGCTACGGAAATCTTTGCAGGCCAAGGCTAGCGCGATCAAACTAATACAGGGTTTTAGCGTTTCTGATTGCTCTCGCGGCAAGGTGATGAAATAGCTATTTGTGATGTCAAGGTTGAGGATCCACGACCAGACATTGGAGATGCGACAGATGGTTGATTTCACAGATGTGTGTATTGGCATTTCGCCTAGTTTACAACACCGCGACGGGCCAATTTAGCAGCGACCTGTTTCCCCCGTTCGGAAATCCCAGCATATATATGTTCTTGCGACTGCTCCGTCACGATTCCGCTGGTTCATCTGCTATGCACAAGTTAAAATATTGCTGTCATCTGACAGTCTATTTGAATCTTCCTCACATGAGGTTATTCCATTGATAGTAAGTTATATGTTGTCCTTGCAACCGTGAATTTACTGTCAATGGCTTACAGCGTGAGCTCGAAATGATAATATGGCATTCAATGCCAACACGCAGGGATCAGAAAAGAAGAAACCCCAAGAACGACGAAAGGAGAAGCTACAAGCTTCATTCATGACAGCGACGATAGTAAGAGATGGAAAGAGATTGCCGCTTTTCTTTGTACTTCCACCTACCGGATGAATAATCAGCAAATTCTTGTTGTCGACTGCTCATACACAAGTGTATATATTTTATCCATTTCTACGTGTTTTTCCACTCCACCTTCCAGATCCTGACATGTCCATCGTCTCCAGCGGTAGCGAAGACATGTTCAAGACCAGGTCGCGGACACCAGACAATGCTATTCACATCGAATACACCATGAGCTGCGTCCAGCTGTGCGATCTTTCGACTGCTAAGTTTCGATCTGTCCGAACCTGCGATTGGTCTCTCCTTAAGAGTCGGCGTCGATAATGTCAGCATTATGACGAAAAGCCAGAGATTGAAATGAACTCACAGTAATCTCCCAGATGACCACAGTACCGTCTCCACCAGTGCTCGCAAGCCATCCGAGACTCGACTCCCCATCCTCTGCTATTCTCTTCTCGTCCTTCTTCCCAGGACTCCAACTGATTGAGTATATACTGCCCTGATGTCCTTCTAAAGCCATGATACACTCTCCCTTCATCTCACTCATCTGGCCACCAGTGATACGCCAGAGCCGTATTGTACCATCATCCGAACCGGAGGCGAGGTACTTTCCGTTTGTAGGTTCCCATGCAAGAGTCCATACGGTGGAGTCGTGTCCGGAAAGTGTGGTTGCGCAAAACCAATCGTCTGAGGGATCATCTGAGTACAGTTTGATAGTATCGTCGTATGAGGCTGAAGCGAGGATCTGCGCTAATAGTGCATTAGTTGTATGTAATGCATGACAAAGGGAAGGGAGTTGTTACTGACCTCCTCTTTTGGATGCCAAGCGACGCATTTAACGTCCTGGGTGTGTTCCATGAGTACGCCCATGCACTCAAAGTCGGAATCAGGGTGAACTGTAAAGATAACAGAACAAACACTCAGGGATACCTCCTTCACTGATACAGGCAGCCACATACCTTCCCATATCCATACAGTCTTATCCCTACTACAACTCGCCAACAAGCTCCCAGAACGTGAATAAGCAACACTCTTACACTCCGTCTCGTGTCCCTCCAACAAACTCATACACTCCCACTCTCCGCTTCCCCCGCCTGCTCCCTCATCCTCTTCATCCTCTTCTTGGGCCCAGATCCCGATGTTTGCATCAAAAGAAGCCGTGGCTAGGGTTTTCCCTGAAGGCGACCACGCTATTGCGCGGACAGTTTTGGTATGTCCAGTGGGGATTGTGGTAGTATGCGAAAATTTGAGTAGTGGAGAAGATGAATCGGCGTCCGAGGAAGATGTATTTAATTGATAGTGATACATCCGCACTGTCTTATCTGCAGAACAAGACGCGAGGATGGGTCTGTGTGGATTCCAAGCGACATGCCAGGCTCGATCATCATGTCCTGCAATAACCAATGATTTAGAAAAGGTCTGTTGGGTATAACTACTACTCACCTTCGAGTTCCGCTACTAGCTCTATTTTAGCTGGTAAATCATTGTTTGCCATGTCGCGGTGAATGTCCAAGTCGAGGCGGGAGTCATCTTCAGTCCCTAGCCTCGATCTTGCACAATCTTGGAGTGATCGGGCGTATAAATTCGACCGATTTGGTAGCCTTAGTATTCAACTGAGAAAATACTAATGATTACTGTACCTTAAAGACAAATTTGAGCAGACGCAGATAGAAGCAAGGAACTATTGGATTGTGAAGACACCAAGTATGACATACATGCATCAAGCACGAGGCCCGGGAATAACGATACAGGAGGTATGAATGCGTAGGTGTTAGGATTGTGGTAAGTACAGGTGATGTGAACGTGGTCAGTACAACAAAGAACGTGTCGTGCACTATAGCTCTACATGCATGTAGAGAGGTATTATGATAGGCCAAGAAGTCAGAATATGCTTGTTAACCTCGTGAGGATCACGATTCGTAATGAAAGTGACATTATGGCTTGAGAGCAGGGAGTGTGTGCTGAGGGTTACTTGCCCATGGCGGCATTGATGGAATCCAGGAGAAGATCATTGTGGTCTCCTGCGGCTTCCCACATTGCAAACCCAGCCATTCCAGAGTCGACGATGAACTTGCCCTTGGCGGCTACATAAGAATCGTCAGGAGCTGTTTGTCCATGAAAAGAAAGGAAGACGAACCAAAGGATTGAACATCGTCGTAGGAGATCATGGCTTGGGTCTTCGTGTCGTATACATATGGCTATAAAAACTCTTTAGTATCAGTCACTGCAGCCGTAGAGCAATAGTGCCCTCATCGAACGTACCGTCTGGCTACATTGATCAAACCTAAATCCAGTTCCGGGCGTAGCGGTCCCATTGTGATCCAGGAGACCCTCGTCAATCAATCCTCGGAAGTTCCAGTTCCCACTGATTGATAGGGGTACCCCACACGGGTCTTTCTCATCAGCAGCTACCACATCCCACGAGTCACCCTTTGGTTGTTGGGTGGCGTCGAATGGGGGGTACGGTGCGAGTGGGAGTGTCCCTGGAGGTACAGAGGTACCAGCGGATGAAGATGAAGAGTTGGATGAAGCGAGTGCAGAGCTATTGCTGACGAAGAAGCTGTGGCCGTATGATCCGACGCCAAGTAAGAGCTTGTTTGCAGGGAAACCGGCATCGGTCCATGCCTTGAGAGCAGAGACGGCTGAACCTTGTTGTTCATCCCCGGATGCGCATGTGTCGTTTAGAGGTGCGTTAGGTCCGACCGACTTCGACCATGACTACAAGAACAATGAGATCAGACCATAATAACGAGAGGAATAATACAAGATACATACGCCCCAGACGTCGTAGTTCATGATAGCAAGATAGTCCAACACACTCGCAAACCCGGATACGTCCGTCATCGGATTACCGTCGGCACCAAGGAATAGTTTTATAGTAGCAGCTGCGGATATAGTGAGGTTCTGCATCACAGAATTTTTTCGTAGTTCTTGCAAAAATGCAAGAAGGTTCTCGGAGTCTTGAGGTGACACAATGTTGCAGCCTAGGCCCTGCCTATTAGGGTACTCCCAACTACAAGTGAGAATGAATGAACGGTTAGAGATATGACTCCATTACGAATGTGGTACTACGTACTCGAAGTCAAGACCATCAAGGTCATACTTTTTGACGAGGCTGATCATGTTTTCGACGAACGCGGTACGATTCTCAGGTGAACCGACAGCAGTAGAGAAGTATCGCGAGCCCGTCCAGCCGCCGATCGTCAAAAGCGCCTTTACATTCTGCAAATCACAGCAAGTAGCTGTCAGCCCAATACCAATGAACGATAATGAAAAGAGAAGTGTACATGTTTGTGTGCTTCCGTGACAAACACTGGTAGCAATGGTCCGCTCGAAAGTGCCAGGGAAACATTGTTCACGTCGTCAGTGGTGACACTAACCTATGGTCAGCAACGATCGCACAAGCAAAACAACAAGCAGACGTACGCAAAGGCGTAAGTTACAGCTGTATACTTGTCCCAACTGACATTCGCCGGCGATAGATGATTAGTGTGCCATCCGGTATACCAACTCATTGCAATCTTATTGTCATTGTTCCCGAGAGAGCCAGAAGCACTCTGAGATGAGGCCGTAGTACTTGCATCAGCCGCAGATGCAGAACTAGAAGATTGGACCGAGCAGGTGGGCACAGCCCATACTGAACTTGTGAGAGGCAGGAGTGCGAGGAGCGAGAGGGACAACATGTGCAACATGTTGTACGATGAGGGCGACTGCCTGTAAGTAGGAGGAGAATGATAGGAAAGGCGGAAGAAAATAAGTAAGAACGTCAGAAGGAGAGAAAGAGGTTTTATGGACAGTGGTGACGCAGAGGCGCACTTTATGGGCGACAGGCTGGCCCATCCAGAGGAGGCTGACTGCAGTTCTATTGTCCTCATGAACAACTGCCAGCCGCTAAAACTGGTCACCCGGTGACCTGTTCGCGGTCTGAGAACAAACAAGGTTTGACAGGCTGGCTCCCTCGGGGAAGAACCTGGATGCCTTCCGTGCCATTACCTCCATCGTTTGTTTGCCTCATGGTTACAGCACAATAGTGATCTATTCTGAGAAATCACAGACACAGCGACAACAAGAGGCATTCTTATACTGAGCACAGCCCGATGTAGTGAAAGAGAGACCACAAGATTTAGCTTTAATGGACAAGCTTGTCGAGATGGAAAGAGGTCCGAGTCTCCACTACGATATTGATGGAATCAGCTGAGTCGCTGTGGTCGTATCCTGAGAGGTATTCGAAGGAGTAATCAGGCAGAGCATACCAGGCAACTGTATGAAGCAAAAAAAGTGCTTTCAAGTACGGCGACGAAGCTTCTCATCTTCAATCCAGGCCTAGCCGGTGCCAAGTGGACGAAATGTCGATCGAGTTTTACGAAATGATCAGAGTTCAAGCTTGAGGAGACTCGGACCGGACACATGTACATCGTCTGTCTCAAAATGGCAAGGGCCTTTACATTGCTTGGAGTCTGGACGACGTTCATTTCAGCGTTTACCCCGAAATCAGCTAACTCCACAGAATTTAAAGGCAAAGGATACACATTGAATAGTGCTACACAACAATTCGCTAATCTACATCGTTCACAAAAGTACGTATATATCGATACAGCAGTTGGGACCCTTATGAACCACAAACGAAAGAATCTCAGTTCACAGTAGCAGTGATCATGCTCGCAATGGCTGCCGAATCAGTAGGGAGGATGATGTTATTGGGTGCAGGGGTCACAGAAGGTGTAGGCGCGAAACTCGCCACCACGCTCGTTGGCGAGGCAACGACGATGGAGGTGAAACCTGGCTTGTTCAACATGATAGTGGACAGAGGGCTGGCGATGCTGGACGCACTTCCAGAAGCGTCGGATACGACAGAAGTTGGACTGGCCTGGAGAACGGGGTTGGAAGATGCACTTCCGAAGTCAGTGGAAGCAATGCTCTCTGCGACAGAAGAGCCTGAGGAAGTCGCAACTGGGAATCCAGTCGTCGCAGTTGGGAAGCCGGTTGCTGTGGGGGAGCTGAAGCTATTTGAGACGGTAGCAGAGCCAAACGCAGACGAACTATCGGCGCTGCTTGCAGCAGCAGAAGCGGAGGGGGACGCTGTAGAAGATATGATTACACTGGAGGCGGACTGGAATGCGGCTGAAGTAACACTGAGTGTTCCAGTGGGTGCAGCGGTGACAGTGGCAAATACGGTAGTAGTGACTACCACAGTCACGACTGAAACACCATGACCAGTGTCGCAGTCCTCTTCACAGCCATTGCAGTCGGGCGTAGCAGAAGAAGACGGCGTGGGAGCCGAGGTGACTGAAACAGGAGTGGATGCGGAGGATGAAGAAATGCTTGAAGCTGCAGACGAACTGAAGTCAACCGAAGAGCTCAGCTGTTGCCGCTTCCTCAACTCGCTCGCACGGCTATTCACAGTAGGCGTAGTAACGGCAGGTGAAGGTGCCGTGGAGGCTCCAAAAGCGCTGCTGCGATTGATCGCATTGGCACCAGACGATGGGAGAGTGACTGCTCGTACATGTGCCGATGCGCTCACTTTGGCAGATTGCGAGGCCTTCGACGTGTTGCTTGGATTAGAACCGGTGAGGCTAGCATCTGCACCAGCAGCTTGCATACGAGCGATGGCATCCGATTCGGTATCGCAAGTCAGACTTGTACCAGGCTTGGCTACGAGTGGGAGTGCAAAACATGTGAGGTCTGAGCCACACGACTTCAACGTCCATGCAGACCCAACACACTGTGCAAAAGATCCTTCAACGCATGCTGATTGCCCATCTAATAAAAAGTCCCACATGTCAGGCCGAAGTCCATAGATGCGCAGATGAAGAGCTAGACACTTACCGGTACATGAATCGGAAGCTTTCAATCCGGCGAATTGAGCATTGAGCTTCTGTGCGTCGAGTGCGTTCTGCTTCTGGAAAGACGCAGGGGCACCCAACGTGGGATGCATTAAGGCCAAAACGGCAAATAGGAAGATGAATCTAAGTGTGAATGAGGGCATGAGGATGGAATGCAACGATAGTGAGGATGCAACGCGATAGTGATGTAGGCGTAGATGAGATGCGAGCTTGAAAGAGCGAGAGTATACGAGACTATGCAAGAATGTAGGCAAGTAGGCACATGCAAAAGAGACCGGACAAGAGGGTGTAAAGACTGTGAGCTCCTGGCTCGGTGATACGCTAGAAAGGCGATGGGAAGGCGTCGGTTGTCCTGGTCCAAGAGTATATATACAATAGCCACTCGTTGCTAATATTAGCAAGGACAATAAGCACAACGAGTGGAGCGTAGTGCCGCGATACCATCGTGAGGCTCCATGTTTGTCGTCTGGAGGAGTAACACAAAGAACATTCAGTCCTATTGTTGTTCCTTTTTGCACAGTCGCTTAACGAAGCAACATCAAACCGCGCAGCTTCTTGATTGGTACGCTCACGTCTTGCGGTTCTGAGAAGATATCTTTAGCAAGAACAAAGATGGTTCGGACTATTTCGAGCATAAACCTGGAGGATGATGCTAACACAGGATCGAACAAGCGGAAGGACGACGGAAGGAGGAAACCCATGGGCGCTTGTGACTCGACTTTATTATGTCTAGCGCCCATAAATGGGGGTTAACTTGTTTGAATTGGCTACCCCCTTGAATTTTTTTTCTTCCATGTTCAGAGCTCTCTCTCGTCCCATCCGTACCAACACTCACTTTGTTCGAAGAGCAATGGCCACCTCAAGGACTCCTGACTTCGTGAGTCTCTTTAATATCGAAGCCTACCTTGTTGAATGTGACTGACCAGGGCGTTTTGGTTGTAGAACAAGCCGCTTTACACTCCTCTTGCAGAGATCGACCCCGAGGTGCAGAACATTATCGACAAGGAGACATGGCGGCAGTTCTCTGGTCTCGAGCTTATTGCTTCTGAGGTATGGTTTATTTTCTACCTCCTAACGCCACCAATAATGCTTATATCCGATGTAGAACTTGACGAGCAGGGCTACAATGGAAGCAAATGGTTCGATCCTCACTAACAAGTACTCAGAGGGTCTTCCTGCCGCTCGGTACTATGGTGGCAATGAGTACGTCGATGAACTGGAAGTCTTGTGCCAGAAGCGTGCCCTTCAGGCCTTCCACTTGGAGCCTTCACAGTGGGGTGTCAATGTCCAACCTTACTCCGGCAGCGTAAGTGCGGTCTTATCACGTCTAATTACGTCTTGGCTAATGTCGGGCTCCATAGACTGCTAAGTACGCGCAATGCATTCCTGGACGTTGTCATAATGTCTGATTTTTCGATTATAGCTTCGCTGCCCTCACTGCGCTCCTCCATCCTCAGGACCGTCTCATGGGTCTCGGCCTACCTGACGGTGGTCACTTGACTCACGGTTACTACGTACGTCTGTCCAAGACCATGTACACATACGTGACTGACTTGACGTTCCACAGACTGCCAAAAAGAAGATGACTGCGTCTTCAATTTACTTCCAATCCCTCCCTTACGGCCTTGACCCTGCGACCCAGCTCATTGACTACAATGGCATCAAGTCGTCGGCTAAGATTTACAAGCCACGTCTTATCATCTGCGGTGCTTCCGCTTACCCCCGCGACTGGGACTACAAGACTCTCCGCGCAATCGCCGATGAGAATGGTGCCTACTTGATGGCAGACATCGCTCACATCGGTGGTCTCGTTGCTGCTGGTGAACAGGCAAATCCCTTCGAATACTGCGATGTTGTCACCACCACTACGTACGTGTTTCACCACATTTTATTAGTTGCTGCGATGCTGATCACAGTTCCTCGATAGCCACAAGACCCTTCGTGGTCCTCGTGCCGGTTTGATCTTCTTCAAGAAGACTGGTGAGAAAGCCCAAGATCTCCAGAAGCGTGTCAACGATGCTGTTTTCCCTGCCTGCCAGGGTGGTCCCCACAACAACGTATGTCTTCACCTTCGATAACATTTGTCCCCGCACGCTGAGGTTCGTATTTCTTGTAGACCATTGCCGGTATCGCCACTGCTCTTCTCCAGGCAAGCCAACCAACATGGAAAGCATATGCCAAGCAAGTCATTGCCAACGCGAAGACCCTCGGTGAAGAGCTCGTGGCTCGTGGCTACAAGCTCCAGACGCAGGGTACCGACAACCATCTTGTCCTCTGGGATCTCCGGCCCCTCGGTTTGACCGGTAGCAAACTCGAGAAGCTTTGCGACCTTGTTGGTATCACAATCAACAGTACGTTGCTCTACTTCTTCGTCTCGCTGTGTTCGTCGCTCATTGAGTGAACTTTTACAGAGAACGCTGTTTCTGGTGACGCCTCCGCTCAAGTTCCCGGTGGTATCCGTCTCGGTACATCAGCCCTGACTTCTCGTGACATGCTTGAACCCGACATGAAGATTGTCGCTGACTTCCTCCACCGTGCCGTTCAACTTGCCCTTGTTCTCCAAAAGGAAGCGGGCAGCAAGCTTCTCAAGGACTTCGTCCGTGTTGCTACTGTTGAAGAGGAGGGTAAGGAGGGTGCTCAAAAGGTCAAGCAGCTCGGTCGTGAGGTCCGTGAGTTCGCTCGAAGATGGCCACTTCCTGGCGTCGACGTCTCGACGTTGCAGAGGCCTGCTGGCATTGAGGAGGATGAGTAAGCGTTGCGCGTGTCATCCGTTTTACGCCAGGTGTTGTAGGGGTGTGGTCCGCTCATTTTGACTTTTTTTGCTTTGGTTTTGGTGGCCTTGGAGGGATACACCTTTTTTGTTCTGGTGGAGTAGAGTGACTCAACGTCATAAGTTCAACCGTTCAACTGTGCTCTTCGTAGATGTAAAATTAGTCGGACATTCAACATAGTCTGGCCCTACCCTGGATGTTCAATAGCCATCTAGAGCCGTATCATAGTCTGTATTCATAGCTAGCATATATACTCATGGTGTTCAATTAGAAATTGCGAGATATCCATTGGATTTCGAAGCTCTCGCGTTGGCGCTTCCTTCTGGCTATGTGCGGTTCGTTTGAACGAAGAATCTCCTAGAATCTCCTATCGATTCTTCATCGTCGTCAAAGTTGCTCCCATCTTTGAGCGAGCAGGACTTTCACCGCCAAGAAGATTAGGCATAGGTGGGGCAAGTTCTGCAGGAAAACACGCCAGCAGCCTCATTGTTTTCGCAAGCCATTCATTTAGCTCCACGCGTCGCGTAATATGACCAAGGTACAAGAAGAGGCATTTTCATAAGGGTAAACCGCAACTGCGACCCACTTTGGACCTTCCAATGAACAAGATACAAAGGCATTTGCCATTCAAGGAACTATACAGTACAAGACGAGCCGATTCAAAAAACGAAATGTGAGACTACGTGGGTACGATGTCCTTCGGTTACAGTACAAACGTTCTACAAAAACTTACCAGCCGGTTGGCAGGCATATAACATCACGGGCAAGAGGGGATGCCTCCTGCCATTCCCTCAACTCCTCTTCCTTCTCCAGCACGGTCAGGTCCTCCTCGTCGTCCGCGAGCGTTGAGGGTGACAGCGGGGGAGTGGTTGGTGGAGTGAACTCCTCAACGTCGATGAGGTTGTACTCCAACCAGGGCAGCTGGAGTGCGCGTAGGACGAAGTCGTCTTCGTCGGCCTCGTCGTCGTAGAGTGTTGTAGCGGTTGATCCACTTGGCTGCGACACCGCAGGCACTGCAAAGTGAGCCAGCGCATATGCAGGTGTCAGCCTGTGTGTGAAAATTAGCTCTCTTTGTATCGTCTGCGGTCGCGTAACCGCATTTTGGTCAGCGACTGGCTCATCCACAAGTCTATGCACACCAATGCCACTGTACGTGGCATCGGTCGACCGGAGGGGCACCCACTCGCATTGACGGGGAGAGGGGACGTAGACGGTGTCGTTAGGGTCGTGCAAGGCGAGGGATGCCCTCCCGGGGACATACATGCTCCTAGGAATGGGAGCGGGCGCGAAGTGGGCAGGTCCGACGGCTGGTCCCTCGCTATCCCCAAAGGGATTGAAGCAGAAGGAGGGCGAGCGGGAGAGAGGTGGCGGCCACCGGGAGACCTCATTCGCTGCAGAGGTTCGGACGGGCTTCTGGGCGAACGCCCATCGTGAAGTCACCCTTGGAATATACGCCCCACGGTATGGCGTGTGGCGTTCGTCCGAGGCCGAATACTCTTGAGACATGGTGGTCTCGCCGACGGAGCTCGTGTCAATCCGCTCCCAGGTGGGAGGATCGGCATGCTTAGCCTTCATCGAGGTTCGTGTCAGTTGGTGTTCTCTACATGTGTATGGCCATAACTCACCATGTAGGTATCAAGGTGGACGGGAGACGGAGTAGATTGAGCGAAAGCCATGTGGCGTAATGAATCTGGAGAGGTGTGGTAGATGGGACAACAAAGTGGCAGAAGCTTGGTTGAGGAGAAATGGTGAGCGCAAGTTCTCTCGTACGAGGAAAAGCTTAACAAGTGGTGGGTGCAGAAAGAGGTGCAGATGGGGGGCGCAAGTACCCTCCTCCTTTTATCTTGCGATTAACGCCATTCACGTCGCGACTCATGTGACCGCGAGTAATTTCATTGTCCTCCATTGTTTTACAAGGTTTCGCTTAGCGTGCGATAATAGGTTTATGGGATGGAATCGACTTCCCCGAAGAACATCTCCGTTCAAGACCAGCGGAAGTACATCTAAGATCCTCTGCACTGGCGTTGACCCTCCCGTTTTCTCCGACGCTCGGACCTGTGTTTCGTGAGTATTACCCCCCCTACTTCACATGTAACTGTCTTGATTATTGAGTCACCTCGATCACTCGGCAGGTAAACCCTATTACGCCCTCCCGCCACAGAACGTTCCCTCTTTGTAGATTTCTTGCAATAAGGCTGATATACCATGTGCACCATCTCTTCCGTCTGTCAGTTCTGTCAGGGTTTTTCCTACACTTGGCTCAGGGCGTAATACGATTTTCTTGGCTATTGATCCACGTTTCCCCAATCTCATCTTCCTTGGAAATGATACGGTATGGCGAATATTCTTATGAATCTTTCCATTCAGTCTATCTTCGCCACATTTATTCGCCAACAGCTTATTGCGCCCTCTCGCACTCATGGTCTGAACGTCCATCCGGCCTATCTTCGCCATGTGTATTCGCTAACGTTTCTCCGCGCGCACTCCTCTTGATCGAAATATTCGGTAATAACAGTTCTAGGGTCGAAGTTGGAGGTCCGACGCTGGAATACAAATTGTCGTCCGGCTGTTTTGGTGGTTATTGAACAACAATTTTCTCTACGCCCGCTGGACGCCGTCGCCTACGGAAGACAAACTATCAAGAATTTCTATACTCTGGTATCATTTTTACGCGCAGATCAAACGGAGGTGGATAAACACGGTTTACATGAACGCCGTGGTAACTCTGGTAGAAAAGATCAGAGGAGATATCCTAGAGGAAGACGAGTGTTTTTGGATGGAAAGAAGGATAGAGGCAGAGGGATGCGTCTCTGTCTACTCTGCCTTAGGGTAGTTTCCGTTGCTGCCTATATAGGGATTGGATCATTCTGGATGACAGTCGATCCAAATCGGTACATAGCCTCAGGACTAGTAGAGAAGCCGTTGGCTCGACTCGTATACGATTCGTGGAGTGAGATGATTGATATTCTTCTCATGCTCTATTGAAAGTCACAACGTTACATCCCGCGAAGAACAGTTTTGCACGTTTAAGTTGCTTGTCTGGGCTTGGCCTGAAGCACAGAGACAGCTTGCCACAAGCATGCTATTTGCAGTGTCTCCGGCCAACTTACTTGCCTACTCCAGATGGAAGCTGGAGCTTCGAAGCGCTCAATCACTCTTGCTCTTGACCGCCACGTCAACGATAGCTTCATCCCCAATAGACCTTGTTCAGCATTTCTGTATGCTCAGTCTGATAAACTGCGAGCTTGATGTACTTCTCTAAGAGCCTCAGCGTGCTCCCGTAAATTTTCTAAGCTGGACTCTCGCTCACGTCTTTACCGTCTCTAAGCTATCGATGTCGACTTTCTACGCTCTTCTTGCTTTGAGTTCCTCGCTATGGCTCCTAGCGCTGCTAAAGACAATGTTTGAGAGATGAAAATAAAGAAAATGGTATGCATAGGTCGCAGGGGTATTATGTACAACACGTTGACAGCAGAAAGCACTAACGATACTGCGATATAACTGATGATGATGAGACAAGCAAGTGGAAAGAGACTTCTGGGTCTGTTAAATGTACAATGTGTTCAAGGTGAGCAGCTTCATGGACGTTATATCCTGCCTTTCGATGTTCCTCCATCGTTAACGCTACCATAGACTCCCGGCGCTAAGGCGACTAGACCCACGGCAATGGAATAGTGCGCATGCGCGGTGCCTTAGGTGGTGCCAGCTGCCGGGGTCGACCCGCCATCATGTTCGCGTAGAACGCGTAGTCGAGGACGTCAATAGCGTCCAGCCGGATAGCCAACTCGTCGTCGTCGTCGAACAGACGCTCGTCACTCGGTACCGCATCCCAACCCGAAAATATATATCCAGGGTACGGCTTATATGGCTTATCTGCATCACGGTATGCCATGAAATTGTCCAATGATGAGGTGGAGGACGTCGAGGACTGGCTGGACGAGATGTTGTTGGGAGGGGGGATACGGGTGTACGTTTCCACGGACTCATAGAATGAGGGGGAGCCTTGACTAGCGAACAAGGTCTCTTGGGGGAGAGACGAGCGCGTGGGAATGGAGATCGGCGCGGTTCGCGGGGACTTATCCAGGGAGGACTCAGATGGTCCCTGCTGGGCGGGCGGGGTATTGGGGTTGGGCTGCTGCACGAAGCCGTCGTAAGATCCCCCGAAGAGGACGCTGTCTTGATAGTATGCTGGGATTCCTGCGAAATGCGTGGAAATGGGGGAAGGGGTCTCGGGGGAAGACGCTGCGGAGTTCGACACCCACCCAGGGGTGGATGGATCGCGACTCTCCTTCAGGAAAGTCAGCTCTGATGCAAGCTTGGGGCATGAACGTATGCTTACCTCTGCTTCCTTAGTTACAGCTTGGTATGTGGGGAAACCTTGGCTGATTTCGGTTGCAGGGACGCGCCCTTTCCCGGGACGACGAAAGGGAGAAGGATGAAGGTCGACAGACATGAGAATGAGAAGGACTTTAAGGGTAGATGTGATCAAGTAACTTTGGCAGAGGTGAGTGCCAATTGTATGAAGAGGTTGTAGGACGCTGATGGGAGTGAAGGATGAAGTTCGAGGGAGAGAGAGATGAGGGGGAGACTCGAGCAATACCGGTCCCGCGTGGATAATGAGTTTGCCGATGTTTGGTCCGTCACTGTCACCCGCGTCTCCCCGCGTACAGACCTGTATATGCTGTGCCGTTTGTTCAACTGTGACAACTCGAGCTACATGTCCCACCACCTCGTGTTCCCGCACTGAAATTTGTGTTCTTGGGACATCTACATCGACATAGCGTCACAATGGTTTCGCTCCCAGGATGAACGAGGACATCTCAACCATGAGGTGATGTTCAGACTCAAACCCCTAACTCATTATCTGACATCATGGATGATCTTCTAGCGTAGGTCTGGGCAACGATTCATCGATCCTCCGCATGTTTGTGAACATGTACTCCTGTCCTGAATGCTTTAACTCCGTATGCGGTCTGCCGTTATCACGTCAGACTATAGGGGTGATACTACCGGGTTTGGAGCATGGTTAGAGACGTCCTAGTCCTAATCTTCCAATCAAGATGCGCGATGGTCCATTTTAGGATGAGCTTGTTCAACGCAGCAATCGAAGCTTCAATGCCCGTCCTGGCTGGGTAATCATCGCACTAATACACCCTTCAAGACGCTCAAATGTCATATGTGTTGATACGCAGCAGACTCTTCTATCCCTCGTGACACGGGTTCGTGCATGAGGATGGATATAAAGCTTCACAGCTCTCACCCCATCTTTCCGCAGCTTACCCACAGTATCTTGTCTCTCACTGAGGGGCCCACTTTGTTTTTTGAGCCACCGCACTGAATTCGATATCCTTATACACCACACCAGTATGAGTTGGGGTGAATTAGGGTCTGGAATTCAGGCAGTTCCTGGCAATTCTCTTCATACCGCTTACGAGCGAGCTCTCACTGGAGGCGTCTTCATCGATACTGTCTTCTACGTCTATTCTCGCAAGAAATCTTCAGGTGGAGTTTATGCTCCCCGACCCATCTTCGCATCCAGCGCGATGTTGAAACCTGCGTCGTCGTACTTCAATAGTCGTGAGCACGACATCTCTTATCTGATCTTGCGTTAGATCTTCCTGATGGGTGTTATTCTATACTGTAGTGTTAGGAGGGAGATTCCAGGAGGGTCAGGTTGGGAACATAGATGCCGGTTTCCCTGAAGACAAACCAACGTCTATGGATGAGTACGACTATGATTCGGATAGTGATCTGGAGCTGGACGACGACGATGCTCCTCAGGCGCTCGATGTCGTCCATGATGATATAGATGTGGCGGCGGACGCGAGCGGAAATTGGGAAACTATGTACCATATTGAGTCTGCGCCGGTGCGAATTGTCGTTTCCGAGCAAGACGTCGTTGTTTCCGAAAGCACCACCCACACAACCGTGAGTATTTTTAATCTTGTCCCCCTGTCTCGCCGTCTGTCCGTCTGCCTGTCTATTGATTGTGTATGTCAGGCACCCACAACCTCACCAGCTCCTCAAGCGAGCACAAATGAAACAGTCCAACCCAGTCCAACGATACAACATGATACCATCGTTACAGCTCGTATGGGCCGAATTGTCCTGATTCGTGACTTTGCCTACACAACGTATGATTGTCGATCTCAACCATGTTCTCTGTTTTCATCGCCGTTGATATGCCCTTTTTTCAGGTGGCTGGCTCTCTTGTATTACCTCGGTACCAAGGAATTGGTCTTTGCTCCTTTACGTTCTAAGGGAGAACGTGGGCAACGTGCACCTCGGCGTTGCTCGCCAAAGTCGATGTATAGACTTGCTCATATGGTGAGATCCATTAATCAGTGTTACTGAAGTATCTGATATCTGACGTGGTGATCAATAACTCATTCACATGCGATGATTTGCCAGCTGGACTTGAATGACGTGAAGACTCTAGCCATTCAGAATCTAAGATCTCAACTCCAGACGAAGATCATCTTTCCGGAACTCTTCTCGAGTGTGACGACAACGTGAGCGTCTCACTCAGATGGTCTTCATCTTCGCGGCAGATATTGATTTACGCTTTCATTAGATACCCGGAGATTACGCAAGCACTCGTCGATTACTTCATGCAATATCACAACTCCAATGACGTGATCCAAGCAGCTCCGACTTGGATTGACAAGGTCGCCAGTGGCGAACTGGCGAACTGTAGCAGTACCTTCAAGGCCCTCGTGATCAGGCTTCTCTCGGTACCTCCGTCTGCACAGCGAGGCTACCGATATTGACTTTAGTCATTATGCGTCGTACGTATATCGTGTGGGCCTTGAAGGGATCTTGGAATTGGCGGTAATGACGTACAGTGGATCAACACTCTTCGAAATGATAATGCATGTTGTCTCTCTGATTTGTGTTGAACCCCTTGAGCATAGGTGGCAGCTTCAGAGTTCTGTAGTTACGCTTTGACTATAACGTAGGCTACTCCATTGACTGTATTGTCCGGCAAATGCATCGATGGCATAGTGTATGACGGATCGATCTTGTACACCCTCGGGGGATCATGTCAAGCAGTGGGCTGATCGTTGCGCTGATCGGTGGCGCGCATATAGACGCGTAGACGCGCATGCCTCGTGTTTCGACGTCAATTCGACGTGCTCGATCTTCAGACCTACGACTCGAGACTCGAGACTCTCGCAACGGTTTCACACGATCGTAGTTCGTTAATCCGATGTCCATTACAACAAGAGTCAAGACGCGTAGGAAGTACATTTCGATGGTCAGCGAGGGAAAGAAAAGGGACGAAAAAGTATAGGAATGTGCAAGTGTGCTACTGTAAATAAGTGAACAAAGCGAACGACGAAGGCGAAGGCGACAACCAAAAGGCAAAGACGCATACAACCCCTCTCCAGACTGTGGTGGCATCGAGCAGGTGAGTACTTGTAACCTGACCTCCTCGACCCCGATAAATTAATGAATAAATAGTCGTCAGTGGCTGTCGTGCGATTCGTTAGGGGACTAGGCGTTCAACGCTTCCCTCCAATTCCCCCCCATCCCCCTTCTCAAGCAAACTTCAAAGCTCCCGCCGCCTTGAGTCACCAGGGTGTGGTGCATATACGACGGACTCGACGTCGGGTAGGGGGATAGTCCGCATTCGTGGTGCGTTAGGTGGACGAGGGATGTATCGACGAACCCGCTCTTCCTCGTCCTCCTCGTTCTCATCGTCTTCCCAACCACCCTGTGCTGCAGCAGCGTATGCTGAAGTGTTGCTTGGAAGTTGAGGTGTGGGAAGAGTGGGATGATGCATGGCGCTAGTAGGAAGGTGTGGTACTCTCGGAGCGTAGGAGTTGCCGTTCGACGGCGGCTTTGGGAAGGGCATGGAAGACTGGGTGTAGGATGTGCTTTGGGAGGGTGCGTAGGAGTAGGAGGAGGAGGAAGAGGAGTATGGAGGAGAGGCTTGTTGGGGGAAGGAAGGATAGGTGTTGTGGTGATACTGATGGGTGGTGTAGGTGTGATGGGGGATCGTGCGGGGATGATGGGCAGGTCGGACATCCTGAACAGAGGTGAGTAGGTGCTCTCTCGAGCCTATACGATGTCCCTCACCCTCGCGTTGGACTCTTGTCCGAGGTACAGCCCTAAGGCGTTTGTGTTGGCGTTGTAGCCAGCATGCGTGTAGTGTGTAGCAGAGGCGGGACGCGGGGTGTATGCGGACATGATGAATTGGGGGGAGAGAGTATGAAGATCAGAGAAGAGAGTACGAAGATCAGAGGGGTGATGAGATGAGTGGAAGAGGGAGGTGATGAAGCTGCGGGGAAGGGGCGAGACTATATATGCCCCCGCGAGAGCAGAGGTGAAGCATGCCACCCGTCAGATCTGTGCATTCGGCACGCGACGAGGGGGAAATGCGTGTTTCTGTTTCCCATCGAACGGATGTTTCCAGGACCGAATCCGCAGATCCCATCGTCTGCCGCAAAATAGGCTTACAATTAGCTCCCCATTCAATTTCGGAATTCCCATGCCTCGATCGTAATTAACGCATTCTCTCGGATCAGCCTTCCATCTGGGAACGCCGACGCCATGTGCGGATCGACAGCTGGCCAGTCCTCTGGTCGCACCTTCCTGGTTCTGTCCTCGACCCTCGGTGACTTCACCAGCTTTCACACTCCGATGCACGGATACTTCTCGGTCTGCTGCCTTCTGCTGCCTTCTGCCGCCAAGCTTCGTGTCTCGCTCGTCTTCTTCTCTTCACATTGCTTCACATCTCCGTTGCTCCCTGCCGCCGATACAGATCTTACCAGATTTCCATGTCTCTCTCTTGGCTGCATGCCGCATGTCCTCATCATACGGCATGCTAATTCCTTGCTAAAGCCTCCATGGCGCCAGACCCCCCCGGTCCCTGTCGGCAGCGATTCGCACTTGGAGGGAAGCGTTGCTAAGCACTGTTTAAGCTAATTGGCTTCAAGCACCTAAACGTCATGCGTCTCTCTCATGCCCCATTGGTACCGCATGTTCTAGATGGCCTGGTATTGTCACTTCGTCGCCTTGCTTATCACCACGCCTTCAATATATCAGCTCTCTCCAGGCACAACTCGCTTCGACCTTGTACTAGAGTTTATCTTCGTCCATCCATCGCAAGGTGCTCGCAAGTTCCCGCATCCTACCTTTGAGCGTTTTCCTTATCCTAGACGCGAGATCTTTAGCCTCGTTCTCAGCCGGTATACACTCGGGACATGCTCGGTTTCTTCTGTCTATCCAGGTCTATCCCTGTCCAAGCCCGTCTCCCTCATAACGGATGTATTCGAGACCACGAGATCTCATCCAACTTTGAGACCTTATCGATTTCGACCATCCATCCAAACTTCTCGTACCGTAGCTCCGATCATATACATCAGGCCAATCAGGCCTCCATGTAGATGCCGTCCAGCCTCGTTTTTTCTCTCTCACCGGCAAATCGTCGAAGCACGATACTTACAAGCCAAGCCCAACCTGACGTCCTCGATCTCGTCGTTCAGCCCTTGGTTAGAGATCCACTTGGCGATCATGCGCATGTCTTAGTTTCGCCTCGATATCGATGCAAGATTTCCTGCAATTCCAATGCTTCACGCTTCATGAGGTACCGTAGCTGCCCGTAGCTCCGACCCTCCTTGTAGATGAGAGATCTCATCGAGCCTCATACTTCTCTTTAACCTAGTTATCGGTGACGATACATGTGCCAAGCTGCACCTAACCACCGTGCTTTCCGTCTGCGACTTCGAGATCTAGATATCTACCAGCCGAGCCCATCTTACCGTCCTCGATCTCAAGATTCTCAAAACTTAGTTCAAGATCCAGTGGATGATTTATGCATTTATGCACAAGTCGTAGCTTCGTTCCGGCATTCCGTCGTCCTGCGCGCGAACGGGAGACTCTTCAGTCCCGTCTCGAGACTCGACACCTCTCGGCATCTGCTAACACTAATACGGCCTTCATTTCAAATGTGCAGCATATGATCATGACACCCTCCAGACGCCTAGCACAGCGTAGTGCTCAAATTTCAGTCCCAGCCCAAGAATCCCGTCCTCGTGTTTTGCAGTACATTCTAAATGCACTTCCTCGGGCCTGGATGCCACCCCCATCTTGTTGGATACGACGTGCCATTTTTGGGTTCCTCTCTGTCTGTAATGCGGATAATATTGCTGCGGAACAAGTACGAGCCTCGTGTTTCCTCGTGGAATGTGTAGGATGCAGCGTCTTTCGAGATGGATGACTAAAGCGGAGACGAGTTTCTGGGTCGCCGGAGGCTTTTCGTGAAGTCATGTCGCCATATCGAATTCGTGATGCAAGCAAAATGTCTGCTTTCCTACGCGTGACATACAAGGCCAGTCCTGATCAGTCTCGGGAGGGTGGTTACTAATACCGCTGGAAATGTTCACCGACTGTGCCTGATTGAAACCCATCCGGACACGGCTCTCAATATGTGTGGATCCCATCCTATCAGTATCAACGGGTATGAAGACGGTTCTTCGTATACCAAATCGTTCATTCATTCCCTCCTTTCCTCTTCGCCCTCCTTTTTCACCCCTCTCCCCCAAACGTCATTCACAAACTCGCTTACCCAGTACCCATCACAGCACGGCATGGTAATTCCTTCATAAAGGCGCCAGGACCCCCGGTCATCAGCGATTCACACTCGGAGAGAAGCGTTGCTAAGCACTGTTTAAGCTAATTGGCTTTAAGCACCCAAACGTCATGCGAGTCGTGCCCCATTCAAAGGTACCGCACGTTCTAGATGGCCTGGTATCGTCCCTTCGTCGCCTTGCCTGTCCAGGCACAACTCAGTTCGGCTTCATAGTCGATTTCATCTTCGACCATCCATCGCAAGGCGTTCGCAAGTTCCCGCACCCTACCTCCGACCGTTCTCCTTGTCCTAGGCGCGAGATCTCTGGTCTGGTTCTCAGCCGGTACACACTCGGGACAGGCTCGGTTTCTTCCGTCTCTCCCTGCCCAAGCTTGTCAGAGCTTGTCTCCCCCATAACGGCTTAATAACAGACCACGAGATTTTGTCGGATTTCATGGACTGACTTCGACCTTCAAGTTTTAAATCTTTAGACCTTATCGATTTCGATCACCCATCCTAACTTCTCGTCCCGTAGATCCGACCAGTTCTAGCCAGTTCTGCATCAAGGCTCCTTGAAAATTTGGGACCCCATCCAGCCTCGTTTTTCTCTCTAACCGGCAAATCGCCGAAGCATGATACTGTACTTACAAGCCAAGCCTAACCTGACGTCCTCGATCTCACCGTTCAAGAATTAATTAGAGACCCACTGGGCGGTTATACGCGTGCCGTAGCTTTGTCTCGAAATCGATGCGAGATCTCCTTCAATTTCATGGCTTCACGCTTGATGAGGTACCATAGCCGGGCGGCAGCTCCGACTATCGAAAGCCTCCTTGTAGATGCGAGATCTCGTCGAACCTCAGTTTTCTCTCTCACAGACTTACCGTATCGGTGACGCATGATACATGAGCCAAGCCGTACCTAACCACCGTGCTTTCCGTCTGCGACTTCGAGATCTACAGTACCAGCCAAGCCCAGCTTAACGTCCTCGATCTCAAGATTCTGAACGCCCGGTATAAGACCCAGTGGACGATTATGCACATGCCGAAGCTTCGTCCCGGTAGTCCGTCGTCCTGCGCATGAACGTTTGAACGGCAACTCGTCAGTCCCGTCTCGAGACTCGACATCTCAACATCTGCTGATACTGATACTGATACGGCCGAACATTTCAAATGTGCAGCATATGGCTTCCCCTCGAGACGCTAGCACAGCGTAGTACCCAAATTTCAAGCTCAGTCCAAGAAGCTCGCCCTCGTGTTTTGCAGTGCATTCTATAGTGCACCCTCAATCTCTGTGGTCCGGATACAACATGCCATTTTTGGGTCCCTCTCTCAGTCTGTCCAGAATGCAAATATAATATTACTGCGGAACAAGTACAAGCCTCGTGTTTCCTCGTGGAATGGCGTCTTTCGAGTGGATGACTAGATTGGAGACCGACGTTCTGGATCTCCGGACGCTTTTATTCGTGATGAAGCTAAAAGGTCTGCTTTTCTACGCGTGACATACAAATTGCTTAAGGCCAGTCAGTCGGGGGTGGGCGGTTAACTTACTAATACCGCTAGAAATGTTCGCCTTATTATTGGTTGAAATGCCGTCCGAGACACGGTTTTCACTATCAGATACTGTAATGTGTGCGGATCCCATCAGAGGTGAAAGGCAAGCAAAATGGCTAATGAGAATAAACAGAATACCTTCCAGCGCAACCTGTCGCAATGGTACTGCAATGACCCTCTTGTTAGGGTACGAAGACGGTCCTTGGTATGATCCTTCATTCAGTTCATCCATCCCCTCCTCTCCTCTCCTCAACCCCCACCCCCAACGCCCTTTTGTTTTGTTCCCCCCTCCCCAAACGTCATTCACAAGCCCCCCTACCCAGTACCCATCACAAAGCATACCTCCAAGACGACTCTCCAAACGAAATCGGCGAGAGGTCTTGTGGTGATGTACCCAAAGCTGACGGAAGAGCGACCGTACCAAGACGTGGTGCTACAGGTTCAATGTCTGTTCGAGCTAACGTATCAGCCTGCTGGGTAGGTTGGTCAAACTTTTTGTCGCCTATTTTCTCGAGACGTGGAGGTTGTGTAATGTATGTGGTATCGACTTGGATGCGAGGTAGTTGGCTTGGTCTTGGTATCGCGTTAGCACTAGCTTGAGGATATAAATTGAGTCCGAGTCCGAGGGGGGGATCTTGACTTGAATGGATTGATGTTGAGTCGTTCGGTTGCACACCTACGAAAAGCGAAATATATGAACAGAAGCTTCCTCATTAATCCCTGTCATCTCACATACCCATTTTGTTGTTCGTCTTGGACGAAGATGAAGGTTGCTTGAAATAAGCAAAGAAAGTGGCGTCGGGGTTGACCAAGATAGTGCTCCTCCTCTGCACTGGCATCACGTTCTTCGAATCGCGATTCTGGGATCGTTGTTTGACTGTAGGAAGTTCTGGCTGGACAATATCACGACCAGCGTGATTGTCTCTCACTGAAGTATCGGTATGCTTAAATTTAACGAAATGATCGTAAGTTATTCGTTCTAACTGAAATAAGCAAGTCAAAGTCCAAGTCAACTCACGTTCCTATTACCCTGCCCACTAGTACTGTGAACAAGAGCAATCCTAGAGCGTTCTGCGACACATTCAGTGCAATCACAGAGGTGACTGTATGCATGTGGATAACTATAGTTGGCAGGCATCAATGGCACAAATTGTAATTATCCAATAGTTGAAGAGTTTGACGAATTCGACGAGCATGATTCCAGGGAATGGAAGCTGGGGCATTGGAGTACGTAGAACCACATGAAATCCACAGCAGATATCCCAGCTTTTATACGCCTCATATACTTCTTTGTTCTCCGACCCAGGTCGCGTCGCGCGACATGCCTTGCAATGACAAGACCTAAATGATCTTGTCAAAGCCTCGTGTTACCCTCGTTCATTGAAGGAGTTTCGTCACAAAGTCGGGGGTTGCGAAAGGGTCAGAGTCCCACGATCATTCCGGATTTAGCCAGGACAATGGATTAAATGAGTTATCGATACCGAGGCCGTCGATTGTCATTACCGTGCAGCTTCGGGGCGTGCTTGGTTTTTTCTGAATCTTCTGATGGGAGTTGGAGAGTCTGAGACCCCTCGGGGAGCGAGATTGCCCAGCGGAGCCACTGAGTAAAGCAGAGATGTTAATGGGCGAACTGCTCAGAGCTATAGTGCTTTTCCCATGGTGACATCAGTAAAGAGGCTGGGATGAACTGAGCTTACTCGTTTTATGCCATGTACCTTCTCCAGTGTCCAATGTTCCTTTTCGTCGTAGTTGAATGCGGCGGCGGGCAGGCAAGAATCGGCACGTGGTGGTCATTGCCGACATGCTAAAGCAAGGCTGGAAAAGTCGAATGGGCTGGATATCCAATTTGTGTGACCAAGAAGCAACTTGTGGGTAAATGCGAACTGAATATTGCCGTTGATTCGTTGCTGGATTAAGAATGATGACTGTCTTCAAAACTATAGGAAAATGTTACTGTCAATGCACAACAATATGTCCGATGCAGATGCAACGTAGGTCTACCCGCCACGGCATTGAACCCATCTCAATATGAAGACTTGCCGTGCGGTTGGGCGAAACAGACAGTATCATTATAGCATGCATATAATACAGTACTAAATGAAACAATCGTGAATGAAGGGGGGAAGAAGAAACTCAAGTGAAGAGTGACTCACGAGAAAAGTAACCATGACCCTAACGTGTCATCCATTAACCCAACCCCCTGGTGTCCCCCTCGTCAAACCAATCCTAGCAGCCAACTGTCTCGCCTGCATTGCTTGCAGTCTTCTTGACCTTGCAAAAACGACAAAGACCGCAATAGCGGCAATGACGAGATTGCAAGCGAAGAATTCGTAGAAATCGGCACGTTCCTTTTCTACTATTCGTCCACAAGATTCCCAACCTGGTGTTTCACCTTGATGGGAGGAACCTGGTTCATGGCTGATATTTGAAGGATGTGAATGTGAGTCTGGGGGTGGTGAAGATGCTGGATAGCAATGCATTAATCTTCGATTGCCGAATGGTTGGCAGAAAGGTTCGTGAAGCTTGTGACGCGTTGCATACATTCAGTTGTCGAGATGATCGTTATAATTGGGCAGGGGGACATACCGCATCTTCCGGACAGGGTTCACATGTGCCGAAAGGGACACAGACCAGCTGTGTGGTATCGTTATGAACACCTCCAGTTTGTGGATGCTGTTCTTGCTGTCCTGACACGCATGAGGTAAATAGTAACCAGAGGGTAAACACGCTGATTGAAGGGTTATGTCAAAGTTACGAGGAGACAGAAATCATAAAGGCAACTGACATACTAAATGAATATTGTGGTCGACAACGACCTCATAAAGTCTTGTCGTCGATCGTGGACGTTAAAGAGTGAGAATAAATGATTCGGCGGAAAGACGGGTCGGGATGAGCGCCCACAACGCTGCCTCCTTCATCAACGACTTTCACCAGCACAATACCTTAGAATGTCTAGACGAACCGTTGTAGTCGAAGAGTTCGACGACGACACGGACATTCCTCTTCCCCAGCGCCCTTTGCCAAACTCTGGAGCAAGAGGACCTCTCCTAGAGTCATTGTCAGACGATGAAGACGACTCGGACGTTCCGGATGCTTTCCCACCCAGAGCAGGACCTGCCTCTCCTTCACAACCACAATTTAGAGGCAGGGAGACACAGTTTGACGGGGAGGTGAATGATCCTACTTATAAGAAGTGCGTTCGTTTCTTGGCGATTCCTCGCCGCGTATGAGCTGCCATGCTCAGGCTTTTCTCTTTCTTCCCCTTCTTTCTTCGGTCCTTCAATCCTCTTTGGAATTCACTTACTCGATTGGAATGAATACGACTTGCGGCAAATCATTAGATGGACTTGTGTATACCCGATTTACATTGACGCGAAGCGTGCGTATGGAACTGGAGAACGTCGTATTGCTCGTGCGAAATCCGTGTGGTGGCCGCTTAGCAAGGATATCGCGGAAGCTACGAATCGTCTCGGCCTTGGAACTCTTCATGAGATGCATAAGTCTCACCCTAGAGACTGGGAGAACCCTGGCCGAGTACGCGTTCAATGGAAGAAGGACGGGAGGTTGGTGAACCCCGCTATCAAGTCGAGTGCGTATATCAATCTATACACACTCATATTGATTTGGTACTGATATTATTGGGATACCTTAGAGAAACAATTACTCGAGATGATTTCGATACAAATACAGATGCTCAAGCCTGATAATATTCCGAAGCCACCATACACCTCTACCCCAGATACCGGAGTGGCTTCCGACCCTGCGCCAGCAGCTTCCAAAGCTGCAGCGAAAGGGAAGCAGCCAGCTTCCAAGACTGCAGGAAAGGGAACTTCATCTACCGCTATCTCCAGTACCATCGCTTCTACGAAGAAGTCTGGTCGACAATTACCAAGTCCCCCTGCGCCTCATCCACCGCTGAGCAGCCGAGTGTCGCCATATTCACCTGCACTGGTATCTGGCGTGCTCATTGAGACTGTGAAGGCTGGAATGAGTGCTCAAGAAAGTGGTGGTGTAGGAGGACCTGGTGGTGGCATGGGTGGTGGAAAGGGTAAACGAAAGGTGGTACGGGTCCGCGGATGAATATCTGTAAATTTTTTGATTACGGGTATCAATGGTCGTTTCTGTACGATTTGTCCTCAATACACTATGTTGTTCGTGTATATCGATGTATGTCTGAGGCCGATGAAAATGCTGGTCATTATTCAACTCCGGGCGCTTAGATGTTCATTTAAGATGGGCTGGTTTGCAAGCTGGTTTGTCGTAGCTCGCGTTCTGACTTGCGACGATCTGGATGACTTCAACAACTCTGAACTACGACTTCTAGTAGCACCTGTGCATGATGGAAGGGCTCGCGACGCCTCAGCAGCAGACTGACGAAGACCCAGTGCAAACTCAACCTGTTCAACAACAACAACCAGCAGAAACTACAGAAACTGCAGTAGTGTCGACCAGCAGTGAAGATCCGCCTTCTGAATGGGAATCACTGCGAGATCATTTGCGAAAGGAACCTCAAGATGCTGATTCATGGCTGAAGTTGGTTGACCTTGCGGAAGAGTCAGGAGATTACAACCGTACGAAGGAAACCTATGAGGCTCTATTGGAGCAATATCCGAACACTGTCAGCAATCTACCACTCGAATTCCCTTCTGCGTGTGTTTCTTACCATATTCCCATCTAGTCCTCGGCCCAGATAGCCTACATCAACTTTATTTTGGAATCAAGTCACCCCGATAAGTTCCAGCATGCAGTCACTCTGTTCAATCGATTCTTGAAGTCCTCTCCGTTCGTTGACTTATGGAAGTTCTATCTTTCATATGTGAAGTGAGCTTTCAACCTACTTGACGTTCACTCTGTCTATGCTAAATCCATCTCAGACGCATGAACCAGGGTCCTAACGTACGCGACACGGTGCGCAAAGCCTACGAGTATGCTCTAAATCATATCGGGCATGACAAAGAGAGCACTGAAATCTGGACGGATTACATCCAGCTTTTGAAATCGGGAGAGGTACGTATGATGCATATGGTTCACGATCGAGAACGTTCACACTTCTACGTTTCTCGCAGTCTGCCAACCCTTGGGATGAGGGTCAGAAGATGGATGCTATCCGCAAAGCTTACCAGCGTGCTGTTCAAACCCCCATGGACGGAGTTAAGAGACTCTGGGAAGAGTATCAGGAGTTTGAGAACAACCTGAACAAAATCACGGTATTTTTCTGCGAAGAGTACGTGTATTCATTTCACGCGCTGACACATTTTTCCACAAGGCGAAGAAGTTCATCTCTGATCTACAAGCGGCCCATATGCAAGCGCGTACTGTACTAAACCAACTGCAGGAGCATTTGATAGTACTCTTCCCACCACCGCCACCCTCAAAGTCAGGTCGTCCAACCATATGGTTACCGCGCGCCCCGACCTTTAATGCGAACGATAAGGCATTGGTTGGACGTTGGCGCATGTACTTGAAATGGGAAGAAAGTAATCCGCTCGAGATTGAGGAGAAGGATAAGTCTCAACTTCATTCGAGGATCCAAAGTGTGTATCGCAAAGCCATCGTCCGAATGCGGTATTTCTCGGAAGTCTGGTACGTTTGTTTATACGAGGACAAGTGTGTGATCATAGAGGTATTTAATCGGAAGGACTCCAGGTACATGGCCTATGTGTGGACAATGGGTTTAAGTAACGACCAGAGTCTGCCTGAGAACAAACGCAAAGAGAAGCGTGATGAAGCTCTGAACATTTTGAAAGCAGGAATCGAAGCCAACCCTGCGAGGTACGTTCATCTCCTCTTTTCTCTGCTGAATCGATCCCCTCATCCTTGCACAGTTTTGTTCTGAACTTTGCGTATGCCGAAGCGCTGGAAGATAGTAAGAACTACGAGGAAGTGCACAATATCTTCAAGAAATTCCTCGATGTCCTCCGACAGAACCTTGAAACCGCTGAAGCCAATCAAGCCAATCTTTCGTTCAGCTCAGATGGCACTCAAGCGACTCAACCTGTCGAGACAAATGGAGTTGGCCCCAGTGGGAGTCAGAGTCAGGATAACTCTCAGCAGTCCCAGCAATCCCAAGTTAGCTTCTCGTCTTCTCAAGGTTCTCTGTTTGGAAAGAGCAAGGAATTGAGCGATCGACGGACTGAGTATGGTATCGCGTGGATCGTATATATGAGGTTTGCGAGAAGAGCCGAGTCCTTGCAATCTGCGAGAGGTGTATTTTCAAGAGCGAGGAAAGACAAATGGACGCCATGGGAGGTGTACGAAGCTGCAGGTTCGTACTTTTTCTCCATTTGAAGACCTTATTGCTGATGTCTCTTGTTCAGCTCTTATGGAGTATCATTGTACCAAAGCTTCCGACATTGCGACACGTATCTTCGAGAAAGGTCTTGAATACTTTAGTGATGAAGTAGAGTTCGCACTAAGATATCTCGGGTTCCTCATCTCGATCAACGACGATGCCAGTAAGTTTTCCGTCACCCATAACTTGCTTTGCGTGGACGCCCTAACATTCGTTGGCAGATGCACGGGCGCTGTTTGAGCGTGTGGTCAACATGTTTCCACCGGAAAAGTCCAGACCTATCTGGGAACGATGGGCTCGGTATGAGTATCAGTTTGGTAACCTGCAAGCGGCGCAGAACCTTGAAAAACGGATGGCGGAGACCTTCCCTAATGGTATGTGTTATTCACCCTACAGTGTCACTTTTACCCTAATCATAAGACAGATCCTCCCATAAAGCGGTTCGCAGAACGCCATAAGTACTTGGGTACGGATGCGATTGCGGTACGTGACCTAGGATTCGTTTTCGGTCGCAATGGAGGCACAAGCGCTCGTTCGAACGGAAGTTCTCTTGCTCGAACAGAGACGCAACAGTCTATTCTTTCTCCCGTAGTCAACCAAGCTGTGGCAGCTTCGCAAGCCGCAGCTGCTTCCATCAGCACCAAAAGACCGCCTTCACCAGATGGTCGACGTAAGGGTGACCATGAGTATGGGCCTCCAACGAAGAAACACAGACCGCCATCTCCGTCTAGAGAACGAGAGTGGGACAGGGAAAGGCGAGAAGCTCCTGTGAGAAGACGATATGTTTCGCCACCTTGGGAAGATCGAAGCCGCGAGCGTGAGGGTTACGGGCGAGCAGGTTACAGGGAAAAGGAGGAGGAGAAAGGTGTTAACCTACCTCCTGTTTTGTCGTGGTTTGTGGGGATGTTGCCTCCCCCTACTGCGTTTGATGGTATGTGTATTCTTCCTACCCTTTCATATAACGCAAAAACATGTGCTCATTGTATTTTTCTTCTGAAGGGCCTGTGTTCCGGACAGACGATTTAATGCAAGTCTTCCGGAACGCTGTGATTCCCAGTTCAACGGGCATAAAGGCTCGTTCACCTCCTCGAGCTGGTGGTAGACCACCTCCCGATTACAGTCCTTATACAGGACCAGGAGGTGGTGCTCCTCCTCGTCGAGGTCGTTATTGATCCAAAAACGTTCTATTTGATAACATTCTTCATGTTGCTCGACCATTATCTTGGATTTTTTTGAAATACATATGCCCATGCTTTCCTCTTCAATCGACCTGCTTGACTTGAACGTTGAGCGTGTTAAATGATACAGTGTAAGAGCGTAGTACATGTGGGGTGGGTTACGCTCACGGATGACTTTATTTTTGTAGGTTGTGTGACAAATTGACCCGTATGAAGTATTCGATCGGGGTTCCGTTATAATGTCTTTTTCACTTGGCCTGCCCTTCAACGTTATAAAAGTGCGCTGTTCCTGGACGCTGCCCTTTCTACTCTCGCATCGCTTTGCTCGATCTGTCGGATTCATCCCCTCGTCCTCTTGACCACCTGCCTATCCTTGCTAAACAATCGCTAAATTGCCGTAACCCTCATCCGATCCCGCTGATTACAATCGATCTACAGATCAAACGCTTGTAACTTATACAGAGCAAGGTTGACTCCTACAGCCAACTCACTGAAGAAACTAGCTCGTTCTCACCCTTCCTTATCTCTTCTTCGCGCTAGAAGAACGACTTCCCTGCACGGCATGAGTCCAACCGAGTTCACATGAACACAAGTCGCTCCAAAAACATACGTGTCGTGACCAAGGATTCACTCTATTTCCGTTCGGCTGACAGAACTGGGGTCCTTTTTGGCGTTGATAACCCCTTAGGCCTTGTCCTTTGCCATGCTGCCGACTCGAAGGGGCTTCGATGCATGATATTACATGCGTCGGTTGAACCTTGAACGGTTGAGGGTTGTGGAGTGGCGTCGATGAAGAGGCCGGGGGAGGGATATAAGTAACGTACTATGCTTTATTCCTGGACTTGAAGTCCGCCGTGGTCCCTCAAGAAGGCAACGTCTGTTTCTCTCGTCCCTGCTTCGCTTCGATTCTTTCACTTCCATTGAAGGACTTGTCTGTTGATCAACATAACCCAATCGCCATGAATATAGGTCGGGTCTGTCGGATGGACGTTGCGATGGTGTGATAGCGTCTTAGTCTCAGTCAAGTGCGCAGTCTGAGGTACTTGATAATACTTTTGCGTCGTTTTGTGACCTGAGGTGTGTCGCTAACATCTCGGTGCTCACTAAGTGATATTCTTGTTCGTTACAGGTAATCTGTCGGGTCCTGCGTCGCTACTGTGTCGTACTGTCATGCCTGCGAGATAGGATGTTGATGCTCCTTCGTTCGATGTCACGATCTCCCTCGATATAGGGTTCGAAGGTGTTGCGTCCAGCTAACGACCAGGTTGGTACCATGGATCTGTGCGATCACTGCATTTTCACGCTTGAGTCGGTGAGCGATCGGTCTTTTCGCCAGTTGATCCTTAAACGGCGCATATACAATACTGAAGTGCCTCAATAACGCTTTGCGCCCGCCTATTGAAGTGTAGTCATGAAATGGTAAGACGGTCACTCATGGTCAGTCATCGAGCACGGGACTCATTATCGATCTGTCAAATGTATAGGACGGCATGTATTGACCGATAGTTTATTTTGTTTGTACGCATGATGCATGTATACCCCGAGTGGGTGAACTGCGGTGACCGGTACGTTTATCTCCTTTTGTCCTCTCTGATTCCTTCTAATTCCGTCATAATGCAGTTTTCATTTTGAGTTGCTGCTTGCTCTCGTTGTCAGACTTTGTCTGTCTTGTAAAGCATCTAAAACATAATCATATCATCCTTCCCGCGAGCATTTCCTCACATTTACGTGCAATTCATTTGCGAGTAAAGCTGCCGTTCTCAGCATCAACGCGCCGTCTCACGAGTTCCTTCGTGTCATCAAACCCTCCTGTCAAGAATTGCACCTCAAGACAAGAACATTCACATCAATCACTTCTGAGCTCCACAGTTACGTCCAAGCGGAACAGCTGGCAGCTTCAGGACTCCCATTCTTATCAGGATCAACTGACTCCATTGGTGCTGTATTGGCTTCTAGACACGCCGAAATAGGACCGACAATGGTTCTGTAATTGCCTTTGTGACATGAGGAAAAGAAGTTGCCTTTGTACGTATACGTTGTTATGCGAACGTGTCTAGAACACTTGTACTCATGAAGCTGTTGTATCCTCAGGTTGTACGAGCTGAAAATGTTGGCTTTTGCCCTGGTGGCTCGGAGGGGAGATAATTCATTGTTCAAGTCGTCATTGTATGTCATAAAACGCGCTATGAATTACCTGCTGATTTGGCTCCATAGACTCTAAAGTTAGTCCCCAAGCCATTTCAGCGGTCTCGAACCAGGCGAGGACGGTCCCGTGGCCTCTTTCGTATGCCTGTTTGGCCCTGTTGCAGCGCAGCGCGGGAGGAGCCGGATCCATGGATGTATGCTTACGTAGGCCGATGCGCACCAAGGTTTCCTTTTTGGGCTACAGGGTGAGGTTTTCAGAGCGGAGCAGCTGGATTGGTGCTTGATCGGCAGGCGGTGCGTCCTCGACTCGAAGCCTACAAGACCCAGAACCATCTACATGGCCCACACCCCCCTCCTCTTTCCCCTCCGTACCCTATACTCCCTAAACACTACGCTCGCACCAGGCTTGTGCACTTTGCACCTCTGCGGCTCCAGGTTCTTAAGCATACCACTCTTGCGATACCCCTGTCTTACGACTTTGCACCTATCACGACGATGGTCACCAAACCTGCCAGTCCAGTAGATGTTCAACCAATAATATGTCATGACCTCCTGCACACGACTTTTTTTGGAGTCGTTCATCCACTCTCCACCCCCGAAGCGCCGGTACATCAGTTTCGGGGCGTTAGATACGCTTCAGTTCCAGCTCGGTTCCGCCAGTCTAAGCTATGCACTTCGTATTTCCCTGCAACAGATGCGACGCGTTTTGGGTACGTTGATTGTGGTATATGGCCAGCGCCGTTCTCTGACTGTACTTTTGGTATCTCTAGTCCTATCTGCCCTCAACCATCGTTTGGCGGGGTTGAGGAATTATTTGGGTCGTCAATTGCCGCTATTCCTCATGAAGATCTTAGGCAAGACGAATTTGACTGTTTGAACCTAAACATCACTCGTCCTGCTCATGCGCATCGCGAGTCGCGTCTTCCAGTAATGATCTGGATTCATGGGTGAATAATGCAATTGTTCGTGTACGTCCTATTTTGTCGCTGACTGCTGAATACAGTGGCGGAAATCGCGGTTCCGGTTCTCATTGGCTCTACGATGGTGGTTCTTTTGTGCACAGAAGCGTCCAAAACGGAAAGCCAGTCATACTAGTCACTATCAAGTAGGCGTTCTCGCGACGAATTATTTTGGTACCCTCTGAACTCTTTTCCCTCAGCTTCCGGCTAGGGTTGCTGGGTTTCGCATCCAGCCCGGCCCTACGCGACGACAGTAGGAATGCTGGAGACGATGGTGTGGGCAATTATGGTACGCTTCTTCTTGGCATTTAGATTATGGCATGAGCGACGAGTACTAATACCATTTCTTCCTCAGGATTACGCGACCAAAGACGAGCGATGGAATGGATTAACAAGTTCATATATGCCTTTGGCGGCGACCCGACGAATGTCACGCTCTTTGGAGAAGGTACAGGTGCCGCCGACATTCTGTGTCACCTCAACTCCTCCTCGAACGAGTCCCGCCCACTATTTCAACGCGCCATCGTACAGAGCGCGACATTAGATTGCGACATCCCAAGTGTATCTTCCGCAGGGTGGCAACTGTCGAAGCTCATGTGTTCTTTACATGCACATAACGTCGAGGATATGCGTGCTATTCCTGTCGACACACTCGTCTCACTTGCACTTACCATCCGAGCAACCGACGATGGAGTGTTCCTACGTAAGGGATGGAAAGATTCACTCTACCCTGAAGAACCAGATGAATGTGAAGCCAGACTTCCTCGAGCTACTCACCGTGTGGTCAATGGTCACCTCGACGTGCCGGAACTTCACGCCCTACAACACTCACCTCATCATCACCATCGTTACCTGCGTTCTTCTTCACGTTCTCCCTCTCGTTCACGGAGTCCAAGGCCACGATTGCATCCTCATCATGAGAGTCACCAGCCGCTGATTATAGGCGACTGTGGGGGCGAGTCCTTGCTCTGGTCTTTGCCTGCGTCAGGCTGGACTCCATCAGGCGCCGTGAGACGTATACGTGCCATTTGCCAGAGTCTCAACAAGTCTACTGCACTTCTTCGTGCGTACGATATCAACCCGTACACACCCGCCGACGAACTTCCTGATCGCATACTCGAGCTTATAAACGATGCCCGATTTGCGTGGCCTACGGAATGCATCGCCAAAACCGCAAGACATGAAAGAGGAGGACGAATGGTCTGGAGATACATCTTTGATCAAGAAAGCCCTTCTCGCGGGACTCCTCATCATGCAGTGGATTTGATGTATCTATTCGACAACGTCCCTCTTCCCAATCTCGCAACCTCTACCGCTCCTCCCGCCTCATTCGAACTTTCCCCAGAAATCTCACGTCCGTGTACACCTTCAACCCCCGAAATGGTCTACGGCTCTGATTCCTCTTCCGAGGATGGCCGGGCAAGTCCCGACTATGGATTCGGTTGTCCTCCTGTTGTCGACGATGAGTGGGGTGTCCCCATCGTTGATGAATGGTCTTACAGTCGCGTTCGTGATGCCATTCAAAGCCGTTGGATCGCTTTCGCATATGGGGAATCTCCTTGGAGCGAAGACAAAGTTTATGTCTTTGGCCCTGAGGGTGAGACTGGTGAACGATCTCTGAGCATCTTTGAGGGGAGGAGACGGGTTCGGTTGTGGAAGGATGCGTTGGAACCGTTGGGCATGCAGGTCGTGCAGAAGGTTGGGATGGAACTGAGCAATGGCCCACCGTTGACGACAAAACTGGGATACACAGGCTCTTAGTTCCTGTTGACGTCGTCATCCTCCATCCTCTTCCACCATCCCCTCAAAACTCGGCTCTTGAACTTCGGTTATATGCATTGTGTTCCCGGACCAAAAAAATCGGAAGGACGCGTCATATCCTTTTCGTCGGTGGTCTTATGCGTTATCATATCTCATATCTCTTTTCCTCTGCTTTCCTTAGGTTTGCTTGCATTTCTTCATCTCTCCCATCATATCATTGTACGAACAACTTCATGGGTCTCACATATGGTTCTAATTTTCACTTGCATTGTTTGACGTATGTATTCTATCATGTATATTCGCTTATCCTCATACACCGGATTTGTTGTTGCATCCTTCTGTATCTTCTTTGCTTACTCTACTGCTGCATTTGTACTATTACTGGGCTTTCAGACATCCAATAGATGGGTTGTTGTATCATGTTGTGCTTCACATTTGCGATAGATGGCGCTTGTGAAAGCTGTTTCTTTACGAACTACGATGACTGTTTGAGATTCTAACAGTATTCGTTGTCCTGCGGCCTTCGATATTTCTATAGACACCACAGTGTGTGTCAGTCTCCCTGCGAATCGGTGTTTGCTCGAGCTGGGCATAGATCAGGTTACTGTGCATGTTGATCTGGCTCGTCCCTTGCGTATTAGGCCAGTAGATTGCGTATCACCACCGAGACGTATTCTCCTTGGATTTCGCCCACATGCATAGGGTCTTGCGTTGGCAATCGCCGGATGCTGTGTGATACCGATTCCGGTATGTTCATTATTCTTTCTAAGGTCTATTGATTCACGAGCTCTACTGCTTAGGCCTACACACTCCTCAGACAGAGATATCTGGCTGAGGTACCGAGGTTGCGTCTCCGTCTGGACTGCCTGTGAGAGACTAATACCCTAGTAAATCAGGCTTCCGATTGTTCGCATCGTCCTACTTCAAGTTGTTTTCATTATTTATGAAGCTGGTCTGCGGTTATTCAATTTTCTATGTATACTTTCAGAGCTAACGATGTTCATAAGTCGGACCTGTTGTCCAGCTTTGTGTTTATCGTGATCATACAGTGCCCCCGCTTACGAAAACTAATGCTGTTTTCCCAAGCTAGTTCTAAAGCCGGTCACAAGCACAAGTATGTCTACACGTTGCAATCCTGTGACGTAAGTCCTACATGCGATTGAGTTAGAACTATAAGTGGAAGTCTAGGATACTAGTTTCGTGTCTATAATTGTTTGCCAACTTCTTCCTCCCCACTCTCCTCCTTGATTTCTCCCGTTCTCTACTTGCTTGGAAATGAAGATACGGTCAGTGCTTGGATTATCTCATCCCTCCGCTCTAATGACAATTCCTCCGAATCAAATGCATCCAGACCTTTTCAACGCAAGAAGACGCTTGCGCCACATTCATCCAAATCGCCGAACTTCCCTTCGCTTACGGTAATTGAAGCTCGTTTCAATGAAGCGGAGGATGGTCGAGCCCGAGCATTCGAAGCTTCAAGGCGCGAACGCGAATTCGAGTTTTTGAAAGCACAAGCCGCGAGGTGTGCGCCCCAATTGGCTCGAGAGGAACAATTTGAACAGTTTCTAGAGGACGTTCGGACCACTTTCAGGAATAGTGATGAAAGCCGTCATAGGATCTTTCAAGAAGCCGAGGCCAAGCAGGTAGAGACTTCACAAGCGAAGGAGCGCGCTCGCGATGTTATATTCGAGACAGCTCAGGCTAGCCGCGAAGCAGACTTTCAGGCTTCTCAAGCACGTCTGGCAAACTTGGCCGAGACTTATGCTCAAGTTCGTGGTGACATGTTTCTGCAGGGGCGGCGGGCGAGGGAAGAGGCTTGTGAACGTCTTGTGGAGACTATCTGTGGCGAAATTGAAGCGATACTGGAGGTGTCAGAGCAGGAATTTAATGCTGGCCAGTCACGCCGGGCTGACGTTGTACTCAAGCTCTTGGTGCGTTGGATTAGCGTACTTAACATTGACTTATGATCTAACCATCATTACTATTCTAGCAGCAGAAATCAATTGGCGGCGCGCAATCGAAGACCAGCATGCTTGGTGCTGATTTACCGGAGGATGAGCCAGCCGAACAGGAGAGAATTCGTGCCCCGCATTCTCATGGTCGTTCCACATTGCGCACAACGCTCGGTACTAGACGCTGTGGCGCTCAGGCAAAACAGAGTTGTTCGTGGAGGCTTACTTCGATTATAGACATTCTTTCGAAGGATAGAGATGCATGCTCGGATTTTTCGTCTGGGCAATCTGACCTTTCTTCCTATCCCCGAATCACTGTTCGAGTGCCAAGTCCGCTTCAGCATCTCAGCCTTGTGCACGGAGACAACGAATGCGAAGGGCTCATGTCGTTACCTACCCCGTTCTCACAAGCCGAAGGCTGTGGGAAAGATACTACTCAGGTCAGTGTAGATCACAATGGCGAGAAGATCAGTATGCAAGGATTGCCTCAAGGTCAAGGGTGGACCAGGAGTTCCAGGGAGCTACAGCTCTTGCAAGATTCCGTCTTTGAGGAGAGGGAAAAGGAACGGATAGTAGCTCATGAGCATGATGTGGAGGACTTTGAAGAAATCTTCAGCCAGTCGGAGGTTGATAGAGACATGGTCTGCCACGGGATGGACAGTACCTTTCAGTCTCAGGAAGAAGCTCTTGATGATCAGTTCCAGACTTTACTGGCACACTTTCGGTCTATTTTCATGCAATCCAAACAGAGTGCAAAACAAGCTGAAAAGAGAAGAGATACATGCTTCTCTCATGTCACAAACAGATTTGCCTACACTCATAATGCACAACAGGACCATTTTGCCAAGCTGTACCAAGCTGCAACTGAAGCTGAGGACTATGTGATGCATATGCATCAATGTCACATACAGCAGTTTCTTTGCATTGCTATGCAGACAGTCAAGGATGTGCAAAAGAGATTTCATTTACAGTTTAACCACTCATGTGCTTCTTATGCCAGGCAGCTTGGGCTACCATATCATCTTTCTTCAACACTTCATACCAAAGCATTAGAATCAGAAGTAGTGGTCAAGCCTCATATCTCTTCTTATTCCAGAAGAAGGTCACCACAAGCAAATTCAGAATCAGCCACACAGAAAAGATGTAAAAAGCCTGCAGTGGAACTCCATCCAAACCAGATATGGATTCACAGGAATAGAAGTTCCTCACATTCAATATACCAGGTTGTGCCAAATCCAGAGACAGCCTTTGTAAGTTAAGTGTGCCATAAACAATGAAAATTTACTAATGCAATTTATACCATCACAGAAACCTAGAACCTTGCTGAGAAGCAGAATGATACCTACTGCCTTACCTATACCTTCTCAGGCATATATGAAGTCCAACCTCTACTCAAGTTTCTCACTGAATGAGCATTTTAATATGCATACATCAAATTTTGACAAAGCTCAATACAATAGAATGTCACAGTTTACAGACATTCAAGAGAGACTGCAACAGACATTCACTGTCAATAACTTAAAGAGACAGGAATGTTTTGACAAGAATATAATGACTTGGAAGCATACTGCTCAAAGCAGAGAGGAAATGCAATCTATAGAGTGGATTGAGTTTCTTCAACAGCAAGAGACCATCTTTCAAGGTGATCTTCAGGAATATGAGGAGAATTTCTTGCTCTTTCAGAATAAGAGACAAAACAGTTTCCTGGATATACAGAGCACTAGAGATGTAAACTTTCATACTTGTCAAGAAAAGTTGCAGCATAAAGCAAGGATGTCTGAAGGCCAGAGAGAAGAGGATTTCAATGAATGGGAGTTCTTGATATACCAGGATCTATATGAAAAGTTGAAGACATGCAGAAAGAAATTCACAGATGATACATTGCAGTATGATGGGGAATTTGATAGATTCATTCAACCAATAAAAACTACTTGTGCATATGACAAGGCTGAAGATGTATACAATGATGCCAATTTCTGTATCACTATGTAGTTTTATTAATGTCATAGAAAGAATATGAATAAACTGTTCATAGTTCTCTAGTATAACTGACATATGTTTTCACAGTATCTGCAAGTTGTAACTCTGGTTGATAGAATTTATAAGACACTGGGAGAGGATACTGGAGAGAATATTGGTAGAATGACTAAGATCTCCTTGAGATACCTTGGCAGTCCAAAGAGAAAGTTCTTCTGTAATGTCTTGGGCTTTACTGTTGATAAAGAGGTATTTTATTTGCATTTTAGCAATATCATCATAACTGTGATACAAAAAATTAAATACAACATGAGTCAGTATATGATATATTGATCTTGAAGTAAAAAGACTAAATAGTTCTGACAGGACAATCTTGAAAGTGAGCTGAGAATTGATCTCTTGTGCTGCCTTCTCTTTGAGAGCATCAAAATAAAACTGACATAATTGAATAAATTATAAATATTTACACTCAGAAGAAAGAGAGACTGGCTAACCATATCTGCAGCCCTGCAGATAGATTTTACAGAATATGGTTTAGGCTGAGCTGAGACTTCCACTAAGGGTATATGCAATATGTGCAACTTGCCTAAAGATTTGAGCAGTGAGAAGACAACTTTGCTGCAACCAATATAGAAGATAAGAGCCCAAAACCTACTCAGCAATAGAGTGATTGATAAGTGAACAAATTAGTCAAGGAAGCCTTATCACAGGACCCACATTGAGAATGCAATATCTGAAATGAGTATAATATGACTATATCACATAAAAGTACTAAGCTTGAAGCCTACTTTTGATGCATCACCAATGGCAAGAATAGTTGAAGTCTGCATGACATCATTGGCAAGATCACAGATATCTGAAGAAACTTACATACACTTACAAGATTTTCCTGATGGTCACTGATACCTAGTTCAACTGCCTCTATTGTCATATCAGTTTTCATCAAGCTATCCTCACTGATAGTTCCTATGATATCTGCATCCTGATCAAAATCCTTAACTGACTCTAGATCACTATTCAAGTTATAGTCATATTCCTCCATAGATATATCTTTGTCTGCAGACAATTCCTGGTCTATGTTCATAATCTTGCTTTCATTGAATTCACCTAAAATTACTATAGTCCAATATGTCAGTCTACAATAGAAGGCTAAAGAGCATAGATAATGCTCACAGATATCAAAGTGTATAGAGGCTGCTCTCAGAATTGAACTATTGGTATAGATCAGCTGAGGTTTGAAAACAGTTCCAAATATCGACTTGCAAGAATAAGTGTAAAAGATGACATCAATAAATACTCTACCAGCTATGACCTAATTGTATGCAGCCTGCAGGAGATCATTTGTCACTATGCCAGAAGGTAATGTGGGCAATACAGATAGGGTAGAAGGTGAGATTGAAGCTATAGATATAGAATGCTTTTCTTTGCCTTTTTTCTTTTTATTCATCATAATTATTCACTGACAGTGTTATACTAAAGATAAATGAGGATGGGCAGAAGATGCAGATCGAGCTGTAAGAAAGAAGTGGGCAGAAAAAAGAAAAAGTAGGCCATTAATATAGTCAGACCAGTATCTCTGCTATGCTCTTACAATATTTAGAAGACATAGTTAATGCTTGAACTTAAAAGAACATGGCCTTCTTTCATTGCTTCTTCATGATGTTAAGCACCTGATACTTTTATATGAGTTAGCACTGGAAACATCCTGTGTAATACTTGATCTGGAGTTATAGAGTCAGGATAGATCCTTATATACCTTGGAAGATGAATAACATTCTGCAAAAATTACCTCTCTGAGATGGGTCAATGTCTATTGAGCAATAATGAGTGAAACATACAGAGCATAAAGAAATATTCTGATTAGCCTTTGGATTGACCAAAGCTGCACAACTATATGGTGTTCTTTTGAGTAATGCTCCTAAAGTAGTTCAGTCACAGAATATGAAATAAGAAAAGAAGGATGTCACAACTATATAAGCTTATAATAGCCCAGTACTTATTGCAATAATCAGGATTGAAAAAGAATCCATCAGTTAGTTATCTCAATTCTAGCAGAGGCTAGACACTTCTTATATATAGGTGTATATACTCATATTCACAATAAGTAACCAGTGCCAGATGCCTAGCGCATCGCATCATGTGACTCATGTCAATTTGAGGAGGAGACAATGAACTGTCTATGAAACAGACAGCACTACAATTGTATATACAATATATTAGATACCTATTCTAGCTATCTATGCATTTAAAAGCTTGTATGTTCACTATGAGCAGCCAAGACAGCCTCAACTCTGTCTGACATCTGATTGATGTGCTTGTTCACATCTTCTATAGATAATTTATTCCACACACAATGAACAGTAGCTTGAAGCTGTTTTTGGATATTCAGAGGATGCCTGAGATTATGCAGAATAAATTTAGCTCATGCCAAACATGTTCAATGGAATTGAGATCTGGGGAATTGGGAGAATGGAAGAGAAGTGGTATCTCATGATCAGTGAATCATTGTTGGGTTGATTTGCTGATGTGGCATAGAGCATTGTCCTGTTGAAAGATAATGGGACTTCTCTGTAGCTTCATCTCTTTATACCAATTCAAAAAAATTCCATCCAATATCTATTTTCAATATCTAGCAGTGTTCATACCCCCATCTCTTCCTCCTGGATATTTTAACACAATCAATGGCCCCTTGCACCCCTGAATAATGCAAGCCCAGACCATAATATAGATGGAGAACTGCTTGAAGGTTGGTACTAGGCATTTCTCTCATAAGACTTCATCAGGACAGCATGTAATGTAGATTCAGCCTCAATTATCTCCCAAGTAAATATAGCACTCATCAGAGAATGCGACTTCCTGCCAATCCTGGCTTGTAAAGCTCTTGTATTTCTGTGTCCAATGCATGTGAGCCTTCTTCTACTTCTTAGTAAGGAATGGCACTTGATGAGCAATCTGATGACCATATTCTCATTTCTTGAGAATGCCCCAAATAGTGCCCTCACTGATCTTCAGGTCTACCTGATTTCTAATCTCTGCAAATATCACTCTCCACTCTTTCACTGCCCTCCTGACCACCAGAGCCTTCAAGCGATCTGTGACTTTATGTGGATGATCAGAATGGAGGCGATTGTGTGTGGTGCCAGTTTTGATATACTTGTGCCAGATATCTGATGCTATCTGGCATGGGATGCCTGTAAGCTGTGCCACTTTAGTGATGCTCATGCCAGCTTAAATGGCTCCAACTAGCCAGTTCTTCTTAGGAGAATCATATTGAGAGTGGAAAGATTTAGTAATGAGCATAACAAGTATATGTGTTATAGGTGGATGCTAGATTATAGACTAAACAAGACTACATCTATATATGATGTAATATGCTGAGCATCTAAATGCCAGTTACTTATTATAGGTGTGAGTATAATAAACATACTATTCATTCGAGTTGTCACTATTGCTGTTGCTGTTGCTTTCATTGGTGCTATTGATGCTGTCAGTGCTGTCACAGAGATTACAACCTTCAATGATGTAGGTCATTTGGAGTTGAGCCTACTCTTCATGTCTCTTAACTTAATTATCCAGTATAGCACTCAGACCAGTGTAGCCTGTGCAGGTATGTATTGATTACTTCTTAGTTTCTGAAATAGTTTAATTGTTTCACCTTTCACCCAGGATTCCTTCCTATCAATAGTCAGAAAAATGGTATCTTTGCTACTGCAATGAGTGATCTTTCCTCTCTTTGAACAGGTGCACATTGCCAGGGTAGCTAGGATGTGAGCAAGTATAACAGTCAAGGCAGCTGTATTGATTGTACTGGCTGTGAGCAGACAGTTTTGCACACTCATTCAGTATCTTAGTGAACTTTCTTTTACAGCTGCATGTCCTGATGAATAGCAGTATGGACATGTGAGCCTTACTGAACTCAATAGCACACTGTTTTATCCAGTCTGATTATATGCAGCCAGTATTTCAATGTTCAATATACCAGATCAATGAATGGTGAAACCAATGGCACATGCACCAGAAACACAATTAAAGTAAAGATTGTTGATGCATACATGTCTTTACTATCATGCATTCACTATTTAATCACATGTAAATATAGTTGCCCGGCAACTCATCCTGCCAATTATTGCAAGATTCCTCAATTCAGCGGCATACAATCATTTTTCCTGCATTGATTCCCAATATGCTAATGAACTAGTCCTTTTACAGACTATAAATCCTAGTGAGGCATGTGAAGCAAGTGGGATCAATGCTTTTGACATTGCTACAATGGCAAGAAGAATCTTTCTACCTTTATAAGCATAAAATTCCAACTTTGCTTAGCTTGCATACTCATCCATTCCTTTAGCAAGGCAATCTTAATATTGATATTGAGACTACATCCTGCTAAAGCTGTTGATTTGCAAAACATACTGGGGTTCAGTAAGGCTAGTGTATTGACAGGAATCGAATTCAGAAACTTAACAGTGTTGAGTTCCAAACATGAACTGCCAAATGCGGATATCACGTAAGCAAACAAGTATTTAATTGATCGTGGCCGGACGCAATAACGATTGCACCCATTTTCGAAAGTTGACCTTCACTCCTGTATCAAGAAATGCATTGATATTCTCCTTCATCTGAACAGAGATCGGGAATTGTGCCCACTCAAAACGCCATATAAGTTATGATTTCCCGAGAATCCGGTACTTGGCATTCAAGTCAATGTGTGGATTAGCAGTGCATTCCACGTGCATACACCGACTCATGAAACTTGAGTTGCCGCTAGCGGACACCAATTGTAGGTTGTTGTTGTTCTCCCTCTCCTGACGAACTGTACTCACGTGTAACATGGTCGTCAGATTGTTCAGCGAAGGCTGTTTTTCACTCTCATTCTGAGTCAGCTCACGTGCATGGCGACAGTGACAGTATCAAAGGTCTTGAAAGACGTTCGGTCGTGTTCCTCCGTGACGAGAGAGGAGAACGTATCCTCCATTGAAGCTGTCCCTGTCGTACCTGCATGAGGAATACAGCCAAGGTTCTCGTGGCGCTTATCGCGCGGATAGTGCTGCGAACAGGGGCCGAGTAGTATAAAAGGGTGTGTTGAGCATGTTAGCCTCGTCGGAACCTGCAGCATACCAGCATCTCAGCTTCCCCTTTCTCTCTTACACTTGTATACTTGCTTCAGCAATACCCCTATCAGCTTAGCTATAATGTCGGATATCGTCATACGCCAGGTACGTCTGCGACCATCCATTGCCTATATTCACTCAATAATCTGATAATGCTGATTCAGATTACCCCTGAAGTCACCATATTTTCGCGGTACACACTAGGTGTTGCTGGTATTGACAACGTTTGCTGACATCCCTGGTATCACAGGCCATTCACGCGCTTCTTTGGCCTATTCCCAATGGGCGGTCGCTCGACCGCTGTGAAGTTGTCCGATGGCTCCGTCTGGGTAGTCGCATCTACACCCTTGAGTCCGGAAACGAAGGAAACCGTTGACAATATGGGAATCGTCAAGTACGTGTCCAATCCGTATTCTCAGAAGATATTGAATTGGGCTTTAACATGCGAGGGACTTTTAGGTACATTATTGCACCTGATGTTGACCACCACCTCTTCTTGTGTAAGTTTACTACGAATGGCGTATGTGTGTTTCGATTGATAACCTGTGTTACATGACTAGCCGAATGGAAGAAAGCCTACCCCGAAGCTCGACTAATCGGTGTTCAGGGTCTTCCCGATAAGATGGAGTCTCATCGTTGGAAGTACGATGGGTGTCAGTATTAAACTCTCACAACTGTTTCTTCCCTCATTCTGACTGAACGTTACAGTGTATGGAATTGACTCTTCTGAGACAAGATACGGTTTTGAGGACGAGGTACGTAGTGCATGCCGAGTATCTCAACCCCATATTCACACCTTCATTCACTTGCAGATCCAATCTTGGTGAGTCATCTCAGGTCGATGATTGTACTACAACATTCTCAAGTGATAACATTTTCCGCCATTCAGTTATTTCTCCGGCTTCTCAAAGAAAGACGTCGCTTTCCTTCACATTCCATCAAAAACTCTCATAGTCGCAGACCTCATATTCAACCTACCAGCGAACGAGCAGGTACGAGACCCTGATTGATTACGATTCTTGCCAAATTTGACTGATATGTTTTTGTAGTTCTCCAAATCCAAGACATCTTCCAAGATCCCATTCTTATTCCCAAAGCTTGAACCGTATGGAAAGGCGATGAGAGACTTTGTCTGGGGTGAAGGCAAGAACAAGGAGTACGTATATACTTACTTCACTGTATCCGTTTCTCTACATATTGACGCTCCATCAACACTTGTAGTGAGATGCGAAAAGACGCGAAGACTGTCGCAAGTTGGGACTTTGAACGAATCATCCCTTGTCATGGAGTGCGTATTTTAAACACATCTTTTGTTTTTTAGAGGAACTCGTCGTTGAAAAAGTTCGCAGGATGTGATCGAGAACGACGCGAAGAAAGCTTGGGAGTCTGCTTATTCTCGTTATCTTTCTTGAGTTCTGGCTCGAGGTCCTATTGCACCCACTCATGAACGTCGAAAACTTGACTGGTCTCGGTCACTGCATGTTTAGCATATGATCCTCATTATCGTACAAGGGTCCTCAGACTCGGAACACGGTCTCGTAGGGGGCATGAGTACAAGGTATGGGACAACGTGCACTCACAAGGTTGCAGTACACTAGACGCGAAACAGAGACATGCCTCGAATGATAAAGTTAGGGCATCGAACGAATTCTCACTTCTCACTTTCTCTCTCATCCTTTTACCTTTCATTCTTCATCCTTATCAGTCCATCAAGCGTCAAAAGCTGACAGAATTCCAAGAGGTAAGTCGCAGACATTCATCGAATACCCTCCGCTTGAAATTCGAATGCGACCATCGCACTGAATCATTTGGGCCTTGGCTCGCGGGCTTTCGGACATACTGTAACTCCCATACATATACCCTTTTGAGTATACTCCACTTCCCAACTTGGTAATTCTTCTATTCAACCCCATCTAATTCGATCTCCGACATACTCTTCCTCAGGTCTTGTCGTCTTGGTCCATGCGTCTGCACAATGTTCCGCACCAGTAGAACGGTGCAGGGAACTTACCAGTGCATATATAAACCTCCTCGGCACGAAACTAATCTGATCGTCCCTTTTCCACCCTACTATCGGACTACCGACCATCGAGCTGAGGTTTCTTTCTTCGTGTTGTAGGCACACCTTTTCAGTCGTGAGCTGACAACTCGAATCGCGTCGAGGACAGTCCGTCCTTATATCAGAGGCCACCGGTACATTTCTTCTCTACCACAACGTTTTCTTTCCGGGTTTCGTGGTTTAATAATGCAGGACGATACAACGACAACACCAGACAGGTAAAAAGTGCTATAATCACAATGGCGAATGAAATTCGCGGCTCGTTTCGTCTCGTAAGTACAAACATACATATCGTGGCAGAAGACTCATATAATGGAAGTTTTAGCTAAAGAAATCGAAGAATAGCCACGAAAGCCCGACAGTTCATGCCTTTTGTTTGAGGAGACCAAAGAACTTCCCCCGCTTCTCTTTAGCCTCTTGTTGTTGCCTTGCTTCATGTTCCATCTCGGCTTCCGAGATATGCCCACCAAGAGCGTACCACGTCACAGCCAACATTCCAATCGTAGCTGTCAACACACACCTAAAGAAGGGTACGTCAGTATCCAGTCACCTCTTCATCTAGTACTCCAACAAATGTTGAAGACTTACCCGGTCATAGCTCCAATACCCTTTGGTCTCCACCCCAAGATTTGAGGGAAAGGTCCCAAGGGTAAACCCGTAAGATCGGTAGCAGATACGTGCCCGGCTGCGTTCCCTGAAGTGGGGATTCCTTGGGCTTGACATTGGTCATAAATGACTTGAGGAATACCGTTTCGTTCTTGAGCTTGGATTGGTGCTTCGACGAACTGTACGGCGAGACCAACTTCAAGATGCCATTCAATGTGACCTGGCACGGGGGGAAACAGAAACAGGTGAGCGTGTTGAGACAAGTGTGGGGGAAGGGAGAATATGAACTTACAGTGGAAGAACCAGACACCAGGGTTATCGGCGATAACGCGCATAGTGACTGAATTCATCGACGGGACCTGGACTGTATCTCGACGTACAGGGTTTGCTTGGCCTTCAACGATAGGTGGGTTAAGCGACGGGTCATCTGAAGTGTAATCCTCTGCACGACCAATGAGCTGCATCTTATGGCCATGCAAATGGCTACGCAGAAGAAAAACAACGATTGGTCAGTCCCATCATTGAAATACCACGATGCGATGGACGATGACGAGAATGATGACTTACAAAGGATGTTTCCCGGCATCTCCATTCTTCAACACGATATCAAACACTTCCAAATGATCGAGCACAATACTATACGGTCCATATGCCTCTTGAATTGTCGCATTCTCTCCCAAAGTGACCTGACTTAAAACGGCAGGAACCAGAGGGGAGTTATAGGTAATCATATTGAACATGGCCCTGTTAGTCCCATCGTCCAGAGTATCGAACAGCACTTCAAGTTCGACCGTCTTGGTGGCGGGAACCATAGGTTCAACAACAAGAGGGACCAAATCGAGGTCAGGTACGTCAAAGTATTCATCAACGAATCCGAGATCCGTCAGAGGAGCAGAGGAGTTATATGTGATTGAAGAAGTGACGTCTTGAAGAATAGTGGTAATATTAGTAAATTCTCCGATACTAATGAGGGAAGGGAGAACTGACTAGGGTTTAACGCGTCAGGAACAGTATCGAACATGTCCGTGTCCATGTTGGCGTGGATAGCCCAATTGGCGGAGGTGTCATTTCGAGCTGTGACGAGGATGGAGTATCGTTGTGCGACGGTAACGCTGATCAAATCAATCGGGTACTCCTCGACGTCCGTCTACAAATACCCAGTCAATCATTACTTGACTTTCGTCATGGAATTCAAAACAATACTCACACCGTCAACTTCGATGATCCTCATCTCATGCCCATCAATCCAAAAGAAGAACATCGCGAACGCACTCGTGTTGACGACCCTCAGTCGATATGTCTTACCAGGCTCAAACGACAACGTCGCATTCTCATTGAACCCTACCGCAGCTGTGACGGGGTCAGGTGAAGTACCCGCAATGGGTCCTAGGTAGGTCGCGTTTTGGGCGAAGTAAATCAAAGCAGAGTCTGTGTACAAGTCAGCGAACGGCTTTGATATAATCACGCATGCGCATACCGGGTACAGGCTCGGCACCTCCGGGGTTGGCCACACTGATGAATTGTTTCAATAGATCAGCATGTTCGTCATGGTACCAGTCACCCAACACCACGGTGAACTCTTCGTCGTAGTGGTGTTTCTCTTGTTGTGGGTGGACGAGGAAAGGCGCGCGAAGACCGTCAACGTATTGACCCTACAAGGTGAACAGTAAGTCCTCATTCACTGATTGCGAGAGGTGGATGGCTGACGTTGGCGTGCGAGTGCACCCAGTAGGTACCCAATTGACCAGATGTGTTGACAGGGATAACGTAGTCGAAAGAATCGCCAGGTGGAATACCGCTATAAAGTAATCGAAAAATTAGATGTCGACGGGGACCCATCGGCAAAATCTTACCATTGACTGACTGCCAGAGCACCGTCCATCCATGACGTCGAGTTGAAGAACATGCCGTGATGGTGGAGCGTCGCAGGTTTATCCAGCGAGTTCAAGGTATGCACCACGAGAATATCAGTATCGTTGACATCCAGCGGTGGAGGCCTGTGTGTAGTCAATAACTGCATGCATCAGGAATACGAAAGCAAGATCGAGCTTACGGCCAAGTGCCATTTACACCGATGACTCTACGCGGGGCCAATCCGTCAGGGTTGGCATCCTGGATATAGGTGAGGTTCCACCATACCTCCTGTACACCCGCAAGTACAGGAGACACAGCGACGGCAAGCAAAGCGAGTGAGGACCACATCGCGTGGAAGGTGCGTCAGACTGCTACGCCTTGTATGCAAAGCGCAGAGCAGGAAGGGTAGTGGGCAGGAACGAACGGGGATGATTCGGACGACCCAACATGGCGAGATAAATACGAAAAGCAGGTATGAACCCCGGGGACGCTCATGGGGAGTTTACCGGGAGGAGTTAGTCCGCAGGTGGGTGCCTCGCAAGGGTATAGACTAACTGAATTGCAACCCAAATGCGGCGGAGCAGAGTGCGCATAAGTTTTTATCAGATAACGACACGACGTTGATTGCAGATTGTACCCGTCAGGAGTTATCTGATAAGTCATGCGTCCGAAGCCGGTGGGGATCTCGGCCGCCATAGCGGCTATTTTGCTGGACCAGGTATGTTCTAAACTGTTCTAAGCCTGCCTGGAGTGTCATTAAAGTTGCGCCGCAAATTTGTTTTCTATTCGCAAGGGGCAACACATAGCGATGCAATGGGTCTACGATAATCTGTCAATGCTCCTGCAAGCCCACTACCGAGTTAGAGCTCAAGGTTCAAACCGCGTTGGTGGGTGTATTAATAGCACTTAGCACTTCGTCTTCGGGAAGGGCTGGAGCGTGTGGCAACGCCAACAGCTGACACAGAAAAGTCTCAAAAAAGGTGCGGGAGAAGGGTCTGCTAAATGATTATCTGATAAGATTCGTTCCTCTCCACAGGGCACTTCCTCGACGGGTCTTGGGCGGCCTGATTTACCCCAGCAAATTATCAGATAACCCGAACGCTTTCCTCGGAGTCTCTCTTCGAACACCGTTCCTTGAACTAGCCCGCGTTTGCTTTATCTATGGCTAGGAACATTGAACCTGTCTTCTTGACCCGCTTTCGGCACCCCACCTCCTCCCTCTCCGCTCGTCCCCACTCGTCGACATGGGCAAGAACGTATTCTCAGTCCCTATCTTCTTCATAGTCTTCCGAGAGACTCTCGAGGCTGCCATCATCGTCTCCGTTCTTCTCGGTCTCGTTGAGCAGATTGTCCGTGACGATCCGGGAAGACTCTCCCCCTCACCACCCCCACCACCCTCTCCCGTTGAGAAACCGGAGGGCAGTGGCACCGGGAGCGGTGAGCTCAATAATCAACCTGAGCTGGTGCACCAAGAGGATAATGAGGTCCGGGCAAAGCGTCTCATTCGCAAAATGCGCATTCAGATCTTCGCCGGCTCTTTCTTGGGTTTATTCTTTGCTCTGGCTATCGGTGCCGCATTCATCGCAGTTTGGTTCACTCAAGCCAGCGACCTTTGGTCCAAGTCCGAAGAACTCTGGGAGGGTAAATTAGCTCCCAATTTCGCGTATTTTAGTCGTAATTCACGCGCCACATTTTGTAGGTATCTTCGAGCTCATTGCCTCTCTCATCATCTTCGTCATGGGTGTCACCATGCTTAGGATGGATCGTGCCAAGGTAAAATGGCGCGTAAAGCTTCAACGCGCGTTCGAAGGCAAACGTACGTAGTATCTCATTCTTCCTCTTGTCCGTCACTCATTCTAGTTGTTTAGAGGTTGACGGCAGGACCAAAGCGGGCAAATGGGTCCTCTTCATTTTGCCATTCATCACCGTACTTCGAGAAGGTAAGCCTATCTCTTTCTCAGGTCCTATCCTAGTTTCTAACCTCACATCTCCACATCGTGTAGGTATGGAAGCCGTCATCTTCGTCGGTGGCGTCTCCCTCGGCCAACCTGCCACCGCCATCCCACTTGCAACGGTCATCGGTATTATTTGTGGTTTGATTTGCGGCTTCCTCATTTATGCTTTCGCCAGTCGCACGAGTAAGTCTCAATGCTAACTTCCTTTGGTTGCGTGGCCACAGGCTGATGGGTCGCTTTTCTCTATAGCTTTGACAGTATTCATGGTCGCCATGACCAACTTCCTCCTCCTCATCGGCGCTGGTTTGTTCAGTAGATCCATCGGCGCGTTCCAAGAGAACGCTTTCAACAACCTGTAAGCCCTGCTCCCCCTCCCCTTCTCATATTCATCACTAACACAATCCTTCCCCTCTATCTAGCCTAGGTGCAGATGTCGACGACGCGGGCGCAGCAGGTGACGGGCCAGGCTCTTACGACGTCCGAGGAAACGTTTGGCATCTCAACTGCTGCAACCCCGAGAGTAAATTCGACGGTCAAGGATGGACGATTTTCAACGCCATTTTCGGGTGGACTAATAATGCTACGATCGGAACCGTCCTCGGATACGTCTTTTACTGGTTGGCCGTTGTGGCGGTCTTGATTTACATGAAGTTTAAGGAAGTGAGTATTTGTTGGGTTGTTTTTTGTTGGGCGGGTACTGACGTTCGGTGTCTTTCATTTTTTTAGGGTAGGACGAAGTTGTTTGGACGGGAGAGTGCTGCCGGTGTGAGAAGGCGAGAGAGGGCCGCTCTGGACCGGGGTGATTCGGAGGCTAGCGTCGGTAAGGAGTAAACCGTCTAGTTTCCAGACCCTTGTCTTCATGCATTCACTTCCAAAAATTTCACGGTATATGTTTTGACGAACTGGTGACGTACGAGCCGAGAAAACGGCAAACGACAAAGGGGTCTTTATCTTGTATTCGAGCCATGTAACAATGTAAACATCTCATTATGTTGTTCAATTTTAATTTCACGTACTTCGATGACACAAATGAGCACGAATCGACTATGTATATGCGCTAGAACCCAACTATCTAACACTCGTACGTTAGAAGGTTCAAAGGGGTCTATCTGAGGTGGATCCGTGCTGGGAAAAGCTGTCTGTTGTTGAACGTCTGCACATGTAAACGTGTTCAACAGCATATGGCACACTATGATCATTACATAGTAATCTGCTAATACTTCCAGTGGTGCGCCATGAGTGTATGCTGTCATTACTGCTGGCAAGGAGAATGGAAGCGAAGTTCCCGCGTTCAGGCCAAATGACTCATGTGTCGTGTGCACTTGGCCCTAAATCAAACCGCCAGCTCGTCTTTGAATGTCAAACATCCGGTGTTAGTAACTAGGTCAACAGCCGTTCCACGATGTTACGGACATCTGACTCCTGTATGACACTCCATCACACTACTGCCGCGATTCACGGTTTATAGTTCTGGTTCCTGATCCTACGCACTGACAAAGGAATTCCGTCAGTACATAACAACTACGACAGAGGCGTAGCAGGCCATCCGTCGGAGTGGCATGAATAGTTATCAGATGGCATAGAAGCCAGGATATACATAGTGCGAATGAATAGGGATTGTCAACGAAGGTAAGAAGCTTACTGTTCCAACAATCAGAACCTTGAGCCGCGGAGGTGAAATTGGCCTCTGAAGGTTCTGAAGTGCGGCACGTATCTGATAAGATACGTACGGGTCTAGCTGGCAATCTCAAACGTTCATGTGGGTTGGTCTGAAGAAATAGACAAGTCTACGTGATGAATCCGGCTATGTCTCATTCCCGTCTTGGCGTTGCCATACGCATGTAGCATGACGGGACTCCACAGGACGGAGGGAAATAAAGAGGATATAGTGTATTCAATCAAGCATGTCTAGGAGATGAACACACGTACGAATAACTGGGCACTACTGGTAGGAGTAAGGGTGAGCATAAATAGTTCTTAAGAATCACGGTGGGACGATGGAAAATCTAAGAAACTAAGAATAAACCTAGGAAGTACGTCATATGAGCACGCAGAATCATGTTGATCAATACAGACACGAACCTTGTCGTCTCCCACATGTAAACGAAGAAGCATCACCCGCTTACAAACAGGACACTGCAGACCTCGCGCGAGTTCCTGGATGATACATCTACGAAACGCAGCCTCTTCAGAACAGACACAAGCCAAAGAACAACCAAGCCATACCCATGACAGAATAAGTGCCCGCACATGGTAACCGTGGGCTCCGAAGGGTTCTTAAGGCAAATCCGACAATGCCAACTAAGTTCCTTTTCGGCTCCAGCAGTCATGGAGAGTGTCGAAGACGGGTTCAAGGGATTGTAGTGAGCTTTCGGTCCGCTAGTCGAACCTAACGGGACACCGCTGGCTCCACTCGTGACTACGGAACCCACAGGTCATTTACCAGAATAGCAAATGAAAAAGGGAAGCACTACCTTTGGTACGAGACGATTTCGAGCGGGGTAGCGTCGAATCCCGCGCTGTAGAACGAGTTCTGGATCGACTATCATTATGCAGACTTGGGACATTGCTGATGGCCATTGACACGTTCGCCGAGACGTCTTGTGGAGTAGGAATTTCTGAGGGTGGTAAAGATGCTTGTCTTGCACGTGGAGTCGAGTGACGACAAGATGATCGAGTGCGTGAGATTGTCGCGTTTACAACCTCACCCACAGACTGCATAGACCGCACAGAGGGAACAGGACTAGAAGCTAAGAGAGGAGGGACGATTGTCAGAGGAGACGAAACTTCCAGATCGCTGTGTTGTGAATTCAGATTAGACGAGACCATCGAATAACTGGAATCAGTGGTTAAGTCAGGTGTCGGTTCTGAGATTGCGCTACGAAACGTCTATGTCAGGTCTGCGATCAATTATGTGAAACGAGTCTACTTACTAACTCAGAGACTGTGAAGTCCTCGCGGGAGATGTTGGTGCACTAGCCTGAGTGATGATTGTAGCTCTGTCAGTCACAGCAGAAAGCAAGGGAACATCGGTTTCTGGTTCCGCCGGCAATGGTGGAGAAGTGCGTATTGAGAGCGAGGTGGGTGGTGGCTCAGAGGTCGCCCGAGACAACGAACCCGGGACTTCCAAAGACACAGTCTTCGTATTGCATAAGTGAGCATATGTAGCAACCCCAATTGAAGATCTTGTTCTTACCCCCTCGCGCCGAGGTTCTATAACGTTAGTCTTGGGTGGAGTGGCAGCGAGCTCGAAGTTATGCGTCACTTTGGTTGCAGGTGCGGATAGAGATGTTTGAGACACCGAAGATGTTGATGACTCTTTGAACGGCTGTTGCAAATACGATTAGAGACGCGAACCCGAAACCGGATGAACACTCACACTGGCACTTGTTGAGATATCAGTTACTAAAGAAGTTCTTACGGCTATGATGACCATTTTAGAGTCATCGAAAGATGAGTCAGGGTGTCGACAAGACTCACAGGATGGGGTACCAAGCGAATGGACTGGGTTTACTGGAGGCGGGCTAGGGCTACGAGCATGGTGAGTTTTCAGGTGCTGAGGATTGGATCATAAACATAAATGGTGCAGGACATCGTAATTGCCCTCACATCGTCATAATTAGAATTTTCTCTGAATCCGATCTTGCACAAGTCACAACGTGTGTGCTTGTTAGATTGATAATAGTGCTGCGTGAGAGCGTATTCAGAAGACAGTGCCAGCTTGCAAGGAATGCAGCAGCGTAAAGGATGGGTGGAAAGTACATGCTGGAGTGCCAGTCGTCAATACGTCTACTAACGCTAGTTTATCAAGAACTGACCGAATCATGCAGCGCGATTGTTTCGAAACCAAGATGACATGTTGAGCAAGAAGGATGAGACGTAGAATTCTGGTAGTGAACTGGCAAAGCCGCCTTGTATACGATAATTCCGCATCCGCACAATATTGTAGGATGAGATGTTTCACTGTGCTTGAATTCATCGTCAGTACGGCTCGTTTATCATTAATTGCAGCATCACATTACCTTATTCGGTACCGGGATTGAAGGAGCTACAGCTACACGTGTCTCATGAGTGTCTCTGAAATGCTGGAGATGTACGATTAATCAAAGTACAAGAGCCAAAAATGTATCTCCCTCACAGCATCGCGAGCGGCGGCACTGGAGAACGATGTCTTTGAGCACACTGAGCATCGGAAGAGCTTATGCGCTGGACTATCTCGAACGTGCTGCTCGTAAGCCTGCTGCGAAACAAACTGTCTACCCTTGCAAGTGTTGCAGGTAATCATAGCTCGTGAGTGGGCAAAGGTGTGACCTAACGAAGTTAGAACTTGAAGACGAGAGTGAAGGCACTATTCGATATATACCTCAATATGCCGCACGCTAGCCTTGAGGATATTAAAACGCTTCGTATCCTGAAGACAGCACCTTCAACGCGAGGAGTCTCGCGTACATCATAAGCATGCTGCGAGCACGGGGATAGCTTCTTCTGGTGGACATTTTAATGTGGAAGCACCAGCCAGTGGATGCATACCTATTCACTAGCCGCTCGATGTTTCAAGCGTAGCATTATCTTTCGTTTGACAACACATCTTCAACCATAGACCTGAATAGACCTGAAGAAAAGCGAAACGTGGAAAAAGGAAGATGCTACTATGAGCCTAGTAGTATGAAACGTCAACCTTCTTCACCCAAAGGTGCTAGTCACCATAATCGGAATGCGTAGTCCACACGCCTTTTTCCCGTGGTGCGGCTGCAGAGACACTTCGTACATGTGCATATAACGAGGCTTGACGGATAGACCAGACGGTCGTCAGAGAACCGCACCAAACCACGTATCTGCCGACGTACCTGCCCGCGTACCTTTCAATTCATCGTAACACCGGTAGCGAAAACAGTAGCAACGAGTGCTCGAATCCTCACCTCTCTTATACAATGCACCGTTAGTCATCTAAAAAGTTGAGTGGGACATGATTCACAAAAGTGACGAGCATAACGTGACGGGTATCGTATTACAGCGAGCAGAAGGATGAGGCCCAGATCAACTTTGACCCCTTAACTCTCGTATGAGTTTGTTCCTGAATAAAACAACGTCCTTCCAATGACCCTTGGCGACCTCGACCCCGACTGTAGCCAGAGTGTCAATGGGCGTGTAAAAGGAGGGTAATACCGTGGAGTATATCGGTGCCATGGCACGGTCAACATAATGGGCCACAGTTCCACGTTGGTTTGTACGATCTGCTGGGTAGTCCTTTGAAGGGAAAAAGTACCCAGGACGCAAGATATGCATCGCAAACCCTGGCGTGTTATCAGCGAATGCAGTGAGATCGTTCTCGGCTCGGCCCTACCGAAAATTAAGAATCGTTAGAAGATCAGAGTCCGAAATTAATGAAAGGTAAAACACGAAACTTTACTCTAGCCCACATTTGCCGACTGGTCTGCGTAGGGTCCGCCATCTCCCCACTAATATAAACCAACCTGAACTCTTCACCCTTTTTGCGCTCAGCACCCGCACCTGCATCTCTCAATGCCTTGATGAACGCCATAGGGTAGTCATAGGTCAGTCGAGTGTAGTCAGCCTCTGACATGCCTGAGGAAGCCTTCCCCATCGCCCAGATACACGCATCGTGTTGAGCCAGACTCGATGCAAGGTCCGGTGAATAGGAAACATAGTCAGAGTGAATGATGGTCTGGGTCTTCTCGGTGGCATTGGGAGGAAGGACAGCCCATTCCGGGAATGAACGACGAAGTAGAAGAGTGATACTTGTTACAGCAGGGTCGGACAGTGCTGCACGGTATATGCTGAGGCCAGCTACGATGAAACTGGAATTAAGACCTGGTCAAAGTTTCTTCTGAGAGAGATAATTGCTCACCGACGCCAGTGGCACCTGTTAGAAGAAGTCTCATGTCGTTTGGTTAGGAGGAAGCTGATACATTCCAGAAAATTGATATTCCCCAGCTTTTATAAATTTCACCTGCCGGGTAGCCTCGCATACACCAACAATGCAATCGGTGTGCCGACCTCGTCGGGGAGCACTGCTGCCGTGAAGACGGGTCCTCATGCGGTGTTCAGCGACTTAACTTCACATCTTCCGGGATTAATCAAGCCTAAGGGCTGACTATTCTCATTGCACAGCATCCTTGAAAGAAACGTAGGAGCAAACGTTGCGAAACTCAGAGAGGAGGACTTGGATAAACTCGCTCAAACAGATAGCTTCAAAAGTCGATGCATGTGCCAGTAGCCGCCGACAGCACCATCAGCGCTTCCCAATTAGTCTGTAAGATTGAAGGTAAGTTACAGTACGTCAAAAACTTTAGCGATGACATTGACAGTAAAACAACGGATCACAATGGTGGGGTTCAACTGTATTGATGCGGTACTAGATATGCGAGTCAATATGACTAAGTAGCTCTCCGTTTGAGATCGCTTTATGGTCCGTCATATCCAGCTTCAGTAGGATCGTGACGTTGCAAGCCGGGCATCGAAGAGACGCTTTGTTGGATAGCTGACGAAGCACGCAGCTAAAATAAACAACAGGCTGTAAATATATTATGGCTCTTCTAGGTTTTACATACATACCTTTGACATAGTACGTGGCCGCACATGGCCGCAATAGGTACTGTCGATTCGGCCTCACAAAAGCCGCAAGAGAATGACTGTCGCAGTAACGATACACAGGGCTTGCTGGGTGCGTCGTTATCTGGATATTCCAGCACAGTCGAGACCTCTATCTCTGGACGATTGATCTGATCTACTTCAACATTGGTGTCCGTCGGAAGGCTGGAAAAACGAAGAAACAATGTTAGCAAATTACGAACAGGACACCTTCAAGCAAAGAAAGGCTCACTTTTCCAAGGGTTGGGCCCCTTCTATCATGTCATGCTCTCTCTCTGCGCGCCCAGAAGGAATCGCTGCGTCTGTCCTCTCAGTCTGGCCACCGCTGAGTTCGAAAATATTTTCCGTACCAACAGCTACATCACACCGGTCGGTGTTGTTGATGGTTTTCGGAACACTAGGCGGGGAATCGTAGACCTTGCATTTGAATGGCTGCAACAATGGGGATTCAACAGGCACGATTGGGCTCAGGATCATCTCGAGAGGAAGAGCACGAGAACTAATATCGTCATGATGCTCTTTCTCTGAAGGCGTCACGGGGATAACCGGCGTGCTGGGGGTCGGTAGAATGGTCCAAGTCCAAGGATGATCCAGAAACGGAGGCATGCTCCAATAAATCAAAAGGCGCGCAGCATGGCATAATAATATTATCATCATGGCAGAAATCCCACTCTGACAGTGACGAAAATATAGCGTTCATGGGAGTGGTGAAATCCTCGTTAGTGTCGCCCTCAGAGGAAGAACCCAAAGAATCATCCCATGAGCAGAATGAAGAGACGGAGGACGTTGATGGACTCATGAGAGTGAGTCGACCGTCAGAATCCTCCCTAGAGTCGCTAGGATAGTTGGTTGTGCATGAGAAACAAAGATGTGATACGTGAACTTTGCGAATACCCACGGAACGGCTGTATCAACGTTCTTGTTGCCACCGATCCTCAGTGGTTCCAGCGACCACCTCCGACAGGTCAAATGTCTCGCTTCAAACGGCCGGCAAAAGAGACTCGTCCGATGCAGATCCTGACTCTCATTTACATAAGGATACGTTGGGATGCGAACTAGTGGAGGGAAAGGGTTATCACAATTTTTCATCACTTAAAATTAATATGAAGGTGAGAGACGAAGCGTACCATGACACATTGGTGCCACAGTCCTCTCCATTGAATATTTGTGAGGTATTCTTCTCGTTGATGGATGTATAAACCCTCGAGTGGTCATCTTGAAATCCATTGTCTCCTTGCGAAGGAGCAAATCGGACAGACATTGGATACATTGGAGTCGTGAGATATGACTTGATGTTTAATAACTCAGACACGTGGAAATGCAAGCCAAAATGCTGTGAAATATAGTAGTGTTTGAGTACAAGTTTGTCAAAGGGAAGGTAGGCAAGAACTCCATGATATTACTTACCTCGTTGAATGACCGTCGGTCAATTGAACGCTTGCCGCATACAATACATAGTGGGTGACCATGCCGCCGATGTCTGCGATAATCTGCTCTGGGAATATGGTCCCCGCAAGTTGAGCAATATACAACTTCTGTGTGTGGGGTATTTTCCATGACTGCAGAGTGCTAGAGATGCAGCTTCTCTGTTGAGATCGATCCAGAGGAAGCTGTATAGATAGATGCAAAGTGTCCTATCGATCTTATTATGACACTTATCCTAGAGCCTCGAGGCAGCTGCGCACTGCGTATCGACATCATCATGTCAGTATCTTAATATGATATGGGCAGGAATAGAGAGACGCAGATCTTACCGGACATTGAACTCCATTCCTCAATCCCGAACTGCCTCTTAGACACTTCGATGATTGGTTCACGAAATGTGGACTTTATTGTCTTCCAATATTCGAGCGAACGAACAAATTCTCGTACACTCTCAGAGCTTCTGTAATACATATGCCGTTAGACCACGCCACGTTTTAAGCTGGCCATGAACTGCACGGTTGCATGAAAATGATACACAACTTGAATATAACGCCCAGAGAAACGATAACTCGATTTCTATGGTACTGACACATACCTCAAAGAGATTGTCATGACAGCAGTTCCGTGCAATTATTCCTACACTTCTAGAACCCTGCATATACGGTTTCAATAAATGCAGCAAATCCATAGTTCAAATTCGAAACAAGACTGAAAGAGCCTGAGAAAGGAAAGAGAGGCACCCTGTTTAGGCGCCTGTGTTTGACTCCGATCTTCCACCTTCTCCTCGTCGCGTCGATCTGAGGAATCCTTTTCAGGTGTGCTCTTGCTACCGCAATGACCATGGCAGATTACACGATTTAAGTCTGGATGCAAATCTTGGTAGTAACGAAGAAAGTAACGCGTCCGACACGACGCTGGATGTAACCAGCAGCATTGATATTGTAAGAGGAATACAATCCATTTGTGGTACGCGAAATCAAATAGAACCAAATACTAATAAATATGCGAATGTTAGATCGTCCAGTCGACTTCGAGCTTTCCTACCCTTTGACCTTCGAGTTTAAAACTTAATGCTCCAACTATTTCTCCCTAGCCCCGACAGATGCATACATTGGTTCAACCTCCGGCAGGGGAACGTCTTCCATTCGCGGCGCACCGGGCGTACGAAGGGTACGATCACTCGAGAACTCCGAGAAAGAGCCATTTGCCCCATGGGTTAGCGGCAGAGACTTCAGTTGCCTCGGAGTAACAAACGTCCCATTGCGAGTTTGGAATGTAAAGAAGGATGAAGCTCTGACTCCGGAATTGGAATTGGAATTGGAATTGGAAGAGGTTCTGACGTCGGTACGACGATCGTCTAGCACCCGTGATGGGTTGCCAGTGATCGTCTTGGTAGGTGTGTCTCCCTTAGAACCGCCCTACGCAATGATTAGCCATTGCTATCCATTGTAGCCAATAAAAGTACTCACCTCCAACCCTTGGTGTTTGGCGGACCGCGACTGTGATGCGGTGTCATTGTTCGCGGTGCTTGAGAAGGACCTCGAAGAGGATGTAGACGAAGCGCTCGACTGATTATATGCGGTCATGTTTATACAGACGGTCGTCGCCGAAGGTATGAGGGTTGAATTGGTGAGTTATGGGTGTTATCGTTATGTGGGGGACGCGTTAAGGGGGGCACAGGACTCCATAGCAGCTACGGACATCGATCTTTTATATTGCTACCTCTGTGTTCGACACCTACCCGACTTGCCACTCATAGAGGTCGAAACTACGACACAGCGGGCACATCTGGTCACGGGAGTGATGTTGAAGTGTTCTCACGACCCGGTCCTCCCAGCCAAAATCGCATTCCGTGGGACAATAGCCTGGTTGATAAGTGCACATTGGATTTTCTGTTTTGGGCAAAGCTCGCCGACCAGTGACTGAGCCACTCGAGGAGAGCTTCATGGGCCTCGCGAGGTGATGATCGGGGAATCTTCGAGCTTGGCAGCATGATTTCTAACTTGAGATCTGGACGATAGCTTTCTGACCATCGTTGCTTGAATTGGAAGTAAGGTTCTCTTCCCGCCTCCAATGCCAGTTGGTGCTTTGAGCTAACAAGAGCGACGGCGTTCTCCGACTTTCATAGGCCTCATTGAAAGCTCGACGTGTGGCTCACTCGCGAGATCACTTTTCCCTAAACCGACATCCTGCAGTCCTACGGAGGTTTGGAAATAAAACATGGACAGGGGACTTCAGACTAAGGCCATGGATGTACGCAATGTACCAGTATAAGTGGCCCAATTCGTTTCGCGTTCATGGTATCTTTGAACTTAGACCGGCGGATTAGAATCCCGCTGAACAACGTTGGTATGTCCGATGCTTCCGTTCTCTCATGCATACTTATACCAACGCCATTCTTCGAGTGAGAACATCCATGGCGTGCTCTTCTTTGCCGCACCCCCTACTTCTTCCGCGCGCTATTTCCTCTCATTGCGAACCGAAGAAGGGGGCGCATATTGTATCCGAACGACTCGCCTTTCGTTGAAAGGCTCATTGAGGCTCACATGCGATGACTGAACCCCAGATACTGATGTTCAGTGACCTCCTATGTATGGAGTTTTTGACCTTCTACTGCGCTAGGGCTGGCAAAAATAACTTCATCGGTTGAATTTTTGAAAAACGTGACGGTTTGCCCAGAATAGGCTTGGTTCGTGTCTCTGCGTGGGGGTGCGGTGGATATCCAGTCGTATGCCTATCTTTGGAGTCCGCTTTATTTACGTAACTCGTCAAATCCTACGGATCCGGGCATCCAGTCAGGAACCTAGGCTGTTACTAAATTCATTAATGAACGTTCGATTTCCCGATAATATGGTGAGATATCAGCTTGTTACTTTGGAAGGAAGTTCAAACACCATCCGTACTCATCATGTGCTTGACAACTGGTTCAATTTCTCGATACAGACCTGATTCAGTGCTTCCTGTCAAAGTGCACCGGCGCGAAGGATTATTGGGTTCCGGTTTACTATAACCCGGTGCACGTCGCACTCCCCAATCTTTGTTCGCACTCCTCTGCCCCGCACTCCTCTGACTGTTGTCATAGCTGTAACGATGTTAGGCATTCGAGATGCTACCCAGCCTGCTGCGTTTCATGTTACTTCGACCTTGTTTGGCCCTCTTGATTTTCAACCACACTCTCAGGTTATAATGTACTTGTTTATTGGTCTCTCGACGTTGTGGTTGGTTCTCAGAGCATTTGGCGATACTCGAAGGCGTAGTCTACCCCCAGGCCCACGAGGAATCCCGATCCTCGGGAATGTCTTTCAGTTAACAGGAGACGTCTTTCTTACTTTTCATAAATGGAAAAGGAAGTTTGGTGCGTATCCCGAGATTCAGGATGAATTCGTTATTGATAATCAATGATCCCCTTCAGGGCCTTTGGTCTATCTCAGGGCCGGTGGCCAAGATATACTGCTTCTCAATACCCATGAGGTTGCTTTTGAACTCCTCGACCGCCGTGCAGCTATATACAGTGGTAGACCTAAGCTGATTGGTAACGATCCACCTGGAGATATTGATATATATTGAGATAGTTGATGCTGGATTCTAGTGGCATCCGAGCTGATGACCGGCGGACTCTTTATGCCCTTGCAAAGTGATAATGATGCGTACGTTCAATTTTTACTCGTTCATTTGTTCTCGGAGTTGAATGTTTTGCTTCTAGTTGGCGCAGGATGCGACGCGCCAGCCATGAACATGTCGGACCTTCTGCGGTACATCAATATCGCTCTACGCAGATGAAGGAAGCCACAATAATGGTAGAAGGACTACTACGAGAGGCAAATACCTGGCGCGATGAGCTCGAGAGGTTTTGTTCCTGACTGAGATTGCACACGTGTCATGCCTAACTGTGTTTTGATCAGAATGTCCGTTTCGTTGGCCATGGGTGTCGTATACAGGCAGCCAACCATCACCTCTCTCAAGGATCCTAGGGCGACCCATCTGAATGACTTCCTTCATGATTTCACCCTTGCTGCATCTCCAGGTGCTCACCTAGTCGAATATATCACTTGGATGAAGGTGAGTCCAATTATTGTTGCTTCTTATGAAGGCTGCCGACCCAAAGATGTTCCTTCAAGTATCTTCCTGCTTCCATCGCTAAATGGAAGCGCGACGCTCTTAATCGATACCATCACGACTGGTTGTATTTCAAGAATATGTACATGACCGTAGAGGACCGCATTGTGGGTAATTTGTTCGAAATCGGCGTGACAATGTAATTGAAGCCTTATAAAGCGCAATGGCGAGCACATCGCCTCCTTAGCTGCCTCCCTCATCCGAGATAGAAAGCAGTTGGGTTTGAGTGAGAAGGAGGCCGTTTGGACAGCCGCTGCCATATAGTTAAGGAAATTACATCTATTTCGTTGCTTTTCCTCTGACTTTGGAATGTGCATAAGTGGTGGGGGAGCCGAAACGGTATGTTACGCGTAATGTTTCGGCGATTGAGGTCGCTAACCATAACTTTCGGCATTCTAGACGATGACGTCGTTGTCTTGGTTTTTAGTTACTATGGTGTCACATCCCGACATTCAGAGGAAGGCACAAAATGAGCTCGACGCTGTTGTCGGACAGAGACGCATGCCTAATTTCTCTGATCGTGAACATCTGCCCTACATCGATGCATGCCTCCGAGAGACGTTGAGATGGAAAGGCGTAACACCGGTGGGAGTTGTCCACCAAACTGCGGAGGTAAGATTTGAGCTGTCTCCATCTATGTAGGCATGGTGAAGTGGTTATAACAGGATGACTGGTACGAAGGGTACTTCATACCGAAAGGCACTATTTGTATCCCGAATCAAAGGTATGTGAATCATTGTCATCCGCTTCGAATCTAGTATTAACACACAAGTCGATATCATAGATCTATGAATAGGGATCCAGATGTATACGTGAGTCGCTATCTTCTTTAAAATGTAATCAAACTGCAGAGCAAGGTATACAGGGCCCTGGTGTGAATGAATTTAAACCTGAACGTCATCTCGACAATAATGGCAGGTTGGTTTGCCCATTTCCTAATACCCATGATGGTGCGTATACACTGTCTTGGACATGATGCAACATGCAACTCCTAAATACGTCCTCTTCCCGTTCACAGAAGGTAAATGTTACTACGTTCTGTCTCCTCAACCAACGTGCAATCTCACGCCTTTCGCATGGATTGTTAGGTCATGTTAGCTATGTCCGTTTCATATCGCATCGCTCCAATCCATTCACTCAACTACTAAACCATTCTACAGGGATTTGGAAGAAGGTACTGAAGCTATCCGAGCTACACATTATCAGACGACTCGTTCTGATTCAGATGACTTCTGGAATACAGGATATGCGTTGGCCGTTATATCGCCGATGACACGCTGTTCATTGCTATGGCTTCGCTACTGTGGGCTGCTACTATTGCTCCAGTTGAGGATGCTGATGGCAATCCTGTAATGCCTGATACCGAGGGTTATGAGAATCGAGGACTTGTCTTGTGAGTAATGCTTACCAAGTCATCATTACGGGAACCTTGTGAAGAACTAACTGAATGATGTTGCTCGATCGCTATAGGTCTCCACTCCCTTTCGAATGTTCTGTGAAACCTCGATTTCCTGGAGCAGAGGAGATCATTTCCTATACGAGGGAAATGTTTGAGGAATAAACATGAATCTTGGAAACTAGTATCGATGTACAATGAACGACTCAAATAAGAAAATGCCTGCTTTGCAAACTAGGCTACCACGGCTAGTACTATGAATGCTATTCTTGTGTTCCGCCTGGGATTATTATTGATTGACGTACTGCGTTTATTCACGACCTATCAACGTTAGCTCAGAAGGATTTTCTCGGCAATAGAGACGTGATACAGGGTAGAAGACAAGTAACTAAGAGTGAAAAACTGTTGTAATGCAGAGATGACCTTTAGCAAATGGAGGCTAAACGATCACCGACGTCGTCAGCTTTTCGTCTTAATCTCAGTTGCACCGTCCATGACTTAGTCCTACCTTCAGCCAAGAGTGCATCTCGAAGGCCACTGTGCTGTGATTTTTCGCTAAGTAGCTGCATATCCTTCAACATCAGGCATTCCCTAGGCACTCGTGAACCTACCAAATAATTAGCGTTCATACATTCATACATCAGACTTTGCAAGAAACCAACGGCCGGAGATCGTGTATGAGGAGAGGTGACATTGATCACAATCTACGTAAGTAAACAACATCGGAGGGTCCATTGATTATAAAGCCCAGGTATGTAAGGTATCGTTTTACCGCTTATACAAGCCCACAACCAGATGACGCGACGCATTACGCTCGCATCATGAGATCCAAGAAACAGAAGCCCGAAAAGTGCTTTGGCATATTTGGACTTCAAACTGGGAGAACGGTGTTAAAGACGTAGTCCCAAATCTTACTGGTGACGCCGAAGCCGAGGTCGAAGTTCTTGTAGTGATGTGCGAGATGGTATTTCTTCATTTCACGCATATAGGCCGGGAGTCGGGTGTGATGCAGACTAAAAATCATTGGTGAGTATAATGCTAGTGTAGAACAAGGTGAAAACATACGCGTAATGCATACAATCATAAAGAACGTCTATTGTAACGAAGTTAGTGATGAGTCCAACATCGGTAGTAAGATACTCACAGAAGGCGAAAGCTCCCGCAATTGTGCCATTAGCCACGGCAGTGGGGAATATCGCGTGTGCCAACTGCGTGAATGGATACGACAACGTGGTAAATAGTAAGGGAGGCATGACCAGCCTCAACCTATCCATAGGCAGATAATGGTGGATCCCATGCAACAGGAAATGCAGGGTCAACGCCCACGGGTGATCCGGAAGGTAATAATCGATGTGAAAGAGGAATCGATGGAGAGTGTACTCCAGGATGGTCCATACGACGTTACCCAGGAAGAAGCACGCCGTTGCCTTTGCAAATGAGACCGCGGGAATAGACATCGAGAAAATAATACGAAGAGGGGCGCTGGGGTCAGCGAAGAACGGAGGTACGCTTGACGGTCCATAGGTGAATTGGATAAGAGAGCGCATATACAAGTAACAAGCGATGGGCAACCAAATGCTCGGCACGACATACCACTGAGTCCGGGTGAATACCTAGTAGGAAGTCAGAAATGGCACGAGCATCAACTCCGTTGCTTGACATACCTCCAGGTACGCTGGTCCGAACATACGTGCTGACTCGGACAGATGGCGGGGCTGGTGAACTTGTTGCAAATAATACGATTTGCTGAAGTTGGCTTGCCAAACCTGTCTAAGCACAGGTTTGCGCAAATCCAGGAATTGATTCCTCTCGAAGTCCTTCGAGGTATCAGTCTCTTCTGGATGAAAGTCCTCCGCTGGAACCCAGTCTGAACCTGAGTTTAGCAACAGCAAGTAATCCAAGCGCTACCGGACATACCGTCCGAAACAATGTTTTCTCCAGCACCAACCCTCCCGATAATGTACTCATCCAACATGTCATAAGCGGAATCTGAGTGCTCATGCTCCTCAGGGTCCTTCATGACCGCACCCACATCCTTTCCCGCATAGTTCAAAATAAGATCGTCACCCCCTGGATGGTCAAGTATAAATGAAGTAACGTCATAGACCTTGCCGTTGCGCGAGACCCAGCAGCTCGACGGCGAACAATGCTGAGCGAGGTCCTCCTCGGTGAAGATGCGGATTCGTTTAGACATGGGTGCGCTCGAGGATGCGGTCGTTGGCGAAGAGAGCGACAATCCAAGTGGAACGACGTCTCCTCAGAAATCAATGCCGAAGCCGCATTCCCACGATTCTCGCTCCAATTGCCATTCGATCGAGACAGTGTCCCGATCGCAACCTGACCACGACCACGATCTCGACACCGACGGACACGGCAACGACATACCCTGGACGCCATCCACAACATTGACCTGGATTGAGAATTTACTTGTGATACTCTAACTTGCTGATGGTAACACTGCTGTTTCTGGACTTGCGAAATGTCACGACTCAACTTCGACATCGACGACGCTGCTCTACTGAAGGCCTACAAACTTTCGTCAGCGTCTCCTACGTATGCGTTTCAATATTTCCGTGTTGTTGAATAGGTGCATTTACTTCTAATGTAGGAAATGGGAAGAGACGGCAGATGATTTGGACGAGGTGGTCATCACCAGTCCTACTGGCGGTCTTCGGGAGAATGAAAGTGACCCTTTGGGACTTGGAGCTGTCGTCGAGTGCGTAGGATATGTGTCATTCTGTAGGTTGCTTGCTTGTTAATGTATCCTGCACCAGCGTGCGGAGTATGGACTCTGAAACCAGTTAGTCTGAAAGTTCTATGAGTGATGACCTACCATGAGCTCATTATTGAACGTGCAGAGGCTGCCGTCCTTATATCATCCAAGTCATTCAACCCCAAGATGTTTCTCTCGGTTGTTCACCCTAACGCAACCTATCAAGATCTTGCTTCTGGGATATCCCGTCTTCGTGCTTCAATTGACTCCCAGTCAGAAGCAATTCGGATCCTTGTTGAGGAGAACTTTGATAGATTTGTTGCTGTGAAGAACTCGACAGATGGTACCAGTTTTCAAGTCGGAACGTATTTTCAGTTTCACTAATATTAACTTAACTAGCATTATACGCCGAGATGCGAGAAGGTCTCCTGGCCGAATCAACTGACTTCGGATCGAAGCCACTAAGAGACCATCTGAAATGTAAGTCGCGCAGCATCGACCCTGTAATAATGATACTCACTTCTAGCATGCAGTGGCGGCACAGAAAGCAGACCAGGTCTTTCTACCTGTTCTTGAGAACGCTACGAAAGCTCAGAAACTTCGTACAACCCTTGGAGTGTTTGAACGCTCCAAGTTCTTCTTCAACCTTCCAGGATCTCTCGTCGAACACATCGAAGCTGTGCGTCATAGACATCTAAAGGTATTTCTCAGTCTACCAGTACTCACAACCTTGGCAGACCCGTTACGAAGCGGCCATGCGCGACTACAAGAAGGGAAAGTTCATGCTCGAGTCTCGTCCTGGGCAACTCCTACCCATCGGCTCCACTAAGGACAGTCAAGCAGCCGCTGCCGCTGCGCAACAGCAGAAGAGGATTTTGGATAAGGTCTGGGCTACCGTTGAGAAAGTCATGGGTGAAATGAAGAACCAACTTTCGGCTAAACTACAAGAATCCACAAGAAGCGTAGAAGAGCAGGAGAAAACACTGGAGTACGTCAATCTTGAACTCAGTACAAGTATTCGCTAACGCTGAATGTCGCTGGAAGCATTCTTCTTGAACTGAGCCCAAACGAAGAACCTGTGTGGACGTACTTTGATGCTCAACATAAGGCTATCATGACGCAAATGAAAGAGACATACACGACAGCTGTAAATGTTATTAGATGTGCGTATATTCTGTTCTCTTCTTTGTCTTCAACGATAACATGGATGATATGCCTTCACAGTTGTTCATGAGAAGACGTCCCCTGACATCTCTTCTCCTGATGCATTGTCATGTATCCTATCTGCTCAACTGAAGACTTGTATCACCGCCGTCGAAACCAAGCAGCCTGACACCGTAGTCTGTATGTTATCCGCGCACATACTCCGTGACAATCATATGAACCATTTTTTTTAGCACAAGCCAGCGGACACGCGGTATGGCAAGCTGTACTGACGATGGTCAAGAATGTGTCAGAAGCGATGATGGCCCATCTTCCTAACTTCTGGAGGATATCCAGGGGTTTCATAGACGGCAAGTACAGAAAGGCACGTTACTCTACCCTTCCTGAACATCGAATTGCTGGTTATTGACATTGACCTTCAGGGTGCCCCTAGTTCACGAAGAAGCCCGTCACAATGTCGCACTATGGCACTTGACATCGTCAAGCTCTACATTTCCCTTCTCTCTGAATTCTTCTTGTTCTCTGACATGGCTGTGATGACACCGCCGACATCCTCATCCAACACCACTCCTCCATTGCTCCCCAGAGATTCGAACTCGCTTACCACTGCTCACCATTTGATGAAGATCCTTGGTGAGATCCAGGAAAGCGTCAGCGAAATCAATGGCATGGAGATTTCCAACGATGCCAGCTCAAGCTTGAAGAGTCTGTTGGAGAGTGCGAGGTGGAAGTTCGAAGATATCCTCATACATGCGTGGCTTCGAGGTATGTCTCTCCAGTGAATCTTTGCACTGAAAAAGACCTGAATGTTTCGTTAGATGCCAATATTCTATATACCCTGGAGTCATGGGTTGGCTCTACCGCAGATCCGTATACCACAATATACCTCTCGCAAATGCGTACTTTCCAACGTCAAATTACCACCAGTGCATTCAAGCTCGCGGGTGGTGTCGATCTCGCTCCTTCAGCGATGTCTTCGTCAAGATCGACGAAGCAGAATCCTATTGCACCAGAATTCATTGGCAAGATCACGAAGGCGTTCCTGGATACATTATATGCTGTCCTCGATGGTCTAGTCCATCTGGCTTCGGACGAGTTGCTACCTGGCGTAGTGAAGCAGACGACTCCGCAGACTGCCGCAATGACTGGCTCAAATCCGTTGTCTTTGTTGGATCTCGAGAATCCTGTGCGTAGTATATGCTCACTTCAGCTGGTGCTCTTGTTTACTTCCACGATGCGTCCAGGAAATACGACTGTTGCTGGTCGTCTCCAATTTCGGACATCTGAGAAATGTGCTCATTCCTAGTATGATGAGCGAACTGGAAAGCGCTTTTGGTATCAACATTGAAGCGGACAAACAGGTAGCGTCATCTTTCTGTTGTCGCATCCAATGTAATCACTAACAAAGGTTGCAGACATTGATGACGGTGGTGCAAGAACTTGACAAGACACTTTTCGAAAGCTACATCAAACCGAAAGCAGGGGTGCTGATGAGTATCATCCGAAACGGCATACTCGACCCTCAGATGGACTGGTACGAGACACCACAACCAAAGGGTAAAGTCCATGTGTGAATTGTGGACCATAAACTGACTCGCTTGGCAGAGATCCGGCCATACGTGTACGAGTTGCTGATATATCTTGTGGGCGTGCACGCCCAAGTCAGCTCGGCGGCGGCGCCACTTCTCGAACGAACCCTAAACGCATTGGTGGAAGACATTGCCGGCGAGGCCTTGCGATGTTTCCGCCAAGTCAAGCGATTTGGAATGGGTGGGATGCTTCGGGTAAGTGGGTCCCACATGTAACCTGGAGGGGTATCATTCATTCATTCTGTTCATTCAATTGCGCCGCAGGCAACACTGGAGATTGAGTTCATGCATCAAACTCTTTCCCGTTACGTTACTCCGTCAGCGGCGAAAACACTGTCCGATTTGTATAACAAGATTTCGCAGGCGTATTCCCGAAAACCTGGGGATGAGAACCTACAGGTACATTTAGACGGAGTGAAGAAAACCCTCGCGGAGACCAGGAGGGCTACTGGAATAGCGTTCCTATGCTTCAGACAGACGAAGGAGAGGTCAAAGGAGAAAGGTTCTAGTTCCTCGGGAACGAGGACCAAAGAACGGGAAAAGGAGAGAGAGCGGACAAGAGACAAGGAAAGAACCGCAGGAGGAACTAGTGGAGCTGCGCGGACACGTTAATGGTTCGTGCTAGCCTTGTATGAAGTATTATTAGCTAGTTCGCCGTCGCCTCTTCTAATGACAGGTTCCTGATAATCCTCATGATCATGCGTGAGTGTATTGATAGTAATACAACTGCAGTGTGGTATAATCGGCGATATGGTGCTCCAGAGTCCGTCAAGAATATAGATCCACAATGATGGTAACGATACCTAGAACTGCATACGAAAGGCAATTAGTCAAAGAAGAGTTTATTTAGGATAGGATTTTGTCAATACCAATCTCCACGCCTATCAGGGCGATGACAATTTGTTCGAGGCGTTCTGCATGGCGGCTCGATACAGTTTCTTTCAGAAGCTGCAACATGTCTTGCAGAACCTTGACGCCACAATGAACTCAGTTCCAAGAACGCCATAATCAGATGGTCTTTGTCATACCTCCACTCGCGTATTGAGCAAATTTATCCGCTGGGGAATCTCCAAATAGCTCCGCGCAGCATCATACAATGGTTGCAAATCAGGGTACCTCTGGGTCATACTGTCAGGACTCAATTCGCGTGAATGCTTCTCCCGTGACGTACCCAGAAGACTTCCTGTAAGGGTAAAGTTCAGAAAATGACACTGTGAATCTGTCAATTAGACTATCGGCTCACCGGAGAATCCAGAACAGATCCCACAGAGTTGATATTAGTTCTTAACAGAAAGAGTTCTCCAATTTTCCGCATAATCTCTAATGAAACCAGGATTATTCGCTCGGTGTTACGAGGGACGAAGAAGGCACGAAAAGAATAGCGTACCTTTATGCGGCATTCCAATCTTTCCAGTTTCACTGATAATCTCAGGGATGTCCTTCGTCTCTTCAATTGTAGACGATATCAGAGCCTCAAACTGCAGAAGGCGGACATTCGTTCACAAGGGGCATCATAGGCACGACATCAGCACGCAGATTGGAAAATGACAAAGTTTGTACCCGGCGGGAATAGGGAGTGAATGGTAGACTGATATACTCACCAATGAGATCTTCACCGATTGGGATAGTGCGTGTGAGAGAGACAACTTTGTCCTGATATGGTTATAGGTCAGCGGACATATCCATGCCAATGATAGAGTTAGATACTCACATGTAGCTAGACCCTCGTCGGAGTGTAATGACATCATTATAGATTCTAAGACCAGATGAGAGGAGGACATCCCAGGATAGAGATAATTTCTGCCATACCGACTGTAGTTCGCATAATAGTAGTTGAGATCTTCCATCTCCATGTCCTCGGGAGCTGATAGAGAACGATGAGATACATTCTACAGAACAATAATGGGGAGCATTTACCAAGTTTATCAACCTCAAAGCGCTTGCTTCAGAAAGCAAGATAAGCGGTTTAGCGTGTGTGAAGCGGGCTAGAATGACCCACATGGAAGACAGAAACCTCTTCTCTTGTGCCTCGGTCATACCCCATATGACAGCTGTCCCGTACGCAAATAGGAAGATCTCTGCCGCGGTAGGTTTCTCTTCAAACTTGCTTCGTTTCCTGGATTTCGCAGCACCATTCATGTCCGAGCCTTGAGGAGCAAGCTCAGGAACGCCTAGAAGATCGCCGGTTTCGGAAATTGAACTTCCCTCATTGTGCGAACCGGACTGAAAGTGAACCTCTTGCTGAGGTGATACGGGAGGTTCATAGACATAAGGGGTGTAAATGACATCGTCGATGATTCGAGGATTTGTATGGTATGAGGCACGACGAGCATTGAAGAATTTCATCAGTTCAGGAAGGCGGTATGAACTGTGTACCGCGATTAGACTCCATGCCGACACAGAAAGAACATGAGGAAACGTACCCTGCTGTTGCGTATGCAGTAGCTCGAGGTAACGATTTCGCCTTCTTCTTTGTGAGGCGAAGAGCATCCCTTCGAGCTGTCCCCTCAGGAATGAGGCCGATCTGGGTGTATACCTGGGAAAATCAACTGACGATGCATACCCATTGTTTAATGGACCAAGCGTGAAAGTAAATACCTCAACGTCTTCGCGTTCTTCCTCAATGTCGGCCTCTTCGTCCTCGCTCTCACCCGCAGTACCTTCTCCTTCTCCTCCCTCCGGCGCCTTTGGAGGAGGAGGAAGTGCTGTTGGTTTTTCTTGGGGTGGTACCGGCGGTTCAAATTGTTCGGGTAGCACTTTTAATTTGCCTGCAACTTTTGTTGAGCGATTCGCACCCCGAGCCTTGGGCTCCTGAGGGGTAGCGGGCGGCCTAGAGCTACTTGGGAGTGAAGACATCGTGGTTTTATTTTACTGCTTGCCAACGTCTCCTACGACGACGAGATCTGTATACACGGTGAGTAGCTGCTGATGAACGAGGTCGACAGTGAACTCACCAGTGTGCATTATAGGGACGCTTTAATTACATAACCAGCCAGCCCAATAAGGGATGTACATCAACCACCAACACCCGCCAACCATCACGGCCGTGCTCGGCCGCTTGTTCTGCTTTGTTGTCTCCTTTAATTCAACTGCTTCTCCATTTCTCAAAAGTATTCTAGCTATACAGCTTTGGAAGATAATCCTGATATAGACGAACGCCTACGCCTCAAAACGGAGTATAGTGCAAAGCACATTCTAACTTGAACGTTGAGAGCATTGGTAAACTGATATTGTATGTCTCATTTTATTCTGCCTTGAAAAGGGTCTCACTAATTCTCGCACAGAATTTGCACACGTATTCCACATCTTTGAATTACGAGCCTACGCTGCAACGCGTGACAGCTACAGAGAGTCCGTTTGATGTCTCAATCCCGCCCTGAAAATGGCAATACACCGAACGATGCCGAGAATAACAACGAATACTTTTAGTGTGTGATGTCCTCCACTAACTCAAAGCACACGGCTAACACCTGGAGTAGCACCGTGCTTAACCTCCCACGAACGGCGTCGGACCATGATATTCGAGAGCGTTACATGCACCTTTCCGTTATTTTCCATCCAGACAAGCAGTTAGACGAAAGCAGGGTGGAGACAGCAACAAAGAACTTTCTTGAAATTCAGAAGGCGTATGAAGGTGTGATTTTTATGCAGTCTCGTTGATCGTTTATCCTTAAATACCGCCACAGTGTTATCCGACCCGGTGAGACGGTGAGACTGCTTTCTAAAGTTTCCATTTCGACGGTTTTGACACCTCAACGCAGAGAGGCTTATGATCTAATGGGTATGTGCCCTTCGCTCTTCATGTCAACCCGCCGTCCTGATTCACTTCTCAAGGCTTGAAAGGTTTACAACTCCTGCGTAACATTGATGCGCAGGCATTATCACGCGATGAGGTGAGTAGGGCTTCGCGTAAGCCCGTTCTACCTCTGAACATATCTGCTAGGTTAGAGCGCAATTGCTTGAAATTAAACGTCGAGAGCATGAAATGCATGTGGACGAATTGATTACTCCGAGAGGTCGTGTTAGCCTTGGACTGGACGCCAGCTCCCTGTTGTACAAGACAGGAACGCGCGTGAGCCTATATGAAGAGCCCAAAGGTAGACTCTCTGGTGTGGGACGATCAGGGTTTGCTGTCCAACATTCGCTCGCGGTATGTCGGCGTTAATGTATAAAGCTTATTTGAAGTCTGAAATAGAGCATCTCCTTCAGAAACAGGTCCGTCAAGGCACCTCTGTTTCGATGTTAGCGCGTCTGTCTGCCGGTCGGGATCCTGACAGAAGGAGCGGAGGTGCATTTTGGGGCACCGTTCGACATCAGTTTTCTCCGCGATTTGAATGCCAGGTGAGTCTCTTATGCGTCTGATATCTCCCAAAGTAATTATTTACAGGTATTTCTTCAAAGGCTACTACTAGCTTGCTTCGTTTTGGAACGCTGAAATTGGGTGGAAATTATCGCCACGAAGACTATACAGTGGCATCGCACATCACATTTAGGCCTTCAATTATAGACATCATCCATCATGTCTACAACCATCCTTCGCATGCAGGCAAGGTCCTACCTTCTTCCATACCTGTCACTTTGGCTTTTTCCCGCCGTCTTTTCCCCACTTCTAACGCACAGGGACTGTTCTCCTTTTCGACCACTTCCCAGTTTGTGGATATGCAACTGTCCTATCTGTCAGACCCCTATCCATTTGACTTGAGCGCCGAGGCCGACGAACTTTCGCATGCCACTCTATCCGAGCGATCTCTACATCTGCCTTCGCGGTCTGGACTTGTGGGGGAGCGATATTGGAGAGTGGGCATGGGGATTAGGGGAGCCTTACCCTCTTTGAATGCCCAATACGTATTGAATTTCTCAGAGCTGAATATTCAGCTGAGAAACTTGGTTGAGCTTGGCCTACTGGGCGTAGCTGTAGTCGTAGGTGCCGGCTGGACGAGCGAGGATACAAGCTCGAATGTCAGCGCAGATGTCGAACTCAGCGCTGGTGGCGTCGCCCTGGAACTGAAGTTGGTCGTTCTTTTCTCTCGTTCTCATGTCATTGAACTCATGCTGTCCCAGTTTTTCATATCTGCATCAACATTTCCATATGCCAATCGCTCTTTCACATGAGTATGATCCCGCGTTAGCCTTCTGGACAGCCTTAATGCCATCTACTGCATTTGTCCTGGCGTATCACTTCGTCTTCAAGCCACGGAACCGTAGGCGACGCCTTGAGTACGTCGGCTGTTCTGGGGTGGTGATGTCGGATGACGTCTAACCAGTTGTAGCTTTCTCCGCCAGGCACGACGTGAACTGAAGGAAGCCAAGCCAGAAATACTTAGACAGCATGAGGAAACCGTTTACTTACTTAGAGATACCGCGAGGAGGCACACGCAGGCCGAGGCTTCAATTGACGGTAGGGCGTGGCAACCATTGGTCCAAGTAATTGCAGGTACTCATGCATTTGTTCTATCTGATAGGTTTAGTCATTCTCGAGGCCTGGTACGGTCCTGAAGAACAAGTCGAGGGCTTCGAATCCCTGGACCTCAACGTAACCATACCCATTCAGGTTCTAGTTAGGAAAAGTCAACTGTATATACCAGGAAGGCGCAGTAAGGTGAGATCTTTATCTATTCTTTCACCGCACATCACCATGCAAGGAAACTTCTCCGCACGTAATGCATAATGTTGTCACATAGACAGTCCTTAGATCGGTTTGTTGTATCCGAACACCTTTCACGGAAGGTAATCATGACTGGATCGACCCCATATCTACTTCGCAGCATCGATGCAATGCTTGCGGTGCCAATAAAGAGTCCGCGGATTTCTTATGGTTCCCTGGGTCGTTCTGTGTTCCAACGGAGGCATTACTTGTAGTGACACTGCAGTGGTACAGATTGTCATAATCTGTCGCTGCCCGTTTGCTCGTGGACGTTTCTCAAGGTCCGCATCACGCATGGCGATGGTACATGTTCACGTACTCTTATCTATCATCGTCTGATTTCCATATTCTGCACGGCATGGCTGTCATCATTGTGACGGTCTTCATCGAACTGCATCGCCTTGTCGTATTGTGACGGCATTATGGTCAACATAACCTTACTGACTGGCAATCCAAATGCGGTGTTAGGCCGGTCTGCAAGGATTCTATGATCCCGTGCCAGGAGTACCAAAATCTCTTCGCATTCGCTATACATTCCGTGGTCGTGAACATTACGCAGAGACTCCCGATTATTTGCCGGTTGTGCTTCCCCTCGAAGGTACGTTGATATCATTTTCACTCTATTTTTCGCCGCGGCTCTCCGTATCCTGATCGTCTCTCTTTGAACAACATCTAGAACATCTGGTCCAATGAGATATGTCATGACCCATGGTTTGCGTTCGTCAAGGATGGTTATCATCTACGTCCTGTAACAGCTGTTCTAGGATACTGCCAATCCCCACTCTACTTCTTTATATTACACTATTTATGTTGTTGATTCTTGCTAGACGAAGGTGGTACGTGTTGACGGTACGCAGGTAACTGATTCTCCCGAGTTTGCAGTTTGTGTGAACGCGCCACAGCGATATCCTCGGTGCCTAGAATCGTTGCTTTGTCACTAATCCCATGCTTTAGGTTCGCACGTCAACGGGTATTCTCAATATAGGAAACCAAGTAGCATGGTGTAAGTGTTGCGTTCGTGTGTATCATGTCTATTCTTACGTGACGTCCAAAGCAGCTATTCAAGAGTCAAACATTACAGGCTCGCGACAGTAGGTATCTAGAAGACTTGGAAAGGCCCATCGGGAAAGTGATTCCCGTTTTGGTCTGCCGCTCGCACCAACGGTGTATATACCGACTTCTCTCCTCGGCCTTCGCTTGACTTCTGGCTCCCATACTCGGAGTAAATCAACAACCGAACTTACAATAGTATGTCAAGCAGGTGGCCGTCCCCTGAGAAACGTTCGCACCTTGTGTGACTTCAGAACCGCCGACGTGGTTTGCTTGGATGACCTCATCCAGTCTGATCACAAGCAAAGAACTTCGGATATAATGCAAATAGACTACCTATTCCTAGGTTCTCGGACAGGCTCTACAACCTCTCTATCGCATTTTGCACTTCTGCAATGCACTGCACCCATCCGGAGTTCCCAAGGTCTACAGCGAGGATGCTCGTATTTCCGGCTTTCCTTCCAGGTTTCTGCCGCTTGACTGATGTAGGGTCTCTGATATGTAATTCGGGGTCTGGACGCGTGTATGGACGTAAGCACCAGGGACTCCTCGCTGCCTCTCTCGCATCGGTGGGAGCCGTTGACTGACAGGTGTGGCTTCCTCCATTCCTGCAATATGCCCATGCCCGCACTCATTTCTCTTCTGTAGGGTACCGGATGCCGTTTGCATACAGAACGTGATCGTTATGTACGTCTAGCTTCTCGCCCTTCTTCGGAGTCTGGGCTCTCAACTATTCTATAGAAGTCAAGCGGCGTGCTATCTGAGCAGCATTGCTTTCCATGCTCAGGGATGTCCGCCGCTCGTCGAGCAAATGCTGTTAGCATTCTCATGGAAAACACATGATGAGCCGCATGTCTTCTCCCGCGAAACTTTGCCGTCACACTCGCAATCAGTAGGGACCCAGACAAACGTGGTTTAAGCATGGTCCATATTTGGGTCTACGCGATCTGTCTTGCGTGATCATCGTCGTGGATACCGATTGAGTTGCTTCTTGATCTTCATCGAGCAACTCGGAACCGCTAGAATGGTTAAGACGGGAGAACAGCCGGTGGCGTTTGGATTCTTCCGATGATGAAGATTGATCATCCTCAATTCACTATCTTTATCGCCTTTCCGTTGGTTGGCCTCGACTGACAGCAGGGTCATTCCTTTCGTCATGTTGGTTTGCTCTTTCTCACTCAGGCTCCATGCCACTTTGCGATTGTGCTTATGATCACAAATTACGAAACGAGACATCTCAGGCGAGATGTTCCATCAGGGCATACAATTTTACCCATTGGTTCGCCCACAGGAATCTGATCTGCGCATTCCCAAGTCGCGCTAATTGAACGGATATGCTAGTGGCCCAGGGTGACAAACGGCTGACAGCCTTTGACACCTCGCGGGAGCATTCGAAGCCAATACTTAAAATTTGGTGTGTCCCATTTCCATCTGCTCTTCGTACTGCCTCCCACGTCCGCTCCAATTCGGGGCAATGGGGAGCGTTCAAAATTGAGACTTAGACTGTGGCGGCTATCATGCAACCATCAGTCATGATTTGGTGGTGCAACCGTGAGTTCATGTGTTGTGTCTTGGTAGCGTTCTGGCAGAACGCTTGTAGTGGAGCGGCAATCAGGCTGCTGGGAATAGCTTGTCGATATCTGAGGGAACTCTGGAAGAATTCAGTGCCTTCGCTGCGGCTACAACCGGCATGGGAACACATTTGCGATTGAGGACGATGTTTGACTTTCACGGCTAGTCTGCGACGCTGAAGTTCCACATGATGCGGCATGCCTGGATAGTGGGTTTGCGCTGCCAATGATAGGTTCCTGCAGTAAGACAGGCATCTTGGAGCCACAGGCAGTGTCACGAGTATCAGTTGGAAGGAGGACGTCCAGAACCTTGGTGTTCGGAAAAGGGTTGTGTGAAAGGGGTGAAGTAATTTATGTCCGGCGCGATCTGGTTCCCGATTCTCGGAGTCGCTTGCACTGAGCGACCCATGCGGCTAACTCAATGCAAACTCTATCGGCAACTTCTGAGATTCGGGGATACCCTTCTTCATTTCGTCCCTGGCCCCTTGACTATCCGGGGGAGCCATACTCATATCACTTATATATCCAGCACTATGTCAGCCGTGCCCTTCCCTCTACACCCCTCCTCCCTCTCCTTTAACCCTTTCGTCGACACCTGGAATATGCAGAAGCCAACGCTTGAGAATGTCCGTATCCGTTCTACTCGTGACGCTTTACAAATATTCTATGCTGTGGCGCGCAAAGTACTTCCTATGACTACTCGTCGTCTGGATGCAGAGGAACGAAGAGCAATTGCGCCAGGACATATTTATGTGTGGGAAGAACGCTGCGCCAATGCGGAAGCAACTGGTTTGGGAATGGAACGCTGGTTTGTGTATTTTCGCAGGGGTGGTGTAATTGTTGTTTAATGGCTTTAATTTATATAGGACGGATGGAATGGGCTGGGGTCCTTCGAGGGTCAGTGACATTTTCGAGTTATGCCATAGCACTTCTGAGTTGACGCTTCGTATTTTTAGGTCCGAGATGTGAGCCTGCTCCACTTCCAGTATATTGTGGCGTAACTCATTTGGGGTTTAGGAATTCCTTTTTTACCACCAGCGCGAGTCCGAAGCCAATGATGACCCAAATAACCCGTCCGCCAAGTGGGCCAACATCATGAAGTGAGTTGTTCTTCCCGTAGGATACGCTTGATTTTTGCGCCACACTCCGTGCTGATGGTGCGTCTTTCTCAAATAGAAAACGCAATCCTCAGACAATGACCATGAGCTCAAGCTCGCTGTATTCACGAACAGAAGCTGAACGCCTCATTAAGCAAACCTACAGCGTTCACGTTTCCCTTCCTGAAGATCGGCCTCACAACCTGACCAGGAAATGGCACCTCAGTAAGAGCATTTCTCATGCACCTTTTTTTCAGTGCTGATGCCTCCTATATCTAGCGGCATACTTTAGTCAAACGACTCTCGACAGTCTGAATACAATTGATAAAGTGCCTGGCGTGGGCAATGTCCCTGTGCCGCCAGGATGGTTTAGGAGTGCCAGGGCTAGTAAATCGAGGCGCAGCGCTGAGGAGACAAATGCATCCGCAGGGTCTTGGTCGAATGAGGCGTCCAATGCTCCTTACAGCATGTCACACTTTGCTGTTGATGACACCAGTGACACTCATTCGTGGACAAGTCCCACTCGGGGTGCTAGAGAAGTCGCATACCATCCGCAGCATGATGCAGCGTTAGCGTACGCCAGGGATTTCGGCTCGTTTGCTTCCATGCAGACGTCTTCTCCATCGCACCTTCCACCCATTTCCACGTATTCCGACTCAGAAGTGTACCGTGAACACTCCCCTTTTGCTCAGTCCTCCGCTTCCTCCGACTATGGTGCCTCCACGCCTCCTCCGCTCCCCGTTCCTCGTCGTGGGGGACGCGGCGACGTCGAACTCGTTCCACTCGCTTACCTAGAAAACCTAACACCACCATCAAGGGATCCCATGGATGAGGCGTGCCTACGTCGGATCTCCGCCCATGGGATGTCAACAGCTTCTGCACGTTTCCCGCAGTTCTAGGGGGCACCCTCATCTTCCTACCAACGTTCCGCCGTCATCGTCCCATAGAAACATTCGATTTTCCAATCTAACCTCACGAATTATACCCTTTGACGACACACCACGTCTCATGATATCCCTCGAAAATGAAATCGCCAAGGACACCCCTCTACGTAACCAATCGGATTCTTTATACGTGTATTGTCGCTCTGTTCTGTTTGTCTTCTGTACTTGCTTTCGTGTGCATTGTTGCTAGGTTTCTTCCGCAGAACATCTTTAAGGAGGCTCTTGTTGTACTTAATAGCAGTAGTAGCCGGTCACCAAATACCATACATTGGCCTTTCATTGCGGCGCCACCGGTCAATAACTGTCCGTTAGCTTTGCTGCCAGCTCCTTGCGAAGTCCTACAACCGACCAACTACGCCTAACTTTAGCGCGACGTCTCGCGGGTGCGATGAACTAACCCGTTCAGGCCAAATTGCTGCGAAAGTAGCCTTATCCCGAGGTTGTCGTCGGTTTGTCAATAGAACTAGGCACGCAGGTATCGCGGAAGCAGATTCTATATTCATCTGGGATCGCGAATTCACTAGTACGGGAAGGTTGTCGGTTAGTAGGGTGGGACAATCATGCCTTAGTGTCTACCGACTTGACCCCTGCATTGGGAACAGAAGGTGGAGCAAGCGAGAACCCATTATCATCGTGTGTATGAAAGCTGCAATTCCGGCAAGCCTTAGAAGTGCAGTAAGCTATAAAGGGATAGATTGAAAATTAGACTCACAAGCTCCCTTTCCACAGAGATATCAGACATCCGAACAAGGCGGCGGTGATCTTTAGTAGGGCGGGTGGATGATTCTGGTATGAGACTGGATCTTGGGAGGGACGATCGCGTCGCTGGCGCTACAGCGAAATCGGAGTAAAGCGACCTTTGTGTGATACTAAGACCGCTGGGATTCCCAACATGTGGTTCAAGTATGCTGAATAACGGAGATGCAGACGGTTTACCGGTCAATGTTGCAACGCAAGGACACTTGCTGTTGAGGAACTGTATCTCGATCAGATGTTTGTTTTCATTCGGACCGAGTGCTGGCAGCCCGCATGTTAGATTTTCAGGGGGGGCCCTTGAAGAATCTAGAAGGGGGAGAAAATACATTCCAAAGCCCGTGTGATCCTGCAGACCGCGTAAGACGAAACTCGGACTGTTATTGCCAAGTTGGGGGTATACAATAGCGGGAACCTGAAATGCTATTGAGAAATGGAAAGCCAATATGAAAAAAGTCTAATCTAAAGTTCATGAACAAACGATCCGGCTGACTTTGCTTAGACAGATATTACGACATAATCTACACACCTCAATCATTGTGTATGTAGTGCGCTTTTCCACCCCGTGGCACAGAGAAGTACCCCAATGACGGTCCGTTGGGAGGTCGACATGTTTCTTATCGGCTGTCAATCCCAGAGCGTGCTGACTTGCTTCCAGACTTTCATGACGCCTGTGCCAATACTGCGGCAAAATAGCGGATAGTTAGCGTCATTCCGTCTCTAGCTTGGGTTGCCGCGAGACACAGACTCACTTTGCCCTAGGCACGTCATCCATCAACACCCACATACCTTGTGACACAGTTGCAGAAGATGCATGAGGCATGCTATTATTCTTTCCCCTGCTATTGCTTTGTTTGCTGGCCTTGCTGGCTTTCGAGCGACTTTTTGGGAGACTTTCGCCCTTTGCCTCAAGGTTGGGGGTGACCAGTGGCGGTGGACTTGAATCCCCACCTTCTAGAAGAACCCACTGAACACGATATGTTTTCCTGATATGGGAGAAAACGTGAACAACATCCCCTGCAGGCCTGATCTTGACAATTCTACTTTTGTCGTTCTCGCTGGGTCCGACCGATGGTACGGATATCGTTGAGCGTTCGTCGGACGAGTGACCACGCTCGACGCCAGACCGAGGCGGCTTTATGAGTAGACTGGATAAGAGCGCGGCTGGTATCACGCTCATAGCGGTCGGAGTTATTGTCATTGGTACGTCGGGCTCCGTCGGGAACTCGTGAAGGCCTGCGAGAAGACCTAGAACGCGAAGAGATCAGCGCATGCTGGTATTTGTTCTATTCAAAAGCGGGCAAGTGGAGCAAAGAATGGGACTACGGCCTACCTCCTTCCGGTCGTCTAATGAGAAGGAACCATCTATCGTCGGAATTGCCACTTGGACGCCATTCTATCACGTTTACGATATCAAGCTCCTCGCGAGCTTTCTTACGCTCCGCCTTCATCGGAAAACTTGTCACATTCGCGGGATATGGTAGAGGCTCACATAGGGAACATAGTTCTTCAATATCGGGCACGTCATTGGCGCCAGACGTTATCTGACTCGACCATAGGTTAGTGGAACAAGCGCACGCTTGAGTTTTGATTCGTCGAACTTACCTTGTTGGCGTTCTGACAGGTGTGCGCTCGGCACCATTGACGCAGGGGACACGTCGTGCACGAAGGATCACGAACTTTGCAAACAGTGGATCCCAACTCAATCAATGCTTGATTAAGATCACCTGGTCTGTCAGAGCCTTCGACCATGGAGGTGGCACCGGCCCATAGTATGTCTAGGCTTTGCTTTGCTTTAGGTGGAGCATGTAGGGCTAGGACTCGACTGAGAAGACGGTGCACGTTGCCATCTAACTAACGATATTGAGCGAACGATGAGCGCCCTTTCCTTTGTACTGCGCTCCGGCGAGATATGGTTGACGGAACATACCACAGGAACACATTCATTATAGGCGATAGAGCATATTGCACCCGCACTGTAGCGGCCGACACCTGGTATCTTAGACTCCATGTCCTTGGCATTGTTCGGCAGTCTACCCCCGAGTTCATCTACAACCTTCTTCGCGCCGCTTAGCAGCCGTGCAGCGCGTGAATAGTAGCCAAGGCCCTTCCACAGACCATTCACCGTGTCAATGTCTGAGGCGGCCTGAAGACGAGCGGGACCCGGGTGCAATCAGGACTGATGAGTCTCCACATCCGTGGGTGTATGTACGTACCAAATGTCTAATTGTAGGAAACCTGCGAAGAAAAATCCTCAAGTTATTGAATGTGTAAGGCAGGAACCACTTACTTGGTCATCCATGCATTGTAATAGGGTATAACAGTCGCAACCTGTGTTTGCTGCAACATAATTTCAGATATCCATACCTACCTTGGGAAATAGTCCAGCGCACGTCAGCATATGAGCCCCTTGTCTAGAAACACTGATGCGGTCTGACCTCATAAGCTCTCTGGGAACGCTCTTCAGGTCCCAACGCAGGGTCGTATGGTTTACGCCATGGCATACCACGCGTCTCATGGACGTTTGCGTACCATTCTAATAGAGATTTCCGCAGAGGTTTCGCGTCCGATATCGCATGTGTAGACACCCCGTGTGGAAGTGCCTGATATGCAACACCTGGATCTATGTTCCCTGGGGTATCCGACGCGTCGTCTTTACCAGCAGTCCTTGTGGCACGCCTTCGCGAGGAGGAAGGCTTTAACTTCTTGGGACCCTGACGTTTTCTTGAGCTGTTGGGAACTGGTTGATACGTATCGTTTGCCGACCCGTCTGATGCCACAAATTCATCGGACGATGAGGACAGTCTACGTTTCTTGACCATCTTCAAGCCCAGGGAGCTGATTGTTTGTCCTTCGCTAGCACTGAACTTGAATTGTCTTGAAGAAAGTATGAAACGATAATCCAATGCGACGCCCACAACGCGATCTATAGTGTGACAGACGCGTACCGTGACTGTGACAATCACGCGTACTTTGTCACGAAGAGGCTTTTTATTCAAGCAGAAGGCACATTCCTCGTAACTCGTTCTTGGTATTTTAAGTGTGATATAAAGCGTTGATATGTCTCATCTCTGGTCATATTTCTGAAGCAGTTTTGTGATGACCGTAGGCTTCGTTTGAGAATACACAGGCTGAGCGCTGAGAGCGGAAGTATATGATGATGGCAGATTCCCACGGTCTCCTACCGCCACGTCGCCTTGCGATTCTCAACTCGCTTACACCAACTCTCCCTCTCTCCGCCATGGCCTCTCGTATTTCTATCGCTCGTCCAGCCTCTGGAGGCTACCAACCAAGTTATCAACCCGACCCCCATGGTTTTGGGTCGTCAGGATCATCGTCAGGTTTCAGGGCAGCCAACCCCGATGATCCCCTAGAAAAGCTCCGCAACTTCGCCCGCCAGGTTGAAGACAATGTCGAAATTTACACTCAACCATTGAAGCCACATCTACCTGCAATTGGTAGATTCTTGATTGTGGTCACCTTCCTCGAGGACTCATGGAGAATTACAACACAATGGGGTGATCAGCTTTGGTATTTGCAGAGGTTTGTGTGGGCGTGTCAGTACCACATAGGAGTTCATTGAATGGTTTGGGCTATTGTAGACATCGACACTTTCCTTGGGGCTTGTCCCACCTATTCTTGGCCGTCAATGTCCTCGTAAGTCGTTGTAACTGCTCGGAAGTCAAATGTTTCTTGACAACCGTAACATAGACCATGCTTATTGGTTCCGGTGCGGTCATCACGAAGAGATACTCAGAATACGCTGTCGGCGGCCTTCTCGGTGTGGTCATCTTTCAGGCATTCGGTTATGGTCTTATCTTCGACCTCAACTTCTTCCTCCGCAACCTGAGTGTGATCGGTGGCCTGCTGATGGTATTTACGGATTCCATGTATACACGCAAGAAAATATTCGCCGGTCTCCCCTCGATTAGTGAAACGGACCGGAAGAAATAGTACGTCATGGTTACCCCAGGCCCTTTGTTGCATCACTAATGACTGAATAGTTTCTTGCTGGCCGGTCGTGTCCTCCTGATCTTCCTTTTCATTGGCTTCATGATTCGAGGAGAATGGAGTTGGTCCCGTGCATTCGTCTCCGTTATTGGTCTTGCGGCATGCAGTATGGTTGCCGTCGGCTTCAAAGCCAAGTGGTCCGCTGCTTTCCTCGTCCTCACGCTCAGTATCTTCAACGTGTTCATCAATAACTGGTGGAGTGTACATAGTGCGCACCCACAACGGGATTTCCTCAAGTAAGTTCTCACGTTCTACCATTCCCTCGGTCCCTACTCATATCCGCTCTAGATACGACTTCTTCCAGACGCTATGTATGTCCCCTATTCTCGATCTACCTTGATTAGCTTCATCTGACTGTAATCATAGCCATCGTCGGAGGACTGATCCTCCTCGTAAACATGGGACCTGGTAAGCTTATTCTCCGACCCTTCTCCCGTTAAGCATTCACACTTACATGTGCTTCACAGGTGGTCTTTCGGTTGATGAGAAAAAGAAGACGTACTGAGTTGCCTGACCATGGTTGTGCGTGTACACGGCGATGGGTTCGTGGAGCTGCGTGGCGCGAGCATGGGAAGGGGTGTATGTGAAGCTCCTGAACCACTACACTATTCAGGGGCGTGTATGAGGCCAGGCTGGGATTCTTTGTCATTATATATCTTCCTCTGGTCATGAAATGTACCGCTTTCCCTCACGTCTGTGAAACGGCGATTGGGTACGCGATGCTTCATTACGACAGATCATCATGGAAGCTCAAAACTACTGTATACATGCACATACATCTTGTTATGTATGAGATTCCGATGTTACTATTTATTACTATTCCGTTGTGGGTGTGCTGAACGACTTTGTCAACTTTCCGAAAGAGGTCTCCCGTGAGATGGATCGTCCGCTTTCCCAAATGGGATATGTCTCCCACTCGCTTACGTGATCCAATTTTTGTATTCCTCGAGATTTGTTTTCCTAGGCTCAAGTTAGCCCTCAACACACCATTCTTTGCTTGCTTCTAGTAGGCCTTCTCTCCATTTAGCCTCTTAATCCTCTATTGTCTCTGGCTGTAACACCACTATTATGTCCTTGCTGCCTGACCCAAACTCCGTCAAAGTCTACACAGTCAACGGTGCAGCTTCAGGCTCTTCATCTGCGTTACCAGACTGGCTTACACGAAAACGTGCCATAAAGGGCAAAGGAAAGCGGGGAGCTATCCGTGAACAAGTTGAAGGTTCCATTGAACTCATCCAGCACTTCGAGTTTCCGGAAGCAAGCAATAAAGTCAAAACTACACGAGATGGACATCATGCCGTCGCTACTGGCACCTACAAACCTCAGATCAGAGTCTGGGACTTGGACCAACTATCGTTAAAATTTGAACGACATTCAGATGCTGAGAATGTCGATTTTGTTGTGAGTGAGTCTTCCCTCCGCGAATGAAGTCTTCCGGCGGGTGGTTCAGTATTGATACTTCAACTACCTTTTTAGATGCTTTCGGATGATTGGACAAAGTCCATCCATCTTCAAAATGACCGCTCGATAGAGCTACATGCTCAGGGCGGGCTTCATTATCGTGCTCGAATACCAAAGTTCGGTCGTGCACTAGCCTACCATTTCCCTTCATGCGACGCACTCTTCGCGGGTGCAGGAAATGAGATCTACCGGCTCAACCTCGATCAAGGACGATTTCTAAACCCTCTTGTACTTTCTGGAGACAACGAAGATGTCGTCGGTGTCAATTGCATCGATATTAACCCTGCTCATCAACTATTTGCCTTCGGTGTAGAAGGGAACGGTACTGTTGAGCTATGGGATCCACGTTCGCGGACCAAAGTTGGCATGCTTCGATTACCTAGAGACCGACTACTCCCTGCGAATGCACGAAGTTCGTTACTACCTGGAATCGACGATGGAGATCGACCGCCGCCAATATCTGTGACTGCTATTTCGTCTCGAGATGATGGGCTCTCGTATGCGGTTGGCACGTCAACAGGCCACACGCTATTGTACGATATTCGTTCGGCGCGGCCATTTGCTACAAAAGACCAGGGTTATGGTCTGCCAGTGAAGAACGTATCTTGGATAGAGGGCGGAAGTCGGATGGCTGGTGATGGGTTGGTTCTTAGTGCAGACAGGAAGGTTATCAAGATTTGGGATAGGCTTTCGGTAAGTATTCCTGCTTCTCACCCTGTTATCTCATTCTTATACTCCATTCAGCCATCCACAAACTTTACCTCAATCACTCCCGCATCGGATATCAATGATGTGCACCACGTACCTGCAAGCGGTCTGTTATTGCTTGCGAATGAGGGTATCAAGATGACGACGTATTATGTTCCACAACTCGGTCCCGCGCCTCGCTGGTGTAGTTTCCTCGAGAACCTTACAGAGGAAATGGAGGACCAGACCACGAGGACGGCGTATCAGGATTACAAGTTCATCGAAAGGAGTGAACTTTCCAGGTATGTTCTGGTTCTGTTATTTGTTCTCTCCCCGACTTACGCATCTCGTATCAGCCTCGGCTTGGACCATCTCATTGGTACTCCCGCGCTCAAGCCATATATGCATGGATACTTCGTCTCATTGCAACTCTACGATACCGCTCGTGTCATTGCCAATCCCTATGCGTACGCTGAACACCGCGAACGTGTCGTCAAAGAGAAGATGGAGAAAATGGCCGAGACGAGGATCCGAAGCAAAAAGGGAGCGAACGTCAAGGTCAACAAACAACTAGCAGAGAAGATCCGCAAAGAGGATGAACGCGCGAAGAAGAAGGAGGCGAGAAAGAAGACGAAGGAAAATCAACCAGATGCAGCAGAAGAGACCATGGAAGTTGATGAGCCTGAGCCTGAGGCCAAGGAGAACGAAAAGCCAACTCTGCTCAACGATCCGAGGTTCAAGGCGTTGTTCGAAAACCCCGAGTTCGAGGTTGACGAAACTAGTAGGGAGTTCGCTCTTCTTAATCCATCATCAGTCGCACAGAGACAGGCTGCTGGTGTTGGTAATAGAGGTCGGAGGAAGACGGCCGTGGAAGAAGAGGAAGAAGAGGGTGATAAGTCCTCGAGTGATGGACTGGGCCACAGCGAGAGCGAGAAGGAAGAGAATGATAGCAAGAGCGAAGATAGTGACGTTGCCGGAGGTAAGGATCTCTTTTTGTTGACTTTCATGAACGGTTTACTCAAGCATCACCGGTTTTTAGAACTGTGGCAGGACGACATTCGTGCTCGCATGGCTGCAAGGGACAGCGGCGCCAGATCCAGACAACGTTCGCAGCCTGTTCATCGCAATCCGAACGTCCGTTTGGTGCCGCTCAATGCTTCGACGGATGGACGAGGCGCTCGCGGTGTGGACAGGGACGCTACATTCGGACAGAGGCGTTCAACATTTGGTTCTAAAGGCAAAGGCAAAGACAACTCTGCTAGAACAACGGGTGCAGGAGGAATGGAGATCAGTTTCATCCCTCAGACAAGTGCTATGGACGATTCTGATACCGAGATGGGTGGCGCTCGCACTCTGGCTTCAAAGAAGAAAGGTCCCGAACGGAGGAAAGGTGTGGAAGTGTTCGGTGCAGGCATGGAGAAAGGTGGTCAAGCTGACGCTGGACGGGATTTGAGTGAGAATGAGCGACGCGGACGCACACACAGACGTATGGGAATGAGGAGTGGGAGTAAGAACACATTCCGACGAATGTAGTCGCATTGGTTTGGCTTTAGTCTAGTATTTTAGGGTATTGTAATGTGAGTCCATCCATGCTTTACCCACTTCTCCTAATTTATTCTGAGTCATGAAATAGTGAGATCATCGACGCATTTTTCTTCTACGTCATGGTTCGTAGCTACACTCCTCTTAACGCAGTCTCTGGCCAGTTCTCTCCGACGGTCGTTCTCATGCTTGTAGGTATTGTCACTCTGGCCCTTCGACGTAATTTTAAAGGTGTGAGCTCGGGGTTTGACCCTCTTGAAATTAGTACATTACTTTCAAGACTTTAGGTTGCTCGTCGACGTTCTGCAAGACCCATTACTTTCTTTTGCCTCTGGCCAAATTTCAAAACCAGATGATCCTTTTCTACTGAAGTTGTCGCTGCTTGGCTCGTGACTACTGGTTTTATTTTTCTCTGTGGCTGCGAAGATATACTTAGGTCCTTCATCCAAAATTTTCTGCAAAGGCGGAGCAGTACTGCACCCGATGAACTCCAGGGATGAGATCCTCAGTGATTGCAATCCGTGAATGGAAAGTTGCCATTGAACTTCGGTACAACATGCGCTGTTCAACATAACTAATATACGTCTTCGAAACATCATGGGTGCCGTGAACTCAGACACAAGGGGAGATTTCAATTTGGTATCGATCAGAGCCTGCAAAGGAAAAACAAACGAATTTATTTTCGCCGACGCGTACTGGATTTAGGTGGAGACCGACTCCCATTACCTGCCGTTGACTTGACTGACTGTTTACCCTTTCGACGAGCTTGCTGCTTTTCCACGGTTGACTTCTCGCTAGCGGTGGCCTGAACACGACGTGTGTCTTTCGACTTCGACTTTGTTCTCGAACGACTCGCGTTTCGACGTCGGACATCCTGCATCTCGACGTCCTCCTCCTGTGGCTTCTTGAGCGAATTACCCCGACGGGAACCATTCGACTTGGAACGTGTAGGGTATCGATGCTCCACCACTGGTCGCTCAGGAGGTGGAGGTTTGGGTGCACGCTTCAAAGGTCTCCGCTCTGGCGCCGTCTTCGCCCGCTTGGAACGGAACACTGGCAACTCTACAGGCACTTCATCAAGTGTTCTCTTCACAGTGCTGCGAGAGCTCATGGGAATGGGAAGGCGTGAAGGCCCGGCTTCCGGTGCAAGATCTTGCTGTTCGTTTCTCTGCTGGACTAATCGAGCGCTAGAACGTATCCCAGGGATAGCAGATCGAGTTGGAGGAGCTGTCCGGCTAGCAGCAGCTTGCCTCTCCAGGGCGGCAGTAGCAATAGCTCGTGACTTCAAACCATGAATCATCCGGTCCTCCTGCTTTTTGGTCTTGAGTGGGAATTGGTCAGGTACTGCATCGTCCTCTGGCCATTCATCCGATGCCAGAGCAGTATCGAAAAGACCCAAGACAGTATCCACCTTCTCTAGCTGTTCCTGTATTGCCTTGAACTGGGCCTCTGCGTCTTTATTGTTGTTACGGTCCATCTTTTCGTAGTAGTACTGGTAGTCGGTGAGCAGTTCGCCGAAACTGTGGATTAGTGAATTCAACGGAACGCAACGCCATTCAACGACTTTCAGTTTATGGGAGAGGAAACTGGTCTTCCCCGCGCCTCCTAATTCACGAGTTTGCCCGTCTCCAGCATTAATATCTTGCTCCTCCGAGCATTCGTCGAAGAACCTGACATTGAAAGTTGGCCCAAGGTTGTGCGGAAAGTAATGCAATGAGACGTAGAGTAGGACCCAGAAAGAAGATTCCAAGTCATCATGAACATCATGGCCTTTCTTGGGGTTTTGGAGCAATAGAATGGATATGAACTGCCAAGTGCCCTAAGAGTCCGTTAGGATAACTATTAGGCGGAGAGAAAAATCGGCACTAACCGTCCGGTACGCCTTAGGTGTGTTTCTGAGAATGACCCTCAATCCGTGATCCCAGTCATTGAGAATCCCTCGACCAGATTGACTGATCATGATATTTCCAGTGCTGATGTCGCGATGGAAGATCTTGCCATCGTGGTATGCGACTTTGATAGCTGGAAGAAACGTATGAAGATCGAAAGTCAGTCTACACATAAGACATCACGCACCTTCGATCGCATCACGGATAGCTTGAGCGGCCTCCTTCGATGAGCGTGCAGACGTGAGGGGATACGCTAGTTGCTGAACGACTCTACAGTGGACAAGAGTCCGCATTTCCGCACACGGTAGACGCCACAGTACAGCTTTACCGCTACGGACAGCCCACTTCCGTGTGAGTGTCCTCTGAGACATCTTCCTCTTCTTGATCTTCACATACACGTCACCAGCTGCAATGACTTCAGGTAGGAAAGGTACGTTGCTCTTCTGAAGTGTGTCATAGATCACAGCCTCTGAAAGGCTGTCTTCGTCTTTATCACGCCAAGAATCCTTCGCAAACACGATCTTCTTTTCCACCATGTCGTACGCAGCATAGGCCCTTGTCGCTCGACCACAAGGAGAGTCGGCGTCCCAGAAAGGTTTGCCAACGATCAACTCCCGAGTGCCATTCGGCGTTGGAACCAGCATCTTGGAGAACGGATAGGTAGAGTCGGGCTTGGGTTGCAGATAGCTGACATTGCGGGGCTGAGACTCCTTGATGTATCGCGACAGAGTATCAGAGAGCAACTTGGCCTCGGCAGCAGAAGCAGGCACCACAGTCGGGTCAAAGCCACGTTCTTCGCGAGTCAGTCGCGCATAGCACCAGAAAAACTCCAGCAAGATATCCGGCTCTTCGACGTAATCAAACCTGTCGCTGACAATACATCCAGCACGGTCCCATCGTAAGAAACGAGCATACTTGCCGCACACGACGATAGAGAATGCAAATGTTCTGTGCTGACGAGATAATAACGCGGCCGCATAGGATATCGTCTGTCCGCGAGTTTCTGCACTTTCTCCCACCATTTTTTCGATAGTATTGTTCAAGGTATTGCCATGAAAGGGATCTGCGAGATCGTGGACTTTGGCCTCGACGAAAAATTCCATGACCGTATAGTCCATGAGGTCTTCAGCATCGGTTGGTACAAATGCCAGATCCGGACGCAATGGAATGCCATTCCCGTCCACTGAACTCGAAACGTCAATCAACTTGAAGCCAGAGCAGACGCCAGAGTCATTGATAGCATCGCACTTAGTTGTCCCAATGTCAGCCATGGTCCAATAACCATTATATGTGAAATGAGACGTACCAGAGGTTGGTACATTTCCACTTCGAGCTTCTTGAGAGGGATTTCAGAAAAATCGACTTCTGGCAGGTCCTCAGGGTTCAGTTTCCTTAGTATCTTCAGCCTCATGAACGCTTCGAGGAAACCGCGAGGGGGCATGGGCCCAACGAATAGGCCAATCATCTCGCGAATGAGAAATTTTCGTAGGTCCTTGTAGTAGATGTATTGATTGCACCACTCTATAAAGCCTTTCAGCGTGAATTTCAAGGGAGTTCCTTTATTCTTAGGTGGTGGCTGAGGGGTAGCCGGCGATGGTTGAGGGGTGATGGGTGAAGGAGAGGCTGAACGCATGGTTTGGTCAGAGTGGATTGACATCCTAGTAGCAAATGGGGGGGACGGGAAACAAAACATACCGTCAAGTGTCCGTGTGGCAGCGGATTTATATCGTTTTGCGCCGCAGTGACCCTTTTGTGCCTATGGCCCCGTGTGGCTGGTTACCGAATCAATCAAGTTTCAAGCAACGAAATCGCCAAACAACCTGAGACAATGGAAATGTGTTTTCAGCCTTCAAGTTTGACTACGCAAAAAAGGATTTAAACATCAGCCGTCCGAGCTTGAAATTACACTAGATAGTGTATCTTCGTACCTTTCAAGATGAGGACAAGCAATTGCCCCTTGAACAACGTAAGAAGTCTAGAAATAAAAACCTCGAGTGAGGTCAAGAGATGAATGCGAACAGCGGCAGGCGGTCAATACAGCAAATGGTATACGTACTCCGAGAGTGGTAGAACAAAGAAACTGCATGTCTCACATTGGCGCGCATCCACAGAGATGTCACACTTGGCCACTCCTCGTGTTCCCGTGTGACATCCACTGTTGATCTAGGTACGACGACGTAGCGATGAGCTATAATTGGGTTTAGCTTACTGGCAGGATATATTCAGGATGTTGACAACGTTGTTCACTTCGGCTGACACCTGTGGACAGATCATACGACTTCATTCTTATCTATAAAAAGAAGTGGATACCATGACGTCCTGCACAGTTTAGCTTACGCTCAGCACGTAGAACTTGTTGTGAGCATGTTTCGCCGGTTGACATTAATGCTGCGCTTCAGGTCATGGACCTGTCACGTTCGCACCGACAAAGATAAGGCCTACTATACACACCATGGGGCTGTGTTTAGTGCGAATTGATCCATTTGACGATCCAGGCCAAGTGTTCGGCAATTGAAAGAATGGGCCAGCGGCCAGGTCTGTCTTCTCACCCTTGGTCCGTCGACAAGCACTTGTGTCCTAGTGCTTGCTAGGCAGAGCTTGACAGGTTCGTTCGGAAACCAATTGTACTCATGAGGCACAGAGAGAGACTCGGGACAACCTATCCGCACTGCATACCAGTGGTCCGAATGCCAGTTTATCAAGTAGATGTAGCCACTGCTGGCATCCACGAAGATTAGGACATGATCTCATTGTAGATGCAGTATCCATTCACGTACATATATATATAGGTAGCTCAAAACGATTGACTGATTTGACAAATATTGACTGCAAGAAAGCCATGGGGCAGATCTTAGTGTCGCGAAGTATTTCGCATATCTGCACGGTCGTGGATTGTCATTGACTGCACTGGTGCAGGAACGCTCAAGTAAAAGAAATGACGAGAGCTTGCCACCCTGTGGAGCTAAGTACATGCGTCGTCAGGGAATATAGATGGCAGTGCAGAATTTGACGTTGTGCAGGCATCAAACAATACCGATCCTTTCCTTTCGGGGATAACTTAGCGTGTGAAACTGAGATCGTCACAAACAATTATGATGCGCCATATACTTGGCAAGTTCGTGACTTTCGAGACAGTAACGATGAGGGATATTAGTGGATGGAATAAGAAAGGATCATTCTCAACGTTGCCCATGGATGTAGAAGTCCTTGTCATCCTAGTCAAAAGAGAGATTGAGCACAATGACATTAATCATACAGGATTTACGACCATAACTCCCAAATATTACACTTTGAATGTGGGCGATGGGCGAACTAATGAACACCAGCTTTGTGCGTGAACGAGGGAACAGACATTCGAATTCAACGTTCGTCTTCAACGACCCTAGAATAATCGTAAGAGGGCTCATGCATTGGCGACTTGGGGGTAGAAGTATACTCGTTCGTCTCCACTTCGCTCTTCCCGTGATCATCTCCGTAGTCGTGTCCGCCTATGGGACCAGCAGCGCCACTCAATACCATGTCACCATGTGGAAGTTTGCGAGGTCTGCCGGACAGGCGTCGGACCCAGGCCAGGTCCTTGAACCACTTGAAGAACACTTTGTAGAGTCGTAGTGTCGACAGTAGAGGGGGAAGCGCAACAAACATCGCCATGACCTAATCACATGATTACGTCTACAAAACCGCGGAAACTTCGAGTTTAGGGTCATCTTACCTGACCGAATGAAAGTGAGAACTCTTCATCGTTAAGAGTTACACCGCATCCAATCTCGACAACAGAAATCCAATAGGCAGTTGGTATGACCACGATAGACACGAAGTGGATGAAAGAATAATTCCTCCCGATCACAGACCTATTTCTAGTGAGCTGACCTATCACACCGAAACGTTGGATGTCTTACCACGTGCGGCCAAAACGAGGCGACCACTTTTTCCCAGGAGGCCAGATTGTTTTTCGTTGGAGGAGGATAGCAACGATCCATGAGATGACTGTGAGGGATAAGAAGCTAACAACCAATACGAGCAACCAAGGCGCATCGGTACGTAGAAAGGGAATTTCGAGGAAGGGAAAGACATAGAGGTAGGTGGCGAGTGGGCTAAATTGTGTCTCGCATGACTCCTGGGCAAAATCCGAGAAGTGCGTTGGGACAAGGATGTAAACCAGTAGGCAAAACCACACGACGCCTGCTATAAGGATGAGGGACCGGGCAGCCAAGTGCCCTTCACCGACTATACCATTGAGTCGATGTTTCTTGTACCAGAAAGATGCCACGCAAAATACAAAAAGATAGAAGCTCAGTGGCGAGCCTGTAATGACTGTCGCGATTGCAGCATGGAAGCGAGTAAGGGATGTTTGAAAGATAGACACCACGCAGGTGATAAGTAGCGAGTAAATCGATAGCACTTGCGACCAGAAGGCCTCTTCTGCGGACTTCGGCGAGTAGAAGATCAGGATAGCTGAAGTCAAAGGATTAGTCTGAAAAGGAATGCCAATACAAGTATTCCACAGACGTACATAGACAAAGGTTCGTGATGTATGCTGGCGTATAGCATCAGTGTCGCAAATTCATGTTATCGAAGATAGTAGCATGACCACATACATGCTATTCGCACCAATGGTCCTATGAAATCCTTTAGCATATTCGGATACATGGCAAGACTTTCACTCACCAGCGATATCACCGTTCGGACAATATCCAAATGGGCATGAATCGTCCGACGCAGGATTCACGCAGTAAGCCTGACGATAAAGACCAGCATCCGATGTTAAATTGAGAAAATTAAGCATGTTCTGCGTCACAGTAAAATTGTCCGGCGACAAGCAGTTGAATTCATCAGCCTGGAAGGCCTGTCGAGCAAGGAAACAAAATGTGTCTGGGGGCCACATAGTGATATTGTTCGCCATTGTGGGTCAACCACGGACGAGAAGAGGATAAGACGATTGAAGGGGCCGAAAGAGTAGAGAGGGGTCTCTCGCACTTGAGGGTGAGGAAGACATAATTATATGCTTGACCAATGCATACCACGATCCAACCACGGTCATTACTGGATTATCAAAGCATATATCTGACACACCGAATCAGCCGCTCTAAGGAGTCATTAGTATTGCACGTTCAGGAAACGCGCCGAGACATTTCGGTGCTGGGAAAGAGCGGTAGCACTTACGGAAGGTGAAGATAGCATGAACAAGCTAGCAAACATAGTCGTTGGCACGCAGCCTTGACAGTTCGACGCTTGATGTCATGCATTGATCATGACCAATCCATATATAGAAACACGAGAATGTTTAGATCTGGGTGGGCGGCCAGATCTGGCAAGGAAGCTGCATAGACTTGATACTAATATTTAGATCGAATTCTACGATAGCGAGAAAAGGAAGGATTGGTATGCTACACACAAGTGATATCTATTTGATACATGACGAACAAGATGCGGAAAGCAAAATGAAAACCGTCCGGAAACTACTTCCTCCTCCCTGGTGCAGCATTTGCACCACGATGCTTTTGCGGTACCAGAATCAATCCAGGTCCACCAACAAAATCGACATCGCTCTTAATACCGCTATCATTGATACATGCGGGTTCCTGGCGTCGGACGATCCCTATGGGCTCAAATGGTGGTGCGCGACTTGACAAATTCGATGCCGCGTGTGTCTGTCCTGACAAGGAGGAGACCTGAGGCTGCTTGTGATGAGGAGGCTGAAATGAGTTAGCGGGATTGAGGTGGATAACACCAGGTCCTGCAGGCAGAGAAAAACGAGTGTTATGTGGAGGCCGTTGGATGGGTTGTGGGTGTTTAGGGTGAACCGGATGAGAATGTCGTTTACGAGGATGGTGAGGGTGGTTATGGTGATACGACCTGCCATGACCGTGACCTGCATGACTAGAGCTGTACTGATTAGATGGGTGGTCCGAAGGAGAATCGTCCCTGTGGCCATCCGAATCTTCCCTAGGTAGCATTTCTCTAGTATCATCAATCTGTTCATCGTCGTATTCATAACCAAATGGATCGTTGTCAATCCTTGTCCGTTGTTCCTCCAGCTTCCTCAACTTTGCCTCCAACTCACCGATGACACTGCCCCCACCCTCCAACTTCTCCCGTCGAAGATGCAGCCTCTCCATCTTGTTCCCTAGACCTGCCATTTCAACTTGGAGACCCTCAATCTTGCGTTTCTCTTTTCCCTCAGCATCTATCCTCCTCTGCCGGACAGACTTCGCCTGCTTGTTGACCTCCTTCCACTCTCCTTCCACTTTCTTCCGTCTCCGCTCGAGCTCCGGAAGCATGTCCTCAACATCTTTGATCATAGCCTTGATCTCATCGGTCGCAGCCACAGTCTGACGAACGGCTTCTTGCAATGCTAGGACCTTCTGTCTAGCCCGAGTTTCCTGTTGAACGTACTTCTCCGAAGCTCGTTTGAGCGTGTCGATTTCAGAACGAAGAGCAGCATCAGCCTTTTGTGCTTCACGTCGAGCAGTCTTCAACGATGCAGTCAGAGTAGCATGCTCAGCATTTAGAAGGTTGAGGGCATGCGTGAGCTGCACTGGACGGTCCTCCAGTGAGAACGTAGGAGGTGGGGTCGGCGCATGACTTGGAGCATGAGAATTAGTTGAAGCCAACGGAGAGGATGTGCCCGGCGCTGAATGGTGCGAGGCATTGGACGAAGTAGACAGAGATTGGGTTGATGGTTCTGGAGAAGGCATATCGCCCGGTATTACGTTCTTTCCAATACCAGATTCAATACCAGGTTGAGGTGAGTCTAAGACATACTGTTATGAGTGAGTTTATCGTGCTGCTTGAGAAGGGAAACACACCAGTAGTGAATTGTCCTCGGAGGGTACTTTCGCCTGGAACGACGCCAAGCTCAATATCGTACTGCCTAGATGGCATTAGACCAAAGAGGATGATAACAGCCTCGTCGGTTGCGTCGTCGATCTTCATCAAAACTCTCTGCCAAGGCGTTCCATTAACTTTGATACTGAGACCTTTTGACAAGACCTCTGAGATGATTTGTGTTGGTCGGTTGCCCTCCGGGACAGATCCATTAGGTGCAAACTCATTGTGGTCATCAGGAGCGGTATCTCCATGAAGAGCATCTATTGTTGTCACATCTGAAGCTGCCAAAGGAGACGATAGAATGAACGTTGCTGAGACAGACGTTATTTCGCGAACAGACAGTGACAGCGTAGGTTTCCATGGTCGAATTGAATGCCATTGAGACACCCTATCATGCATTATGTGAAATGAGGAGCCAAATGGCAGAAATGTCCATGTGCAAGGTCAATAAGGAGGAAAGCTAAAAAAGCGGAAGCGTGATCGACGATCGTCTCGATCAGCACGAAAGTAACCTCGAGCCATAGGAGAAAAGTTTGACGAGAGTGGGATTCGAACCCACGCCCTTTCGGACCAGATTGTCGAGCCAGATGAAGACCTTAGTCTGGCGCCTTAGACCGCTCGGCCATCTCGCCATATGTTCTACTTCAAGATTTTCTATATTTCATCATTAGATTGCACACACTAATTCTACTACTCAGTAACTTTTGCACTATGTAACGAAAACACATAATGTACATGTCAAACACCATTGTCAGAATTTTCAACAGGTATGAGAACCATCTTGAAACAGACTCAACACTGCAGAGTCTCAGCAAGTGCATCTAGGATGTATCTTTCTGCAGATATGGTCAGTAAAATGTAAACTGCAAAACAGTCAATGCATCGTACTGTGAGCAGAATATATGTCTACATAATATTCTGATGAGAGTCTGAAGAGATCTTCCACAGACACAATAGAGAAGACTCATAGCAGCTCGACTAAGAAGTGTCTGTGTTTTTCTGTTCTTTGTCTATTCAGTGAATCTCAATCACAAAATGAACCTTGTTTCTATTGACTGTCACATGGCTCAGAGTCCTGGAAGCCTCTCTCATCATATTAACCTCAAAAGCTGCATTTTCAGACACTGCAACTTCTGGATGATACCTGGCCTCTCCAGCTTCAGAAATATTGCTTTGGTCCCTTCTAACCCATCTGTACTAAGGTGACTTTGCAAATATGGAGGACTTGTCAATAGAAATTCTATTCCAGATTCTTCTTGCTGTTCTGATAAGAATAAAAGCATAACTATATTGTCTCTACTATGGCGCATTTATTATTATCAGCAGCAGACCTCAAAAATGCTTTGAGCTCACCTGATCATTTCCATAACATCATTCACTCCTTGCTAGGATTCTCAAGATAAAACTGGAAGCTTGAACTCATGCTCATGACACAAATGGATAATTGGCATACTGCAATCAACCAAATCAGATTGCAAGCATGTCTTCCAGTCCCTCGAGTCATTTGAGTCCATAGAACTACTGGCATAGACTACAATATGCTTCTCTAGTTGATCTATCATAGAACCAAGCCTATAATTTGAAGATTGAGTTGTCTGTTTCTGGAAACAGCAGATAGCATGTACAGTAGGTGAATATGATATGAATGCGGGAAGGAAGGTCATGCAGGAGAGTGCTAACCTGCTCTGAGTCATTGAACTGGATATAGCACAATGTGCATAGACATTTTCTTTTGTATTGAAATGTATGAGGATGAGGCTTATTGTACATGCACTTGTCGACCTTTCAGCTCTTGCGACCTTTATGAGATACTTTCTATAAAGTAAAAGTAAGTAACAGGTTATTATCAGGAGGAGTCTGTATCATGATTACAAAGAGAATGAACAGGTGAAGTATCAGCAGGATACTTATCTTCACTATAAGTATGCCAGATTATGTCTTATCTCTGACAGTGCAATTAGCCAGAAGAGCTGAAAATTGTTACAGGTATCAGAACTAGGAGTATAAGAGAACAAATATATATAGAGATTAAAGTGAGTAAGCTGAGGAAGTTGAGAAAGGTCAACTGAGAAAGATCTATTCTGTACTTAGTGTCTATATACATGTCTTAGGATGTGGCAAGCTAAAGATCCACTTTTCTATAGCCACAATGATGAAGCTGGGCTAGCGAAAGCATCATAATTTTAGTTCAAAATTGTTGCCCTACTATGATATTGTGTATAATATTGCAATTAATGCTATTAACTCAACTCAGAGGTCAGATCAGATAGTACTAGAAGATTCTGCCACTTCTCATGCATTTCATATTTACCTATATATACAATGATACAAAATAACAATATGCTCACTCATCCAACTCTCTTTCTATGAGGCTTCAGACAACAATGGCATATGGTAAGTCCAATCTCAATAACATAATCCTCTCGCAAACTGGATAGTGAAAATTTCTCCCAAGTTTCTCAATGATACAGCTTTGAAATTCTAAGAAATGTGTTAGATATGATCTATTATTAGTGATTGTATGAGGAATCTATGATAGAAGATATGACCACATATGAGAGCTGTAGGTCCTAACAGTTCAGAAGTACAGAGTTGACATTCAAATAATAGATTTAGCTTCGCGAACAGACTATGTATGATAACTATAGATTCAGGCTTAGTAGGTTGTCTAGAAAAGGGCTTTATTGCTAATAGTGTAATGCTTCCAATGCTCTATTGAAGGATTGTTAAACTCACTATAGCATCAGATGAAGCTGATGCATCTTCATGAGATTCTGGTGGCCTGCTTGCCATACTTGAAGGTATTCCATTGAGCTTAATATTGAGTGGATGATTTGGTATAGAAGTATACTGCAGATGCTCCACATCGCCTATCAGATCATGGGGCTCCTCATTATTGACCCTATCAGGAATCTTCATTATGTTGTCTACATGTGATCGAGCTTCTCCATTCTTCGCAGATTCTATAGTGGAGTCAGCTTCTAATAGATGTTCACTAATGTCGAGCTGCTTTGAACATTCTACAATCTGTCCTTCTGGAGGCATAGGAGACATGGCTGGCCTGTGAAGATAATTGAATCAGCCAATGGATTGCCTGGAAATGTGGGAATTTTACTCAAGTATCAAGTCTTGTCACATGGGCTGTTCTATATGTGTGACATGAGCATGCTGATAAAATTTGTTACAAGTAATTTCACTATTCAGATACAGTTTGCTGATCAAAATCAAAGCCCTCTCATTCAGAAAGATTATTCCATATATACAGATGGAATGTGTAGCTTGATGAAAAATAATCTAATTGATAGAAAAGGAGACAGTACAGATGTTATATCTTATGTATAGATTGGGATGTTTAGCTTCATAGTGCTACTAGCAGACTCTCAGAAATACCCTTTCAAAATAACATCAAATGACTCACTAATTTATGACCTTTATTATCAGCAAAAACTCAACTGCACAACTTGCATTTATACTGGCAGCTTATCTTCATATACACCTGACATTTCTTAGACTTCTTCCAGAGATCCATATCATATACAGAGTAATGCTGCACATCTGCAGAGTTAGTCATGGGGTTTAGGGCTGCAATGCTGTCATACACCAAAAGTGTTTGGCACATGAATAGATCACATCAATATTTAACACTGAATATAATAGTCTAAGAAAAAAAAACACTGCAGTCTTATAACAAGACAGAGAATATTTGAATATTAATAATAAGTACAATGAATCTCCTGAACACCTAATTCAACTTCAACTTAAATAGATAATGTATGCCTCAAGTCTGCTGAAGATGAAAAGGAAGAATAATAAGAATGAAGAATGTATCGATAATGATGAAGTCTGAATTACACTGGCTGATGAATCTAAAGGTGTGGATGAAGAAGACAAAGGAGTGGAAGGAACCATAACCTATTTAAAGTGAATGGATAATAAAGAAGCTGAAGTTATTTGAGCTAGAGCATTGTTGCATGCATCTCTGGGATAATGTTGAAGAGGAAAGAATATATACTGCAGCCACATAATGACTATGATCAAGATTATAACTCCAATGAAACAACTAATGCTAATTACTACTGACCTGGGGACCTTAGGATACATCAAAGATGCGGGAGCAGTCAAAGAAGACTCCAGAATGATTCTAAAAAAAGCAAAGGTCATAAAAGATATTAGACTGACACTCTAAAACATGTGCGCAACATGACACATGAAGTGGCAGCCATAAGGCTGTTTCAGAATCTGAAAGTCAAATGTAAATATGGCCAGTTCAGGCTAGAAGAAGTAAGACTTACCTAATCTCAAGACAGGTGAGTCTGAAACTGAAATCTGACTGATGAATATGGCTTCTAAAGACAAGTATCATCACCTGGGAGTACCACATCAATGGTAGGTGCTTAGCTGAACCTTAAACACTGGCAAAGTCTGTGTGCACTTAGAAAGATCAAAATGGTAATAGGACACTTAAGACACTATTGTTTATTGGCATTTCAAGTAATGTCACTGTGGACTAAATAATTTGAGATTCAACAGTATTGGAATATTCACATCAACAAGTAAGAATGAAGTACACTCTATTAAGATGAAGGTCCTCCTCCTGAACTTCTAGAGTGATCTTTATGCCTAATAATATACCTCATTATAAGAAATACTCTATCACAGAGGATCATGGCTCTGCCAATAATGCCAAGGATTTCAAGAAATACCTTTGTACTCAAAGGAGGAGGCTCTAAAGCCTTTATTTTATTGACCTACAAGGGAAACATTCTCCAATGGATTGAAATGAGTTCACATAACCTGAAAGCACATACTGAGCTCATATTGCTAAAAGGTTTAGGGTGTATTCCCAACTTCTGAAGGAATAATAACTGCACAAAGTATCGCGCAAGCATCTAAATCATCTTTAAAGAATCTTGCAGACTTGAAAATAAGTTTGAAAGATCTGAATAAGATATCTGAAAGCTTACCTGACTTGTGGCAATACCGGCAAGTATGCACTTCAGAAAGAAGAATGCAGTCTTTGAAGAAAAGAAGAGTGCAGCACTCGACTCTGCTTCTTGAACAACAGTTGATCAAACCTTCAACTTCGGCAATCTCCAAGTGACACCAGATAAGATAAGGAGTTCAAGAAAGGAAGGTGTAGAAGGCCCCTGGACTATCCTCCTATAGCTCTGATCCATATGAGGATATAAATCACCCCCGGAGGGTCTTTTTCTCTGATCCTAGGGAGGGTATATCGAGGGAAAACATGGACCGACTTCAATCCCCAATGAGGGTATGAGCAGCCGGAATGCCGGCAGTGTCCTATCCCTATGAGGGTATATCCAACCGGTGACAGGTCCGACACCAGCACATGTTTGTTGACGAATCCAATCGATGTCAACTTGGACAATGAGGAACCTGGTAGCATCAAAAGAAGCATTTTGAAGCAGTTCAAACATTGTCCGGAGGTAAATCTTGTCTTAGCTCTCTTCCGTTTTGCTAGTAAACTCACATGCATATAGCCAGAGTAGATCATTCATTGTATCGCACAACAATTTCATGCTTTCATGTCCGCCATGTCATCGCATTTTTTGCGATGACCGGAATGCAAGACCAATGGGTTGAGTGAATAAATTAGCCCTAC